TGGGTAGGGCAGTGCCTCCCCGGGGTGACCATGCACTGAGCCGCTTGACTGCATTGGCAGCTGAGCGTGAGGCTGGTGCATGTAGCCTTGAGGAACCTCAACGAGGTTAGAGTTGAAACGAGGGTCGATAGGCGCCTGGCTCGGAGTGACGGGCGGGAGCTCATTGGTTCGGGAGATGGAACCTCGATGATCATGGTCTTGCATTCCATGCGGTGGAATAGACGCAGGGCCCATACCATTTGCCATAGCATCGCGGTAGACTGGCTGTTCTTGAACTCCGATGGGCTCGATCATATGAGGAGTTTCAGGCATTGGTGCTGGCTCGTAGCCCATTGCATACTCGGTCGCTGCAGTGTCATAGACTGGAACCGACTCTTGAACGGGGGCAGGCTCGTTAGAAGTGCCTGCAATGTCACTCAAGGCAGCCAGGATATCAAGTCCAATGCTGGGCTTAGTGTCTGGTTTGGGAGTCGGTGTAGGCTTTGAATCGGTAAAAACGTCACGAATGGCGTCGTATCGAGCAGGCTTGGGCGCGGGCACAGGCACAGGCTTGGGTACCTTTTTGTTTTCCTCGGCTTCAAGGAAAGCACTCGCAAGGGCAAGAACGGAAATACCGGTAAATCCAACTTCAGGTTGCGAGGCTTCCCCATCCTCGGCTTCGATCACTTGTTCTTCAGTCTCCGGCTCCTCAGATTCGGATGGTTCCCGGCTGACAACAGGTCTGGCTTCAAGTTCCTTAAGAGCAGTGCCCAGAGACTTGCTTCGCAGCTCGTCTTCAGATCGAACATACTCAGAAATGTTGATTTCATCGAGGTCAATATCTTGAAGTTTGCAGAATCGTCTCATCGAAGCTCCGACCTTGGAGCGATACGGGTTATCTTCCATACGGCGATGATTAGTAGTCTTCAAGAAGGAACGAGAAGCATGAGAAATTCGACCCGAAGGGTTCGCGATATAGACCACAGGTTTTCCTGGCATGACGTGAGGGGTCTTTCCAGACTCGGGGACAGGTGCATCTCTCAATATGATGCCAAATTTGGGGTGCACTCCAAAACGCTTCACAGTTTCTTTGTCAAAGTCGGAGGGCTTCGTGTTTGAAAAGTCGAAGCCATTGCACCAGGAATCGATATACAAACCATTGCTGTCAGGAGTATCGAGATACTTGCCACGCTTGGCACGGGTGTGGCCCTTGCCAGAGTCATTAGTGGAGTCTCTGAAGCCAATCTCCCATTTCTCAAACTCGAACGGTCGAGGTACGAAAAGACGGCTGCTGATGCCCTTCTCTCGCATGGATGGCTTCTGGTTGAACATCCTGAAGCCGTACTCATCTGGCTCGCCCATGTTCTTCGGCAATGGAGGGCTCTTCTCACGAGCAGGCAGTCTGAGATTTTGTGCCCGAGCGACGGCAGCATGCGCAATACCGTTGACAAAGGCGGGAGGTTCTGGGGACGCTGGAGTTGAGTCTGACTCAGCTGGTGTGCCCTCAGGTGTTGCCTCGACTTCCGCAGCACTAGCGAGAAGACCTTTGGCGGGGGCTGGGGCAGAGAGCGATGGGGATGCGGCGGCATCGTCAGGGTTACTTCTGGTGTTCTTTTTGGGGGTGGGCTGGCCCTCAGGTTGATCTTGTGCTCTGCGCTTGTTGGCACCCCGGCCTCGGCCACGAGTACTCTTGACTGGGGCAGCGGGAGCAGAAGTGACAGGAGCACTAACAGCAGCAGTGGCGGCCACTTCATTATCGCGTCCCTTTTGCCACATGGCAGTGCCTGGAACACGAGAAGGGTAGGGAACTAGAACACCGCCCAGCTTGCACTCATAAATTCCAAATTCTTCATCAAAATGTTCGTCGCTGATGACCTTGTATTCATACTGATCATCGACGACCTGTGTTGGGCGTGTCAGCAGATGCACCGCCAATTAACTCAAAAGGTAGATGTTTGGATGCGGAATGCAGACGGTGTAATAGTGAAGAGTAGGGATGAAAATGTTTAAGAAAAAATCGACTTACATCAACAGGGAGATCTTTGTCATACAATGAATTAAGAATGCGAGCACGGTTCTCTTGTCCTTCGTAGAACTGCTCCTTGATTTCTTCGTAACCGTTCTGTGGGGGTTTGTGAGCACTTGCCAAGAGCCTCATTGGGAATCTCGGAAACGTGATAGCGTCACGTCAGAGGAAATAGCATACCTGATATTCTTGATGGGTGACATAATCATGAGCCTCATGCAACTGCTCGGCAAGTTCCTTGTCTCTTTTGTATCGCCGTGTATACTCGGCTATTTTAGCATCGAGGTTATCTTGGAGTTCTTGCATGAGAGGTATGAACTCTTTAGCATGTTTATGCTTTTCTGGGTTTTGTAAGGCATCATCAATGGTGCGTTCAGCAAGCTCTTGCAGAGCCGGCTTGAGCGCGTGAGCAACAGCCTGGTAATTGGCTTTGAGATGCCTTTGACGCTCGTAAGCAGCTTGGACACGCGAATCCGCGAAGTTCTTTGCTCGGCCTCTTCGTGAGCCACCACGGCCGACCTTTGCAGTAGCCGCTTTGGATACTGCAGCAATAGAGCCACCTCTACCACCTCCTCTACCTCGACCGCCACGACCTCTCCCACCGCGGCCACGACCACGAGTGGAAGGTTCCCTTGCGGGAGACTCGTTCTCAGCCATGATGAGCACGATGGATCATGTAGTTAGAGGTGAGAAAGAAAGGCGGATGGTGTGAAGTTTGAGAGGAAGGGAAGTAAGTAATGCAGGTATGTAGCGGGCCGGGTACCAACTTTTTTCCTGTAGGTTAGAGGTGAGAATGTGCCACGCGCCAGTGACAGGGGGAGTAAGGTACATACCTAAAAGACAGGGTAATGAAAGAGAAGCGCAGACGCTGTACGTGTGTGTTTTTGGCGCGATGAAAGACCTTGTCCCTAGCAGAAACGCGGATAACAAAGAGCAGAGAGGATACGCCGTGCGCTGAAGGGGGAAGTAATAAAGGTTTGCGCGGGCTAATATGAGAAAAGAGCAGAGGATTACGGTTGATGGTTGAAGGTTGAAGGATTCTGAAGTCAATCCGGATCTGAGAGAGTTGTGAGGTACGTATAGTTTGTATGGATCAGAAGTTTTTGCTCTGGCAGTGGCCGCAACTTGTAACGCAACAGCGCCAAGAGTAGAACAGCTGCAACAAAATTTGACAAATCCACTCAGTAGTCGAGCTTAATATCACGTCGAATGTGATGATTCGCGGTGAACAGCTGGCGTGGTAAGTGGTTGAAGTGGTGATAATGAAGGAGGTTCTAATGTAATGAATGAGACGGAGAAGCGCTTCGAGTCCCTTTTTTTCCCAATAATACCGGTCCCAGCAGCATAACCCAAACGGGTGAATGAAATGTGCCAGACGAGCCAGTAAAAGTGGGGGTAACTCTGTTTGTCGCTGTAAGTGCTCTGCAAGTGCGCTGCAATCCACTGTAAAGTATGCTAAATCGCTCCAGAGATTATACACCCCTGATCACCGGGATTGTCCACCAGCCACGCCCATCTTGGCTGGTCTAAGCCGTTTTTGGCTCTGTCAAGACAGTTTATGATGGATTAATTGGTCCGGTACCCTGGATTTTCCGTTCGCCGCCGCTCTCTAACCCCTGTCGATGCTCTCTCATTCTGCAAGGAGTTGCAATTGTTTGTGCTGCACTCCGGATTCTCTCAATTGACCGAACGTGGTTTCATTTACAAATAATAGCATAAAAACGTTAACAATGCCCTGAGTGCATAAACTATATAATTCATGACTAATTACAACAATTGCCAAAAGGCTAAGTCTGCAAGTAATTCTATTCAATGCAGAGTGCATTGCGACCAATGCAAACGAGTAGTACCAGGATGTGGTCAGGGTATCACATTCAGTCAGATTCAACTTGGTGATTGAGATGTATAGTCGGGTGATTTTGGAATTCAGACCCTTGCCCATTCAACGTTTCACTCGCACGAGATCGGAATACTGAATATGCGCGGAAGTACTGTCAACAGTCGCACTCGATGTGAATTGCTGCACCTACCATACTAAGCTGGTCTATTTTGTAACAGTTATTCATCCCGTAACCCGGCTGTGGAGCCTCACTCTCACTTTGCTTGCCCTGTCAAAACGAACACTCCACCAGTTGTGCCACGGTCGTCGGAGTTTCGGGTAACCAGCGGAATTGTTTTTATTGATTCGCACGGTAACTGCTGAGACTTGTTGTGAGTGTTTGTCCCATTAGAGCGTTAACTTGATATCACTGCCAGCCACTGTTGCAGAATTCTTGCCAAACATCGGACCCAATGTTCTCGCGTCTCTATCTTGGCCTCAACTGCAACGCCACTTTGAGTTGTTATATCTTACATTGAAGATCAATTATTTGATAGTCATTGCCTTGGCGGTCTTTTAATGATTAGAAGTCATATGTGATTCTGTGCTGAGTGATATTTTGCAGTTTGAGGTGCTCAATGCCATCTCATTGGACTTTCGTGAAAAGAGAAATCCTTCCTTTCTTTCTGATTAGGTAGCGTAATTGACTATGAATCAAATAGCAAGATATGTTACTGGATCTAAGTATCATCATTATTAAATAAACCCTCTAATCAATATTATTACCACATCATAAAAACTCTTTATAATGCAAGCTCAAATTTCATCTCATCAATCCCTCACCCTAGACCACTAACAAAAAAAGGCTTCATGAGAGACGACACAACACAACGCCAGCCCCGCATTTTCTCGACTCGCCTTACACTGCCCACAGCCCAGCCCATGGAAGCTCCCGGGAACTAGATCAAACGCTACCGCAGCCTTGTCAGCCAATCAAGTCATCTCCACAGATTAGAGTAGGCATGTACGATACGACAGTGTCTGTACCTCGAAAAGGAAAAAAAAAATACTGCCAACCGCCAACCACGTGCAACTCAACCCATCTCATACAGAGCTCTGCCTCCCGTATTGTGACGTGACGTGACTTTGCGACAGAGCCGCAATCTTCAGATCGCCATGGCCAAAAGACGAAAACTGTCGAACAAGAATGCGCCTGCGCATCCAAAGAAGAATGCTCAAAAGAGCAGACCAGAACAGAAGAAGCCCGCCAATGGCCCCGCGAAGAAGGGTAAAGGCAAGAACCAGCAACCAGCCGATGATACACCCACAATACCCTTTGAACCTCACCATCGTATACTCCTGATAGGTGAAGGTGATTTGAGTTTTGCAGCATCTGTAATTCGACATCACGGCTGCGCAAACGTCACTGCGACTGTCCTGGAGAAGGATGCCAATGAGCTGCTGGCCAAGTACCCCCACGTTGAAGACAACATTGCTGTGGTTCGCGGCGATGCTGCCAAGCCCAACAATGCCGACAAGGGAAACGAAGAAACATCGTCTAAAGAAACAGAAGCCGGCGAAAGCAGTGGAGACGACCAGGACGAGAACAAAGACTCCAATGGTGAAAGCGACAATGAGGAAGAAGACTACTACGACTCGGATGACCCAGACGCACCGCCCAGACCTAAGCGAAACCTCCCTCCCAACAACAAACTTCTCTATAATATCGATGCCACAAAGCTTCCAAACTCCATTATCCGTACGCGCTTCGACCGAATCATCTTCAACTTCCCCCATGTTGGGGGCAAGTCCACAGATGTAAACCGCCAAGTCCGTCACAACCAATCCCTTCTCGTCTCATTCTTTGAGCGCGCTATTCCCGCGCTGGCCCCCGGTGCTGCAATCGTCATCACACTATTCGAGGGCGAGCCTTACACCCTCTGGAACGTGCGCGATCTGGCTCGCCATGCTGGTCTGCAAGTTGAACGCAGTTTCCGCTTCCAAGCTCGTGCATACCCTGGATACAAGCATGCCCGAACGCTTGGTGTCGTGAGAAATGCAAAGGGCGAGGTGAGCGAGAGTGGATGGAAAGGCGAGGAGAGGGCGTCGAGGAGTTTTGTGTTTAAGAGGAAAGAGGATATTGTCCCAGTGGTGGGCAAGAAGAGACGGAAGGACGATGATTCATCTGACGATGAGGACTGAAATAACACAAAGGACAGGCAGAGAACAAGCATTATCGGCGTACGGTGTTATATGTAAACTTGACAACCTCATACAAGCTTAGCAATACGGCTCATGTCTTGAAATGTCATAGAATTGGGTATAAATGACTAAGGGTATCTGCTCATATTGTTTTCTGCCACTCTATAATATTTCACTACCAATGCAATCCCACAAAGTGACAACCCTATCCTCCTAGCCTAAACTCCGCGTAACCATCGTGGAAAAATGGCCGAGCCTCACCAGTACAGTCTGATTTCAAGATCAAAAGTCAAGGTGATCCTCAACGCCAAGCCACTTTTAGTGACAAACAGCCCAAGAAGCAAAACCCGGAATAATGCTGCCGAGCACTTCCCGCAGGGCTACCCTGTTAAGACAGGGCCCTAGAATGTACGGATACAGTACAGCCCGTTTATGTAAGAAATGGTACAATGCGCCTGGTATCGGCCCTTGAACTCCCGAAATGCAAATATGATTATGACCCAGCCAAGCTCCATTAGTGCTCCTAACCGTAGACTGCAATTCTGGGGGACTTAGCAACTTCTGTTTGTAACCCCACTCCGCTTGTCCCTCACGCCGGCGTCTCCTGAGAGCCGAGCTCTCGAGCCTCATTATTAAGCCGAGACATCTCGTCGGAAGCATCCAACCTATCCTTCTCAGCATTCCTAGTGGCGTCCTCCAAGCCCTTCGTATGGTGAGCTTCGTCCTCAAGCCTCTGTGCCTCTTCGTTTTCCCTCATTAATGCCTCTTCCTGCTCACGAAGAGCCTTCTGCTCTGCAGTGACGACCTCATCCATAGCTGACTTTGGCGGAGGCGGGGGAGGAGGAGGCGGACTGGGCGCTTCCAGCTCGTCCTCTCTTAGCCTCTTCATGTTTGGCCCATCTGTCGAAGTAACAGATGGCGAGCCACTTGTTTCTAAATCCCTCTTTCTCTTACGATCAGGGCTGCCCAGAGAACCGCTACCCTCCCTGTCTGACACCACAGCAGCGCCTACCGACGTTCCATCAACCTTGGGTAGCGAGGTGCCATCTGACCCATCAACGACGGAGCCTGCGCCGCTACCTGCAGCACTGAGCCCTTGATCATCTTTCATCAGAGTATCTGCGTCTCCGTCCGCCTTCCGTTTATGCTCGCCGTATTTCCTAACGGCGCGATCCAAAAAGTCTTTGACGTACTGCTTTATCTTCTTGACTTGCTTGTCACTGAGAGGTGCACCGGGGTCCTCGACTCGGTTGTTCTTAAAGTCGGATGCGACCAGCTTCTTAGCTATATCTTTACCAAAGCGCTTCAGCTCCTCCTTAGGAAGTTTGTGATGAAATTTGTCGAGAACGTGCTTGATGTGGGGAAACAACTGGTACATGTTAGTAAGTAATAAGTGACATGGCAACTAGAAAGTAACATACGGTATTCTCATAGATCTTCATTCGTTTGTCAACCGGAATAGATCGCCATTTCTCCTCCTTCACCTCCTTGGGCGGAGTCTCGGCTGCCTTTGGGGTTGATACAGAAGTATGCTTCGGGGTTCCCTTTTCAGTGACTTGGTTGATGATGCTTTGAATCGCCAATTGCTCCTTCATGGCCTTTGAAGGTGCTTTCGCAGCGGGCTCTGTAACAGGCTGGGTAGGTCTTTGCCAGGTAGTAACGCCCTGATTGTTATAAAAGTAGGCATTACCTGCAGCGTCCTTGGCAGTAAACCATCCTTGAGGAAGTGATGAGTTAAACGGAGGCCTCCTAGAGCGACCGCCATTCTGGAAAAAGGCGTTGTTCCTTTGGGGCATGCTGTTTCGGGGACCCTTGGGTGCGTCGATGGGAGTTGGTGATGCAGTCTTAGAAGTAGACTGGACTGTCTCCTCTTCACGACCTGCTCCACGACGTTCCTCGAACGAGTTTGCGGCTGGTGCATTGGGGTCAAACTTGCGTCGCCGGATTCGGTACGCTACCTCTAACTTGCTCCATTCATCGAGCAAATGTTTGGACTTTGATGCGACGTCTTCGTGGTCGGATTTTGTCAGGCCTTCAATCGTTGCCTCAATCTTGGAATCTTGGACCTTATTCCTCGTCAAGCGTGGGAACTTGTCGAGAATATCCAAAACCTGGAGGACAACATTGTGGTCATCAATGAACGTGTTGAGTGTCGTTTTCAAAATTTGGTAAGCATGCATCCGCATAACGCAGTGAATGACGCGTTCCTCGTCGCACCGCAGGATACGATCCAGAAGCTTAACTGCAATCCATTTCTCCTTGCACTGCATAAGCGCGGCCATAACCTTTCGAGCATCATCCTCGCTAAGACTGCGCGGTCGGATGCTGTTGACGTATTCCTCGTCGTCCTCGTCAGGCTTCTTCTTTCGAGGCTTCTTGGCAACAGAAGTATCCCAGCCATCACCTCCGTCAATACCCAGGGCCTCTACTATAGCTGCGGGTAGCTTGGTTGCCCGTTCAGTTTGTGTCTTGCCTCCAATGAAACCCACGCAGTTGGGTTCCCCGCAGTAACAAGGTTGGGGATCGGCACCATATCGGTCAACATTGTAGTTAAACACCAACTCTTCTCCAGATTGGATCTTTCGCGAGGTGAATATACCCATCCGAAGTTTGTCGCCGACTACCCATTTGTCAACATAGCAATTAGGATTGCAAGAGTGGTTGCAGAAGCGGCCATAGTTGCCCTTTTTTGTTGCGTCGACAAACTCGCTCTTGTTGAGGGACATGAAATAAAAGTGCTTGATACCCTCCTCATCGTACTGGATCATACGACGCCGAAAAGTAGGCTCGTTAATGACCTCGCCGATGTACTCAAAAACGAAGTCGTTGGGTTGTAGATCCGAATCGGCACGTAGGCCGAACCCCTTTTTTTCAGTTTTGATGACCGACACATTGGCGTACTGCTTGCGCTGGAACCGCTGGTTCTGGCAGCCCCCGGCGCAATTTCCCCCCTCAGCGCTGCACTCCATTTTTGTCGCCCGGTTGATACAGTCTGAATCCTCGCCACAAGCAAGGTTCTTGCCGTCCTCTGCAGAAAATATTAGCATGACACAAGACCGCAAGGTTTACTAAAGGCCACATACGCCATTCATCCCGACACTCGCAGTCCAGGGCGTCGTTATCTGTAGATCCAAGGTGCTTTGAGCCGTAGAGACAGTCAGGGATGCGCTGGAAGAATTTACAGGACTCTGTAGTCATATCGGGGAGGTGGTCGAAAAGGACGGGTTCGCGACTGGCGGCCAATTTCTGAGAAGCCTTTCTAGAAAGCTTTGAGGCCCTGTTTGAACTTGGCGTGTCTGCGCTTCCACTGCGCGACTTGAGGCCGTCCTGAGAAGCGGTCGGCGACCGGGAGCTGTCGTGGTCACCATTTGTGACGCTCATGGGGGTGTTGGTCTCTTGCTTCACCTGCGCGTCGTTTGCGCCCTCCTCAAGCTTGATTTCCTCCATTTTGCTGGTGGTATACTCGTCATCCTCCATTAGTACATCAGAAGCGATAGCCTAAAGGCCGAGTTTGGAGCGTGGTCTCGGGATTTGTCGAAGGTACTGTCGCGAAGCGAAAAGACGTGTGGAGGAGTCAATGCAAACGCGAGGGATGACTCGAACAAATACAGCGGGATGAGTGGAGTGTTAAATGTAGTGGAGCGGGCATACGCCTCGCGCAAGCAGACAGGTAAGTTTTGGGTGACGAAGCAAGCAGAAAGGCGACGGAAGGCGAAGCGAGACAAAGACGTGGAGAGGCGACTCGACTCGACTTGACTTGACAGGCCGGATCCGGGGTAGTATTATTCAGTCACGAGGAAAAGCGACAGGGCAAGACAGATAGGTCAGGGTTCGTCCAGACCGTGCATCAACGGATTACAGAGAGGACGGACAATACGATGCGAGGGACGAAGCCAATTCGAGTCGAGAACGCTTTCGCCGACCTGAACAAAGGCAGAGCAAATAGTAGCATCCATATTTGGTCGGAATTTTATGATCCCGATCCTCCGATGCTATAGGCCCGACCGAGGGTTTGGGGCATTGTAAGCCACTCAGCAACAAAGCCTTGGATATACCAACATGTTTATTGTTTCACAACTTTATTTTATTTTAAACTTAGAGCAACGTTATCTATTTTATCAAGAATTGTAATTGTTGATGTTGCGCTCAGGAACGGCAGCGGCAACTTTTGGTCCCAATGCCAACGATGTCAATGTGATTGTTTGGCCAGATCGATCGGGGGGCAATTATGTTCTGCAAACAAAGAAAATGTGTGACACTTATTAATTTTATCTAGAAAGAAACATAGCCTAACTATAGCCTGTTACATGTTCAAATTAAAGAAGTAGATTCTGATTTAACTTAGTGAACCTTGACATTTACAGACTCTATTCGAATAGGCGCAGTCACAGCCACTCAAAGCGACACGCATTTTCAAACAGACTCAACTCTCTGCCAAATGTAAACTCTCTCAATTTATAGTTTCTCCTTCTTTAAAAGGCCAACCAGATCTGGGTCTTCTTGAGGATATTCAAGATGTTTTCCTCATGTCTTCCCAATCTTCCCAATCAGAAGACCAGATGTCTTCCCAAGCAGATCACGTACCTACTGCTGGCTTCGGCCCAGACCTGAAGAAGTATGTTGCCCTCACTTCATATGGCTGTATTAGGACTTATCAATATCTGACCAACCAGGTACTTCAACAACAAAACTCTTTCCGATGTAGTCGTCCGATGCAGTAGCCAAGAGTTTGCTGTCCATAAACTGGTTCTCTTTAGTCATTCAGAATACTTTGTCAAGCAGCTTAGCGGTCCATGGAAGGTTTGTAATCGATTTCAAATTTCTAATTTGGAGAAATACTAACATAGCCTAGGAAAGCCAGGAAAATGCCATCGTCATTACTGAGTTCCACGCCGACGTGGTTGAGGCTATGCTGTATTTTTTGTATCACTTAGATTACAAAGTCCCAACGAACGCCATGATCTTCAACGCAAGAATGTATGAGATTGCCGACAACTATGGGCTCGATTCCCTTAAGAATTTGGCCAAAGACAAATTCCGCACCGCAATCGAGGCAGACTGGAACGAGGCTGAATATGTTGATGCGATCAGTATCGTGTATACCTCGACCCCTCCCCAGGACCATGACCTACGAGAGTCAGTCGTGGACATTTCTATGGAGCACATGAACGAACTAATAGGACATGGCGACTTCAAGAGTGCATTGGAGGCCAACCCGGAATTTGCGATTGACATTATTCATGGTCAAGCGGAGAAAATTGCGGAAATCCAGAACCGTGGATACCCTCGGTACAGGTACGCACCATATTCGTGGAAGCCACGGCATCTATAGCCTTTACTGGCGTTCATTGGAGATAGATAAACCTTTGAAGAAATCTTGGTACTAATTGCCCCAAGAAGCGCAACAATTCAGGTCTTTGTGCCGTATTAATACCCCCATGCCTTTTATTTTTGTATCCTGTGCTCTGACTTTTAGTTTTCTGCCATCCCCTGGCGGGTTGACGAAGTATCTCATCTGCTATAGAGACATAGAGGCTGTTTAAGCTATTTTTAAATTGGTAACAAACCGATTGTTAGTCTAGATATGTTTGTTAAATACAGTGACGACGGTTTAGCTTGTCTCATTATAGCTTACATTGAGTATCTACTTATCTATCTTCCAAGACCCCGAACTTGTAGATGTGAATTTCCGATGTTGCTTGAATCCTCTATGCTAACAGGCCAAACAACAAGCTTGTTCGCTGCCAGAAATCGTTGGCCGACTTGGAGATTCGCTGCCTCGCTGCTGTATCATCCAGCTTGGAGTGTTGATAGAACCTGTCCTCGAGTTTTTGGAATAGGTTGCTCGATGCCTCCTCTGCGTTGCCGATGCAATGCCGCAAGAGAGAGACATCGAAGAGCCACTGCGTGAAGAGATCTGCCTTCTGCTCAGAGCTCAACACGGACTTGGACTCGTTGTCTTGTTTTTCGATCTCTGTGGATGACTCGGTGTTGGTGTCCTTCTTGGTATCCTCATCTCCCTCATCTTCCGTATCTTCATCGTTTTCTGTGTCTTCATCATCCTTCTTTTCTGCGTCTGTAACTGCATTCTTCGACTTGCTATCCTTTGCATCGTGCTCCTTGATAGTATTTGTTTCCTCGGCCAAAATGTCTGCTATTGACTTGTCCCACAGTTCACATAGCTGTTGTGTCAAATGCTTCTTCATCACAGAAACGGCTGCTTTAGTCCATAGGTCGAGTCCATGATCCGACATTGACATTGAGAGCGATCGCAAGAACAGGAAAATCTCTGGCGAGGGCTGGTTTGGCAGTGCTGGCTCTCCATCCCAAAGCGGTCTACCCACCACAACCCTTTGCGTGATTCCTTGAGCAGAGAACTCATTGAGCGTAGGTTCCGAAACGGCGATTGCCACATTCTCATGGAGTGAAGGGACAATCTTGAGTCCAAAGGTCCTTATAGATGGGCGCTCTGGTAACTGTTGCCGGATGTCTCGCATGACGCGGAGGAAATACATAGCCATCTTGCCATTCCGCGATGACCCAGCGCGTTCGTTCCACAAACCCTGAATGTGATCTTCCAGCTCCTTGAAAGACTTGTCGAGCGTAGTATCAAGCTTCTCCTGCAACATCTGCGGATCGTCTTTGCTTAAAAGCTTTTGCCTAGCCTCAATTGTGTCTTCATCTTCAATCTCGTCATAATCGTTATCCCAGCGCTGCCGGCGAAGCTGCTCGACCACCTCTTTGACATCATCAATAACGTGATACCATGACTTGTAACAATGCGCTGCCTTGGAAACAGCATCGTTGCGGCCGTAGAGACGAGATACAACCTCCTGCACGAATGGCGCAGCACCACCCGCAAGGGCTTCATCGTACCCATCTTCGTCCCAGATGCTCACATGCTCATCAGTGATACCATCCTTCCATCGTCCGAGAGCTGCGGATACTTCGGAGCCGACTAGACGAAGCTTGCTGACCTTGGTGTCTAAAACCTCCAACATGCGTGAGTTGATGGCCTCGCGAAGAGAATCTTGCATCTCTGATGGGTCAATACCCTTGGCCTTCCCACCATCTCGGATCCAAAGCTCTAAAACGCTTGTTCGTAGTTCCATGATCAACTTGAACTCCGACATGGTACCCAGAGCTTTCCTAAGTCCAGAAAGCAGAACCTCAGATCCCTTCTCGGACCATGCCGATAACATCTGGCGAGCCTGGCTCCCATCAAGATCATCATGTCTAACAAATGGCGTGAAATACTGTATCTCTTCGTCGCACCAGCGCTCGTAAATATCCAGCCGTAGTCCTTCAAGCTGCTTGAGACTGGGGTCAGCGAGCAGGGGATGACTCTTCAACCCCGACAAAGCCAATGATAAACGACCTGGTACCAAAGCTTGTACGTCAAGAAGAGTTCTTGAGTATAGTCTAAGGCTTTTGACAACGTCCTCAGCACTGATTTTGCGGTTGTTTTCTTCCACTTCAAAAGCAAGACTCATGGCCTCTCCTCTCACGTGCAAGAAATGTCGAAGGACGTCTTTTGCTCCGGAGCTAGTAGCTAGGCTGTAAGCGCATAATGCTTTTTGAACATCTTCCCTTTCCGTCTCATCGCCTGCCTTCTCGAAGACCTTCTCCACGCTCCTAAGCAGTCTTCGCCGTAGCTTGTTGACCGATATTCGAGCAGCTTCTGTAGCTCGGCGACTGCCTGGGTCGGTGACATCGTCTAGCAGGCTCTTGATCAAAAGTCGACTCAGAACAAGGACCTTGGTAGAGAGTACCAGTCTGTCTCCCCTCTTGACACCACCACCTAGTCCACCACCGCCTTTTAGTATTCGTCCTACAACCAGTACACATGCGTCAAGAAGTCTCAGCCGCGCGGCGATAGATGCTGCAGACCTGTTCTCTTTTGCGACGAAATTGGAGAGACCTGTAGCTTTGGCGCCTATCACAGCTCTTCCGCATTGGCCGCCCATCTTGCCTAGAAGCTCCTGGACAACATCGTTGTCGTCGCGCATGTGCACGATGGTATCTGCCGTGCCGAGAAGATCGCGATAGGAGCTTCCGACCTGCGTACGCAGGCGGGTCGATTTCTCTTCGATTGCGACATGGAGGTTCTTGTGTATAGCACGAATCTGAGGGAGGGTATTGTTCGGCGAGAAGATCTGGGCGGACGAGGTGAGCTTAGAGGTGTCGATGTCGGCCATTGTCGATTGGTAGCTGCGGAGTGGCGAGATCTTATTTTCTCGGTGGTATCTTTATACATGCATCGATTCGGGAGTTCGTGTACGTTCTACTAAGTTGCGCCGAATTATTGGCAACTGGAAGAAGGATGTTAATGATTAAAGGAAGCTGTTGAAGCAACGTGGAGTTTGGCGGGGCTATGCAAGGATCAATCCGCTGGCCACCCCAGAGTCAGGGTAACAGAAAAGATGACCTCTAATTAAGTGTAGGATGTACGAATAAATGGCATGATTATGATCTAAAATAGGGTAAACTAACCTGTTGATTTCGTCTTGTATGTTTCAGCTGGTCAATTTCCGATTCGACAAGGCCACCTTGATCTTGATCCTTGAAGACTTACATGCTACTACAATCAAACTCTCGATACTGTACAGGTAAAAATGAGATAATATTGACCAAAAAAATAAAATTTCTTTTGTAACGCTATTAACCAGAGTTTTAATGAATTCGAATCTATAGTCTTGTACTCTTGATAACAGCTGTGTTGATACCAGACAACTCTCCTTGGTATCCTCCCTTGGGTTCGCCTCCTTGCCAAGTGGGCTTCATGCTCTTCAACTTCTTCTGCTTGGCCTCGTACTGCTTGCGCTTCTTGACACGAGGGTTTCGGACATCCTTGCTTCGCTTGGGCGCTAGACCCTTGTTCTTCTCGATGGCATATGTGATCTTTCGCTTGCCATCCTCGCCAAGCTCTTCCTTCTCTACGACTCGATCGGCCTTGCTTGCGGCGGCGTATGCTGCGTAGCGAGCGGCCTTGTCCTCCTTGCCCTTCTTTGACTTTTGCGCGACCATATCGTAGTACTCATCCTCGTTATTACGGACCTCCTTAGCAGTGGCGTCTTGGTCGTCACCGCTTTCGTCGCCCAACTCTGTTCCTAGCTTGGAGCCCTTCTGTCCACGCTTCTCAGCCTGAGCATTAAGACGTGCTGCACGATCACGGAGACGTTCACGATGAGGAATATCCATATCACCACCAGCATCCCTTCCAGCGCCAGCACGCTTGTTCGCCTTCTGCACAATTTGTGAAGTGTAGAATTTGAGACTCTTCTTGCGGGCAGCCTTCTCGGCTGCGGTACGCTCATCGAGGACATCCTCCTCACCAAAGTCGGAGTTATCATCTTGTTCGATAGCGGCGGCCTTCTTGGCCTTCTTAGATTTCTTGCCAGGAAGGGGTAGGTCGTAGAGATCAGCAACTGCAGCCTCTCCGGCCTTGACCTTCTCGAGCTTTCGTGCCAATTTCTCAGCAGCAGCCTTTTCTTGCTTGGAAGACTTCTTGCTCTTCTTTGTCTTCTTCACCTCAGCGTCCAGACTCTCCATGCCCTGCATAAGAGCCTCGTCATCGATATCTGAGATAGCATCCTCGTCGATACTCTTTGTGGACTTGATATCCTTGACCTTCCGCCATGCCTCACGACAGCTCATCAGCGTTTCCATGACCTCGTGATCTCGTAGTTCGGTAGGGTCAATTGTCTTTTGCACCTTGGAATTGTCTCTTGCGGGGGAGGTCAAGATGGCGAAATAACTTGCGAGAGCAGCAACGTAGCAGCCAGCAACCCAGTACTTGACAGCCTCCAGCGATTGACCAGAGAGACCTTGAGCTGCTTTTTGGAGATCAGGGAGAGCGGGTTGTAGGGCTTGAAACTCTTTGACAAGAGGCTCGAACTCGGGGTAGCGGTTCTTGAGAAGTGTGTACCGTTCCTCAGGTCCCATATCATCTGTAATTTCGACCTCCTTTAAGACCTCTATGACTGTCTCTTCCCCTTCGCCCTCCTCTTGACCTTCGGCTAGCCATTCATCGCCATCGAAAATGAAATCTTCTTCGGCCATCTTGGAAAGCTTCTTCTGCTGAAGGCGCTTGGCTTCCACTTCTTCCTCCAGAGCATCGGCCTCGGTTTCGATATTATCGGCATTATAGTAGTCGTTTCGAGAAGCTCCCCACCAACCAGAGTCACCCTCCTCTTCATCGTCCTTGCCTTCTTCATCATCTGAGGCGGCATGCTTGGATTTTGAGCCTTTGGTCTTGTGCGACTGCTCATCCGCTTCAGAATCCGAGTCCTCATAGCCAAGAACCTCTTCATCAGATAGCTCGATATCGTCGTCCTCTTTTCTTCGGCGCTTCGAGTTGGGCTCGTCATCAAGTAGTATTTGATCTCGGTTCATGAAGTACTCGTCTTCGGAATCGGCAACATCTTCGTAGGTGGTGATAGGTCCAAGTCGAGCATCTGAAGCGTCGAGTTCCTTTGGACCCGATTGCGCGTTATTGCGCCCTGAGGCCTTTCTTTTCTTGGCCATATTCGCAGGTTCTGGAGTATGGCGTGTGTGTATGTGGTGGAAAATGGAAGTGTAAATATGGATGCGAAGACGGGCTGTCGCAGTCGCAACTTTTTTTGAAATTTTAGGCGATAAGAGATAAGACGACGCCCCCGCCGCGCCACAGGACGTTATTAGCGCGACTCGCTATTCCGCACCAGCCACACCCAGTAATAAGGTTACTCTGCCCGTTCTATCAGATCGATCAATCGGCCTTGCAGCACACCACATGGTCTCAGCTTACATTATTCATGATACACATGATCAACAACCGCGCACCTCTCAGTGAGACATTCCACCACTTGTGCCTTCAACGGGCGCTTGAGATCAAGGAAATGCCTCAGTTTTGAGAGCTCGGCCTCGAGGAGCTATTTGACAAGCGACAGATAGTGCCCGATGATTTGCTGTATCCACGGTCACTCCCTGATGTGATATACAAGCCCCTTGTCAGAGCCACTTCGCCAAGCTATGCTTTTAAGTCAGGATCTTTTTATGCAGCAAAGGTAGCGTTGTCTGGCTCATTATTGGCAAGTGTCTGTAGTTCAGTCTACTAGGATTGACTATTTTCTGATTTGCATGAGGCACACACAATGAGTACAGTATATTCTACAGCGCAAAGATTGGTAGCTGGTCTCAAGTTTTAGATAAAAATTAACCACGACAAGGAATTCCATACTTCGATTTAACAATTCCATGCGCAACAAGCGCTGGACGCTAGCCGCCTGCAGTAGAAAGTGGCCTCCCACATCGCTTCCATGAGTCAATCGCTGGGGCCTTGGTGGATATGCATGCTGTACAGCAGCGATGACGAAATGCCGAAGGACTTCCATCCCCCCGGCTGGTGATAGGCACGTTCGAAGCCTAATCATGTAGCGTAAGGTGCCTTGTCCAGCATGCCTCACTGTCGTGTGGCAGCCCCTGATTTCTTTGTATGTAGCTTAATTTATTCTTCCCATGAATCGTGCTATTCTTTTCGACATCGTCTGTTTCAATTTAATTCGCGCGTCATACAAACAGTTGTCCATTCTTATGTAGAGAACCCTGAATCATTACCACCAGGACCAAGAGGTATCATCGGCACGACTCAGACCCCCAGACTGATAGGCCACTGATCATTAGAGCTCGGCGTAATTATTACCGAATCTGGCAGTTGATACTTGACAAGAGGAAAGAACCAAAACAAGCCGAAGCTACCTGCAACGTTTAGATTGGTAGCTTCCTCCTAAAGCTCAATAATCAGCTGGACTATCAGATGCACTTTTGCTTCCTCAATATACACTCATTTCCCCATCATCACCTCATCGGACGCCTCTTCCTTTCTGTTTCTTTCTCTCCCTGGTTCACCCCGCCATCTATCGGACTCGATTCAAGCTCAAGCAAGCTTATACCACGCTTGGCGCGCCTCCACCATCCCGCCCAAGGGTCACCTGGACCCTGAGAAGGTGACGGTGTGACAACTGACGAACCATCAAGGCATTAGCAAGACAAGCACGGGCATCGAGATAGACACCTGGAGTAGATCATCCTTTGTCTCTCTTCTACTTTTTGCTGTTCCTGTTTAATTCTTTCATCCTATTCTGTTCTTTTTCTTCCTTCAACTAGGCGCCGCTGTTATCGCTAGCTCTCTTGTCACCCTGGTTCTTTTACTTCGTGTCGGCACCTGAGTTTCCCGAGCTTCATTTTTATCATCATGGCAGGACAAGAGCCAGATGGTTCCGAGCCGCCCTCGCCACGAACTGCCCGTCGACACCCACCTCTCCCCCGAAACCGTTCTGCCGGTGAACTTGATGAACGAACTCCCTTGCTCACAACTTCAAGATCGCACATTCGGATCAGTACAGCAAGCTCGAGTCGTCAGCACAGGGGTACACTGTCGCGGGAACACAGTTACTTAGGTTCGTGGCACCGTGAAACATGCACTATATTGAATCTTGCTAATTAATCTTCTTTTGCAGGCGCTTATCATGGCTCTCGAAATCACAGTCGCCATCCTTCTTGGAGTTCGAGACTGGTTAATGCCCTCTCAGATCGACACGAATCCTCCATGACCGAATCCAAAGGCACCATTTTCCCCGACGAGCGCATGTGGTACGATCAATTTACAAGCACCGACTGGGTCCATGATGCCATTGCCGATTCCCACAGGGTCAAGGAACTGCGCAGTCGTAAGGACTTTTGGGGCAGATTGCGCGTTATCTTTGACGGTGCCCAAGGCTGGATCTTGAGCGCGCTGTGTGGCTTTATCGTCGCGTTGATGGCCTATACGGTTGACGTTGCCGAATCTACTGTCTTTGATTTCAAAGAAGGCCACTGCACCAGAGGCTGGTATCTCAACAAAAAGGTGAGTAAATCGAGCCCAATAGTTCCCGCACGGCACTGGCTTCGATTATGAGAGCAAGTTGACTGACACTGGGAACAGAGATGCTGCCCTGATATCACCTGTGATGACTGGGAGACGTGGTCATATAAGCTGAACAATCCCTTCGGAGAGATCTGGAGCAGTTTCGTGATTTACATGACCTTTGTTCTTCTCCTCGCTGCGATGGCTTGCTGGATGGCGCTTTGGACTAAGACTGTCGTTCCCTCAGCGTACCAACTGACGACTCTTGATGAGAACCTGGCGGTCGATAACATCCACCATACATACGACGATTCAAATGAAAGCGAATCATCAACGCCACAGCCAGAAGCTGAGCCAAAACCAGAGAATCCACCCATGGTTTACTATTCAGCGGCTGGCAGCGGAGTCGCTGAGGTTCGTGTCATACTGAGCGGTTTCGTTCTGCACGGTTTCCTGGGCGCTAGGACCTTGATCGTTAAGATGGTGGCCCTGATTTTGAGTGTTGCCTCTGGCATGAGTCTTGGAAAAGAGGGTCCCTACGTCCACATGGCCGCTTGCGTAGGCAATATCTTGTGTCGAATATTTTCAAAGTACGATCGAAATGATGGCAAGCGACGAGAGGTTATCTCGGCAGCGGCTGCCGCAGGAGTAGCTGTTGCCTTTGGTGCGCCTTTGGGCGGAGTATTGTTTGGTCTGGAAGAGGTTTCGTACTTCTTCCCAGCCAAGACATTGTTCCGCACTTTCTTCTGCTGCATTGTTGCCGCTTTGTCTCTTAAATTCCTCAACCCATATGGCACACACAAGATTGTCATGTTCGAAGTCAGGTATGTGGTTGACTGGGAATACTTTGAGCTTGTAAGCTTCATATTCGTGGGCGTCATTGGTGGTGCGTTGGGTGCTCTCTTCATTAAGGCCTCCAAGTATTGGGCCCAATCTTTCAGAAAGATCAAATTGATCAAGAAGTACCCCCTACTGGAGGTGCTTCTTGTTGCGCTGGTGACCGGATTGATGAGTTACTGGAATTCTTTGACAAAGCTTCCGGTTGCCGAACTGCTCCTCAACCTGGCTTCTCCTTGCGAGGGCTCCAACGTTGATTGGGAAGAGCGAACTCTCTGCCCTGGTTCTATTGACGAAATCCCCCCTATCCTTTCCCACTTGTTTGTGGCCCTTTTGATTAAGGGTTTCCTGACAGTCATCACCTTTGGCATTGTAAGTTTTTAGCTGTAGCGGACCAAAGCATAAACTAACGCGCGAAACAGAAAGTACCTGCTGGTATCTATGTACCATCCATGGTTGTCGGTGGCCTGATGGGCCGGATAGTTGGTCACATCGTGCAATGGGCTGTCCTACGTGTCCCGAACTGGGGTATCTGGGGAGATTGCGCTTTCAGTCGAGATGGGTCTTGCATCCAGCCTGGTGTGTACGGTCTTATCGCAGCCGGTGCCACCATGTGTGGTGTGACGAGACTGTCTGTGACACTTGCCGTCATCCTCTTCGAACTTACTGGTAGTCTCGACTACGTCTTGCCATTCTCACTGGCTATTCTCGTGGCCAAATGGACATCGGACGCCATTGAACCAAACAGCATCTATGTGAGTTTTAGGACTTTTACTCCGTAGCTGGCCAGCAACTAACATGACCAGGACCTTCTCACAAACATGAATTCGTACCCATTCTTGGACAATAAGCATAAACCTATCTTTACGGAGGATCTGGCCGATATTGTACCAAGGATTCGAAAAGAACGAATCATTGACATCACAAACTCGCCAGTAGTACCTGCGACTAGTTTGCGAATCAAGCTTGAGCTCTTGCATAGAGCTGGTGAGCTCGATGGAGGATTGCCCATTGTGAGGCATGGTATTCTGGTCGGGCTTATACCTGCACCTGATCTTGGATTCGCCCTCGATCAGCTACAAGACGAAGCGACAGACCTTTGCCTGATGGATAGAGTTCCCAGCATCGACGAAGACGACCAATCCCACGACCCCACGGATTTCACGCCGTATATCGATCCTGTGAGTTGTAATATAAAGGTCTTCGGCTCAACATTCACTAACACGACTTAGGCACCTGTTGCGCTGGATATCAAATCGCCGATGGACTTGGTTTACGAGTTGTTCTCAAAACTGGGACTCCGTTATATCTGCGTGCTCAAGGATGGCAGATATGCTGGAATGGTTAGTGCCTTGATTGTTTATGATTCGCGATACTAACAGCTTTTAGACACACAAGAAGACTTTTGTTAGATATATGCGGGAGCATGAGGATTGAGATCGTTAACAAGGTGTTTTGGGCATGGCGAGCATTGATTTCATGATTCGGAAACTGCATTTGCATTACATTGGTAACAGCGTGTTCTTCTTTGGGTATGGTATCCGGATACATTGACACAACGCAATTGATGAGTTGGCAGAAGAGCCAGGTTCTTCACCCCCCATAGATTGGTAACTTAACAGCACAAAGCATCGTGAAATCGAAAGGCTCATGGAATTTTACAAGTTTGAAATTGAGCAAATGAAATGGTTAGTGTGATAATTGTGCTTTGTTCTTGTGATCAGCTCAAAACATTCGTATATGGTTGATCTAAGTCGGCTGGACTGTCCCAGATCTGCTGTCTCCATTGACCTACCCAAAAGGGAAAGTTTCTGGATGCTGATCTAAGTATCCTCGGAGAGGGACCAAGATAACAACGGCATCTCGCATAGAATTGGCAGTCGGACGGCTCCGAAACCGGCACCGGGCCGGTTCATAGAATACAAACGGGAAAGACGGCTCTGAATACCAGCTCCGGGGGGTGTATTGACTGACACACAGTGACCAGGTACCAAGTCTAAAGAGATATCGAATACACTGCTGTATCAGTCCCCACTCAGTAAAGATCACCGAACTTGGTGAGCAACCATGTGTCTAGGTGAAGGTCGGTGAGAGATGCATATTCGGAATTCATGACTGGATTGGATGCACTGCAGTGTAGCTGGAAGGCGTCTCTGCGAACCGTTTACACCAAGTACCCCGAGATATAGAGTTGTTTAGTGTACCCCGCGCGCTGACAGTTTACCTAGACGGATGAATTTGGAGAGCGGGGCTCGAATTCAGGAAGGTTAACCCGTCAGAAGGTTATCAAACGGGCAGTTATTTTGGAGGTGATGGTTTTGAATGATATCGAGGCGACTAACACTAGATGAAACAGTCACGGGGTGTTCTTCATTAACTGCAATGCTAGTTAGAGGGTGCATGATAGAGAATATGCGCTGTAGAATTGGGTATGGAACCGACAACAAAGTTACAGTGCTTTTACTGCCTGTGTCTAAGCGGGCCTCAGGGTATCAGAAAAGCTGCCCGCTTGAGGCATAAGGGACGAAATTAGTAGACCACTTTATACGATGTAGGCCATGATATTGGGTGAATTATTTTTGCATCCTAAAACTTAGAGGCCATCTTTTCTGCTACCCACTACTAGCCAAGATAGACTAGGCGAGTCGAGTGCTACAACTTCTTTTCCTATTGTGGCAAGCTTTCAACACCATGTATAACTTCACCCCTCCCTCTTTCCTGATTCCATGCATCCTCCACCCACCTGGACCTCAATTGCGCTCCACCTGTTGGTCAATTCCTGAGCCGACTGCGGGGAAGATAAACTTTTAGTTTGTCTGTGTTAGCTGGGGACATCATGACTGCTCTCAATGTGAGAACCCGGTGCCGAATGAGGCGCTGGCCGTGGAGATACGATGCAGCCAGTGCCTGCCGTATAAAAGGGCGGAAGAGATCCTCTCCTTTTGCCATTCTCTCCTCCTCTGCATCTACGTGTTGAGTGTTGAAGTCTCTCTCCATACATCATCGCATCTAGTAAGTTGTCCCTCTGGAATACCTTTGTTACCATCATGGTTGCACATGACCAAATATCCCCTTATCATGACGACACGCCTCTTTTGTGCTAACATTTCTTCCTTCTCAGCAGACGCACGACAGGACCAAATCATACCTCGCGGTCAAATCCTCTCATAACCAACCTTAAACCTCTTCGAGTCATCTTCGTCATGTCGGCCCTCCGCGCTGGCATGGCCGCTAGGCCTGCAGCTCAAGCTGCTTCCCGAGCCACCGCTTTCCGCAATTTCGCTACCTCTCGAAACATGCGAATGGCTGCTGTTTCGGAGAAGAATTTCTTTGCTGGCGAGCCCGAAGCCCCCTCAGTCAAGACAGCTATCCCTGGACCCAAGACCAAGAGTCATATGGATGAGCTCACAAAGGTTTTCGACACCCGCAGCGCAAACATGATGGCCGATTACACCAAGAGCCAGGGCAACTACATTGTTGACCCTGATGGCAACGTTCTCCTCGACGTGTAAGTAAGAAACTAATCCTCTTCGCTGGTGATGTCTTCAGAAGTCCACGACTGACAATAACGATAGCTTCGCTCAGATTGCTTCCATTGCTGTCGGCTACAACAACCCCGCCCTCATCAAGGCTGCTTCCAGCCCCGAGATGATCAACTCCATCGTGAACCGACCTGCTCTCGGAGCCTTCCCCTCTCACGACTGGGCCGATCTTCTCAAGTCGAGTCTCCTTAGTGTTGCCCCCAAGGGCCTGGACAACGTCTTCACTGCCATGGCTGGTTCCGATGCCAATGAGACTGCTTACAAAGCCGCTTTCATGTGGCGCCGACAGCAGGAGCGAGGTGGTCCCGATGTCGACTTTAGCCCTAAGGAGCTCGATAGTGCCATGAACAACCAGTCTCCCGGTAGCCCCGACCTCTCTATCCTCTCCTTCAAGACCGGTTTCCACGGCCGTCTCTTTGGATCGCTTTCCACAACCCGATCCAAGGCAATTCACAAGATCGATATCCCTGCCTTCGACTGGCCTCAGGCTACCTTCCCCAAGCTCAAGTATCCTCTCGAGGAGAATGTTGAGGAGAACAAGAAGATTGAGCAGGCTAGTCTCGACGAGGTTGAGCACCTCATCAAGAGCTGGCACCACCCTCCCTGCGCCGTTGTTGTCGAGCCCGTCCAGAGTGAGGGCGGTGACAACCACGCCTCGCCAGACTTTTTCCGCAAGCTGCGCAATCTGACCAAGAAGCACAACATTCTCCTTATTGTGGACGAGGTCCAAACTGGCATCGGCGCTACCGGCAAGTTCTGGGCTCACGAGCACTGGAACCTCGAGACACCCCCTGATATTGTGACCTTCTCCAAGAAAGCTCAAGCTGCCGGTTTCTACTATGCCGACCCAGCTATCCGTCCAAACAAGCCTTACCGCCAGTTCAACACATGGATGGGTGACCCTGCTCGTGCTATCCTCTTCAAGGCCATCGTCGATGAGATCAAGAAGAACGACCTCGTCAACCACACCGCAAAGGTTGGCGACCAGCTTTTCAAGGACCTTGAGAGCCTTAGCAAGAAGTACCCAGGACAGATTGAGAACCTCCGTGGCAAGGGCCAAGGAACCTTTATTGCCTTTGACAGCCCCAAGCGTGATAAGTTCCTGACTGAGGCCAAGACTCTGGGCGTGAACATTGGTGGCAGTGGTGCTGACGCCGTCCGTCTACGACCTATGCTTATCTTCCAGCAGAAGCATGCTGATATTCTTCTCGACGCTGTTGAGAAGATTGTTAAGAAGTAAAAGGGAAAATCAATGGAGGAAAAAGAGATATCAAAACAACCATCTAAGGATGGCGGAGTTAGGGATCAGTTCAAGGAACCAAATCATACGTGTATTTAGCGAAGATTGATATGATTCATATATTTATAATGTTTCTGAACCTCAGAGGACGCCGGACGCCAACCATCAAGGGGACCTAAGGGTATGAGAAAAATTGACCTTTGGAAACATAAGAGACGAGATTAGTAGGTCAGTTTATGCTCCTTAGACTATACTTAGTCTACTTATTTTTATATCCTAAGACTTAGGACGCCAACTTTTCTGCTACCCACTGGGGGGATTTCGGTGCAAACATTAGGTTTATAAGCCACCTCTACCATCCCTTGATTCTGTACACTGAGTGTTGAAATCTCACCCAAGAACTTTCCTCTTGCGGTTGATTTTTGTGAAAACTTAGCAAATAGACTTGTAGTCGTACATATATCTTACAGCTCTATAGCTCTAGTTTATCGGAGGCTGTACATGGAGTGAATGATGAGGATGGCTCTGTAATCATCTCTTCTGGCCTTCCAGTCGCTGCATGTCGTAAAACTCATACAAAATACTCCTTTATTCCTATGTCCCTTGATAATCAAACTTTACGCTGACTGCGGCGTAGAACCTTGCTCGGTTCGGGGCTTCCATTGTTCTGTTGCTGCGCCTTGTCTGGTGTATCATCCTCAGCGTCGCTGGTGTGCTCCTTTGCCTCGATTAACTCAACAGAGCGTGATCGGTCTTGCTCTGTCGCTTCCTGCTTCGAAACGCTAGGAATTGCGTCGCTGCTTGATCTAGGGCGGTCGGGTGCTTGCCCTGGAAGCTGCAAAGACACCAATTAGCAACTCAAGTAACTCATGTACAAAAAGGAAAGAGGCGTTCCTACTCGGCTCAGTGCCGCAAGGGCTTTTTGGTCACTTCTCTGACGAACCATCTCCGTCTGGTACCTGTGCGTTTTCATTACTACACCCCGCTGTTGTGTGGGTGGTGCACACATAAGCCCCTGATTCATGCCACTGGTAACAACTGGCTCAATCACCGTGACCGCGCTAGGATGCAGCTGGGGAGCCGGAGCAATAGGCCGGAAAGACGGCTGTCCATTCTGTACGATTTGTTGATTAGGCATGGGAGCAAGAGCTCGAGGGTTGAAAGGTTGCTGGCCCATTACGTTTCTACCTGCATAGGCTGGACGACCCTTCTTCTTAGGCGGAGGCCCAGGCTGATACTGGTACTGCTGGGGGTTAACAGGCATGGCTGATTGGTGCTGCACGTTCGTTTGAGGATTCTGTGCTGCAGTATGTAGAGGCTGCGCCTGAGGCCCTTGAGAGCCGGACGGTTGAACGCCGTTACCACATTCACTGCTTTGTCTATCGCCTGGAGCTTTTCGTTTGGTCCCTTGCGCAGTTACTTCGTTTCCGATCATCACAAGAGTCGCTTGACACTGGGCTAGGTTGCGACCTATAAAATGCGATGAGTTGGGTTTGCAGAAATGTACATGTTGGTGTCTGACTTACCATTTGGCAATGCCAGGTGAAACCAGTTAGGCGAAATATTGAAGTGCCCAAGGACTCTGTACAATTGGTGGTTGTCGATTTGGCTTTGCTTGAGTATCTCAGTAAGAAGCTGTCGCTGGTAGATATTAGCCTGTGGTGGCGATGGTGAATTGTCCTGACACATACCTTCTCCTGTTCGCTGAATGGCTCCATACTTTTCTCTCTTTGCCGCCAAGTACCATCGAGTATTGTGAGTGTCAACGCAAACGTAGGAACTGATAGGCTAGGTGGAAGCTGGCTCTTCAACACTTAAGAAAGTTGAAAGCCAGTAGTCATCAGTTGACAAGCAAGTTCCGTTTTGAGTAAATGTATATGAAGTTGAGAATATCTCTGCCAGGCGGGCGGGTGTTGATGGCCTTGAGGGAAGTTCGATGGCAGGGTAGCTACTGCTCCGAGCAATCAAGGATATTTGCTTTCGCTAGAAATACTGCGGTGACTTGTTGACAGTCCCAGCCGACTGGCTTGGAGATGCCGGGTACGACAAAAGGAAACGACTGGTTCAGGGTTCTGCAGTACATGTGATAGCAGGTGGATGAAGAAGCGAGGGTTACCGCTTGCGACCACAAAGGGAACACAGAGGCCGAAATAACAAATTCTTATTTCTGCTGTGTTTATGCAGGAAAGTGATGCCTGGGCGGAGTCAGTTGCTGTGAGAGATAGATATCAAAGAGTAAAATCGAGGTTGTATACCTTTGCAGCACAATATTGACCAAATCTTTCCAGAGACGGAGCAAGATTTGGTTGTTATTGTTTTGGTGAGTGAAGGAAGAAAGGCTTTGGTGAGGAAAGCTCTCGTCCGAAATCTTTGAAGTTTGAAATAAATTTCGTTGCGAGGTGAATGCGAAGGAAAATAAAAAGTTGCAGTTCATTCGGGTGACGTGATGGTCGGTGCCAGAGCCAGTGCAAGGCAGACAGCTGCTCAGAAGTGATAGTAGATATATCAGTGCCACTGCCACTGCCAGCCAGTGTCAGATTTCCGGCTGCCTATAAATATTATATCTGAAATGCCAGAGTGCACAAAAGATAGGTAAAGAAAGTGGCCTGGTTGAGACGAAACGAGACAAGATGAAGTGAGCTGCATTCGAAAGCCACTAAATCGCTTGATCGAGATTGTTTATAGATTTGGTTCGACGAACACCGGGATATCTAGCATATGAGATAGCTTATACAACATGTATCACGGGAGTGGCCGAGAAAACGATTGTACAAAGATCCAAGGCGATCCAACAAGTTCGGTTCGTCAGGGGAGCATGAACATGAGCATGAGCATGGATTGGGATTGCAGCGTGTGTCGCGTAGCACAGCTTGAGCCGATTCATTGTTTTGGAAATCCTCCTTTTCCTTTTCCTCTTGCTAAACGTCGTGTTCTATCCATGTTTGTGCTGATTTTGATATGGGAGGTGTGCGGTGGTGGTGGATTGGATGCCTCTGAACAGGGACGGCCAGGTCAAGCTGACTGTGATTCACCCAATACTTAGAGGCCTCTAAATGTCTCAGTTGGAGTGCTCCAATTTGTTGCTGCACTTGATTTCTTTGATAACCGTGACCCGACTTTGATGATGCGGGTGCATCAAGACGGGTCTGGAAATGATGCAGGGAACCAATAGCCAATTTCTCCAAACCCCAACAAGAGCGCCTGACTCGACCCTGGATGGATACTTGTCCTAGATATGGAGGACCTTAGTAGGTAAGAAGAACATGGTCGGTCCCGTGCTCACAATCCTCAGCCCATGGAAACACACCAACATGAAATTGTTGGTATTCCATTGGCTTCTCGTCTATGCAAATGCTTGTTTGGTGTGGTAATGCTGTACCGTATTTGTCCGCCATGGCCGACCAACCAAAGAGAAGCTCAGCCTGATCCGTGTACAAGCATTTGTTGGAGTCGCTTTTTTTTTCTTTTTTTTTTTGCTGGCCCCCCGGTTAGGCAAAGGAGTTGTTTGGTAGTCTATAATGGGTCATATCCGTCCTGTACAACCTAGGGACTTGGGTAAAAGTGAAAGGGCGCGTTCCATTGGCCAATTGGCGGCGACGAAATCATCGTTTCTGTCATTTGTTGATACCTCTTTTATTGTTCTCTCTTTCCCATGAAAGAATGATTGGTCATCTCATCGGAAAGGATGTCATTCTGCGGTTGACTGGTCGTATTTGGCGAACGTAGCACTGGCCAAGGGTTCGTCAAGACCCAGGGTCTTAAGGGCTTGGAATGCAATGACAGCTATGATGGATGCTGATGGATGATAATGGATGATAATGGATGAGTAGAACAATTAACAGTTTAATCATATTGAATATAAACCAGGTTGAAAAGAGCACCTTTGTTTCCTCTTTATAAGCAAGAAAGCTCAGCAACGGCCTTGCTCTGGCAGACAGCCATTCGATGCACTATGAGGTGGCAGCATCTGACTGGGTCTAAATACTCACATTAAGCAATAGAACCATGCGATATGAATACCAATTGCATCATACAGCATATAACAAAGGTAACGTGCTTTTACCGACCATCTTATTATTATCTTCCTACGCAAAATGGACATGTACTTGCATTATTGGCCTCCTAAGTCTTATGGTACAAAAATAAGTAGTCTAAAAGTTGTAGTTTAAAGAGCATAAACTAACCTACTAATTTCGTCTCTTGAGCTTCCAGCGATCAATTTTCTGATACCCTGAGGGCAGTAACCTTTCCTAGTGCTACCGCAATTCGGTGTTCAATGTCTTCCAATAAGCTAGCTCTTGTTTAGATGAGCGATCTTGAAGATGATGCAAGGTTAGCTGTCGGCTATATCTCCATTCCATGCCGAGGCACGTTGATGGCTGTGGAGTCCTCCCCGCCACCAATCTGGGGTAATGGTAATCAATCCCCCATGTAAGTCATTACATTACCCTGAAGTATTGAATAAGAAGACAGCACCAACTCCTTGTTCTACAGTCTTGTCCCCTAGTCTTTCAGCTCAATTGATGTCGGATCGACTTCTTCTTCTATCCCGTCCAAGCAACCTCTTTAAAATAAAATCGACATTCTTTCGTGGAATCTCTTCAACATGGCAGAAGAATCTATTCTTAATCTTGAATATCGCGGCCGTACAGCTATTTTGACAATTCACAACGAACGAAAGCTCAACGCCTTCACTGGCGCACAGTACTACGACCTTGCTCAGAAACTACGAGAGATTGCCACTCATGATGAGGTTTTCACCACAGTGATTTTGGCAAAGGGCCGCTTCTTTTCAGCGTAAGCAAACCAGCATGGAATTCACTCGATGCACTGCCCTTCACTTTAAATATACCATGTCTAGGAGATGCAAGACTGACACTTAACAGAGGAGCCGATGTAGGAATCACTCGAAAAGCACCGGGAGAAGACAATGATTCGCACAAACAGCTGCTACAAACTTTTGTTGCCAACAACCTCAACATCACACACGCTTTTGCAACTCACCCCAAGATTCTCGTCATTGGTCTTAATGGTCCTGTTATCGGCCTCACAGCTGCGCTAGTCGCTTTTGCCGACTTCATATACTGCGCTCCTTCAACCTTCCTCCTCACACCATTCTCGTCTATCGGTCTTGTTGCCGAGGGCGGTGCGTCACGAGCTCTAGCACTGCGTCTCGGGCCTGCGCGAGCGAATGAAGCACTTATCATGAGCCGTCGCATCGGATCGCAAGAACTGGAGCGCTGTGGATTTGTCAACGCCATATTTGACGAGGGCGACGATGCCAAGTTCAGGGCAAGGGTGTTGCATGAGGTGGATGAGAGGCTGGGAGATCATCTCAACGGTGACAGCTTGATTGGAATCAAGAAGCTGCTTAGGAAGCCTGAAATGGATATCATGCACACGCAGAATGTACATGAAGTTTTTGCCGGCTTGGAGAGATTCTTGACCGGAGTACCGCAAGAGGAGTTTGCAAAGCTTGCAAGTGGTGCCAAACGACACAAGCTATAGGATACCCAGTCTAGTTACGGAAGTCATATTAAATAACAATTACAGCATTGGATATGACCGAATAGTATCTACAAGTCTCATCCATAGACAGAATACGTGATCGACCAAGAACAAAGACAGCACTGGGCATTCACTACTGGAGACAGTTCACGTACCATCCATTCGAACCAAACTGGTCGTTCAAGAGATCCAGATACCAGAAGATGCATTGCCAGGCCACACCTGCCTTATCAGGTGGGTTGTAGCAAGCAAGCAAGGAAAGAATGGATGGAAGGTGCCCACTGAAGCCTGTGACTCTCTGCTGTTACTGTCTGTCTACCTACCTTGGTACCTGGCCTCAGGGTATCGGAAAATCTGGCCGCTGGAAGCATAAGAGACGAAATTGGTAGGCCAGTTTATGCTATTTAGACTATAGTTCTTAGCCTACTACTTGTTTTTATACCATAAGACGTAGGAGGCCAACTTTTTCTCCTATACCTAGCCTGAGCAGGTATTGCCTTCCAATTTCATCATGCATCATCCGAGCACCTATGGCAGCTTCCCTGGCAGTATCAAGTTCGATGGAAGGGAAGGTATTCGGGGTCATCTGGTGAATAAAACCGCATCCTCCCCCTTCCCGTCTCCCAACTCTCTTCTTCATCCTCATCATCATCTTGCTTTCTTGGTTGGCTTCACCCATCTGCACTCTACACTTGCATCCATCACTTGCATCAATTCAGAACAAATTCCCCCATCGACATCATGCAACGTCCAGGATCTAAGCCCTTGGAACGTTCTGTCCGCCTGACGTTAGTGTTGTTCCTTACTCTCTTGAGTTTGATAAGCTTCATCAACATCATCCTAAGCACTATCTCTGCCCACCGATATCCCGAAGAATTGAGACGCTACATCAAGACCGCTATTGCCTCCGACAATCGGAAAGATGATGCCATTGCACGAAATCCCCTTTCTTACATTGATTCGACTCCGGTGCCCTTTGTCTTCCTCGCCGTCGCGAGTGTTCTCGGTTCGATCCTTCCCGTGTTCGCAATTGTCGTCCTGCTCAGAAGCCACCACAATCATCCTGCCGCCCGTTACGTTTTCAGGATCGTGGCTCTTTTGACGGCATTATTTTTCGCCATCGTCTACTTCACCTGGTCAACCACGCCTCTGACATTTCTCTTTCCTTATGAGGCGCACTGGAAGCTTGGTGGTTGGGCTGTTGACCTCGCTCACCTCAACCTGTAAGTCATTCTTGTTATTGCTCTTGGGAACGTCCACTGACCTCCTCATCAGGCTGATGTTCATTTTGGTCACTGTGAGCACGGCAGTCCTCGACATTCCTCCTGAGGTGTAGTTTAAGATTCGAACAGACGAGGTGGCTGCGGGCTAGGGAGGACGCTACTTTTATTATTATTAGGTTATACTTAACAGTATAAAAATAAAAAACCTAAGAATTCCGACCTGAATGACATGAATGACATGAATAACCTAAACTGACCTAAACTGGCCTAAATTGACCGACTCATGCTATTTAGATTAGGCTTTTTAGGCTGTTTATTTCTGTACCCAAATGCTTAGAAGCCCTCTCCTCTGCTAGTTACCCAGGACTGCATAAGTACACAATCGGAATTGGGACTGGGGAGGTTATGGACGAGCTGACTACCCAACCTGGGCCTCAGGAAGACGAAAGTCGTCTATTTTTACATCAAGCTAAGAGGCAGCCCGGTAGACAACACGTCACAGATCAGAGGCAAGTCAAGGCATGGCTGATACCGAGCAATGAAATTGAGCAATACCAACTGCGCTGTCTTAACTGAAGCTCTTTGCGTAAGCAAGCCGGGATAATGAACTTGTAAGGCGAGAAAATAACGGCGCCCCCGAGCATAGACTGGATTTTGACCAAAATAGACTAATAATATATGTAATAACAAACTCCTTCGCCGAAAGCGACTCCTTCGCGATTCGACATGCAATTGCTTTTCTATCATCATCAGAGTGCGTCGCATGTTAAACGATATGTGGCAATGCCTTTTTTCTCAGAGCGCCATGTTCGTAGCCTCTCTATCGACGCTTGGGAGCGATATGTCTCTGCTTGGGGAAGTTCAGAGGTAGCGCCAATCGTGCCAGAGATACCGTGGCCTTGGTCTCCTTGTTCGTCACAGGCTTGACACGGCCACCGATCTCATGGAAGTAAGCGTTCATCGTCTTCTGATCAATCTTCAGGTCATCACGCAAGTTCTGTGTATCAACCTCGAAGTTATCGATGATGCTAGCGAATACACAGCAATGTGTGATCAGGAGGTCGATGTGGAATTTTCGCATCTCGCCTCGGTCGGAGAACTTTCGGCGAATGCTCTCGACAACGGCCTCAGGCGCGGGAGCAAGGAGTTCCCTGAGCTTGTCGCGTGGAGGTATGGAACGAGTACCGCGAGCCTTTCCGGGCTTGGAGTGAAGGTAAAAGAGCAGAACGAAGAAGAAGTATCGTAGCACACGAAGTCTGTCCACAGCGTCTTCGTTGCCTGCCACGCGGGTCACACGTGCAGCCACAAACCGTGAAGGCACCTGAATGCTCTCCTTATGCTGGACCTTCTCTTGCCATTCTCGGATTGGCACCAGCTCGAGGATATTGGCTCCGATGATTCTCTTGGGATCGTAAACGTCTTGGATCTCGGTCGCTTCCAAGTTGGGAATGGGCACAGGCCTGGCTTCATCTACAACCGCTTGTAGTTCTTCTCTTGAAGCCATGGTTGATGTAACCTCTCCGACGGAACTGAGCATGGCGCGAGCCGCGGCGTCAATCTTTGTAGGGGCTTCTCCGGCCTTCCTCTGTGGCGCAATGGCGTTCAAGACATTCTCCTGGATCGCCTTCTTCGCCTTCTTGGTACCGAATGTTTGGCCAAGGTCGGTCTTGAGTTGCATCATAGTCTGTAATGTGTTAGCAAGATGGGCCTGCATGCGATGTTGCGCCAAGCATACCTGGTTGGCATCGCGCTCGCCAGCGGCAGCAGCAGCGCCCTGCTTTGCCCGTACTGATGCCCGCATAGTCATCTTCTTTGCCTCAACCACCTCGAGTTTGCCGGTCTTGGGGTCGTATATTCCGAGGAAGTGGTTCAGGGCTGGCTTAACACCTCTAGCTCCGTCCGCCTTGACTGTGTAGTCCATAGTTCGGTGCGCGTTGGAGTGCAACAAAAAGTCCTTCTCGCCGGCTGACTTTGCCTGTTTGGCCTTCGACTTGGCAGCATCTTTGGGCGCATATGAGTGGAATGGAATGTTCTTCGGCACTTCAAATCCAACTGCCGTAGCTACAGTTACAAGATTAGTATCGATTGATCGCAGTCATGTTCAAAAGAGGCTGGTCGTACCAATCACGGGTGGGCAATGCTTAGGCCTAAGCACAGAAGATACCGAGGTCGAGGGAGATGCATCGATGGCGACCTTCTTTTTTGGCTTGGAGGTTGTATCTCCGCTTCTCTTGCGCTTTTCTGAACCCATGTTGTGTTGCGGTGCTTTGTCGCTGAGGATATCCCAATTGCGCAGGATCTAAGATTTTTTTTCGACTATCCCACCTCTAATCGGCAGAAAATAACAAATCCGGTGTTTAACCGACAACGTCGGCTGGCAGGGAAGGCGGTCAAGGCGCCGAGTGTGCCCCACTAAAGCTACATGCAGGAGAGATGTCAATACAGAGTACTTGTCGCTAGCAGATCCATGCAAAAATCAACTTGCGACCAGAGCAAAATAAGCTACAGATTTACGATGAGATCATAATCCTGTTCTTTTCTCTCAATTGAAGTCGCGAGGTAAGCGCAATGCTCATTAGAGCTTATTTTAAAGTTACACCCATAATGGACCATGAAATCCATCAAAAGTTTAGGATTCTCTACAGAAGTATCGATGGCGCTAAGAGCAGTGACGTCGTGCGATTGCGGATTGGTGAGACAGGGTTTCACGCACAAGACTTCAATTGACGATAATGAAATGCATCATGCTCAGTTGAAGGTATTGATTGTGAGATTAACGGAAGCTTCCGTATACCCAAGCAAAGCTTAATGAGCTTTCGCTGTGCAGAATGCGACAAGCTTTGCGCGCGACAGAGCAAGCTTCCCCGCTTCTGCAAGCTAGGATCTACATCACGAGGGCACAATCACAGAGCACACAAAAGTTGTCAGGAAATCCCTGTATTTCTTTGTCTTAGAATCTTGTTCTGATGCTTCGTGTTGGTGAGCATTTGATAGTAGTCGATCCAACACCGCCTTTTGCCTAACCATTCGATTGTCATAATTCCATCCACCATAATGTTCATTGTGTGCCACAACAGCCGCTCAAGTGCGGGGTTCAATCACCCTGACGTAGTTCCCAAAGTCAAATCCCAACTCATTGCGTTGTGGGAAATCCCAGAGGCGCCAGAATGGCAGGTGCCCTGCTTCGGCCAAGGTATCGTTGAGGCGTGCGAGGTCGTAACATCATGAGAGATGTGTCAAGTCAGGTTGAGTTGCGATGCGTTTATTTGCTACGAAGATGGTCAGCGACGTTCACAGTATCAACAGAAGCGGCGCAACTTACGATCTAGCTCTCATCTTTCTTCTCTTGCGCTTGAGGCGGCGAACCCGCTTCTTTCTCCATTTGGCTCTCATCTTGATCGACGGTGCTGTTGGAAGCTGTCAGCAACTGTGCAAGTCGAACCGCCGAGTGCAGATAGCTTTACGGTGGCAAAGAGCTTAGCTCTATGCATGTCCGGAAGCTACTAGCCCATGGCCAGGGTAGGGTCGCGTAAACTTACTCTTTCGTGGATGAGAAACTTGTTGGGATAAGGAACAACTTTGAAGCTTGGGGAAAATAATTCCTTTAATAAAGTGGTGGTGGAAAAACGTCACGTGACTATTAACCCTCGATCGTACCTGCTATTGTTAACATTTTGGTGGGGGACGAGGCCGTGTGTTTCTTACACGCACTGTATAATACACAGTACAGGCATAGCTCACTTGAATAGAACGGAAGGTACGAGGAGGGAGGGCATTGTTCGAGTACGATAATAGGCAGCCCCTTATGAACAATGGTGAGGCTACTCAATTGAAATCTATAGGTGTGAATCATGATCATCGCACAGAAGACTTATTTCAAAGAAACTTGCTACAAATATTCTGTTCCCTTGACTTACACAAGAAAGCACTTACACCAGCAAGTCCGAACATCGAATTGCAACCCGTGAGCGTTAAGATGGACGACAGCGCAGCGGGGCCACCTCAGGAAACACCAGCGGTATATCTTCACTCGGTCGACACCAGGAGCAACAATCAATCCCAGCGTACGTTCTCAGAGACGAAATAAAGATCTCACAATCTGACACGAACTCCACCCCTTTTAGTGCCACCCACTAATAATCTGCCTCTCAGCGTTGTTTCCTGTGTACGAACGAGAGATCTTCAAAATTGGGCGAGACATTCGTACCAAGTGAGTGGAAAGGCACGGAATGAAAGAGAAAAAATTGACAAAGTTGTACAGTTCCTTGGCCATCGACAACGATCCAGACATGTTAGTTTCCCGAAACCACTGCGAGGTTTATGTTGTCGTGTATGAACCAACTGTCAATCACATCTACGTTCGGGACCGAAAGTCTTCCAATGGGACTTTGGTGAATGGGAGGCTTATTGGCTCTGGTTCACGTATCAGCCCCGGGTACCTGCTGCAACATGGTGATGTGATTGAGATCCGACCATACTAGAAGTTCACAGTCGTTCAGTATCAACCATCTCCTCGCCATGATTTGACCGCCCTACAACAAGAGGAGTGCAAGGTATTACCGGATGTGACTCCAATGCCATATGGATACTTAAGACTAACGACCACCAGCTGTTTGCCAGCAAGTATGAGGTGACTGATCACTGCCTTGGCCACGGAGCAGAAGCAGTCGTATGTCTCGCCAACGACGTTCAAACAGGAAAGCAGTTGGTCTGCAAGTTGGTCAACCTTGATAAGATCCATGGGAAGAACGCCCAAAATGATATACGACGCAAGTTCCAGGAAGCGGATATTCTGCGACAGTTAAACCATGTGAGTTTGCTGTCTCCCGTGGAAGTAGAAAGCTTTCAGCTTCTGGTGGAACAAGATATGAAACCAGCCACCTGTCAACAGAGTCTGCTCCGGTTCTTTGGCCAGAAACCAGAGCTCTACTGCTATTCCTTATGTATTGAGAACGCCACTGACCAATATAGCCCAACATCCTGTCTTACGTGGATGCAATATCGTCTCCACACACACTGTGAGTGTTTTCATTATCTCCTGGGCGACTTACTGACACCGCCAGCTACACTTTTACGGAACTTGCTTCGGGCGGTGACCTCATGTCATTCATTTTGCGGCGCGGCACTGTCAAAGAGTCCGAATCCATAATCATCATCCGCCAAGTGGTTCGGGCACTTACGTATCTTCACGAGAAAGGCATCGTTCACCGCGACATCAAGCCGGAGAATATACTCCTGGCATATTCTCCCAGGATCGCGTACCATCGAGTAATGCTCTCTGATTTTGGTACTTCTGCCGTCCCTCGACGGAGCAGAATGATTACAAATGCTGGAACCGCAGGATATCAAGCACCGTATGCCATATGATAATGAAGCCGCGACATTAGCTGACATATATAGGGAATTTGAAACAACTGGCGAAGCTCATACGACAGCTGTTGACATATGGTCTTTGGGCGTTGTTGCTTTCACGCTCTTAGTATCTGATCATCATGATGCAGTACTCAATCAAATGGCTGAAGAGGAGATTCGGCAATACATCATGCGAGTTTTCAGCTACTTACAGAAACGACCTTCTGTTGATGCGGCCAAGTTTGTCCTGAGCTGTCTGAGACTGAATCCTATGCGCAGAATCACAGCCCAAGAAGCGAAGGGGCACGAGTGGCTATGCGGTAAAACGAAGAATGTAGAACTGTTCAAGCGTCTGGACAAAAGGGTTATGTCTTCTTGGCAGCCTCAGAATGCACTCAGACCGATGCCCTGGTCGTTACCTGACCTTGTCCCGCCCCCCAGGTACCGAAAACTTGACTGCTACAGTTTGAGAGATGAAATGACTTGGTAAGTTCGGAAATCTTGAGCCTAGAAGCTTTTGTTAACTCTTATCAAAGTAGTCCACATTCGTCTACGGGAAGCTAAGGGTCTTCTTCATCTAGTGCGTACTTTGCGACGACGGCTCGATAAATTGCAGAAACTATCCTACTGTACGAAAGGGATGCAGAAGTAGGAACCATGCAATCTCCTTCAGGAACCGAATCCAGGAGAATTTGCGGGAAATATTTGAGCATGCATTATCGCACTGGCAATTTGTATTTTGTGGGATCATCACGGGAGAAGTCAAGTCATAAACATCGCACCCCATGCTGGAGTGTGTTTCACAGCGGCAACATTGGAGCATTGGGCTTTTGGAATGATGTGAATGTGGAATTCAATGAAAACTTGACGAGCGCAGCGGCGCGCTATTTTAGATCGAGATGGGCAATTTTTCGGGGGAGACATGGTGGTTGATATTCAAAGAAATGCTAGTCAACTCCATTTTCAGCGCGCGAATCGCTCATTCTCCTACTCATCCTCAGGTCAAGTAGACCTCAAGTAGTCTTGCCACCTTTTAGGCGTGTTTTGCTGTCCAGTTTTGACATCCGAGCCCTTCTTTTCTGGCCACGCCGGCATAGGCTGAAAGCCCTTGAGCTTCTCCTTTTGCCTCAACCTCAACCTCCACACCCATTTCCTTCTCTCGTCCTTTAGGTTGTCGTATCCGTAGCGTTGACTTTTAGCAAACTTCCACGACTCCATGAGCTTGCTTTCCTGCGTCCATAGATGCTTGACCAGACATCGTCTCCCAAGCCGTTCGCAAGCCTCGCAGATGCGTGCGTTGTCACTCGTACGTCCACATCGTCTATCCAGAACCTCGCATTGAAGGCAAGAAAAGTTGCCTGCAGGAGTCTCCGGGATAGGGCGAAAGTGGCGATCGATAATGACAACATTGGTAGGTAGCCCGTCTACGTAGTGGACAGGCTCTTTTTGCTTGCGTTCCTTTTCAATGATGTCGAGACAGTCAACACGATACTCCAGCGCAACCATCCGCTTTTCATACTCCTCTGCTGTCTCGTGCTTGGCCCGACGTAAACCAGGTCCTTGCTCTTCTTTGGCAAGTTCTTTGTTGACGAGAGCTTCGATCTCCTCTTTGGAAGGTTCCGTATCCTTGATTCGAGGAGTGGGAACGAGGGCTCTTTCCAGTCTGTCCAGCATTTCCGCCTCTTCCTCTTCCTCTTCCTGTAATCTTTTGCGCGTAGCTGCTCGAGCAGCAACAAATTTAGCCTCTTCCTCTGCGTCCTGAAGAGTAAGTCTCTCCTTGTGAAGCTTTTCTTGCCGTCGGGCAAAAAGGGATGAGACTGTTGATAGCAGATCGAGGGGAGCAGGGGGTGGTGCGTTGAGATCGAGCTCCCGCACAACATCAGATAGGGGGGAACTGTGAGAATTTGTGGTGGCCATAGTTGTTGTAGTGTTTGACGAATTTTGGATAAATTTTGGAGAGAGTTAATCAGAGTTGAGCATCGTGACGACTTATAAATCGAAGTTGAAGACGTACAAGACTGCGCACACGAAGAACAAAGACACATTATGGATTATGTATTCAGGCTGCATCCCTTGAATAAGCCATAGTAAAGATAAGTTTGCTGTTTGAACAAGACAAACATTCGTGGGCTTGTGTACCATGAACATGTATTTTTCAATCACTGAACCGATACTTCATAGACAAACATCGCGTAATACCATTGTTGGTAGATATAGATGAAACTTCACTGCAAGTCATGATGAAAGATTGCCAAACCAGGACTCCACATGGCAGACCTGAGAATTGTCATTGTTTCCCTTTTTATCCTTTCTTTGGCTCTTGATACTGCAACTCTCCACGGTGCTCAAGAACAAGTGGAAGACCTTGTTCTTGACCCGATGGAGCTATCTTGTGAGCCACTACTGATACACACAAACCTGAACCGCCTCTTATCTTCAACTGAAACCCTAGTATGTCCGGTCTGAGAATATGGACAAAGCCTGCTGCTCCTTATCCAAAAAATACAGAGGCAACCCCTGAAATAAGCAACAAATAATAGAATGGAAGAAAGAAATCAACAAAAAGACAAACAAAAAAACGCCGTATGAGATGCTCTTTTGGCAATGCGAAAACCTTAAACGCCCGCTACATATAGATCCTATAATCAATGACTGGCTGTTGACATGCTCCTGTGAGTCGCAAGCCAAACCCCGTAGCGCCCTAAATCCAGATATGGTAGAGAAAAAGACTTGGAAATCCATCAAAATCTCATAATGGTATGATGGGTATTGTTATCAGTCATGACGCTTCGCTGTGAAATTCGTCTCCTGAGTATCATGAAGATGCATACGAGGGAACACTTCGTGGTGTCATATCGCCGCTGCGACGGCGCACTGCCTGCTGATAAGCAAGCTTTGTTTTGCTGTTGGCCTCGGCAATCATTTGTTGCTTCTTGCGCACGGCAGCAAGTCGTCCTGTGATCATTTTAATCACTATAGGTTTGTTAGTCCATATCTGGTGCATAATTATACAGACAGTCAACTTACTCTTTCGGACGTGAGCCTCCTCATCGCTATCAAGCTCGCCACCGCTTACTTCCTTGACAGCTTCTCTCTCAGTTTCTTTACCCGTTGACAGCCTTCGTGTTTCGGAGCCCGATTCCTCATCGTTATCCAATACAGCCTCAAGCATCCGAATAGCCGTGATATACGATATTTCGCAACCCGAGAGGTTTTCGTTGGTCACTTCATCGATGGCTGCAGCCCGACTCATCTCCAAAGCCCGATCGTACATAAGTTTTTCGGCGCTGATACCCGGAGTGAGATAGACTTGCTTTGAGGGACTTCCAGTCGAGGAAGCAATTGACTCAGTGCCATGGTTGGATGGATGGCCGGGATGATCCTCAGGCAGTTGCTTCTGCGCCTCTGTGAGTTTCAGACGGACAACTTCTGACTTCTCCAGCACTTCGTTGAATCGCTGACGAACCCACTGTACCACAGCGTTGATGCGTTGAACAACCGTCTGAGCTGCTGCCGCGGACAAACCAGTGCCCGTGTCTCCTCGGCTCTTCTTTGACCACCATAGACTAGCTATATCCATGGCTCGGGCGAGAAGAGTAAGCGACTTGACGTACAAAACAAGAGCTTCCTCAGATAAAGCCACAATTGCTTCCACAGTCAACCCGTCCTCTTCGTTAGCCAGCTGTTCAGGCTCAAGACCACCCAAGATGTGATCCGCGGACGGCGCCAGTGGAACGAGTTGCTTATATTTGACTTCGGCGAATCCATAAACACAATCGCTTCGGGTTGCGAGTTCCTCTATAGTTTGCGCAGCTTTACCGTCCTCATCGGTGCCCTGGGCATTTCTACCGTCTCCTAGCAGCCCAACAGGTGCCTGGGGTGTTGGGTATGTTGGAAAGGCTTGGTAAAGTGGCGGAGATGGACCCTTTGGTGAAGCTCGCAGCGGAGGAACCTTGAAACCAAAAAGCCGCAGGCTGGCATCCTGGATGGCCTTGGAAATAGCACTCGATGCTGAGCCAGGGCTGGCAGAAAGAGCTTTCTCGTATGATGATTTGCGGTCATGGCGTCCCTGAGTCACCAGCGCATTACGAGAAGATGGTGTCGAAATTGCACCTGTTGTGGATGTGGGTGCCCCTTGTTGGGTATATCGTCGAGTCATGGGTCCGGATCTCTGCGAAGCATCGCCGAGTTTCTCGTTGGCTGCCAGCTCATCGGCCAAAGCATTGACTTCAACATGTCGTCTCTCAACCACAACATATTCTCGTTCCAGTGCCACATCCTGGGCTGCTCTTTCCTCCTCAGTGATAGGTGGATTACTCAATGCTTTATTTCTATGTGCCTGATTCAATAGAGAGGTGGGTGGCGAGACCCTACTGCGACCCGCTGCTTGATCATAAACAAGCTGTTGAACAGGAGCGGTCGCGGCATGATGAGCTACAGGGCGGCGGATGCCTAAGCCCTCTCCACCTTCACGAGGGGAGTTGCCAGTGACACGTTGACTTTCGTTCGATCGCCGAGCATATCGACCCTCACCCGGACTTCCCACCTGTGGTGATCTCGATTGCTTCTCTCTAGGAGATCTAGAGGCGAGAGCTTCCGTTGGGGACTCGTGACCGGTCTGGCGGGGGCTGCGGGACGATAGTGATGGCGAGCCCGCTTGAAACGCTGACCTCAACTCTCGTGGTTCTTGTCGGGGTGGTTTGGGAATGTCATCCTCTACAAGGCCAGGGATTTCGCTGGTGACTACCTGATGTGTGAAGAAATTCTCAAAGCTGAGTCGTTCGACCGGACTTCTCTTCAAGAGACTTCGGATTAAAGCCTTAAGCTCAGGAGTGATGTTCACCTCCCTGGGAAACTTGATAACATCCTCTGCAGCTTCTATCTTTCTTAGTAACTCGACATGGTTTCTGGCCCGAAACGGAGGGCGACCTGTGCTCATCTCATAGAGCACAGTTCCCACTGACCAAAGATCGGCTTTTGCATCATATCGTTCGTATCGGAGAATTTCTGGGGCCATGTACAGGGGGGACCCACAAAGGGTATCGGCCAGGGAAGTGGAGGGAAGCACTCGGGCGAAGCCGAAGTCGGCAAGTTTGAGCATAGGTAAAGATGCCAAACCAGAAATCGGAATTAATGAATCTTGGCTGGCTTGCATAACTGGGCGACTTCTTTGGTCTCTGAAGGGTCGTGAGGGTAATAGTAGTAGATTCTGGGGCTTGACGTCTCGATGAACGTAGTTTTTGCTGCGCAGAAACTCGAGGGCACTAGTCAGCTGTTTTAGGAAATGTCGAATGACAACCTCATGCAAGCCAGAATTCGGCGCGCTGGGATATTTGCGTGCCATGTCATGTGTGGCAGGATGTGTGGCAAGCTTCTCTCGTTTCTTGATAAAAAGTGACAAATCGCCAAGTTCGCAATATTCCATAATCAAGTTGATATGGCTTGTTGATTCGATGCAGTCATGGAGGGCGACAATATGTGGGTGGCGTAATGTCTTGAGAATTTGGATTTCGCTGTAGAGATTCTCCCTTAGCTTCTTATTCAGGCGTTCAAGTTCGACGGACTTTATGGCGACAGCAGCTTTGGTTTCCTGTTGTCATGTTTGTTAGCGATCTATGCATATGGATCGAGGATGCGTTCATGTATGTCACCCGTGATACCAAGGCAGCAGTCCGATAAGCTGCCCAGGTAATGCAAAGGCGACAAACCGGCAGCGCAACTTGGTGCGATGATGGGGAAGCGACGCAAAGTCAGGATAAAAGCTGTGTCGTACCTTATGCCAGCCCAGATACACCTGAGCAAAACTGCCTTTGCCAATCTCGGAGCCGATGTTGAACTGTCCTACAGCCCGACTGCCCGATTTCCTGGACCCTGAGGAGGTCGAAGACTCCTGTGGGCCCGCCATAGCTTCCTGTTTGTTGTTATCGATGGCAGGAAGATAGTCGGATGTCTTGTAGCCCTAAGGCTTATGAGGTTCCAAGTTGATCGCAGAAAAAATCGGCATGTAAACGGAAGGTGGGAAGCTGTCGCGAGAGCCAAATGGCAAAGTAGAAGGCCCGGGAAGAATATCGAAGTCGAAAGGATATGCTTATCAACCAGGTCGGAAGCGATGTAGAATAGAGCGGAGGCGAGATCCTGCGCTGGCGAGTTGTTGAACCGGGAAATGGTTGGTAGAGGTAAGGACCCTTATGGAGGGCAAACAGCCGAAGACGGGCGGGATGAGACGAGACGAGACGAGACAATAAAGCTGCCCTAGCTCAGAGGTAAAGGTAGTGGTGAGGTAGTAGTAAGTATCCAAAAGGGTGCGTCTTGACCCGGGTGCGCGCCTGCACTGCAGTATCGAGACAAACGCAAGTTAGCAGTGGTTGGGTTGAGTATGTAGAACAAACAACAGGTTTCGAGGCCGAGAGCTCGTATCAAACGAAGAGAAATGAAGAGAGGAAGACAAACTTGACAACTAAAAACAAAAAAGAAAAGGGAAAAAGGATGAACAAGAAGCTACGGTGCACCGGGGGGATGCGTGCGTGTGACAATGATGGTGACGGCACGAGCAATGGCGATCGCGGACTGGCCCAAGTCCTAGGATTGGATTGGTACCTAGTAGGTATGGCCTAGTGGTTTTACTGGACTGGACTGTATTCCCCTGTAACGAGCGCTACAGGCAGAAGAAACACAGCGCCAGAGACAGTCAGGCAGGGGTGTCGATGCTTGTGCTTGTGTTCTGGGTACTGTACTGGTGCGACAGGAAAGGATAAGGATAGGACACGACAGGACACGATGGACGGGTACACCAAGGTATAGATGCTGGTACTGCACTAGTCCATACAGACAGGCTGGGGGGAGGACAGCCGGACAAGGGCAGGTGACTAAGACGATATCGAGCACTCACCAGAATGATAGACCGAGGGACCCTTTGGATCCAATCTCAGGCACATATACGGAGTAGAGCAGTGTTTGTTGGCATGAACCAATTGTATTGTGAGCGAGTACCGTTGAGCGTGATCGGAGCCTTTGTTCCAAGTGATCGAAGACGCGGAAAGGGCGGTTAGAGAGGAAGTAGACGATAGCGGTGACTAGAATGGTTGATGTTATCATTCAGTAGTCTAGAGTATGGGATTATGCAGGTCGATTATTCGTACGTGTTGCTGAAAAGGGCGTAGCGTTGATACAAGTACATATAGACGGGAATAGAAAGCGTACAGACAGACCCTACTCGACTCAGAGGTAGATAAACCAGGCTGTAAAGGTTGCGTCACATAACGTAAAACAGTACATACAGCTTATGAGAGAGAGGCAATGAAATTCACGATAGATTTATCAGGTTATAGATGTGTGAGCAGTAGTGTAGAATGATGGGGCAATGATTTGAAATAGAGAAAAAGACAGAGATAAGCAAGCTTAGAACATGAGGAACAGAGCAGAATAGAGTCTGCAGATTCTGAATGATAAAGTGGATGAAGAGGCTGTGAAAAGACGAATGACTCCACGAATTGAGCCTTACCAAACTCAGTAAAGTCTGGTTTCTAGAAGAGGTAAATGGGGATTCATGGGTGGCTAGGTGGCTACGTGCAGTGGAAAGGTGCCTACGAAGTAGCCGTCGAGTACCTAGAGTACCTTGGTCTTTAGCGTGTGAACTGCCGCAGTCCAGCGAGTCCTGAGTCCTGGACCCCCGCCCGACAGGGATCAGCGAAAGGTTGTTAGGGGTACATGGGATCTGTGCGAGAGTCAGCCTCAAGACACAAGTATCCCCTCCTTGAATGACAGCCTCAAATATGGGTGTGAAGGACTGAGACATACACAGGGGATCGTGAATTGGATGACTCTGAGTCTGACTTCCGATAGATAAATAATGCGCCTCTAGAAAAAAAGAAAGAGAAGACAATGATCAAAAAGGGATGTTTTTGCGGGGGCGCGACCAACCTAATGGTTAATTGATCCCTCTTGGTTGACCCCGTGATACACCCCAAGCCCAGGTGGCCGGGGTTAAAGAGAGAAGAGAGATTGAAACCTGGAAGAGCCAACGAGTGACGAACACACGATACGATGCGACGAGCGGGTGAGTCAGTCACTCGTACTGTATATTCTGGGTACTGACTTGGTAGGCAGTCAGAAGGGGGGAAAAGAACCGACAACCACTACAGCCTCTTGATTTATCTACCAGTGACAGTCCATATTCAACTTTAAAATACAAGCTGTTAAACCCAAAATTCCTATCCAATACCTGCAAAGCTAAACTGCCTTTAGACAAGTTTCAACAGCCTAACTTGAAGATTTATGTTCTTGTCTGCCTCGTGAGGAGGTGTTGTTGCCTGAGCCAAATGGTGTGATGTGATGGGATGGGATCCAGTGAAATTCACTGACATATTGAACTAACCAGGACGGTAGTCGTTGTATTCTCAAACCCAATTTACTGCCTAGTCCTATACCTGTTTGTTGACTCAAGGGACAGCCAGATACAGATACAGATCAGATCCCAGTTGCAATTCGTGTACATGCCTGGTTGTATTCAATGCTTGCCGAGGTCTTCTGGCCCCACATCTTCCATGCCTCGTCCACTTTTTCCGGGGCAGGGCAGGGGACCTTAAGCAAGGTACAGGCAGTACTTACAGTACAAACAGCACTGATTTGAAGCTTGATGGACATGAAACAAACCAAGTTGTCAACCGAGATCCATGATCTTGTTTATGCCAGGTTTGTATGAGGATATATACATGCTATGCAGGTACTCACCAAATCTTGGAAAGAAGGTGAACCATGTAGCTCTCTGACTGGTCATGTTTCTCCACCTACGCCATAACCTTCTGAAGCGCGTCCCTTGCCACGAGGTGCAACAAGGCTTATGTAAAAACAAAGACAGAAACACGAACATTGAATGATAGCTAGCTACTGTAGAAAGATTGACTTAATTGATAGGGAAAGCTCCGGATCGGCGAGAGCACATGTTATGCCGAAAAGATTCCATGTCTGTCGGTCTGTGTAAGCCCGTGCCAAGTATCTAATGCATGGCTGAGCTCAAATGGCGAAATATCTCTTGTTGATATTGTGATTGTCAAGGCACAGTGTTGTATAATGCATCCATCGCGCAAACTGCATGGCGTCAATTACCCTCGCTCATTCGTTCCCTCGTTCGCAATTCGGGAGGCGTTTTTCACCACCGTTCCATTGCAGTTGGTTGATATAGACACAAGGACTACGACATACGCCCGGTCAAGCAAGAAGTGCTTCTGCCTCCAGATTTCGACTTATCATGCCCCAGACTGACTGGGATTGTCCGTGCATAAAAGGTACCCTGCAAGTTTCTTTTTCCCCCTTTAGGAAACTAGACAGATGAGAGATATCCCTTTCCCCCGACTTTTTGGTCGCCTTAGATACACGCTGGAAAGAGAAAAGAAAGGGGCGGGTGTGGGTTAGTAGCCTTTCTTCTTGTTTGTTCAGTGCCAATTGGCCGAATGTGAATACGATATTTCCTGATATTGACAACAACCTTCAAAGGGTTAGAGGGAAGAAGCAGAGGTGCCTACTCATAATTGGGTACCTGAGCGAGCATATAATCAAGTCACGATGTCACCAAAGCAAAAGAAAAAAAGAAAGACTCGAGTAAAATGCCGTGACTGTTCATCAAATCCCGTCATCATTCACGCCCAGATCATCATCTAGGTAGTCTATGTACTACAGTCCTAGATCGGCGGCCAACAGCCCTCGAAGGCCGCTAGAATAGGAGAGCATGTTGCCCCGTTAACTTTAAAAAGGATGGACAAGAGAAGGAAAAAGAGGTCACCTAGTAGTTGTGTATAGTTGCCTAGCAAAGGAAATAGTGACGCGGACATGGAGCTCCATGGCAAGTCTAACCATAACCAATTCAATTCCCTTTTTGCTGCCCGGTTGAGTTTTGATACACGTCGATTACCTATCTCTTGGCATTCCCGATGCAGCTCAATTGAGTTAGTGAAAACCTGGAGAAAGTTGATAGTACAGGCTCTTATCTCTTACGACGTCCGGGGGTTTCTTATCATTGAGAGATTGTGGTGTGGGTTTCTCGGCATACCAAAGAGAGAAGGCACACGTTCATCAACACAAAGTTCCCCATGCACTATCATGAATCGGTGCCAAACAGACAGACAACAGACAGGACTGTCCAACCCCCACGATTTCTGTTCACTTGGGACCCTGTGCCAGTATCAGTGTGCCAGGTGTAAGTAGTATAGTCGAGTTAAGGCCAGCCAGCCAACCACACTTTAAACACGTGGATCTACTCAGCGGCATCTCTTTGCATCCTCCCAAACGTCCGAGTAGCCACTCACGGCTTTGCATATGAGCCTGTGCCTCTCTTGCGCTGTTTGTGGTATTTGATGCAGTTTGCTCAATCTGTAACTAAGATGTCATGTTTCATGCGCCATTCTTATCCGTCCCGACCAGTTCTCTATAACCAACCACTAACACACGATTCTCTGATAATACTAGTCCCTACTCCTACTCCCACTTACACGGATGGCCTCATTACCCACCATGTTTCTCCCTACCATCATATCGTATCGTATCTCTCAGGTGACACGACAAGATGTCAATAATGTCCCATTCGCTACAGTAACTCCTAACTCTCAGCGCCAGTTCAAATTTATCTTGAAAAGGGTATTTTAAACATGTGAAAAAAAATGAAGAAAAAAAACTCAAATCACGCCTTGCCCACCCATCCCGAATTGATGAAGAAATCGAATATGCGCCCTCCTTTTTGCGAGTCCAATCGACAAATCTCCTTTGCCTGCTTCTTCTTAAGTGTGCCGTTGGTCTTGAGAGCTTCTTTCAGTATTTGCTCCTTGATCATCAGGTATGGTTTGGGCTGTAGTCTAATGACCTCGCACAATTTGGCCTCTTCAGGCGTCAAGAGGTGCAAATCTGGGGCGGTGTCTTGTGTCATTGACATGGGTTGCACACCCGATATCGGTTGAGCTGTGTATCTTTGTTTGGGTGCAGCATGGCCATTGACGCCGTTGACATTGTTTCCGTTGACCTGACCATTCGTCTGGCCATTGGACTGTTCGCTGGCATGGCCATTTGTCAACGCCTTGTTCTCTCCGTTTACTTCTGGGTTGGCTGGAGGTAATAGTCGAGCAGGTAGTTCTGGGGCAATGAGTAGAGCTGCTCCGCTGGGAGGCTCAGGTGGGGGTGGCTGCTTTGATCGCTGAGCAGATGCCAGACGTTCGCGATCCATCGAGCCCATAGGTATGGCCTTTTGTATTCGCGACGCCTTCTCATTCTCGTACTTTTCTCCGCTTCGAAGGTCTCCGATGCGGACACTGCGCCATTCTTGTAGTTGTGTAATGGCTTGTCGTAGATTCAGCTCATCAAGAAGGCCCTGGTTGAGCTCTTCAAAGTCCTGGCGGTTCATCATTCGGGCGAATGGCTTGGCCTTTTGCAACAAATCCTTCTCTTCCTTTGTGCGTCTCTTTTCCAGTTTCGTATTTTCTCTATAATCGAGCAGATTGTGTTCGAATATAACCTTTTTACGCTCCACACGTTGTGTTAGACGGGCGTTGTAGATGTCCATCACGGTAAGCTTGAGTTCCATTTCAGGTTCAAGTTCTCCAGTTCTGGGGTTGAGTCCATCACCTGGGTCGAATTGCATCAGCTGAACAGCTTCCTCGGCTTCGTTCGCATATTCGGTCTCGAACTCCAGACGACCAGGCATGTATCCTTGGATCTCGTGACAACTGGGTACACTGGCCGTTGGCTTGGTCTTGGGCTGTAGAGCTGGCGCATTCTTGGCTGCATCTCGTCGTTCCTCTATTCGCCTCTTCTTGCGCGATTGGAATTCTTCTCGGGGAATCTCGTTCGCCAACTCGCAGTCGTGGGGGCTGCATCGTTTTGGTAGTGGAAAGGCAGGTGAGTCAACGTAGGTCGATAGGTAATGGTCGCGAACTTCATCCTTCTCTCGGAAGCCACCAATATGATCGGCAATGTCTGCCCATGAACCGAGACCATAGATCTCTGCACCCTCAAGGAGGAGCAGTTCTTCGTCGGCTCCCCATTCTCGAGCAAAGATGGGGAATGAGTTTTGCTCGATTACACGGAAAGCGTGTGTCGCTGGGTTATGGGCATTCCGAGATTCACCTTTGGCAAAGCATGAAACGCAAAGGTCAAAGTCGCTACAGGCTGCGTCGGCACAGCGAATGCGAACCTAAACACCAACATGATCAGCAACCCCATCATGACAAGGTCAAGTTTAACCGGGATATCCCCGAAACGCGTCTCGACATTCCCAGATATTGGCAAGACAGCAGCCGACAGCAAGGGCACTTACAGTGGATGTAATATCGGATGAACAAACGTCGCAAACATATTTGACACCACCTTCGCCACCTCTAGTGACTGTTTTCTTTCTAATAACACCCATATTGTCGGTTGCGATGTCGGGCCGGGGAGTCGTTAATTACCCCCCTGTCTGGACGCGGCAGCGAACTCGGGGCCACGCAGGGCGCGTTAAAGACTAAAAGGAGAGCTCAAAGTGATGCGCGAATATTGAGAAAGATGATGCGACGTGATATTTGATGAAAGACGAAGAAATGCGGTCGTTATTGATGGAGTTGGTGTTGGGTTGATTGGTCGAGGGGCTTGGATGTTGCGACGTTGTTGATTATGGCGCTTGCTTGAGCTACTCCGGGGCTGGTCTGAGCTGGGCTGAGGCGCACTTACTGCGGGCATCAGATGGGGTCATTGATCTGACCCCACAATATTGTTCTGATCACGTGGGAGCTCCTTCCATCAATCATCCCCACCAATGAACTACTGATGCCAATCCCCAACGCTAGAACCCCACAAGGAAGGAAGCTCAGATTTGAGTGACGATGAAGAACTTGGGGAAATAGTGACTTTCTTATCGAGCAACTTGAATTATTAATGTGTATGGATGACCAGGAAATCGCATTAATAATAGATCTGAATACTGGAACCTCAAAAGAGCTCAGGTCGTTACTATACATGTGTCACGATGAACGCCTTTCATACCAATTCATACCTTGAATAATAGCAATCCAAACCTGTTATAGCCCACTAGACTCCCCCGAAAACACGGCCGAGAATATCACCGTTATCCGCTCCATTCAGAACTCCAGCTTGCTATAACTAGGAGCTATTTATTCTAGCCGCCTCAATCATCACCTGCGCGAACTTGTCTTATAATTTCAGATAAATTGATGTTTCTCTGGCATTGAAATATCCATTGGCAATTCTACCCCTCAATCTTCTCATACTGTCACCCCGCTATCATCATGCCTGATCAAATTCTTGACGATATCTCTCATCGCAGATACAATCCCCTCACGGATTCCTGGCTGCTTGTATCGCCTCATCGCACGAAGCGGCCTTGGCAGTACGTTTAACCCAGTTTCATTCGGAACCAACTAACTTGCTATAGAGGTCAGCAAGAGGCTGCTGTCGCGACAGAACTCCCCGAATATGACCCCAAAGTACGTTTATGACATCACATCATAACAACTTGATATCTGACAACTTCAGTGTTACCTATGTCCTGGCAACCCACGAGCAGCTGGTGACTCCAACCCGAAATATGAAAAGACTTTTGCCTTTGTGAACGACTACAGCGCTGTCAAGCAAGAGCAGCCCGAGTACGACGCCAAGGCCTCCTCCAACGATTTGGAATCTCTTCTCCTGCAAGCTCAGGGTGTTAAGGGAGTGTGCTATGTCCTCACTTTCTCTCCCAAGCATCATGTGACCCTTGCCGATATGACTGCTGATGAGATTGTTCCCGTCATTGAGCACTGGACACGCATCTATGCCAACCATCTGACACCGTCAAACCCTCGTGCGGCTGAAGCTGAGCAGCTCACCATCTCCATGTCCAAAGACACTGCTCCTACCCCAGAGGAGCAGTATCGATATATGCAAATCTTTGAGAACAAGGGTGCTGCAATGGGTTGCTCTAACCCTCATCCTCATTGCCAAGTCTGGACCACATCTACTATGCCCGAAGAGCCAGGCAAGGAGCTTGTTCAAATGACCAAATACCGAGAGCAACATGAAGGTCGACATCTCCTGGGCGATTACGTCAAGCTAGAATTGGAGAAGCAAGAACGAGTTGTTTGGGAGAACGACGCATTCGTTATTGTATGCCCGTGGTGGGCTGTGTGGCCGTTTGAGGTTCTCGTTTTGCCCAAGCGACACATTCGATCCCTTCTCGACTTCAAGCCTGAGGAGCGACTCCAATTTGCTGAAGCCATCCAGGAAGTCACCCGAAGATACGACAACTTGTTTGAGTGCAACTTCCCCTATAGCTCTGGGCTTCACCAGGCGCCTCTTGATGGAACCCCTGAGGAGTTGGAGAGTGCTTATTTCCACATGCACTTTTATCCACCCTTGCTGCGATCGGCCACAGTCAAGAAGTTCCTCGTTGGTTACGAGCTCTTGGCTGAGCCGCAGCGTGATATCACACCTGAGCAGGCCACAGTCCGTTTGAGAAACTGCGGAGCAGAGCTCTACCGAAAGAATCTATAGGCTTTACCCATCCACTTGGCTATTAAATTCTACTAAATTATATATCCATCATGATTTGTTTGTCATTGTTTCACAACCTTTCTAGCGAATATCTACCACGAAACTCGAATCACACCCCTCGTACGATTGCATTGCGACACCATCCAATCAGTTGTACTGGACGTAGTGGTCGCGGACCAGAGGCATCCAGATCAGGGAAGTGGAAGCCAGGGCGAATGGGAAGTACTGAGGCAAACCAAACGTCATGGTCTTGAAGACAAAAAGCTCACTGGCAAAATGGCTAAAGGCAACAATGTAGGTCCAGTAAGCCAGAGTGTAGACGGGACCGATGTGGAGGTTGTAAGCTGCGTAGCATCGAACAATGCAGGTGATGAGTGTCCAAGTGCCGAACAGTCTGCCCGCGAGGGGAGTCAATTGGTCGGCAGCCTTGGGGTCGTTCTGAGCAGGAATCAACTTGTTCGTCTGATCTTCGGGTTCGAAGTTGTTGGTCTTGGAAGGGAGTTTGGGGTTGCGAATGAAGCGGCCGTTGTAGACTCGTCGGGAAAAGTGCAGCGTAGTGTACGCCTGCAGCGAATTGCCAATGGAGATAATGGAAAGCTGTAGTTGTCAGCGTTTTATTCTGTAGAAGGATGTATGGCGAGTCTTACGATGATCATGTAGTAAGGTAGAACACCCTTGGCTTCGGGGAGGAAAGGCTTGAGAGCATCCATGGCGATTGATATGGATAAACCGGAGTGGGAATTATTTGTTCTTTACAGCGTGAATAGACGTAAATACAAACAAGTGAAGAAATAAAATTGAAAGTTGAAGACGATAACTCCGGCTCCGTAGGACATACGATTTTTGGTGGGAGACACGGCCTATAATCAGTGGCCAAAGAACAAAAGAAGCTTGGACCAACTCAACAACGTCAGGTCAGGGGTAGTCAAATCAACTGGTCCCCAAAATTCAATTGATTGCCCAGCCTAAGCCAAGAGTAGGAGCCGAGGGGCAGAAGAGCTGCTTTATTATCTTGTGATTGACACTTTTTTATTATTTTCTCTTCCTTTTCCTTGCACAGCCATTTGCATTTTCTTGTTGCGCATCCCAACCATGACTGCCGTCGCAGACTTTTTCGAGAACGTACCGCAGCCTCTGCAATGGGGTCTTGCTGGTGTTGGTGCTCTCTTCCTGGGCTCCAAGATCCTGAGCTATCTCCAACTTGTCCTCAGCGCTTTCGTGCTCGGAGGTACCAACGTAAGTGTTTCTATACCAATCGAACTCTTCAAAGCTAACATTATTATAGCTACGCAAGTACGGAAAGCCTGGCACTTGGGCTGTTATCACCGGTGCCTCTGATGGCCTCGGCAAAGAGTATGCTCTGCAGCTCGCTGCCAAGGGCTTCAACCTGGTCCTCGTTTCCCGAACTCTGTCCAAGCTAGAGGGCCTCGCCGCCGAGATTCAACAGAAGTACCCTGGAAAAGGCCTTCAAGTCAAGGTCCTCGACATGGACTTTTCCAAGAACAACGATGCCGATTACGAGCGCCTGAGCGAACTTATCTACGGTCTTGATGTCGGTATCCTCATCAACAACGTCGGCCAGAGCCACAGCATTCCCGTTCCTTTCCTCGAGACCGACAAGGAGGAGCTTCAAAACATCATCACTATCAACTGCACTGGCACTCTCCGAGTTACTCAGACCGTTGCTCCTATTATGAAGGCACGAAAGAACGGTCTTATTCTGACCATGGGATCTTTCGGTGGATGGACACCTACTGCTCTCCTGGCCACTTACTCTGGTAGTAAGGCTTTCCTTCAGCAGTGGAGCAACGCTCTTGCAGCTGAGCTTGCTGATGACAAGGTTGATGTCTACCTCGTTCTGAGCCATCTCGTCACCACTGCCATGAGCAAGATCCGCCGCCCTAGTCTCCTTGTTCCCAACGCTCGTAACTTTGTCAAGGCTACCCTCGGCAAGGTTGGTCTTGGAGGTTACCAGACAGCACCTTACACTTATACCCCTTGGTGGAGCCACTCTTTCATGCTTTGGTTTATTGAGAACATTCCTGGTGCCAACGGTCCCATCACAATGTCTGTCAACAAGAAGATGCATGAGGACATTCGCCGAAGGGCTCTTCGCAAGGCTGCCAGAGAGGCCAAGAAGCAGTAAATGCAGACATGGAGCATTTGAAATGAAGGGTGGGTAAAGTGACCATGTAGCTATGGATATTGAAGTCCAGAACAAAAAAGGAGGAATCGGACAATGACATAGTAAATGAGTATTGAAGTTGATTTGTTTGCTGGGTCAATCTCGCCGTTGTATCACGGCCACCAAACGTTTGGCCCCTTATCAGTAAAATAATTGCGTTATCTCTCAACGGTGTTACTAGAATGATTGTTCATCATAGTAGGGAAATAGAAAGGATGCATTGTCATGGAAATCGACAGCAAAAGATGGATGATATCCTTGTTGTACCACACATGGACTGTGATTTTTGCGTTGGGGTCATCTTGTTCCGTAAATCTACCTAAAGGCGGTCCAAGAGAAAGGAGTCGAGGCCTGGAGTAACTCTGTGATTGAGGCTCTGCGATCTGTTTGAACCGCTGCCTTTAAAAAAGATATAAACAACTGGGTTTTGTATCAACATAGGACTAGTCGGGCGACAAAGGTTATTTGCAGCATTCAAGGAGATAATAAATGAAAACATCAATCTAAAACACCAAAAAATATGCCATTGTTACGTTGTTTGAATGCATTTGTTTGCGAAAATCTTCATGACGCGTGGTTACCGCTCTCTCAGCCTTGCACCAAAACGGTCTTAGCGCTCGAGCCCCAGTCGCGAAAAATCCGTGCTCCATATCCAGCCTCCCCAAGCTCTCGTCAAATTGTTTATCATTTTCTCTAGCATGCAACACTTGCAATAGCCTCTATCTCAACCCCGACGACGACGCGATTTAATCGAAAACCAACGGCGAGGTTATCGACGCGACAACGAGGGATTGATATCCTTACCATAATTCATCCCACGCGCCAGGCAATCGTCGCTTTTGATGATCCGCGATCTGCTCTGATTGGTATAGCAACGACCACTGGTGAAGCTACCCAGGCCCGCCGAGGGCTTCGATTTTGCTGCCCATAATGTCGTTTCCGCAAACAACTCCCGTTCGGCCAGTTCCAGGCGCATTTTTGAATACGCCTGCTGTCACTTCGAGATACCAGCAGGGCTCCGATCCTGTGCGCCGACAGCTGTTCCCAGTTTCTGAGAGTGGCCAGTCCGTATCGAGTCTAAGGAGCACTGCGCCAACACCATCAACAACATCGCGAGGCGTGACAGTCACAGGCTCGTCAGTAGTGAGGCCATCAAGCGGCGATGGCTTGATTGTTCCGACTGCGCTGCCGCCTCCACGATCCGAGAATGTCCCCCCCGTCATAAAGGCGGCCAAGGCCATCAACACTTGTCTCCAGGCTGATGGACGCTATCCCGACTTGGATTCATACTGCAGACGTAGGTTTAGAATTCTGCGATGGTAGAAAAAGCTAACAACGACACCAGAGGGCGCGTCGTCCGATTACGATCTCGAAAGCACCGATTCCGCTATGGCCCCCTTCCACAAAACCCAGATGTATCCTATCCCAAACCAAGTTTTCGATCATTACAATGCTGGCGAGCTTCAAACCCTGATGGGTCTCTTTGCTGAGATTAACCATGCTTGGGTTGTTATTGATAACTCCTTGTTCTTGTGGGACTACACGCATCCTGATCCTGAGCTCATCGGTTTCGAAGACTCACCGCATACCATTCACGCCGTCGCGCTGGTACCTCCCAAGCCAGGTATCTTTGTCGGTTCAATCACCCATATCTTGGTCGTTGCGACTTCTCAGGAGATAGTGCTACTGGGTGTTTCAGCTACAGATACTCCTTCGGGCACCAAATCCGTAAACCTGTACCAGACGAAAATGAACCTTCCTCTACGTGGCACCGACGTTCGCGTAATCACTGGATCTTCTAATGGTCGAATCTTCTTTGGCGGTAGCAACGACATCGATATTAATGAGCTTTACTATCAATCCGAAGAGAAGTGGTTCTCGAATCGATGTGGAAAGATCAACCATACGAATCCCGGCTGGTCTTCAGTTGTCACCCTACAAGGAAGCTTCTGGTCGCAAAAGAGCCCCGAACACCTTGTCGATATCGTGATTGATGATTCGAGAAACCTTGTATATACACTCTCGAGTCGCTCAACCGTCCGAACATACCATATGGAGTCGCCTGATCGATTGAACAAGGTTATCGAGAAGGAAAAGGTCCATTGTCTTCGCGACATTGCTCACATGATTAGCCAGTCTCGACTGTTGAACGATAGAGTCGAAATCGTTGCGATCAGCCCCATCTCCAAGCAAGAAGCCGCGAAGCTGCACCTAATGGCCTTGACGAATACTGGATGTAGACTGTTCTTTAGTGCTACAAGCGCTGCATCCTATATGTACGGTTCCTCGACCAACCTGGCTCCCCAGAGTATGCAAGTTCAATTCATCAAATTCCCTCCAGGCCAGAAGTCGCCGTATGCTGGCAGCGAGACAACCATCGACCTCGAATCAACATCTCTCACATGGAGCCGACAAGGCGCGCGATTCCCACCTGGATATTTCTTGGATTTTGTTAGTAAGGAGTCGAACCCCAACGAAGATTCTCTATTTATTTCTGGACCCGAAACGGGACGTCTTAAGAATACGCCCCCGACATCTCCACTCAAATATCATGAGAGCGGAATTTGGATTGATATAGGAAGTAGAGCCGAGGCAGTTGGAATCATTACAAAGCCATTCGCTGCAGCACCGCAACCTCTAGGCTTTGGTAACGAGTTAGCTGTTCAGTTTGACGATGCACCCAGCGAGTTTGCGGTTCTCACCAACACCGGTGTTCACATCATCCGACGAAGACGTTTCGTGGACATCTTTGCTTCGGCGATTCGAGGTGCTGTTGGAGACGAAGGGTTGGAACTTATCTGCCGCCGGTTTATTAACACTTACGGCCGTGTAGAGACAGTTACTACCGCTTTGGCTGTCGCCTGTGGTCATGGAGGCGACTCTCGACCAGGCGCGGCGCGTGCCATTGACCAGGCCACTGAAGACCGGGCCCGATCCGTCTTTGTTGACTTCGGTGGCCAGCCCACAATGGCCGAGACTGACAGCGCATCCCTTACAACAGAGTCTGTCAACCTCTCCTCTCGACACGACGCCTTGGCTCTGTACCTCTCCCGATTGATACGCCAGTTGTGGAAGTCGGCAGTTATTACTCCCGGTGTCTCACCTACTGGTGGTGTCACTATCGGCTCTACTATTCCTCTTTCTAAGCTCAGCACTGTTCAAGAAGCGTTGGAGCGTCTAAGGAGGTTCCTCGACTCTAACCGGGGTCTTATCCAGGGCCTGTCCGGCCCGTCTGATCTCCAACACGTGTCTAGTCGCCAAGAGGAGATTGCTCTTCAGGCAGAACACCAGGCTCTGCATGCTCTTCAAAAGTTGATGGAAAGCATTTCGGAGGGTATCTCTTTTGTGCTGATGCTTTTTGACGAGCGTGTCGCCGACATTTACACCCGACTCGATGATATCGCTCGACAACAGCTCAAGGATCTCACATACGAGAAACTCTTTTCTCAAACAGATGGCAAAGATTTGGCTAAACTCCTTGTCAAGGCTATTGTTAACCGCAACATTGAGAGTGGCTCCAATGTTGAGACTGTTGCTGATGCCCTGCGAAGGAGATGCGGCAGCTTCTGTAGCCCTGATGACGTGGTGACTTTCAAGGCCCAAGAACAGCTCAAGCGTGCTTCTGAACAGCCCCTTCAAACCAACCAGTCACGAAGCTTGCTTCATGAGAGTCTCAGGCTCTTTGAGAAGGTTGCTGGCAGCCTTACTTTTGCTAATCTCCAGACCGCTGTCCAACAGTATATCGACCTCAAGTACTATGCTGGCGCTATCCAGCTGTGCCTTGTTGTCGCACGGGAGAAGGACAGGGGTAACACGGCTCTTTCTTGGGTCAACGATGGCAAGCCCTCATCTGATCCTCGAGCCAATGCCTTCAACGATCGCAAGCGTTCCTATGACATGATTCATGATGTACTGAGCCACCTAGACGCTGCGTCAAGCAGTGAGCCCGAAATGGTTGACGGCCGTTTGACTTTGATTGCTACAAAGAGGCTTGAGGCCTACAAGGTTGTGAATGAGTCGGATGATGAGGTGTTCCACTTTGACCTCTATGAGTGGTATATTCAACAAGGTTGGACCGACCGCATCCTGGCCATCGATTCCAACCACGTCGTTACCTTCCTGCAGCGACTTGCCGGTACCAATATCGAGCATGCTGACCTACTCTGCCGTTTCTACACCAACCGCAGTCGCTTCTTCGACGCAGCCGAGGTACAGGCCGAACTTGCTAACTCCGATTTCCCTATCAGCATCAAGGATCGAATCAGATTGCTCAGCTTGGCCAAGGCTAATGCCAACGTTTCTACGACTGGTATTAGCCGACAGCAGCAACAGATGCTAAACCACAGCGTTACTGAGTTGTTGGAGATTGCACACATCCAGGACGATCTGCTTGAACGATTGAGAGCCGACGACCGTATTGATCCCGAGAGGTCTATTGAGATTGAGGATGCTCTCAAGGGCAAGATCCAGGGTCTCTCCGAGGTAAGTTACCTGGTTCTGCCTGAAAATAACTTTGCTTACATATTTAGCTTTTCAACGACTATGCCGACCAGGCTGGTTACTACGACCTGTGTTTGCTCATCTACCATGTTGCCGATTACCGTAACCACATGACCATCTCTGGTACATGGAGCAACCTGATCCAGCAGACACACGATGAAGTCATGTCTCGGCTAGAAATGTCTGAACCTGGAATGCCCTCGCCACCACTACCCTATGAGTGTGTCACCAGCAAGATCCAAAACATTGCTCACCGCACATCACTCGACAGTTTTATCTTCCCTATCCAAGACCTCCTACCAGAACTCTGCCGTTACGCAGTGGCGTACCAACAGGATGCCACAATTGGCGCAGATCCCACCTGGCCAGTCCAGCTCTTCCTCACCTTGGGGGTTTCCCATGACATGATTGTTCGTGTACTGGAAGGTGTTTTCGATAGCCAAGATTACGGTTTCAGCGGATCCGTACGAAACCGCATGATTGAGCTTATTGTTTATGTTGTTAACGACTGGGTGGCCGAAGCCCGCCGACGTGGTGGTGCAGGCAAGGGTGGCGCTATTGGCCCTTCTGTAGCCGACCTCCTCAAGAGATGCGACGCGGCCTTGCCTCCCCCCGGACATGGCAACAACGCCGGCGGTGCAGACCTGGCTGATGTTAGGCGAGTGCTCAAGGGCCTGAAGAGAGAAGTGGATGGCCTGTCACAACGGGTTCCCACGGGTAGTCTTAGGTTCGCATAGAGATGAGCTGGTAAGCGACGATAGATTGGAGAGCATAGAGATTTAAGAGTTTGAGAATTCGACAGTTTTGAGTAGCTAGTTGGTGCAGTCGGGTAGTGGCACTGTTTTTGTCAAAGGGATGATGAATATGCTATAGGCGCCAATTGGCACGAGGGTGCGTTGTACTGTACAGGTTCAAAGGTATTTTTACATGTAATTATTAAAGACATGGGGGTTGATAAAAGGCGCCCCGAAAAGAATGGAAGAAATCTAAGAGAGGACAGTTGTCTATGACTCTATCATTAGTGTGTTGACCGCCAATATCAGGCAGTGAATGTTATGCTATGAATGGGGCAGTTTCGTAAGTCCATCCACCAACGCCCAGTCATTCCTGGGTTTTTACAAGGCGACCACAGTAGGAGCAACGCTATGCAGCGTTACGTTGACTATGCGTTGCTCTCTTTGTTTTACCGCTCTGCTTTGGGCCCAGATAGTGAGATGGCAGCGGTGAGATGTGGTATTGGGTGGTGAGGCCTGCATATGTTCGCCTCACTTTGCGAGGTTAGGCGAAAAGTGACACGCCACGCGTGAAAATAAGTGTTCAAAAGGGCCTCACGCAAAAGGCGAGGATGCTGGTGGGGTATTGGGGGTCACTGTTGCGAGGCGACGATGCTGGATATATAAGTTTGATGTATGGCAGGACAGTTTGATAGTGAGGCAGATTCAACTCGGCTTGCCTTTCTGGGTTCTACTCTACAGCTACTTTCACTATGGTCTGAGACCTCGACTATATTTCTTCTGTCTTCTTTCGGAGCTGGACTCCTCGATACATATACATATACACATCGAAGATGATGACTGGTTCATCAACAACCACGATGAATACCACTCTACGTTTTACCACGCTTTAAGCGTGAGTCTTTTACCCAGCGAACAGCAAAGACATGTTCAAAAATGTTGGCCTCGCTGGGCACCACGTTCAAGGCCAACCTCGCAGAGTTCCCAACAATCTCAACTTTCAACTACGACCTCGCGAGGTTCTTGGTCGCCCATACCAGACAGGATCCGGCGTCCGGTATGGTTCACAAAAATAATATCGGCTTTTTGTATCTCTTTGTCCGGGATGGACTTTTGGTCAGATACTTGATGGTCGCAAGAATTAATGGGGAGGTTTGTCGGTCGCTTTTATAGATTGGGCAAAGGTTTAGGTGGTTATAGAGGATGGCTTATGGGATATAGAATGGGTTGGTAGAACATCAGAGTTCAAAAGCATTCTTTCTATAATGTTTGGGACAGAGGTTTACATGATCATTCATTGTTTAATACTCTGTATGATTATGTCAAGTATGGAAGGGTGGCTAGGTTGAGTTACTGTCAGACACATTCGGTCCACACACTGGATAGTCATCTTATACTAATAGATCTGATAAGACTTTCATCTTGAGCTTTTTATTCCTTTTCTCTGACAGTTAATTTTAATAGCTCTTAATTGCTCTTAGTTGCTCTGCAAATAAACAACTTGATGAACGCCCCGATATAGTCTCCGTACGGCGACTTTTCGGAAACTTCAATTATTATAAATATCCTCAACACGGCGTCTGAATATCTTGAATAACGACTCATTTCACACTCATGATCAGATCTACAATACAAATTGCAACAAAAACAGCACGCTCACTAAGAATGGCCACCACAAACGTTGATCCTGCCCTGAAGACTCTCAGAGAGCTCTACAGCACCATGGACAAGGGCAGTCTCGAGGAACAAATGATCTACGTCTCGCAGACAATTATGCCAAAATTGATCAAGGGTCTTCCTCCTCAAATGGGAATATCGGAAAAGACTTCGGCTCCTGTGACCTTTCTGGACAGTGCTTGCGGGACTGGTGTTTTGACTGATGTTATTCAGAAGACACTGTCCAAGGATGTTCTCGAAAAGAGCACTTTCACTTGCGCAGATGCTGCAGATGGGATGATTGCCATTGCAGAGAAACGACTTGGACTCGAAGGCTGGGTTAATACGGAAGTCAAGAAGCTGGATGCGACAGTGAGTTGACTCTGCTTTGACGTTGCAACATATAACTGACATCAAAACTCAGAATACCAAGCTGGCTGAGAATTCGTTCACGCATGTTGGCCTAGGTCTTGCACTTCACCTTATCCCTAACCCAGATGCTGTCCTGGCTGGTAAGTAAATGGCCTAAAATGCCCCTTGGAGCAATACTAAGATGTAACAGACTGCAAGCGCATACTCAAACAAGGCGGTATCTTTGGCGCAACAACATTCCACAAAGACAACACCTTTTGGGTTCCAGACATGAGAGCAGCCTTAGCATCATTTCCCTTCGAAGCGCCCATGCCAGACGTTATGCCAATGCAGGTACACGATCAAGGCGAGTGGACGAATCCAGCATGGATAGAAGAGCACCTCAAGGAGCAAGGTTTCCAAGATGTTCAAGTCACTGTTGATCATGACAGGTACTTTCTAAGGAGTTCTGAGGAGTACATGCTGCAATGTGGTATGATGCTAGGATGGGTGATGAATACTTGGTGGAGCGAGGAAGTGAAGAGGGAGCATCCGTTGGAAGAGGTAAAGGAGTTGTTGAGGAGGCATTTGGAGGAGAAGTACGATGGAAAGGGTTGGTATATTGAGTTCAAGGTGATTTGTATGACTGGGAGAGCTGGGTAGTTGATAAGTCTAGATAGGTTATCCCTATATTAAGTGTAAATGTTTGTTTCTTTGATGTGATGTGCGACATGGGATACCCTGCGTTGCTTTGGCCTTACAGTCAAAGTAACCATTACGTCCCTCTTTTTTGTCTTTTTATTTATCTATTAAAGTTTGCAGCTATTCGATTTCCTTGCCAAACCTATCGGATAGTGTACCTCATGTCAACTAGGTAGGTATATAATGCGTAAATGTTTGTTGCTTTGGTGTGAGGCGCGACATGGGATACCCTACGCTTGCTTTGGCCTTGTATTTTTTTTCTTTCCTTCTTATATATTTAAAGTTTGCGAGTGTTTGACTCCCTTGTCATATCGAAGAGTGTACAGCATGTAAATTATTTGGTGGTTTCTCATGACGTCTAAAGTCTAATACTGTCTTTATCCCTTGCTCCGCAGCTGTAAGTAGAGCTTAGAGAGCGACCTTATTCTCACACAATAAAAAGTACTGCTCAGAAACCTAATTCTTCTTCCTTCGGCATGTGAACTATATAATGTGTAAATGCTGGCTGCTTTGGTGTGACACACGACCAAACATACCCGCTTCGCTTGCTTTGGCCTTACAGTCAAAGTAACCATTGCGTCCCTTTTTTCTTTCTTTTTCTGCAAATATTTCTATCCGACATTTGATGGTTTTGGCTTCCAAAGTATGATGACTTTATATCGCGATTCCCCACGTTTCACTCTCTCCAAGTCTCCGTCATGATCCCTGTTTAGACGCCTAGCGGCTCCCATACATGGTCACGTGCCAACAAGGTGCTCATCTCTTTCGCACCCCCTCCGAAATCATTTTCTACAACTCTTCCTTGTCAAACTCTCATTTCCTATCTTCCCTTTCGAGGCTTGGGGTCGCGTTTCTTTCATGAGTTGTTTTCTTCTTTTCGAAACCAAAAGCGAGGGTTCTCGCCGGCCCCACTATGGGCCACATGTGGCTGTTCCAGCACCTGAGGCCACAACCACACTCTTCCGCAACACCACAACATCGGGAAGGAAAGAACGACCATCACCACCATAGATTCATCCCCAATGAACCCTTTTTCAACACTATTTAAGTCATAAACAAACCCAACTTCCCAACAAGGGCGTAATGGTGGCATAGGGGTATAATCGCGTTTGTCGCGCGTCACAGCCGACAGAAGATCGCTGGTTCGAATCCAGTCCGGCCTGTAACAAAACAGGTGCGTCCCTTGTTCCCTGGGGCAAACTCCGGGGCCTAATTCCTCTTCGTTCTGCGTTGAGGGATGGATGTAGTAGGCATTCTCAAGATGCTTTGCGAATCATTTTGCAGTTGTGATGGACGTGGAACATTGCCAGTGTAATGCCTCTGCTTTTTAACATAACCAGAATCACCAATTCCAATATGACATATATAAAAATTGTAATAAGTAGGTTATCAGCGTCTTTTTGGACTAGAGAGCGACACCAGCGTTGCGTATAAGTCAGCGATAGTCTAATAAGCGCAGACGTTACTAGGCGCGTTGTCGACTTACATCGTTATGGAGGCGGAAAAGAAAAACATGCAAGAAAGCATTGTCACTACTGAAACTCCACTAAAAAAATCTCATTGACTCGAAATAAGAGCCGAATAATCATCAATGCATTCAGTGCCTCCTATACAAGTCAATTATTGTCTTTTTCCTGTCAAGATCCTCCCTTGGCGTTGATAGAATGACACGTGATACATTTAGTCAAGGGTAGCTTTATCTCCACATAGTCGACCTCAGCTTCATCGTTCCAAGGAGAAGAGGGGACAGCCAAGTGTTACCTTGCTTTTCTTATCTTTTGATCGCCATGTTATGATTTTGATGCTCAATTTGGACTCTTCAAGTCGCCAATTGTCCGAGGCTGGTTAATTCCTGAACCTCATCCTTGCGCCCTCCTTATCGTTACAATCGCCCATCATGATTGCTTCTACCTGGACCTTCATCGCCCTTGGCGCATTCTCGTCGCTCACGGCAGCAACACCAGCTCGAGAAGATTCGCTTCCATCATACCATTATAGCGCTCCTATACCCGTTGAGTGTATGAGCCGTAACTCGTACGTCCCTCTTTAAACCAACAATACAGCACCCCTGACACGAAGGATAGAGAAACAGGCGAACACGTCGAAAACGAAAAGCACGAGATCGAATGGAAACCCTTTCCCACATGCAACGAAACAGGTCGTCCCCTCGAGTTCAACTATGGTAAAGAAGGCGAAGTCAATTGCACAATCGCCATGATCGACGACCCCTTCTTCCATCTCCTCGAATTCTACATCCATTCCGATGCGCCGCTGTCCTGCCGCATTCCTGCTCGCCCAGCCGCAGAAATCGAAGTCATCGGCGAGAAAGCCCCCGAGCGTGAATACGTTCCTCTCGTTTTTGCCCTCGCAGGCACGTTGCAGCTGAGCCACATCCATATCAGCACGCACATGAATGTTCTGCTGCACAGCACGCCGAAACACCACACGCATCCTCACGATAGTGGTGTGTTGGACTCTGCTATCGCTTACAGCACGAGCCCACTGCATCACTTACAGGGCTCGCATACGCGCAAGTTGGTGATTGGGGATCCTTTACCTCTGTTACTTTCGGTGCGGTGGTTCCCTACGCCGGCGCTACCCAAGACAGAGGGCAAGGTGGAGTGGCAGGGCTTGGGAGGCCATATCTACGCCAGCACTGTCTTTTACAGTCTTGTGTCTTTTGGTGCTGGTGTTTTGGTTGCTGCCATGTATACACTGGGCGTGGTACTGCCCAAGAGACTTAAGGGACGAGCGCTTGGAGGGGCTACACCCTTGGGATACGGAGTGAACACCGTGGGTAACGGATGGGGCTATTCAAAGCCGAACAAGAGGTCGGATTAAATGTCTGTTTATGTACAATGCATTTATGGAGTCAGGATGGACATGGGCTTTGGCAATGTAGAGCTTGTAATGAGAAAGAGCTGGTGCTTATCAACACCAACAATGTATATTATATATTCCGTCTACATTTACCCAGATTATATTATTTACTGTGTCTTGGACTTGGTATCATTGCTCGCGCGTCGCAACAACCTCATGTACATATCCACAGCCATGATACCCGCTTCAATATTCATCAGCAAAACTCACGATAAGAAGGACAAAACTTACGTAGAAGAGCATAAGGGAAATACGTGCCCCAGGCCAAAGTCAACTTTTGCTGATCATTCACCATTTCCGGTCCCATAGCCAAAAGCTCAGCGACACAGGCGACAGAGCCCATGGCAGTCAAACACGCAAAAACCAACCCCGCAAGCTCGGTAGGGCCAGAAGTAGGCTTCTTGGACGCCATGTTCCAGATGATGTACGCAGCAAGTGGAAACTGAACAAGGAATTCGATGTAGTACATGCTGTGAAGCCACTCGCCAGTAAAAGCTGAGCCGTAAAAGGGATCGCCTGAGAAGGAGATGTAGGTGTTGCGGATGACTGTGAGGAAGTGCAGGGGGGCTTTGGGGGAGACGTAGAGAGATTCTGGGTAGAATTCTGTAAAGTCGAGGACTAAAGGTGTCAGATTGAGTGAGTGGTGACTGCGAGTATACATACCAATCATGCCAATGAGTTGAGGGATGATCATGACCAGGTAAACCCAGTCGCGAAGTGGTTTTTGAGCCATTGTTGGAAATATCAAAGTACAAGAGACGTAAAAATGTTTATGAGATCGATTGAATAACTGACGGTGATGTTGTCGTATTGTATATTGAAGAGGGGCTTATTTGGTCTGTCTCTGTTGGGAAATGAAATGTGATCCCGGCGCCGGATCCTGGTTCCACCCGGGATTCTCGGCCGCCGATGGCTTTATAATGGCCGTAAGCCATGAACTGACTATTGACATAAATAAATACATGAAAATTAGAAGAATAAATAATGATCAATTAATTGGTGATAGCTGGGATTCATTCTGATTACGAAGGGTATATGAGTGGTAGAGAATGCCATACTATCCAGTCCTCCAGTTCGATTGTACAAATCAACGCCCAGTGTCAAATACCGTTATGTTGGTATCGCTCCTGTAACTGAACTCAGAGACTTTTCCAAAGACTCAACATCATATCCAGCCATTAAATCTGCCCAAAAGTCATCATCAAACTGGAAATCCGCCGCCCAATTCGGATTACTATGCAGCACCGTCGACGGCTCCAGAGCAGCTTGCGCCTGTTCAATCTCGCGCTGCTCATCCTGCGGAATCTTGGACAAATACCACTGCCGAATCCATCTGACCTTGAAACTCGACTTGAGAAACACGCTGCTCCCGTCTTCCATCACTCTTCGACGCCGATTGAGTCTCGTTGCTTCTTCGTCTGCTTGTGCGAACTGGTCGCTTAGTTTTTGGAGAACGTTCTGGAATTGGAGACGTAGACGCGCAGCTTTGACATCCCAATCAGGAGATGCTTCAGCAAAGATGAGGCGGGATGCTGTGACTGTCACAAAGGCGAGGACGCATGTTACTGTGCAGGGAAGAATAGAAAATACTGAGGCGGGCACGCCTGTTTGGTGCTCTAGTGCGCCGCGGGCGGCTTCGAGACATTTCCAGATATATTCGGCGCGTAGGAAGGGTTCGTTGAGTGGTGCGTCTGTTGTCAAGAGGTCGGGGGATTTCATGGTAAGGACAGGTTCGTAGAGACGAACAATAAGAGAATCGTAGTGAGCTTTGAAGCCAACTACAGATTATTAGTGACTGTTCCTCCTGAAGGGGGCGTGATACTAACGCGTTTGCTTTACAGTGTCTGGTTGCGCTTCAAAGAACTTGTCCAGTTCGCGATGGACATTATCAAGAGCCATCGCTGTCACAGCGTTGAAAGTTCTTGGCGTGGGATCCATAAAATCGAAAGCTGGTATAATACTATACCCACGATCGGCCATGTGTTGCATGCGAACTAGCGAAACAAGATATGCATCCGACTCGAACTCGTTGCCCTCGACAAGACTGTCACAGCATTGGGATAGGTGTGTACTCCAGTTCAAGAGCGTGCTCTTTCTGAAGTTTGAGTTGAGTCTGCGCCTTGTTAGCCAAGCTTGGCTGATGAGAGGAATAACCTACAAATTTGTGATGTGGTAGACACCCAATACAGCACGTTTATCGGCTGATGACTGGTAGACTTTCCCTTTCAAGCAAGATCTGCCCATTGTCGTCCATGCGTCTCCGAGCATAGTCTTTGGCCCGCCCAGAAATGACCCAGCGAACTTGTCCAGTCTTAGATCGATGACCAGCCCGATGGCCATCTGGACGATGTTCGTAACTTGGAGCTCTCCGTAGAAGTGGAAGTCGTTCCTACACAATCAGCACCCGTACTATCGTCCCTTTTCGAGAAGAACCTACCACCCAAGGTATATCAGGATAGCCTGTAGGATATCCACAGACTTTTCCTGTCTCACGACAACATGTTCTGCGAGATACTTTCGGAACCACCCCTTGAACTCCATCTGCACCTTGTCCTCCAACGGGGACACAACCGCCAAGATAGTCCAGAACAGCAAGCTTGACTCTATGTATAGCTCATGCGATGTCATAATATCTGACAAAGGGACAAAGGGGAAATGCGGCACATAGTCCCTTTTGTAGAGGGCCAACCGCTCTGCGGCTTGTGGATGCGAGATGCGAAAGCCCGGGAAGAGTTCGACATTGGGGGCGAAGTTGGGAGGGATATCGGATCCACAAGGGATCATGTCCAATGATCTTGGGCTTATTGAGAGCGACGCCATTGACTGAGATCGATGTTGGGTTTGCTCTTTGGGGCTTTCGGGGGTTAGAGGGGAGAGGTTTCGCTGGTTTGCCGCGAGTAGAGAGACGATGCCGTCAATCTTTTTCTCCAGTTGCGCGACTCTCCTGTAAAGTCTGTTAGTACTCTTTCGATAGGAGGAGAATTTGTGCATACGTTGACTTGCCTCGCTTCCTTCGTTGTGTGACTTCTGGTACTTGGCACTCAAGCTTCATTCGTAAACATCTACCCAACGTGAGTATCTATCACTGTTTGTCTAGGGGCATCATACCTTGAACACGCCTTTTCTGGCCGTCCAGAACCCGAATTAGGCCATTGGCACTTCATTTTGAGTTTTGCGCAGTTCATACACGCCCTTGTCTTGTGCTGGTCCTGCGACCGAGCATTGTTATCGGAGTATTCATCCATGGCGAACAACGTAACAAAGGGGACCAAGGATTGGACAAGAGCAAGAAAAAGAGTAAAAGCGAAAATGATAACATGCGATCAATTAATTAGTTGAATCTGTTCTGTTCTGTTTTGCGCGGAGGTAAATATGAGATAACGACCGGTAAACCCGGGCATCGGACGCCTTTATAATGTCCGGTCCTGCTAGAAATTCAGTGTCCAAGCCTCAATTGACCAGTTTTGGGGCGGGATACGGGGGTCATTTTATCCTCCGGTCTCCGGTTTGAGGGATGGTCTGAGAGGAGTTATAGTGCTTACACCTACAGTCACCAACAACAAATGTCGAATGTTCATTTGATTGGGATTATCGAATTGTTTCGGATATTTAAGAGGTCCGATTTATCCTAATCTGATGTTATTGATGCATTATTTGCCTGTAAAACACCATATGCCAAGCAAAACACGAAAGCCAACACAGTTACTAGAGCAAGTGTCTGTTAACCAATACTTCTGTTGGTGTTATCTGGCATTCCGTCCATATCCTCTTTTCCAGTAAAGAACATCTGGTGTGTAAGATCGGACAGACCTTCAGCCGAGTTCGTTACAGCCTTTACCACCACGAAGCCCAAATCCGACATACCAACATCAAAGGTAGCGTAACAATGCTCGCAGGTATCTTGTCTCTGCCCAATACGTATCATCATCTTGAAGTCGTAAAAAGCTTTCATGCAAGATGGGCGAGCAATTAGAGCTGTAAATGTTAGTTAGCTAAGGCAATCATGGTTGGGACATACGTACAAAGATCACATTTTGGAGAACTGCGTAGGGGACAACACGTATTTTATTGTCAACTAAAATCTAGTGTATTGTCAGTTTTAGCAATGCAAATTGAAAGGAGTGTATCATACCGTAGATGGTTGGTCGTAAAGAGCGTGTTGCGCCGCCATCTTTTCCAGTGTATGTTCTGCCGACATAGGAGATACTGCACACTTGGTGAACTGTAACGATGGCGTGCCTAAGAGCATCTAGAAGCCATCGAGTTTCTAATCGAAATTCGGATCGAGACTCCCATCGCACGTCTGGTCCACCACTTCTTGTCGTTTTGAACAGGGAACTCTGACCCCCCTGATGGTGGTGCCTTGAAGGTGTCAGGGCGAAGACCGCTTGTTACGGCCTCTTCATCGACGGTACTCTCGTCCACTTCAAGAATGGTAGCGAGAGGCGAGCCGATCACACTGCAAGATGGTTAGTTGTCTCGGGTCTTGCAATATAGGGGAGGAGAAGTTATTTACTTCTTGCCAGGCTCCTCCTTCTTTTCTACCTCGACCTTCTCCTCGGTCTTGGTCTCTTCCTTTTCCTTGGTCTCTTCCTCGTCATCGAGGTCCATTCCTAGAAAAGGGGCAACCTCAGCCTGAAGACGGAGCGTTTCGCGGCGTTGTAGGCGCTTCTGTTTGCGGGTGAGGACGGTTTCCTCGCTGCGATCGACATTGTCGTTTCCAAAGTTACCCATTGAGGCACTCTGCCGGCGGCTAGGGCCGTCGGTTGACTTCTGGGGATTTGTAGACGACATTTTGTCTTTTGGTAGAAAGTTGATGATGCGAGGTTTTGATTAGATGTGTGTGGTTGATGTGTAGATAGTAGGTTATTGCCTGATATCAAAAGATTCTTAATCTTGATAGAAGGTTGTGGTGAGGATGGAAAGGGATGAAATTTAAGTCTGGAGATTTGGTATAATTTATACCCCCCCCGAACAAGAAGATCAGAGAACAGCATGGACTTGTTCACATGAAAATGCACCGCATTCCAAGTTATTTTACGCGTTTTGGGCGTTTGTCTAGGCTGCAGTGAAGTACAGATAGCGCGTTCGGGTCAGTGACAGGCACTTGGAGAATAACAACGCCTAATACAGGCAGTTGTTCGACAGTAGCAAGAGCTTGGGCGCCAGTAAATTGAAATATGCATCTTGTTGGACTACTGTTCAATGGTATCGAGTAACCACAACACTGGAAACACGAAGCTCGTCTGACCTACAGACGAAACAGTGATATCAGAACCAGGAACCTTGTGGGATTGCATCCAACCAGTAACATACAAGTGTTGTGTTACGCTTGCATCTCTTTTTAGATTCTCAGCAAGCCGCCACAAAAACAAAATATAAGTACATATACAATGTTAGCCCAGAGAGTAACGGGTCAGTGGCACAAACTTGGCGATTTTCTCCATCGAGGCACCATCGTTCAAGCAACAGAGCATCATAATCTTTGGTCATCCATAGTAGACCGACCATATTATGAGCAGTGTTGTCTGTTCATGATTATTGATAGTGTCCGGTATCTCCATGCTCTACTTTGGTACTTGGTAGTTTCAGCCATCCACTGCAAGCGTTCTGCTGCCAAGTCTCGGATATCTGGTCGGCCTGATTCGTGAACAAGTACTTGGCAATGCGAGTGGATGCCAACAAGTATTGTCAAACTCCGCTGTTTCTCCTGAACAAGGTAGTTCCAAGAAATGACACTGAGCTTGAGAAGAGAGCTTGAGTATGAGAACAAAACAATTGATATTTCGGTCCCAATCACCGGGAATAAAGCTATCCTCCTGACGACAGATCCTATTTCTGCGTCCCTGAGAGCAGCTAGCTGGTAGCAGAGCAGTCGGCCTACCTCCTAGATAAGTCTTAGAGTATAAACATAAGTAGCTTAAGAACCACAGGCTACATAACATAAATTAGCCTACCAATTTCATCTTTTATTCTCCTAGCGGCAACGTTTCTGATACCTGACGAGCAGTTCCACGACCAGCTCGCAGTGCCCGGGTTGTCGCGCCGCGAATATAGAGCTTGCTTCCACCTCCACTTTCAACAACTCATCAGAGTAACCAGCGTAATTGGTTTAGTGGTAAAATTCTCCGTTGCCATCCGGTTTCCAACGAAACTAGTAAGCTCGGGGAGCCCTGGGTTCGATTCCCAGATTACGCACTAGGACAGTCTCTTGAGACAATTCGATCCTTTTGCTTCGATTTCTTTTTGTTTAGTCATGATGCTGATGTTTTGGTGTTGTTGTTCGGGCGAGTGTGGTTGAACTGAGCACGTGAATGGTCGATTGATGCTGTTGAAGTAGAAGGTACGACTTCCTTCTTACCCTCAGCTCCTTACCCTATGGTATTTGTTCTGATTTTCATGTTCGAGCTTCAACCAATACAGCATTCTCTGCTTAGTATTTTGCTATATTTGATATCTTCTAATGGTGAGAATCTTTAGACAGTCAAGAATATCTCTTATCTGACTATAGTGTTCTCTGGTTGTTGTAGCTACGGCTGGGTAGAAGAGTGAGATCTTGTGTGGACATAACACAGGTCCACCAGACTGCTAAAATCAAACTTTGCAATACTCAACATACACATTTTCGAGTCGTATCTCGCTATAAGTAGAGAATAGTAGGAAAGTTGGCATTCCAAGTCTTAGGGTACAAGAACAAACAACCTAAGAAGTCTGATCTAAATAGCATAAGCTTGCCTATTATTTCGTCTCTTATGCTTAGCGGTCAATTTTTCTGATATCCTGAAGGCATCTTATCAACGATTGAAATGTCTCGTATTCATTGATATCAAGATGAAAAGGGGTTACACTAAGCGGATCTTACTTATCCCGAGCGCACGTGAGATGAAGCTCTCCACCTCAAGATTCTCACTCATTTCGAAGCTGACGCGACAACCCAAGATAATCAATTGAGTCGCGAACAAAAGTCATCTTTCCGTGCCTTTGTACACTTCAATTCGTTTTGTAATTCATTAGCGATCAAAATGCCTTCTCCAATTGTTGCCGCTACGGTCCAGGCGGCTGGCCTGTCTACTGTTTCTAATATCATGGCTCAGATGATTGAGGCTCGTCAAGGAAACGTAAGTAACTAATTCAATCATTAGTTCAAGAATCATCATGAATGAACTTATGACTGACTGAGTCCTCAGCGCCCAATGTCTCTGGACATCATTCAGCTTCTGCGCTTCGTTGTTCTCACTTTAATGACCGCTCCTCCCAACTATCACTGGCAAGCCTTTCTAGAGCGAAAGTTCCCAGCTTATCCTTCAGGTCGAAGGCCTAACCTTGATCGTTTGAACGATCTTGAGATGCAGCCTGGCCAAGATGCACCCGAGCTCAAGGAGGGTTACGAAGAGCGGTTGGCACAAATCAACAAGGATCGGGAGCCCAAGTTTAGTACTCGTAATACCCTGACTAAGTGGTTTGTTGATTGTATTACTGCTGGTGCCATCATGAACACCATCGCTTTTCTGATCATCATGGGTCTGCTCAAGGGACAAGGCGGTTCTCAGATCTGGAGCAACATCAAGACGGTGCGTTAGATATTGATTGTGTAAGATTCATTCTAACAATTCACAGGAAACGATTCCCATTATTGTTGCTGGGTACAAAATTTGGCCGATTGCATCCATCATCAGCTTCACATTTATTCCTGTCCACCGACGCATTGTATTTTTGAGCTTTATTGGTCTTTTATGGGGTATCTACATGAGTCTAGTAGCCGCTAGAGTTTAAAGAGCGTAAACACGAACAGAATCTAGTTTGAAAATGGAATATCATGTACAAGAAAGCTCAGACCTTTGAGAGCACATATCAACCAGGCATCAATATCGGAATGATTCATGTTACCTGTCACAATGTGGGGGTCACTTGATCGGATCAGCCCATAAGCATCGTTTTGAGACAGTTGATGCCATAGGGCAGGGCTGGACCGAGCTGAGGCGTTTTTCATGTCGGGTTGTGCCCAAAGGCCGCATATCAGGCTGCATGACCCGACCCTGCAGCGGCTGTCTGCTGCCCCTGATTACTGTATCTTGGCATTGCAGCACCTCCCGAGATCAGAAATGATATAAAATGAGGCCAGAGGTATCTATCACTTTGTGGAAGTAAATGAATTTCGTTGGTAGCACAGCATTTTATCACAAGAACTTCACACAAAGTGTCTCACAGGTGAGGAACTTGTTGGTTGGCTTAGACTTGTGCAAGTACCATGTACGAGTAATCTCCCTGCGCATGGCATGATATGATCTGATATGTTTGTCGAGTCAAGTAAGCTTCAAGCACGACTCAGCCACCGAACGAATTGATCATTCTTGTGTCATTTCAACATGTCCAAGCTTGAAATTGACGCACAGATATTCTCGGCATCCGAGCTTTGGAGCTGGGCAGTAACACAATGCAAGGAAACAACATTCAAATGAAAAACCACACCATGTAAGAATGAATTGCTGTTGAAATTCGTAAAGTGAGATATGAATATTCCTCCAACGCCAAATGAAAACCGAAACACCTCTAAGACCTGAACCGCCAACCCAAGGTATGCAAGAATTCGATCATCAAGAAAATGTGAGTGCTTTTTATGATGCGTTTCCGTTGTACGTGGGATCTTTTTGCCAGACTTGGTGAACATCTTGAGAGAATTGTGCTGTTAGGTCACGAATTTTGCTTTGAGTTGTTAGTACATGGATGATCTATCTGTAACTGCAACAACATACCAAAGTTTGGATATATCTATATCCATAGAAACAACAGTAGACAAGTCGGATAAATGGTTGGCAGACAGGGCTTGTTCGTGGGCGTCTTCGACAGCTTGTTGAACCTCACGACTTTCAATCAAGGCGTCTGTCATTTGTGCCCAATCTTGAGCAGCTTGCAAAAGATATTCACCAATTTGGCTGACGACGTTTTGTGTTTGTTCAGAAGAGGTTGATGAGGAAGAATTCTGCTTTGCCATTCTTGTTGAAGTGACTTGTGTTGTAGATTGTGTGCCGTTGCATTGGGGTCGTATCACCGGGACTGAATTTGGAGTCGTCATTGGTAACGTAACCAAAAGTGCTGAATTGTTACAAGAGTTTGAGTATCTGTAAAGATGAAAGAGGAAAAAGATTATTAATCTCGGAGGGTGGTTGATCAAGAAGAGTATAGCGAGCAGTATGAGAGAGGAAATGTAAAACAAACGGGTAGGAAGCAATTATTAGTAGTTTACTGGGGGGTCTCCCCCTAATACCTGTCAGACACCGCATGGAATGATGATCGGGGGTGCGACAAAGGGCGAAACGAAACACCCGGTTAATTTGTCACGTCTGAGCGGTGGAGAAAAGGAAAAAAAAGAAGAAGCAGAAGAAGAAAGGATAACAAGAAAGAGGAGAAAAGAGAAAACAAGGCCAGCAGCCAAGCCGAGCCGACAGCCAACAGAGGGGCACGCAAGCAAGCAAGAATGGTAAGATCAACTGTTTTTAGAGTTGCAATTTTGGTCTATTTTAGCGTGTAAAAAAAGATGGGGACTTTGAGATCTAACATTGGAGCGAACAAGAGAGAGAGACATAAAGAAAAGAGAGGAGAAAACAAAGTAAACATGATAGAATGGTTCGATTATGTTGATTTGTTTTAGGGGTGTATATGTACAGTCAACAGGCAAGATAACTGACAAGAGACACATGGTTCTAGAAGGTTACGACTGCATATGCTGTGAGATTAAACAAGACATGTTGTCTCTTTTCTCTTCTCTCCAATATATTCCCCGTGGAAATAATGTGGCGATTTCGATCCATTACGATTGCGCCAGTCCAGGACAGGCCAGTTTAATCTAGTCTAAGCCCCCGTTTGTCTCTAAACCCGGGTACCAGTCCGGTAAGTGGGAAATAATGGAGCCTCTAAAATTCGCCTGGACCTGACGGAGTTGCAGGGGAATTAGGACGGGATAATTTGGGGGTTGATAGATTTTGTATTTGTTTTTTATGCCAAGATGGTTGAGAATCTGAATATGGTAGTTTAGACGCCTAACATCTAACTTATTATGTATAATATATTACACTGATATGAGTTTGATGGCATCTACCTGTTTACTACTGTACCTGACAGACATGACATTCGGACCTTTTACCATTGTTTCCCCGCGATAACAGAACGAAATAAGGGGGGCTTAACATTGCAACCACAAGTAAAAAGCCTCACCCGAATAACAAATAACAACATTCCTTCAGTAAATCAGTGTGATGCTATTCGGCAGTTGTGCATATCGCCAAGATGTCACAAATCCCATCTACCGACAGATTGCTTCCAAAAAGGAATCCTCTTTTCATCTGTTGTCTCTTTTCACAGCATAATTTACTGGAGATTGGCATACACAACAATTGCCAAGTGAATCGGCAATTTTCTTTCTCATGCTGTGTCATTTCATGTCGCATATTCAGCGGTGAAGAGAAAAAAGCAAATAAAGACAAAAAGAAAAGAGAGATAACAATAACCTAAGCAAAGCATTTAACCCAGGTAGGGTGGAACATGACCTAAATATCAACAGTGTGGAGGACGCCACGGGCGCTAATGCACCCGAAACAGTGGTTCACCATCTCCGCTAAAATGCACTGAACCCCCAATAAGAGCCTTCAACAGAAAACACCCCAAAGACATACACCAAAATGCTATCCAAGATCGGTTACTTGTGACGATAATTACGGGAAAAGCAAATATCCATGTAGAAATTTAACAAAACCATAGGGAAGACCCTTGTTTCTATTCCTTGCAGAGTCGTCATTCTTTGTCATGAATACCACTTGTCCTTTGTTTCATCCTATTTCTGATACTACTATCCCTTCATATTCTCGTACGTCCTTCCCATCAGACCACTCCCAGACAAATCATTACCAAAACAAACGCCGTATACTTAAAGTGGTGACATGCAGCACAGACCGTGTTCCACCCCGGTGAGCTTTACGTGGGCGGCTCGTGATGCAAACATCCATGCAGGCCATGTTTTGACAAAGATGAGACGACATGAGATGTGACGTATGTTACGTTACGTCAGGTATGGACTCTAGAGTTTGTCAGTACTTTAGATACAATAGTATCTACTGACTCGTGGATGCCACGTTGATTATATCCAAGTTTCTGGGTGCAAGTGGATGAAACTCAATATCATTGCATAGCAGATCCACTAACGAGACAACAACTCTAAACTATATTCACCCTGGACAGCATTGTCTTGGTATACCGACAAGTGGAATCAAGGACAGTATCCAAAGGTCAACAGCTTGTTGGAGTAAACAACTTGTACATGCCCAAAAAACAAACACCTGATCTTGTCACGGCAAACAACAAAGAGCAAACTTGGCATTCTCTCTTTTCTCTTTCCCCAAGCGAGGATCTTCGGATAACGGCGTGCAGAAACGAATCTGGATCTTGAACCTTGACCACCAGGGATACATAACCGAATCCTACAATCCTAATCAAGAAGAGTAAATCTTGCGAATCCCGCAAATCACAATCCCATCAGCTCAGATACACTAACAATCGTCACGGCCATTACTGAATCTGTACTATAATTTCTCGACTCTTCAGAAACTCTATCACCCTGGTGGTGTTAAATCGGCCGCTAATGCACCCTGCAGTATGTACCCGATGATCATCAACGCAGGGTTATCATTCCGCTTTTTCGGTCAAACTATCTTTAAGTCCCTTCTTTGCCTCGGTTTTTTACGGCCGACAATCTGACTAATAATCAATCTAGTAGTCATGTGGTCTAGTAAATCACTCGGTTTGACTACTCAAACCAGAGGCAAATTACAAAAGAGAAAACAACTAAGCTTTGTTGTCTCTTTACTAACTAGTTGAAGTGTAAACTCTGATTGTTTAGTACGGCGGAGAGATGAGGAAACTACACAATGCTGGGCTAGATAATCAAACAGCATACAAGACATGAAGCGTTTGTTTAGTCTGGATGCAAACCGCATCTAGACTATGATACTGAGGGAATCCCACAACTATAAATTCCAAGACTAATTCCAGATCGTAGAATTGTAATCACAACACTCCTTCTTCCCTCATCAAGGACAAGATCTATCAAAATGAGTAAACCATCAGTTCTCATCATCGGCGGAGGCGTCTTTGGAACCTCTACAGCCTACCACCTCGCTCAACGTGGCTACACCAACGTCACTGTAGTAGACCGCTTCGCAGCTCCATCAAGAGACTCAGCAGGCACAGACTTGAACAAGGTCATCCGTGCCGACTATCCCAACCCACACTATGCAAAGCTCGGTCTTGAAACTCTCGATGTCTGGAAAGACCCAGAGTCTCTTTTCCAAGGTTTGTATTCTGAGACGGGGTGGATTATGGGCGGTCACCCAGAGACGAACCAATGGCTTGAGAATGCAAAGGTTCTAGCCGACAAGACAGGCAGAGAAGGAGTTGAGTACCTCTCCCAAGAAGAGATGAAGGAAAAGTGGCCTGCTTTGACAGGGGACTTCCCCGGATGGACGAATTTGTTTAGTCCTCAAGCTGGCTGGGTAAGAATTCCAGAGTCATGTCAAGACCCTAATTAACCAGTTGTTAGGTCCCCTCAGGCCAAGCCCTTCTCCGCATGGCCAAAGCTGCAGAAGCAATGGGCGTCAGATACATCACTGGCCCTTCTGGCCAGATCAAGACGCTTGTGTACGACGAAAACAAGACTTGCAAAGGCGCCATCGCTGCCAATGGCCGATATCACTTTGCAGACAAGATCATCGTTTCAGCGGGTGCAAGTCTTCCAGCTCTCATCAACGGTGCTAGAACCGATGTCAGAGCAGAGACGTCTGTGATTTGCGTGATCAAACTCGAACCTGATGAGATTGAAAAGTACAAGGACATTCCTATCATTGATGACTTTGAACAGGGCAAGTTACATCTTCTACTTTGAGGCATTAAACTAACAGAATAAAGGTATCATCTTTCCCCCTGATGAGAACGGTCTTATCAAACTATGCAGCGTAAGACTTGTGACCAACTACGAGGACCATGAACACGCTGGTTCTTCTATCTTGCACTCCATCGGTGACTACCCCTTTGACGGATGTCCTCAGGAGCTTGAAGTGGAGATTAGGCAGTTTGTTAGAGACATGATGCCAGAACTTGCAGATCGACCTTTTGTCCACACACGAATGTGCTGGTAAGTTCCTATTCTCTCTACCCTCTGTTCCACAAAACTAACAACGCACCAGGGATGGCATGGCCACAGATCTCAACTTCCGAATCTGCCCGTATCCGGAAACCGAGAATCTCATCATCGCCACGGCCGGTTCGAACCACGGTTTCAAGTTCCTCCCCATCATTGGAAAATACGTAGCCGATCTTGTCGAGAACAAACTTGACCCTGGCCTCAAAGATCTCTGGAGATGGAAATTCGGAGAGAAGCCCACTGATTTTCAAGACCCTCACCCGTATCCCCGAAGGGACTTGTCTGAGCTGACAGGCTGGAAAGGAAGAAATGCTCCTGCTGGTGGAAAGTTGCCTTGGACGTGGAGCCGCAGTCGTATCTGATGTTGTCTATGTGTACACCCCTGGTAAAACCAAAAAACTAGTTAGTCTAGTTTACTCATATCTCAACTGAACAAATCGATCTACATATTCCCTCTCTCACTCGCAGCGGAGATGGAGCTATGCACGCACTTTACCGCAAAGGGTCTAGAAAGGACCAAACAAGGAATAAATCATCACATGACAGTTTGCACTAGGAATGCTTGCATTCGACTCCATTTTCAGGTCAGTCTAGGGATTGCGTGGAGAAGATGCTAAACGCGGGAGTGGGCAAAGAAAAGTTGGATTGTGGTGCAAAAATAAACAGGCTAAATGTTAGGTCTTGATGGCGTAAGCTGACTTGTTAATTTCGTCTTTCTGTACTTTAGCGTTGTTGTCTCTTCTCTCTTCTCTCTTGTAAGCGTGGCAATCTCGGGATACTCCACCGATAACACGACGACTTGACGGCTGGAAGGTTAGAGAGGAGACCTGATTAGTGGAAGTTACACAAGGAGGTAAAATTTTGTCGGTACTGGCATTAGTTTGGAACTCTAGGTTGGGCGTGAGTTGATGTAATGAATGCAGGATTCCAAGGTGAGTCACGAGCCGGTTGAAGATGATGGAGTCACTTATAACTGGGATGACAGTGAATAAAGTTTGTATTTAGTTTGATTCTTTTGTTTTCCCTTATGGATGATCACTACCATTCTATGGTCCGTTGATCCGAAGTCACAAGTACAACACTGTAGCAATCTTGATCTAATTTCAGGGTGATATGAATATAAACTCGATCTCCACCTATGCTCTCAAGTCCATAACATCCCTCTGAATTTCCGTCAAAAAGAAGCCCATTCACTGTGTAACCTTGGCCTGAGCCTTGCTCTAGTCCCTCTTCACTACAGTACCAGCTGCAGTAGACTCGTCATGTTCGTCGACGATCTCGAACTTGTCAGGATCAGGAAGCACACCATGAGGGGATTGGGAAATACCATAGTAATGATCCTCTGCAGATAAATCTTTCTCTTGTTTTTGTCCAGAAGGAGTTCGAACGTTGTCAAACTGATAGGTTCGGATTTTGGCGGGTTTGCGACTACAGAAGCAGCTGCAGGTGATGACCCTGGCAAAGGTGAAGAGACCACGAAAGTCTGGCATATTTGCGGTGTTTCTGATGAGTCGAGGTGTGTGGAATTTGATAGTTTGAGATGAGAGTTGACAGGATTCGATGGTCTTTGTTTGGATGAGGTGAGTTGAGTAAGAAAGAATTATATTGTTTTGGTTTCCAGGGAGACGTTTTTGCTGTTTTATATGCTAAATTTACTTTCTGTCGTCGCTACACTCTTACTCTTGTTCAGTGCTGTGCAGGTTCTTGTTGTCCTACTTGATATGTGTTGGTGTTTGTTGTCAAAATGGTAGGCATAGGCGAACAGTACTTGAGTTCAGTCCTTGTTGTGATCATGTTCAGCCTGTCTTTTTCGTTCCCATCCGAACAAGACCCAATCACAGACCGTTAAGGGTGAACAGTCTGTTTTCTTGGGATGAGTAGTAAACACGACTTTACGTTACCAACAGATCTTTGAATATGGCGGGGAAACGACAGTCAACGACCGTCACCAACAACGTTGATTCAAGTAAAAGCCGCCTGACTAAAAATATCCACTTATATAACCATTAACCGTCGGGACGGTTTGTGTTCATACCGTTTGTGGCTGCTTTTGCTACAGTTACATCCTCCGTTTGACAAGCGCAGAAACCCCATTCAGCAACAGTGAGCGATGATATAGGCTTAGTAAAGGTGCTGAATTTAACTCATTTCCTATTTATAGAAAGCCATCTGTTGATCGCAATTACTCTGTAACGTTTCTCTGAGATAAACTCAGCCCTCCCAGAGTACCCCATTCCATACTCAACAAGACTGCATTCGAGTCGCGCTAAAATGCAGAACAATTTGTAGTTACCAATAAAGGTAGCAGAGCGATCTTGGTCGGGGTCCTCATTAAGGGAAATGATGCGAGCAAAAGTACCAGGATTAACAACTTCGGCGATTTCTTCGATGCTCTTCATGCCGTTGGTATTATACCAGTCACCCAGACCGTGCCAACCAACAGTAGACAGGGGAGTATCAGTAAAGCTGTCGTTAGGGCGTACGGGTACTGCGTGGCACTACACACCGATACCACACAATCCTCAGGCCTTGAGATACCCGTTCTAAACAAAGTAGAGTGGCAGGGTGATGGAGTCGTGGTAGAAGAGTGTGGCCCCTGGCGAGGTCTTTGAGGATATTCTTGACAGCCTGTCCAGACTTGTTCTTTGGACAAAGAGAAGAGTATATACTAAGCATTAACACTAGACCTAGAGGTTCCGGAGTCTATGCCGGCTTAATCGAATTCATTGCCAGCACTATTCATAAAACGTCAAAAGTATCCAGCTGGCTTGCAAGCACTTCATTATAGTTGATCAGTAGCCATTCAAGTTATCGGAGCAACAGGCGTAAATAGTAATAGAGAAAGTAGTAACGAGGGTTTTCATCTATTATATACGATGAGATGAAGCAACTGTAACTCTTCTTTGTTCAGGGAAGCCTAGCGAATACAGAAAAGAACCTTCAACTGATAGGACCTGACTTACCCTGCAACTTACTACATTGGTAGTTTCTACTTACAACAGAAAACCTTCTGTCTGAAGGATGTTTTCCTAGGCCTTATTGACAGATAAGCCCAGTTACCTGACTAAACAAGAGATGAATATAAATGTTGTTATCTTGACTTAACGATATCGTACGATCATGTCAAAGATATCCAGAAGGAGTCAAGACATCCATTATAGTCTCGATCAAGTAAACAAACCATCAGCCGATCTCATGATAGAAGAAGCGTCAACCCACGGCCGCAAAGTATTTCCCTATCCGTAGTACATGCATCGTCTATTCTATCTGTTTATCATTGCCGTGCATATACTTATCACCCTCTATCTATACGTCACACTCCCCGCTGCTGATCCGATAAGCCGTGTCTCAAGACTACTGTACCCCGCGTCAAACTATCCTCAAACAGGGCATGCTAACCTTGCATTCCTCAAAGTATAACTGAATTCGGGTTTGATAAGCTGTTTATCTCGTGATTGACTGCAGTGTCTCGATTGCATGATGATGGGTGTTTGGGCTGGTCATAAGAAAAGAAAAGAAGGCTGCTGAATGACTGTGACAACTCATCGAGATACTATCTGTTCATGATCTTCAATATGCTTGCCATCAAAGAGTTTCTTCATTCTAATAATGTCCATTCTTCCCTCGTTCTGTCGTTGTGCGCCGCAGCTTGTGCCTGTTTGGGCCTTCTAGTTCATACCCTCGTCAAGCGAAAGAACCTCAATCGATATGTCCGCCTATCCTCACCTTCGCCAGAACCTGTAAAAAAGACTGCGTCTGCCGATTATACAAATGTTTATCCTCCACCTCAACGTCATGTTCTTCCTGAGATCTCTCCAGACTTCTCCCCAAACAACGTAGATCTTTCAGCAGCGCCTAGACTTCTCCTCAGACTGGACCAAGATTATCGCTATGCGAACCCTGCAGCATACAACTTTACGGGATTCAGCGTCGATGAGATCAAAAGACTTGGTGCATTCCCCGATTACGCAAAGTTGTCTGGTGTCCCTCTCCCAACACCATTGAAGAACTTTGATCTTGACGCTGCGTTGCCGAGACCATATCGTCCGTTTCGATGGGCTTACCATCAGACTATGTGTAAGCTGTCCTTCACCTTGTACTGAAGAGTGAACTAAAACTCTCGCAGCCTTAAAGAAGATGGATCCCGATTTCTGGATCGAGATTGAGAATACGTACCGGTCTCGCATTATTCAGCGTCAAATCCTCTACGCAAAATACGGCAGAGATGTTCTTCAAGCCCTTCCCGGGTCTGAGCTCGCTTGCAAGGAACTCATGGAGATGGTGATTCAGTTCATATGCGCCCGATATCCCCAAGCATTTGAACTTCACGGCAGAGTGTTTGTCAATCACCTTTTGGGAGTCAAGCAGGACCTTGGCCAGATTGAACCTCTGCTCTTCCTTCTCAACCATGTTCCAGAGGACTTTGCGCTTACTTTGAGAGACCCTGCAACAGGGCGTTACTGCTTTAGAGCGGGTGTGATATGTTCATCGGTAGGGTGGAAGTTGAGTGAGAAGATTGGACTGGGATTGCCTGAGATACATGCTCCTGTGCCCGATTACAAGGAGAAGATGGAGTTCAGCATGGATAGGTACGTCTGAAGTGTCACTTACGCACATGCAGGAACTAATACTCACAGGTTCTTTACAAAAATGCCCACCGACAGTCCTATCCAGCGCGGATCCTGGGGTTTAGAAGTTGGCCAGCCACTCTTCATCCCCTCAGAAGACCCCGAATTCCAGACCCGCGAGACCCAAAGCCCATCCCTGACGGAGGCAGATGTCCATTTGCGAGTTGACTGGCAGACTCTCCGTCGTCTTCCTCTCTCAGGTGCCATCGTGTTCAACTTTAAAGCGCTCTTCACGCCTATGTCCGAGTTTAGAGACGAGCCATATGTTCCGTCCCTGGTCCTCAAGGTGCTTAATGAGGGAAAGGAGAATATCATGAAGTACAAGGGAACATGGCATGTTGAACATGTTGCCAAGCCGACGTTGAGGAGATGGGAGAGGGAGCAGATTGACAAGGGCTTGATTCCTGCGGATTGGCAACCGACTACGTTGGATGAGAACCCTTTCTTTCCTGGGTGGGAGAAGAAGTGGAATATGAGCTAAGCGAGATTTGTGAGTCGTTCATATAGCGACGTATCAATTTAAGTTTTTACATGACTGTTAAATTGCGACCCGGAGATAGCTTCACTTCTTTGTGGCATTTAACTTTCAAGTGTGCTATAGTTCGATCACCTTGGAGTGCAATGGAAATGGTCAAAATGTCCAATGAGCCTTGACTGGTGTCTACCCGGAACATGATAAATGTGCATTGATAAATGTCGCATCAAAAGGAACGATCGTTGGTAAATTCTCAAATTTTACTTCTGACGCTCGTCTAACTTATATATACTATCTACCAAGGATATTTCCTAACTTCATGCTCCTTATCAACTTGCAGACCCCTCGCCACCTGCTTCTCATGCTCTCTATCAAGATACTCGAGCAAAACCTCACCATATTTTTGTCTCCCCTTATAATTCGCAACCTTATCATCCCAACTCCTCACCGCACTCGCCAGTCTACCAGGAACGTAATCCTCCTTGGCAATATCCGTCACTGGGTGGAAATACGTTCGGATCGTAAACACCACAGCACCCGTCTTGGGAAGACGACGCAGAGACTGTCTCTCAGAACGAAACATGTGATGCTCTATCGCCCTGTTCTTCTCAGCCGTGCTCCAGCTCACAGACGGTGAGTCTTCGCTACCGATACTCCAACTCCACGCGAGATCCTCGTCGACTTGTACAAAGTAGTTGTTGCGGTTGTAGACTGTTTCAGGGCGTAAACGCTTGAAGAACTTGCACATGCCTGTCTCGAGCTTCTCCTTGAAATGAGGAACGTCGCCTGATGTGTGGATTTCGGACAGGGACATGCCGTATTTATCAGACATGCGCCAGAAGCCAGCTAGTAGGATTGCTCCTGCAAGGAGGTAGTATTGGCCGTCGGGACGCTCAACCATGATGGCAAGATCATCTTGGACGAGACGCGCGCATATAGCCATGGGATCTTCAGCCAAGGGTCTCTCAACGATGTTAAAGTCCTCGCCAGACCACTTGTTCTTGATTCCAACAGACGTTCTCTCAAAAAGGCTGGGGTATCTCGCAGGAAGATAATCCGCCATCTCCTCTAGAAGCTCAATAGCAGCGGGATAGGCATCGGGATGGGTAGCAACACATTTGGAACCCCTCTCCGGTATTCTCTTGGCCTTGTCGGCGTGATACTTGGGAAAGTGGTTATCCAGCTCAATCCATTCCTCTACGGGGCATGTGCGCAGACCCATGGTGGCTTGGTAGGTAGGACCATAGCGAAAAGCCCTGTAAGGGAGAGGCTTGGTGTTTTCGATGGACCAGTTGGGGTATGGCCCTGGGATGGGTGTTTTGTAGTCACTTGGTGTGTAGTTTGCTGATACTGGGGGTAGTTTGCTCTTGGATCTAAAGCTGCGACGGCTTTTGATAGTGTCATGGACTTTGTAGATGAAGAGACCGAGGCCGGTTATGATACTGAGGAGTACCACTACCTCATGGGGACCAAAGGAAGAGAATGAGATTTCCATGATGGTCAAGATTAGAAAGAATTGGTGATAATTGGATAATGCGAACAATGACGGTTTCACGGTGTAAGTCACGATAGATATAGAAACATTCTTAACTCTCCCCACAAGCACTCCAACTACTGCTACTTACATCTTCCAAGTACATGTCCAGTTACGTACATATTTTGCGTATCATATCAATCAATCATCATCATGTGCCCGGAAATCGCTGCTTCAAGTGGTCAAGCGACTCGGTCTACCCCGTGTTCCGACTCGGACAAGTGGGTCTCTCTTCTTCCGGCCATCTTCTCCCAAATAGGAAAAAGTTGACTATCACGACGGAGATCTCGTTATCACCCCGCAGATGTCACCGGAAACATTATTCTAAAGAGGGAATGAGGGTGTTTGCATCGAGCTGTGATGATAGTCTTCTCGAAAGAGGCTTGCAGATAATCAATAAGGAGGAGAGACAGAGAAGAGGGGGAATTGGTGTAGAAACTGTATATGAAGCGTCCATCTCCTTCGTTTTAGCTGTATCAACAAACACTTCTACATCACTCAAACCACACTTAAAAGTACACAATACAAATATCCAAAATGGCTTCCTTTAAACACTTTGCCCAAGCCCAATCCAAATTCGAAATTCCTCCTCTGTCAGGCGGAAACACCTTCATCGGAGACATCCACTCCACCCCCGATGATGCCGCGAAACCCATCACAAGCGGCCTCTTTCGTGTCAATAAGGGCGAGCCCCTGACATACACCTACAAGTACGACGAGACCAAGATCATTCTCGAAGGCAACTTTGTCCTCGAGGATTCTACGGGACAAAAGGTCGAGGCCAAGGCTGGCGATATCTTTTTTATTCCCAACGGAGCGACTATTACCTTTTCGTCTCCTGATACGGGACTGGCGTTCTACTCTGGGGCAAGAAAGTTCAACGATCTATAAGGAATGGGGATTGAAATGTCATAAAGAGGGATTGGTGATAGAATTCTTGTAAAGAAGGCCAATATAAATTCCCAATATACAATTAGATTCTTTGTTCAAGTAAACGTGCTCGTCCATGATAACTCCTAACTCCAAGCATAATGAACCCAAATTAAAAATTAAAAAAAAAATACATCATAACAATCGTATCTACCCAAACATTGACCTCAGATTCTTATCTTCCATAACATCAACCCAATGCACCGAAGCCACACCAGGCGGTTCATCATCGTAAGCCTCCCAAATCGCCTTGATAAGCTCCTTAGCCATAATAACCGGTTTGGGCGGCAGGCTACTCTCCAACATATTAAGCCGTCCCATAATAAAATGCCGCGCGTTGCTGATATCAAGAGACAAGCGTGATATAACGTTCGTAGGTGGGGGCGCAAAGGGGTCATTAACAAAACTCGACGAGGCAAAGTCTGCTTCCGAGGGGAACGTCGATATATCCAGCATCGTAGTCGTATCATAGCGAAGACCCGTACTAGCGGTGATGTACAGCAACGGCTGAATAACCCGAGTACCTGAATTAGGCGGGATGAGTTCTAGAACGTTGACCAGGCGAAGACTTAATGGGATAATCCACTCCTCCCAGGGAATATGTCGACTGTTTGCATGCACTGAATTGCTCGGCAGTCGCAGGGCCACAAGATCGGGGAATGTCTGGTAGAGATGGAGCAGCGCTGCAAGTTTATAGGCCTCTGCAACCTGTGCGAGATGAAGTGATGGTGTTCGGTAATCGCCCGTGTTCGTAGTGGAAAGACTACTCTGAAACTCGAGACTCAGTAGTTTCTCCTCCAGTCGCTGTGCTTCTTGTATCTCTTCCAAAGCCCGTTGGAAATCTCGACCTGTCTCTTTAGGTAATTTGAGGTTCCGCCGGAAACTTCGACAGAGACTTATTGATTGGCCGAAAAGCTGTGACGAGAGGGGAGAAATTCCTGTCCATGGATGAGGAGAGTCGTCCATATATCGTTCAGCAAGTTGCAGTGCGCCGTCGGACTGGGTATGTGTGGTTGTATCGTTCTCGTCTTGGCTTACAACCGCAAGGAGCATCTCGCAGTACGTCAGACTTCTGTTAAAGAAGGACAGAAGCTCCAAATCCGTGGCGGAGAGCCTTTCTACACGTCGATTCAGGCGGTCTAGAATCTTTGTTGCCGATTGAAAGAATGGTATCCCCAGTTGCCGCGCATCGACCCAACACATTGTCGTCCCCACGCAGAACAGCGAGAACAGCACACCAGCAGGCAGGGTATCCGTACATGGATTCAGCAGAGTATTATGCGCCTCTGAAAGAACTGATGTTGTCGCTGCTTGCAAAAAGTACACTGCTGATTGCTTCATATGGGGTAACCGTGTAGACAGAAAGCCAGCTGACATGCTCTGCAGCGAGCTGAACACAGATTGAGAACCCGTGCACAACTCAAGCGCCAGTTTTCGGTTGAGATTGAAGTCCGAGTCGAAACCTGACCATAGCGTGCAGACTTGTTCGAACCAGTTGCTGATGAGTAGGGATGAAGTATCGGTGATAAGACCAACTGTAAGTGGCGTCGCTTGGTAGTATTGCGGTTCGAAAGGAGGAGTGAGGGATCGGGAAGTCATTTCGACGTTTGATACTGTCATGTCGCAGTTTTCTGAAATCGAGCCCGATCGTGTCAAGAGGTCTCTATCGGAATTTGAACAAGGGCTCGTCGCCCAAGTGTCGTCGTCCATAATAGAAACGGGGTCTTGAACGGGTAATTCTTCAATCTGAAGGTACTGATCAAGCTCACTGGTATCAACTAAGGTAGAAGAAGTCGCTGTAGGTGAAGTCTCGGGCTGAACTTCAGATCCTCTGCGTGAAGACGTCGGTGATGTAGTGGTGAGGTCAATCTCTATCTCTCCCGGTTGGTGTTTAAAGGACCATTTAAACTCTTTCCAATAACCACCACACTTGACGCCTTTGTTCACACATCTTAGACATTCAGGTCTTGTTTCGTCGCATTTTGTCTATTCAAGACAAGTCAGTCTTGCTGATAACTCTGGGAATCGGGTTAGCATACGTGTTTGGCCTTGCAGGTTGTGCAGCCTGATCGTGATCGCGGGTTCAATCCATTCTTTGGTTTGGATATGGATGAACGTCTGCAAGATTTTTTGGCACTTGATGTTTTGGTAGACATTTCTGATGCCATAGAAACAATAATGGTTGTTGACGAAAGAGTAATGCAGATGGAGCTTAGATGGCAGCTATAAGAGAGGCCCTGGTCAGTGGGACAAGATAAAAAAACGCGGGGAAATACATCACTATCAGCCACTAATAATTAGTGCGGTCGCCTAACAGTAGTTTCACTCCGACGTAACCAGACAGCTGATAAGGAGCTGGACCAATCCTTTGGACAGTAAAGATGGGCTTCGGCAGCCGAGTTCCATTGAGTGACGATTACCGTTTAGCAGTGTTAATGTTGGACTGTGGTTCTTATCTGCCGTTAAGGACAAACTCCACTTTGTTTATATACCGGAAACCATCCGTGTTAACCGTTGCATATCAAATGCCGCCTCACCTATACGATCACATACCGCCTATGATATAATCAAAGTTGTATTCGAGTTACACCAAGGCAAACTAGGCGTTGAAATCTATCCTGTACCTCTAATATCTATCTATAGATCCAATTAACAGCTTGTCTACAATCTCGGCTTCACACCCACTTCCTCTCGCGCCATCGCATTCCACCTCCTCCACAAACCCTTCCTCAACTCAGTCCCTTCAATAAAATTCCTAAACCACTCCCTCTTGAATTTAGGCAACTTACGTCCCACGCCCGACTCTCCTTCACCAGCCAATTCTCTGACAGTATCAAAGTAATCCTCAAAATCTGGAAACACGACAGAGAACTTTGGTCCATCACCTCGCTCCTCGATCCTGTCAGCCTCCCACTTCTGCATCTCCTCTTCTGATGGCACTGTTGCACGCCCCGCAAGGATACGCGCTGCATACACAGCCTGCCACTCAAAAATCTTGAACGTGAGACCTGCGCCGACCGCACCGACAAAGAGAAGCGTAGGATCTTTTTGATAGACGACGTGCTGGTATAGATTCGGTACGCGGTTGTTACGCACGGGGAGACTGGGCAAAAATGGCAGCGTCCAGCTGTAGCCTGTGCCAAAGACGATGTGGTCTACATCTGGGATGCTGGTGCCGTCGATGAGATGCACGGTTCGGCCCGTGACTTTGGCAATGGATGGATGCTGTCTTATGTTGGGATGATCGAATGCTGTGTCGCCAAAGAAGACATTTGATGTGTGCCCGATGGTGATACAATGAACGGGCGCTTTTGCCGTGTTGACGAGATCAACTGCAATGTCTGCTGCTGAAACAGAGGCGCCTACCACCACAACTGTCTATCATCCACGTCAGTGCTATTCATTGGTAAGTCATCACAACAACCTACCTTATCATGAAACGTATCCTTCCCGCGGAAATGTTTGCTGTGGACCACACTCCCAGGCCTTGTCTTTTCAAATTGCTCCAAGCCTTCAATGGCAGGGACATAGGGCACCCAATAGTGACCACTCGCAACCACAACAGCATCAAACGTCTCCATCCACCAATAATCCTGCTTCTTCCCACCCTGTCTCAGTACAACCTTCCACTCGTCCCCTTCCTTCTCGACATGTTCCACTGTCGTATTGTACGAGACAAGATCCTCGTAGTGGTTACGCTCCAAGATGCCGGCAACGTAATCGCGCATGACTTTCCAGTGTCTAAAGGGTGTTGACGGGCCATGCATGCCGATTGACCTTTCACTTCGAATGGCTGGGATGGGTTCCTGGGTGTACTCCATAGTCGATGTGTCAACATTAGTTTCCAGGTATGGATAGATTGACGACTCTTCATGACGGGGTTGTGTAGACTTTGGTAGAAGAGCTGGTAATTGTGTAGGAATAGGCAATGGCTCATCTGCTGTGCGGTCTGCGAGCTTTGCCAAGTTGGAGATTGTTGGAGGTTGTGTTGTATCGCCAATCCTTTCGTCCTTAGTATTTGATCGTCACCATGAGTTTTTACAAGACATACCAACATCCTCCAGGACCTTCGCGACGTTCAAAAACCCGAATGAGATCGAATGTCTTTTCTTGAGAGAGGGCGTCAACAGCAATGGCCCCCGCTGGTCCGGCGCCGATGACAGCCACGCGTTTTACGACCCCCATCTTATGAGTTTGGTAGTATTCAAGTCACAAACGAGTATGATATAGAAGAGAGTGAAAACAACTCTGTGTTTAATGAAAAATAGTGAAAGAGGCAAATATAAAAAAGAAACAGTCGTCTTGTCGTGTCTTGGTCCAAGGATTTTAGTGGCCGGTAATTCTCCACTCATGGAAAGACACCTTCTAAAGTCGAACCAGGCCCTTGGATTATGCCTCAGATGAGATTTGTCACGCCATCGCTGCAAGCTGGATTGCGTATTTCCGGTGTTTTATGATTTGGTTTGTTGTCTTTTCATATTTACTAATGTAAGGATTTGAGCTTGGGTTGATGATTGCCATGTCTTATCTCATTAGTTGTCTGAGACATCTAGAGCTTCCTCTGTTGAACAATATCAAATAATACCATGAATCAGAAATAACGATGAAACAAGATTAAGCAATGGTATTGAACTGAATCAACTGCAGAAACAAATGCGAACATCGCTATATTGGACATTGCAGACGAGCCCCAACACCAAACATCAATCATGCCGATCTAAATGCACAAAACCAACGCCGTCGCAGAATGGATATGATATCATGAGTCCCCCAACTTTTGTAGCACATTACTTGTTCATCTCTCTCAAACCAAAGCTCCATATCCCCGAAACGAAGCTCGCGACGAAGGTGGAACAGACTGTTCATGTCGATATGTTTCGGGATCGCATCGCTCCAAATCCCTCAGCCACGCATTCATCCTCGCCTTCTTGTCATCGCCCAGACTGCCATGTTCATGCGCCGCCCAATCGTCCTCGCTGAAACTCCAGAGCGTCAAGTGTTCAAAGATGGCCATGACAGCAGAAATGACAATGACGGCGATCGGATTACCCCAATCGTCGGACCAAGCAGCGTAGAAAATAAGCACAAAAGCGTCGAGCGCATCGCTAAAGAGGTTCGTCGCCAAAGCGCGGGTGACTTCGCGACGGGCAGAGTAATCGACGGAAGCGTTGGCCGTGTCGCTGGTGTATAAAAGACCAGATAGCAAAATGTCGCGGATGCCAATCATGCTGGCGAGCATGTAGGCTGAGCCATCCGGGGCAATGTCGAGGGCCCAGAGGCCAAAGCGAGGGTATGCTATTAGCGAGACGCCGCGAAGGAAGCGAGCGAGAGAAAATGTTGCGATGGCGAGGCGCTGAACATGGTTTGCGGCGGGGGCTGGTGGAGGTTGTTGTTCGTATGGCGATGCGATGGCTGTAGGAGTGGAGATGGGGAGTAGAGGAGAGTTTGAATCTAGAGGCATTGCCTTTTGTTTGGTGAAGTATTTGCTCGGTAGCAGTTATGAGAGATGATGATGATGATGTAGAGTTTTTATTGAGACAGAATAGAAAACAGAGAGTCAAGGAAAGATGGGGATGGTAACAGGTAATATCAAGTTATTCTACTGCTCTATTAAACAAACCCTAGCACAAAAAGAAAGAGAAAATCCAAGGTACTGTAGCTCACGCGTTTCCCCACAGATAAAAGTGCCCGCAGTAGAGGTTTGAAGGTGTCATGACCCCCAAGACAAAAAACACCTCCACTGAAACATGCCCCCCATTACACCTGCAGCAATCAACCCTCTACGATCTCGATGCAACCACAGGCGCTAACAGAGCTAACAGAGCTAACAGAGCTAACAGCAGCTAACATTGTGGGAACATAAGCTCCGAGTCGGTCAAGGTGAAGACATCATTATGTTGGAGAGGGTCGCGAGAATCATGATGATCATTAGGGGGTTTTCAGTGGCGACAAACGGAAACTCTTCTCTATTTTGCATGAGAGAGAATCAGAGAATAGGAAATCAGCTGTTATTAAAATATCGAACGATTCATCAACTATAGTAAATGAACTGGTGGAGATAACAGCCTCTCACTATCAAAATCATCCCACTCATATTGCACTCCCTGCCTGCAAACTGCACATATCTCACTATTTCTATCCCCGTCTCCAAGGGTCTACACATAAATTCTTCTAATGCCACATGAGCACACCCATTTGATATCCAAGCGGCTGCTGTAACCCAGAGCGGGGAACGGGAAAGCTCTCTGACTCGAGATGGACAATGGATGATGTTTGCCATCTACCACATGGGAATTACTACAACTCTCAAAGCGTCTTGCAATGGTGTACCCAAACATTGCCATCTGTTACTTTCGGGTCTTTTGCATTACCAAGATCTACAAGCTGCCCGCCTTGCCACAAATAACGTTGCGATGATGAAGTATGACAAGATGTTTGACATGTGCAATTGTCTCATAAGGGGCGACTCTTGTATCATTTGTCTCGTATATTTCAGTTGTAAATGAGAAATCACAAATAGAAAAAAGGTACCGAGTACCCAGCCACCGACTTTTATCAATCATCACGACGTTAAACTTGGTGTTGTAATACTAAAATCCAGCCGCACTGACGGAAACGGCAGCTAAAAAAGAAAACAAGACTAAGACAGACACTATCCCACCCTTTTCACCATCACGCGGACAGATCTCTTATCTGAGTTATCTCTCTTGTCTTCCAATAAGCGTCGACATTTGATCAAGCAAGGAAGTAAATATGCACAACAGGCATGGGTCACGTACATCAGTTATCGTGCAATGCAAAACGCGCAACATCAAATGCATACCGATAATATGGATCTTGTGAGGCAGTATTGGCTAGGGTGAAGAAACAAATAAACCCATCTTCTTTCAAATCAGTAACCTCCAACAATACCCTGATCATAGCAAGCTTCATCAATTCTTCAACAGCCCTATGAGCCCCTAGCTTCCACTTACGTAGTTTCTTCCATATTCCAGACCTTTAATTTCGGATACAGATAACCTTCATAGCAGTTCCTGACATTTCGCTCCGGTTGTCTCAGACCCGAAATGGACATTGACAAGCCGCATTCATGGAGTAGCCAATAACAAGGACAACTCCCCGAGCATGCTTGACATCTGGCTAGCTATTCCAAGAATGGACCACCGAATGGTCCATGATCAAGCTAAGTATTCTCCAGATCGCAGACCCACGGCTGTCAGATCGACTCCCGAAGCTTTGACAATTCCTCCTCGTCTAAACTATCACGCCAGCATAAGGTAACTCTCTTAATATTAATTAATCGGCGACAAAAGTAACCCCGGGAAGCTCTCATCATACCGTAATTAAATCAATAAGCTTGCAGTTCCCTATTGACCTCGTCCCGGCAGGCATGTTCTCATGCCAAGCCCCCGAAGCCCAGACTACATCTGGCATTAGAAAACGTCAACTTGATGTAAAGAATTCCAAACTCTGCCCTACAACGATGCAAACTGATATTATTCGTCTTTGATCCACTGGCGCCGGATAACTGTAACCGTAAATACTCTTGTCCATCAGTTCATGATGGACTGTTCCGCAATGCTACCCTTGTCTCTTATACCCTTGATGTTGCATTCACTTTTCGGGACCCGTCATATTTTGAGTCCAACTGCATATCATCTCATCTATTTCATTGGACCTTAAACGACTCTCCATTGTTGGACAACATCTGTTATTATAAACCTGTCCTCCAAGATCTATCAGAACGGCTACTTCTTAATACGAGCATTGATACGAAAGCCATCAGCAATATCATCAAAATATGGGTGGTCAGGATTCTGGAAGTAAAAGGTCAAGTGCCAAGAGCAGTCCTCATGAAAGTCCCCAAATAGGTGGCGAGCCAACTGCTGTGGTAGAACAAAGTGAACAAGGTACGAAAACAAAACAAAGGCTCAAGGTCAACTTTGAAACATCAAGGCTGCTCAAGACAACAATTGGAATCTCAATATGCGCAAACCACCGATGCTATCCCTTACACAAGTCACTAACACCATTCAAGACAGTCCCCAAAACCTCAACCTCGACAACCAAGGACTCTTACATGGCGACGCCCTGATTGAAGCAGGCGGCAGCGATGAAGACGGCGAATTCTCCGCCAGCGACTTTGACACCGACGACATCTCCCTCGCAAGCACCCGCTCTTCATCCACATCCATCAACTCTAGTATCCTCGAGCACAGTTACCAAAACGGGCGTCGCTACCATCGTTACCGCCATGGACGTTACCCTCTACCAAATGACGAAGCAGAGCAGAATCGTGAGGATATGTTGCATGCCATGATGCTTGAGGCCACAGACGGAAGATACTTTTACGCCCCTATTGGAGATAATCCGCAAAAGATAGCGGATTTAGGAACAGGGACGGGAATCTGGGCCATTGAGGGTAATGTTGGTCCCCTAAACTGAAAGATTGAGACTGATGAGATTAGTGGCGGAGAAGTATCCCAGTGCCGAGGTGTTGGGGCTGGATTTGAGTCCTATACAGCCGTCCTGGGTACCTCCAAATGTCAAGTAAGTATGGCTACACCTATTTCAGATATGGCAGTGTTGACATATTAGATTCATGGTTGACGACGTTGAAGACGAGTGGCTGAATGGCGATGACTTCGACTTTGTCCACCTCCGCAATATGATACCAATTCTTAAGTCCCCAGTGACACTTCTCAAGCAAATATATGCGTGAGTTACCTCCCCATTGGTTGTTTCTACCCTTATACTGACCTCCAATCCAGCAATACAAAACCTGGCGCGTGGGTAGAACTCCAAGACGTAGACGGCCAAGTCCACACAGACGACTATAGTATACCAGACGACTGGCCTCTCAAACGCTTCACCGAACTTCTAGTTCAATGCTTTGCGCTTTACGGAACAAATTCCCATGCTGCAGTTTTTGGGGGTCAGTATCTCGCCGAAGCAGGGTTTGTCAACATTCAACACAACTTTATCAAGCTACCCTATGGAACATGGCCAAAAGACAAGTAAGTTCTCAAAAAGTAGTCTGAGTACCATGCTAACAAGTTCCAGGGTGATGCGTTTGGTGGGCATGTACTATCGCACTGCTTGTGAAGAATTCTTTCCTACGATAGGAGCCCTTCATTTTCCACAATTAGGATGGGAAAAGGCAGAGATGGAAGTGTTTTTTGCGGAATGTAGGCAGTCTATGAGGGATCCGAATGTTCATGCTTACGGTAAAATGCATTTCTGGAGTGGCCAGAAGCCATTGGATGGGTAAAGCCTTAGGGTATCAGAGAAATTGACTGCTGGAAACATGAGACGAAATTAGTAGGTTACTTTATGCTCCTTAGACTATGATTCTTAGACTACTTGTTTTTATACACTAAGATTCAGGACGCCGACTTTTCTGCTGCCCACTAGGTAAAGACAGTTTAAAACGCCTGCTATAGTACTGCAAAGTCACAGTTATGGTATTAGTGAGAGTATCATGTTTGAAAGCAGTATGGTGAACTATGCTTTATATATGGTGCTATCAAATACCAACTTTTAATCACCTAACTCCAAGACGATCTTCAACAAAAATTCTACATTACATCAACTCAACTCACCTTCGTCCCTTCTTGGCCTTCTTAACTTTAGGCGCATCATCTTCCTCTTCCACATTTCTTCTCTTCTTTCTGCCCTCCTCGAGCAGCTTCGTCATGCCCTTTGTAGCCTTGAACTTGGGATTCGAAGGATCAATGGCATACTCGTGACTCTCAAACACAGCCTTGAAACGGTCATCACCGGTATCCATCTTGAAGTCTTCCTGAAGACCGCCACGGGTCTCCTTTTCCAAAGCCTTCTTCTTTGCCTTGCCCTTCTTGCGTTGAGCCTTTTCTGCTCGGACAATCTCGTTCATGTCAAAGTGGTCCAGATGGTCAGCCTGATCCTCACCAATGTTGGCCATGACATTCTCCAGCTGCTTCTTCTGGGCCTTGTCCTCGGCTTCGGCGGCCTCGCGAGCTTCTCGCTTCTTGAGGCGGTCGGCCTTGCGGACGGATGCCTTGGAAACAGCTTCGGGTTCGGCAGCAGTGAAGAAAGGATCATCGAAACCAAGGTCATCATCAGCCTCGCCGGCAGGAGCCTCGATTTCCTCTTCCTCCTCCTCTTCGGCATTAGGGTCCCGTCCTTCACGTCTGGCTCGAGCAGCTTCGCGCTTCTTCTCCTTACGCTCCTTCTCCTTTCGAACGTACTTCTCGATCGTTGTCTCCTCCTCCTCTGTCTTCTTGGGCGCAGACTCTGTAAGGGCGGGTGTGAATGTGATTTCCATATCTCCAACAGGGGCTTTCTTAGAGGACTTGGTAGGCTCCTCAGACAAGCCTAAGGCAGCTCGCATCTTTCTACGGGCCAATTCCTTCTTGGAAAGCTTGGGCCCATCTTCCTTTTCTTCAACACCCTCCTCAACCACTTCAATATCGTCAACATCATCATCTTCGCTGTCGCTTGCTAGGTACGCGCGAAGATCATTCTCCTCGATTTCGTTGCGGCTACCACTGAAGGCACGGTTGATGGACTCCTTGCGTGATGATTCCTCGGGGTGCATATCCCATGTGAGCTTAACCTTTGAGCTTTGTAGGGCATTGGTGACAAACTCGACGGGCTTGTATGACTCGGGAACCTTTTCACATTCATCTCTGGGTTCGTCGTCAAAGGTGACATCGTCGGGGACGAATCGAAGATCAAGGAAGTTGGAAGATGACTGGTACTCTCGTCCATCGACCGCTTCATAAAGCTTCTGGGCAACCTCTGGGCTTGAGCAGACCATAACGGCGTAGTAGTATCGGAGACGATCAAGCTGGTAAGATCGTAGCGCATCGCTATCGAAATCTTGATCGTCACCCTCCTCGAGCAAACTCTTCTTGATGCGCTCATCGCCATCCTCGCTGTCTTCGTCGCTATCCTCTGAATCCGAGTCCGAGTCTTGGTTTCTGGTGTTCTTGAACAGCGCCTTGGGGGGTCCCTCAACCTCTTCCTGTTGCATGCGCTCTTTTCCAAACTCGCTGGGGTACACTGTAATCTTGTCGATCTTACCACCAGTCTCGGGGAGGAAACTGTTGAACAGAGCCATGAGGTCGGTAGACTTGACATGATCCCAGTCAAGGTTGACAATGGCAATGCGATTTGTCACCTCTCCAGCCTCAACCTCGTTCTGCTCGTCCTGGAAACGCTGCATATCTCCCTCAGTATCGACTTGCGCGCCGCCCTCTTCTTCATCAGAATCCTCCTCTTCTTCCTCGGATTCAGAATCATCTTCCGAGGAAGAGAAACCACCACCTCGAGCAGGATCGTAGTTCTCGTGCGCTTTTAGCAGTTCTTTCTGAACAACCTCATCGTCGTCGACCTCGATCTTGCCGTCTTCCTCATCCTCTTCATCCTCCTCTTCGTATAATCTTTGCAGGGCCTTTTTCTTGGAATCAGACTTGATCTTTCGGCCATATCGATCGACCTTAGCGGTAGCAGTGAATTCGTCATCTTTCAGCATGCGCGAGAATCGTTTGTCGATCGTGGTCTTGGTCTGCCTCTTGGATGGCAATCGGAACCGGGGGTCAGTCTCGAAATCTTGGAATCGCTTGTCAGAGATTTGGCTGGCGGAGTCGCCGCCCTTCCTGGACTTCTTTGACTTGTCCATTTTGTGATAATAAAGCTGATTTGATATTTGTTAATCACAACCAAAGCTTGCTTGATGGAGGGGCAGAAAAACAAATGGAATTCAATTTTTTGGCGGTGAAATCTTTCTGCCAGGGCGGTAAGCTTCTTTTGGTTAAGGCCCCCCACAATTGGTTGATCGGTCATGGCAAGTACCGCGCATCCTCCAAAAAAATTCCAGCGACTTCGGTTTGGAACATGGTTTGCGCCGAACAAGAGTTAGAGCCTCAATTCTTTTCCTCGCATTAACATCACAACACTAGAAAATGCCCCCTCATGCGCGACCTGGGCGAGGTCCCAAACCCGAAAGAAATGGTCGCACTGAACAGCGACAGCAAAAGCGCAAGAGAGACCAGGAAGATCTTCAACAACTCGAGCAAAGAGTAGCTGAATTGGTATGTGAATAACATGCACAAGGTACTTTGATATTGACTAATACCATATAGGATCCTAAATCAGATGCCATCAAGAACTTCTCCCATCTTCCTCTCTCCGTGCCGACCGCCGAAGGCCTCGAGATCGCTCATTTTCAGACTCTTACCGATGTCCAAGCTGAAGCCGTTCCTCTCGCCCTCAAGGGCAAAGATGTTATGGGTGCTGCCAAGACAGGAAGTGGAAAGACACTTGCTTTTCTTGTTCCTGTCCTCGAAAAGCTTTACCGTGCTCAATGGACTGAACTCGATGGTCTCGGCGCACTCATCATTTCGCCAACCCGAGAACTCGCTGTACAAATCTTTCAGGTGCTCCAAAAGATTGGCACAAAACATTCCTTTTCAGCAGGTTTAATTATTGGAGGAAAGAGTTTGAAGGAAGAGGCCGAGCGATTGGACCGAATGAACATCTTGGTCTGTACACCTGGTCGCATGCTGCAGCATTTTGACCAGACGGCTGGTTTCAACGCCGACAACCTGCAGATTCTAGTTTTGGACGAGGCGGATCGTATTATGGATATGGGTTTCCAATCTGCCGTCGATGCTTTGGTTGAGCATCTTCCCAGGGAAAGACAGACGCTCATGTTCAGTGCTACCCAGAGCAGGAAGGTCTCCGATCTTGCTCGTCTCAGCCTCAAGGACCCCGAATACGTCTCCGTTCACGAAGCCGCTGTCAGCGCCACTCCCACAAACCTTCAACAACATTACATCGTCACGCCTCTGCCAGAGAAGCTTGACACACTCTACGGATTCATCAAAGCCAATTTGAAGAGCAAAATCATTGTCTTTTTGAGTTCAGGCAAACAAGTCCGATTCGTCTATGAGACTTTCCGAAGTTTCCAACCCGGTATACCTTTACTTCACTTGCACGGACGACAGAAACAAATTGCTCGACTGGAGATTACCTCCAGATTCACTGCCGCAAAGCAGATATGCCTATTTGCAACAGATGTCGTCGCTCGAGGAATTGATTTTCCCGCCGTTGATTGGGTTATTCAGGCTGATTGTCCCGAGGACGTCGATACATATATCCACCGAGTTGGTAGAACAGCTCGATATCAAAGCAAAGGTCGCGCAGTGCTATTCCTAGATCCAAATGAAGAGCCAGGCATGTTGAAGAAGCTAGAGCAGAAGAAGATTCCCATACAAAGGGTGAATGTCAAGGAGAAGAAGAAGAAGAGCATCAAGGATCAATTACAGAGCCTGTGTTTCCAGAACCCCGATCTCAAGTATCTTGGTCAGAAGGCTTTCATGAGTTACGTACGATCAGTCCATCTGCAAAAAGACAAAGACGTTTTCAAGTTCAACAAGCTCGATCTTGATGCATACGCTGCTAGTCTTGGTCTTCCTGGTACACCACAGGTCAAGTTCCGAAAGGGCGAGGATATCAAGAAGATAAAGAACGCGCCTCGTGCGGGTATGTCCAGCGGATCCGAATCCGACGAGGAAGGAGAGAAGAAGACCAAGAAGAACGAGGTGCGAACAAAGTATGACAAGATGTTTGAGCGAACAAATCAGGACGTTCTGTCAAGTCACTACAACAAGCTTGTGCTTGACGGTGATGAGGAGGGTGATGAGGAGGACTTTTTGTCAGTGAAGAGAGTTCTAAGAGATGGCGATCTGGATGACGAGGCAAACAATGCATACAAGAGTACAGCAAAAATCATCGATGGTCTTGGTGGAGAAGAACCATTTGTTGTCGATTCTAAGAGGCGCGAGAAGGCCCTCAAGTCAAAGAAGAAGATGCTCAAGTTCAAGGGTAACTCTACCAAGATGGTGTTTGACGATGACGGTAACGCCCACGCCGTGTATGAGCTCAGGGATGAGGATGATTTCATGGGTGAAGGTCCAGCCGAGGAACAGCGTCGCAAGTTCGTAGAAGACGAAACATCTCGCGTTCGCGAAGCAGATGTGGACGACAAGGCCCTTGCCAAGCAAAAGCGTCGCGAGAAGAAGGAAAAGCGCAAGGCTGCCGAGCGAGCAGAGCGCATGGGTATCGTTTCAGACGACGAAGATGCGCCCATGCTGCACAACGCCGACGATGGCGAAGATCCTTTGGCGCTATTGCGATCGCTACCTGTGGGCGACGACAGGTCGGACAGCGAGGGAGACAGGGAACCACCCAAGAAGCGAGCCAAGAAGTGGTTCGAGGACGACTCAGACGACGAAAGGCAGAAGAGCAAGGGCAAGGGCAAAGGAAAGGTTATCAGGGTCCAAGAAGAGCCCGAGACTTTGGAGGATCTCGAGGCGCTTGCTACAGGACTGTTGGATTAGGTTCAATACCCGGGGTTTTACATGTAGGAGACAAAAATGGCGAAATAAAATGCAAAGTATTAATGGTTTCAATGTTGATTTTCCTACAAGTGTGGTCTAATGTCATAATAAAAGTTCATAATCGAATTGTAAGTACGCCTAGTAAGAAGCTATCCATTCCCACGCTTCAATCCCCAACGACATTGTGAGTATAAGCTACGCCATAATACAAAACCATTGTACATGAATCAAACTATCCGTCAACGCCCCAAGACCAAAATCATGCCGATTCATCCACCCGGTTTCCAAACAACCTCACCCGGTAAAAACACGTGTGGTCCGGTGCACCATAGTTGCTCAAAGCACGAATGATGACATGGTCCGTCGGAATGAGCAGATTGGCGAATTCATCGTTGATGTGATGAACGTGTACGCCTTCATTCAGTTCATCGCCTTGATATTCGAATTGAGTAATCTTTACGAATGAATCTGGTAAAGGAGAAGGATTAAAGTCCCAGCCGTTGATGTGGTCAGGGAATTTGTTAGATGAGTAGTCTCGCACGAGCTCTTGTTCATCCTTGACCTCGAATCTAGCAAAGACTTCAATGTGTCGTGGTCGAGCACCAGGGTCCATTGTTGCGTTGGGGTGAATGTGTTCAATAACAATGTTTTCAGGGACAACCTCATGGCCCATGTGGATAGACAGTCCAACGCCATGAGATCTCCCGTCAGTGTCTTCAGTATGCGACCCACACCAGCGTTCTCCCTCTTCTTGCCAAGGACTAAGTGCATGTATAGCAGAACGAGGACGAACCCCCGTGAGGCCAAGCGCGAGTGCTTTCTTTACTTGAGCTTTGTCCTTGTATGGTTCCCAAACAGGCGCGGTAAACTTCGTTTCTATGGTAGCCCCAGCCCCAACACCAAAGAAGTTGACCTGGTATTTAAGATTAGAGTTCCAGTGGGCATGAATCTTGCTCTTGGCTACAGCTTCGAGGCTGCCATCTGTAAGAGTTTGGTAGATGATCTTTCGAATGAGCTTCTTCATCTCGCCATCAGACATTGCCTTGGGAGCCATCATCTTGGCAGTCCGAATGGATTCCTTGATGTGATCGTTCATGTACTCTTTAAGCCTGTTAAACTCAGCTTCGACTTCTGATTTATGCTTCGTCAGATCGCCCTTGAGATGTGCCATGAATTCATCTCGAGAGAAAGCAGTTTCGTTTTGCTTGCGAAGTTCCTCGCCAACAATCTTGGCAAGCTTCTGATCGAATGCGGCTCCGGAGCCGGCAGTTTGTTTCTTAGCCATTGCCTTTTCCACGAGCGGCTCGAGCACATCATTGTTGTTCCTGAACCATGTGTCCCAGAAGTTTGGTAGTTTGTCTTGGATACTGTTGCCGACAATGCCATCGAGCTTGCCTTGAAAATTGTTATCTTTTCCGAGACGTGCCACGATAGCTTTCCATTGCTTTTCCGAAGAAATTTCGAAGTTGCCGCTCTTCTTGTCGAGATTCAAGAAGCTTCCGCTCTCTTTGAGGTGATCTTGGAGAGCATGCCAAAACTCGGGCTTGATTGATGGGCGTCCATTAATGAGATCCATATGCACAATCCGAGGAAGAATTGTTTCTAGCCTCTTGAGCGCCTTCTTTTGGATCTTAGCTTGATCCTTCAGCGCGTCCAATGCTTTCTTGTAGTCATCTGGGATGACAACGTCGTCCCTGGCAAATGGATCAGGGAAAGAAAAGTCATCCTCGTCCCTGCCCCATGAAGGCCATGAAGGTAATGAAGGCCATGACACCGAGGGTATTATTTTACCAACACCAAATCCTTCAGTGCTCGGCCAATCCATAGTTGGTTTCAGAGAGCCGATGTCTGGGAAATCAGGGACATGTCGCAGAGCTCCAGAGCTCGTAAGTAGGAACAAAGCGACACAGCTCAATGCTAGAGCCCAGACTAAGCGCACGGGGAACGATCTTTGTACTTGTCCAACTTGTATACCGCACAGACGATCAAATAGATTGAAGAAACGGTCCATGGTTTTGTCAAACCAACACCTCAAAACCAGCAGATATGTCATGGGGGAGAACACGCGAGTCCAGTCCGTCGGAGCACCGTCACTGTTGACCACATTATCTTCGAAATTGAAATCGAAAGGCTCTTGGTCTCCACGTCGAAACCAATAGGGCGGCCAGAGGAAGAATCTGACCCAACCTTTGAATCGCACCCACTCAAAATACCAGGGTGATGCTTCCATCTCCCGCACCATGTCATGTATCCGAATGTTCTCCCGCTCAGCTGCTGATATTTCCCTTTGAATCTGCCAGTCGCGTTGTTGTGGATCATCTGGAAGTTGTCGAGCTCTGTTCAATGCATCTGAACCCGAGGTTGTAGCCGGACCAAAAAGACTCTTCGATCCATTGGGTCTCCGATCGTTGAGTGTAGCTCCAGTCCCTATTTCCAGTCCAGTACCAGTCCCGGGGAAGGGTTTCTGCTTCGCCCATATTGAGGGTTCTGATGCCTGTTGAGTGACTTTACTCTCATCCGGCCGTGTTGAGGTCTTTTGCTGGTCCCGAGAACGAGATGACTGCGAATCATTCTGTCTCGCTGTGACGGGTGCATCATTTTTAGGTTCCAAGTTCTCAGTCGACTTTGTTGAACTCCTTTGGCTTCGAGAACGGGACGAGTGTGACCTGGTTTGTCTCGCATCGACTTCATCGAAGTTCTCAATCAGTCGTACTGAAGACCGCGGCTCTTTCTCATTTCGAGGCGGCAGTAATTCATCATCACTGGACTCCTCTTCTTCAGGTCCGAGGTTTGTCTTGGGTGCGGATTGCTGCTTTGCGGGGGCTACTGGCGGCTTTGATGGTGCCGGTTCTATCGTTGCATGGTCATAATAATCGCTTTCCAGTTCAAAGCTTCGCGAGCTGTCATCATCTCTGCCAACGGCCAAATGCCCGGTGGCGGTTGTTGTTGCCTGTCGTGCGGCATCTGCCACGTGTCAGAGTTGTCATACATTTAGGAGTGAATGAACATACTGTCTTTCGAGGTCTTACCTCGATCTGCCTTTGTAGCTGCTGGTTTGGGTGCCGGTTTGGGTGCCGGTTTGGGTGCCGGTTCTGGTATTGGTGGTCGAACAAATTCTTCGTCCTCGCCGGGATGTTTCTTAAGAGCCTGGCTAACGGCGTTCTTCAGAGTCATTTGTTGAAGGCCGGCGCCTAGTCTGGGGGGTGGCTCAACACCAGAGCCATACGTGTACTGTCTCCGAGAACTCGGAGTTCCTTTCAGAGCCGGTAACTTGGGTTTGACCAGAGAAATTTGAGGTCCACCAGTCGTCTCTTCAGGCTCCCTACTTGCGTAGCGAGTACTCTGTCTTACAGGTCTTGGAGGCATGATTGTGAAATTTGTGCTTTGAATGAGTATGATGAAAAGAGCAAGGTGAACAAGAAAAGTTCATGAAGGAGGTGTGCCCTTTTGTGTTATTCAGTCGTTGTTTTTCCCAAGAGAGCGAGAGTCGTCTTTGGTCTATGAAATGAAAATAGTAGTCCGGGCTTTGGTGTATCCCAAACAACCGCCCAAGGTCGATACCACCAGTTCGTTCCCCGCTTCTGATTTTGGATCACAAAGACGCTTGTTCTGTGTGCCAGCTTGACTGGCCAATTTAGAGGTTGAGATGTGGGTAGTAACAACAAAGAATCATGTTGGTGGCGGTGAGTTGAGCAAGGAGTCTTTGAGGGCTGATAAATGGCGTCGCAACCACAATGAGTTCGTATCTGAGGGAGTGATGATTATGAATTGTCTTGACTGTAAAATGTGTCAAGTGCCGACTTTATTTTGTCGATATTCGTGATGCTATCGCGAAGGTGCTATGATGCGCCGACGCGATGCGCGCCGAGAATTAGGCGGCGCAAGTTGAGAGGCTGGCGTACGTGATCACGTGCACGCGTTTTGATTGCCATGAGCGTTGCGCTCAGTGTACTTCCATCCAATTCTTTGTGTTCGGTTCGGATTTGCCGATGACGTTAATCTGAAAATGTTTTTGGAGAAATCTTTTGTTCATGTTGGAATATCATGGTCTAAACTTAATCTCAAACCACGATGCGGCATCTTTAACGTTGTTTCTAGGCGTTTTAGAACTTCTTTTTTCGACTCAAATATTCTCTACCATCTGGGCATCAGATAATTATTAATCGATAAAGCTGATCAATTAACTATCACAGTATTGTCAGTTTTACTGCGCCCATCAATAAACTGATAGAAATAAATACCGTACTTGGAGTCAAGCCATCGGAGAGAGCGTAACGGCTGAGCAATAAGACTTGGTCAAGGTTTCACCAATACGGATCCTTTTTAGAATACTCTTGTCTTGATGGATGAAAAGACATCAATCTGTCCATGTTGGAATTTCCTTTGTATCAACTCGATACCAATCGTCTCATGCCAACCTGAGATATCCATTACCAATATCAACCCTGTACATGGTGGACTCCACAGTGACTTACAGCTCTTTGCCGTACTCCGTGATCGCCTCAGTCTACGAGACCGTTGTATGGAGCGCATGTACTTGGAAAGTTCAAGTTGACTCATTCGGACCTTTTACATTAATGATGCTACCTTACTCGATCGCTAATAAGAACAATGATTGTCTGTCGACTCGGGATTCAGCAACCCCGAATAATGCTCCATCTGGACATCCATTCCATCATGGCTCTGTAGTACGTAGTGTCGGGTCCTTAATTTAGCAACAGCAATCAACATCACATCAGCCCTGGCAGCATGAACAAAACCCCTGGCCCCTCCTGTCCTTCCCCTCCCCCTCTCATCAGCTAAAAAAAAGTTGCCCCGCCATTTCCCAACACTCCCCTAGTCTCGTCCTACCTTTACAATTTACCTTTAACCCCGCCGTCTCGCAACGCTTCTTTCAACTTTACTTGGTCCTTCACCGCAAACTCAACCAGTCGCTTAACGTTGAACAAAGAAATCCCGCCGAAAATGCCTGTTGGAACCGTTCTCGTTACCGGGTACGTCCATTCAACTCCATCCACTGCCATACCCCTGTCCTGTTCGTCATCAATCAACTCTTTGTTCTTGTCGCAATCGCCATTCAAGGACAAGAACGTGCGGTGTCGCATTCTTTCAACAAAGAATACACTTGCTAACTTGATTCCCCAGTGGTACCGGCTACATCGGCTCTTTCACCTCGCTCACTCTCCTTGAGCACGGTTACGATGTCGTTATTGTCGATTCCCTCTACAACTCCTCAGAGGTCGCCCTCGACCGCATTGAGCTGATTTGCGGTCGCCGTCCCGCCTTTTACAAACTCGATATCACAGATGAGAAGGCTATCGATGAGGTCTTTGCCAAGCACCCTGCCATTGATAGCGTCATTCACTTTGCTGCGCTCAAGGCAAGTCGCATTTCAGTCTCTTCGTCGTATACAACTAACACCGATTCAGGCCGTCGGCGAGTCTGGCGTTATCCCTCTCGAGTACTACCGTGTCAATGTCGGTGGTAGCATCTCTCTCCTCCGCTCCATGGAGCGCAACAACGTCAACAATATTGTTTTCTCCTCCTCCGCTACCGTTTACGGCGATGCTACCCGATTCCCCAACATGATTCCCATCCCCGAGCACTGCCCTATCGGACCTACCAACACCTACGGTCGCACCAAGTCCATGATCGAGGACGTTATCACCGACTTTGTCAATGCTCAGCGCACCAACTTGGAAAAGGAGGGCAAGGAGTTCAAGCAGTGGAACGGTGCTCTTCTGCGATACTTTAACCCTTGCGGTGCTCACCCCACTGGTATCATGGGTGAGGACCCTCAGGGTATTCCTTTCAACCTTCTGCCCCTCCTCGGACAGGTCGCCACTGGCGAGCGTGAGAAGCTCCTTGTTTTCGGCGATGGTAAGTTTTCAGCAAGTTTGACCTGTTCAATCTAACATTCATAGACTACGCCTCTCGCGACGGCACTGCCATTCGAGACTACATCCACGTTGTCGACCTTGCCCGCGGTCACTTGATGGCCCTTAACTACCTCCGCGAGAACCAGCCCGGTGTCAAGGCGTGGAACCTGGGTTCCGGACGTGGCAGCACCGTCTTTGAGATTGTCAAGGCCTTCAGCAAGGTCGTCGGTCGCGATCTTGCCTACGAGGTCCGTCCCCGACGACAAGGAGACGTTCTTGATCTTACTGCCAACCCCACCCTCGCCAACAAGGAGCTCAACTGGAAGACCGAGCTTACCATGGAGGAGGCTTGCAATGACCTCTGGCGATGGGTCGAGAACAACCCCAAGGGTTACCGCCAAGATCCCCCCGCCGAGCTTCTGGAGGCTGTCAAGTCTTCCAAGGCTTAAGTAATAACAAAATTGGCTACCGGTTTGCGGACAGATGTCCCGCAGTGATGTGAAATGAGAGTTACCGAAGAATATGTTTTGGATTTTTAGACGAACTTATCCGTTGCATTATAGATATATAGCGCACTTAAAATAAATATCAAAAGGCTAGATTTAATCGACTTTGATGAGCAATTTTCCGATTGTCTTTCGGCTCTCGATGTCCTCGTGGGCCTTGGCCACGTCCTCAAGAGGGTAGACTTTGTGGATGGTGAGCTCAAGCTTCTTGGACTTGATGAGGTCGAAAAGTTCAGAGGTGTACTTTTCGAGATCAGCGCGCTGCGAAACATAGCCGTTGACTACAGGGCGCATCAAGCGGACGTTCTTGGGTGTGAGACGGAAGAGGGCCACAGGGTCCACGGCACCAGACTAGAACTGTCAGTTTGACCATTAAAACAGTTTGGTCGTGTCACTTACCGCGTTGCCAAAGGAGACGAGAGTTCCCTTGAGAGCAATCAGCTCAAGGTCTCCATCGAAAGTAGCCTTTCCAACACCATCAAAGATAACATCCGCGCCATGTCCACCAGTGATCTCCTTGACCTTGGCAACTACATCATCATGAGAGTTGATAACCCACCCAGCACCGTTCTTCTTTGCGAGCTCAAGCTTCTCATCCGTGCTAGCAGTACCAATGATCTTGGCACCGACAGTTCGTAGAAGCTGAACCAACAAGGTACCAACACCACCAGATGCCGCGTGAACTAGAACCCATTGGCCTTCCTTGACCTGTCCGGCCTCTCGGATAAATGTCCATGCTGTGAGACCTTGCAGGTAAGCGGCTACAGCTTGCTCAGTAGGCACATCATCGGGGATCTTGACGGCATCAGAAGCGTTGACAACGCTGTACTGAGCATAGGCACCGACTGTGCCCATAAAGACCACCCGAGTACCGTTCTCGAAGCCCTTGACAGAGGAGTGGACATCAACGATAGTTCCCGCAGCTTCACGACCGAGCGTAAGAGGGAATTGAGGTGCCTTGTAAAGACCAGAACGGAAGTAGGTATCTATGTAGTTAAGACCAGCGACCTGGTTGCGCACAAGAATCTGACCCTCGCCAGCCTTGGGAACAGGGACATTATTATGCTCAAGAACCTCAACACCGCCGTTCTTGTTGATCTGAACGGCCTTCATGGTAGATGGAACGGGAGCCATTTTAGCGGTTGATAAGTGTGAAGTGAGTCTTGCGATGCGCTGAGTAGGAATTGGAGTTGCAAAAGGCTTTGAGGCGACAAGTGGTCGAAGAAGAGAACGTCGTAGAAGATGGGCCATCGGTATTGGTGAATTATTAATATGCGATGTCGGATCGGAAGAGGGCGGTTTTGATAGGAGCTTTCGATGAGAGCTTCGGGCCGGCTCCATCTACCGCGGGGGAGCCATGATGGCGGGGTAATAATGGAAACTGGAGTGCTCAGCACGTCATGTTACATTTTAACGAGAATAAAGGCGCGATGTTGGAGAGGATAGAGAGGTGATTTACAGTTGGCTTATACATTGTATGTCTGATAAAGTGCTGACAGATGGCAGGCAATTGGGCATCTACTTCGCATGTAGTAGGTATTATTCTTGAGTAATCGCCAATTGATATCTGAAACCATAACTCACAAATCCATGTCGAGTCTAAATATCTACGATGTATGTTGCTCTTTGCCAACTCCTTCCCTTGTTGGTCTAACTTGTTGTTCAGCCTTATTCAAATCATGCTAACAGTAGGCTATGTGGATAAGCCCTTATCCTCGCCTCAGAATTCACTGCCGATGACAAGATGCTGTGAGATCTAGCATCCATGATGGTCATTCCTGGACCTTCGAGCTTCTAAAATGAAATCCACAAAAGTAGTTGCCGATGTATCCGGTGGTGAAATTCGTGCAGGTTGTCAATGTTTGCTACATAATGGAACATGGCGTGGTTCAACGGGTTTTGTTGTAATTAACTCTATTACAAACGTTATCATGACAGCAATGAGGATAATTGGTGTGTCATGAAGAATTTCCGGTTCACAAGTAAAGTACTGGTAATGTCACACCTATTATTCAAGATTCCGTTCATGCAGTAGCTGTCAATCTCGCGACAGCTTCATGAGTTTGACAGTCGGTTTCGGCATATAGGGTAAGCGACACAGCAACGTTCTCCCGACTAACATCTTCCATTAATACCAGCCTCATTTTAAGCATACTTATTAAGCAAGATTGAAACAAGATTGAGAGATAAACGAGGATTTGATTCAATCGGAGGGACTTTTGATATTGATGCATGGCTTACAAGAGAGCTTACGACGTGCCCGGCTCAGCAGCTGCAACGACAGAGTCGCTTCGTTTTATCCAAGCGACACGAACAATACGGAAGAATCCTTCAAGAAACAGGCCATTTACCTGCCTTCTACATAAGTTCTCGCGTTGAGTAGGTTCTGAAGTCTCGTTTAGACTGAGGCTACGCCAGCATACGCGTGGCCATCTTGCAGGAAAACCGCGAAAGGGCGATCGGTCTAACCTCGCGAGAGTTAGGAAGGGGACCTATTCTTAAACCTCGCCCAAAGAATACTGCTTGCGGCTTAGCGATCGCCACAGAAGGTTTTTAGACGGGGGCTAGAGGCTCGTTTCATGTGTCAGTGAAAACAACCAAACGAAATACACGTATAGTTGGATGTCATGACAGAGGAGCGTGGCAGTGCCAAAGGCTTGGCATGAGAAAGCTTCGCAAGCTTTTTCAAGGGGGAACCTGGCAGATTCTGGAGCCATGACCACCATGTTTTGAGGCCAGTCTAGTCAGTATATTGAGATTGTCACCGCTGAATATTGAATATCAAGCTTGGACCTCTGTATCATCGTCCAATGTCAGGGGAAAGTGAGGCCTTGGGCCGCTATACGTCACCTACATTCTGGGGGATAAATGGTTGCATGTTTTAGTGCGAGATGACATGACACCCACTCTTGACTGAAGCCGTTGAACGCCATGCCGTTGAAGAATAAATATTAGATACAAAGGCAATTGATACTGAGCGTATTAGATAGTCGTAGTTATTTATCTGAATTGATGTTACAACGCGTACATTTTGCAGAGAGTCCATTTACACGGTAGATGGACAACGTAACATGCAAAAGTGGGGCGCTGCGGCTGTGATTCATTCACTGCACGGGCGGGCAGTGGAGGTTCACAGCCTCCAACCACCCCCTGTCAGCTTCTTTCCTAGGTCAGGTCTTCTGTAACACCACTGGCTATCACCAAGAACAAAAGGGACGGCAAGGCCGGCCAGGAACACAAGATTCTGAGCCTACAGCCTTCTTTTCGACATGTAAATGAGGGGCTCACAATCAACCTCATTTCCAACTTCAACATTTCAACAGTTCTAATGAATTCTTCAACGGTTAACGCCCGCCAGAGGCGCATTATACAGTTATCACAGCAATGGGGCTTCTCTCTTCCCCCAAACGCTCCAGCACCTCTTAGCCGACCAGCACATCCAACATCCTTCCGAACACATGGCGACGATGAAGTCGCCGAAGGCCTTTTGCAAAGGCGATCCGCCGAAGTGGCTCAATTGCGACCTAAGAGTGGCCTCTCACGAGCCTTTTCGTCTAGCAATCTCAAAAAGGGCAAGCACTGGGATACCAAAGAGATATTGAATGTCTTGAATTCTTGGGTCGATAGTTCAGGCTCACCCGGTGTTGCCGAGGCTCTGATTGCAAAATTGGCCGCTGCAGGCGTTGATCTTAGTGGCATGCAAACACAAAAGCAAGGTATACTGAATAGACGAAAAAGCGTTGACAATGGCCTCGATCGCACTCGTCTACTTAAATCCGCTATCGAACGAGACCAGCATGACATGGTCCACGTTCTAATACCACATGCCGACCCCTTGACTCTCGACACTTGCCTTCCAGCGGCAGTAAGAACACGAAATCCACGAATTGTCGAGACTTTGCTGAGGTATGGAGCAAGTGCGGCAGCAACCGCTGAAGGACAGGACGAATTCCGTAAAGCTTGCGCCGCCCCAGCCTTGTCAGAGATCGCCTCACTCATTCTTAGATCCGACGGACGACCGTCGGAAATTTGCGTATCACAAGCGCTAACAGACGCCTCAAGAGCACAATGTTTCGATACTGTCTTACATCTGAGTCGCTCCACAGCAGACTGTAACTACAACAATTCCGAGGCGCTCAAGATTGCCATTAACAACGAGCGAAGAGACATTGCCATGGCCATTGCTACAGGAAACAAGCCACCTCAGAATCCTGGGCTCGCTGAGTCTTTCCAGCAGCTCATGGATAACACAAATATGAACACAAAGTCAAAACTCGACTTTGCCGAGCTATTGCTTTGCTGTGGTGCTCAAGGACCAATACTAGAGCGATCTCTCGAGATGGCTTGTGACTCTCAATTCTTTGAGATGGCCGACCTTTTGGCTCGCTATGGCGCCTCAGTAGAACATAATGACGCTTCCGCTTTGAAGGCTGCCATATCGAAAGGTCAGGTCAACCTTGTGAGCTCCCTCCTCAACGGATCTTCCAAGATCGATCCTGCACTGGCATCAAGCTGCGTCCCTCTCATCCCTCAACAAGCGGACCCTGGGATGCGACAGGCATTGCTTTATTCATTGCTAAAGAGAGGGGCCAACGGATCTGTTTTAAATGACTGTCTCATGCACGCCGTCAAAGCTAATGATGCTCAGTCAGTTGAGCTTCTACTTAATCCTAACTTTCGCGAACCACCGAGCGAACAGCCAAATGGCCATGGAAAGCCGCGCATTAGTAACCGCCATGCTGTGGCATCACCTGATCACCATGAGGGAGAAGCCTTGCGCTATGCGATTTCGGCAGGAAACGCAGACCTGGCTGCCAAAATTCTTGCCGCGAGGCCCTCGAACGAGACACTTACCACAATTTTCCCTCTAGTCAAGAGTCTTCCCAGTCCAGAACGGTATCGTATGGTTGAGCTGTTCTTAAGGGGAGCAATGACTGGTCCCGCTTTGCATATCGCTTTGCAAGACGCAATCAGCGAGGATCTCTCTCAAAGAGACGATGCGCTTATTAATCTTCTACTCAAGTACGGCGCGGATATCAACTATGATGAAGGCGTTGGACTTCACAGCATTATCAACCAGATGGACCTTGGGCTATTCAATACCTTGATGCAAAATGCATCACCTCAAACAGCAGCGGCGCGTCTCGCAGATGTCATGAAGATCGAGAATCGTCAAGTGCGAAACGAGATGTTCTCGATACTATTCAAAGCGCGCGCAAGTGTTGGAGTGCAGCAGGTGGCAGAAGCGTTGCTTACGACTCTCGAAGAAAGGCTTGTAGATATGCCTCTGCTCCGTCTTATTCTCCAACAGGGAAAGGCAGACATAAATGGCTGCAAAGGACTTATTCTACAAAGGGCGACACAGAATCCTGACCACAAGGTCCTGGAATTGGTCCTCACTATAGGCAAACACAACCACGACACGATATCGAGTTGTCTTGATACTTTGGGTACTCTTTCGCCAACTGACAGCAAAGCATTGAAGCTTGGCGTGATTATAAACATGTCACCCAGGAAGCTCAATCTGGACAGTCTCTTGGTGCAGGAAGTCCAGGGCATCGTTCAGGATGAGACAGGCCAAGCTTCTTTTGCAATGCTGAACAAGCTCCTTGACTCTTGTGCGGATCCGAATACTCACAAAGCGAGAGCACTTTGTTGTGCGGTTGCTGCAGCTCGGGAGACAGTAGTCGATGCCCTGATGGGTTGTCAAAGGCGACCAACGGAGGCGTCCCTTGCTGCTGCACTTCCCCATGCTTTGAAAATCCCGGAACCTATGAATCGGTTGACTTTTACAAAGACCATAGTGGAAGCTGGAGCCCCATCTCGAGAAGTCAACAGAGCTTTGATTCATGCCATCAACAACTTCAATTCAGATATTGCTCTCATTGGTATTTTGGCCAGTTTTGCAGATGCCTCTGATGGGGAGGCTCTTGCACTGGCTGTTTCCAAAGAGGCTCCTGAAACTCTTGATCTTCTTCTTTCACGCGTCAAGCATTCTTCCGAGAGCAGAGATTCTTGTCTGGAGAAAGCAATGAAGATCACTGACTGGACATGCAGACTTCAGATCTGTAAAAGATTGGCAAAGGCGGGAGTTACACCCGAAGCCGCCTCAAACGCTCTTCTTGTTGCAGCGCGAGATGGAGACCTGGAACTTGGGGACGTACTGATTGCTTATGGAGCCAGTATATCAACCAACGGAGGTCAGGCTATCATAGAGGCATGCCGTGGAGGCTCTGTCGAGGTTCTTGATGTACTCCTCAAGTCCAACGCCGACACCGAAAAGTCGACTCTGGAGCGAGGCTTCCAGGCTGCTACAGAAGTTGGAGATTTGAACAAGAGAGCAATGATATTCCAGCGCCTGTTGAAGAGAGGTGTCTCTGGAGATGTCGTGGACATTCAGCTTGTTTCGGCTGCCAAGTCCGGCGAGGACGGACACGAAGTCCTGCGTGTGCTATTGGCGGCGGGCGCGGATCCCAATTTCAGCAACGGCGAGGCGGTCGCCGCGGCCACTAAAAGCGCATTCGTTGATGGACTTGAGTTGCTTTTGGGCTTATGGCACAAAGGCGGCAATCAGGTAAATTGTCATTGGGATGTCGTCAGATTACCTTTACTAACCCAACTGTACAGAAAAAGCCATCCCCTCCGACTTTGATACGGGCTCTAAAGGCCTGCTGGAAGTTGAACCCAGACACCAGGCTAGATATCATCAAGGACTTGTTCAAGGCAGGCATACCGATTGTGGATGAAGTTCACATCGCTTTGAGCAAAGCTGTTAGTGAAGATGAGCCGGATGAGCGGCTTATCAAGGCCTTGCTCGACTCTGGAGCATCACCTCTTGCTAATGATTGCTGTGCGCTAACTCGAGCTGTGCAAGGTGCGAAGGTGTCATCTGTTGAGTTGTTATTGACTTGCGAGTTCCCTGAAGATGCCATACTCGCAGCCTTCTCCAGTGGATTTTCGGACGTTTTGTTTACCACATGGTTCTCTGCAAATGGCCTTGCTATTGCAAAAATGCTTCTCATCAAGGGCGCCAAAGGAGAGTGTGTAAGCCATGCCCTTGTGCAAGCCATGAAGGACAGCACAGATGAGACGGAATCTATGGCTGATGCATTTGTCGAACTTTTCGTCTCGTACGGCGTCAGTGTCGATTTTGAAGACGGACAGCCTCTTGTGTGCGCAGCTTCAAAGGGCAATGCTTTTTGGACAGAGAGACTACTCACTTGCAAACCATCACCAAGAACTCTCACACTTGCTTTTGAACGCGTCTTTGACACCGCACGCTCACCCGATGAGGTATTGAAGCTGTTTGAACTGTTTTCGGGATACAGGGATGGAGAAGTTGGACTCGATGTCATGACACGGAGCGCAGGATCAGACCCCATTCTTGTCAGGGCGATTTCCCAGTATCCACGATCGGCAGAGCTATTACAAGTACTGCTGGACGCTGGCTTCTATCACGACCAGACTACAACATATCGCCTTCACGAAAAGGTGGAAGATCCCGAAGAAGTAACGGTCCTACTTTGGGCAATTGCTCAACCCCAAAAGAAGGTCAGCTCGGCATTAATCAAGATGCTGATTGAACGTGGTGCCAACGTCAACTTTGAGACGGCGATCAGCCGATCTACACCACTTATGCTAGCCATCCAAACTCGTCGATCCGACATCGTCAAAGAACTTCTGATAGAAGGCGCTAATGTTGATATCACCGATGCTATGGGCCGAACGCCTCTAGCGATGGCAACTGATATCGGAGGTGATCTCTCCACTCGCATGATGGGCAACTTGCTTGCTATTGATCAGTCAAAGGACGATGGATCTCTACACAACGCTGCGAGGGAGCTTAACCTGGCAGCAGTAACAGTTCTTGTAGAACATGGACACCATCCTGACTTTCCCAGTCCACTACATGATGGAAGATCTGCTCTGGGCGAAGTCTGTCGCCACGGCGCAGGCTCTTGTTCAGGAAAACTCACTGCGGACGGAGAAAAGCTTATGCAGAAAGTCATGACCCTTTTGATTGACGCCGGGTCAGATATAAGCCTGCATTCACATGGGAAATCCGCACTGCTGCTTTGTTTTGAATCCAGTGACCCTATTACGACGACCCGAAGCTTCCTCAAGGTTGCCATGTGGAAGGAGATCAACAGACCATTCAACCACTACTCTGACGGCGAATTTACTTATTCTCCGACTATGTACGTCAAGAAAGTGATGCCCGAGTCGGACACACGGGATCAGCTTCTTGCCCTCCTTCGGGCGAACCGGGCAGTGGATGTATACTACGCCAACTCTGGCGACCAACCTGAAGATGCAATTGGCTTGCCTAGTGATATGGCCGTCCAGGAACGCGAACGAAAGGCCAGATTACGACGCCTGGCTCTTGAGACGGAAGACCACGCGATCACACTCGCTCGGGCAAAGGAAGTTGCGAGTGTAGAGAGGGAGATATGGAACAACAAGGCCGAGATTGAGGATGCCCGTCGCCGTCGATTGTATAGCGAGGACATTAACGCAGCACGACAAAAGGCCGATCTAGAAGAGTCCCTTTTCAACGCGGCATTAAAGAGGCGCCTTTCAGAGCAACATAAGCTGACACAGTCAAGCTTGGAGCGCACCAAACTGATCGCTGCAGCTGAACTCACGGCTGAAGAAACGCGACAGCAGAAGATGCTTGAATGGGAGTCTACCATGAACTCGGAGAGAGCAAGCAATGCTCAAGCGCTCAGCAGTCTTCGTATTAGCGAACGCGAGGAGCTGGATCGAATTGAGAGAGGTGCTGATGACAGAATCAAGAAGAGACTGGAAACACAGAAGAAGTTGGTGGAGACTCAAGAGAGACTAGCAAAACGGATCGGAAATGTCCCAGGCGGACCGGATGCCAGGAGGCAGATTGGATATGTGGAGGAGGTTAACTAGCGACTCTGCACCCAAAATGGACATCACTGGCAGGTTGGAAAGGAGTTGGGCGTTGCTTTGAACAAAATTTTATACCAATAGTCTTACAAACGTAAGATAAGCCATTGGCTTAACTGTAGATAATTTGAATCAAGTCAGAACTTGACTTAGGTCGTGGTCGAGACCTCGATGATGACAGACATTTTATCCGATTGTATGGGTAACCGATACCAAAGACATCCCCCGAGATTGAACAACGCAATGCCCACACCAAGCACATGAGAATCTATACCTCTACTATCCAGCGCGAATTTAAACTATTGCATTCTATTAATATTTTATCGCATGATACTCCTCTTACCCCATCAGCCTATGCACCGTCGATCCAAACCGTCGCCAATAAAGCCGCAACCTTTACCGCATCATCCAATAGCACTACATGCTCCAAACACGAGCAACGTTTCACCTGCCGAAATAAACTTCTCGGTGTCAAAACAAAGTCCCTGGCCCTTGTTGATTGGACCAATCCGGCAGGTCACTTTATGATCATCTTAAATTGAGGTGCCTATAATAAAGCAAGCCAATTGAGTTAAGCACGTGCGTTGATGAAACAATCATATATATATATTATCGAATATGACCAGCAGGACTCGAGATGGCTCTTCACCTAGTGTCTATACCTACCTAACAATCATGGTTGGTTCTGGCTTGATTGGTCTGTTGGCCGTCGCCTTTCAGATATCCTTTGCAAAGGCGGTGGAAGTTGACGTCAAAGTCGATGCCTATACCAGCACAGTTGAATCAGACTGGACAGCTGTTTACTACTCGGATCGCAACCCTCTGCTCATTGGAAACGATGGAGGACCGGATAAGGGAGGTTTTCACGTCTACGACCTCACTTCCAAATCTCCCCTACGAGAAGTGACGGCTCAAACACCAGGTCGCAGCAAGCTTGTCACTACAGTGTACGATGTGGATGACAAAGATGTCCTGGTTACAATTGCGCAGCCAGATTCTGTGCTTCGTTCGTACGAGATGCCAGAATTTAAACAGATCAAAGATGCAGACTTTAAAGTGCTGGGTGATTGGTCTGCGCTATGCAGTTGGAAGAGCCCTGCTGGGAATGACTACGTCTATTTATTTGGAAAGGGACAAGCAGTTCAATTATTGTTACGAGAGACTAAAAAGTCACTTGAGTTTGTTGAGGTATGCCTCTCCAATCAAAGAGATTCTGTGTTTGCTAACGCTGTCAGATCCAAACATTTCCCACCGACTTTGAGACATCTGGCTGTGCTGCGTCACGTTCTGAGTCGCGCATGTACATCTCAACAGACGATGACAAGAGCGTTTATTCATTCTCTCTCATAGAATCTACGAACACACCCAAAATCACCAAGGTTGGCAAGGCAGAAGACAACGTAACCGGCCTGGCTGTCTACGTACCCAAGAAGGGCTCAGATTATCTGTTTGTTGCCCAAACAGAAAAAATTGCCGTCTATGATCAATCATTCAAGCTCAAGGGAACTTTGTCTTTGATCGGATTCGAGGACATTGAAGTCCAGGGTCTGAACATTTACCAAGGATCAACGGACAAGTATCCTGCGGGTGCTCTTACCTACGCCATCGAGTCAGAAGAGGTCAACGGCTTTGGTGCATCATCGCTCGAAACAGCCTTGAAGAAGCTCAAGATCGAGTCTAACACAAAGTATGATCCAAGAAAGCTCAAGAGTGAGTCCGAAAAGGAGCCAATTTGCAAGACATGCGATGGCAACGGATACTGCATCAAGGACAAGAAGCAAAAGTGTGAGTGCTTCTCTGGCTTCTCTGGAAAGACTTGCAGCAGTTTCACTTGCGTCGACAACTGTTCCGGTCATGGAAAGTGTGTGGGTGCAAACAAGTGTAAATGCGACAAGGGATGGGGAGGTCTGTACTGCTCATTCCTCCTCGTTGAGCCAACATACGAGACAGAGTCACGACTCGGTGATGGAGACGATCCTGCCATCTGGGTATCTCCTGAGGGCCCAGAAAAGTCTCGTATCGTTACCACGATGAAGTCCGGTGAAGAGGCTGGTCTCAGTGTGTTTGATCTCAAGGGCAATCTAGTTCAGACTTTTGCTGCGGGCGAACCGAATAATGTGGATATGATTTATGGCTTCAAGGCGGGTGATCGCAAGGTTGATCTTGCTTTTGCTGCGTGTCGAGCTGATGATACTTTATGGTAAGTTGTACCACCCTGTGCTTATCAGCAGCTAACGATCAAGTCTTTTTGAAATGCTTCCCAATGGAACACTAACCGATATCCCCGGCGGCTCTCATCCTGTTGTTGAAGATTACAGTGTTTATGGCTCGTGTACATACCGTTCACCAAAGACAGGAAAACAGTATCTCTTCGTCAACGAAAAATCCGCACGATATCTTCAATACGAACTCACTTCCACATCTGACGGAGAACTCCAGACGAAGCTTGTGCGAGAGTTTCAAGGCGGTAGCGGCGGACAGGTCGAAGGATGTGTCACCGATGAAGAAAATGGCTGGATTTTCCTCGGCGAGGAGCCTTCTGCTCTGTGGCGATATGGTGCCGAGCCAAACTCCAAGGATGAGGGACTTGTTATCGGCAAGGTGGGTGATGGAAAGCTCTACGGAGACGTCGAAGGCGTAACGCTTGTCTATGGGTCAAACCCCGATGAGGGATACATCCTAGTATCCTGCCAGGGCGTCAGCGCATACAACGTCTACCGCCGGGCCGAGCCTCACGAATACGTTACAACATTTACTCTCGTTGAATCATCTAACGGAAATATCGATCCTGTATCCAACACAGATGGCATAACAGCCGTGGGAACAGCACTAAACAAGGATTTCCCTCATGGCTTGGTCGTAGTACACGACGATGCTAATCAGCTACCAAACGGGAAGACCAGCGCAGAGGCAAGCTTCAAGATGGTTAGCCTTGAGAAGATCCTCGGGTCCAAGGTTCTGGGGAAGGAGGGTCTACTGGACCAAGTTGACAAGAACTGGGATCCTAGAAAGTAAGGCGATTAGCTAGATTCCTGTCAAGTTGGTGTTCACCTCCGTACGAAGCCAGGCCTAATCTCAGGCACCCCTAAAGCTATTCATACCCAAAAGGAGACGTCCAAGAGACCGCAATAACAAAGAAATATTCATCTTGCTCGATATCCAACGCTTGACATGTAAGTATGGACTCTGATCGTTTCCAAAGAGGATTGCTCATGTGCTGGAGTAGTGGCGTTGGATCAGCCTCGACCCTTGTCTTGACCGGTCAGTGCTCTTTGCCATATTCTGGAGACGATCATGAGGACGATTGCTTGAGGATTGGTACGGTGAGGGGATGATTGGTTGAGATGGTTGGTGTTGCAGTGCTTGACACTGACAGATGAGAGCCAAGCTGCTGGGAACTGTCAAGTACCAATGCCACATATCGGCACAAATAAGCCAATTTACTGAATTATTATTGTATTTTAATTGAACTTCAACTTCTCTCTCTCTAGATGTTCACAAGTCACACGCCAGTGTCGGATGTGTAGCAGAAGTTCACCTGCACTCTGATATCACGTAAAACCGCTCCAACACTGCCAGCCAGGGAATACTCATTCCATTCCTGTTCCAAAAGTCTTCTTTCGCACTTTTCCAATGCTGGAACTCTTTCAATTGCCTTCGTTTCATGTTCCACTTCAACGTTTGCAGGCTCCAACCGCCGCCATTGTCTTAACCCCTTTTGGGTGTCAATAGAGCCTCAAAAGGCACTGACAGATATGAATAAGCCAATCAAGCAACACCTCCCGTGGACCAACACTGTAAATCGTAAAATATCATTCTTGGCTTGTTCTACTTCGTGCACTCGCGTCTGACAAGTAAAGGCGAAACCAATTGGCAAACTTGACATGATTGACCCAACGTAGATACTGGTACTCGAGAGTTCGTACGTTGCGCCTCAACGTCAAGGATACCAATCCAGGAGTAGTTTAGATAATGTTTGATGCAGTAAGTAATGTACGTCAACAACGCCTCAAGACTTGCTATTCTCGCTTCCCCCTGCTCAAGCTTGGACACTCTCATCCATCTTGTGGCTGACATGTCTCGTACTCTTTTTTCTTATCCTCTTTGAAACATTTCTATTCAGGAATAACAAGTGTGGCACTAGTTGCCTGTTCAAACCGAGAAGTGATGGTGGGCTTTATTGATCCCGCGGCCTGAATAGACTCTCAATAGACGAACGGACATCACCAAGGCCCAAGAGTTGAGGCGAACAGGCGAATTCACTCTTCGTTCTTTCTCAACATGGCCATCTTCTTTCTCGTCAGGATAGAACACAAGATTTATAAAAAGATCCTCGAGTCCTCCATAAATACTTCCTCTTTTCTTCTCTAGACTCGTTCTCCCAACCAAAAAGGACAACGACAATCTCAACATCCCCTTTTACACACGATTACGAACACTCTTTTACGAGTTACCACTCACTACTACTTTTCACACTTCACTACAGTCGTTCCTACGACACGACAATTACTGCTCTCAACATGAAGTACTCCATTTTGATGCTGGCCACCGCGGCCAGCGCCGCCTTTGCGGTGGCTGTCCCTGAGCCTGAGCCTGAGCCTCAGCCATGGTCCTTGTGGACACAAATGGAATGTTACAAGAGATACAAGAGCTGCGATAAAAAACAGCCAGGCGACAATTACTGGTATGGCGCATGCTGCGGCAAGTGGAAGCGTTCAGCCCAGCCTGAGCCCGAAGCTGTTGCTATTCCTGAGCCCGACCCTGTTGCCGAGCCTATGCCCTGGTGCACCTGGAAGGGCCAGCCTTGCTGGAAGGAGAAGATGGCCAAGCGAGAGGCTCAACCCGAGCCTGAGGCCGTCCCTGCCCCTCAACCCGATCCCGTCGCCGAGGCCGAACCTTGGTGCACCTGGAAGGGACAGCCTTGCTGGAAGGCCAAGATGGCCAAGCGTGAGGCCGAGGCCGAAGCTGAAGCTGGGCCTATCCCCGATCCCGTCGCCGCTCCTCAGCCCGATCCCGTTGCTGAGCCTATGCCTTGGTGCACCTGGAAGGGCCAGCCATGCTGGAAGGAGAAGATGGCTAAGCGCGAGGCTAAGCCTGAACCCTGGTGCTGGTGGAAGGGTCAGCCATGCTGGAAGACCAAGCGCAACGCTGCTCCTGAGCCCATGCCCGAGCCTGCCAACGAGCCCAGATGGTGCTGGTGGAAGGGACAACCTTGCTGGAAGTCCAAGGCTAAGCGTGATGCCTCTCCCGAGCCCTGGTGCTGGTGGAAGGGTCAGCCATGCTGGAAGGCCAAGCGTGATGCCGGTGAGGCTCTCACTGTCGCTCTCCATGCCACCCGCGACATCGAGGCTCGATCCATCGCCGAGACTGAACACCTCCCCCGCGACGCTGCTCACCAGGCCAAGCGCTCCATCGTCGAACTCGCCAATGTCATTGCCCTCTCCGCCCGTGGCAGCCCCGAGGAATACTTCAAGAACCTGTACCTCGAGGAGTTCTTCCCTGAGATTCCCCACAACGCTACCGCCAAGCGCGACGTCAAGACTCTCCAGGAGGACAAGCGCTGGTGCTGGTGGAAGGGATAACCTTGCTGGAAGGCCAAGCGCGCTGCTGAGGCTGTTCTCCACGCTGTTGATGGCTCTGATGGTGCTGGTGCCCCCGGTGGCCCCGAGGAGCACTTTGACACTTCCAACTTCAACCCCCAGAACTTTGAGGCCAAGCGTGACCTCATGGCTATCAAGGCCGCTGCTCGCAGCGTTGTCGAGTCCCTTGAGGGTTAAGTAAGTTTGATCTTCGACCTTGAGATGGCGACCATTCTAACATGTCGCTTCAGGTGTCGATGATTCGGACTTCCCGACCGTTTTCGTTTCTTGACAAATGCTGTTGGTGACATTTTTTTCTTCATTCTTTTGTCTATGGATATTAGCAAAAAGGGTTCGAAAGGAAACAACGAGACAATGAACAGGTGGACAGGCCATGTGGGAGTATATCCCGACATCTTATTTTTCTTTTCTTTTCTTTAGTGACTTGAATATGCTACACTTTTTTGAATAACGGCAGGGGACGATGAAGTCTGCTGCTCTTTTTGGGTGCGAATCTGCCTTTGGAGCATGAGTCGCCGGACATGGCTGGAATAGCTTGAATAGTTTGAATTCAACTGCTTGTCTCGAATATTATTGAATGCGCATGATGTGTGATTGAATGTGATGTTTGGATGCGGTGACTTGTTTGCTGGCTTTGCTTTGCAGTGCTGGACAAGCCGCAGATCTGGCAGCTGGTTCTCTTGACGGATACAATCAATCAGGTCAAGAGTCTGTCTGACTTGACATGACATGCCCGGTCTTGACGTCCAACACTCGACAGCATGAAGACGGTCATTGAAGTCTCGTAAAGTCAACGTTGGCGCATCATGTTATGGTGCATATCCTGGTTGATATCCAGAACAGGATCGATGGTCGAGGTACGATGCTCAAATCGACCTACTACGCTGGCAAACCCAGACAAGCAATCACAGCCTTGACATCTTAATCAGCCAAAGCCTTCATTCACAATAGACATTTTAAAATAAAGCATGTACGTTCAATCATTGCGCTCCTCCCCATAGTCGAGGGAAGCACCGCACCCAAGATTGTTCGCTTTTCTCTCCATTCTGTGTTCCTCTGAATCGGTGGTCTTGGGCGCAGGTCTTGCGACGCACCTCGCATCAATTATCTTGAGAGCAACATGAACGTTGTTTTTTGCGTTGTTCAATATTTTGAATGAAGAGGAAAGAGAAAAAAAAGACCAAAATCTTTTTTGAGAAGTTTCCTTTTGTACGCGTCTGAGATGGTGGGGCATTAGATGTTGATGCCTTATGCGCTAGGCTGCCATTAGATGAGAGCACAGCAGTACAGGGTATCAAACTTGCAGTGGATTTACTACATTTATTCAGATACAGAACTTTCAATAACAAGACATGGAGCTTACAGTACTATATTACACCATGATATGATTACTGACCTAAATAGAAGTAGCAAGAACACGGTACTTACCTGCCACTTTGGTAGATTGTGCCTTGTTGCTTGAGATACACTGCAGCAAGCAAAGCATAATACTCGTCCAATACGATACAACCAACCAAATCCCAAGAGCTTGGACTAGCCAATAGATCCACAAACAAGTCTCATTAAAGCTGCGCCAATTCGGATTGAAATGCCGTCGAAATGCAGTATCCATGTCTCTTCAAGCCTCAAGGTAGCTTGGCCTGTCTTTGTGGAGAATCAGTGAGCAAAGCCAAGACATTTACGATGGTGGCAGTGCATCACTTTATGTGTATCAATTCTTGATTTGAGACATATAAAATGGTTTCTCTATTATCCTGTTATTTTCTTTCCTTGGCTTGGTATTGACAAAGTACATAATCATCCAAGCTGAGCTGAGCTGACCTTATGCCCCGCGACTGCCCCTCACATCATCCGTCTCACTTATCTTCCGCATCAACATATCAAAGCTAAAATGGCTGCCGAACTCGCTAATCGCATCGGCGAGCTCAATCCCTTCTCCTCCAAAAATAAACATCTAAACGATGAAGATTACGGCGAAGAAATCGACAACAACACCGTCGCTGGCGGTGGTCACACTGGTCGGCGCGTTGTAACAGACCTCAGAGTCAGCAGCGCCTTGAGAGAATTCATCGCCAACGAAAAGATCCTCTCCAAGAGAGAAGCCGGTGTTAAATCCGATGATGCGTCGCGTGCTCTGCTGGAGCTTGTCAGCAAGCCGCATATTCGCGTCCCGCCAGAGCTTACGGATAGATCGCATCCTTTGCCAGAGTACTACATCAGTTCGAGCCATAATACTTATCTCATGGCCCATCAGCTCTATGGATCTTCATGCGCGACGGCATATGAGACTGCGATTAAGACTGGAGCGCGATGTGTAGAGATTGACGCTTGGGATAACAGTGACAACAAAGATGAACCCAAGGTGACCCATGGCTATACTCTGGTATCCAACATTTCCTTCCGGGCTGTATGCGAGACCATCAGAGATTCAGTCGACCAGGAAGAGCTAGACTCGAGAAAGCTCGGGTTCCGACCTTCACCTCTTCTACTGTCATTAGAGAACCACTGCGACGCCCATGGTCAGATGCGCCTCGTCAACATTATGGTAGAGGTATTTGGCGATCGTCTTCTGAGCAAGGCTGTGAGAGATATCGGCCATAACGAACAGGCTGGATCGGGAGATCACGTCCGCTTGGAGGACCTGGGTGCCAAAATTGCTGTCATTGTTGAGTACCATTTCCCAGGTGAGCCTTCAGACAGCGACTCCAACTCGGACGACTCGTCAGACGAAGAGGAGGAAAAGGCCGCGCGAAAGGAGTACAAGGAAAAGAAGAACGAGGAAGTACCCACAATCATCATACCTGAGCTTGCTGAGCTGGGTGTCTACGCCCAATCCGTCAAACCAGTCGACAACTCATGGTACGAGGAGGGCACTCTCTCCAATGGGCCTCACCACCACCTCATCAACGTCTCCGAGTCAGGCCTCGCGAAGCATCTCCCCGAGCATACATCAGCCGTCTCCAGACATAATGCCCAGCATCTCATGCGTGTCTTCCCCAAAGGTACTCGTATCTCATCCACCAATCTGAAGCCCGTTCCTTATTGGGGAATCGGCGCTCAGATCTGTGCTCTCAACTTGCAGAGATTCGGAGCTAGCAACCAGCTTAACGAGGCTCTGTTTAGCGGTACGGATGGTTACGTCCTCAAGCCCGCTGCTCTCCGTGCCGGCGGAAACGGAAAGCTGAGCACAGGCCGAAGCAAGCGCCTCCGTCTGCATGTTGCAGGCGCAACGGATATTCCTCTACATGGCGACTCCGAGGCAGACTCTATCAAGCCATACCTAACATGCACACTGTACCACCCAGACGACCTCAAAGATGAACCGCCAAAGCGCAAGACAACCCCATACAAGCAGCACAAGCTTGAGTTCCTACACCGAGGGCCAAACCCACCACCCACGGACCCAATCTGGGACGAGACCCTGACGTGGGAGTACGAAGACAACGAGCTGGTGTTTTTGCGCATGCTCATTAAGAGCGATGATAGTTGGGCGCGAAACCCCATGTTTGCTGTGGCAGCAGTGCGACTACTTTATGTTCAGCCAGGCTGGAGTTTTATTCGCATGCTGGATCTCAAGGGCCATGAGACACAATGTTCCATCCTTGTTAACTTTGAGATTATTGATGCTTAGAAGGCGGTTTCTTATGAGTATACGAATTATATATGGTATTGGCCTTTTGTGTTTAATAGATTTTGAGCTTGTTGACGTTCAGTCTAGCGTTCCAAGCATGCCATCGGTCGCTGGTGTTTTATGACGTTTTTGTAATTGCGCTTACAAGAGAATACACCACCTGTCTCATAGTATTATTTCAGTTTACAAGATCTGTAGATTTCCATGATACCGAAAGGGTGCGGATGTTGTGATAGATCATCGGCTCTGGGCCGGGGCGGGAGTAGATCTCTCCTCGCTGTGCCGCGTCGAATTGGACGCTTCGGAGACATTTGAATCGGGATATTTATTTACTATAAATATTTATTATTATTCATCAATTAAGAATAGTCAAGAATAAGCGGCGACATGGGTGATGGCGGATATCCACTCATTCTGAGCCAACCTCATATCCGGTAACTCAGCTTAAGTTCCGAATGGCTTCGGATCTTACATCAAAGCATGACAAGCACCCGCGTATAAGAACAAAGACCACCCCATGCAAGAAACTGCAGCATATTTTAAAAAATGATTACTACATCTCACAAAACAGCACTCGAAATGGCCATCGTGACAGCTCTTCTCGCTCCAATCCACCTCTTCTCCTTCTCAGCCCTTCTCGGCTCCCAACTTTACCAAACATTTATCGTCACAAAAGTCGCCTTCCAACGTCTCCCTCGTGCGCCTTTTATAAACCTCCAGAAACACCTCTTCCCTATTTACTTCCAAAGCCAAGCGCTGCTACTTTTTCTCACCGCTGTAACGCTGCCACCATATGGCCCCCTCTCACTGACGCAGCACAAGAGTGATTGGATTCCGTTTGCAGTATCAAGTGTTGTGTCAGCATTAAATTTGACTGTTTTTGGACCGAGGACGAGAAAGTTGATGCTGGATCGTGTTGAACAAGGTAAATTGGTGTTTTAGAGTGAAGTCGTACAGAGACTAATGTGTGACAGGAGCCACGAATGCAAAGACGGCGAGCTCGGAGGGTCCAAGCCCTGCGATGCAGGTTTTGAGGAAGAGATTTGGGACGGCGCATGCTATGTCTATTCACCTGAACTTGATTGGTCTTGGAGCTCATCTTTGGTACACTTGGAGATTGGCATCTCGTCTTGACGTTTCTTTGTAGGTGATCGAGGCTGGAATTGTGTCGAGTTGACGCTTTAGTGTGATAAAGAGTTAGGCTCAAGGATTAGATACACCGGTATACATTACAGCTATCCCCCTCACGGCCATCAGTCTCACCGCTCCCAATATATCGCAGGAGAAGAACCCAACCCAAAACAGTGTTTTCAGTATCAAGGCAGATAAACAACCATCTCCAGTCCTCCAGCGTACGCAGTCGTTGTTGTCTTGAACCCATTCTTAGGGTCATGGATATAATCCAAAAACTCCTTGTACAGAGGCCTCGCCATCTTTGTGTTATCAGCCAGTACAATGGCACCTCTCCTCATCCGAGGCTTAATAGCCTTAAGCGCTGGAAGTGCAAGCGGTGTCCAGACTATTCAAGTTAGCATTTCGTCACACTCCTCGAATAGATGGGAACTTACTGTCGATGAGCAACATGTCAACCTCCTGGGGCATACCCTCCTCCACCAAAAGCGTCTCTCTCAGATCTCCTTCTCTCAGTTCAATCCACGGCTCAACTTCTCCACCGGCCTCACTCCAATGTTTTCTCGCTCTAGCAGCTTTACTGCTCTCCTTCTCCGTCGCGACAATTTTTCCCGTAACATTCACACCTTTTGCTCTCTCCGCAGTGACATTCTGTCCCACAGCAAGAGCAAGATACATAGTGGAAACACCGAAACTAGTTCCTGCCTCGACGATGTTCTTGGCGTTGATACCTCGTGCGAGGAGATACATAAACTGGCATTTATCCTGCTCCAGAGCGACAAACTTGTCACGCATGTGGTCGTCGCCGGAAGCAGGCCATGCTGAGCCGGTGATGTAAAAGCCATACAGAAATTTAAAGTAAAACCATAATTGAGAGTAGGATTTCTCTTGGGCTTCTGATGCGACGTGGAGGCGATCGAGGAGGTTGTGAAGACGAGGGCTTGCCTCGATGGCTTGGAGAGCTGTTGCGGATGGAGCCATTGTGACGATAGCTGATGATGAAGGGTCACAGTGGAAGGATCTAGTTACTGTTTATATACATGTGATATGAGTCAATATCAACTGGAATCCCTACGGGTACGATAATTAAGATGGATGCGAAATAAGATCTTGGATTTGATATCACCGAGGCCGATCTATCGTGTCCGAAAATGCCGGGCTGGCAACTGAATCCGTCTGTGCCAACTACTTACATATGCCGAAAATATACTGGCCTATGGGATGTTATAGATATTGAAACCCGTTCATGGGAGGTAAAGATTGACATATCATTTCTCAGTTGTCAAGTGTTTATGGTGTCAGCTACAGCCTGGCTGATGAGTTGGTGTGTACATGCACGTCAAGACCCTGACTGCGGATATTAGATGGTAATACACACTGTGTTTGCCAATTCTTTTGTGATGAAGGTATGAGTAGCGACCCCCTTATTTCCCAACACTCACGGCGATGTATCTCAGCTTGTCTTGTTAAGACCGAGAATGAAGACCGGACTTCGGTCCCGGCCCCGGCGTTTAGCTTCAACCATGTACAAGTCCCTTCCGATATCTTGTCCGATATTATAAATTTTGACTCACAACGACCGCTTATACATATAAATAAACTGCTGCTAGTGTAATTGGCCTGCTACTATATAATGTACTGCAGTGAAGCAAACCCATACCCTCAAATCACGCATCCGTAGAAGTCATCTACTCGGACAACAAGAGACGGGTAAGGCTAACCAATATCAACGGAGCGGCCCGACTCCGTCACCCAAATTCATCTCCATGCATTGCCTTTCTAAAGGATTACTATATAAACATGACCGACTCAGCTATGCCTACTAATTGTGCAATGCAAAAGCGGTCAACCTCTCAGTAATCGACCTCTGTTACTACAAACACCACTAACTCATCCGTCAGCCATTTCACGGGTCAAAAACTCAACAGCAAAAAGTAAAAATGAAACACTAGAACAATGCTTCAAGAAACATAAACTAAACTAGACTATCCACTTTTAAACGCCTTCGGATATAGTCATCCTGCATACATACTTCAAGCTAAGATATTTATTATCCGCTCCCCGGATGCCATTCCACAATACCTACTAGTCAAGCCTCTCGCTTCGCTCAACCAATATGAAATCTTCCACCATATTGCTAGCGAAAAGAGAAGGAAAAACCGGTGCGGCCGACCATGTGGCCGGTAGTGGCATTACGCTTTTCTTGTCATAACTAACAACAAAAACAGACACTGTTTGATGAGGATAGCCGACAATAGAACCTTGTTCTCCACATTGACTGGAATTAACACGGGGTAATTCTAAACTCAGCTGAATAGACCGAAGAAAAAAAGAAAAATTCTAGACGAGGGGCGGACAGACAAAAAAAAAAAAACGACTCGTGCGTCTACACGGTAACGGGTGGATAGGCGAGTCAGTTTTTCGGGCCGGGCCAGAAGGAAGACGGGCATAATAAGGAAGGGGATCCATACCTTTCCGTGATGCACTAATGTATGCATCAAGGGGCAGAACCGCATCAGTCACAAGTTTACCCGATCTATCTTGCAGAATATCGCAAACTAAGAGTACTATGGCACGTTCACTACATGTGGATATTAATATCATCAACAAACTGACACAGCAATTGACATGAACTGGGTTTGAATCTTGGTCTATTAACAAGCTAACATAAACATCCCACGCCATTCATTATGGTATCATCATTTTTGCAAAACCAGACCGAGAAAAACACTTCACTCAACACAATTATACTCTTTTGACGAACCTCACTCCGTTCCGTACCATATCCATCACTTCCTCAAGTCCTTTCCCGTCCCTAGTCTCTAGCCTCTAAACTTAGAAGCTACAGTAATCCGTGTAGTAATACCGGGGTAGAATACAAAAAGAAAACACCAGACATTGAAACTAGTATGCTGGAATCTCATCTCAAAAACGCCAAAACCGTGCGTACTGGGCTCAACGACCCTAAACTGGACATAGCGCAATGCAGGCGATACAGCATCCATGCAAAACCTCAAAACCAAAGCTCCAGTGTGCTCCCACCATGCGATGATCCATCGTGAGGGATCTGCTCCCGGTTTCATAATGCGTTATTGTACAGTGTTGTGAAATGCAAATGTTTTTATACTCTGCCCTAAAAGGCGAGTCCAAGTAACTGCGCTGTCAAAGCGCGGGTATCATGCCCACACAAGGGCCCCAAAAAGTCGCGGATCCCAAATATAATATCGAATGCTTCTAAAGGGTATGTCTAGACGAGTCTAGACGTTCGAAATGGTGAACGATTGTTGTCGAATCTGTCCGGGTTTATACCCGTCAAGTTCCGAAGAACTTATTTCTTGCGTTGACTGCTTGTGGCTGTAATTTTGCTAGTGCTCATCAAGTCGCCGATATACTTTTGCAAGAACTTGTTGTTGTTGTCAAGCTTATCGTGCTCTTCGCGAACGGCTTCAATGCGGTTGAAGATGGTAAGGAGAGAATCCTGTAGCGCTTTTGCGTGTCTGTAAAAGTTAGCGTCAAGCCCATATTCATCGGGCAGATTATTTACCTTCTCATCTCTTCCCGAGCAGCCTTTCCAATTCTGTCAAGATCCTCGCTTGTTCTCCTGGGGCTCATTGCCCTGACGTCATCTGGACCAAAGTCGGGCTCGTGAGGGCCGACTGCTGAGCTATCGCGAGGAACAACTAATGGGCCACTGCTCTTTCTCTGGGGAAGTCCAGGTCGAATGGGAACGGGCTGATGAATGATGGGCTCCTCGTGATCGTGATCGTGGTCATGGTGATGGTGATCGGAAGGGCTTGATGATGTAGAAGAGTCTGACCGGGCGATATGGTGAGGGTGGTGCTCCGAAGGGGCATTGGGGAGTTCGTTGACTGCCATGATTGTAATGTGTGACTGGTTTGATCGTTGCTCGGGTATTGCAGGGTTGTCACTGTCGCGTAAAAGATTACTTGTACACAAGAATGTGTAGAGCGACAGTGATTAAGGGGCGTCGACTATCGAGATGGCCGTTGACTTGGTAGATAAACTTGTCGGTCAATGTGTCGCAAATAGTCGCAAAAACTTGTCTTGGAATAATGACAAGGGGAGAGTCGAGACCAAATAGTTCCACGTGGTTGCAAGGTCTTGATGCTGGATTATGCAAGTTTGCAAGAGCAGCGATGTAGATCCACTAGGGGTGTGATGAGGCTGGCGATTTGTTCTAGATGGCGTCCAGAAGGCGGAGTCGACACGCGGAGAGACCGATTAGACTAGCCACAGATGACTGTGAAACGGACCGTGATTGAGTCGTAGCTTGGATCAAACTCGTAGACACCCTTTTTCGGGAGTGGTGAAGTCGGCGGCTGACGTCGTGGTTTACAACGAAGCGAGAAGTGGGTGCGGTTGAGTTGGAAAAGTGTTCGTGTCGAAGTTCAAGTCGCTGGTCGCAGGTGGCGGTCAGAGAAACAACTAGCCTGGTTTGCTAATGGATCGAGGCACGAGTTGAAAGGTTTGTTGGGTTGAGATAAAAATGACCCTACAAATAAAGCCAAATGCGCATGTCAGCAAATGAGTTTAAAAGGAGAATAGGCAAAAATGGAGCTTGAATGGCAAGAGCAGAGCAGCACGCAGTAATAATAAAAAGCAAAAGGTAGCACTGGCAACGTCACACTCAGGGATTTGACAAGAGGGGGGACAACTAACAGGTTGATAATACGACTTGTAAATAATAACCAAAGAAAAGATACGTTGAACGAATAGTAATAAAGATACGAAAAAAAAATTGAATAAAAAAGAAGAAAGAACGAACCAAAAAGTTAATTGAACGAATCTCTCAAAAAGGATATGACGAGTATGTCAATAGTGACCAATCCCGGCAGTGGCAACAAGTTCCAAGGTGCAAACGATGGGATAGAATCATGAAAGTTTAAAGAGGCAATAGGCGGCAAACGGTTGCAGGCAGGAGGACCCTTCTTTTGAAATGGCGAGACAGGGCAGGCCCAGGGCAGGATGTTGGGTCGGGTTCGGAGTGGGAATGGCAGGTGGCAGGTGGCAGGTGGCAGGAAGGAAGAACCCGGCCAGCAGAAGAAGGAGCGAACCCAGAACAGAAAAAGCAAGAGACAAAAGAGGGGAAGGGGTATGGACGAAATGGGGATGGGAATGTTAAAGTGGATTTCAAGTCAATTTGATAATTTCGTTGGAGCTGGGCTGGAGCTGGAGCTGACCGTACAATACAGTGCACTCCATGCCAACTCGCAGTAGGTACCACTTAATGCTCCGTACTTTCAAGGCCAGGTCAGACCAGACAAGGTAAACCGGCAGTCGACAAGAGAAAGCCTTTGGAAAAGGAAGGGGAAAAAACTACAGTGTCATCGCGTCCCAAGGAAGAGGTATGGGAGATCCTTGAAAAGATACAATGAACTTGGACAGTCCTAGAGAGGAAAGTGGCGACGGAACAGGGAGTCATGAGACTTGCGATCGACATGCTTGGTACTACATGAACCATCTACGCACAAGTATCTTTTGTCTTTAAAAGCCCGTAGGTCTACCTCAAAAGCAGCTGTCATAGTGTACTCTGACCCAGGCCACTTATGTCCCGCTCCAGGGGAGAAAACAGCTTTCATCCACCGACTGGATTGGATTGGATGACAACAACCCAGTGAAGGGCCACTAATTCTGACACTAACTTGCTTCTACTGCTTCCACGCAACTCGGTAGCCCCCAAAAGGAAACTTGTGGAAGGAGCAATGCCCATTTTGTTCAGACGCCTTACCCATCGTGACTGTATGCATTGATGTCATTGTTATCGGAATTGTAAACAACGGAAAGAACTCACGATAAATGGGACGTGCAAAAACAAAAACCACTCACCAAGAAAAACTCTTCCTCCTTAAATCACCATCATAATGACAATCTAATCACATTCACCCTGCCTAATTAGAAAAACAAACAACGCCCCCGCCGCTAGGTCGGCCAAGACTTTAGACGACAATAGGGAAACCATCCGAGCCTCAGAAGCCTCCAAGACCAAGCCTCCTCTGGACGATCAACTCTCAGTCGTGACGCAATTGCTGGCCCTTGCAGTCCACGGTTGAGGCCCGCTCCTTGGTCAATATCCCTGTTCGATACAGTGAACGACTCTCGGAAGCCTATCAACTAACTAGCCTTGAGTGGACTTTGGAGGCTCGGAGCTCTTTCAGAGGAGGCGCAACCCTCTAAAATTCAGGGACTTGTCCATTACCCGCGGGTCGTTGCTGTGCTCACAGCACTGTTCGTCTTTCAATCGTTTTTTCCCTCCGGCTTCGTCCTCTTCATTTGCCAGAGATCGTCGATTACTCACTCCGGCGTTAACAACCCGTCTCTAATACGCTACTATCATTGGGCGCTAGTCGCCCGTTTCCCGTTGTTTCTGGACCCTCCATCACCCACCGAATACGTCGCAAGTTGATGAACGCAACTGCGACAAAATCCTCAATACCCTTCAACCATTATAATACAGTGCTTACTACTGTCTGCTCGGTTGCTTTCACTGACCCTTGAGCGGCGGTGTCGGTCAAGAAACCAAGTTCGGTACTGATTTTCCAACTCTTGTGACTCGACCTGCAAATCTTTTACTGAAGCGTCACTCAACCGACCTTTTTGGGAACTTGAACCGAAAGACCACTACCGGTCAACAACTGAGCTGATCGCCTTATATTTAGTGCACTGACTTGAGGAAGTGCTATTGCTGTCTACAATGCTGTGGTTCATTTGCACCGTTTATGCGGCTCTATAGTTATTGGCTATGCGTTTATTAGCTTTTAAATACCGATTTCCGGGGTAAAAGTTTTATGTTGTGCTTCGTCTATCGACAAGGCTCATCCCTCACTGTCCTGTCATCAATTTGCTTTATCCATCCCTCAACTTACTGGTTCTGGGGTTGCATCTTCCGCCGCTGTCGGAAACACAAAGCATCGCCCAGCGGCTAGGGTCCAGGTGCATGCAATTCAACCTACCCCTTCAACTGGGCTGATGTCATGGATCTACGGACCTCCGCGTCTACTTCATTACAAAGTCCCGACGCCTCAGGTCCTGCACACGAGTGCGAAACATGAGCATTGAAGATCAAAAGTCAGCTAAACGGTGACCGTCTTTCGAAACCTCAATGAATGCCTATCACTCGTCACTCTTACGCTTACCGGGACCGCACAGTCCAAGACGGTCGCTTGTACCGTTACTTCCGCAGCCCCTCAGATTGTGATATGCGGGCCTAGTCATTGATATGATGATCACTATCTTTTCATCATTCCTCGCACCGTCCAGTGTTCTCTCTACAAGGGTATTGCTATCATTGTGGAAGAAACGTGAGAAAAGTGGTTCACGGTTGTAACTGACTGAAAGGCTTTTCATCCTGGAGCCTGTCGTCTTAAGACAACTGTAACCAAACCCATTGTTGTCGTTTCCTCGCCTATTTTCCCCTGCAACGAGAACTGCCGAACCTGTCAGAAGTGAAGTCATCGTGAGAGGTCTCCATCAGAAGAGAGGGCCACGAAGCAGCGGCGATACGCTCAATGTCACAGCAAAAGTTGGTCATGGCTGTGGTCTCATCATGTCGTGAGTCGAGCCTGATTTTTCAACATCACGTTGCCATGAATGCTTTCGCTTAGTATCGCAGTACGCGTCGTGGCCGAGTATTCGGAGACACTCATTCGGCCGAGCGGTTGCTTGATAGGGGTCCTTTTATATCGCTACGGACAAAAACTGGGTGTTATGGGTCGAAACCCAACCTGTCAGACTCGTTTCGGACGCGTTGGGCAGCGATTGCAAGTGACAGGTGGTATCGCTATGACTGTTGCCCTCTTCTCGTCGAGTGAGCTGTCTGCTGTTGTATGAGGATTTTCACGATGATTCAGAGAGAAGATAGAAACACCGAAAACTCAAGAACTTGTGGTCCCCCCAACAAAGAGTTGTTCGTGTAGATTGCAACCCCCTTCTAGTGGGCGAAAGTCCTTTGATCGGCCTCATGCGCACCTCCAATTCTTGTCGTCCACCGGTGCTGATCCCTCTGCCTCTTGTTCCCGTTTGTTGTTCATCCCACGACTTGGAGTTTCTTGCGGAGATCTTTATCCTTTTGAGTCTTGAGGTCCACTCCTTCGGCTCTTGGCAATTCCGCCCCTCACACTTCTTGGCTTGGACCTCGCGAGAAGGGAACGTCAATGTAGCGGTGGACATGCCACTGTCCACAGGCAAAACAGTGACCTTGTCTCAGCCCCAAAGCTGAATTTGTCTGTCTCATCGGGTGGCTGACGCCGGTTATCTTGGTTCCCGTGGATGCGTTTCACCAATTGAACTCTTAATAACCACAGTTCCAATCACTTTCAGTGTGGTAGAAGTGTGTGTGCTTTCAACCACCCTTTTGATGATGCAACGTTTATCAGTGGTGCAACTCAGGTTATGAAGATCTTAACACAGAGCATAACGCCTCTTCATTTGACAGATACCCCGCTGCCCCATCTACCCGTCACTCTACAGAGTAGTAGCCTACCTGCATGGCTGATCAGAAATGCCATCGGGCACTGGTGAAATGCAAACGGCATTATCGGCATCCAAGACTTTGGTTCACGTTTCAGCCTCTAGTCTACTGTATGAATCCAAATGCGGTGTCTTAGATGCTCGTGACGGCGGTTGTCCGACTTGTTATAATTCGTTTTCGACGGTGTAGCTGTTGTGCAACACATCCCCGCCTCTTCGGCATCTCAGTAACTATCTATTACAAACTCATACGCCCTGCTTCGGTTTACCCAGTGACTAGCCGTGAGATCGACGGGTGTTATGGGGAATTGTATGAAACTGAGAGAAATGCCTTGGTCGTCAAAACCTTCATGTCACCATGTCTTATTCGCCCGTTTTATATCCCTGGAAAAACTCACTAGTTTAGTTTATGTCGTTGCCACGGCATGAAACAACTCAGTCAAACATGGGGTTTATGGGATCCAAATGAATCCATTGGATACTTGGATATGCATTAGATACCGGTTGATGCAACTTGACATCGAACTTTAGTTTCCCATGACCCTTTGAGCGTCTTGACCAAAGTCGCCGAGTGGGCGTTCAACATGGAGTCGGAGTCACAGAGACCTCGTGAGCGCAGATCTCAATCCTGCATATCTCACCGTGATTTCTTATCAATTGTTGCAACGCCAAATGGTGGCAGTCTGATTTGATTGACTCAAAAGACTACTAAGATTATCTTGCCGATGCATATCTAGAAAGACTAAAATAGACGCGTGTTTTCGCATGGCATTTCTGCACCCCTGGCTTGGTCACTAGCATATGAAATATGAACCAGGATGAATGCAACTCTGGGTTGCTTGTAAATGACTCCCCATCTTATGAATCATGACAAGGTATTAATTACAGCTCTTGATTAATGTTGTGGAACATTCTTTGTTCTTCTAGCTCTTGACGTTGCATTTCGATATATGGGGCAATAGCCTGAGTTGCATTATCACATTCAAGTCAGCATTGGGTGAAGACTTTGCTCACTTTGCAATCTACCAAAGCATCCTCTTCTAAGAAGCCAAGCTATTACGAGAGGCTCCCGTTTGCCTCTTGCCTCTCAAAGTAATCGACGTAGACTTGCTCTGCTTTTGGCAGGAGAATTCGGGGCTTGCTTCATTTGTCATTGTCAGCTTACAAATGATATCATGGCGATACCGTTATTCAAGGAAATGACTTGAACATAGAAGGATTTAAGGCTGAGTGTAATATCAGTCAGATAGTCCACAGCCTTTGTACAACAGTAAAATCATCAATTTTCACAATGGAGCAATTCGAATTCCATCCCGCAACCACATCTCACAACCGTACCTGGTCCCCCATCGAACCAGGCGTAGACGAACTCGTCCTCAACCAAGATAATCAGACAGGCCGACGCACCACGCTACAAAGATGGCAGCCTGGCGCGCGCAACCAGCAGGACGTTTTTGTTCATGATTATGTTGAAGAGATTTACATGGCTGAGGGTGATTTGTACGACGAAAAGTTGCAGCAGGGCTGGTCAAAGGGCGCCTATGCGTACCGGAAACCCGGGATGCGGCATGGTCCGTTTAGAAGCGAGGGTGGGTGTTTGATGTTTATTGTGTGTATCCCTGTGGATAAGCAGGGGGAGAAGGAAGTTGGGGAGAAGGTGTAGGGTGGTTGCATTTTGTTGATGTTGGGGTTTTGGGACGTGATGTAGTTGAATGTGGATGGTAGTATTGATTTGGTCGAGTTGCTTACGAAGGATAAGGTTGAAAGCGTCGAGATGATAACGAGCTCTTGTTAGTTTACTCATTGACTGATAGTTGGGGATAGTTTATGGAAGATTCGTTCAGGCACAAGTCAAGAACTATTGTCATTCAGATACAATACCACAAACCCATCTAAATGCCTTAAATCTAAGCAACTATTCTTCCCCTATCACGATTAGGTTCCTCGCTCTCCAGCACCAAAGGCCCTCCTCCTGGTCCGCTTGCGTCCAGGCTAATAGTCACACCCTTCCTCTCACACACAGCCCGTATCGACTCGCCCAGGTTTCTAAAGTCCAACTCGCATGTCTGTGCCTGATTCTCGACTCCGTCCTTGACCTCCCGAATCTCAACGATAGGGTAAGGCAGCCAGCCTTCTCGTAGAGGAATCAATATGAGAGGGACTTGAGCCTCCGTATCGGATGAAGAGGAGAGAGGCTCGCGTTTTGAACCAGGGATGACAAAGTGGCCTTTGCGACGACCACCGAGAAGCCATGTATCGGCTGGAGCGGAAACTTCGTAGCTGTATTCGACATCCTTCTTATGCTGCATCTCAGTATCCCAGATCTGTGTCCATTTCAGATGAAGTGTAGCCGTGAGCATCTGGTTGATAGCCACAGTAGGAACCACACCAGGGTTCTGGTCCATCAATTCTGTCACTGGAGTTTGAAGTTGTATATCGGCTGTGTGAAGAATAGGCAGCGAGGGAATCTCGACTGGGATGAGAAGAGTGCATGGTTCATCAGGCGGTGTCGTTGAGAGTGGGACTTGAGCGTTCGAGGCTTGCCAGGTCTTGATGGCAGAAGAGATTTTGTCCGTTGCGTCCTCCTGAGTGCCAGGAACTTTTCCAATGCCGGCAAAGTGCTTTTCCCATTTAACTTCATCTAGGAAACCGGTAGATACGGCTCCCAATAGCGCAGTTCGTTCGAGATCAATAGGCTGCAATGTCTTTGCCTCCCTAACAACAACCGCCCGAACAAGCTTTGAGAACGAAGCTAGACTAGGGTCATCGAGAGCACCGAATATCGAATTCACAAGAGCCTCCTCAATCTCTGTTTGAAGGACATTGTAATAAAGCTTCAGATACATGGTCCTTGCAGCTCGCTTGCTAGATCTGACACTTGTCTTTCTCTTGATACGATATAGGAGCGTAGCTGGTTGTTTTGAGAACACGATTGTTGAGTCGGTAGGTGGGACGCCAAAATCAGACTCGAACAAATCCGCCTCTATGAGTTCACTTTTGTAAAGTCGTAGAGGGCTATGAGTCGCCGTAGAAACATTGAATCGTGAGTACAGAGCTTGATGTTTGAAAACGTCTTGAACATTGACACCCAGAGCCAGAGAAATAGGAATCACGATTGACTTGGCAAAAGTGTAGTTCTCGCCCGACTCAACTGTATAAGCGACGTCGACCTTGGCAGAAACATCGGCCATGTCTTGCTCAACCGAATAGGGGAATCGCAAGGTAACGGTTGTTTCGGCCTCAATCTCGTTAAAATGGATAACACCACCAGACTCAGGCTTCTTTGCAAACTCAACAGATGAGTCGACAACTTTGGCTTCAATAGTCAACAGTCTGAGGCCGCCCGTGGTTGGCTTGATTCGGATCTCGCAATTCTTTATGAAATTCCAACCTGGGTGTAGCACTAGATCGAGAGTGTTATTCTTGTCTAGGGCAGTATGTTTTGTAGCTGTAAGCTCAACATCCAAAGCACCCTCGCGCTGAAAGATGACAACCTCGGGATGTCTAAAGATGTCAGTTGTTGGCGACGGTGTTGTGTTGAAATCCCTGTCGAAGTGAAGGAGGAGGTTGCTCGAAGATAACCCAAGATGATCAATCTTGTATTTTCCAGGAACAACAGACTGAATTAGTTAGCACAATCTTCAAGAAGATATAAAGAAAACTTACGGTACAGTCAACTTGGATAGTGTTTTGACCAGGATGTAACACGACCTCTTCTGTTCTTGAAAAGGACAATTCTCTAGTAGGCCCTGCCTCGATCACCGTTATTCGTGCGTCGATCCTATCAAGCTTGATATCGTCTGGCAAAAGACTCCAAAGATTGATGGTGAGAGAGCATTTGTCCTCTTCCTCGAAATACTCAGGAGCACCAGCAAATTCGACATTTGTGAAAAACTTTGAGAGATGGACTTTGACTTGCGAGGATAAAGAAGAAGCCAAGTCAAACAAGTTACCGACCACTCCCTTCATTGACATGGCATCCGCAGGCTCAGGCTTTCCGATAGTTGATACTCTCTTCGAACGTTGCTCCAGTCTCTCATTTTCAGCAGCACATGACTTGGTCAATAATTTGAGAGCGACTCTGACGTAGTCATCCTTTGACTTCATCTCACGGAGACAATGGAGGTACATGACAAGCATAGATAGTTCGAGCGAGGTCCATCCGCTTTCGCCAAAGAAAGGCGTTGCCCGATAGAAATAAGAGGCAGCCGCACCAAAGTCTTCGAGGGAGAACTTGAGCACAGCAAGATCTGCCATACTAGCCTGTACGGCGTGGTCATGGTTCGCGACAGTGTAGTGTCGAAGTGCCTTATCTGTAAGAATCTCATATAGGCGATAAAAGTTCTCTGCACTGTCAATTGCAGTCTGGAGGAGACTATTGTTCACACCCATATCCAAGGGCGGGATATCCTCTGAAGTAGTGGCATCTGTTGACGGCGGTGCATCCAAACTTATCTCTTCAAAGTCTGCCTCGGCTTCTGCAATGATAGGCGCTTCCTTCCAGCCATCGCTCCATCCACGCTTCTTACCTAGACCACCGAGAATGCTCCGAGAAAGCATGTAAAGCTCGGCGCGTCTAGCGGCCAAGTCTTCGAGGCCTGCCTTGAGGTAGAGGGCCTCCTGATCATTGCTGACCTGCGGCATACCAGGGCCGGGGAAAACACCAGGGCTTAGTGGAGGACGAGTTCCAGGTGCTAGTCCTGTTTGAACATGAAGTGACGTGGTTCGCGCAGGGTGCATCATGGTCTTTGGCTCAGGGATAGATGTCTTTTGCTCGTCGCTCTGGGCGGGGGCGAGGGTTGATGGAGGAATGGGCAAAGACTTTGATGCTGTCTGAGCCAAAATCTGCTGAGCAACAGAAAAGGCGAAAGAGGCAACCACATTGTCCATAACCTCAGACAAATTAGGATCAATAGGTGAATCGTCCTCATCAGACTTGTCGTCTGCCACAGCAGCAAGGATATCTCGGCGCAAAATCTGGGACACAATTGGGATGAACGCCAAAGTCCTTCGACATATCTCACCCAGACTGGACAAGTTTTCTACCTCTTCAGTATGCTTTGGAGGGGGCGCTAGAGGGGCAACTCCATGCAAGACAGATTCTTGTTGTTCTTTAAGCTTGGCCAACAGATCTTCCCGCGACGACCAAGCATTTCCAAGGCGCAAAAGTAGTGCTACTTGCCGCGCAAAGATGTAGCACCTAAAATCAAACACAGAAACATCGTTGGCAAGAATCTTGTCTCTGTAAGCCTTCTTGGTCGCATTGATAGGTATTTCATCAAACTGTTCCTTAATCGTCTCGTTCGACTGAAGATCCACAGCCTCTTCATCAGCTGTTTCTCCGCCAGGTGACTTGGCAAGAGCAGCATTGACAATAGTCTTCAGTTCTTCAGTGTAACTGAGCAATGTGCCCCCGTGCCTTGTAGGCGACCCTTCATCGGCCTGTTCATTGACAACGGAGTCAAGCCCAACGCTGAGCTCGTCGTATCCGACCAATGCATCTTCTACAAGACCAACACTCTCAAAGCCTCTCGCCAAACCCTCTTTGAGGATGAAGAAAGTACAAAAGTTCCACCCAGGTAGACTTCGCTGGCCGTCTTTTTCTTTGATGTCTTCTTCGTACTGAGTCACGCGCAAGTCGAATGAGGTAAGAATAAGGCTCTTTAACTTTGCAATAAGCTCTCCCCAAGCGTTCTCGGCATCGTGCTCGTCTTCGAGATACCCTGTCGGTACTGCGGGAACTACTCTCGGGAGTTGATCATAAGGGAGGTCGTTGATTCCAATTCGGATCTGAGCAACTCGGTCCGGCGCTGTCTTTCCAATACCAGAGAAGTCCGTACGAAGCTTCTCAAAAAGAGGCGTCGATCCAGTGCGCCATCGTGGGCCACTCTTCTCTGAAGTGCTCTCGGAGCGCCCGCTTGTTCTTGGCTGCGTTGAGGCCACTGTGTTGGGAAGAACAACGTGCAAGATCAAGTAATCAAAGGCATCGTGCTTCTCTTGTTGGCTGTTTCGCTTCGGGTTGGTCGATGAAGGTATCTGTTCTTTGATCCATTCTCGAATCTCGGCCCGGACGGAGGTTTTGTATGTTTCATTGTCGTCGCATCTTACTAGCAGTACCTTGAGATAAGGTGTTCTTCGCAGACCAGGAATCTGATGTCGTCGTTGACTTCCAATTGCCCTCGACGGTAGAGATTGGGTGTCTATCTGATCGGCCGATGGCGCTTGGGTACCGCTTCCAAAGTTTTGTTGTTGAAAACCGTCATCTACTGTGCTCCCTGATCGTCGAAGTTTATAAGGAGATGGATCCGCCTCAGCGTCATCCCCCTTGAGGAGCTCGACATGAAGTTTATCGATCGACCGCAGAGGTCCAGCATGCGATTGCCAGTTTAGGTTTCGTAGTGGTAGTCTGGGGATCAAACCAGGGGCGAGGAGCTTGTAAACATCGTGAGGATCGAAGTACTCGACTTGCGACGAGGGGGCGTGTTAGCGATGGCATTCAAGGGAGGCCATGAGGTATAACATGACAATGGATTTAGTCTTACCGGTCACTTTTGACGTCGAGAATGGCTGTTCCATGGCAAACAGCTAGAATTCGCACTTGTCATTGCCGTTTGTTCAAGTACAAGTACGAGCAGCCCCGACGATATGTCGAGAGCGTTGAATCCGCTAAAGGTTAAAGCTGTCCCGAACGAGCTCCAGTGGACTACGACCCCTGTTGACGTAAGGAACTCCCCTTAGCTCATCTTGTTGCGCCGGAAGCGGCATTTGTCCGGTCCCAGGCGGTGAATCCACGTGTTACACTTGATTGGTTTACTGGAATGACGCTACTGCTATTCTAATGGTGGGGTGCTGGCAGAATCTTGGAGGGGCAACATTTTGGGTGATGAGTTGGGCATGAGAAGAGTATTTCTTTTTTCTTTTTCCGATCATAATTTTTGAGTATATACCAGATTTCATCATGTCAACTCTTCAGGCTGTCAAGTACACTCGCGGTCAGCTTCAGGTCCTCGACCAGCTCCGTCTCCCTCACGAGTTCCACTACGATGATGTCTCCAACCGAACAGAGGCTTTCGACAGCATCGCAACCATGCGAGTTCGAGGTGCTCCAGCAATCGCTATTGTAGCAGCCCTTGGATTGGCTGTAGAGCTTCAAAATGGAAGTATCACTGCTTCAGACGCCGAAGGCACCATCTCTCAGATCGATGAGGCCCTCGACTACCTCAAGGAGAGTCGACCTACTGCTGTTGATCTGACCAACGCCATCAACCAACTCAAGGCAAAAATAAGGGCAGTCGGAAGCTCTGCCACAAAGGATCAAATCATCGCTGCTTTCATAGAAGAGGCTGAGAAGATATTTGAGAAGGACCTTCAGACCAACCTCTCCATTGGCGATCATGGTGCTGAGTGGCTCCGATCACAAGCTGGTGCCTCTCCTGACCAGAAGATCTCGGTCCTTACTCACTGCAACACTGGATCACTTGCGACATCTGGCCACGGTACCGCTCTAGGTATCATCCGAACACTTCAATCCAAGGATCTCCTTCAGCACGCATTCTGCACAGAGACTCGACCTTACAACCAGGGAAGCCGACTTACCGCTTTCGAGCTGGTCTTTGAGAAGATTCCCAGCACGCTCATCACCGACTCAATGGCCGCATCACTCTTCCGCACTCGAAAGCAAGAGAACAATATTGCTGCTGTCATTGTAGGCGCTGACCGTGTTGTTCGCAACGGTGATACCGCCAACAAGATTGGTACATACCAACTCGCTGTTTTGGCCAAGCATCACGGTGTCAAGTTCATCGTCGCCGCTCCTACCACCAGTATTGATCTGGAGACCGAAACTGGCGATGGTATCAAGATTGAGGAGCGCAAGGCGGAAGAACTCACACAAGTCACTGGCGCTGTGATCAAGCCCGACGGCTCTGTTGACGAGAGCAGCAAGGTACGAATTGCTACCGCTGACCAGCGCATCAACGTGTGGAACCCTGCCTTTGATGTCACCCCAGCAGAGCTCATCGACGCTGTTGTCACTGAGAAGGGAGCCATCGAGAAGGGGCCAGATGGAAACTTTGATTTCAGCAAGATTCTACCAGAGCGATGGGCCAAAATTATTGGTGCTTAAGCAAGCACTCGATTTACGATGCCATGTTTCTTTTCAGCGCAAGGCTGCTATATCATACCATATTATGTCGCACTATATTATCCCACATAGACTAGTGAACAGAAGCTTGGGCTTCTATCAGGCCAAGTAGGCTATTGCTTCAACGCATGAAGAATCAGTTTCTGGTATCCCTCGACAGCTGTCTCAAGATCGGCCACTGTCAGGTTCTCCCGCGCTCCGTGTGCTACAAGAATGTTTCCGGGTCCGTACAGGTATCGTGTGTGGTCGCCCTTGAGGTTGGGAATGTCAGTTCCATAGTTGACGGTGATTTTCTCGAAGCCTGAATATATTAGCAGATGATTTCTCGGCAGATTCCGACCAACATACCATCGACATCACAGTTGGCTTCAACAGGACCATACCCATGGGTGCAGTCAAAAACGAAGGCATCCTTGTCAACCTCGTCAAAAATGGCCTGGATCTTGTCGTGAACAGCAATATGTCCGTCGGCCTGCTTTCCACTTGCGACACGCACAGCTAAACCGACCTTGGCCTCTTCAGGAATGACATTCGCGGCTACTCCACCATTGAATCGACCAACGTTAACAGTAGTGTTGCCAAACAACTCACTGCTGCCGAGATCTGTTTCGAAAACCTTGGCGAATGCTCGGATCATGAGTTCGTTGGCTGACTTGCCCAACCATGGGTAACCACTGTGGCCAGGGAAGCCCTTCGTGGTAACATCGCACCCCAGCATGCCCTTGTGTCCGCAGGCAAGCTTGAGTTCTGTGGGTTCACCAAAAATGACAGCGTCGAGGTTGTATGAGAGCTCCTTCTCTTCGAGAGCAGTACTGAAACGACGCATACCATCACCCTTGACCTCCTCCCCGACGACGAATAGCAGAAGAACCTTATAGGGGTCGATCTTGTCGTTCTCGACAAGGTGCTCAACGGCGGTGATCTGAGCAGCGACACTACCCTTGGCATCCACGCTTCCTCGACCGATGATCATGGTCTCCTTGGTAACCTCGCCATCGTCGATTCCATAGGGGATGTGTGGTGGAACAACATCAATGTGGCTGCTCACAGCAATCTTGGGATCAAAAGTCTTCTTTCCATCTTGTCGCCATGCCAGGACGTTAAACCGCGGCTTTCCGTCGGGTGTGTTTTCAAAGGGCTCAAGCTCCTGACGTGCAGTAGTATACCCTTTCTTCTCAAGGTAAGACTCAAGCCAGACGCCAACATCATGCTCAGTTCCAGAAACCGAAGAGGTCTCGATAAGAGACTTGTGCAAGCTCAACAGCTCGGATCGGTACGAGGGAGCGTCGGAGTCGGTGGAGACAGCAGAAGGCGTGCGGTCGTCGGTAGTTCCAAGAACCTGTTGCCAATCAAAGGCAATTGCCAAAGAGGCTGAGGCCAAGAGATTGGCGACTGTTGCGACGCGCATTGTGGAGAAATAAAGCTGTGGTGAAGCTTGAGGGGTTCTGACTGTTGCGCTGGGTCGGCAATTTGAAGGAAGCTCGGGTCAATTGAATTGAATTGAGCTTTGGGGTTTATGTGGAGTAGAGCGGGATGACGCAAGGGGCTGGAGCCGAAGTCGGGGAGTCGGAACAGTACCTTGATAGATAAGAGTGTCTGCCATCAACAAATAATCAGGTGGTTGAAGATACAATTTTGTCTTATATCCATGTCTGGCAGGGGATATGTATCGGGAAGGCGATTGTCCATTCCTGACTTTTATACGACAGACACCATCTCAGAACGTTGGGTCACTCCTCCACCTAATTCTTGTCATGAGATTTCTATTACTCGACTTTTGCCATACCACGGGTTTAAGAAAGCCATGTTTCTTGTAAACAACCATCGCCGGCCCGTGGTCCGTCAAGACCGGCTTCACATCCCGATCCAAGCCGACTGATAGTCACTATGGAGTTCTGAAAGATAGCGAAATGCGGGGTTGATAAGTTGTTTGTCTGACAATCTTGGGTTGGACACGCAATATATGCTGTCTTTTTCTCCCAAAGACCTAATTTACTGAAGGTCATGGTCATGAATTCATCAGGATACATGTACTAAACCACCGGAAGAATCGAGATCATCAAAAGCCCCAGAAACGGGTTGAAGCGGGATTGTCCTAAGCGATCAGCGCTAGGGCCCCTCTATAGTCTTTGAACTATGTGAGTTTTGTTAACATGATCAACCGACAAATCCGTTCTTGTCGATTTCGAAGCATCTTCTGACATAGTGACTGACATCAACTAGTTGAGGATGATAAGAAAATCCCTGCTTTGAAAGCTGAATTTTTATAAGTGTCAATATTCACAAAAGCCATGATCAACACTGGATTACTCTACCGCCCGTATATCTTCAACTCAAAACAATGGGTTCAGTGCAAGAGACTACATGGACAGGCACAGCCTACGTTCAAGGTAGAGCCTCGGCTAAGCTCCTCGCAAGTAATCTTGAGCTGAGCTTCTGGGGAGGTGTTGACCCTCAGACAAGCGAAGTCATAGACCGCCATCATCCACTGAGTGGAAAACACCTTCAAAACACTATTCTCGCTATACCAGGAGGTCGAGGATCGTGTACTGGAAGTGGAGTTATGCTTGAGCTCCTTCTCAATGGAAAAGCCCCTGAAGCAATCATCTTTGAAAGACGAGAAGACATTCTTACTCTGGGTGTAATGATCGCCGAAGAAGTTTTTCAGCAGTCTATCCCAGTACTGGTGCTGAACAAGGAAGATTTCGGGCAACTTCTTCAGTTGGATGGAAAAATCATCTATGTGGACGATGGCCATGTTTCCACTGCCCCTATCCTATCAAAGCAACAAGCAGGATTAGTCAGAGACTCAGAAAGTGGCCTCATCCTCGAGACTGCGCCCGCCATAGAAGGTATAAAACTGTCCACCCTTGATCAAGAACTTCTCAGAGGAGACTACGGCGAAGCATCTCGCGTTGCAGTCCGTATAGTCCTTCGCATGGCTCATCTCCTCGGTGCAACACGTCTCATGGACATAACACAAGTTCACGTCGACGGCTGCGTCTACACAGGTCCTGCAACACTCGCACTCGCAGAAAGACTCCGTGACTGGGGCGGCAGAGTGCGCGTCCCAACAACACTCAACTCCATCTCGGTCGACCAAAAGCGATGGCGAGCTTTGGGTGTTGACACTGCTTTTGGAGAAGCAGCTGATGCGCTGGGAAAGGCGTATGTTGATATGGGAGCGAAGCCAACTTATACTTGCGCACCATATCAACTTGATAGTGCACCAAAGTTAGGGGAACAGGTTGCTTGGGCGGAGAGCAATGCTGTTGTTTATGCGAATAGTGTCTTGGGAGCTAGGACTATGAAATATCCCGACTTTCTCGACATATCCATTGCTTTGACGGGAAGGGCACCAAAGGGAGGGCCTCATATCAGTACCAATCGACTAGCTTCTGTCCGCGTCGACGTTATCGGGATGGAGAATGCACCAGACCTTGACGACTCTTTTCCTCCTCTTCTGGGTTACTATGTTGGGACTTTATCGACAAGTCGAATTCCTGTAGTAACAGGCCTTGAAACATACGGCCTCTCGACAGATGACTTGAAAGCCTTTGGCGCTGCTTTCGCAACTGTCTCAAGTGCTCCAATGTTTCACATTGTTGGTGTAACACCAGAAGCAACCACTCTCGAGACCGTCATCGCTTCTGAGGTCACCACTTCCAAAGTGAAACCCAGTGATCTGGTCAATTGCTGGGATAAACTCAACAGTGCACCAATGAACCAACCTATCGATCTAGTATCCCTCGGCAACCCGCACTTTTCACTCTCCGAAATACGAAAGCTCGCAGAGTTATGTCGAAGGCGGAGAAAAGCCGCGAGTGTCGCTGTCGTAGTTACGTGTGGGAGGTCTATATACAAGTTGGCAGAGCAAGCAGGCTATATAAGACAATTGGAGGAGTTTGGAGTACAGATTTTGACGGATACATGCTGGTGCATGGTTACAGAGCCTGTTATACCACGGGCGGCAAAGACTATCATGACAAATTCGGGCAAGTATGCTCATTATGGACCAGGACTTACGGGGAGGGGAATGTATTTTGGGAGTTTGGCTGCGAGTGTCGATGCTGCCTGCCAAGGGAGGTATGATGCTGAAAGGCCGCGATGGCTTCAACTTGGACTAGATATATGACTTCTGACGAGTTGTTTGAGCTATATGATGGTAGCCAAAAAGAAAGTTATTCAACAATAGACTGGCTGGGTACCTCTCCCTGTCTGTAGTGCGTTAGTGTTGCTGTGGTCGACATAAAAACCCCCACACAAGAACAACACCAGGGTAAATTATCCGTGTCTAGTACATGAGTCGCCGGATAACAGGTAACTGCGTGCAGTAAACACCCCTTGCTTACACCTGCAATTTTATTTTCACGTAAAGTACTTTGTCATTCGTATTCTACACAAATCAATTTGAATATCAATGCTCCCATTCCCCTAGACGAATTCTCAATTCAATCCTCCCTTCACAATTGAGCAAAATGGCCAAATGCAGCCACACCTCATTATACAACGATTGCAGCCCTGCCGCTCAAGATGCAGGCTTTAAAAGACCACCGATGAATAAAATTTTGGCAGCGATTTCGCATAATGGCAAACGACCCAGAGATCCTGTGCTTCAACAAGACGCCATGAAGAACCCGTGGACGTTTCCCGGACCTTTGGTGCTTCCAGATGACGAACTGGCCGTGGAGCCTGATGATGATGGACAGACATTCAAGGAATGGCTTGATATGGATGAAGAGGAAAGAAATCAAGTCACAACAGAAAAGAAGACTATTTACGTCATCTTACCGCCTACAATTCCTCAAGATTTGGAGGAGACGATGAAGGATTGGCATAAACCTGTTCTGCCTGGAGCATCACCTCGAGATTTGAATAAGTGGACGTCTTCGCCACCTCAAGTAAACGATTTGATTAAATATCTACGCGCCTTTTATCATGGTATGGACGTTGTGCAGTATCCTGAGACCTTCACATGGCGACCCTGGGACGAGAAGCCAAAAGCAAAAGCACGCTCAAAAACAACAAAAATCGGATTGGAAACGCCTGGAGAACCAGAAATATGGGACGTCAGATGTCGACCATCTTTGGACGGACGTGCTAGAATGCAAGTCAACTTGGACGATGTTGCAGATGCTCTTCTCCAAAGAATATCCAATGATGCTTACGCTGTGATCATGCTAACCGACTATGACTTGTATGAAGATGAGGATGACGACTTTACAGTTGGAAGAGCATGGGGTGCGAGTCGAGTCTGCATCGTTTCCTCTTTTCGATATAATCCTTCTTTGGATGCACCAGCTGGTATAGATCGAACGCACATGTGGCCGAACTCTCACTGCAAAACATTCGTGGATAACGAGTGCAAAGCTGCTACAGAAGAAGGAGAACCTCGTGTTGCGAAAAGAGCGAAGAAATCGAGCAGTGCAGCCTATGGAAAACCACCGCCCGACTCTGCACTCAGCCTCGCCGTCCAAGCAGCAAAACGAGTCCCCAAGCTCACAACAAGAGATGAACTTGCAAGTTACTGGTTCGCCCGTCTAGCCGTCACGGTATCACACGAACTAGGTCACTGTTTCGGCTTTGCACACTGTCCGTATTACGCCTGTGTCATGCAAGGTGTGAATAGCGTCCGACAAGATGGTCAAGTACCTCCTTACCTTTGTCCAGTATGTTCAGCCAAGTTGGCCTGGGAACTTGGACCGTTATTGAGTGGTAGTGGAAGTCTGACTGAGAAGCAAAGGCTTTGGGTTGGAGAGCAGATTATTGCTTTGAAGGAGTTTTGTGGAGGATGGAGTCATGTTTCTCAGTTTGCGGGCTTTGAGGCTTGGCTAGGGAAGGGGTTGGATGATATGAACGAAACGTGAGGATAATTAGAAGGTATTTAATATTGGTGAGCATAAAGACTGTACTGTATACAACCTCACAATATACAGGCAGCATTTAGGTAGCATTGTAAATACAATCATTCGTATCTTGGAATCTAAAAACATAGATCAATCTAAATTAATCAGAAACAACGCTTCAAAAGTTCGTGTATTTACTGTGAATCAACTGCCTTATTGGGAGCCTTATCATCATCCTGGGTTCCGGCTTCGGCATGTCGTGCTACTGTCTCTCATGGTACTAATTCCCTTATTCCCCGCTCCATTATAAATCCAACCTCCAACAACAATCTCTAATTTTTTTCACAATTCATCAATTGAAAGATGGTGCTTAAATCATCATCAATTGCTGTGCTCGCCACAGTCGCTGGCGCATCAGGTTTTGTGTTGGGTCCTTTTGGAGGTACACAGAAGCCAATTGGTGGCCAAGACGCCATCAGTAGCGGCTTTACATGCAACCTCCCACCGGTTCTCACACCAAAGAATGATGGACTTCCTGATGCCAGCAGTCTTTTTTCTTCAAAAGAGGCTTTTGATACACAAGTTAAGCGTCATCAGGCGATTGTTCGCGTTCCGTCTATCTGTTATGATGATCTTGGTGATGTAGATAAAGATGAGCGGTGGGCTCCGTTTTACGATTTACATGATGCTTTGGCCAAGACATATCCCGCCATGTAAGTCTTTTACTCCATACGTCTTATTCTGAACAGAAATACTCACAAGATATAACAGACACAAACATGCGAAGCTTGAAAAGATCAACAAGTTCGGTCTTGTCTACACATTAGCTGGAAGCGACTCTTCTCTCAAGCCCTATCTCCTCGCAGCTCATCAAGATGTCGTTCCCGTGCCAGACCCATCAACATGGACTCATCCTCCCTTCGACGCCTACTTTGACGGCGAGTGGCTATGGGGCCGCGGTTCATCGGACGACAAGAACAGTCTTACAGCTCTCATGTCAGCCATTGAGACTCTCCTCACCAAGACTGAATGGTCGCCCAAGCGCACTTTGATCCTCGCATTTGGTTTCGACGAAGAGTGCTCTGGTCCTCGTGGCGCTGCCAAGATTGGAGAGTTTCTGACGGAGCGATATGGCGATAATGGAATTCCCTTCATTCTTGATGAGGGCGGTTCGGGAGTTCATCTCGTCGACGACACGCTCTACGTTCTTCCTTCAGTGCAGGAGAAAGGCGCGATTGACATCTGGGCTGAACTCCGTGTCAAGGGCGGTCACAGCTCTATTCCTCACCCACACACCGGCATCGGCATCATGTCCGAGATTGTCAGTGCCCTCGAAGCAAACCCCTACTCGCCTGCTATTGTCAAGGACAGTCCCGTGTACAACCACCTTGTGTGTCTTGCACGTCACTCACCAGATGCCCACCCCAAGCTCAGCGAACTCCTCAAGAAGGACGACCTCGAAAAGCTGACTTCTGAGCTCATCCGTCTCGACCCAAGCGCAAAGTTCACCATTCAGACAACGCAAGCCGTCGACATAATCAGCGGAGGTCAAAAGATCAACGCCATGCCTGAAATTGTCACATTGGGCGTAAACTACCGTGTTGCACCTCAGGATAGCCACGACAAGGTTCAGAAGCAGTTCCTCAAGAGCATTGACTCTGTCGTGAACAAGTATAATCTCAGTGTGAGTGCTTACGAGGATGACAAGAAGTACAGTGCATTTGCTGGCGTCGATAGTGAGACGGGATATGACTATGATGGTCATCTTAAGCTCACGGCTTTCAAAAATTCTGTCGTTACACCTGTTTCGCCAACAAGCGGACCCATCTGGGATATTTTCTCAGGAACGATTCAGCATAGCTTTGCTTTTGATGGTGGAAAGGTTGTGCCTGTGGGTGAAATCATGACTGGCAACACCGACACCAGACATTACCTGAGTAAGTTAAAGTACCCTGACAGATATGAACAGTCATGCTAACGAATTATAGACCTTTCACCAAACATTTATCGATGGACGCCAAGCCGACAGCGGGGTTCAGAAAACATCCATACAGTCGATGAGAGAATCAGGATAGACTCGCATATTGACATTGTCAAGTTTTACTACGACTTGATCCGCAATTTTGACGCGGCAGACTTTTAGGAGGGCGGCATGCATATCATAGAATTCTAGGGTATCTTATTACATCTGAATCCGAGCCCAACGACTTGATCATCAGACCTCTTGTGCAAGCATAATCTGTGCATCTTGCCCAAACATGACCTGACTCGGTTACTCCTCATACCCGCATCAACGCAATTGAGGAGCAGCCCTTTCCTTGACCGTCTCTGCTTGCATGTGCCATTAACCTCTCCCCGGGTCTTGTCCGAGCAACCCCCACGCTTCCCCGCATGTCGGACACTTTGTGAATATCCCCACAGTCTCCTCAAAATGAGGGTCAGAGGGTGTCTGGCGTGGGGTCTGGGCATGCAATGCCGAGTGGTTTAGCGGCCTCAAAATCGCTTGCTTTTTACTGTTTTTCCATCTCTTGTTCCGATGGCCTATCCATGATCAACAAAAGTCCGATGGTTTGCGGTGTTACGACTCCTAGTCGTAGGGAGTGAGCACTTCATATCGGATTTGGGCCGTCTGGTGCGGCAGAAATAGTAGTTCAACCCGGTCAAAAGGGATTGAATGCATGTAGAATAAAATCAACTTTTGGGTATCGTTTTGTGCTCTATGTGAAGTAAACGTTATTCTCACGGAAAGCCAAGATGAGCTTCAAAAAGTCATTCTCATCACACTTGACGGCTCGGGCCTCGGCAAGGTCGGTGGACTCGAGGACATGCTCAATCTTGGTTCGGATCAAGTTCTTGAGAGATGCCTTGCTGACGGGGACACCGCACACGGTCTGCTTTGAGTCGGCTGCCTTGTCGGAGGTGTCCATGCTGTCGCGGAGCAGGTCGAGATCCTTCTCGCTGACCTTGTCTGGGTGCATGGACGTCCATGTGATCCAGTTGCGCTCGCAAATCTCATGCGAGTCGAGGAAACTAGCTCGCAGCGTTTTGTTCTTTCGCGAGAAGCAGATGCGCAGCACTCCGTCCAGCTCATCTAGACCAACAGCGGGGACATCTGTTCGAGGCTCTATCCTCACGACAACGGACTCGACCTCGGGTGGAGGGGAGAAGTTGTTCTTTCCGACCTTGGCGACCATGGAGACCTTGGAGGTGAATTGTGTGTTGACCGAAAGACGAGAGTATAGCGAATCACCAGCACGAGCGCACAATCGCAGTCCGAATTCTCGCTGAACCATAAGAATGCTAACGCGAGGTGGCTTAGGCATGGAAATAAGCTTAGAAACGATAATGGACGAGATTTGGTAGGGAGTGTTGCTAATGCAGACATCGATAGGGGGGAGAGCTTGCACAACGTCAAGCTTGGCGAAATCGCCCATGATGATTTCGAGTTTCTGCTGCAGAGGTCCACCCTGGACTCGTTTCGTCAATTCAGCAGCCATTCTGGTATCGAGTTCGACAGCCTTGACAGCCTTAGCCTGCTCCAAGATTCTCGTGGTGAGGACACCAGTTCCGGGACCAATTTCGAGGACGGTGTCGGTGGGCTTGAGGTGTGCTTTTGCGACGATTGTGTCTGCGATACCAGGGTTCTTCAAGATATGCTGGCCGATGTTGGTGTTGAACTTGAAGACCCTATTTGCGGCAGGCTTCTCGTAGGGGCCCTTTCGGGGGCCAGAACTCTTGCCTTTTGTCGCTTTGGGCATTTTTGCGTTGGGATATTCGATATTGATAGACGATTTGGGTTGACGATTTTCACAACTTTTTTTTTGGTGGTTTCGCAGAAAATCGTAGGGTGGGGCGAAATTGTTAGGCGGTGACCATCTTTTTTCTTGGAGGGGCATCAAGCCGGACTAACTATAATTCCGGGCGGGTTTAGTTTAGTTTCGGGCATGTCACTACAGCGTAGTGCACCTCTACACCTGGAGACAGCACTGGAGGTCCTATAACATTGGAGTTTTCTGTTCAAATCTCAACACCTTGAACATGACTGTTTGACATGACCTCTAATGATGATTGTGTACCTCGATAGAAGTTGGATACTGTCGCATTGGACAACCTCGGCTCCCACGCCACGAATACAACTCATCTATGCTGATCGGACTGACTGCCCTCACCTCGTGAGACCTGCATATCATCGAAAAGTACTCCTCCAAATGCGGAAATGTCAGACGTGCCTGGATACCACTCCAAGTGACCACGAGACACCCTATGCTTATTCTTTTGGTCTGTCCAATCCTCTTCTTCTCTGATTCCCGAAATATGCCACCGTTAATGAACGCATCCGAATTCGTTACACGGCATACGTGGGATATGGCCACTTTGCGGGGAATGGTAGTTTCTATAGGGTAAAAACACGCAGAGAAGTGAAATACTAATGACAAATATGTCTGCAATAACTGTTCATTATGATATATTACATGCTAACATAGGTAATTATGTACTACAGCAGCATGTCAGAATTGTAACTGTACAACTGTGTACAGTATCCCCAACGCCACAACACCATCTCGTGCTTGAAAGTCATACATCGTCATCATCATCATCAGCAGCCGCTATGCAAACCTGCTTTTTGTTTTGTCTTTTCCCCGTCAAAACGTGCTTTTGCTTCCCCAATCATAGCGTTGTCTCAAGATCCATCACTTCTTGGAAGCCAAGAGCAATGGTATCTAGATCCTTCTGAGACGGTGCAACGCAGGGTCGTCGAGGCTCGCCTCCATAACCACCAAAGTGACCTAGCGCTGCTTTCACTCCTACAAAACCAGTCTGGATCGCCATCCAGTCTGCCTTGGCTACCTTGGCCTGCAGTTGTCGGGCTTCCTTCCAGTTGCCTTCATCGGCAAGCTCTGTGATCCGGACGCATGCTCGTGGGCAGAGATTCGCTAGACCAGAGATGGTACCGTTACCGCCCACCGCGTGACCCTGCAGGATAAAGTCTGCACTGCCGCCACCAACGAAGAAGCCTTCGGGACAGTCAGCCACGATACGGGCAAGCTTGCCAGTGTTACCGCATGTCAACTTGACACCCACAACGTTGGGGTGCTTGGCGATGCTGAGAATCGTATCCGAGGAGAGATCCCGTCCAGCTGCAGCACCAGGGAAGTTGTACACGAGAAGAGGGATGGGACTCTTGTCAGCAACGGCGTAGAAATGCTGAATGACAAGATCATCGGGGAGAAGACCGCCATAGTAACTGGGAGGTAGCACAAGAGCATGCGTGGCACCGGCCTTGCCAGCATCTTCGCACAGCTCGGTCGTTTCTCGTGTGCTCTGAGCGCCACAACCAGCGATGAGTGGAACGCGAGTGCCGCTGGCTTCGTGGATGATGGTATCTCTAGCAACACGGATGATGGTTGTGCGTTCTGATGGAGAGAGATGGGCACATTCGCCATTGGAGCCGTGAACAACGATGCCAGCTACTCCAGCCTCGAGCAACTTGACAATGTGTTTCTCAAGAGCTGGAACATCGACTTCGTCCTCTGGGGTGAAGAATGCAAGAGTAGGAACGTAGACGCCATCGCCGAGGCGTAGTTGGGATGCTTTAGGAGAGCCCATTGTAGGAGATTCAAGCAATGTTGAAGGCATAGAGGGTATAAATTCAGTATTAACAGGATAAACGCTGTCTTTTATACAAGCAAAGCAGACAAAGGGCAAAAGACGAGAAGGAATAGTCTGATGGGTATTAGATCCATCGCGAAAGTGGCCGGCGTCAGCAGGTCTTTTATGTCCAACCGAAAACAGGAAGTGGCGCGCTTGTCATGAGGACATTCACTTGTTTCCTAAGCTTTTGGAGATTTCCCGATTCAAGCGTCCTTCAATTCATGAAAAGCGTGGGGGTCAAAAGGGCAGCTAAAGAGCCAAGGGTTAAGAACAAGGATTTGTTAGTCTAGCTCGGGGTTCAAAAAGGCGGGGGAAGTGATTGTCTCCGGGGGGTCCGTAGACTTGCACTTTCACACCCCGGCCGAGAGACTCCGGACCGAACCGGTGACCTCGCCTGATTCTGATGGAGACACGCGAGTCAAGAGAAAAGACACGATGTTTATGGAGACTCAGTGGGGGTTTATTACTTGGTACAACAACAAGATTTATATCGTTAGCGACAGTCAAAAGACTTGATCAGTGAAAGGTATACAATTTACAATACAAACCAAGTCCCTAACGCCACCAAGATCCAAAACCCGTACCAAGGCAGAATGTCGAGCATATTCAATGGTTGCCCTCCATCACATTCACACAACCATTATCCCCGCAGAAGCAGGTACCGGTCCGTGATCACAGTCGTCTGATCCCTCCACAAGTCGTCTAAGCCTCACAACTCACTGTTTAGTCCCTCTGAATTTGGTTAATTGGGGAAAGTCTCGTAATACCCCCCACGCTCTACACGACCAATGATGCTTCCGAATTGTGATGTAACGTGAGAGGGGAATGGAACGGACAACAGAGGAGGGGGAGACAGTCCCCCGGGTATGGAATTTGTATGTGCATCTAGAGCGTGGGGGAGGATAATGAGGAGGAATGTTGTGAGGAGAACATACTGTTGGCTGGTTTCTGTGTCTTTTTGTCTCTTTTTATCCAGAAAAGAGCTATCGAAGCCAAAAAAGGGAAATTATTAAGTATAGTTTACGGCTTGTGAAATAATATAGACGTAATTAAAGTTGATCTTCCAGTGATCTGATACAAAGACCTTGAACAGACGGGCCACTGCAGACTATTTTCCTCACGTGTGTTCAAAGCGTGGGGGTGCGATTTTATGACAGCTTGTACCATGGAACTATGAAAGTTATGTAGCATCAATAAATAAACCCCATCTGCTTATGCTTGTGGATCTATTTACATGGTGGTTTATTCCCGAGTCAAGCATGCGACAGCTTGCCTCATCCAGTCACAACTTGCCAGCTATAATATTTGTCAACTTGGAGAATGGACAAGAACATATTTCACACTATGTAGTACATATTACAGATATAGTCTTGAACATGGCAATCACACCAGCTACACTCGTCCTCCAAGTCGAGTCTTCCATGCAAGGTATCCAGCATATCCCACAACCCCAGTCAAAGCCAATCTTCCCACAGCAGAAAGCAAATTCTGGTTTGCTCTCTCCTTGCTCTTCTTCCTCATAACTACACTATTCTTACGGAACGTCTCGCCGTCGTTGAGGTGGGGAAATGGTGCAACAACCTTTTTACCAGTCTCTGGATCCTCAACCTCGGGCACGGGAACATCCAAGTACTCGCACAGCGGCGCCCATCCCTCAGTGATGGTGTACTCGAAGCGACGCTCTTCAGGGATACGGTCGCGAAACTCTTGGTACTGCGCCTTGTACCACTCCAAGGCCTTGTCCTTCTCATTCCCGTGATCGTACTTTTGTACTAGCGATTTCATAGATTTGCTATACTTTGCCATGTACTGAATGTTTGAATCCAGCAAAAAGCAGTAAATCATGCTCAGCTTAGTCCAGATATCCTTGGGGGACGTCAACAAGTAAATGCTGTTCAGCACACTCTCGTACCACTTCTCAGGATCACGGTTGAGGATGATGACTTTGGCTTCGGGGTAGAGCTCCGCTAATTCGGCGCCGAAGAAAGCAGCTGGAACGTCGCACACGGCTTGGCAGTCGCCGAGAAGACGGTCCCAGTCAGCACGGGTGAAGGAGCCTTGTCCGGCGTACTTTGCTTCGAAAGCACGGATCCATTCTGGGGCGCGAGATGGGTCCTTGATGAGTGTTTGCATGTGGTAGCAGTCGTGGAAACCAAGCTGCCAGAGGGCGTTTCTAATACCTGCGCGCGCACGTATCAACAAGTGTTTCATCTATCCAGTAGCAGGGGTGGACACAATTCGTCTAGATACGAGATGAGTCAGATGAACGGAAACATACTCAGCGTGCCTGTGCGATGAACGCCACAGACGATGACGCGCATAGGTACAATGCGATCGGGGTTCGCGTGTGTAGACACGGACCCATGAGTGGAAGAGGCCATCTTTTGGCGAGATGATGATGGAAGGGGGATAAAATTATTGATGCCCAGATATTCAAGGGTATAGACAAGAGAATGTAACTGAACAGGCCTAACCTATTTCGCTTGACTGGCGCGCTTGAGCGTTTATCTCTTATGCATTGATTCACCTTGTTCCTTTGGTGTTTTGGGGTGGATGTAGGTAGCTACAACAAGGGAGGGAAAACAAGACCCAGTAAAATCGAAGAGTCGAGACTCGATTACTCAGGATCCTGGACTAACCAATATTGTCAACACCATGTTGATATTTCCATTGATACTGGTATTAGGGAACTCGCTTTACAATTGAGTTGTAAAGATGATTAATTGTTGGAATACTCTAATGGTATGTTCTGACGGAGTATCCTGTCTAATGCTCTAAGACTGTACTATTCCTCAATTGACCTCAGGAATAGACATTGGCCTCCTCGAATAATTGACTATTAGAATTCATAGTATCGGGCTGTCGGGTTATAGGGTAACATGCGGATGATTGCCTTTCACATTAACGGTAATAAAAGACCAAAATGGATTGTTTGTTTTATCAGGCCTATTGAGCCTGTATCTTAATACTCGAGATGTAAGAAAATCTGAAACTCCAAGACCAACATGACAGAAATGCATCGTCACGTTTAGTGTCTACAAGCACATATACTGCTCCACTAAATCTGACTCCCCATCCCCACGTCTCAAATCTTTCTACCCCTAGAACGGATAACTCAGCATCCGACGCCTCAAGGAGTCGTTTACCGCATCAGAGTTTCCAGTTGTTTATAGAATTTGTAGTTATTCCCTTCAAAACAGTTACCAACTATACTATTCTCGGTCGACTTTTCCGAAAAAAAAAAAAAGTCAAGTTGGAAACCGTTTCATCTCAATACAACCTGAACACCAGGCATTCTTCGTGTCATCCAATCTCAGTACACCATTTGCCTGATGTGAGGCCTGGGTTTATGCCTGTCACCGTTCATGGCCAAGATGTTCTGGACTATAGCAGTCCCCAAGTAAGCATCTATACAGTTGCGGTGGCTATAGCCTAATTTTCCCAACAACACCAGGGCCAATTTCGAGACGATGCCTCGGTAAGGGGGGGAATATACCAAGAGTTTCCAAACGTTTGAGAAAGCGCTGAAGAGGGCATCGCAGGAGGACTCTTGAAAAAGTATAAGATACCTTCATAGGACGCCCAGTTTTGTTCTTGCTTCTTCAGTTCGATACTCAACACCATTTCAACTACCTACTATCTTCAATTCTTTTCTCTTCCGCTGGTCGGCTGGTCTACTTTCACATCCCATATCTTCTTTACTACAACCAACTAAACAAAACAAACCTCTTCTTTCAACTTCAACAATTCAAAATGCAGTTATCTCTCGCCACCCTTGTTTTCGGCCTCGCTGCCATTGCCTCTGCTGGTACCATGGACGTTGAAGGTGTCCGCAACGCTCCTCGCAGCGCTGTCAACGTCCGTCGCCAGAACGACAACCGACCTGTTCCCAACGGAGCATGCTGTGTTGCCAACACCAGCTTGAAGCAGGATACTTGCACCGCCGCCAACGGCCAGACTGGTCGCTGCGTGCCCGGTGGAAACAACTGTAAGTAGTAGCAGGGATGTCTACTGTATCAATCGCTAACAATTATTGCAGGCGGTTCTTCCCTGAGCTGTGTTGAGCAGTCCAACCTTGAGTGCGATAACAACGTTATTGAGCGTGGAAGCTCCCTTTGCCGTGCCCGAGCCGGTAACGGTGGTCTCTTTGACGGTGCCAACATCATCCAGAACCTTGGCCAGGCTTCTGTCAACTAAGGGTCCGTTAATTGAAGTGATTATGGGGGATAAGTGAAGGAGCTATGGAATATGAAATGGATCTACCGGGTCTGGATAGTAGGTAGTTCGAAATATATAATAACCTCAACTTGTGTTTCTTTGGTGATGTGAAGATATCTATCGCCAATAATAGTACTTGTCCAGATCGTTCTAGTTGAAGCTTTATCGGCGCTTGGACCCGCTCCGCTCCGAATAGCCCGGCATCAGGGTATTAGAAAAATTGACCGCTGGAAGCATACGAGACGAAATTAGTAGGTCACTTTATGCTCCTTAGGCTATAGTTCTTAGACTACTTATTCTTATATCCTAAAATTGAGGAGGCCAGCTTTTCTGCTACCCACTGGCCCGGTAATGCCGGGTGGATCTATCTTGAGCGTCTGTTTTGAAATGGCGATAGATAAATGGATCTTTTCGCCATCCCTTGTCCTTGTTTATGAGTTGGAGCCCAAGGGTTGCTACACTAACATGTGATTGCAAACGGATCCACAGAGGAAAGAGATAACATGCAATATTAGAATATCTGGCGTTGTGAATGAATGTCACCATTAAAGTAACCCATTGAATTGACTCACCGTCAAGTTACGCGTCATGATACAAATTGTCATGCATATCATCATATCATATCAGGTACTGCACACTAAAGAGACATCAGTTCAGTTGGTGCTTGGTATCTGCGAATGCACGTCAACATGCATATCTTGTGGTACCAATATAGAAACCAAGACTGTTGATCGACTGCCAGCCCTGCATGCACAACAGTGACAACGTGGATCTGTGTTGAGATGGTGTGCTACGGGAATTAGTAGATACTAAACTAAAGTTAGTAGATGAGCCTCAACATTCCAGTTCATCAAACTTAAATAGCGCCTAATCTATGGAAACTAAACAGGCATCTAGAGGGTAACTAAACAAATTGCTACCCGCCCGGGACCCGAAAATGATGGAACCTACCGATCGCTACAGGGCTGGCAGCTGCAACCCATCGTTCAGGTTCTGAAGCACAGGGCACTCGTTTATGCCTGTTGAGGCAAGATGGTGGAAGGGAACGTACCCGTAAGCCGCTGAAGAGCACTATAACTTGAGCCTCTAAAAAAAAATCACCCAATCTAAGCTACCGGCAGCCCGGTCCTGTCCTAGCTTTATCTTGTTATTTGCCACACCCTACCCGAATGAGTAACCCGAGCTTTTCATGGTGTCTTTGATAACGAACAGTCTCAGTTGCTTTTTTTGTTCCTGTCCTTTTTATCCGAACCAATTGGTACACGCGGAATGAAACGTTGAGACCAGTCGAAGCGAGGATTGGCCTGCACAAAGAAAAGCTAAAAGAAAAGAAAGAGTAGGTCTCGGATAACATGTTCCCCTTTTTTGCTTTTCGACCTATGACGAGTGTTGGAAGGTTCTGGTACATTTCCGTTGTGAGATAGGAAGTGGTGTATGACTCGATTTGTAAAAACACCAAAGAAGATATCGCCAAAAACAAAACATGCTACTGGTAATTCAATGGCGTCGAAAGTCAAGAGCCAAGGCAGCGACTAAAAAGTAACACACCATCATCATGCAATCATCACATACGTACACACTTTCAAATAATCGTGGGATACCAAGATTATTATAGCATGGACAGTCCCTAGCTGTCTCGTCTCGGGCTTGCTCTCGGCGACCCACAGGCCCTTATCACCCAAGTCTGTCGCCCCTAGCCACAACACTACGAATTGTACATACAAGAAAAGACCCAGTTTTCGTCCTCTTTTTTTCTTGTTTTGCGCCCTGGAGCGAGTTTAGAAAAAGAATTCCAAAGCACAGAAGAGTATGTAAAAGCCGTAAATCATCCCCCCCTCGCTCACTGATCTGCAACCATGAATATCATTTCCTCCTACTCATCCTTGAGCTCAAGAAGCCCTCCTGGGCCCATTTGTTAAGACACAAACGGTGTCCGTCTTTTCGTTTAAACACACATACATAGCACTTGGACCCAGTATTCACCGTGCTCCTTTTTTTACATCATATCCTCCTTTATTGTTATCGCCCATCTCACTTTCGATTATTATGTCGGGCGAACAGAATGATAGTGGAAGCGGGAGTGCAAGTGGGAGCGGTGGTCAAACCAGCCAGGTCCACACTCCTGCTCGCAGGGAAAAGAAGAAAGTTGGATGGCACGCAAGTAGACAAGAAGCTGCTGGTGAAAGCAGCGGATCTACTCGTCTACATCCAGGTCCAGTTCAACCAGACGAAGTCATCTTCTCACCCGCTGGATCACCCAAGCTCGCCCCTGGAGAACTACCACCCAATACACCAGATGCATACGAACTAAGTCTTGCCCTGAAAAAGATCTTATCGGCAGAGCAGGACAAGAAGCGCCAAGAGAAACCTCAAATGCTGGCGCCTGATACACCGGAGATCATGGGTCCCAAGCGACCCAGGCCGGCACTCCGCAGAAACACCAGTTATGACGACCCTGGAGAGAGAGAAAAGGCGGACCAAGCCGAATCCAGGACGACAGAGAGACAGTACCGATCTATGGCCGATGCTCGACAAAGAGCAGACCAACTTGCTGTCTCTGTAGGAAGTTTCTCTGCCCCAGGATCTCGAAGGGGCTCAATTGAATACGACCAAGTGCCCTCTTTCAAGCCTTTGATCGAGGACTACGACAGCCCCAAGGTCACGCCGCCACCCAAGTCGACAACTGTTGAGGATGCGGGCTACTTTGGCCTTCGACAGCGTGTGCCGAGGGTCGATGAGGATCTCTTCATGCACCACGCCGCAGCAGAGAATCTTGTCAGATCGCACACTCGCAAGGGAAAGAAGGATTTATACACAAAACACCCGAACGGAGGGGGCCACGCTTCTGGTACTGCCACGCCAGTGCTCCAACAAGCTTATGCCCACGACTACGTCCCCCGACCCGAACAGTACCGTGGTGGAATCCTCGGTTCACTCTTGAAGCTATACAATGATGATAGAAACGCTCCAGGCAGTGGTCTGAACACACCAAAAGATCCAGGAACACCTCTCATCTCGCCTCGCAACTCGCCTCCTATATCACGACCGACTTCATCCAACGGCACACCCCTCCGAACACCCCCTCGCTCTCGACCCTCCAGCGGCTTGTTCAACTACCACAAGTCGCGTCACTCTACTTCCTCTCTTGCTCTCACAGAGCTCATGAAGTCATCGTCCATGTTTGCTGCGCCCGCATCGGCAAACATGGCTGGTAAATGGGCCGAGAACGCCAAGCAACAACCCCCACCACCAAAGAAGCGGGACAAGACTCGCATCACCATCCACATCGCCGGTATCATTCAACGTCACCGATATCTTCTCAAGTTGTGTCGGGCACTGATGATGTACGGCGCTCCTACACATCGACTGGAGGAGTACATGACCATGTCGTCGCGCGTTCTCGAGATCGAGGCGCAGTTCTTGTATCTTCCTGGGTGTATGATTATCAGCTTCGACGATAGCACTACGCATACGACTGAGGTTAAACTCGTTCGTGTTCCGCAGGGTATTGATCTTGGACGTCTTCGTGATGTGCACAACATTTACAAGGAGGTTGTCCATGATAAGATTGGCGTTGAGGAGGCTACGCAGCGACTTGACGAGGTCAACGAACGGAAACCAAAGTTCAACGTCTGGTTTCGAGTATTCTTATACGGTGTAGCATCAGCTTGTGTGGCACCTTTTGCTTTCCAGGGACGGCTCATTGATCTTCCTATTGCATTCTTTCTTGGTGCTATTGTCGGCATTCTTCAACTCGTCTTGGCTCCTAGTAACGAGCTTTACGCCCACGTATTTGAAGTTTCCGCCGCTGTCATCACATCCTTTTTCGCGCGAGCATTCGGTTCAATTCAAGACGGCAAGCTCTTCTGTTTCAGTGCTCTGGCTCAGAGCAGTATCGCCTTGATTCTTCCAGGTTACATGGTTCTCTGCAGTTCACTCGAACTTCAAAGTCACAACATTGTGGCCGGTAGTGTTCGCATGGTGCACGCTCTCATCTACACACTATTCCTCGGATACGGCATCACTATCGGCGCTTCCCTCTACGGAATGATTGACAGCAACGCCTCTAGTCGATCGACCTGCGACAGGCCACTGGAGAGAGGCTGGTACTTTCTTTTCGTGCCAGGGTTCACCATGTGTCTCTGTCTTATCAACCAGGCCAAGTGGAAGCAATCTCCCGTCATGGTCGGAATGGCTGTTGCTGGCTGGTCGGTCAACAGTTACAGCGCCGATTACTTCGGCGGAAACGGGCAGATCTCCAACATGCTGGGTGCCTTGGCGGTTGGTATCCTTGCGAACCTGTACTCGCGCATGGGACGACATGTCGAGAATGGTTGGCTGGACTTGGTCGACTGGTGGAAGCTCAGGATGCGACCGCGCTACACTAAGAAGAAGTTCGAATCCGACTCATCATGGTCCCTCCCTACCCTCACAGATCCAGAGTCAAGACCTGGTACACCTGAAAAGGGCCAAGACCCGGAAAAGAAGCCTCGCAAGGTCGGATACAGTCTTGCGGCTGCGGCTATGCTTCCCGCTATCTTTGTGCAAGTGCCCTCTGGTCTTGCAGCTGGTGGTTCTCTCCTGGCTGGTGTTGCCATGGCTGATGAGATTACCAAGAATGGAACAAAGGTTGCGAGCGACATCAACACCATGGGCAATCTCGAAGGAACTGCCTTTAATGTTCTGTTTAAAGTCATTCAGGTTGCCATTGGAATTAGTGTCGGTCTGTTTATGAGTGCACTGATTGTTTACCCATTGGGTAAGAGAAGAAGTGGACTGTTTAGTTTCTAAGAGTTGGTCTTTTCTTTGTTTATTTTCCTATGTATTTACCGGTTCAGAGTGGTTATACAAAAGCAACAACTAGATCTTCTTTGTTTGGTTTATACTGGGATCGGGTTGGAAGCGATTGGCGCAAAGCGAGCGTGTCTGGGGTTTCATTTTTGTTTTATAAAGGTTAGACATATACTATTATAGAGATACGGAACGGTAATGACCGGGATGAAATGAGAAACACAGTACTACAGCAGAACAATATCATATAAGAAGTTATCTATTTATAAATATCCTCTTTGACATGTGATGTTGCACAAGTTTTGGGATCGTGGGTTGGGAATCTCGATGCTCAATTTTTATAACACAGTGACGTCAGATATACACTCACACACTGTCTCTGATTCTCTCTGCCTCGACCTTTTTCCCAACCCATCCATAACAAACACATCCAATACATCACGACCAGTGACAGAATACACGTCGGAATTTGAGTTCTTCTTTATTGATTGAAGCGGAACTAAAACAAGAACTCGGCACCACTCCGACCCCACGCGCAAACATGAAGATTCGTTCTTCTCGCATCTCAGTCTCAATAACAAAGGCAATATGCCAACGCCACGGCTCCTCAAAAAAAGGCCTCATCAAGACCATAATTTCCTTCTTTCGCCTCTTCAAACTCCTTCTCTCTCGCTATCGTTCCGTCGACTTTCTAGCTCTACGAAAAGAAGTCTGGCAGATTGACGACGACGAGTATCACGTTTCTTTCGAGATCGACACCAAGGATTCGCTCGTACCTATCGGAGATCTAGGATACAGCGGTTCTACCTTTTTCACGACGGCGAATGAGAAGTATCTCATAAAGTCACTACCCAGACGCTTCGAGCATGATTTCTTCGCAAAGGAATTGCTGGATCCGTATGTTGGACATATGAAGAATCAACCGCACAGTTTACTTGTCCGTATCATGGACCTTGTTTATGCACCGCACAAGTCTATCGGTGGTATGCTCGGTGCTGCGCCGACACACCACATTGTCATGGAGAATTTACTCTACGGGAAGCCAAATGGTGAACAAGGCAAGACGTGGGAGACGTACGATCTCAAGCCAAACGACTACTTCTTTCCTGAACGAGATATCGCAAACGGTGCTCTCGTGCCGGATAGTGTGATAGAGCGACTTGTCGATGAATTTCCCGACAAAGTCCGTGTCACACGACAGGCCAAAGAGGAGCTCCTCTCCCTCCTCTTTGCAGATTCAGCACTCCTGGCTTCCCACAACGCAGTCGACTATTCACTCTTCCTCGTGCGGTACCCCAGAGGCAGCGAGGTACCTATCGTGGAATCCGACGCAGGAAACTGGCGACGAGGAGTAGATGATGTGGAAGGGAAGTGGACATACAGATGTATTCTGCTAGACTTTTTCTGGACAAAGCATGCCTTTCATGCACGAGCGTTGACAAAGGTAGTCAAGATTTTCAACAAGATTGCCCACAAGGGGCCCATGAGCATCACTGCGGACCCGGAAGAGTATAGGGAGAGATTTATGAAGATGGTGGACGATATGGTTGTCGTGGGGTGATAATGTTATTTACCCAACGAAATTCTTTCTACGCGAAAAGTATGGAGTAGGACAAGGCTTTTTTCTATTTCGGCGATACCTAACATTCTATGGGGTTTGAGATAATGGACAATATTTCTATTCAAGACTTGCTCATTGATGCCAAGTGTCAATACTGGTTGATTAGAGTAGAGAACAGCTTCACGACGGACTGCACGTTCTTGTGATACAAACTTAGTAGCAATTTAACTTTTAATTCACCCGAATGACTCCCTTTTCATTCATTAGAGCCGCAATAATGAATGGCTTCCCTGTGCAGCTAAATGCCTGAAGACGTCTAGTGGGTAGCAGAAAAAACGATACCCTAAGGGGCTTATACAGTCATACCATTAGACTTTGTCATGAACACTACCCCTTCAAACTTCAAGTATCAGGTTAAAGAACTCCATTGCCATTCAACGCTTTGAACACATGCAAACGGAGTAGGTCTCTGTTCATTAACTGAGGTTACAGGGCATATCTCTTGACCAAACTAACATCTCTTTGACGCTGGTTATCAGTGCCCTAGGAGTGCAGTAGAAGCTTCACTTGCATGACTTTCAAAGAATAAAGATGAGAATTTTAACAAGAAACTCATGATTGCAAACTGTAAAACAGACGAATTATTATATTAACTTCTCTAATAGCCTCTGTGAAGTAAAAGAAACTTTGACTACCTCATACAACTACGCACATATTTCCATATTAACTTCACAAATCACTGTAGAATAAAAGATTAACTTGAACTCTGTGATAATAAACGCACGCAAAAAAAATCCTCTCTTTTTAGGTCTCTTGTACGGCTATATAATTATCCCCTTGTTCGCCTTCATTCTCTGCTCTTCATTGTTCAGACATCCCCGTTTGCAATTCACATTGTTCCACGCCATTGTTCAACTACTGGAATTCTGACTACGTTCCCATTCACTCAAGGCCTGCCTGTTACTACTTTTTTCAAGCATCGCTTTAACTTCTACAGATTCTTCTGGCATTCTATTCTACTTCTCCCTAATATCCTTCTCCAAAAGCTATTTGCTCTACATATCTTTTCGAGATATTTTTACTCTATCAAAGAAGTATAATCAACAGAAATCTCTATGTTGTTAATATCTGCATCTATTTGCAGCGTTACCAAACACTTCTTTCGACATCCTTGACCTATATTTATCGCGCTCCCTCAGAAGAACATTACCATCGAGAGCATACTCTACCCCTGACCACCATCCTTATCCTCATTCCTCGACATACATCGGATTATATCAACACGAGTATCATCAATCTCACTATTGCCACTATCTCCTATACACACAACTACCCACCGCATCAGACACAATGCTTCGTTTCTACTCCCTACCACCCGAGATTCAGAACATGATTCTCAATCTCGTCGCTGAACCTTCAACAACTTCCTCCACACCCCAAGCACCCTCAGCCCCTGAGAAGTCCAATCTAGCTCCGTACGCCTGCGTCGATAAGTTCTGGAACTCATTTTTCGAGTCAAGAACATTTAACAACCTCATCATCACGCAAGATGACATCCCTACTCTCTCCCAAATCGTGGGCCGCCAAAAACGCCTATTCCTCCATCACCTCTGGCTTCGCATCGAGCTGCCAAAGTATCTAACCTCAACGATAAAAGAGGAAGAAAATCCCAAGGTCCTCTGGGCACTAGATTCGGTTTTTACCAAGTCTATTTTTAACCTCTGGGATGTCCTTTCAGTATGGAACAGCACCGGACATAATGGCATGACCCTCGAACTTAGTGCTTTTTCGCCAAGGGACTGGAATAGTTTCCTCGTCCATAACTGCTCTGTCGAAAAGGATGTAGAGCTCTACAAAAAGTATCTCACATCTGGCTCGACAGAGCAGTACGAAGCCGTTAGTGATGTACACGAGCCGTACGTCAACCTGCACCATGCTATTCGCAACGTACCGAGGCGCAACGACTACTGGTTCCCGACAGTCAACAACCTTTTTGGTTGGAAGCCGCTTGAATTTACCGAAGACGTTGCGCAGTTGCCTCCAGTCTCGGTGGTGACCAAGTTCCTTATCCGACGACAGCAGTTTCGGGAAATCTATCCCACTGCTCTGGAGACGATGCTTAGCAGTCTAACGAATGTACAAGAAATCCACGTCGAACGCTGGCGCTGTGCAGAGTCTAGTGACGAAAAGATGTGGTGCAAGGAGGCACAGATTACCTTTGGAATGTCTCTACCACCATCAGTCCAAAGACTCAGTCTATACGGCGAAACAAGCAAGGTATTTCATATCTGGGAGCCCAAGAAAGCCACAGTTGTCAGTCTGGCCAAGACGCTGCGACAATACACCAGGCATCTGGAGTCCCTCTCCATTTCGCATCTCATAGATGCAAAGGAGTTTCTACGTCCGTTCTACTCTGACAACGGGGTCAGATTGTTACCCGACTGGAAGAATCTGAAGAGGTTGTCGCTCACCTCGGATATCTTCAAGACCGGTACAGAGAAGGACGTCAACGATCTTTTGTGCGCGGCCGCTCGTGCTTCAAAGAAGATGCCCAAAATCGAGATGCTGGAGCTATGGAACGGCGAGGCAGCCTGTGTCTTTTGCTACCGAGTGGAAGACACAATGAGCGAGATCACTTGGCGTGGAATGCATTTCCCAATCCTCGACAATGAAGTGGTCAGAACTTGGGAGGCTGCTTCCATCAACAACAATCGTCCAGACGTCAGAGAATCAGCCAAGCCTATCAAGATAGAGAACATTGTATCTTCTAGGCAAGTCCTTAAGTACGTGACCAGCAGATACCGGATTCTGCATCCCGTCTCTGCCATTAGGGCAATTTGGAAGAGAAGGAGGGGCAAATCAGATGACTATGAGACGAGAGGCAGGAAAAGAGCGAAGAAATATGAAATCAAGGATGAATGTTCCCTGGCGCAACAGCATAGCATTGGAGTTTGGTATGACGTTTGATACCCATGAAGTTACTCCTAGTTTAGACATCACGATACCCAGCATAGCAAGTTAAGAATAAACAATAATCATAATTGATATAACAGTTTCCACGTTATACTGCCGACGACTCCAGGATCGTAATCATACAGTGACAAAACTAAAAACGCCTCGTATGCATCCAGTGCCTACAAACAAACACCACGCAATTTTCCTTTTAAGCAACAACCGACTCGACTCTAGAGTCTTCTCCAGAGTGAGATTCGCTGTTTCGGGGCTTCTCGTTGCCACGATGGAAGTGGGCCTCGTCTCGCTGCTCGCGGGTGATGTATCCAGGAGGAACCCACTTGTGACTGTTCCAAGGCTTGAGACCCTCCTGGCCGTACATGAGGTCGACGTTCTCCAGACTGAGGGCGCGAGATTCGAAGAGGAAGAACCAGACAAGGGCAGCGGCAGCCAGGTTGGTTCCGACAAAGACGAAACCGTAACCGTAGGAGATACCGGCGGTGGCAAGAGGAGTAAGGAAAGCAATCATGACTAGAAGGCGGATTAGTGTTGGAATGCATGTATTGATGATAGAAAAACTTACAGTTTCCAAGCCAGTTGCCGGCAGTAGCAATAGAAGCTTGCTTCGCACGAGTACGGAGAGGGAAACTCTCGCCGATAACGACCCAAGCCATGGGACCCCAAGTACTGGCGAAAGAAGCGATAAACATACAGGCGCAGACAATAAGAACGATGCCGACGGCCTTGTTCTCCTCGGGGTTCATAGCGGTACCGATGGCGGCAAAGACGGCCAGCCAGCCAGCTTGCCAGAGAGCACCGATGAATAGAGGCCAACGACGACCAAATCGCTCGACAAACCAGAGACCCATAAATGTAGTGGCGACGTTGACAGCACCCAGGATAAGCTGGGTCTGGATAGGGTCCTCGATACCAGCGGACTCGAAGATGGTAGCACCATAGTAGAAGAAGTAGTTGACACCGGTCCACTGCTGGAGGAAGTGGATGAAGAAACCGAGGAATGTTCGCCAGACGAGCTTGGGAATTGAGCTCTTGGGGTTGAAGCACTCGGCCCAGCTACCCTGGCCGACTTGTCGTTCCTTCTCGAGAATTTCCTTCATTTCCTTCAGGTCGTCCTGGACGAGGGGGTGGTCGAGGTTGTGCTTCATGCCACGGAGTCGACCTAATGATATTTGGGCGCCCTCCCAGTCACCTCGAGAAGCAAGCCATCTAGGAGACTCGGGGACGATGAGGATACCGAGGCCAAGAGGAAGAGAGAAAAGGATACCAAGGCCGATAACGATTCTCCAAGAAGCGCTGTTGGTGTCCATCTTTTTGAAACCAAGACATGCTATGTTGGAAATCAGGATACCGATGGTGATCATGAGCTGGTAAGAGGCGACAACAGCACCACGGATCTCTCGAGGGGAGCATTCGGACTGGAACATGGGGACACCGACGGAAAGGTTACCGACACCGAGACCAGCGACGAATCGACCCATCATCATATGAACCCACGACTCCATCGCCGTAATCTGAATGACATTACCGATAATGAAAATGGCGACTCCGAATGTCATACTCTTTCGTCGACCCCACCAATCAGCGGTGCTAGAGTTGTTAGCTGGAGGTTGAAGAAGATGGTTGAAGCAACATACTAAGCACCAGAGAGAGCACCGAGCAAACTTCCAATACTCATGAGACTAACAAGAATGGACTGGATGATAGGGTCCCATTCTTTAGCACCCTCAGGGCCTTGGGCGAATCGGTCCTTGAAGTCTGAGAACAGGAGCATAGAGCTAATCTGACCCGTGTCGTAACCGAAAAGGAAACCACCAATGGATGTAATCACACCCAAAAGGATGGCCTCGATACCACAGTCAGCGCCATTGACCTTGATAGACCTAGAAGAGGGAGACGGTTAGTATTGGAAAGAGACAAAGAGAGTGACAGAAGGGAGTGCATACTTTTGACCCAACATGATGATGTACAACTGCCTGGCAGATGACAGAAGTAATGTTTGGGTAAAGAAAAAGATGTAAAACTAGAGTGAAGATCTGTTTCCAAAAGGCATGAAAAGGTGGGAGGACGAGGGTCTTTTATTGTTCAAGACGCGACGGGTAGACCTGGTCTGGTCTGGGTAGCGGAGATTTGAGTCGTATCACAAACAGCGGGAGAGAGAATGTCTGCCCCATAAACACATCCTGATCCATTACGCTAGAAGGAAGAACGGACGGGCAATAGGAATAGGCAGTCGGGGGGCCCGTTGCAGCAAGTGCAGGTGTCCTGGCCCATCCTTCCGTTTCTGATGATGATGAATGGGGCATCATTTACTAAACTTGGCAGTCGTCATGGGGGGAAACGAGAAACCATCATGGGCAACCAAGTTCAAGTCAGCCGTTGCGCCAAATGCAGATCACTTGATTAGTGTTTGCAGTTAAGTCGTCGAAAGGAACGCGGTCCATGTTGTTGGGCGTTATTCTCTAACGGGTTTGAGAATTAAAGGGCCGATATTAGAGGTGTTTGTATAGAAATAATCCTTTTCGATCTGGGGTTTCTCCAATATTTCGTGTCTCTCATGCAGAGTCGACTGTCGACTGTAGGCTGGGCAAGGCGAACAAGACAATCTTGGCAGTGACCTGGGGGTGTCGTTGTGGGTTATCCACGGGGAACGAGTCAAGAAGTTACAGGGGTCGCGTCCGTTACTGACGGACTGACACTGATTGGGTTTTCTGGAAAATGTGGATGTCATTTTTCCCCTTGGCACAGGCACATAAAGTTTTCTGGGGTACGTACCTGGCTAAGCCTCTCCTCTGAAGCAGGTGGAAACTTGGCCAAAAGAATTTGATGGTGTTGCTGTTGGTGTTTAAGGATTGGCTCATGACGTAACTGTCAAGGTAAGCTTAAACCCCAGTGTGTGGCCCAATTTGGTGACCCAACATTGACCAATCTCTGGGCCTACGGCATCGTTCTCGGTGCGATAAGAAAAAATACTGGATACTCGACTCCACGTCGATCACGGGGTTAGGGATGAATTACGCATGAGACAGAACAAGAGAATTGGGTGCATCTCATCCTTTCTCCATCTCTCCAGCTTCTGTCACAAAAGCCACCGAAGAAAGACCTTGATTCTGTAGCGAGATTCTGGGGAATTCTGCGGAGAGCCGAATCCCAAGAAATCTTTGTCTTGCATCACTCTATTTTATCGAGTCCAAGGTTTTGGTTCTTGCGTATCATTCATCGCCAAGCAAGGAAGACAGGGAGAACATGTGGATCTTTGTTCACGATGATGTCTTGGCTGAAGTACCGGCATATTAATCGAAGTCTCTAACACGCTAACCAGAGAAGAAAAAAATCTTTCAGGGCTTCTCAGCTCATCGTTTCCCTTACGTGACTCTGCACTTACAGTCATAAACTCCTTACACTGCATTGATCAAAGCCTACACTGAAAAATCTACTCCGGGCCCGCATCATTTCGGAATCTCCTATGTCTCCAAGCCCCACCCGGAGCCGTGGAGAAGCCGGCCGTTTACTCGGAGCTTCATGCCTGTCGCTGGGGAACGGACAGACGTTTTCAACGTCGACCGTCCACAATCACAGAGTAAACGGCCCGTTTGTCGCATGAAGCCCCCCTATTCCCTATTTTCGACTTCCCCGAACCAACAGAAGCCTATCAATGTCCCCCAAAGCCCCCATCTCTCCCCAATATCTCCCCCACGACCCAGCAAATGCACAAACTCCAGAGTTTTCATCGAGAGAATCCGGGTCAACATTCTGGGGACTCCTCATTCCCAACTCCGCGTTCATCACCCAGAAATGGCGGAGATGAAGGAGTAGTGAAACACCAGCTGACTGTGAACGGGCCCTATAAATCGGCGGTAATTCGGCGCTGTCCTCAGACCGTGGGTGAGTTGTCGTGGATAATTCAACTCATCACCCGTATTTTCTTCTTCGACATCCGACTTTTGTAGAACTACGGAGCAATTCTGTATACTCTTTACGTATAGTTTTCCGACACGAAAAAGAATTCTCGCTCCTGGATCATCTCGGTGAACCGGTGAGCGGGAGATTCAGGCAGCTGAACATGTATCTTGCCCAACATACACCAAAAAAGGAGAATGGTCCAGACATACAATGGGGCTCATTCGACTTTTGGATCACGGTCAGGCTCAATTACCGTTTCGGTTATGAATGCATAGCCAGCTGTTGGCCAAGATATACGCGGTGGAGAAGAGAAAAGTTTGTAGTCAAGGGGGATTCTCTGAGAGACTCTGACCCAACCGTTGTCACAACTTTACGATCGAGCCACGGATATTCATGCGGAATGTATGCTTACCAACAGTTGATTCTGCATGGTTAATGCCTCTTATCAATCACCTGCTATAACAGTCGACTGTTACAAGGCTGTGTAAGGATCGCAAGCATCTCACCATCATATCATAACCCCTTTCAATCCCGACTTTCCATACTACAAGTTTCACAACATGACACCACAAGTACAATTCCCTCATCTCGTTTCTCTACAAATCGGATTTTTTATATGAGTGAAGAATTGATAGACGAGGAGTATATGTCGAATGTCCCATCTTTCGATATGTGCACTCTGGGCAGTACAACACTAATGCACTGCGCTTATTTCCTGAGATAAGGTCGGAAATCTAAATTCGGAAACCCGAATGTCTATCAAAATAGATTTGTTAGGCAGGTGATCGAGTTTGAACTCTTACCGCGAGACTAAGAAGCGAGTAATCACAGGAGCGGAACCATCTTGGTCATGTGAATAGCGTGCTGAGTTGCAGAAACCCAGTGTTTTTGCAGTCGTATTCTCCTGCATAATCCTAGTATCACGTTTGTTCTTGTTATCCTTGCAGTTGTAACATGGACGGAGCGTGAGTTTTATCGACGCGGTTATCGACGGTGTTGACAGCGCTGATGGATCGCCGTCTTTATTTGACTGTTGAACGCAGCAACCACGTGAGGGAAATTATAAGCATACTAATAAAGCCATTTTTCAGGGTCTAATTAGGAGTTTTCGAGACAATTACACCAGATGACTACATGACAAGTCATTAATGAGGTTGTCGTTGATCAGCATAGGGTAGTTAACTAGGCCCTTGTAAGTGTAATCCACTCGCCCTGACAGATATCTAGGGTCCAGTTCCCCATCAATCACCTTTTTTGAGGAGCTTGATATGCAGGTGAAGAAAACCGCAGATATGTCGTTGGTTAAATCCAGAAATTTTTCTTGGAGATGGTATCCAGACGTTGAAAAATACTTCAATACTGCCGTGATAAAGTTTACAATGAAACTATATTTAATCCAATCTCGGCACGGACGGGTCCAATCCCTCATAATCTATCAGCCACGTTAACAACAACCTCCTAAGTCTCCCTTGCATTGAGTTCACTCAACTGAAGTGTTGAACTGGAACGAACTCAACATAAAGAGTCCAACAAGATCCAACACCATGACTTATCACTGTCCCGACTGTGACAGACTCTTCTACTCAGGGAGGAAAGCTCGCGACCAGCACTGTCTAGCAACGGGCCACGCTCTCCCACAATTCGAATGAGACACGTGCAGTGACTGCTTCGATGATAAGTATGACCGCTGCGAACACATAAACCTGCAAATGCACTGGTGTAGGAACGTGCCAGAGTGTATGCTGTGTTGTTTTCGCTCTGTGATTAAAACAGAGATAACGAAGCATGAGATTGAGCATCATAATTATTGTGCTGACTGTAAGCGTCAGTTTTCAAATCTGAATTGTATCCGACAGGCGAGTCTTGAGTTGCCAATTGGACAGATGTAAACCTTGACAAGACGTACGACATCAACCCCCGACTAGCATGGAACCACTGGGCAAAAGCCTACGAATGCTATCTATGCCACAAGCTTCATTCTTCGCTACATGGCTTGAAGTTGCATCTCGAATCACCAACATTAGTAGAAGCTGTATCATTGTTTGAATTCAACTTGCCTAAGGGAGTTTACCACGTTGGCGGCACCTATCAATCATCTTGAGAGCGAGACCTGCAAGATTATGCGATTCCAGCAGGTGCAGAGGAATATTGCGACCATTGTTGATTCTAATCGGATGATTTCCAACTAGGGGGTGTTTTTGGAAGAGTTTCGGTCGTCAGTTTGGGATGGTATTTATAACAGAATGGGAAGAGACTAGGAGTTATTGGGGAATACCGGCGTGATCCTTCTCAGATGGTGTTTGGGTTAACGGTTTGCAGTTCAAGTTAGAGTGTATTATTAACTAAATATTTTATAAGGCTGCTAGACATAATTCGGATACGCGACTGTTCAGAGATACCGAGGAACCACCTTGCCCAGGTGGATATGTCTTGAGCAACCTCAAAGTTGCACTTCAACGTTGCACACCAGGCAGGCAATTGGAAGCACTGGGCATTTCATGGTTGGGAAGGCTGGGCTCTTAAGTGCCTGCCTTCGCGCGCCAAGGTGGTTGTGGGACAGGTGATCTTACTGCTGTTGAAATTGTATCCATTATGTTGGTATATAGAAGATAGGTGTAAGGGTCAATCCGACAGGGCTAGCTGTAGCCGGGTTGATGACGGCCCTGTTGACCCTATGTAAGCTGTTGACCGTTTATACTATGTTGAGTAGGGAATTGGGGTCGTTTTTAATAGTTAGATATAGCACGTTGCAATGACTTGGATTGTTGAAGACTAACAACCTGTTGACTAGGTTGATCATGTTGATCCTCTTGATAATACCCTCTCCTCAGAGTATCAGAAAAATTGACCGCTGGAAACATAAGAGATGAAATTATTAGGTCAGCTTATGCTCCTTATACTATAGTTCTTAGACTACTTATACCCTAAACTTAGGAGTGCAACTTTTCTACTAACAGCCTCTACCAGCTTGTATGACGTTGCGACCATTGCGGGCAGGCGGGTAGGTTCATAGGCACCTTCCACCTTCCACCTTCCTGCAGTGAATCACAGCCATCACGTGCCCGCATTCAAGCCGGCTCTTCCCCTTTACTTTCAACTTCTCTTTTCTCCCTCCGTCATCCATTTTACATCGCAGAACCCATCCAACGTCAACCAGATTGCCAAGATGTGGACGTGCGGAACTTGCTAGAAACAGTTCCCCGCGGGCGAGCGGGCTCGAGACAGACACTGTTATGCCACAGGGCATTACGCACCAGACTGGGAGTGCGGAGTTTGCTTCACGGGCTTCGATTGCCAAGATGACTGCATTGAACATGAGATAAACGAGTGTATCTATTGTTCGGAATGCCTGGAGAGGTGTTTCGACTGGGAGGAAATGGAATCGGTATGTTTCTCACCAATACTTGCGCTTGTGTTGCTGACTATGAAAGCATTTGAACTCGATCGATCACGAACAGTCGGAGTATCATCGCCAATGCCAATGTCAAGATGAAGAGGACGATGACTGTTACCAAGATGAGGAAGGCGATCCTTGCTATTGCGAAGATGAAGACGATGTTTCCTATTACCCACACCAGGGAGCTGCTGTTCCCTATTACTACAACCAGGGAGGCTCTGTTTCTTATCGCCAAGGCAAAGGGGTTATATGCCCCTTCTGTGGAGCAAATTATCGAGCCGCCAGTGGCATTGCCCACCACCTTGAACGCGGTTGCTGCCCTTGTGCACCCTTAGATCGAGATACTATGTATCAAGAGGTCAGAAGGCGAGATCCAGACGGCATCATCACCAACCACTTTCTTGAATGGCAACCCACCATCCATTACCAAGCCACAGAGCTTGCCTATAGCCCGTATTTGGGCGAATACGAGTGTTATCTCTGTCACGACTCATTCCGACGGTTGTCGAGCCTGAACCAGCACCTTGAATCACCTCGACACCAGCAGAATTTGTATCACTGCCCGAACAGATCCTGTATCAGAGAGTTCACGACACTCGCCGGACTCATCAACCACTTGGAAAGCGAATCGTGCCGTTTCATGCGGTTCCAGGCCATTCAGAATGGTATGCGTGGACTTGTCCTCTCGTCTCGAGGCATCGAATTTTATTGAGGCAAAGGAGAACTGGTCGACACTGAGAAGAAGGACTGCCCTGAATTCTTGGCACATGACTTGACAATTGGTACGCAAGGGACTATGATAGTGGCAGAGTTTTGGGAGTCAGACACATCGCGTATGTTCGAAATCAGCCCGGTTGTTCTATATCGCATATTCTGAGAGGGGATATTGACTTTCGAAGAGTGCCTGAATCATGTACAGCACTTATCACTAGCTTAGAGGAACACCTAATAAAAAAACGGAATTAAAAAAACGACCTCCTAAGTCTTAGGGTATGAAAATAAGGAGGCTAAGAACTATAGCCTAAGGGGTATAAAGTGACCTACCAATTTTGTCTTTTATGTTTCCAGCGGTCAATCTTTCTGATGCCCTGAGGCCAATGTCTCACCTGCTATTTCCTGCTGACCTCGATGACTATTCCCGCCACCAAGATTTGATTTGTATCACCTGATGGGAGCAATCATAAAACAACATCACCTAATTAAAAAAGTGATAAATTGAGGCTGACCAGTGTAAATACTAACCGTTAGTGTTTAACTATACTTTCATATGGCATTGCGCTTTGACAGTCATTGGCTACAAGGGTCTCGCCTCCTAACTCGAACCGTTTAGCCGCCCAAAAGCACAGAGGGTCTCTGTTATACGACTGTGGATTCATGTATAGCAAAAGATATTGACAAGAAGAACTAGCTGATTGAGGTCGCCTCTAGGGTCTCACGAAGGATTTGAGGCGAGTCTGGGACTACTGTAGTATGTTGAAATGCATTGACGAATCTAACTTGGAAGATTGCTCTGCATACCAGACTTGAAGAAAATTCCTGCGCTTATTGCCGTAGTATCAGATATTGTCTTAGCTACTTACGGTTACTCATGTATGTCGGGCGAGCGGAACATTTATAGATTAACAAATGAACAGGACGATGTTGAGACTCTCGACTGACTATTCGCAGTAGTGATGGTCTGTTGAGAGATTGAAGCAACTCGTAGTTAGTGTAAGAACCCATACATGTAACTCGTAAACTCTCTAAGAGCCCTCAGTAGGGGACCCGGGAGATGATCCGATGCACTAAACTAGGTGCAAAGAGCTAACCAACGCCGTTCCCGCACGTTAGAATTCTCTAAGTTAGTGCCCGCAATGTTACATTGCAAAAAAAAACTGAGAAAGAATGCTATGGGAATAGTCGACGGAGTGTTGAGCCCGAATGACATGTAACTAGAAGATAAATGGCAAAGGTGGAGAGAACTGAGTCAGGTGAACCAAATTGTTGCTTTGTGGCACTATTCTGTATATATGTCTATCTATCTATCTATCTATATGTCAGGGATTAAACATAATTGCTAATCATCTTGAGGATGGCCTCGTTGATTTCCTTGGGGTTAGTGGCGCTCAGGTAATGCCCACCTCCCTCAACAAAGTCAAGCGTAGCTTCAGGGCTGGAAGTAAAGAGTTTAATATGCTCTGTGGGAACAGTCGTGCCAAATACCGGATCCGCAGTACCCTAAAATGAAACAATGGTTAGCTTTAGACGTCTACCCCTGGTTGTGTTGCGTCACTCACCTGAAGCCAGTAAACGGGACACTTGACGTCCCGCAAGCGAAGCAGAAGACCGTCTCGCTCAAAGAGGTTAACCACGGCAATTCGGAGTTTCTTGCGGCCCTCGTCTCCGGTGTACACCTGCTTGAGTGTCTCGTCCCAGAAGGAGAGAACCTCGGGGGATGGGTCGGTACCGAAGCCTACAGATGAAACAAGACCACGCCAGACCTCGGGGACGACAAAGTCAGGAGTGGGAGTTGGGCTGCTCCAGCTCTCGTAGAAGGGGCCGAGCTGAGTCTTGGGGTCCCAGCAGCCCTTCTCGCGAGATTCGGCAGACTCGTAATCCATAGAAGTGCCAAGAGGCAGTACGCCGAGAATCTATGAGAATGAAATGTCATCAGCCAAGGGTTCTTGTGTTTTAACTGTTTTGGGTATGCGAAGTGGTCAGACTAGTTAGTGTCTGGTTAGTCCTGCTGGGCGTACCGGATCTACCGGCGTGTCACCAGCAACCAGGAACAAGCAAAAAAGTATTGCATTGTACAGAGTAAAAACAGAACGTACCTTTTCAGGGGCAAGAAGAGCCATACGAACAACGATCCAGCCACCTGCACTGGTTCCTAGAGCAAAAGCCTTGTCCACGCCAAGGGCTTCCATAACCTGCAGGTTCATAATGGCCGAGTCCCAGTAAGTGAAATGCTCCGCCTTGACGCTGGTGGCGCCGTGGCCAAGAGGCTCAATGGCGAGTAGGTTGACGGCATCTGTGAGATCCTTTGCGCCGAACTGAGCTTCAAACAGTGAGGAAGTGGTACACATGGAGTTGACGAGGACGAGGGTGGGCTTTGAAGCGTCGATTCCGGCACCGGAGACTCGATAGCCAGCATCGATACCTCCAAGGTGGGGAACTTTGATAGTAGTTTTGGCAGCCATTTCTGCTTCTGAGACAAGGGACAGTATCAATATTGATGAAGATCTTTTTCGAGGGTGAACAAAGTCTTGGGTGCAGGAACTAGAATCCTTCAGGTTGAATGCCACCTATGTACCTTTTTCAGCTATCAGAAGTGATGGAACCTAGGCGACGATCAAGGGGCCCGCGAACGGGGGTTGACGATGATCTAGTATCCATTACGAGTGGTAAGTTGGTCCGCAAGGGGGTAGTTCTCCGGGAGATGGACGGCGCCGTTCCGCGCGGACTCAGAATTATGTCGAGCTGAAGGCGGCGAACTGAAGTGAACTAACTACTAAAGTTAGGTTGTTGCGAACAGACATGATTCAACGGGCCGGACCGTTGTCGACTGGTTTTTGTCTTAAGGTTGTTTGTGTGTTCAAACTTTTTAAATGTTCCAATAATTGTAATGTATTTTCTGTATTCGAAGGATGCGGAATGCCGTGCTTCTTTTACCACGTGGTTACGTGTCAGATTTCTCTCGGCAATAGAATGGCCCACACTCTGTCAATGCCCCTGCCCCTGTAAGACGCTCTGTAGGCCATGCAATTTACAGGGGATGATTCAACACCAATACCGCGGAACAGGAACCAAGCCACACATTATCAATGGACGAAGAACGAAGAAAAAGAAAAGAAAAATTGAGAAATGACAGACGAGAGTCAAGGTCTATTTGCAAGAAAAGAAGAAAATATTATCAATTCATGAATCAGTACATCGCCTCTGCCAGGACTTTAGCAGTCCAATCGGAATGCTGAACCCCCTGGGGTTTTTAGTGTTGCAACTCTAAACAACACCACAAAAATCCACTGTTTTTGCCTGATCAACACACTTCGGATCGAGTCGACCAGACTTTTGAGCCTCCTCTTCTTGATTCTGCGGGAATAAAGATCATCTATTACGTCTCTCGGGCCTCTATGTCTGTCACTCAGAAGTGAAACCCGAGTGAACTTGCCGAGACTGAATCGAGAAGCTCCAGAGACACCCCCGGCTGTCAAACCCAGCATTAGCTAGGTGTATTGAACAACCACCTTGTACTCTCTTTTAGGCATAGAATTTCAAACTTGTCATATGAGTTTTGACCACCGGCTCTCCGGATGAGTCGGTTTAGGTGCTCCACAGGCTAACAGCCCGGGGGGTAGGGCAGTGTCGAATGTTGTCTCGAACGAAGAAGCAGGCGTTTTCTTTTTCTTGTGTTAGACTAAGTCCCTTAATTAACATTCTTTATATGCTTACTAGCACTTCTCTTGTTGTTTCACTTTGTCTGCGTCTTGTTCTTTGTTCCTTTTCTTCTTCTCTCCTTCAGACAGTTCCAGCTGTTCACTCTTTTTGCAAATCATGTCGGACGAGTCCCAACTACCTGGCCTTCCTGGCTTTGACAGAAACAATATTCAACCATGGACCGTCGAAGTCGTTGTTTCCATGACTATTCTAGCGTTGGCGTCGTGTGGTCTGAGATTATATAGTCGACATCTAAAAGCGCAGAAACTGTGGTGGGATGATTATGTGATTCTATTTTCCATGGTACGTTACACTCACGCACTCAAGATAAAATCTAACAACTTGGAGGCTTGGAACTTGGTCGTCGTCGGCTTCATCTTTGCCATGCACTCCTGCGGTATGGGTCTTCACGCCGACAAGGTCCCTATGGACCAAATCGTCATGATGGCAAAGTGGCTCGTAGTAGCAGAAGTCCTCTACGCTTGGAATCTGGGATGGACCAAGCTGAGTCTTTTGCTCATGTACTACCGCATCTTTCGCGTGCCCTACTTCAAGAAGATGGCCTGGATCGTTGGCACTTTTGTCTTTGCCTGGGTCATCACGATCACGTTCCTCTTCATCTTTATCTGCGTCCCCGTTGCCAAACTGTGGTATCCTGATCTTCCTGGTCACTGCATCAACCAGGTCGGAACCTGGATTGCTAACGCCGCCTCGACAATCTTTACCGACATCGTCATCCTATGTCTTCCCATCCCGCCTATATGGAAGCTTCAACTCGGCAGGTCTGAGAAGCTCGGCCTGACTGCTGCCTTTGCCATTGGTTCTTTCGTCGTCTTCGCCTCAGCATATCGAACGAGCGTGCTCTTCACCTACACTGCTACCGATCCGAGTTACACCCTCGCCCCGACCGTTGGATGGACCGAAATTGAAATGTCGGCCGGCATCGTTTCTGCGAATCTCCCAACCATGCTGCCCGTCCTCCGCCTCGTCGCCAAGTTTACCGGTTTGAGTAGCTTCGCATCGACCATCCGCAGTGGCCAGCGCTCCAAGGGTGAACAGTCAACCAAGGGACTTCAATCCACCAACAATCACAAGACACACATAAGCAACAACTCTGGCTCTGTGTCATCCAACAATTTCTACAGGCTCAATGACGAGAACGACTCTACGGAGATTATCAAGGGTGCCAACTTTACCGAATCGGCTGCACCTGTGGACGCCAGCTTACGACCCGATATTCAGGGGTTTGAACTCACCACCAAAACTTACAACGCCAGAGCGGATGGTAGCAATAGCAGCAGCGAAGAGATCTTGCAGGGGATTAGAGTGCACAGAGAGTTTCACCAGTCAACGACACAGAGATAATACTTCGACAACACAAAGCAATCATGATACAATTTGGCAATGGAATATTAGCAACAATGGCAGCGTCTTTCTTTCGTTTAGAGCACAATACCCAATAAACTACATAATCTCTACCATATTCTATCGCCACATGGCCAATTCTTTCTTCTTACACTTGAAGCCATGAATCGTGAATGTCATGTTATTAACTCCAAGCTAGACCAGGAACACCAGGAATACTGTACGCGAATCCAAACCGTACCATGACTCTTGGCTACCGAGTGAGGACGAAGTCAGTATTAGGCTTCGAAACCACCAAGTACAGGATTCCAACCAAAATCTAACATGCTAAATTCCCGAGGGAATACCGTCAAGGCGTTAGATTTAGTCCAGAGCTCCCCCTCAAGGTATCAGAAAATCTGACCGCTGGAAGCATAAGAGACGAAATTAGTGGGTCAGCTTATGCACCTTAGACTATAGCTCTTAGACAACTTATTTTTATACACTAAGATTTACAAGGCAACTTTTCTGCTACCCACCAGGCCTCTAACCAAAGGCAGAGACGCAGTATCGTTATCCGTATTGTGACGGAATCATTCGAGAACACGAGTCAATGATGGGTTCCGGAAATAGTAATAAGCTATGCACATTCCCGTCATATCTTAACCGACAACCTTCTTTACTGCAGGGGAATGCTTGTGTGTTGTTGGTACTGGCACTTGGCCTGAGCGCTGTAAGGCTGATGGAAGGATTTAACCGGCTTTGTGTTTGGGACGTCGGTGTGGTCTTTGTCCACTCGTGCAGCAGGGCCTTGATCATTAAGCTGGCGTGTCTATATAAATAAGGTCCATCATTCTAGAGTTATTATGAGGGTAACACGAGACATTCTGTGATTCGGTTGTTTGCTCTTTTTGTCCTCGTCCTCGAACCCAACAATCTTGCAGATTTGATTTACTTGTGGATGTTGGTGACCAGAAACAAGACGCATAACAGAAACAAAGACCAAAATGCGATGTAGTAAACCCGATTGGGTTCCTAATCTGTAGTGTTGATGCTGATGATCTTTGTGTTTCGAAAACCGTATCTTAAAAGCAATAATGACTACCACCGCAACCAATCAACACAACATGTGGGCAACACGAGTAGGTTTTGAAGGGAAATAAATTCATGGAACAGAAGAGAAGATATAAAAACTAATCGTTATCGGCATGGTTTAAAACAGAGCCAAGTCCATATGGTGACGCAAATGTTAGAGGTACAGGGTAACCCACTTCGTGCACGTGATCCTCTGCACCGCTCTTTGAATCCATTGATGCCCCTGGAAAGACGAGACGAGATCGCGTCGCTCTTTGCTGCTGTTGCGCATTCCTTAAGCTGTCGGATATTTCCTTTGTTGCTTGAGCTTTACCGCCTTTGAAAGAATTCCCGACGAAGCCCCCCTTCGATTGGCTGGTTTGTCTCTCAACAATTGCTTGTTCTGCCTTCGTTCAGCGCAAGCGGCTTCTCGTTCGCTCCTCCACAGACACGTCACGAAACGAAGCTCCCACCAAAACTTCATTCCGCCCCTCCCCCGCCGTTCGTTTTCTCCACGGAACCAACCATAGCAAAGCGACACCTCAAAAAACCCCTTGATCACGACGAATATACCGTCTAAATTATCTGCAACACCAAAAAAAATCTTGGGAAATTAGTCCTCTTTCGAGCTGAGAGGACCGACGCACTACACCGCCATCATGAGCCGGACGTTGACGAGCCGGCAGGCTGATGAGCTGTTCGTACAGGGGAGCTTCAGAAGCTTATGATTTGCCTATCTGACCGTGCTGCAGGCATAAATCCATCATCGCCTACCTCGCCGCAAATAACCTGCAAGATAGCGCCAATGCCATGAGGACGGAGCTTGGTCTTGGAGAGGATGCTTTCGATCCGGCCACCGCTAAGAAGTACGAGACCCTGCTGGAGAAGAAATGGACCAGTGTCGTGCGCCTACAAAAAAAGGTACGCTGTTGATGCGCTCTACCGTCTGTCCTTGGCTAATTGGGGATCACAGATCATGGATCTAGAAGCGCAGACCCAGAACCTTCAGACAGAACTTAATAGCGCTACACCGACATCCCTCGCGAATCGTAGAGGAGATTCCGCATCTTGGCTTCCGTCTGGCCCTCCACGACACGTCCTTCAATCGCATCGAACGCCAATTAACTGCGTCGCTTTCCACCCTATTTTCTCTTCTATCGCGTCCGGAGATGAAGATGCTACCATCAAGATTTGGGATTGGGAGTTTGGTGAGCTTGAAAGGACGGTAAAAGGTCACACCAAAGCGGTTCTCGATCTCGATTATGGTGGTCCAAAAGGCCACACACTACTTGCCTCTTGCAGTTCCGATTTGACAATTAAGCTTTGGGATCCTTCGAACGAGTACCAAAACATTCGAACACTACCTGGCCACGACCATAGCGTAAGCGCCGTCCGATTTATACCCTCTGGAGCACCAGGAGCTCCATTATCCGGAAACCTGCTTGCGAGCGCCAGTCGAGATGTCACAGTGAGGATATGGGATGTTACGACAGGATACTGTGTCAAGACGATAAGAGGACATGTCGATTGGATCCGCGATGTTTCTCCCTCATTGGATGGAAAATACCTACTATCGACCGGTAACGACCGAACAGTGAGGCTTTGGGATATTTCTGTACCGAATCCCGAAGCCAAGCTCGTTATGATTGGACACGAGCATTTTGTCGAGTGCTGTACCTTTGCGCCTCCAGCAGCATATTCGCACTTGGCAACCCTGGCCGGAGTCAAGAAGCCGCCTCCAGCTAGCAGCACGGCCGAATTTATGGCAACCGGCGGAAGAGATAAGACGATCAGGCTATGGGACGGTCGAGGAAACTGCATCAAGGTCTTGATAGGTCACGACAACTGGGTTCGAGGACTGGTGTTCCATCCAAGCGGCAAATTTCTCCTCTCTGTATCCGACGACAAGACAATTCGATGCTGGGATCTCAGTCAAGAAGGGAAGTGCGTCAAGACTGTTGAAGGGTCCCACGAACATTTCATTACGAGCTTGAGATGGGCGCCGGCCATTATCAAGGACAAGGGTCCAGGCGAAGAGGCCAATGGTGATGTTGGTACTCCGAAGAAGGTGGCAGCGACGGCACCTCAAGATGTGCAGATCCGTTGTGTGATTGCTACCGGAAGTGTAGATATGTCTCTTCGAATCTTTTCACGATAGTTGGATATCGATGCGCGAGATTGGACATGAAGAAAACCCAAGTGAGGTACCGATAAGCAAATGGCTCAGCCCAACGATGTACAGCGAAATCAGTGCCGATGCAGGTTCGCCCCGAGGTCTTGTCGACATATTGACGACCATGCCTCAATTCTAGACAGAGATTCTCTTCTTTCGAACGGTCAGAATAGCCTGGAAAACCCAACCAACCAACAAAATGACCGTATCGAGCATGGAGTGTGGTTCCGAGGCGCAACGCCTATATATGAACTCACTCACCTACCTATCTTACTATAACAAAACAAACAAAGACACAAAACTCTCAACTCCTTTCTACCCGATGGTCCCGCCCGTCAAGTTGCGTTGTGGATGGTTTTTTGCTCCATGGGGATTTTACGAATAATGTTTGATACCCAAGCGAAGGGATTGGATGTTGAAGGAAAACGACTTCGATCTGAGATTTCGATGTCTGTTTTTATCTGGCGGAAGAAAAGATTGACAGGGCGGGGGAACTTCTTTTTCCAAGACAGAGAAAAGAGAGAAGGAAAAGGACGGCATAGACGTTAGGGGCATCATAGAAGGGAAATTTTACGTATTTATTTTAATTCACCTATTGAGCGAGCTTGATGGGCCAATTGCGGTGAATGTGACGTTTGGGTAGATGTCGATATTGGCTGGTTGAGTCAGTTGCCATGACTCTATTCCCGGTGAAGCTAATATCCATCTCATGAGCGTTCTCTAATGTAATATCTACAGTATCCCAGTCTCTCATACATATCCTCCTATTTATCCACCATTTCGAGAAGGACTATGCTCTATTTTGATTCCGTATTTTCCATATTTAATGTCTATATCTCTTATTCCCGGTGGCTTACACTTGCAACAAAAATGCTCTAATAATTCTGTAGCGATGATGACAGTAGTCGATTGCACGTACGCATCAATGACGCCACGATCAATAAAAGTCCCACTGTTGAAATCACTGAGCAACTCGATCAATTTGAGCTCAGAAACAAAACAACGTCATCATTCCGATTGATTCAAAGCTGTAATAAATAGCTTTGTTAGGAAGCATAAGCTTCACTCAAGCTCTGTACAACATAAATAAAACAAAACAAAACACCAAAACTCAATCATCATCATCATGTCTGCTCGCATCGTTCGATCTTTGGCCCTGAGACCCTCTATGCCCGCCATCCAGCGCGGCTTTCGCACAACAGCTTCGTCTAGACAAAATGAGAAAGAACCTGTTGGCCCCAACGCCTCTACAAAGCCCGAGGCAAAGGGTGGAAAGTGAGTTTCAGTCTGACACTTTTATACAAGTACTATGCTAATGGGGGACTATCGTAGCTCGCAAATGACCATGTTTGCTGGAGTTGGCCTTGCTATTGGTGCTGGCTTCTTTATGCTCATGTCGCGACCAGAAGTTGCAAAGGATCAACCTGTCGAGGGCGTCACAAAGAAGCCTGTGAGCCCCAAATAGAGAAGGAGAATTGGAACGGATGAAAGATGAAATCATGACATTTCCATCTGAAGGAATTAATGCACGATGGCGTAAGCGATGAGGTTTATCAAAAAGGAATTCATAACTAGACACGACAGTCTGATGAATAACAATCCAGTTGTATCGTCTAGGGCAGGTCGTTGCATTACGGCGTAGTCAATTTGCGAACCTATCATTGTCAAGACCATATCCCTGCACTGTTAGGTTAAGTTTAGTTACAGCCTCGATGGAGGCCGCCAAGCCAAAGCTGAGCCTCTATTAAATGTGATGGGATTGAGAGACCGCGTAATCCGCACACGACGCCTCTTGTATTGCGCGTATTCAGCCTTACCCATATAGGGCGTTTTTTCGTATGTTCAGCCCTACAAACTTGGTTTAGTTCAGGCAGTGAGATTTTGGGATGGAAATCAATGTCCATGGATTGACATATATCTTGGGTAGAAGCCATCATTTCTCCACCAAGTCAATCCCCCACATCTTTACTCTAGATTATTACCGTGATTAAATCCCCACAAACATGGACCGAGACGGTTTCTCGGTTATCTCTTTGACCTCGCTTGGTTCAATTATTTCTCATCGTTTATTATCAAGCGCTGAAGAGTTGAATGAGCTAAACACTACACTCGAGACTCCTGATGAGCGATTGGCTTCTTTCGCGAGTAGACTGTATCAGCTGCATCAGCATGTCGGATACCTTGAAGCAGCGCTGAACAATGCGAGTGCCATCTCGGCACGTTTCCAGACCACTTTGAGTCAGAGTCTTGGATCGTGCGATGTTGTCAGTACCGTGTTGAATAAGCAGGTCATGCGCTTGCAGGCCGAGACGCTGGCTTTGCTGGATGAGGTATTTTTGATGGTTTACAGCGATGCTTTGCTGGCGTATACACGACTCTTTGCCTTTTTTGCCAAAGTTCTCTCCTTGTAAGTCGTCACTCACAATTTCTATTTTGTCAATTAACTCGTGATCAGGACGACTCGGGATGAGCAGGATGTTACTCTCGACACCAAGAGTGGCAAAGAGGTCTTTGACCACGTTAATAAGGCCTGCCAAAAGGCTTCGCAAACCAAAGATATTCTTCTCACTGCTGCGTCGCACAATTACTCGTATGCATCGTCTAGTAAGGGACCTCTTCCTGGTGATATAGAGCCACCACCGTACGAACCCGCTCAGGCATCCTCTGCCCAGTCACCAAGCCTCGAACCGCCAACCTCACCTTTCACCAAGGGCCTGTCTTCATTGACCAACTCGTTCAAAGCCATGACATCAGGTCTCTGGGCGAAACCTGATCCTTTGTCTACAGCACTCTGTCAAGCAGCTCTCCGTGGCGATGTCCAGCAAATGAGCGGACTACTCGCGCAAGGTGCTAACATCAACGGCCGCAACGGAGAAGGTAATTCACCGCTGAGCTGCGGCATCCTGGCTAACCAGGAAGATGCTGTTCGGTTCCTCATCGGTTCCGGCGCAGACGTCAATACAAAGGATATGAAGATCCCGCCAGTATTCCTGGCCGCATCCGTGGGAAGCATCGGCGTTGCCAAGATGCTCATCGCCCAAGGAACCTGGAACGCCAACGCAGCCAGCTGGTCTGGTCAGGCCTACTTTGTCGACGTGTGTAACAGCGAGAACTTAGAGGGTATCGAACTTCTTCTAGAGAACGGCGCAAAGCCGAACACGACGAACATCTCAGGACGACCGGTGCTTGCGCAAGCTGTCAAAAAGGGCAATATTGAACTCGCGAGGTTACTCCTCAAGTATGGCGCGAACCCAGATACCAGCGACATGTCTGGCAATTCCCTTCTCTCGATAGCGGCGAGCCAGGATCGTATGGATATGATCAAGCTTCTTCTCGAAAGCGGCACAAACGCGAGCTCCAAGAACTTGAGCGGGTTGTCCGTACTGGTAGATGCCATTAGTAAGAGGAAACTCGACCTGGCGCAGCTTCTCCTCGATCACGGAGCCAATGCGAGCGCCAAGGATCTTGTCGGCCACCCAGCTCTCGTACTTGCTCTGCGTGATAGTAAGCTCTCACAGAACGACAAGATCCGCGCCGTCAAGATGCTTCTCGACCATGGGGCTTCCCCGAACGTGTCGGACGGTACATGGGGTGTTGCAGCTATCTGTTTTGCCATGGAGACGGGTATCACGGAACTTGTGAAGATGATGGTTCAAGCTGGATCCAACACGAAGAAAAAGATGAACAGCGGCGAGACGCTTCTTCTGTATGCTATCGATCATGGGAGACGGGAACAGGCGAAGCTTCTTCTTGAAGCAGGTGCTGATGCAAATGCGGCGGACAAGAAAGGTAGAACGCCGTTGATGCAGGCTATTTCGAGGAGAGACACCGAATTGGTCAAGTTGCTCAAGGCGAATGGTGCTGATTTGAATGTCGGAGGGTGCATTTCGCCTGCTGAATTGGCGCAATCAATGGGTGATCTCGAGATCTTGCAGATACTCGGTTTTGGATCGTCGCCTTCACAGGGAAGACCAACTGCGCGAGCACATTCACCACCACCGCCTGGATACGAGACGGCGATGGACAAAGTATGAGTTGAATGATGATAGTAAATACGAAGTAGATACCCCTAATAGTAATGATTTTCCTTTCTAGTAACGCCGTTTAAATGTGTGTCCCTGGTATCTAAATTTATTGCTGGTTAAGAATCTCCTTTAGCCACCAAACATGTATACGCTCATCCTTTGTCAACTCTGGATGGAAACTCGTTCCTAGCACATTTCCCTGTCTAACAGCGACGATATCGCCAGAGTCGTCTTTTGTGTTGGCTTGTGAGACTCCAGCCTTCATCTTGTTCACACGACCTGGTAGTTTTGCGAGGACTTCAACTGGTTGTCGTTCATCAGATGCTCCAATGACTTGTTCCACGACGGGCGCGCGGATAAATACACCAGGGAAGGGCTTTTCGTCGTTTAGGAAGGGGAGATTCATGCCAGCTTCGAAACTTTCTGTTTGACGACCAAAGTGATTGCGGTGAACACGGACGGCCAGACCACCGATGAGTTCCTGGCCACCTTTCTTGGTAGCGTTGGCCTCATCTGAGAGTAGAATTAGACCAGCACAAGTTCCCCAGACAGGTCTCTTTTGAACTCTGTGATTTGTTAGTATCATACATGATCATGGGTTGGTGACATACTTGACGAAATCTCTAAGTGGCTCTAGTAGACCGGATTGAGCAGCGACGAAAGAGATTGTAGTGCTCTCACCACCTGGGATAATGAGAGCGCTGCATTGATCAAGTTGTTCCTTTGTGCGGACTTCAATGCATTGGATTTTGTTCTTGGAGATGTTTTCTGTACAAGAAATAGACTCTGCGGCTTTGCGAACAAGATCAATATGTTCTGAGAAGCCGCCTTGGAGGGCCAAGACACCAACAGTAAGACTGATCATTTTGAGATTGTTGTTACAGACAAAAAATAATCTGTACAGTTTAATGATAGAAGAGATGAAGGAACAAAAAAAAGGAGCGATAACGGAGAATATGACGGTTTATTCGGAGTCATGATCCGAAGGCAAAAAAAAAAAGAAGATGGTTCTAATGGCTTCCCCAGATTCTGGTGATGTACCGGAGTGACCCAAAGAGGATAAAAACGTGCATTAGCGTAATGCATGGTTTATGCACGACGGGTACGTAGTTTATCCACTCGAGAGGATAAACCTTCCGGACTACCCCGATTATGGTACAGTCTCCGTAGTCGACCGTCAATACCTTGATAGAACAATAGACACAAAGATTGAAGAAAAAGCTAATCGAGTCAGATGATGGAGAAGCCAATTGGAATATTCACTAGAATTTACTAGTACAGTTATTGTGTTGGATGGAACAATGGAAACAAGTGGCAAAGTAAAAGAATGAGACAAGATGAGCCACCAAAGGATTCCATTCCATGATATCGCAAGCATCTAGAACAATGCAGATGCAAATGCAATGTAATGCAATGCAGGGCCCCTCATGCTCATGCTCCTGCTTATCTTTGTTTGGAATCTCCTCTGACAGTCACAACTTGAGCCTCGTCTTCCCGACAAATGCCGTGATAGACCGCGGCACATGTCATGACTCTTATCCAATAACACGTCCCCTCTGACCGGTAGAGAGGGCGCCTCTAATGCAAGCTCCGGAGCTCAATACCGGGGGTCGATTCTAGTGGGAGGCAAAAAGAGACCCTTAACCTTTGACTAAGAACAAACTCCGCTACTACACGGCGCCGCGTACCGGGGGCGGAGACCGGAGTAGTCTATACTGGAAGCACAGTCTAACAAGTCCCCGGTTTATGAGTTTCTCTGGCGTAATCTATTATTCATTTCTATCGAGCTTCCTTCTTTGAGAAAAGGTACATACTGTCTTGTCATCGGCTTTTGTGAGTCAGCACAAATAAACTTAAAGACCGACTGTTCCCCTCACATTTGCCTCTTTTCTTTTACTCCCAAGCTCTTCTCTATCACTACACTCTATATTAATTTCCCAATCTTTAAAATGACAAACGACAACTCCAACAACGCTGGCGCCTCTAATGGCGAGGCCAAATCCTCCTTCACCGTCAAGGCCGGTCTCGCTCAGATGCTCAAGGGCGGTGTCATCATGGACGTCGTTAACGCTGAGCAAGCTCGCATCGCCGAAGAAGCCGGTGCCTGCGCTGTCATGGCCCTCGAGCGTGTCCCCGCCGACATCCGCAAGGACGGTGGTGTTGCTCGCATGTCCGACCCCGCCATGATCAAGGAGATTCAAGACGCCGTCACCATCCCCGTCATGGCCAAGGCCCGTATCGGTCACTTTGTCGAGTGTCAGATTCTCGAGGCCCTCGGTGTTGACTACATTGACGAGTCCGAGGTTCTCACCCCCGCCGATGACGAGAGCCACGTCGAAAAGAGCCCCTTCAGCGTCCCATTTGTTTGCGGATGCCGAAACCTAGGTGAAGCCCTCCGCCGAATCGCCGAAGGAGCTGCCATGATCCGAACAAAGGGTGAGGCCGGCACCGGAGATGTTGTCGAGGCTGTGCGACACATGAAGACTGTCAACAGGGACATTGCAGCAGCCAAGGCCGCTCTCGCAGAGGGAGGCATTGTGCGTATCCGCGAGATGGCCCGCAAGCTGGAAGTCGACGCCGAGCTGCTCCGTCAAACCGCCGAGCTTGGCCGTCTCCCCGTGGTCAACTTTGCGGCCGGTGGAGTTGCCACACCCGCCGACGCGGCGCTCATGATGCAGCTCGGCTGCGACGGTGTCTTTGTCGGAAGCGGAATTTTCAAGTCTGGAGACCCTGCCAAGCGAGCCAAGGCTATAGTGCGAGCCACGACACACTTTAAGGATGCCAAGGTTCTTGCAGAGACTAGCACGGGACTTGGCGAGGCCATGGTTGGAATCAACTGCGATAGCATGAAGCCAGAGGAGAAGCTTGCTGGACGAGGATGGTAAAGAAAAAAAAATTGTTTATTGGCGTTGCAGGAGAGGGTTTATTCAACATGAAAAGGAAATGAATGGTTAAAGAAAATAGTGCATGTTGGAGAGGATACAACATCTCTGGTTGATGCATAAGACTTAGCGGGTGTATTTGCACCATAATGAATACTTTTTAAGACGTCTTGACAGTTATGAGTGATGTGATCATCAAAGTGATATCTCGGCCAGCCATTTGGCATAAAAGTACATGATAACTCGTCACCAACTAACAGCAAATATGTGCCACTCATCATACCAAACTCCCGGACGTTCGATCTTACATGCTCAAGCAAATCCCTGTAAATCCACGCACCTTGACAAACCCATCATGTATACTCGGTAAATGTCATCAAATTCTTCTTCTGGTTAAATTCGCGGTCGCTTCTGCTTGCCACCACCCTGTTCATTCACAGGTCTTTTGCGTCCGTTCTCGACCTGTTCGATGAGAGTTCGCTTGCGATCGTTACCAGCTTTGTTCTGATCTTTGCGCTATATCTAAGTCAGCATCATCATTTTAAACAAGCTCAAAATAAAAAAAAAAAAAAAAAAAAAAACTTACACGAGTCTCGGAGAATGGAGAGTTTGTGATTCGTGAGATCCAAGGGGCGCGAAGAGCAGAATGGATCAAGACTTTGTTGAGCTGGTAACGTTAGAAGGAATTTTTATACTGACAACAAAACACTTACTCGAAAGGCATTCAGAATGCGACTCTAGCGCTGTCCGAAACTGTCAAACTCTTCCCACTGCGTTTCGCTGTTACTCCACAGAGGAATGAAGTTTCGTCCCTCCTGAGCAAGCATAGCTTCATTCTGCAAAGAGTCAGTTTACACAGACGCAAACACTTGAACAGATAACTTACCAAAATCTTGGCGCAGAGAAGTTCAATCTCGATATCAGACAGACGACGATGAATGACATTCTTCCATTGCTCATCAACAGACGGCATCGCGCTCGCAGGAGGAACCAGATCCTCATCAGTGAGATCACTCGCCTGGATTGACAAGCCGAGATTTCGACGATCTTTTTTAACCTTCTCAACCCACTGTGTTGCCAAGGGATGGCCCATCTTTGCGCGCCATTCACGAGTACTGGACCAGTCGCATATAGCATCGAACATTTGTTTAACGCAGTTACGATAATCCTGCATTGATCGGGGGAAGCTTGGATCGATGGTTTGACGAGTTGTCGTGGCGTTTGCTGGGGGATGAGATAGAGAGAGGAATACGCCCTCTATCCCTTTGGCCATGGTAGGGGTGTTGATGTAGCCTTGATACTGGCGCGTAAAGTGACCCAGCTTGGAAACTAGCCATTCCTGGTTCTGATTTTGTGCTGTGGGTTTGGGAGGAACGCGGTATTTCTTGCGGGGTTGTTCGATGGCTGGACGGACTGGTTGAGGGGGATTTGGGTTGAAGGAGGGCATCACGGTTGGGAAGTGATACTGAGGCTGCGGCTGAGGCGGATCAGGTTGAGAAGTGATGACTCTTTGAGAGTACAAGTTCACCAGCTGCGCCATCTGGTGATTCGCCTGCTTGTGTGGATTTCCATGCGCGCATGGTTGATGAATGAGAGGCTGGTACGGGAGTGTTTGAGTATGGACTTGACCATCAAACTGAGCCTGAGTGTGAACCGGAAGTTGATACTGGTTCTGAACCTGAGGCTGAAGCTGGTAATGATCCTGGACCTGGGGCTGGAGTTGGTAGTGACCCTGAACTTGAGTCTTGACCGGCTGGCTCTCGTGTTGGTACTCCATCAGACCGGGCTCAACGCTGGCAACGTGAAGAGTCTCGGCAGCAGGAGTAAGAGTAGTCGCAATTACCCCCTCAAAGATCCCCTCTCCAGTTCCATTCCCTATATCCTGTCCAGCGATAAGATCGGTATCAAGGCAGGTAAAGTCAAACATCTCTGGAGACTCAGCCTTGGCAGTCCCAGACGCATCAGACCCCGCAGCCGGGGCAGGTGGAAAGGTAGGACTCATCAAGTAAGCTGAATCGCAATCAACAAAGCATTCATCAGGAGAACCGAGGCGATCGATATGCTCCTGCGGCTTGAAAACATTGTCGAGGGGATCCATTTCTGTCAGGTCGAATTTTGAGGTAGATTCGTGGAAATTCTCGTCTATCCACTGGTTAAAGTTGATGTGGTCAGCGTTGGAAAGGAGAAAGTTGTGGTCGTATGCTCCAGCCATGATGGGGAATGAATAGAAGAGAGATGGGATGGGGTAGACATTTATAGTCTGGGAAGAAACATGACTTACTAGATGGATATATGTAAAGAATGAATTTGTTCAAGTTGAGTTGCAAGATTCTGATCTAGCTTGATATTGATTACTGTCGAAGAGACAAGGCTGCAAGTAGAGACAGATACTAGGCAGAGTAAACAAAACAAAACAGCTTGGTACTGAAGACCAAGCAGGGGATAAAGACAAAGTTGTTGCATTGGTGCTATATGAATAGGCAGAATGTCAAGTCGTCTAGTTTGAGCTTTTGTTACCGTATGGTCGGTATGATTGTCCATAACGTTCTTATGCAGGTATTTTATATGCTTTGAATAGAACAATGAGAATGTACCTGCACGATGGATTGAACTAGTAGTGTTAAAGGGGTAATTTTTATTGTTTCAGAGACACACACTAGGCAGTCAGTGTTGTTCTTTACTCCCCATCCGACTGTATTCAAGCAAAAGCTTCCCTATTGTTCTCTATTGTTGTGTCGCAGAAAGACATTTTTTGCCAGTCAGGCTTTTGAAGCACCACAATGATAACTATTACTGAAAGCCTGGTTTAAATATGCATCAACTGATACTTCCCTTTAATATGTTTCTAAATGCTGCATGAAATGACAAACACGTATGCCAACGAGATTGAGTCTGCTAATGCATCTACCCGCGCACCACAACCATCAATGAACAAAACACAAGCCCTGATAAAACAAACTTCCATCACTGCAGCATCCAAAGCTTTGTCCATGTTCTAGGCAGCTAACCCAAAATACTCCTGTCGGTATCCGCCTTCATCCGCTTATAGGAACCCCATAGTCCTGACATCCTCCGAAACACCACTTGTTACTCTTTTTGAACAGTGTAAACGCATTCACTCCGTGATGCATAGCCTGTCCGTTAATTTCCACTACAAAAGGCGCCCATACTAAAGCCAAGTCCCCATGCTTTCGTACCTGCGCGTGGTGAAGCTTCTCCTGTATGGTAATACCGCTCTTGATCATGTTTTGTAGACGTCGGATGGACTGTTCCAATGTCATGGGCGCTGGCTCAGAGGGTGGACGGTACAGAGTCACACCTGCATCCGGGAGGAACCATTCCTTAAGTGTATCCCAATCCGGATGAGAAAAGTCGTCGAGGAGTGCATTGATGGGCTTCATGATTTCCTGCTCAAGATGAGTTTTATCTTTTGGGTTGGGCGTATCGATAGATCGTTCCGTAGACGCAAGACCTGAGACTTTCCATCGTCCTTGCGTGAATGCTAGACCAACAAGACCCTTCTTGTGGCTTATAATAGAACCATCATCTGCGCGAATAGACCAACCTGTCCACACAGCAGCAAGCTTCTCGTGGACAAATACCTCCTGCGGTTCATCTATAGCCCAGTCGATTTGTTGTTTTGGTGAGTTTTGGCCTGAGAATAAATCCCCGAGAGTTGTCTTTTCTAGGGTGTTGGGCGACGATTGAATGACGTAAGAATCCTTGATGAGATAATCGTGCGCATATTCATGAGGGAGTTGATGATTCTTGCTGGATAGATTAAAGAATTCCGTTATAGCAGACAAGATGTCATATTTTGTATCTTGAGAGGTGCTCATTTTTTTGATAGATAAACAATAAAATATTCAATGCTTGAGCAATGATGAATGATGAGGTAAATATTGGACCAAGTTACATTTTAAGGAATGTTACTGATGACATGGCAACCAATAATGATCAAGCCGGATATATACATTTGCGTTTCTAATCTATAACTACTAAATTAATTTCTATTTATTCTTCAAAGACTCGAATAGGCATTAAGAGCCAATTGTCCTCCCAAATGAGCATAAAGAACATTTCCACTCGCAATCTTGCCTGTCTTGATCAAATCCATCATACCCGCCAAACTCTTACCCTCGTACACAGGATCCGTGATGAAAGCCTCAGTCGCAGCACCAAACCTCATAGCCTCGAGTGTCGTCTCGTCAGGAATACCGTATACCTTGGCGTTGTAGTTGGGATCGAGAATCACATCGTCGGCTGTGATATCGTCCTCACTGAGACCAATCTTTGCAGCAGTGTTCTTGGCGATGCGCAGGACTTGATCAAAGGTCTGCTGCACTTTACCTGAAGCGTCGATGCCAATAATCTTTCGCGCAGGAGAACCGTTCTTCTGCGCAAGTTTGAAACCGGCAATCATACCAGCAAACGTAGATCCTGTCACGGCGCAGACGATGATGGTGTCGAAAAAGATGCCGAGTTCTTTCTCTTGCGCCTCAACTTCGAATGCCCAGCGCGCGAAACCGAGACCGCCGAGGGGATGGTCTGAAGCACCTGCTGGGATGTAGTAGGGCTTTCGGCCGCTGCTCTCGAGCTCGTCTTTGAGCTTGGCAAGGGTTGTCTTGTGCTCGATACCGAATGTAGAAGGGTCAAGTCTCACATCGCCGCCCATGAGACGAGAAAGCTGAATGTTGCCGACCTTTTCATAGCCGGGGTCTTCCCAGTCAACCCAGTGCTCTTGGACTGTGGCGGCTTTGAGGCCGAGCTTTGTAGCGACGGCTGTGACGGCGCGGGTGTGGTTGGATTGAACACCGCCGATTGAGACGAGGGTATCGGCACCTTGGGCTTGGGCTTCAGCGGCGAGGTACCTATAGAGTGAGTTAGTGTCCTGTCGGGTTGCAGGAGGGTATCGACATACTCTAGCTTTCGGACCTTGTTACCACCATAGGCAAGACCAGAGTTGCAGTCTTCGCGCTTTGCGTAGACATTAACCTTTCCACCCAGAGCAGCGGATATTCTAGGAAGAGGTTGAAGAGGTGAAGCTCCAAAGAGAAAGTTCTCTCTGGGGATGCTAGCAAAAGGCTCAGGAAGAGTGACGACAGTCATTTTGAATGTATATAAGTATGAATAGATGATAAATAATAACAATCAGGTCAAATTAGAGGATATAACGACATTAAAATATTCCTCATGTCTCCTCCGTTGCCGGTGATTGATCATGAGAGCTATCGCGGGGCACGAATAACATGGTCCACATGGCGGGCCAAGACTTGAGGCATTGACAAGGTTGATTGGGTGGACGACATTGTAGGGCGCAAGATACACGAGGGGTAAAGATGAATGTCATGATGGGAAACGAGTCAGTGTATTAAATCGGTGGTAGATGTAGATTCCGAGCCGACATGCCCGTTTCATTATGGTTACCTATCTTTTGCTATCCACTGCCTATCCGGGGGAGATAAGCTATAATGGAGATGAATGATAAAAGATTAGAAAGTGGTCTTTCGTGGGGATTGAGGTCCACTGTGGACATATGTTATTATCACGATGGGGATGGGAATAAGAACAATTGCTCTGGCGAGGGTCAGTGGAGAACAAGGCCCATGCTCCAGTCTAGTCTACAGCATTGAGTGGGCAGCAGAAAAGATGGTCTCCTAAGTCTTAGGGTATAAAAATAAGTAGTCTAAGAACTATAGTCTAAGGGATATAAAGTGACCTACTAATTTCATCTCTTATGCTTCCAGCGGCCAATTTTTTTTGATAGCCTGAGACATGCCTTTATGTCAATATTCAAGAAAAGATTGTACAGGCAGTATACCGTGTTGTTCAACTCGTTCGTTCAAAGCATCGCACAAGCCAATGACTTATATTCCTGTGGTTACCATTTCGTATAGAGCTTTTAATTGGTCATGACGCTGCCGTAAGAACGCCAAGACAGTTTCCTATTCGGCATTACTTCAAGAACATTTGCACTTCACATTTGGAATCTATAGTGTTTAATAATCATTTTGGGTATCGTATTCATAACTCATTCATCCTAATCAACAACCTTCAACATATCATACGCCTTGTGGCTAATGGCCTTTTGTACAATCTTGAGAGGCGACATCTTGACCTTCTTGACCTTTTGCGTGACATTGCCCTCGGCATCCTTTTCGACAACCACTTCCTCTTCCTCCTCCTCTTCCTCGAAACCTCCTCCGTCCAAAAACACCTTCAGAAGACCCTGGGAGTATCCACTGACGAGACATGTTCCATTCTCATCAGATTTGACAGGCTTGGGCGCAACTGGATCCCCAGAAGTCTGACCGTATCCTGCTCTACCTCCTGCAAGGTTCCAAAAGACCAGCTCAGGCATGTCGTAACCTGCAGCCTCAAACTTGCCCTTGATGCGCTCATACGAGGTATCCCAACCACCGTCAGCTTCATCATCCGGCGCCGAGGCATTGGACCAACTGGGACGAGACCATGATGAACCAGACGAGTCGCATGCTTCGTTGAACTGCATGTCACTAAAGACAAACACCCGCTTGACCATGTCCTCATTCTTCAAGTTGTTCTTGGTTGCCATTGGAAGAATCAAGTCCTCAAACACAGAAACGAAATTGGTTGTCATACCCCAGTTAGAACTATCCATGGTGCCGACCTTTTCTGCCAGAGTATTGGACAGATCCACTTTCTCGACTGATGGATGTGAGCTAAACGTGATAAAGGCACCGGCAAACGGAGGCTTGGCCACTTCGGCGACAAGAAGAGAAAGACCAATTGCGGAATCCATCGGTGTAGTTTTGTCGGAGAAGACGGGAGAGCCCATGCTACCAGAAACATCACAAACCGCGATACTTGAATCCATGGTACCAGAGTCCTTGATGCGTTGGACAAGTGTGTTCCATTGTCCATCGAGAACTTTGGATTCAATCTCAGCAATCTTCTGATCCAGGCGGCTTTGACCCTGGCTGCCCTGTCGCACTTTGTGAATCAAGGTCGACGGTAACAAGGTGGCTCCGGAGATGTTTGCCTTTCCTTCAGCAACTTTGTCAAGATACTGATCAAAGCGTTCGGAGTCTTTCTCGATGAACAGCTTGCTGTATTGGTTCATAGCGAGCGATGGAACTCGGTCATACTTGATGTCCCCGTACTTGTTCTCTGTGATAGCACGCTCCACAATCTCAAGATGCTTTCGGAGAGCAGACGTGTCCTTGCGGTACTCTTCACGAGCAAATCGCAGGTAGGTCTCGCGGCCATCGGTCGGCGTCAGCTTCTCGTTGTCGATTGACTCTCGTGGGTACATGATTTCGGCAATGGTGCTGACGATGAAAGTATGTCTGTCGTGGAAATGGTCATGAGACGGAGCCCACTTGCCACAGAAAGAAATGGAACGCTTGGCCTTTTTGTCGTCTCCTCGAAGGGCTCGAAGGTCCTTTTCTAGCTGTTCGGCGAATAGACGAGCAACACTCAAGTGCAGGGCCCGATATACTGGGTCGTTCTCAAAGATGTTCTTCGCATTCTCATATCGGGTTGCTCTCGCTTCCCGTTTGACATCCTTTGGATCAGAAGATTTCTCTTTCTTTTCTTCAATATCCGAGGTTGTGTTGATTCGTCCACTCAAAACCCCTCCGCGTCCACGGCTTGCACCTCGGGCTCCCCGTCGACCACTGCGCTTACCAACAGACTTTCCTCGGATGATGCCAGGGTTCTCGCTGTTCAGAATATCCTTGGGATCATCGAGAACAGTGAGTTTTTTGTTTGCTGCAAGCGCGAGCATGTTGAGAAGATCTTTCCAGTACCCGTGCGAGACGCCGTTCTTGACGTCGAACTTGGCATTTTCGTCCTTGTTCCCGTCTTCAACGATGACCAGATCACCATCTTCCTTCTTTTCGGCCTTCTTCTCAATAACAGGACGGCTGAGCCATCGCAAGTTGGCGATAAGGGTCATTGGGTGGTTCTGTGCTAGCCAGCCAGCACAACGGTAGAGGGTAATCCGCGAGCTTTTTCCGAGATGAATAGAACGAGCGTTGAAGATGATTCTAAGAGTGGCGATGGGGTTTTCTCTCCAGGCGGCGAGCAAAAGTTCATTCAGGCGAGGGCCAGATACAACTTCCTCGAGTTCGTGGAACAGATCGACAAGAGCATTCTCAGTGTGTCGATACGCCAAGTCTCCGTTCTCTGTCAGCATCATACCTTTCGGGGCCTTTGATGGCTCCTCCTTTTGATAGTTGATTAATCCCTTCATGAAAGGATGCGACTCGGCAGGGGTGTCTTCTGCTGGCTTAGAGTCTGATGCTGCTTCCCCCGAAACGTCCATGGCATCTACACCTTGACGGATTTCAGCTGAAGTAGAGTTGGACACGAGAGTAAATGTCTCGGACTGGTCAGCATCAGTCATGGCCTGGTCTGGGCTGACTTCAGCTGTAGTGTCATCATCATGGCGTTGGGCAATCCCGCGACGGAGACAGCCATCAAACTCGGCCTGAGGCTTCCTCACAGCATCGTCAAATGGAAAAAGAACCGGGTATGACGACTTGAGGAACCAAAGGACATCTGACTCTGTGGTGGAAGCCATGGTGTTGATGTGTCAGATGGAAACTTCTTGGATGAAGAAGGATGAAGACGTGGGATTTAGCGGTATTATATAGTCGGTCGAATAATGTTGAACTGTGTAAATAAGGTCGGTCAATGAGTCAAATTCTCTTTGGGTTTCAACAAGCTTACTTTACCTGTAACTTCTCACAATGGGGCTGAGTCTGGAACTTTGGATGCCTAGAGGCTGAACCCACGAAAGGCAAGATCCACCTTAAATGTGGACGTTGGTTGGTACAGTTGAGGAATCGCCGAATAAGATGGTTCGACGACTTGGGAAGTTGCAGTAGTTTCTGGGTAGTTGCAGCTGGCTGAGAAGGTGAAGCCATGGATATTCTCTTGATCGGTTCGTAGAAACTGTCGAACTTTGTTCTACTTGATCATTAATACCTGGCTTGGAGCAGTTGCATCTTGAATATGATGATCCAAAACGTCACAATTGATGATCTACGCTCCCTGTCCCTGTTGAATTGGTCGGTATCCTTGTCTAGTGTAAGGCTTACAGGGATGACCCAGAGCAATAGCGGGGCTGGAGCACCCCGGTTGACTCACCCCGAGTTGGTCCTTCAATGTGCAAACCAACAACTTGCCATGGACTTGTATCTCGTTGGTTGTATGTTTTGTTTCTTTACCACTCAGGAGTTGTCGTTTTGCGATTTAGTTCTCTGCCGTGGCAATTCGTATGCTTTTGCTTCTCCCAACACCCTTGCTATGCCGTTCGTTGATATTGTTCGCGATAGTTGTGCAGCACTCTAAAGATGCCGAGTATAGTAGAGGGACATACCCTGAGCTTTCGCCTTTGCGATTGTATCATTATAGAATTCGATTGGCATTGAGCAAGGCAGTTGCAACAGTTGAAGGATGGGTTACTAAGAATAGGTCAGTGGATCTTATGGAAAGAACGAACGATAGCGTGTCTTCTCACGTGAGACCGTTTCAACTTCATTCCTTCTCCAATGGAACTACTTCTGTCTTCCTCAATCTTCCAGTTCATTTATTTGTATTTGGGTGGAGGTTTCGCTCTGTAACGGTAGTTTTGCAGCCAAGCTATCTAGTGGCGTCTTCAATCGCTATTTCCATTGCTCGTCAGCTCTGGGTCCGGGTTCATTCTTTGTCATTGACTCACCAAGCCATCCAATATTTCTTTATCTTTCAAAATACCAACACGCTCGTTCCCTTTCAGTCCTTGTTCCTGATCGTTCTAAGGATGGCCCAACCATTGCGGGCTTCAAGGGGGGTTCTGGGGTAGTCCTTTCTCCTGAAGGAAGCGCTTCAGGGGCCACTCGTGTTATTGTCTTGCTATTCTTTCGCATCTGAATGCGGATATGGTCAACAGCAACTCCAAAAGAATGATTCTCCTTTTAATCACGTCCCGGCGGCTTTTCCGATACGTACGCAGTTCGACGGGCGGTTCTATAGCAGAGATGGTCTAGTGTCTTCTCTGCCGAACTTCAGGGGCTAGTTGTACCGCTGCCAAGGTTCGAAATTCTATCTGAATAGAAGCTTGAATGCAACTATCCTCTTCGCTTTTGGCCGTGCCCAGGGCTTGCCCAATGCGTATAGGTTTCGAAGGCGGTCGCTTCGTCGTGCTTTTTCTCCTGCAACAAGCGCTTCAGGGTTTACTCGCGTTGCTTTTCTGTTTGCGCCCAAGTGTAAAGATGGTCGGCAGGAACATAAGAAAGATACATCTTTGCAAGTGTAGTTTTGATTTCAAGATTGAACTTCGGAAATTTGTTCAATAGGTCTGTTAAACAATTCCTATTACCTGGTGGGGCGGTGACTGTAGGTGTTTTGTTCGAAAGAAGATGAAGGGGACGAGAAAGAAGATCAAATAGCTTGTTGAACGGTTTGTTCAGTCTGATAGTTGGTGAAAAACTGAGTGTGCGGAGTGATCAAACGCTGTTGTTTTTCTGTGATTTCTCGTTTGTGGTCCGTTGATCTGAATCTAATCTGGGTAGCCGGCCGACCGGGGAGATGGTATTCTAATCCTTGGGAATGAAGGACAATAGCATCATGGAGATCTTGGCGCTGGCAATCGAAATTAGAACCCAAGCCTACTGATGACCTCACCGCAATGGTAATTGAGCTTAGTACGAGAGGACCGCTCATTCAGATAATTAGTTTTTGCGGCTGTCCGACCGGGCAGTGCTACCATCTGCTGGATAATGGCTGAACGCCTCAAAGCCGCTCAAGAGGGTCCGAGTATTTGAGGTGGCCAGTCTGTCCTTGTGTTCCTAGTGGGAGCCAAACAACGTTTGCACAGAAACTTTGATCCTATCTTACCCCAGTGGCGCGATAGCCATCAGTTGGATACGACTTTACCTCGTTTCGACATAGTTTCCGATGGGCAACGATGTCGATAGTACCTGGCCGATAGTTTTCGTGTCTTCTGATGCGACAGTCAGATTAATGGTGAGTTGTGGATGGTTGGCGCACATCGCTGGGGTGGTTTGACATGGTGGTTTTGAACGCGCGGTAACGTAACCACGATAAACCAGAGATGCTGTCATGGTAGTATTGCGTCGGCTCGTCCTGGAGATAAGTGGTACAGATAACTCGGGAATGAATATGATGGTGATCGGGGTTATCTTTCGTCTTGGGTCTTTGAGTTACTAGGTAGTGATCGGTTGACAAATTCCCGATACTCGATGGTTGATAATGTCAATAAATAAAAAAGAGTCCAATAACCCTTCGTTTCCGTCAAAAATAACTGGTCCTAAATCGCCTCCCACAAAATTTACCTCTCCGGAACGGCTGCCTAGTTGTGGCTGGCAACATAGTCGGTGGTCTCGTGGTCTGGTACCTTATCTTTGAGATGGCTCTCATCTGCCATTGTACGCGGGTGGATGGAAGATTCAAGTGTTGGTGTGGGCTCAAATAACTTGTCACTGGAGTAGATAAAAGCAGGTTTACTGCAAACTGGGCTGAACAGTTGGTTATTGGGCTAAATATTTCTGAACATTTGTACTGACACTAGAACAATACTACTGTTGTTATTGATGAGATCTCGAATAGTCCATGGCTCGTGCTTCCATTAACATCTCCTCCTCCTAATTGTCTCCCACTGTAACCTGGAGATCTCAACGTAGGTACCTATCATTTCACAACAGAATACCATCCCCCTTTTTCGATGCCAGTAACAAACAGTAATGCCCAGAAGATTAAATACTATGATTCAATGCATAATCGAGCAACGCTAGCAACAACAATCAACTGACGAGTCACCGCAAAGGTAATCATCTCTGCGATGGGCCAGAGTTCCAAGACGAAGACGACGATGAAGAGTTAAACATTTCCTCTGGGCGATAAGACGAAACTTGAAGAAGCGGTTATTGGTCTTCAGGCGACCAGAAGGCGCGTGTTGCTCTGGTGCAAGCTATATACATCAAGTGTCGCATTCTTCTTTTGTATGACCTCCTTGCGCTTCTGAACCATGATACTCAGTTTGCGTTGCCCGTCTGTGGACTGCCCATAAGGCAACCATAACGAAATCATCCTAAATTATCTTTTCCTCGTTTTGCCAAATAGTTAATCAAGAACTGTGAGCAAGTTCACAATATCCAAAAGTGAAACAGATTCATATGTTCTGGATCTGCTGTCATATAATATACCAAGTGCAGTCACGCCCTCCGTAGTTAATATTTATTTTAAAGTATCTCGTTACTGTAGGCTTAATAGAGGTTTAATGAATGTTCTGCTCCTGAAATCACTCCGTCTGAGTGCAGTCTTGGTACCAGTAGATTTATACCAAGGCCCAAAGCCCTAGCCAGAGTGCACTAAATATCAACTCGGCCGACGATAAGAAACACAAAACAAACAACCACAACAACAACAAGTAAGTCTTCCTCGATCGTCTGTTTCCCCATCCCTCGCTCTCTGCCCCATTCCCTTTCCCTTCCATATTCATGATCCCTTTCCTCACAAGAACACGCCGGTTACCCGCATCCACCAGACTCATCAACACACCATCTACAGCAGAACGGGGAAGATCCCTTCGCAAACTGGTACCGTCTTGCACACATCGCGCCTTTCTCTCCCTTCTTTTCATGGAGCGTGGTACTCTATCTATCCCCTCCTCCCCCCTCCCCCTTTGAATATAATCATCTCAATTTGCTAACATCTTGGACCTCCAGCGAAAACATGTCAGATGTCAGGGACGTCAGGGAAAGAGAAGCGCAGATCGATATGCTTCTGCGGCAGAGGTCAGAGCTCCTCGTAAGTTAAGCAATTCTACATCAAGTAGCCAGGATTCAAATCTCCTTCTAACGCACATCTTAGCGGGAGGTCCAGCTAGGGGGGCCAGGGGCGGGTCAGGCGGTGGCCCGGTTGCTTGACCTCGACGGGGTCATCGATGAATCAGAGACGAGGCTCTTTTGCCTCAGATTCATCCTGGCCCGCGGCCCCTACTCCCCGGTATGTGCTTTTCATCCTATCTCTCTCCACATTACTAATTATAAAAGGCCTCGACTTCCCGGGAGGAGCTTTCCTCCTACACCATCAAGAAGAAGAAGCCCGAGACCACCCTGGGAGTCAGCCTCCCACAGGATTTTGTTGCCATGGCCCGAGGAGACAACCACCACATCGGCCTCCCTGGCTTCGACCCCAACTATTGCGCCATCATATCCCGGCGTGTTCTCCTAACTGGCCTACCTGGGTCGACCACGGTCGCCCAGGTGGCCAGGGGAGTCGCAGGCCTTGGTGGCGTGATCAACATCTTCGTCAGCCGTGATCTCCGCGCAGATACGGTGCCTGGGCAGTTAATGGCTGTCGTAGAGTTCGCCTCTGACCAGAGCGCGACTCGTTATGTCCATTTTGTTTCTACGATCGGCATCTGGTTCCAAGATCTTTGGAAGCTAAACCACCAAATAATCGCGACGAAAATCTTAACACCCTCGAACGAAATCACGTCCACGCACCCAGCAAGCTACCAAGTCCAAAACAATGGTTCATCTGGACGATGTCTTCAATTCGAGGATTTCCCTGTAACCTCTATCTGGGCCCTTTTCAAGAGCTTCGGCGTTCGCCATATCGTCGACGCCTGGACCACGACGAACGACCATGAGGACTCGACTGATAACCACCTAACGGTGGAGTTTTCTAGTATCTTTGAATCAACCCGCTGTTGCAGCCACCTTATTCGTGGTTACTTCTCGCCATACAAACCAACCTCAGGAATGATCACACTGGACTGGACAACATCGGATCGAGACGTGACAGAGTTAGAGATGGAGGAAAACTGCCACATTAAGCACGTGGATCCCAACCATATTGAGCAGCAATGGAATCAAGAGCCATTCAATCTTAACCCGTCTACACAGGTCGGAAAACATGTTCCTTCGGCATTCTCCATTAAGCAGGCACCCCTTGGTTCTAGCCGCGCTGCCTCTGGTGTAACAATCGTAGGAGATTGCGGTGCCCTGAGACATGTCACTCTACAACAGATCACCGCACGAATCAGTACGGAAGACGCGCGGTACATACTGGTTCATGATTCAATCTTTGCGTGTGACAAGGCTATCACGACTGCCCCTCGCGACCTCTACTATTCCGTGGTCAACGCCGAGCTCAGTCGCCTCAAGGAGATCTATCTTTTTGACCCAGCATGGGCAACCTTCTGGGACGAATACTCGAAAACGCAGGGTATTGATTTGCGCGGTTACTATGCTTATGCCCACGTTGCTGCCACCCGTCGTGCATACAACGATCTACATGGCCTTCCCCAATGGCACTCAGGGGAGATGTTGGAGCAGGCTGCCATACCAGACTACATCCTGTCCTACTCTCAGCCCAATCTCATTCGAAGGGTTATCAGTACCAGCAATTAAGATGAAGACTTCGCCTCCACCATCACGAAGACCTTGGAAGAATCTCTACAGACTCGATACCGTCTTCACCTCTCTACATCTCTCTGCGCTATTATCAGCACCGCAACCAAGACATTGGAAGAGTCTTTAGACTCGATACCCTCTTGCATATACGACACGTTCCCCATTATCTATTATACCCATATGACTAGCGACGGCAAAGACCCTGGAAGAGTCACGATTCGATACCGTCTTCACGTCTCTATATTTCATCCAGATCAAGCGCAATTTTCATCCAGACACTCGACTTTATCTTTGGCTCAGCGCCTACACTAATTAAGACGGACAACATGTTTCCGTAGACCATTGGTCCTATTCCCCTTTTCCTATTGTTCTGCTTTTATTTCGACTATTACTACCGGTCCATTCATTGCTTCTTAAACACATGCAAGGCCAGGTATCACGACACCAGATTTACATCTCGGAAGAGAAATTACACCATCAGTCACGCATCTTCAGAATTCGCAAATGCATCACATGGGGGTAGCAATTCATTTAGATAGTAACAAGCTTCTTTGTTAATCCTGGGTATCTCTAATGCTATGTGCGCTGTGAATGTGAATGTGTTTTAACTAATGACTTGACGCCTCGCTGATGTAAAAAGTCATCCCCCGACAAAAGGCCTTGACCTGTCCAAACTCCGAAAACCAAGCACTTTTTTCTTCCTATGTAATCATATATGATCTAACCCGTTTCCAACCCGCTTCTAGACCCGACTCTTCTTGGTAAGCGGTTCCTCGACGATGAAAAGCTCGTCTTGATCTTCATCTTGCTCTTGAATAGGTGCTTTGTCATAGTGTGGCATGGAAAGCTCGTCTTCTTCAAGTCCTTCAAAGGCCTCGGCGACGCTCCTGAACTGCTTCGCTGGAATACCCCATGATAACGTGGTCTGCTTCATAGACTTCCTAGACTTATATGTGGGCGCCACAGGGGATTGTGTAGCAGCAGCAGGCTTTTTTGGTTTCTCGCCCCCAGTGCGTTTCTGTGCTTCAGGGCGCTTCCTCTTACGGTTCTTGAGATACCTTCGGACAAGTTGATCTGGAAGATTACTTTCAGGCTCCCAAGTTGGATTCTGATCCGGAGGCCAATCTCCCTCCCAGCGGACTTTGAAGTAGCGCACAATATCTCCTCCTTCGGCTTCGTACATTTCCATGCCCTCGATGCGCTTGACTTCCCAGTCTGGCTCTTCTGGCTCTTCTGGCTCTTCTGGATGCTCTGTACTCTGCACAGGATCTTGCTGAGGTGGCTGTGCGACCTTTGACGGCCTCGACTCCGACTTTGAATGCTTCTCAGATTTTGGATTTTTGGACTTCTTCTTCTGCATTGAGGCAGCTTCCCCAATGAGTCTTGCCGTCACAGCGCTTGGTTCAGGATCAGGTGTCTCAACGCCTGAATTCGAGTACGTAACTGTCTCTTGTGGCGACCAAACTGATTCCGAAGTTGACTCTGTAGCTTGCAAGCCGTTCAATGCGCCATTCATCGCTGTCTTCTTCTTGGGCTTATCTGCTCTCCTTTTCCCCTTGGATGCCGACTTGATAGCTGTTACTTTCGGCGTACTTTGTCGTGATGAGGTCGCTGAAGAGGAAGACTCGATTTCTATGACAGGGGGGTGGTTTTGTTTCGATCCATGGTACTGAGATCCCGAATCACGCAACTGATCAGTTTGCGCACCAGCGCGTGTGCTTCCAAAGCCATCTGAATCTCCTCCACCATATAATCCTTGGTCATCAGTCCCAGCTGACTCGCCGGTTGTCTCCCATTGCAATTGCGCTGGAGTCGCATCTTCATCTGATAGCCCCTCAAAGTCTTTTAATCTGTTCTTTGTCGGCGTAGCTATCGTCATAGCCCCTCTTTGTACAGCATTGTCGTCATCATCCGGTACCGCAACAACAGCAGTTTCTATCTTGCTGTGTTTAGGTGGTCTTCCACGTCTTCTGGGTTTCGGCGCATCGCCAGTTTGGGTCTGTTCCTTCTCGATCTCCTTGTCCATTTGTTCCTCGGTGTTTGCGAATTCCCACTCCTCCAGCTCTCGCGGGGAGACGTATTCCAAGATGTCCATGGCAGGAACTAGCAGTTGCGCCGCAGGGAGATCATGCCACGCCACGATATATGTCATTCGTCTCGGTAGAGGGTTTCCATCTGCAGCTAACCCAGGCGAAGGCAGTATAATTCTCTCGAGTATATAAGCTGTTGAGTCTTGTGGTGGGAGCAAGCTTATGCGCTGCAGTTCTGGTCCCTTCCCGGGTATATAGTCTTTTGGTCTCGCTGGGACACGTACAGCTACTCGCGATTCTCTCGATTCGTGTGGTTTTCGCTTTTTGGAGCTCGTAGGCTCAAGTTGTTGTTGAATCGACTCCATCGCGTCTTCGCTTGAACGAGTCCTGTGACCCGCGACGCCAGTTGCCGTAAACCGTGTAGGAAGTGATCGCCAATGCGAAATAGGGCGTCTTGACCATTTAACTTTATGGAAAAAAAGATTCGTATGAAAAGGCAATCTGTCGATCGTTTCTGATGTCCAGGACAACTCCCAGTCCGACGCGGCGTATTTTTAGAGGTTGGTAGTCTGAGAACTACAACTCTAAAAGGGTATTAAACAATGACTAAGCCAACAAGGGTCTCAACAAAGGTCTTGGATAATAAAGAGCGTCTCAAAGAAAGCAGAAAAAATAACAAAGAAATAAAAATACAAAGAAGAAATATTCTTTTATTTTTAAAGGTTTAAAAAAGAGTTAATAGTATATCTAATTAAAGGGTTACAGTGATAACTATTTATATAGCTATATAGCTTTTATAATATTTATAATATTTATAATATTTAATCTAAAATTGCTATATAGCCCGACCTTTTTAGGGGGTAGGCGGGGCTATACCTATTTTGACTAACCTTTTAGAGCGGCAGCGCTTAGCGGCGTCTAATCAAGCGCCAAACTTTTCCATCGGCCATGAGATCACGAACACAGCTCTACCCGAGCTTCAGCATCCCCACGTCACACCAAAAATTGCCGACGGCACAACGACATTCTTCAATCTCCACTTCATCGTCAATTAATTAAATTTCGTCTTTTCTTCTCAATTGACTCTAACAAACCTCTTCAACATGGCTTCTCCGCTCAAGACTTTGGTCTTGCGCATGCCTGCGACAGGTCTCGTGCGATCATCTCCGAAAGCTTCCTTCTCAACCATCTCTGCCGCTCGTCCCGCATCATGCCTCTCGCGCTCGCCCTTCCAACAGCAATACTTCACGCCCGCAATTTCGATCAATAAGTCTTTTTCCCGCGCCGTTTCTGATAAGGCTCAACCTGCTCAGCCCGTCCAGAGCACACCACCAACAGCCCAGCAGCCTGCGCCTGGCCTCCCTGCTCTGGACTGGAACAGCTTCTTCAAGCTGCGAGTCAAGCGCCGACGATACCAAATTCTATTCTCCGTTACCAATGGAATTTTTGCCGGCAGCGCAGGAGCCGTTTTTCTTTCAACGGGCAGTGCGGAACCAATTATTTCTCAGATCCCTCTCGATCCGTTCATGACGCTGGGACTTATGACGCTCGCGTTTTCTGGACTCGGATGGTTGAGCGGACCTAGTATGGGAAACCAAGTGTTTTACATCCTGAACCGTCAATGGAAGAAGCAAATCACCCAGAAGGAGGCTATCTTCTTTGAGCGCATCAAGAAGAACCGAGTTGACCCCACCAACTCGAGCGCCAGCAACCCTGGTAAGTTTTTTTTGCCCCGGCTAATTTTCTTTCAACTAACGTCCGCCATCTAGTCCCTGATTTCTACGGCGAAAAGATCTCAAGTGTAGCTGGATACCGCCAATGGCTAAAAGATCAAAAGGCATTTAACAAAAAGAAGACTGCCAACTTTGTGTAATCAAAACGAAATCGCATTTCAAACTTACAAGTCTTGTTGACTGACAAAACGATGGGTGTAATGGCTCTGCTGGTGGGTACAAATGGCCCCAGGTGTTGCCCGGTTTAACGCGGGCGTTGTATGTGTATCATTAAAATCTCTTATCCAATACTATCCCCTTTTCTTTATTGTGCTATTATTTTGCTATTTTCGTCCGAAAGTGCTTATATAAAAGGTACAGTAGGATCGACAGTGTCTTTCCATGACTTGATTCCGCCAGAAATATCACCAATGAACCGTTTCCCATTGTTTCCGACACCCAGAGACTTGAGTTTCTGCGCAGCAATCTGTGAGTCGTTTCCAACTCTGCATACCAGATATATGGGTGTAGATGGTGATAGATCGCTTGGCCAACCTTCGGGTGTGGCCTCACCACGAGCGCTCATGAAGCGACTGATGGGGACGTTGATTGAACCCGAGATATTGCAGAGGTCGAAATGTTCCTTTTCTCGAACATCAATCAACAAGCTCTTATACCCTGATTTTGATATCGTCTCATACTCCTTTGCCGTTACTCGCTCTTCGGGGGTAAGCAATTGAACTGGTTGTCTGACACCGCAAAACTGGACATAATCCATTGATGTCTTGAGCTCTTCCAGCGTCAATCCATTTTCATCACCACAAGCCAAGCAGGTCTTTCTCTTCCCTCTCATCCTGACAGATCGGAACGGTGTGTCTGCGGTGCCTGTGAAAAGCAACAGCATGGGTGTCTTGGCTTCTCCATGAATCTCAAGATCACCTCTCGAAATCAACTTGATCGCCTCAAGAGCTTGTAAAACACCCATAGTACCAACAATTGGCCCAATGATACCGCCTTCACCACATCCTACCACACTGTCTGGAGGTGGCGGGGTAGGAAAGACACAACGATAGCAGGGACCTTTGCCAGGGGGGTTGTTAAGAATGATTAGTTGGCCAGATGTTTGGAATGCAGACGCCGAGACGAGAGGCTTTGATAGAAGAACGCAAATATCCGAGATGAGATAGCGAGACGTGGGATGATCCGTGCAGTCTAGTACCAAATCATATTCGGACACAATATCCTGGGCGTTTTGAGGTGTAAGATGAGTGTTGTACGCATGATAAGTTATCGTCGGGTTAAGCCTTGATCGGTTAGTCAATTATTCTCCTACTGGAAGGGCATCCTACTCTTGAAGATAGGTGATTGCGCTCTGCACCTTGCTCATGCCCACACGTCCGGTTGAATGCGCAATTTGACGATGCAAATTGGAAACCTCAACTTCATCACCGTCAACGAGGCCAATCGTTCCAACGCCCGAGCCAGCTAAGTACGCCGCAGCAGGACATCCCAAACCTCCAGCGCCAACAAGCAGTACCTTGGCCTTTCGCAAGCGCAGTTGACCTACAGAACCGTTAGCACTATAAGATAATATGAGTAATATGAAGATCTACCTTGGAGCCCGAAATTGGGGACAATCATTTGTCTGCTGTAGCGCTCATATTCGTGGTTGTTAAGAGGCCATTTCCATGACTCTTGTGTTTCAGTCTCGCGAGCTTCGGATTCTGCGGCTGCGAGTTGGGAGCGTAGATCTACAAGCTCAGCTTCTCGCTTTGCGATTTCGCTTCGGAGTTTATCAACAGTCTCCATGGTCAGTATGATGGTGCCATGAAGGTGGATGTCAGTTCAAAGTTATGAAATGTCTCGGAAAGTCATGATTGACCCCACTATGATGGTGGTCACTTCTATCATCATGGGACAATCAAGTAAATGATACGGAAAATAAGAAGTTTTAATTATGCTACTGAAAGTTTACCATACATACAATCAACTAATATTATTTTGCTATTTATCCAGTACTTCAATATGCATGCATGACCTTTACGCAGTAAAAATGCCCCTCCATTAGAGTACCAGAAAAGCTAGCCGCTAGAAGCAGAAAGACGAAATTAGTAGGCCAGTATATGCCACTTAAACCATACTAGCTAAGCCATTATTTTTGTAGCCTAATGTTTAATGGTCAACCTTTCTGTTACCCATCCTCCGTCTCGGTGTACCCCACCATCACCTCGGTGAAGCACCACTCACCGAAAATGTTTCTATCAATTCTTCATCAACCTTGTCAATCCCCAATTCGTTACTTACATCACACATCCTCCAACCACAATCCAAAATGGTACAAACCTCCTCCATATCATTACAAACACCAGCTAACACCCCTAGGCTCCTCTACCACCAGGTCTCAAAAAGCCCTCTGCTCGAACCCTCCGCCACCAGCGCGTAACAGGCCAAATCCACCCCCAAGCACCTCAAAAAGTCTTCCGCGACGATGCCGCCGTAACAGATTCCTTCCTCTCCAGCAAACGTGACAAGCGCCTCATCAAACACTCCTCCTTCGTATCCCGCATCCAGTCCGCGCGCATCTCAAAGTCTACCAAGCGTCGCCGTCCCTCCAAGAAGCTCGCCACCACTCTTGACAGTCTAGCTGATGCGCTGCCAGAGCTAGAGGAGGCTGATGCAGAGCAACAGGGCAAGATTCGTCACAATAGTTTGAAGAGCAAGAAGGGTGCGCTGAAGAAGAAGGAAAAGGTCGTCAAGGGTGAGATGGAGAGGTTTGGAGTTAGTATGGCGAGGTTAACGGCTCAGGATGAGGCAAAGCCTGTGCCACAAGACGAAAATATGGACGAGGAGAAAAAGACTGCTCCTGCGGCTACTGCGAATCGATGGGCGGCGTTGAGAGGATACATCTCTTCGACAATGGAGCAGAACCCTGCCTTTGCTGGAAAGAACTGAATCAGCCGACGAAAACAGAGATTAAGATACCAAAAGCATTGTGATTCGAAAGTTAGTCGACAGGCGCAGATACATCACTGCATAGAATCTACTGGGCGTTCAGGAGTTGGACCTCTAGGTTTGGATTTCAAATAATTTACATTCATTTAATTGCGAGACGTGTTGAATCAGAATATCATGATTGTTTCTGAAAAGCTCGTGGGTAGCACAATGGACCAGGCTTTAGGCTGTAAAGATAAATAGCCTAAGAAGTACAGTCTACGCAGCATAAATTGGTCTACTAATTTCGTCTCTTGCGCTTCAGATGTGTTAACAGAATATCATATTCTTCATAGGCTATGCTCAGCACTTGATACTGTATCTTTTCCCGTACCTAACCAACGCCTCAGTCGCTAACTCGCAAACCCCTTGCATTACTTGATATCTGGGGATAAAGATGATGAAAGCCAATAATAAAACGTCATGAACGCGCGCACTACTCCTCTGTCGCTTACATGAGAACGCATCTCCTCGCTGCTCCTCGCTACTCTTCGCTGCCACCAACGCCATGTAGCAAAAGCAAATTCTCACATAAGCTGAAAGCTCGAGTGGGAAATCAGAACAAAAAAAAGAAGTAATCGACCGTGAACGCATAGCATCCTTCGTAAATCTCATTACAGTAGTAGAACAGCATCATGTTTGGATAACATTGCGAATTCGAGGTGCTGTTACAGGGTTTGAAGGTCGCTTGCTTCGAATTTTGATAGGCGTGGGAGGACTCGAATTCCGGGGCTCTTTGGTGATTCGACCGCCAACTGTAGATGGAGCCGATCGAGGTTGCCAATTTTTGTGGCGACCAAAGTCTCTCATTCCAGTCCAAGGAGGCAATACCCGCTTGACTGGGGTCGTCTTGACTGGAGTAGGCGTGACTGTAGTCTTGTCTGGAGTAGCAGTCGTGCCACGAGTTTCAGCCTGCTTTTCACCTAAAAGCTCTCTCACGAGGTCCTCAAATTCTTCGCAAGAGCCGTAGCAGTCCGTTCTCTATTCGATCCGCGGTGGTGTCTTGTTCGAAAAGGGACTAGCGCTTCGTCTATCGATGTTAGATATGTCTTGCAGGTCGGCATTGCAGGTGGCAAACACTCACGATCGCCTTCGCTCTCCTTCCTTACGGAGATTTTCGATTATTCGCATCATTTCCTTACGCCCGCCGTAGCTATCAACCATCTTCCCACCCATGCTCATCGATACCTTCTCGCGGGCATTGGCGCACAGAAGGCGCTTGACAAGGAGATGTCGCATCAAAAGGCACACAAAGACACCGCAATCGCTACCATTTTCCTGCTGGGGGCAATCGTCCAAGTTGATAAATCGGAGGGGTCGGCCGAGTATGTTGGCAAGCTTGCGTGAAGCGACATTGGCCTCAGAGTAGTTGGCGCCGCCAAGCGAGTCGTAATGAAAGGCTACACCATCAAGAGTCGAGACGAGAAGCAGCGACCAATGGCTACCGCCCTCAGCGACGCTCACATTACGATTATCGTTGATGGGTAGGAAGATATGCGTAACCTTGGAGAAATCGGGAAGAGCGGATTGGATTGATCGAGTGTCCGGTTCCTTCATGAGAAGAAATGTCATGCTGGGGCGGAGCAGAACGATGCGAGCTTGGGGGTACTTGGGAAGAGTTTCGCGCTCCAAATACTCTTCCCAGAAAGCGATATTGTTGTCGGTTAACCAGTCATGCTTGAGAGCCTTAATATCTTCGGCTGTCAACAAAACGTCGTAGTAACTGAGATATGGCTTCTCAGGGGCGAGCTATTGATTGGGCGTTAGCGTCAACGCCACTAGGAAATCGCATTCCATGCATAACCGATCAACGCGCATCTTGACGATGATACATTAATGGCAGGCATGTGCGCATAATGCGGGGGTAGCACATACCGAATCGCCAAAGTGGCGCGCCATCCTCTGACGAAACGGCATCCTGTTTTTGGTATTTGTAGAGGATGTTGATGAAGTTGATGAGGTAGAAGAACGAGGTGTTATTTCTGTGGATAAAGTTGAATCTGCAGGCGTCGCCTCGTAGTCGGAGTTTGCGGTTGAGTCCGTGGTATCAGCCGAGCTTGAGCTGCCTGGTCGTGATCGGCGACTCCGAAAAGTGAGTAAACCGTGCAAGCGGCTAAGGCAAGGATGTTAGATGATTGAATTTAGTGAAAGATGTTGGTACAGCGAAAATTCCAATTATATGATTTGTGAAAGAATAAAGTGTAGAGGAAAAGTAGTTGCGCGCGGGAAGTAAAGTAAAGTGATTTGCGATGATTGCAAAAAGTCACTGAGAGAGCGGTGGCAGTAGTAGTGTAAGTGATTAACGGGGAAGAGGCAATGTGTAAGGGGAAAGGGCGGGGTTATAGGGACAGTGCAGAACAGTAGAAGGGAAATTTCATACACAATAGACTCTTATTAATAGAGTCGAGTTGGGTTCGAAGGTGGTGAACCGCAGTTTATGATCTCAAAGTAAACGGTTGGGGGGAGAGTAAAAAAAAGTGAAGAGTGAGGAAGGAAAAAAAACTGGAGCGAGGGCAGTGCATGCTTTGCTTCTGTCTGTTCTGCGTCTGTGTCTCGTTTGCCCGCGCGTCCACTTGGATTCGCGGGAGGCTCAGCCCGTGCATAGAAGCGAAGCCAAGCCCGAATGCGGGGCAGAACGGCACTGAGCACTAGCGCAATGCCCTGGAGGCCCCCGACTTGTAAGCGACAGCAGACTTTATGGCCTCCTAAGTCTGAGGCTACAGATATAAATGACCCAAGGTCATGGCACAAAGTGACCGGCTAATTTCGTCGATGACCTAGACTTTGGTGATGAAAGGCATGCAAAAGAGTCATATGACGACAATACTTTGTGTCCATCACTCAACAGACGAAACAACAATCATTCTCAAACAAACAGAAACAGATGAAACCAAAACAATAAAACGAAACAGTTCGTTCAAAACACTTACCCGTGCCCATGCCCTTGCGTTGAAATATGTCCCTCTTCGTCCGAGCCCATCATGCCACTCAAGGTTTCAAACTTGTAACAAAAAGAAAGTAAAAAAAGAAGCGTTGTCCAGGGTCTGTCTATGTGTAGGCGTTTGTAGAAAGTGAAACGGCCAAGCGGTCAGAGAGATTATTCGATGAATGCGAAATTATGAATCCGAATATTAATCAATATATTTTTTATCGTAAAAAGGCTTCAGCAAGGTCTTGCTTGACTCTTATATGATGCGTTCGGACTTGGGAATGACACCGTCCACGCCACAGAGTTAGCTACGTCACCCACACCATCGGCGTCATCGTCAACTCCGCCCGCATGCCATTCTCTCTATTCCTGTACGACATCACCAGCCACGGTTGGAGGAATAATCGGTGGACTATCATCGCTATAATTGTCTCTACAACATACTGACATGTAACTGATAAGCATATACTCAGATACTGATTCTCAAGTATCTCGTGGTTATCACATCGATACTCTGGCTCGCTCCAGCCAGTGTCCGCAAGTCTCCCACCATCAACTTCACTACAAGATGCTTCCCTTATCCAGTCTAGCCTCAACGAAAACGGCAAAATCCCCATTCATCCGCCATCCCCACAAGCTTGCTATCACCGATCTCAAACCTTGAATTGTTCCATCTCTATCTGGCCAATATCTGAATCATTAAGATCGCTTCACGTCTTACCTAAAATTACAGTTGGACACATTGGTCATCGTGGAATCATTACTTCTTAATAAAACTATCGTCAATTGGTTTTGTTACATGGAACTTAACCGATCTGCCAGATCAACAGATGTAAATCTTGACCCATCCCAATCTGTTCACATCCCTGTCTGAACCCTGATTTTCGTTCTCCATTATACTGTACCCACAGCTAGCTCCATGTTGTCTGACATCTCAAAAATACCCTACACTAGATGATAATCAATCCTCATTCTCTTCATATCGACGCTCCATTAATCGTCCATGAAGATCACGTAAACTTGTTGTTGCCCTTTCAAACAGATGGCGGCGTCTTGCTAGTGTCTCTTCCAATTTGTGACCAGCCTCTTGTCGAGATTTACCACGCTTGTCCACGGTTGCTGTGATTGACCGTGAGCCACGGACAAACCTCTCAGTGTCTGTCTTCCATATTTCTTTGAGCTGCTGCCTTTCGTTTGTGTAACGCCGCTTGATCTTTTCCACAGAACCAATACCGTTCTTGCGATAAGCGTCCGCCCCTCGGTAGATAGTCGCTTCCTTGGTTTGGAGATGACCAACCAGAGTCTGAAGAATGTCAGTATCGCGTTCATAAAACAATTATGAATCGTACCTTGACAAGTCCATTGAGTTTCTCTTCCAGCTCGTCGCTCGGTCCCTTGGGGCGTGTTGATTCACCGAGCTCTTCTTGTTCAGGGCTGTCATCATTTCCCTCGTCATGAACTTTAGGGGGTTCATCTCGCACTTGGAGAGAGTTAAAGATCTGAGCGTGCAGATCTTGATTGGTTGCACTGACTTCACTTCGCCAACGTCTGTCACCGACTCTTTCCTGCTGCAGATTTTCTTTCACTCTGTTTTTGGGTTTCGATTCTGCAACTGCGAGACTTGACAAATAATCTTTCTGTAGTCCTTTGTGCTGAGGATATGAGGACACCTAATCCGCATGACCCCGTAAGCGCTGGGATCCCCTATATACTGGCGCCTGCTTGTTACTGTGTGATACTGTTGGATCTTCATCGTCATCTCTGTTACTGGAACTTGTTCCCTCAGGCAATTGAACCGCAGCTGTTTCAACCGGCAACGGGCTACTGACCTGGCTGACGTTGAAGCTTCGCGTTCGCTTCATGACCTTACGAGGTGGTACAGAGGTATCAACGACCGGGTCTTTTGTAGAAGGGGGCCTCTTTAGGGTATTCACTTTGGAGGTATGGCGTTGGGCAAGGGCATTAGCATCCCGCGCCGACAGAACTTCTCTTGGGCCGATCCTAATCGGCTGCTCTCGGTTGGTTCTCTTCAAACCAGCTTCGACAGGGTTTTTAGGCTCCGCTTTGACAGTTATGGTCTTCTTCTGTGCAGTGACTTGTCTCTCGGTCCGACGGGTAGGGTGCACAGGCTTGGGAATTTCCGATATTGCAGCAACGATCTGCTCCTGCGGGTTTCGAGCAATATCCAACGGCTCCCCAGGGTCAACAAGTGATTGCTTTTCGACTCGAGGGACGGTATCTGGGCGGGTCAACTCTTCGGGTGAAAATTCAGTTAGGTCGGTAGGTGGAACAAATTCATCGTCGTCACACGGTGATGAACTATTACGACCACTTGAAAGTATAATGGGATCGTCGGTAGATCCTTGAGTGTCGTTACCATAGTTGGTTCTCTCTTGACCCTTCGAGGGTGGCACAGGTACCGGCTCTTCTTTTGCCTTTCTCGTCGCTCTCTGGTTCACTGCAGGTAGCTTCGGTTTTGATTCCACCGGAGGACCAGCTGGAGAAACGACGCTGTTCCCTTCGTTGGCTTTATCTGGGCTTTGCTGATTATGCTGGCCTCTCAAAACAGACTGGCGTGTAGTTCTCTGAGAAACTACTGGAGCTTTTTGGACGGCTTTTGGAGTGGTGTTCAAAGCAGTCTTGGGCGAGAACTTCTTTCTTGACTTAGGGGTAGGTTTCTTTGCGCTCTTATCAGGCGATATTGAGGCAGCATGAGCTTGTATCATGTTCTCCACCATGGACGTACGCACAGGTTTCGCTTGAGCCGGCGGAGGCTCTATGATTTGATCTTTTGAATCAAATCTATAGGGCGGCTTGGCTCTTTGTTTCCCGCGCCGTGTCACACTTGTCTTTGACTCAGCTGACCCAGGAGCTGGCTCAGGAGATTCTCGCACTTGTTTGGCATTTCTCGCTGGGTTCCGGCGTCCCATTACAGGTTGTTCAGGCGGAAAAGAAGACGGCTCTTCCTTGACAGATCCAACTTCGTCTTGTAAAACTTGAAGGGAGGCTTTGACCTTCTTTGAAGAGTCCGTGGTCTTGCTTTTCTCGCCCGATTTCTGTGATGACTTGAGCTCCGCAGTATGTTGCTTTCCCTTTGTGATATCTTCCTCTCGGTCCTCTGGTACTGGAGTGGCATCATATAGCTCGTCTGCCGGTAAGTGGTCCATGGGAATCTCATATGAGTCGGGGATAGTGCCTGGTAGTTCGGGGACAGTGTTGTACTCAGGTAACTCCACGCGCATATCACTAGCTACTTGAGATAGTGTGGTCTGAGGATAAGGCGAACTTCGCCGGGCGGTAGTCGCTGTCTCCGAGAAGTCAACCAGAGGCCGCCCGTTGTTGATTAAATGCCCCGAAGTCAGTTGGGATGGCAACGGCTGGGTACTGGGAAGCTTCCCTGAACCCGATTCCTGGCTGGAAGAGCCGTCGCAAGGCGAGTCAATAGGCGTGCTTCGGCGAGTTGAGGCACCTTCAGACCAAAATGCTCCTGGGACTTTTTCAGACAATGCGGCAAAATCTTCATCATCAACGTCGCCGTGGTATTCATTGGTTGACTCTGGCTGCTGAGCGCTGGGAGGTACGGGGTTATTGTCCACTTGGGGAGACTGCAAGTGCCGACTTGTCGGGGTAGTGTCGAGTTGGCCAATCTGACTCCTCTGTGACTTTCTTGCACGCTGATTAGGCATCCCACCCCTTTGCGTTCTAAGCATGACGGCATAAACTCTGCTAGAGTGTCAGTGGCTACGCTGGGTGGTATTGAAGTGATTCACTAAAGTCAAGCTTTCTGCCTTACAGTTTCAGGATTGCTATTATTCGACATCAGCTATCGTGTGAGTAGTAGCTGAGAAAAATAATAGCAAATCGTGAGACTTCGGCCATGAAGGAGTGAATGGCGGAAATACGATGAAGAAACTCTGTGGTTAAGTTGGAGATTTAGCAAAAGACATCACTGTGAGGCAGATGTCAGGAGCGACGAGTGGGAAGGAGCTCACAAGGTTACTGCCAACCTACACAACAACGAATAATTGTTACATTTAGGAACAGCACAATTCCTCTTATTTGCAATTAATACTGATACATGCATGCGATTTAGATTCCTAATGATACTTTACAAAACACTAAGATGTCAAAGCACCTATTCAGCTGAGTGTTCTCGAGGTTGAAGCGACCTACGAGCTCCCTCATTATGAAACTCAATGAGCAACTACCCATGCCCTACTATAATATTACAATATTGAAGAAATGATATCAAGCATTACCTTACGTCTAAATCGAACTCGACAATTGATCCACTGATAAGAAGATGCTTTATCATCAATCATGCAGTCGGTACATCGCATTGTGCGAATCCCGACGGTCCGGGAGGTAATAGCGGACTTTGTTGCGGACTCTCGGACGAGCCAACAGTACCCATGTCACTACACACGCGTGGCATTATTCAGCAGTTGGCGGGACAGAATCTATCTCCGCTCCACCTGAATCTATGACCCGCTCCATCATGCAGACTATTTCATCTATAAGTCAACGAATCTCATGAGTTGATGTCTAGTTTGTTGTTGTTCATCTAGCGCTCGCCTTCAAGTTCTATTTTCGGACTTTTGACAGGAACGTGACCTGCCGACATCTGTGCACCGCCCATCACGCTGTAAGCTGACAGCTGCGTCTCACCAAGACGCCATGTCCAACCAAATGGCCGCCGACGACGCTGCTAACAAATCCCAACTCGCTGTCGTATTACGCAAACTCAGCGCTCTCACGCAGCGGCCCGAACCGAAGAAGTACCCATCGATTGCTTCCATCCCCTACACATCGGCCGAACGTCTAGCGCAATCTGCTGAAGATTACGTTGCCGATCGCGACCATCCAGCTCCAAAGACCTACTTCTACCTCGCTTATGGATCCAACCTTGCCGCCGAGACGTTCCTGGGCGTACGTGGAATCCGTCCGCTTTCGCAAGTGAATGTTTCAGTGCCGACATTGGAGCTCAAGTTCAACCTACCTGGAATCCCCTATCGAGAGCCATGTTTCGCAAATGTCGACTACCGAAAGCTTCCTGAGAAGCCCAAGCTGCCCCCAAAGGTGCCGATTCCGCCTTTCGACCCCCCACAGCCACCTCGTTCAGAGTCGATGAAATGGGATGAAGGTCTCATTGGTGTGGTTTACGAAGTGACAGAAGAAGATTACGGCACCATCATCCGCACTGAGGGTGGTGGAGCGGGTTACAAGGAGATCGTCGTGCCTTGCATTCCCTTACCACCAAAGGTCTCGATTCCTGAGAAGCCATTCCCGGACATTCCCAAACCCTTCTTGTCAAGAACGCTCTTTGCACCTCAGATTCCCGATAAGGATCTACCAGATGACCCTCGCAAGAAGAAGTGGTGGTATCGATTCTTGGTAGGACCTCAGCGTGAGCCTGACTACGCACAAGCTAGCGCGCGCTACCTCAATCTCATCAAGGATGGTGCCAAAGAACATGAACTTCCCGATGGATACCAGCGTTGGTTGCATTCGCTGCAGCCCTACACGATAACGACTTTGCGACAAAAGATTGGCGCATTTTTGTTCTTGTTCTTCAGTGGCCTTTTCTTCCTCACAATCATCGGATTGTCCAAGGTATTCGCTGATAAGTCCGGCAAAGTACCTCGATGGCTCGCTGCCACCGTGACTGTGTTGTTCAATGTGGCCTGGACGGTTTACGACAAGTTTTTCAAGCCTGTTTTTGGAGATGGCGAGAGAACTGAAGAAAAGGACACCAGGAAATTGTCTACTCGGGTGCGTTCCATGTCTGGCGGTATGCTTGATCTTTATCCATCTGCAGACGAGGAAAAGGCAGCATTGCTGAAGGGGCTGAGAAGCAACCGAGGTTGAAGGATATAGTTGCAGTCAAGATGGATTGATGATATTGTGTTGTATTGTGTCAGACCGCAGGACAGGTTCCATACACAGCATTTCTTATCCATTTGGATTCAATAATATGTACCATTTAATAAATCTCAACCATGATTTTGCTGACTGATCGTACTTGAACCGGGTGAAAGGGATCCGTTGGTTGGGGTAAACTGCAGCGGCTACATGTTGTTGAGTATTCTAGCGTGCTTGGGAACAGCAATGCAACACATCCTCGGCAGCAATTAATATCGTGATATAAGGAGATTGAATCTTGGCAGCGATGACTTGAATATCTTCATCAGTTGATTTAGACTTGTCTTTCTTTACTCTTGACATGTGCCGTCACGCGACCGGGGTCGGCCCGCGGACTTTTCAATGGGGCCAGGGTTTTACGGATGCTGTTCCTGGATTGCTGATGCATGCATTATCGCCCCTTGTTCCGTACTATCCTTGTTCGTTGAAGTTGTTCGACATGTGAAATCCCACTAAAAAGAAATGGTACAAGTTATTGCATGTGATTCAAGGTGAATTGAAGTCGCAGCATGGAACTCTTCTATAGTATGATACAATACAATTAGACGTTGTTTATACACTTTATGTCTATAGCTTAGACTATAATAATAGCTTCGAATTGAGCTGCAATCACTATACTAATTGAGCTCCCACAAGCATGTGAAGAACTACCCCTCGGCGCAAACAAAGTCGAGATTGCTTCAGCTCCATTATCACGGATATCAATGGGGTTTTGATGGGACGCTTTACCCTTCAAAGTAGGCGGTGTCACACATATCTTTCTGCCATGCGTCATTGTGGCTTGCTCCAGGGTTCAACAACCTGGAAAGCTGCTCCAGTCCTTCGGACATCAGCTCTAGTTGACCCCTCAGTCATAAAGCTTTCAGCTCCCGCCTTTTCGCACCTATTTTCTTCTCTCGCCCCTTATTTTATGTTTCGTTCACTCATCGTGCGCTCTTCTTTTGTCTTGTCCAAAACATCCAGAATACCCTCTTGTACACGCACTTATTCTTTAGCAACATCAGGCAAAATGGCGAGCTTGGGCGCTCCTTCAAAGAAGCACAAGGTGACCATTGTGGGATCCGGCAACTGGTACGAACACGCTGCCAATCTCTTCTCGAATCAATTGACTAACAGTTCACAATAGGGGCTCAACCATTGCCAAGATCGTCGCTGAAAACACCCGCTCCAACAAAGAACTCTTTGAGGAAGATGTCCAGATGTGGGTCTACGAGGAGGACGTGACGATTCCCAAGGAATCCAAACTCTATGACGAAGCCAACGGCGATGCACCTCAAAAGCTCACAGAGGTCATCAACAAGCACCACGAAAACGTAAAGTACCTACCAGGCATTCCTTTGCCCACAAACCTCATCGCCAACCCCGACATCCGCGACGCCGTCAAGGACTCTACCATCCTTGTTTTCAACCTGCCCCACCAGTTTATCGCAAACGTCTGCAAGCAGATAAACGGACACATTCTCCCTTTTGCTCGAGGAATCAGTTGTATCAAGGGTGTCAACGTTACGGATACGGACATTAGCTTGTTCAGCGAGTGGATTGGTGATGGACTAGGTATCTACTGTGGTGCCCTCAGTGGTGCCAACCTGGCCCGAGAAATTGCTGAAGAGAAGTGGTCAGAGACAACCATCGCTTATGATCCTCCTGCTCTCGATAACAGCAGAGCCCCTACACCTCGCTCCGGCAGCCCTAACCCAACAATTGGTGAGCTTCCTGAAGCGCATCATAAGGACGTGCGAGGTCGAACATCCAAGACAAAGTTGATCGCCATGCCCGCCGAGTATCCCCCTCTGGACCAACACTGCTTCCGAACACTGTTTCACCGACCTTACTTCCACGTCCAGATGGTTTCCGACGTCGCTGGTGTATCTCTGAGCGGTGCGTTGAAGAACGTTGTTGCTCTGGCAGCTGGTTTCGTCGATGGTCGAGGTTGGGGTGACAACGCCAAGGCAGCCATTATGCGAGTCGGACTCATGGAGATGGTCAAGTTTGGCAAGGAGTTTTTCGGAGAGACTGTGCACACTGCTACCTTTACAGAGTCATCTGCTGGTGTCGCCGATCTGATCACATCTTGCTCTGGAGGCCGTAACTTCCGATGTGCCAAGATGGCTGTCCAGAAGGGCATCAGCGTCCAAGAAGTCGAGAAACAGGAGCTGAACGGTCAAAAGATCCAGGGTACCACTACTGCTGAAGAGGTGAACAGTTTCCTCAAGGCTCGAGGTCTTGAGTCGGAGTATCCTCTGTTCACAGCCGTCAACGCCATTTTGAACGGCGAGGCTCAGGTGGATGATATTCCTACTCTTATTCAGGATTCTTGATTACACTTTACTAGCGGTTAGGAATTGTATCATGGGACTGGAGTGGCGTTTCTCAGTTGGTTCTACAGGCCAGCACATTGGAGGATGACAACGGCTGTGTTAGGTATGCTTCGGTGATGAAGATGGACACGTACAAATTAAAATGAATATAGAATTGGCATATTTGTTTATTGCGAATTTATTGCATTAAAGAAACTCTTTCGGTACGGTATGCTAAGAGCTTTCAAGTGATGACAGAGCAACCAGAACAAGTGACACATGTTGTTCACCAAACATGCTCAAGATTTTAGCCCAGCACTGCGTCGAGATTTAATGAATATGTGATCTTCCAACGTTCCAAGCCAAATAGACGTTGTTCTTGCTGGTCAAGATTGTGGTGGCGCGAGAGATGGTTCTACGCAAGGAAGGAAAGAGAATCAGAAAGTATAGTACCAATGACTTCCACCATTGAACATTCAAAAACTTCACCTTTTGACCTTTAAAATCTACCTAACTATCCTTGTGCTACTTTCAATCTCGAATTCGTCGGTCTCGATCATCTCCTAAGTTTATCAGCATTCCTCTCCTCTATAGGTACCGAATACTCTACCAGATCCGACGCCTCCAACTTTGTCAACCAGTCCGCTCCTCGATCGACCTGCCGTTATCCGAACGCCTTAAACCTTGAACTGGATCATGTCGGTAATACCCGTCCCCGGGACCCCAATGGAGCTGCTGTACCTGGATTCCTCTCAACCCCAAACCCCCAATTCCAACAGCGAAGACCAAACCAACAACCCAAAGTACCCGTATCCGATACCGATGGAAACTCCTGAATACCGAAACCTTTCACATACAGAATGGAAGTTCTTCGCATATGGAGTTGGAGGAATTCGTGACAAGGAACACGATGCGCCAGTCAACCCGACCAGTTCATTCTGGCCTCCAAAGGGTCTCCCGCCAGGCCTGTATCGTGACACAGTCTATCGTCGTACAATCTGTCACTACTCGTATCACTTCACATCTTATGTTCGCTGGATTCTGTTGGTTATTCAATTGATCATCGGTGCTGCTTTGACTGCCCTTGGGCCCATGAGTTTGGAGAAAGGTACACCCATCACTATTCTTGGCGCGTCGAATACAGTCCTTGCGGGTTTGCTGGCCCTCTTTACTCACAGCGGTTTACCTGATCGATATCGATACGATAAAGCAGAGTTCGAGCGAGTTGAAGACCATATCCGAGAAATTCTCATTACTGGCTTGGTGCACGCTGGAAAGTCTGTCAATGAAGTTCTCGCCGAATGCTATGACCGCTCCCACCACGCCAAAGCAACTGTGGAGGTGAATGTACCTGCGGCTTATATCCCAAGTCAAGGTGTACCTCCAGGACAGCGCATGCACCAACCAAAGACACCAACGCAAGGGAAGGAACCGAAAGACTCCATAACACCAACAAAGTCCAATACTTCGCTGGACAAGGAACCTATCACACCGCATCAAACTCAGTCGCGAAACACTACGCCTAAAGAAGAAACGGAAGAGGAGGGTCCAGTGACCAAAATTGGCGAATGATGCAAGGGCTGAATCTTCAACATGGTGCGGTCATTTCCTAGCCTGGCCGCTTATCAGATAAATTACCGGCAAATCGAACTTGGTGTACCTGCATTAGCTTGGACAATTGAGCAAGATTAAATTACTACCCAACATCCCAGTCCTTACTCCGTCATATGGGCTTACCCGCCAGCAGCGCCTGTATCACTGTCCATCGAGATGGAGACCGTCAATGCAATGGGAATTGGAAGGATAGGAGTCACTTCAAGTAAACAGATCTGCAATTCTGATACAGACTACTGTTGTTTCTTGTTCGCTTGTGACCTGAGACCCGGGGCTGCCCACTGATCATCTGAAGGCGTATGTCACGGTTTAATTGCTTACCTTGGCGTTCCCCTCTTTAACCGTTATTGACGTGGTGCGACCAGGGATTGTTTTCAGGGTGCCCCTCGTGGTATCAGAAAAGTTGGCTACAGCAAGCATAAGACACAAAATTAATGAGTCAATTTATGCAATTTCCCAACAACCTTTTGGTCACGTAATTTTGACATCCTAGAACTTGATAGCACCATTTCTGATACCTCGAGGACATAGCTTCATGTTGTTTTGATCCTAAGGACGACACCCCCACTGCGGCCATTCACACTAGACAAGGGCATTGTGACAGTAGTTGATCATCCAAGCGTAGGTTAATTTACTTAAATCTCTCGCTGTGCCTCAAATTCGACCTTTTGTTTTTGCGTCTGACCAAGCTCAAGTCTGTCTGTCTCTACACTACGTGATCATGTCTTTGTTATAACCCACTACACTCATTTATACCCACCCAAGTCATTCTTTTTGCTGCTACTATTGAGATCGTCGTCGGCAACGATCTATCACCATGATTTCTTCTCCGACCTTGCCACGCAGAGTGGTCCAGTTCCTCCTGGTTGTGGTTCTGGTCATTCTCTTCTTTCAGGTCAAGCTGAACTGGCCTCGAGAAAATAACGACATTGAAATCGCCATAACTGGGCCAGTTCCGGAAGAGCAGTACTTGGAGCGGCTGAAACAAAAGATTGGTCTATCGAGTCAGACTTCATGGACCGCGTGGAGAATTCGTACTTCAGAGCTGGACTCTGAACGGACATCGGTCACGGAAATCGACACAGACTTTCATTCAAACCAACCTCGAGTTATCGATACCAAGGTGCCTGAGAAAAGGAATCTGGTGGTTCGTCAGGAACTTACTCTTCCTGTTCTTGGAGGACCACGACCCAAGCAGGTTGATGCGTCAGCCTTTTTGTTCGCTGTTTCAACCAGTTATGATCGAGTTGTCAGGGATGACTATGCTGTTGCTAAAGATTGGGCGAGGTGGATGACGGGTGGAAATAAGCAGGGCAATGGAGCGAGTTTCTTGCTTGTTCTCGACCAGGGACACCCTCAACAAGCCAGCAAACTGGCTGAAACTCTTGCGTCTTTTGGAATTGATGCTCACGTCACTTACTCTGAGGGTCAGATGTCTACTGCAAAGAGATACTTTAACATGATTGAGACGGTCAAGAAGCATAGTGCTACACTTGTCCAGAAGGGACAGGCGAAGAAGTGGTACGGCATTTTGGATGAGGATATCTTTCTCCCCAATCTAGCTCATCTTCAGGAACGCCTTTCTGCGTACAATACTGAAAAGGAGCTTTACGTCGGCTTACCGAGTGAGAGAGGAGATTGGGCTATTGGCGAGGGCTACATGACTACGTACGGTGGAGGAGCCGTCTTTCTTACACAATCTGCTGTATCACGAATCCCAGAGCTGCCGTGTTTCAACGACGTCCCATCCGATCCTACCAACACACAGCTTTGGGATAACCTTCTCCAGGACTGCATGGCCAAGCACACCAGGGCCAAGATGCGCATCCTTCCAAGCTTTTACTCGCCCAAGGACAACGACCTGTACTCTTCACACTTGGATAGTTACGAGACAGGAGTTCGGCCATTGGTGTTGCATGACTACGAAGAACGACATCACTTAACACCCAGCCAAGCTCATCTCGTCACTGACGTCTGCGGCGAAGCTTGTTTTCTCCAACGGTACCGCTTCCGCGACAATTGGGTTCTCGTCAACGGCTACACGATAACAGAGTACCCCGACGGTATTCACCTATCAGACATGCCCCTCCCTACCGTTGGAAGTACTCATCGATCTCTCATCGGCCCTGTTAAACTCAAAGAGGACAAGGCTGATCGAAAGATGCTTTTCTGGACGGGACGGCGCAACGTGTGGAGGTTGATGGATTCTGTCACGACGCCTAACGGTGATGTGTGGCAGGCATATGTCAAGAGAGGTGCTCTGAATGAACCCGCTTTGAGGAAGAGATGGGGTGAAGAAGAGGGAGAGACTAAAGACAGTGTGATTGTTATGGTCTGGGAGTCAGGAAATGATAAATGATTTGGAGAATTCTTATGTCATGTTATATGTTTATGTCTTATGTATTACTAGGATGATTACTTGGAGTTACTTGAAGCAGTCTGTCAAATTCACATTTCTCAAAGAAACCACTCCCTGTGTCAATTACTTGACGTTCTCATCATCTGCGATATCACTCGACTCCCCAGTCATGAGCTCACAGAAAATGTCTATAAAATCCTGATATTGAGTCTGTCATCTTGGGTATAGAAGAAGCTTCTGGGTTCTGGCATTAGGCAGGGCTCTCCACAAACCCAGGTTGTACAAAGTCTAATGACTACAGACTGTGAAATAAACTTGCTCTTGAGGCTGGAACATGTGTCATAACCTGCGTGGCCCGCAAGACTGTGTGCGCGTAACAGTGGTAGGGCTTGCCACAAAAAGACGTTGACCAGGCCTCCAACAAGTACACGCATAATATTGAACTTTCCTTATAATTTTAGAACAAGAGAACTCCGAATAGCCAACCAACATGGTTTGGTAAACTTAGATCTATTGTTCATTGCAAAGTTGTGTTCCATATGAACCTTATGGCAACGTAGCTGTGATGTCCAAAGCCTGATGTCAAGAAACTCTCACCTATACTGAGTCACTTTCTAATACGTACCATTCGCACGTTCACGAGCGTGAATCACATTTGCTGGGGAGGCCAAGGGCATTCTGCAATCTGAGCCCCCAATTGTTCAAAGACACTCGACCCGGAGATGAAGTAGAAGACAATTGGAGAACAACCGAACAGAAGAAGAGTGGAACATCTTGCGCCAACTTGACATTTTTTACATTTGGTTTACAAGCAGCTAGAAAGAAGTATACATTTCATGCCAGCGAAAGAAAATTTTATTTTTGGGTATAATACTGAAATAAAAATATAAACAACACCACAAATTTTGGGTATAGTAATAAAATCTCCCCATAAACTTGGCCCAATACAAATATCTCAATCTTCAAAGTTAAATAAACTCGACGTAACCGAAAATCGACCAGCCAACATTTTGTGCGCATCTAGCAGGTCAGAATTTGCCAGCTAGCGACGTCTTCGTCGTAATCGTCTTCGTCATCTTCGTCTGAATCGGAGTCAGAATCATCGCCATGGGCTAGATGCCACAGCCATATGGCCCGAATTCCCATTTCCGCAAAGTTCGGCTTCTCCAAAGCGAAACACTGGACTTCGACGTCACTGAAGGATTCTTGGTACCAGACACACCCTTGTTTCTCGCCTTGGACTTGGACCTTCTGGAAGTCGTCGAGCTCGTGTTGTAAACAATCAGGAGTCTCGAACAGGACGGAGTTCATGCCGTCGGGGCAGTCTCCCCTCTCGAACTGTATGGCGCCGACTCTCAGAGACATTCTCAACTTGCGAGGGCGAAGATTCTTCCGAGCTTGGGATGCGGCGTCAATAAACTCCAATCTTTCCATCAGTTTTTGCAGCACCATCTCCACTTGGCAAGTGTCACAGTAAGGGGGGATAGTGCCGCCCTTGCTCAGCTCTTGGGGTACAGAGTTGAGTTTCTCGATGCTCCCGGGTACTACCCATCCTTTGTTGCGGTGTCCGCAGTGACGGTGCATGAGTTCAGCACGGCAGATAGGGCAGATTTCAAGTTCGCCAAGATTTGCGCAAGAGTTGCCGAGCATGTGGCCGCAAGCGAGGATAACTGCTCGGTGGTCGTCAACATGTTCATCTTTGCTCTCGTGGACGCTCATATTATCCCAGCAGATAGGGCAGTCAAGGTCCAGGTCTTCGATAGAGAGGTCACCATTCAAGAGTGATGACTTCAGAATGGGCCAATAGATCTCCTTGGTCTTGGCCTTGAACTCGGTACTTTCGGTAGAAAGACACATGGTGATGAGTAGACTGGGTCTGGTAATGTAGCAGTAGTGGTAAGGGTAGAAGTAGTAGAGGCAAGGATGTGTTTGTATGTGTGTGTTTGTTTGAGAGTAGAAGTGGTTTTTGAAGATATGAGTGTGATTGATTGTGTATTGGTATGAAAAGAAGAAAAAGAAATTGGAACCAGAGGGAGGATATGTCTTGTTATATACCCAGGTAGGATGGCAAAATGAACATGCTTTTCTTGTCTAAGTACAAGCATTATTCGTCAACAAAGTTCAGAAAAACATCCATAAACAGGTCCCTTGAGAACTATATGTCGTTAACTTTGACTTACAAAAGTGTGTGTGGCCGACATTCCTCCGGGGGTACGTCCCGAAGAAATTACCTAATTAGGCAATTAGACGACCAGCGCTTGGTCGACTCCCAGCACACGAGGCAACATATTTCAAAATTTGATATCAAACTCAATAGCAGACTTTTCTTACACCTGTGATATCAAGTCTAGACTTTTTTTTTCTTTCTTGAACTCTTCAATCAGTTACGATGCTATGCTTTGAGGTGTTGGGGTTGCTGAAAAGACAGTACCTTGGAAGATACATAGTTTAGACAGTGACTCAACATGCTCCATTTGCGCTGCGCGTGACCTGTGCTGCAGAGCAACCAAAGATTCACGGTTCTCATAATATTATTGCGCAGATATTTTAGCCTTGACTTCCAGTTTAGCATGTGTAGTTGCCATAGCAATGCGTCAAGTCAGAGGCAGCCAGTGTATGGGACAAGGTCGTATGTAGGAGACGTAGCTATTAGTCATCTCATGATTCCATCCCTTATGCTTCTAGCAGGTAATTCGTCAAGTGCCATCTGTGTTGTCGAGTAACTTTATAAGAGATGGGTTTACATTACGACTTCAAGTTCAAAAGTATCGAGACGCAACTAGCTGAGTGGAAGTAGTCATTTCTGAGAACATTCAACAGTCTTCCAAGCGAACACTTTGACCTTGGAGGTGCCCGAGAAGAGTTTCAAGACGATGTGGAGATCTAGAAATGAATAGAAGATTTGGGCTCCGAGCCTGAGACTTCTATGCACCTTTGGCCAGGCATGACTTGGGAATTTCAGGGTTTTCTGTTAATTCTTCGTCATCCAAAAGGCCAAGTCGTTGGTCTTGAACTTTTTGGAACGCCTTGTCTTGTGTTGGGGCTTTTGCCCGGCCGGAGATGAGATTGAAGTTTATGCCATTTAGACTACTTATCTTTATACCCGCACTTAAGAGACGAGTTTTCCTACTATCCCACTAGGTTGTGAAGACATCAATCTGGTTCTATATAAAGAAAGAAAAACGCACGGCTGATGGTAGCTGGTGGGCAGCAGACAACCTTAGCAGTTCACCTTGAAGATCTTAGGGAATAAAAGCAAACAACCTAAGACCTCTAATCTGAATATCATAAGTTAGCCTACTTATTTCATCCTTGATACTTCTAGCGGTCAATTGCTCTGATGCTCTGAAATCTATATAAAGAAAGGAATGTGCCGTACGGGCACATATCGATCTCGTCCTCCACCACCCAAGAAATCACAAGTTCATCCAAACATCATCTATATCATGCCAATGTCTTCGCCTCCAATGCCGACTCACGACTCTCCTCCTGCCACAAGCAACAATGTTACCCCCACAAATTCAAAGTGGTAGCCCCCCCTCAGAAACGCCCTGCTATCTGTAGAATTAAAGCCTGAAGACCTAAAAATTGACTGCCCGATCTACTGGGATCGTTGTACAGTTCTCAAGCACGAGGTTAACGAGCACGGACTCAGTCATGCTGCGGTTATCTTTCCCTGTGGGCACATCTTTGGTCATTCGTGCATCAACAAGCACCCGTGCGACCTTGTCATCAACAAAGTAGGAAAAGTCAGGTGCCCATTTTGCCGAGAATTTCCACCATACTGAGTGCGGTCATGTCCACTTGGGCCATTTGATACCACTCGACAAAGAGCGAACGAAGGCTATACCGGAGATCCTTGGTCGGGGTGGCTCCATCTCGCCCAAATGCCATAACTGTTGGCTACGCGACCTTGCCAAAGACTTGAAAAGAGAAATTTGTAGGCTGTACGGCGGTAGATTCCGCGATCAGCCTGAGGTCTCGGTCAAGTCCAAATAATCGGCGTATTGCACGCGAGAGAATGACGACGACCACCACCCCCAGCTTGTTATATTTCCGTTGGAATTCATCAATTACCTGTACAGCAACATTGTTGCATACTTTGACCCCCGCGAATGGGGCTCAGATGGACGGACAAACACTAAAATTGAGATTGGATGGTACAAGTATCAGTAGATGGCCATTAGGAGAACAGGAGACGAAATTAGTAGGACAGCTTATGCTACTTAGATCAGCCTTCTTAGACTGTTTATTAAGTTAATCCAAGACTCATCTCTTTTCTGACACCCTGAAGAACACGTTTGAGTTTACAAAACACTTTTATTAATAGGCATGGATGAATAATAATCTGCATTATCAAACTAAACAAACCTTGCGCCAATTTCCCATCATTTATGACATTCTTGTTGCCAATTCCCATCACTCAAAACCACTGACCTGCAGTAGACTACTTACTTACCGATCCCCCCCACATAGCTACTGATCTCTATCTAGTAGAGAAGCTCTTGCACTTAAAGGTGTGACAAGAGAGTACTGGTGCGATCCCCAGTCTTCGTGATCTCAGCTAAAATCCGATGAACTCCTTCACCGGACTCCAGAATGTTCGCAAAGAACGCTGAAGACATTTCGTCAATAAAGTCGTCCAGCCGACGACGCGTATCTGCGCTTATGTCCGATGGCGCATACAGTCGGTTCTTGATGCGGAATGCATCAAGCCGCCAGTGAAGATCCCCGGGGCGCTTCAGGAAGTTCATTCTAATCACTAGCTGAACGCCCGTCCACGGATCATCCCAATCGCCATCATCCGCGTCAACGCCTCCTAACGGGTCGACTTCTTCCGTTAGGGCGCTGGAGAACGACTTCAGTCCGCACGAGATGCAGCGATCACCCATGCCCTTGACCTTCTCGATCTTGTCCAGCATCTCCTGGCGGTTGGCCTCCTGAACTTGGAGCATCGTCCCCAGAATGTGTGGGCAGCCGCATGGAATGAAATGTTGACGTTGGCGGCATGTTGGGCATTTGTGGTGACTCCTCCCATACACCTGCTCTTCAAAGCTGTGTTGCCTGTGTCTCGCTACGCAGGAAAGGCCAAAGATATGCCCACACGGAAGAATGTAAGCCACGTGGGCGACACCGGTTTCACCGTCAGGGAGCTCACACTCTTCAACTCCGTCCGTAGTCATTTCCTCGAAGCACATCCCACAATCCAGTTTCAGCCGCTCTGTAGCTGAGGGATCCCGTTGAAGGATCTCCAGGAGATAAGGGAAGTACGTCTCTGTAATAGACGACATTTTGCCGGGTGACGATCGTTAGTTGATAATTTGTGTTAGTTGTTGGCTCGTGTTAGCTGTTGGCTTGTTAGCTGTTGGCTTGTTAGCAGATGGGTGTAGTCGTTGACTTGTGTTTGACGAATCGAAAGTTGAAAACCTGTAGAGCGCCAGATGTGGTTTATATACTCGTATCTCGTAATGTTCTCGTCATTTTGTTCTATAGCCATGCACTCAAATATTTACAAAGGCATTATGTGTTATTATCAAGAACAAGTCATTATGCTAAGTTGTTCTTAGGAATAGTTGGTAGTTCAGCTTGGACATGGTCAGAGCTGTATAAGTGAAGAGGCTGAACCAGGTGCACAGCCAGGACAGATGAGTTGAATACACCGAGCAATAACAGTATGCGGTTAAAACAGTATTTTCTATTGTCTTTTGATCTGTTCACTTGTTAATTGAATTGTCTGTTATCTATTTGTTAGACTTGGGTTTGTTGGTGTTGAGAACAGACTTGTTGTATAACGACGTAGGGTAACGTGATACTCGACCCCTGTAAATACAACACAGTCAAGTAAATTGGTAGCAAGTTAAAAGGCCTGTTATTACCATTTATGCCATGCTCCGAGTAACGATCAGCCTGTTGGACGATCGCCACTGTTTATTGCGTTATCTTCGTCCTGACCACTCTGCTGGGTCAAAGAGTAACTCCATTTAAGGTTGAACCTCGCCACAACTATTACAAATATGGAGCCGGCCAGTCCAAGAAGCTGGCTGACATTGCCGATGTCGATGCGTTTGCCTTTATTGGCAGCACTTGTCTGCAGTGGAATAGGGCTAGAATCTGTTGTAGGCCCTGGTGTTGAGGCAGATAAGGCAGAGGACAGTAACGAGTATGGAACTGTTCGTCGAGGACAATGGTAACAGGGTAGCAGAAAAGTTAGGATTTAAGCTTTGGGCTACAAAAAACAAATAAGCTAAGAGTAGGGCCTAAAGCACATAAACTGAATAACTAATTTTGTCTCTTGTCCCCCTAAGAACCAACTTCTGGTACCCTGATACATTGTCCTCAACGAAGCCACTGCCAAGACTGATGATTGCGATACGCTCTGACCAATGATTATCAACATATGTTGAGATATTTGAGACGGCTCAAGCGGTATACAACCGATCTTGGCAACTCCTGGGCATTCAAAGGGTGTGTCGTACTGAAGGAGATGAGTGGTCATTATCCAACCCTCGGCACTGCAGAAGATCTGGCAGTTAATAGACGGAATAATTTAGTTACATTACCATGTACCGTATCCAAGGGTCCATTAGTATCCAATTTATTCAATCTCGATGTTACATTCCGCATCATCTGAGACTCCAAGACTGCCAATAATACAAGGTGGAACCTAACAAATGAGACCCAAAGGCGGTGGAGAGGAGGTATAAACACTAAAGTGTATGCGTAAATTTAGCGAAAACAACAAAGGGACTCATAATAGTTGGTGAGTCTACACAAAGCAAACCAAAGAAGCGCGCGGCTCAGAAAATCTATTTCTGTATTTATTTCTAGTGCCCGTTTTCTGTCTACAAAGACAACGAGAACCAACGAATCCCAGACATGCAGAGAAGAGTCGTTACAGCACAAAGGGGGGGGATCCAGACCTTGTTTCAGCGCGAAGAAAGGAACCAATGAAGCCTCTGATGTCATTATACACCCTTGAAGCCCAGTTTTTCCTTTATCGTGGGGGGAATTAACCCTGTCGGCTCAGCATGGGCGTCAAAAGAACAGACTCTTGGCTCTGCTAAAGACGAAATTATCAGGTCAGTTTATGGTTCTTAGACCATAGCTCTTAGGCCACTTTATTTTGTATCCTAAGACTTGGCAGGCCAACTTTTCTGCCACCCAATAGAACCCCATCCCAGTAAAGGCCCCTGTAGCCTTTGTCGAGATTGTAAGCGAAAATGCCCAATCATATCCTAAGCTCGTCCCATTCTGGAATTCGTTGCCGCCCATCCACTGGCAGGGGTACCAGTCATGACGCGCCCAGACGATTGATAGTGTGGTAGTTGCCCGGCTTAGACCCAAACACCAAATATCTTGGAAACTCAAACCTAGGATCCTTTTTTTCTCTTTCTGTTACATCTCCATTCATCGCCCACATTGTTACGACTTGTCACTGCCGCAGTCGACTGTGAAACTCGACATTATTTTTCAGCACCTTTACATTGTACCTACGAATAGGTCCCTTCAACGTCTTCCCCCTCTTGGGGTTTTCTCCTTCTCCAACCTCACTCTAATCGAGAGTTAGCCCTCCAATCTTAGGGTATGAAAATAAATAGCCTAAGAAGTCTGACCTAAACAGCATAAAGTGGCATACTAATTTTGTCTCTTAGGCCGACCTCAACATGTCTTCTACAGAATCCGACGCTTCGGCGTCGGCGTCGGAAACAGGCACAGCGACGGAAGGCACAGCTTCAATTACCAGTTCAATAGTCAGCTCATTGCTATCCTCCGCATTTTCTACCCCAGGGCCTACGACGACATCATCTCTAGGGCCTACGACAACAGATTCGGGCCCTCTTCCCTCCCAAAGTAGCGCTGCAGACAAGGACAAAGGTATCGGCATCGTCAGTTTCCTAACAGCTGTGGGAGTGGCCGTTGCCATTTTCGCTGTGCAGATCCTCCTTTTTCTCATTCTAAGGAACAAGCTGGCCCGCATCTTCAAACCCAAGACCTACCTCGTGCCCGAGCGTGAACGAACCGAATCGCCCCCGAACAAGCCACTTGCGATGTTAAAGACGTTATGGCACTACGGAGACCGTGAGGTCATCGAAAAGTGCGGTCTCGATGCCTATTTCTTCCTCCGCTACCTCAAGACTCTTCTCATCATCTTCCTGCCTATCGGAGCTGTTGTCATGCCTATTCTGATCCCCTTGAATTATGTGGGCGGCCTTGGTCAAAAAGTCGATGTGACAGACGATGACGATGAGACCGACGGGACACCGACAGGTCTCGACACGCTTTCGTGGGGCAACGTCGCCCCCAAGAACTCGGGTCGATATGGAGCACATCTCCTTATGGCTATCCTGGTAGTTATCTGGGTATGCACGGTATTCTTCTTCGAGCTTCGGGTATACATCAAGGTTCGACAGGATTGGCTTACAAGCGCCGAGCATCGCCTGCGAGCTTCTGCTACTACTGTTCTTGTCAATTCCATTCCTTCGAAATGGCTCAGTGAAGAAGCCCTGATGGGTCTCTTTGATGTCTTCCCTGGAGGTATCCGAAATATCTGGCTAAACCGGGACTTGTCAACACTACTGGAAAAGGTCAAGGAACGAAACAATATTCATCTCCAACTTGAGCAAGCTCAGACAGATCTCATTAAAGACGCCAAAAAAGCACAGCTCAAGCAACAAAAGGCCGAAGAAAAGAAACGACGAAAAGAGTTGAAGCTGAAAGCCATGACTAAGCAGGAAAGGGCTGATAAGAATGCCCGCGAAGACGCAGAGGCTCAACGGCGGGCACAAGATGGTCCCGGCACTGCTGCGGGCGATCAACACAACGTACCTCATAGCGTCGATGCTGGGGTCCGTGAATCACAACTCGAGCCCTTTAACCATGATTCAGAGGACCTTCATGGGCATGACTACAAGAAGAAGGGGTTCAAAGTGCCCCTTCTTGGCGACCCACTCGCCAAGGTTGGACATGGCATTCTGGGTGTTGTGTCAAAAGCTGGCAACAACGTAGACGAAACGATAGAGACGACAAACGGATTTGTGGGACTATCACAGGCTACACACTCTAGGAATGTGTCTAGGACCTCGAACCGAGGACCTGAACGACCTTCGGTGGACGACGATGAGCTCAACTCTCCATCAGACACCCTCCGTGTACAGAACCAGTCGCAAAATAGTATGCGACGTTCCGGCGAAAGCACGGCTGCGATAAATCCCAAAACAAACCGCGTTGGTAATGTCGGCAACACGGTTCGAAAGATTGAGGATATAGACGAGATCTATAGCAAAGACGATGCTGAATGGTGGCAGTTCTGGAAGCCACCTCCCGGTGCTTATGCCTCGCCAGTTCCCCAGGGAGACGTCTCAGAGGCATTCAAGCAGAAAAAGACAAACGAAAGCAAGCCTCTTTGGAAGAGAATCAAATACGCTCTCCCTTTCGTGGGCCCAGAAATCGAAGCTGAACCCTTGGATTATCCTACAGCCTACAACACCGAGTACGACGAAGCTGCGGAACCTGCAGAGTGGGAGAAATATCTTAAGAAGAAAGATCGCCCGACTCACCGTCTTCCCCTCTTTGGAAAGTCATGGCTGTTCCCGATACCGTTTGTTACGCAAAAGGTCGACACAATTTATTGGTGTCGTGAACAACTGGCTCGTCTCAACTTGGAGATTGAAATGGATCAGCAACATCCCGAACGATTCCCTCTCATGAACTCGGCCTTTATCCAATTCAACCATCAAGTTTCAGCTCATATGGCTTGTCAGAGTGTTATCCATCACGTACCCAGGCAGATGGCCCCGCGAATAAACGAAATTTCACCCAAGGATGTTGATTGGGATAACATGGCGTTCAGCTGGTGGCAAGAGTGGCTGCGCTCGGGATTTGTCTTTGCCATCGTCACTGCCATGATCTTTCTCTGGGCTATTCCTGTGGCTTGGACAGCTGCGCTGAGTCAACTCGATAATCTTATTAGCTCAAACGAGTGGTTGTCTTTCCTAAAAGATAACGAAGCAGTCCACAACATCGCCAAGGCCGTTGCTGGTGTTTTGCCAGCAGTTGTCCTCGGTCTCCTGCTGGTGCTCATCCCAATCTTTCTGGATTTCCTCGCTGGCTTTAGAGGCGCCAAGACGGGTGCCCAGAGAGTCGAGTTTGTGCAAATTTTCTACTTTGCCTTTTTATTCATTCAAGTCTTCCTCATCGTCTCCATTGCTTCATTCTTTGCGGCATCACTGGACAAACTGCTTGACAATGTTCAGCAGTTAAAGACAGTTTCGGATGTTCTTGATCTGCTGGCATACAATTTGCCGAGTGCGGCCAATTACTTCTTTTCATACATGATTTTGCAAGCTATGTCAACAAGCTCCGCCACTTTGCTTCAGCTTGGCGCTCTAGTAATGTGGTACATTATTGCCAGAATTCTTGACAGCACTGCACGAAGCAAGTGGTCGCGAAACACCAACCTCCGCCAAGTCAAATGGGGTGCATTCTTCCCTATTTATACCAACTTCGCCTGTATTGGGCTTGTCTACTGCGTCATCGCACCACTGATCGCTCTATTTGCGATCATCACCTTTGCACTCTTGTGGTTCGCTCAGCGCTATGCCATGCTCTACGTTACCCGATTTGAGCACGATACCGGAGGCGTGCTATATCCTCGAGCCATCAACCAAACCTTTACCGGCATTTACTTCATGGAACTCTGCATGGCTGGTCTTTTCTTCCTTGTTGAGGATGAAAACAAGAAGAACGTCTGCACACCCCACGGCGTTGTCATGATTGTTGTTCTTATCCTTACCATCTTGTACCAGGTTCTCCTCAACTACTCTTTTGGGCCCCTTTTCCGCTATCTGCCCATCACTTTTGAAGATGAGGCAGTGCTTCGTGACCAAGCCTTCCAAAGAGCTCAAGACCAACGACTCGGTCTTCTGGATGACGATGAGTTGACAGAGGAGCCTGGGAATCACAAGGACGAAAAGGGCGTAACAACCGAGAAAGGCATCGAGATGAGAAGGCTAGCTTCGGTCCGCCGACCTATGAAGCAGGTTGGCACATGGGCCAAGGACGGAGGCAACCAAATTGCAAAGTTCACTGGCGTCAAGCATGCTAGGGATAAGAATAAAAGGGCATCTGAGTACCGAAAAAAGCATCGGCAAAAGGATGTTGAGGCCCAGCTTGCCATCGGCGAGGCTCTATTTGGCGGTATCCACGACGAAATCGAGGATCTTACGCCCGACGAGAGGGATGCCCTCGTCAGGCATGCATTTCAACACGAGGCACTCCGGGCCCGGCGGCCAACGGTTTGGATCCCCCACGACGATTTGGGCGTCAGTGAGGATGAAATTCGGCGCACACAGGCTTACAGTGAGCACATCTGGATTAGTAACGAAGGCACTGCGCTTGATAGCAAAGTGCGGGTTGTGTACGGCCGGGCACCTCCCGATTTCTCAGAGGTTGATCTGATCAACCTATAGACCTTTGACCTAAAACTTATGGTATAATAAATAAATAGACTAAATACAAACTAATGCTCCATCCTAAATTTCCTAAAGTGACTAAAACAGTGGAATAGGAACACATCCGTTGGAAATATAAGAGACGAAATACGTAGGTCAGTTTATGCTACTTAAGCTATAGTTCTCAGTCTACTTATTTTTATACCCTAATATTTAGGAGTCGACGAGACATAGACAACGCAACTAACAGCGACGAGTTCGATAAGCCAAGAGCGCCAAACTGCTACCAAGGAGAAGAGCAAGCAGTACACCTTTACTAGACAAGTGTGAGTTATACCGGACTTTGGGATTACAGGTAACACTCACGTTGTTGAGTCAACAGATGCTAACGATACCTAGATAGATGCCCGTCTTTTGCGAGAGAACCATGCTAACTTTGTTAAAATTCACCACTTGAGTCTCAATGTGTTCAATAGCCTGAATTGTTCTGAAGTGTCACTGATACTGTTCACGAGTCATTGGAACAGGAATTGTGTTTCTCAATTGTACAATTTACGTTGAAAGCGCCATGCTAAGCAGGCGGTAAGTAGGTATATGCAAATCTAAAAGCAAGCTAGAAAAGAATATAAAACAAAATTAAGCGGCAACGCCATTCCAAATGTCGGCATGTCATCATCAACCGTCTATATAGCGGAACGAACATGCCAGTGAGATAGTCTTCACAGCCCTTGTCGAACCCATCAAACGCCAGCCCAATATCTTTCCATGTCTCTCTTCCCTCATTTTCTCTCATAAATAGCATTTCAAAACCAGAATGTGTTCTACTTTAGTCTCTTCTCGGCTTGTCTCGTCTCTTCAAGCTCCTTGCGGATCATGTCGTTAAAGACTTCGGGGTTGTCGAGGTAGAGATGATGTCCAGCCTTGGGAACGAGAAGGACCTTTGCACTGCCGTTTTCTCTCTTCTTTTCTTCCTCTGTAGCATTTTCGAGAGCTTTTTGCTTTGCTGCGTTCAACTTTTCCTCGGAAGCAAATCCACCAGCGACGTCCATCCAGTCGTTCTCTCCGTACATGAACACCACAGGGATACCCATTTCTTTGAGCTTGGTACCGTCGGGCTGTTGGATTGTTTGACGGCCGACTTCTTGGATACGGTTGATGGCGGGTCGACGGGCGTATGCGCCGGGTGCGAGGAGATAAGCCAGAGCATACTCACCACTACCCTTTTGCTTAAAGATGGAGAAGGAGTAGTCGTGCAGAGCTTGGGATTCAGCTGGTGGGAGATGATTGAAGCGACGGGAACTCCAGCCCGAAACGAATCGCGGACCGAGGGGACCGCTCATTCGGACGATGCTAAAAGGGGAAATGTTTTGATCCCAGAGCCAGACGAACCAGCCTGGTAGAGGTCGTCGAAGCACGTTGGAAGCAGGCTTATGTTTTGACAGAGTGCCGGATTTGTCGGTGGTGCTTTGCTGGTCTTGCATCATCTCGGCTTCAATTGTGGAAGTGTTTGGTTCGGGCATGTCGGCGTTGACGGCGTAGGGATTAGCTGGGATACCGACGGGAGAAGCTAGGATGAGCTTCTTGAGGCGGCCCGGATACTTGATGGCGTACGAGACGGCGAGATAACCTCCGAGAGAATGGCCAAGAAGCGTAAACTGTTCCAGCTTTCGTTCCTTTCGCCACTCTTCCAGCGCATCAATAAACCAACCCTCTGCCTCCATAACTTGATCCTCCTTTTTCTTCGCATGGATCTTAAAGGCGGGTCGCGACGAATTTCCACATCCCAGCATGTCCAGCGCATACAGCTTGAGTCCTCGCATACGAGAAATAGGTTCGAAGTTCTTGTAGAAGAAACCTAGACCGGCACCGTATCCATGAACCATGACAAGGGCATCCTCTGTTTTTTCTCCAACCCTTTCAACCGAGACTTCGTTCAAAGCGCGGTTTTTACCCGAGAGCTCAACCATTGTTCGTCGCCATACTCTTGTACCGAAAGGATCTGGTCGTTCGGGTGTATCGATGTTTGTAATACTGTCGTTGGCTTCTCGAAGGTGCGGCATTAGACTTAGGAGGTTGCGCTCAACGGCCTGGGGGGCAAGACTCGTCCACTGCAAAAGTTAGCCCTGGCTTGTTGGTTGAACGATTGCCCGTCTTACCCATTGATACGCAGCATCTTTATAACCTAGAGGAAACATAAACGCATGCGCAGGTTTCAATTCTGCCTGCTTGATCTCCTCGGGCGCATCAACCCGACCACCATGGGGTGGTCTCACAGCACCGTCTGTACTCATTGTTCGCGAAGTAGTAGGGATAAAAGCGGTAATATTGGAAAGTCGCGATATTGGTAGTACCGCAGAACAAGGTTGAAGCCTAAGCATTCCGCGGGGGAGAGGGACTTATATTCTTTGACCCCCAGATATTTGAGTAAAAAAAGGACAATTTCGATAGGCAAAATTATGGATGACGCCTCTTTTCGTGGTGACGCAAACAGGGCTGAGCCGGAGTTAGGAGAAAATCATCGGGTTTTGGACGGGCTGGGATGAAATCCGTGGGCAAGTCCGTGGGAAGAGAAATTGGAGTAAGATTGCGGAGCGGAAGCGGAATTTGTTGGAAGAGAGAGTTGAAACAAGACAGAGGCTGAGTTGAGATAATATGTAATATGAGAGATATTACTTCCAAGGAAATAGAAATGGATCTGGATCGATCGTATTAAAAAGAAATGCAACGGAATATATCGGTTTATTTATTTCACCAACCGTCGTTGTTCAAACGTGTTGGGGAAACCCACTACAATTGGGCGCTTTGACCGCTATGAACCGAAAGCCGACAGTGGATTGAAGCTCAACCTTACAGGGGATTATGGACTCTAATTTTTGGCTTGTGATGACGATGGGAGAGTGAGAGCGGGTCAAAGAAACCGAACCACTCCCATCTCATATTCATCAGATCACACGTCTTGACCACGTTTAACGCTAACAACTAAACCAAATACCAGCTGACAACGATCCGTCCCGATCCATCTCCTCCCTTTTCTTCCCCTTGGACTGTGCATGGCCTCGAGCTGTCCTTGACCGGCTGCCCCTCAGCCCCCTTGACTTCATCGAAACATGTCCGACGATGTCGATTCCATCGTCAAAGGCGCATCTGCTCCTACCCAAGGCGCCAAAGATGTCGCCGGAGCGAGCCCAATCCTGTCTACCACCGCAAAGCAGGGCGATCCTCTTCACCACACCCCAAGCTCACCGTCTATGATCTATCTCAACCTGTTGATCCTCGAAGCATCCCTCCGCGCGCAATTCCTCGAACTCCGAGCGAGAAAACGACACCACACTTTTTTTCTTACACTCTTGTCCGTTTGGATCACCGGTTTCGGTTGGGCTCTCTTCCTTGCGCCCCGTGAAGATGGTCGAGGCGTAGGTGGATCTATCTACTGGGCTGTCGAAGGTGCCGAAAAGGTGTGCTTCATGGGCGGTATCATCACTGCGATTCTCGTATGGGCGACTGGAATCTGGGAGCGCGGTATTCGATGGCCGCGACGATGGTTTGTCATTTCCAACAGAGGACTGCGCGGCTTCAACTGCAAACTCATCATAATACGACGAACGTGGTGGGCCGAGGCTCTCTCAACAATCGGATTCTTTTTGACCTACGGACTATTCTCCCACACGGCTAGCTCATCCTACCGCTACGTTGAGCCGAGCCTTTTGCGCGAGGTGGAGAAGGAACTCCAGATCACGAGTGATACCCATCCCACACTGGTACTACCCCACGAAGATGAGGAGAAAGGCGGTCACGAGGAGGATCTAGCGCCAGGGGGTGACTATGTAAAGCTTCTTCTCCTGGCCAAGCCCTTTTCTGCAACGTTTCGCGAGAACTGGGAACTTTACAGGACGGAGTACTGGGAAAAGGAGAACGAACGACGTGCGTTGCTCCGACAAAAAGTCAAGGAAAGGGATCATCAGCTCGTGCGAGCCCAGTATCCCTGGACATGGTGGTTTCCCGGACGACATCCTCGACGACACGAACCTGAAAAGATTGCTCCTCACCAGCCGCGCCATATTTCTGTTGAACGAGAACGTAGACGTCGGGGTAGTAGTGTCCGTCGCGCGTCCACGAGCTCAACCAGAAGCCCCACGCCCGCCTTTGAAGAAGAGCAGGGCGTTCATCGACGATCCAGCAGCGGTTCCGCCTCCAAGGGACGAAAGAGGCTATCTACAAGTTCCAAGCCGAAACGACCAGGTAACGATTCACGCTCTGTCACACCTGATTTCCCTTCGCCTTTGGCTAGGGAGAGCAGTGCGAACGATACTCCTGAATCAGGACCGGAAGGAGGAAAGGTCTTGAGGAATTCACCTTCTAGATCTACTGTTGGGTCAAAGGAGCGCGAATAGAGAAATAGTTTAATATTTAGTGATGGATAGTATTCTAGTGTACTCATGGTATCGACGTATCAACGACTGACGCACCAAAGTTGATGAGTTCCTGCGCAGCTTTTGGCTTTCCTCTTTTTGTGAGAAAAGTCACCATATTGTGATTCGATCCCAACCAAGGATCGCACGGCATGACATGATTGAGGTCCGCCCCAAGCTCAACAAGAGTCTTTATCGACTCACGAACTTGTGGATCAGCGCTCACGTTGAGAGCTGCCCAGACCAGCGGTAGAAAACCAGCAGCATCAAGATCATTTGGTCCAGCGTGTCCTCGTTCAATAAGAAATCTCAGAGCAGTGATGTTTGCGTTTATCACAGCTACGTGAAGCGCTGTAGTCCCGCAAGGCTGTAGCTTACGTACATCGTTGATATGTATGGAAGCACCTCTCTCGAGAAGCAGCTCTGTGATTTCTTGGTGACGATGATATATCGACGTTATAATCGGTGAAAAGGTAACCAGCGGTAACATGTGAAAGCTCAACCTGTCGCCAAAGTCAATATGATATCGTCCCTCTGTGATTCCCATATCGATATCGTGAAACTTTAACGACGGGGCATTTATATCGACGCCATGATCTAGAAGCCATCGCACCGTTTCAACGTTTCCGTTTCTCACAGCTTCATGAAGCGGCGTCCAGAACCATCCATTGCGTTTTTGTTTCTCTGCCCCAAATAATCCCGTATCGTAGTCGCCTTTACTGCACTTGTACACGCGCAGAGTCATGTACCGATGGACATTCTTTAAGGCTTGTAGATTTCCATGCTTGGCTGCGTGGAAAGTTACATGGTGATCTGCGTTTGCGAGCTGACGCTTGTATAGCAGGGGGGTGGTTAACGTGTACAGCGCTTGGGATGATTGGGCTAGTGAGGATAGGGCATGGCTTGTCTGACAGGATTCAATGATTTGTAGGAGGATTTCTGGAGGGAGAGAAGTGAGGGAGGCCATTTTTGTGGAAGAAGAATTAATTAAATTAAATAAAAATATGGGAAAAATTGAGGTTGTCACTAGTCATGAGTGAGATTGGTCGGTTTGATCGATGGGTGATCCATGTTAGTCTGACAGATGGATTTTTATTGATGCTATTGTAGGTTATCTGACATTTCATCATCTAAAGGTAAGACAATACAATATGGGGTGCAGAAGATCTGCATTCAGTATTTGACCGTTCTCAAGTACCTGGGAATATCTTGAGTAATTTATAGCAGAATGTGCAATCAATATATCTACAATCAATAACCAGATCAATAAGGTTCAAACTAATATTAAATCAATAAATAAGTCACAATCTTATCACTTGTTATCTTGTCTCTATCGCGATAGAATAAAAACCGTGGCAACAAAAAATCGTACCAAATCTAGATTCCGAGATCGGCCGCGGAGAAATATCTTTCGATTATCTCGGCTTTGATGACATGAACTATACCAGAAGCAATAAAATACATCTCGTGACTGACTACCTTCTAATGTATAGGCATATTTTACGATCAATCAAGTCTCGTGAGCTTGGCTGCGTTATTTACCTTGTTTCAACTCGTTGCAGTTCGGCAATTAACCGAGTACATGAGTCAAGACGACACGTAAATACTAGGCCTACTATTGTATATCTACACCAGGTCAAGGGTTAAAAACTTAGTATCTTCGGACAGTTTTGCCGATTTGAGAAAGTCTTGTCCCTCCCCCGCCGGTCACTTCGCCGGCGGCCCTTTTATCTCGTACATATCAAGTGTGGATATTTACAAAGCCAAGTAAGATGACTGTAGTTCATTACTACTTTTAGAGTAGACAAATCTGGGGTAAATGCCGTTGCGCCCGTTTCCCTTGCAAGTACCGTTATCGCAACTCTATATTCTTCATTCTGTAGAGTCATTATCGGATTGGATGTGATAAGACGTGCATGTCAAGTCTGCAGGAGTAGTATTCGTATTTAAATAGATCTATGTCTCCTCCTCTTGTTCATCGTTCAAGTGACTTGTCAAGTATATCGTCATCCATCATGTTCAACTGGAGCAAGTTCGTCTCTCCGAAACCGTCTCTAGACGTCCCCGCTCTAGAGACGGTCGATCTCAATGATAAAGAAATGGAAAAGAGAATCGTTCGAAAGCAAGATATTAGAATTATGCCGTGGGTTTGCATAACATATCTCCTCAGTATGTTTACTCTACTTTATCACTATCAACCTCTAACACATAGCAAGACTATCTCGACAGAGTCAATCTCGGCAATGCCAGAACTCTCAACAATGACACACCAGAGCACAACATCGTTAGCCAACTTAACCTCACCGGCCAAAGATACAACATCGCAGTCGCTCTCTTTTTCGTTCCATATGTTCTCATGGAGTTCCCTAGCAACATTCTCCTCAAGTACTTTTCGCCTAGTAAATGGATCTCCAGAATTATGGTGTCTTGGGGTATCGTTACTATCTGCACTGCCGCTGTTTCTACTTATAGTGGACTGTTGGCTGTGAGAATATTCCTTGGTTTGGCTGAAGCTGGTTTCTTTCCTGGGTGAGTTTCTATCACAAGACTTGAATGACAGAGAAAACTGACCGAGTACTAGTATCATGATGTATCTCTGTTTCTGGTATAAGCCTGAGGAGAGAGCTACAAGAATGGCCATCTTTGCTTCAAGTGTTGCTGTAGCTGGTGCTTTTGGTGGACTCCTCGCTACGGGCATCTCATACCTCAACGGTAAAGCCGGTCTGGCTGGTTGGCAATGGTGAGTTTTGTCATATTCCTCCTCTTGTTTCTCACTAACATGGACAGGCTCTTTGTGCTTGAGGGCATTCCCGCTGTCATTGTCGGAATCCTGGTGTGGTTCTATCTCCCTGACTGTAAGTCCTCCCCAAACCACATGACGGCAACATACTCACACAAACAGACCCTCAAACCGTCTCATGGCTTTCCCCAGAAGAACGTGCCTTTGCAGTCAAGCGCCTAGGCCCTTACGCACCCTCCATGAACGACAAGCACTGGGACAGCAAAGTCGCCAAAGAGACAGTCTCCGATTACTTCTTCTGGCTCTTCGCCATTGCTTATTTCTTCATGGCCAACTCTCTCAACGCCTTTGGATACTTTGCGCCTACAATCGTTGCATCGCTCGGCTTTGAAGGAAAATACGGTCAACTTATGACTGTCCCTCCCAACGTCTTTGCCGTCTTTATCATTGTTGGAAACTGTCTGCACAGTGACAAGACAAAGGAACGTTCCAAGCATGTATTGGGTGGTTTGACTTTTGTCGCTACTGGATATCTTCTTCTTGCCTTTGTTAAGCATTGGGGAGTTAGATACTTTGCTGTCTGTCTGATTGCTTGCACCAATGCTGCTGTCCTACCTTTCGTTGCTGTAAGTAAACCCCAAGAAACACATGTATCCAAATACTAACCATTTATAGCATCGAACTGCCACCGTCCGAGGTTCAACAGCTACTGCTCTTGCAACAGGTGGTATGATTGCCATCTCCAACACAGGCGGAATCACAGCACCTTTCCTCTTCCCCTCCAGCACATCTCCCATGTACGCTATGGGTAACTGGACGGTATTTGCATTCCTCGTCGCTGCAGGTTCCATCACTGGTTATGTGTGGTATGTGTTTGGCGCCCACAGTGGTTATAGAACTGGTGATGCCACAGAGACTGGCCACTTTGAGGTCTTGGATGTTGGTGACAAGGATCCCAACGCTGTTATGGACCAGGCTATGGAGAATGAAAAAGCCAAGGATAAGTTGAAGGATATAGATATGGCTTAGAGGATGAGTATATGAAAAGTTACGTTATTTAGGCTGGACAAAAGTATTTGTGTCAATCAAAAGTACTTCACCCAATTGCAGACATTAGACGGATCTCAAACCAATTCACAATTAGAAACGAGCTCCTTTTAAATACTCTGGAATTTAGAGACTTCTTTCGTGAGTATACAGTAAAAAGCTCAAGTAGAATATATACATGATACAGGCTGCAGTCCAGAGCCTCTCGACGGTATCAATCCACTGGCTGAATAAAATCAGCAGCCGTCCGCGCATCGACTGATATCGTCTATACAGACACAAATCCTTGAACGACAAATCAATAGGCTGGCAATACCCCAAACACCTTAGCAAAGCGATAATCCCTCAACTTACAATCAGACCATTCCAGTATCATGATCCTTCCAATCGAATAACATCGAAACAAATATGGTAGTAGTACAGTCGCATCCATTATTCAATCCTTTCGCGCCATCTTGATGGAATCAGCACCTGTTTCGACAACGCGGAAGGCATCGGCGTCGCCTTCTCCGATAGCAGCTTTTTCGTAGGCCGAGTCACTTCTGTCGCAGAGAACATCAAGGTCCGAGTCGCTGAGTACTTCTTCACCACCAGACACTTTGTACACTTGTCCATCTTTCAAGAGGAGGGCACGAAGAGATTCAGGGTCGAGATCTTCACGAAGGTCCATTTTTTGACCCATAGTCGTGAAATTTCCCTTCTTGATAACGAGCTTCTCGAGACGACGTTTCGCGTCTGCGGAGTTGAGGAGTGACTCTTCGACTGTGTCTTTTGTTGCAAGACGGAAGACAACCACGGGGCGGGTTTGGCCGATTCGATGACAGCGATCTTGAGCTTGAAGATCTTGCTGAGGGTTGAAGTCGGAGTCAAATAAGATAACTGTGTCCGCAGAAGCAAGGTTGATTCCTTGACCGCCTGCGCGGGTAGACAATAGAAAAATCTTGTAGTTTGGATCATTATTGAAATCAGCAATTTGCTCTTGTCGACTTGTTTGCGAGACGGAGCCGTCAATGCGGCAGACCTTCCAACCTCGAAGCTCCGCGCAGTAATCTTCTAGGATATCAAGCTGAGTCACGAACTGAGAGAAGATGAGGACTTTGTGGCCGCCTTCAAACAGGCGGGGAAGTAAACGATCCAAAAGAAGCATCTTGCCGGAAGCGGTGACGATTGAGTCGTCGACAGAGAGCTCCGTAGAAGCCTTCCAGGGGTTGTAGAAATTGTGTGGCGAATTACAGACCAGTCTCAGCTGGGCCATTGGGTTACCGAGCTTCTTGTGAGCAATTTGCTTTTCTGCTTTGTGTTAGTGATCTGAAGTGAAATGGTAGAGGGTCAACATACTTGCAAGCTCAAAAGCCTCTGCCCGTTCACGCTCCTCAGGAGTCATCGACGCTTTGCCGTCCTTGTCTTCATCATCAGATTCTACCTCATTTGCGAGTTTGGCCTCGAATTCATCGTCCGACATCTTCTCCTCATCGGAACCGGCATCCTTGTATGTTCGAGTCTTTCTGGTTCTTCTGCGCAGACCTACAGGCGTTGCTTGGCGACTCGACTTTGTGCTCTTCGGCTCTGGTTCCAATGCAACCGGGTGGTTCTTGCGTTTGGTTCCAGGCTTCTCTGGAGTTTGGGTTGACGCATCAGGCTTTGGATTCTTGGGAGGTCTTCCGCGACCACGCTTCTTATTCATCATCACGGAGAAAGCATTAGGGGCTGGCTCCTCAGGCTTCTCGGACTCCTCTGGCTCGACTTCGTTCTTACGCGCGGACTCGCGAACTGGGAGTGAGATGGTCTTTGGCGGGGCACGACTGCTTGATCGAGATGACTTTTCGCTGGGTGTCGCTGATACACCAGCATTCAGCTTTTCGAGTACCTTGTTTTCGAGATACTGACGGGTATCGACCTTTTTGTCAGTGAGAACATTGTACAAGTCTGTCTGCTCTTTTGTCATGGGAGCAAATAGCACATACTCCCGCTTCTTGGGAAGATATGCTGCGACATCTGCCTTGACACGTCGTAGCAACATGGGTTGTAAAATGAGGTGGATCTTCTTGACCAACTCTTGCTTCTTTTGATCGGCGATGAACTCTTCGGTTCCCTCCTCATCTTGAAGATCTGAAAAGTCGAACCAGGACTCGAACGCCTCCCAGTCGGTGAAAATGTTGGGCAGGAGGAAGTGAAGAAGCGACCACAACTCTTTCAAGTTGTTCTGCAGAGGAGTTCCCGTAATGAGGAGACGAGTAGCCGAGTGAAACTGGCGAAGCTGTTGGAATAGTTTGGCATCTGCATTTTTCATGCGATGACCTTCATCCTGAGAAGAAGTCAGCAGTGTTGACTGTGAAGTTAGGGAAATGACTCACGATGATGATGAACTCCCAGTTGATCCTTGACAAGTTGTGCTGGTCTCTGAGAACCATTTCGTACGATGTGCAAACCACTGGGAACTTGGCAGTAGGGCGACCACTCTTGAGATGCTTCGTCATTTTTGTTTTGAAGATCTGCTCGCGAGCCTTTTTGTCACCGTGGTACATTTCCACAGGGATCGAAGGTGTCCATTTTTCGAACTCGGCGATCCAGTTACTGAGTGTGCTGAGAGGCGCAACGATCAAATGAGGGCCGAGATAATTCTCCTGCTCACGAAGCAACGCAATCAAGGCGATGGTTTGGACAGTTTTGCCTATAATGAGTCAGATTTAATGAGACGCTCATGACTACAACCAAACTTACCAAGACCCATCTCGTCAGCCAAAATACCAGACATGCCTTGAGAGCAAATCTCATACATCCAAGTCAAGCCCTCGAGCTGGTAGTCGCGCATGGTACCGTTAATCATACACTTGGGCTGCTCAGCCATTTTCAAGTTATGTTCACCGAGAGTCGTTCCATCGAGACTGCTTCCAACACGACCGAGAACCTGTGTTTTTTTCGTGAGAATATCCGAGAAGGCAGCTGACTTTGCGAGCAAGTCATCAAGTTCTCTAGCCTTGGCTTCACGCTCAGCTCTAGTCTCGGCCTTTTTCTTCTTCTTTCCCTTGAGAAGGGTCTGACGACGCTTCTCTTCATTTTTGTCATTTTCAGCACGAGCTTCCTGTTCTTCTCTCACCAATGCATCATCTGCACCTTCGAGGTCATCATTTGACTCTGGCGGCGAGCTTGGTGTACTCGTTGGCAAGCGGGAGTCTGAACGTGGTGAGCTGGCAGTACTCGGCGACGCCATGTTGAAAGTTGATTTCAGAACAATAAATATGTATAATAAAATAAAAGACTCGAGCGAAAGACAGAGAGAGAATGGACGTAAGGGGCTGAACTCGGCTCCAAGCTTGGTTGGTGGTTGCGGCGATCCGCTAGTGGGAAGAATGATGTAGTTGACTCGCCTGAAAACAAAGGGGGAAAAAAGAAAAGTGCAGAAATGTGTAACCAAGTTACCTATGCAGAGTGTGATGTTACTAAGAGATATGAAACAATAAGTAGGCAGCAAGGGGATTGAGAAGAGTGAATACAATCCCAATTGACTTTTCTGGTTTGTACAACAAATAATGTCAAGGACTCGAGAAAAGGGCGTACCGCGTAAAGCTGCCAGACAACCGACGCGAGAAAGGGGCGATGTCACGGGTTAGCGTAGACGCCACATCTACAAAAATTTCAGTGCCGCAGACAGCGCAGCCACATCCCCCGCCAATTGACAGCTCCATGCCCAATTACCCCTCCACCCCACCAAGAGAAAATAAGAGTCCAGTCAATCCAGTCATCCAAATAAAACATCTTGACCATCATCAGACTCCGAGTGAAGCTACATACAAGCTTCATCTCTTACTCCAAAAGCCACCACGTTACCCCTTCGCCTTTTCTGCCAGGCCTCTAGAAGCCTTCCCGCATTCCGTCCTTTGACAATCTTCAGAATGGCTTCCTTTGCTTCTCAAACCTACACTCCCACCGAGGAGACCGAGATCCAACAGTGGCTCACCACCTCTGAGCGTCTCAAGTCCCCCGAGGACAAGTCCACCATCCTCGAGACCCTCAACAACCACCTCTCCAGCCGTTCTACTCTCCTCGGCAGCAAGCCCTCCAAGGCTGACGTTGCCATCTACGAGACCCTCGCTCCCATTGTTGCTCAGTGGTCCCCCGAAGAGCGCACCGGCGAGAAGGGCCACCCTCATATCGTCCGCCATGTCGACTTTGTCCAGAACTCTCCCCTCTTCGGACTCGACGTCAAGGACGAGAACAAGGTCAAGGTCAACCAGGATGAGGTCCTCTACGTGAAGCCTCCCGTCGACGCCAAGGCCGAGAAGGAGAAGAAGAAGAAGGCTGCTGCTGCTGCCGGTGGCGAGGCCTCTCTCGTTGACCGCACCAAGGAAAAGGTTAAGGAGGTTGTCGAGAACGCCAAGGAAAAGGTTGCTACCGATAAGCCCAAGAAGGAGAAAAAGGAGAAGGCCCCTAAGCAAAAGGCTGCCCCTGCCGCTGCCGCTCCTCTGTCGCCTGCCCTGATTGACCTTCGTGTCGGCCACATCCTCAAGGCCATTAACCACCCCGACGCCGATTCTCTTTATGTTTCCACCATTGCTGTTGGCGACAAGCCCGGTAACGAGGACTACGTCGAGTACGAGGGCCAGATCTGCCGAACCGTCTGCTCCGGCCTCAACGGTCTCGTCCCTCTTGAGTCCATGCAGGGCCGCAAGGTCGTTGTTGTCTGCAACTTGAAGCCCGTCAAGATGCGAGGAATCAAGTCTTGCGCCATGGTTCTCGCTGCTTCTCCCAAGATCAAGGAGGGTGAGGTTGATGACCACAAGGGACCCGTCGAGCTTGTCACTCCTCCTGAGGGATCCAAGGCTGGTGATCGTGTTTGGTTCGAGGGTTGGGAGGGCCAGCCCGAGGGTGTCCTCAACCCCAAGAAGAAGGTCTGGGAGACCTTCCAGCCTGGTTTCACCACCACTGATGGTTTTGAGGTTGCTTTCGATGCCGCTGCTGTTGAGCAGTTGGGCAGGACTGGAACTGGTCGTCTTGTTACTGAGAGCGGTGGTGTCTGCACTGTTCCCAGCCTCAAGGACGCCGTTGTGCGATAAATGTACTACTGTAACTTATAAGTTAGATAGACAAAATGTGAAAGAATGTAAATTATATCGAATCACATACATGCCTCGTGACACATGCAGGGTGTGAGCATCTATTCAGGCGACCTGGTGGGTAAAGAAAATTGGCCTTCTTAAGTCTTAGGCTATAAAAATAAGTAGTCTAAGAACTATAGTCTAAGGAGCATAAACTGACCTACTAATTCCGTCTCTTACGCTTTTAGGTGTATCTGAGGGAGGAGAAGGGGTAAAGGCTGGAGGGTGTCTACTATTATACTTTTGACCTTCGGATTCAGTACCTGCTCTGCTCCGTAATGATACCATCTTTAAGCCGGTAGTCTGGGATTATAACACATAATAAGGGTGTAAAGAGAAGAAATAACAAAGTTTGAAGCCTCTTTGAACACTGGCGTCACAGTAGAACTCGCATTTCTCATATAGCTGGTTTTAGGTTATTTGTTATTTATTTGCCTACCTTGGGCAGGATATATAGCTATTATAATACAGAAAACAGAAATACCACCCGCTCTTCTATGCTTTTGCCCCCTCTTAACGCCAAACGTACAACGCCACAATGTGCCTCCTCGTAGTCTTCATCAATAATAATACACCATTCGACCTGCAAGTCTTAAGGCTGGCCTCCTAAGCCTTAGGCAACAAAAGTAAACACCCCAAGAAGCTTAGTCTAAGGATCCTGGCCCAAGGATCATAAACTGTACCATATCCTGACCTAAGGATCATAAGCTGTATCATGTCAGGAAAAGAAGTACTGACTATCCCTTAGTTCCTTCACATCAAAGTCACCCTTCTGAGGGAGCTTGGGGAAGGTCATCGGGCGCCAGATTGTGATATACTGCTTCTTATTCCTGCTGGTCTCCTTCTTGGGGTTGATAATGTTCATCTCAAAATTGGTGTGTTTGAGACGATTGAGAAGAACAACACTCAACTCGTCTGTTTCCGTGCCGTCAGGATCCATTTCTTGTACAGCTTCTTTGACGGCCGAAGTGAGGCTGGATTCGGCCTTGGGTATTTCTCCGAGACCGCCGCCCACATTCTCAGGGTCATGTTCAATCTCTTCTTCGGACATTTCCATATCTTCAAAGACCGCGGCAGGTGTCTGGATCTTTTCTGCGGCCTCCAAGTCCCATGGGTTTCCGGATTTGATAAGGCTCATGCGCTTATACTCCAACAAGAGTTCCTCCTTGAGAGTCAGCTTGCTCTTTTTGCGAAAAGCCTTGATAGCATGTCCAGCAGGGCTCTCCGCAGGGATATTAGCCAAGTAAAGCGAGTTCTTGTATCGTGCCTCAAACTCTACTAATAATCGGCCAACGACGTCTTCCTCGTGAATTCGGATGAAAGCGTCTCGGAGAACTCCATTCAAAACATCGACGTCGGCAGCATGGGTCCAGAAGGAATCGTGAACGGCAGCAAAATTTAACCCTAGCTCGTCACACTTGAGAGCTGACAGAAGCATGTGACTCGCGTCCAGGGAGTGGATAAAGTTGGGGGGGAACCCTTGAAGTTGCTTCCTGCGATCGACGGGCTCAGTTCTACCCTGAGTGGGATAAGTGATGGCCTGCAAACAAGTACGAATTTCTCGGCTGGTAGCTTTTCGGTAAGGCTGAACGACGGGCATTCGGAGGGGAGTAGTCCACACAATTGTTGATCGGAATTGCGAGGTTATTTCGTCTAGTTCCTTTTTCTTGTTGGCGGGATCTGGCGATTCTTCTGCGAGCTGCTGGATTTGCGACTCGGTCAAGGCCTTGCATGCTCGTGCACCAATCTCACCCAACCAATACTGGATATCGTGGGCACCACGGAACATGGTTCCGAGAGCTGCGAAAATGTGCTTTGCAATGTATGTGGCAGTGACAAGATTGGGGATGCCAGTCTCCTTGTACATGTTGGGGTACAGGGCGTCCAGCTGTTTGCAAACTTGTTGTTTGGCGCCTGAAAAGGTGACGCCATAGACGTTGGTCATGACTGTTTGCTTCACAACCTTTCTAGTGATCTTGCCCATGCAGTTCTGACCAAGCTGGTTGCCCTTCTCGGCTTCTTTGGCAATCGACTCTTTGACAAGGTTGGCAACAGCCATGTAAACATCAGCTGGTCTATCTCCAGGCATGAGGTTAACTTGCTGAGCACCCCAAGTATCTCCACCAAGGGCTGCATAATGTTGCAGGCCGTTGCAGGTACCATCCTGGTGGACTGGCAGACTCGAGACATATTTGGTGGGGTCCTCAAGATCGTGAGCAGCCTTGAGCTCGAAACAAGCAGACAAGCATTGCCAAGGGTCTTCCGCCTTTAACCACCAACGGCTGCCATTAAGAGGGTTCTCAACACTCTCGATAATGTTGGGCAAGTTTTCTGTAGCAAATGCCTCTCTCTCGCTGAAGGAAGCCTTGTCAAAGCCATACAAGTTGGCCAAGTGAATCTTGAGCCACCTTAGACCGTGCACGCCGAGTTCCTTGCCATCGGCAAACTTGAGCAGAGCACGAGTATGATCAGCTCCCATGTGGTTCAAGTACGTCGGGAGAGGATAAGCGCGGCCTCGATAATCCATGTTGTGGGGGAAGTAAATGACCTGCTTGCGGAATGCTCGAGCAATCTCGAGTTGCAGGTTCATATAACATCTCTGAGAGTGAAGAGCCGAACGCTCGTTCTCGACCATCTTGACACTTCGAATCCAAGCTCGGCGAAGAAGGGGGTCAGAACCCGTAGGCTCGGCTGGGGTGGTTAGGTCCGGGGTCAGGGTGGGCATATTGGCAATTGCATCACCACTGTTCCAGGCCTCTACCATGACATCAAGAACATTGTTGTTGATTCTCCAAGGTGTCTTTCCTAGCACGTCCAGTCCCTTGAAAACTTGGTCCATATCGCCACGCTTGATAGCTGCTTTGGTGTAAAGCCTCTGCTCAACATCTCCCGTCTTAAGGCGAACCAGAGTGGCTTTGCTGGAGAGGAAGCCTCCCTCATTGATACGCTTCCAAGGCTGAGGCTTTGCAACCATGGGGAGGTGCTTAGCGAGAAAGTCACCCATGGGTTCTCGCTTCAGGCGCTCGACGAGGTCTGAATTGATAAACAGCATTCCAACCTTTTTGCCTTTTCGGGGGGCATGCATATGTGAAAACGCAGGCTGGAATTGGCTGATTCGCTCCTTGGAAATGGGATGTTCCTTGACGACTTTGACCTTTGCAGTCTCGATGAGAGCCTTGACAAGGATTGACCCAACTCGAGCCCTGACTTGGATGGACCATGCAGTCAAGGCAGGGTCCTTCGTATCGACCGGTTCTTTTGCATCTGCGATAATGTTTCCTTCGGGGGGCGGAGCATCTGCTTCATTTCCAGTAAACTTGACTTTGCGACTTCGGCGGCGTTCTCGGTCGGCCTTTTCTTGAAGTTGCGTGCGCATATCGTCCTGAGCCACACGGGAAACGTCGTTCAATAGTCGCTGAATGACTACGCCCTTGTCCACACCCTGAATCGCACTGGTATTGAGGAGAGTGAGGATTGTAACCGCAGCCAGTCTAGTAGGGTCTCCAAGTCTCAGAATTGGGCCGTAGATACATCGCTCCAAATCCTCTTCGGTCTTGTTTTGGCTCGCCTCGGATTCCTCGACCTTGATGATCTCCTCTTTTAAACGTTCCTCCATAGCTGTAAGCCATAGGTGCATACACGCGGCAAGACTGGTGTCCTCGTGCTTATCATTTAAAGCCGTGGTGATGCGCATCTTGTCGAGGTTTTTCTTGACATTCCGCCATTTCTCAATAGCAATATCGATAGAATCCTTTTCTAAGCGGGCCTGAAATTCGCGTTGCTCTTCGGCGGGCAGTTTGGAAATGTCCACGTCTTGCAACTCGTTGATGAGGTTCAGGTTCTTCTTGAGAGCGCTGAGGCCCTCTCCTCGTTGTGGTGTTGGTCGGATGTCGGGATACGCTGCTGTGGTTGCTGTAGTTTCGCCATGGCCTTCCTCCATGTCTAGATACTCATCTTCTGCCATTGTCACGTATTGGGCGTCGGATTCGGCTTCGGGTGCGAAAGTATAAGTTGGGCAAATCTCTGTAATGACGCCAAGATCTTGGTCGCTAAGAATATCGGCCATGCTCAACACTCTCAAGCCAGCTTCACCAGGGGCCATGCTCATGTAGCGGGTGACAAGACGCTCTAGGCGGGCACCACGTTCAGACAGAAGCGAGGCCTTGAGCATGCATGCAATTGTTTCTGCAGTTTGTGGCACATCTGTGGTTCGTATTTGTAGCTCATACCATTTATGTAGCATCTCGGCTTGCTTTCGGTCGGGGGTCATTCGTAATTGCTCGAGAGAGGCACGGAGGTATTGGTTGTGCAAAATGATCATTTCCTCGCCAGGAATCAAGCCAGTTCCAATGAGTCGCTTCAAGACGAGAGACGCTCTCTCAAGCTTGCCTACACGCACACAAGCATCGAAAACTGGGATCATCTCTTCAACTTCGCCGGGGACGCCCTTGTTGTTGATCTTGCCGAAAGGTCGAGCTTCTGGTGGCTCGGGGATAGTTAACAGGTTTGTTGTCGGGTCGAATGCCCGAAGGTCGGCAAGAGAAGGGGCCTGAAAGGGTTGTAGGCCCGATCGAGCAAGCTGCTCATGAAGGCCGCCATAGCTGTTAAGTGGGAAGTCGTCGACGGCTGTGGCGAGTTGTCTGCCGTGACGACGACCGAGGGTTGTCGCAATATGAGGCCTCGAGAGCCTTGATTTCAAGGCAAAAATGCCCTTTCTCGTCTGTCGGACGAGCATTGTGATGTTGTTGTGAAGGATCGAGGGCGATACGGAGGATGGGCAGGTGCCCAGTCGCTGCTGCCAGAATGTACAGCAGAGGAGCTCAAATTCGAAGTATAAGGTTCAAAGAATACCTAAAGAACGTAAAATTTTCCTCAACCTCGCCTAAAATTAACCAGTTTTTAGGATTATTATGATCTTGCCCAACAAGTTTTTTTCGAACCTGAAGGCGCATGTAGAGCACGTCGGGTCTCTGGATCTAATTTTTTCTGTAAATGGCGAAGAAGTTGAGCATCCACTAGCGGGAAGGGTCACGTGAAGGAATTGAAGTTGTGGCAAGGGTACCAATTGGCCGCCAGAAGCACTAAAGACGAAATTAGTAGGTCAGCTTATGCTACTTAGACCACACCTCTTAGGCTATTTATTTTTGTACTCTAAGTTTTTCAAAGGCTACCTAACTTTTCTGCTATCCACTAGAAGGGTCTTTTCCATCCCCCACTTTACTCTATCATCTTGTAATTGAAGTGCTTCTGAGTATCATAAGAAATCTTTGACAGAGACATTCTCTAGATCATTACGAGTTGTTGATTGCTTACTCTTTATTTATTACCATTTTACCTATCTATCTAGATCATCCTGCTCTCACACATAAAAATACATCGGAAATAAACTATCCATGTTTACCCACTGTATCTGTGACAGTCCGGTACCGAGCTGAGTTCCCCACTTCACGACTAGGTTCTATAGTCTAGCCATGACGCTCAACGCCTCTTTAGCTCTTTAGCATCTGAATTTTTGTCTTGAATAACTCACGAGGACTCAAAATGTTGACTCGTCCTGTGGTCGCAGCATTGAGTTGCCGACAGTGTCAATCTGCTATTGTACGCGCTGTTGTGTCGCGTCCAGCTACAAGTCCTTTTCGCAGTTTTCCCCAAACATCACGATTACTTCCTAGAACGACAAGGTTTTATTCAGATGTCAAGACTACCGATCCGATAGGCGAGAAGAGCGCTTCAATTTCGCCCGCGACCGACATTTCAAATGATTCCATCGATATATCTGCCGAAGCCGATCAATCTGGCGACGTTCCTTGGTTCCTCGAAGTTGAACCCCCGCGACATCCCCAAAACCAACATGCAGTCGAGCTACCAAAGGTTCCGGAAGACGCCCCGGAGGTCATCGAGCCAATGATCAAATACATATTCGAGGACATGGGCCTGGACGATATTTCTCTTCTCGACTTGCGCGAAATTGATCCTCCGGCTGCTCTTGGCCCGAACCTGATTATGCTATTTGCGACAACTCGAAGTGAACGACATCTTCACATTTCCTCCGGTCGTTTCGTGCGATGGCTTCGAAAGAATCACAACATTTCCGCGCGAGCTGATGGGCTGATTGGACCTGGAGAACTCCGGACAAAACTACGAAGACTTCGAAAGAAGGCGAAACTTATGGGAACCAATACTGCCATTATTCCCGGTGGCGACAACGGCATCTCCACTGGATGGGTCTGCGTCAACTTTTCTTTCAATGATGGCCAGATTGATGAAGCGGCCAAGGTCGATGATAGTGGTCGCTTCTCTGGTTTCGGTGCGCCCCAGACTGGTACCACGGTGGTGGTTCAGTGTATGACAGAATCTCGAAGAGCAGAGCTTGATTTGGAAACTCTTTGGAAGGGTATCTTGAAAAAGAATTTGAAACAAAACAAGCAAGCTCGTGGGGAAAGGGTAGACAATCCGGAAGAGATCGAGCGACTTCTTGCCTCCAAGATTCAACTGCCCAAATCAGGATCTGCTCTACAATGGCAGGCTATGCAGAACGCCTCTCAACGGCGTGCTTACACCACCAGCGCGCGACGACTATCGCCAAATCTTGTGTCAAGAGAATATTCACAGGCGCCACCTGGTTCAGACGGTGATCTTGCTGTTTCTCAACGTGATAACAGTTCTGACCTACAAACGGATGATACACAGACCCTCAGCCAAGTCCAAAAGTGGTTTCAGGATATACAACTTGCTGGGTTACCCCTCACACAAGATATGTTACGCCAGTTTGTCGTGGGAGCACTGACAGCGCCCACATCTGAACCTGCTGCGAAAAGTCGACTCTCCTTGGTCGACCAGATGCTCTGGACAGCTGAGGAGAGGGGAATGACGATCTGGGACTCTTCAATGTTTGCGTCACTTATCCAAGGGTTCTTAGTATCACCATCTTACGGGCAGCGGGAGCTCGAGAAAGCACAAGAGAATATTGAAGGCATGATGGACCGATCGGATTGTTTATTCACCGCAGCCGAAACTCGTCGTTTGATGGCACATTATGCAGAACGAGAAGAATGGCCCCGTTTCTGGGACATCTTTCGCAAACCACACTTGCACAAACAACCCAGGGCACCAGAAGTTTATGCATGTGTCTTTCAAGTTCTGGCAGATACCAAGAACCAAATCATGTGTATCGAGAATTTGCGCTGGATCTATCCCGAGATGCTCAACGAAACCGAACCCATCCCCATGTTAGGCACGGTCTATGTTACACTCAAAAACTGCCTCAAAATCTGCGACCCGGCGGCTGCATATCTTTTAAAGCACGGCTTCGAACATCTTCAAAGAACCGACTATCTTGGGGAGGATATAAGGGTCAACAGGTTCGAAGAGGTAAGATTGAAGAACAGAGAATACCTCAACATACTGAGAGAGGTGGAACAACTTCATGCCGCACATAGCGGACGATAGAGCAATCTATCAAGGCACACCATTGAAGCAACGGCAATGGCAATATATGTAAAAATATTCAATGTACAAAAGGTTTTGTCGCCTTAACAACCACTTATCGCATCCCAATCTGAACAATATTTATATCTTGGACGTCGAGTCTCGTAGTCAACTCTTCTTAAGAGCCTCCCTCAACAGCGGCGCAACCTGTTTCCTGCTCGACGCGAGGTCATGCTGCCTCCATGCAAATCTACTATGTCCATGCTCATCCAACTCTCCATCCTTCCACACCTCAAGCTTCAGCTTCTCGCCTGAGTCAGCCACGAATCTATCCACCGCCTCACGGCCTTGATCGCTGATACCCCACACAAGTAGATGTCGCTGAAACTCGCCATCGGGATGCGACGTTGTCATTATACTCGCCACATCGAGGTTGCGCTCTTTGACCCACTCCTCAAAGGCATCGAGCAAAGGCTCAGAGTTGCCGGCTTTTTTGACAAGATAGTCAAAGTTTTGCACAACGCAGCTAATTCCAAGCTTCAGCCCTGAGCCATTCCACTCTTTGTAGTCCTTTCGAAAGACATCGCGCAAGCTCAACTCGGAAATGTCCTCTTTCACAGCGGAGATTTCGTCAAAGTAGGCTGTACGGTCAAAGGTCATGCGTTCCTCCAGAAATTCTACAGCTTTGGTATCCTGCTCGCGAACCTTGGCTTCGGCTGTCATGTTGATAGTATCAGACATGATAGGTCCTATAGCCAGTCTAACGAGTTTCTCATTCTCGGTAGCCGCGTCGCTATCCTCAGCATCCTTGGTCGAGAGTTCTTGCCAGATTTCGCGCGTCTCGTCCACAACCAAGCTCATGCAGCTTCCACAAGTCTCGATGACTCTTGGACTGGCATCTTTTCTCACAACATCCTCATCGGCGTGGTGATCGACGCAGCCAGTGACTTGTTCCGAGTATTTGGTGAGTGGACCTGTGAGTGAATTATGATCAACCAGCAACCAGCGCGTCTCTTCGGGTTTCAAGTCCGGCAGCTCAGATAAAGTCAAGAGATCTTTCAGGGTCAGTCCAGCATGTTTAAGAACAGCCGACATTTCAGTGCGAAGAGCCAGATCCTCGCGGGGCAGGTTTGAGAGGGGGATGTGTAGGGTATGCGGAGGAGCATGGCTGCGAAGATAGGCATAAACCACAGCTGAGCAAAGAGAATCAAGATCTATTATGTTAGCAAGATTCATATAGATATTCGGTCAACTCACCTGCAGACTCGTTTCCCACGACAAAAGTGAGAGGTCCCTTTCGTTGTGCAGCGGGAGCTGTCAAAGCAGCCTTTGCTTTGACCAAAAAGCCGCCCAAAGACAATCTGGTAGACATATTGAACAGTTCTATATATAGCAGCAAACAAAAATGAAGAAGCAAAAAACCGACCAGAAGAAAACAAACTCACAACAAGAGTCCTTGCATTTATTTATGTAGATAGAAAGTTAAAGTTTGTTGCTCTAACTCTACCGATTTTTAGACGTCACTTTTTTGCAGGGGGGAAATGCATGTCAGCCACAAAAAACTGTCACTTGATTGCTAAAGAAGTGCCCCATCTTTTCTACAATTGGAGGATAATGATAATGAGGTGATGTTGGTTGGGGATTTGAGCCTTGCTGACCGGAAGTAATAATGCACAGGATATATGATATTTAAAAGGCTTTTGTCTTAGTTTGTTAGTAATGATGTGCTGTTGCATCGCATTAAAAGTGGCTGATATGCAGATGCAAGTGATATGCATGTTGAATGAATACTTCAGAACTTAGTAGAGACTTTCTATGAGAATTAGAAAAGTCGGTCACTCAAAGTGTAAGAGATAAGATTAGTGAGCCATTTTACGCTATTTAAATTATTATTCTTACTTATACTATAAAGCTTAGAGATCATTCTTTTCTGCTGACTCTATTAGCAGGATCTTCCATCTTTAGGTACTTGGCGCGGTAGTCTTTGCACTGAGACACAACTTGCTTGTATCAACGCATCGAGGCACTCGAATACTGGCAGCATGAGCTTCAGCGAGAAAATGAGGCAGAAAACAACAAGCACAAGCTCAATAAGAATGAAGACAGCCTAAAAGCACTTGCTTAACGAGTGATCAGTGTATGGCCTTTGTGCCACTGGTCCGAAAAACATCTACCCTATGCCTCGTCCTCAGCATCGTCTTGTAAGTGACAACTGCTAGGCATATGTATCTTATCACAGTGGCTCGTCGTCAACCTCATGTCCACTTGGATCATAACATATATCCAGGGAGCCAGATATGACATGGATCGCGAAGGACGGGACGTTCTGGCCGCTGGATCTCCTACCAGCTGCACTCGTGCAAACATCCCGGTCGACGGATACAATGCAGACGTCTTCTTCAAAGGGTACGATCGAGCAACCAGTTATAAAAATAAACAGCATAAGAAGTCTCGTCCAAATAGCATAACTTTATCTACTAACTTCGTCCCTTTGCTCCTGCCAATTTGTCCAATATCGTACAGTTCTTAGAGACCAAGACCTCCAATCTTACCGCCTTCTTGATCAAGTCGTATTATGACATATTTGTAATTCTGCCGCCTCGTGCCCCTCATCCCCGCTACCGGTCCCGCCATTACACGGGCAGGATGACAAGAAAAAGGGTCCTCCTCAGATCGGAGGCTTGCATCATTGGGTGCTGGCCCGACCTTTTTTATTTCCATTTTCGCAAAGAGGCATATTCTACTTATTCCTGATTCTTTAATTTTTTTTTTCATTTTCCTCGCAAACAACCTCCACGTACTTGAAGTTACACAACTTGCCCAAAATGCCTCTTCGTCTTGCCATCCTCGAAGCCGACACGCCTCAGCCGCAAACTCGCGATCGCTACGGCGGCTACACAGGCGTCTTTACCGCACTCCTCGAAGCAGCGGCCAAGCCTCAGAAGCTCACCGACCTCGTCACCATCAAGGGCTACGACGTCGTCAATGAGCTGCACTCGTACCCCGCGCTCGACGACATCGATGCGATCCTCATCACTGGCTCCCGACACACGGCATTCGACAACGACCCTTGGATCTTGAAGTTGGTCGAGTACACAAAAAAGGCCATTGCTTCGAATCGAGTGCGCGTCGTAGGCGTCTGCTTCGGTCATCAGATTGTTGGTCGGGCTGAGGGCGCCAAGTGCGGCAGAAGCAACAACGGGTGGGAAGTTGCTGTCACAGAAGTTGACCTGACAGCCAAGGGTAAAGAAGTATTTGGGTTGGACAAGATGGTAAGTTTTGGGTTTTGGGCCGTTACTCGTACGACCACGGCTAACTTTGTTTCACAGCGCATCCACCAGATGCATCGCGATATCGTCGACGCATTCCCCAAGGATTCTATTGCTCTGGGTTCCAACGAGATTTGCGAAGTTCAAGGATTCTACTCGCCCGGAAAGTACATCACAGTACAAGGACACCCCGAGTTCAATGAGGAGATTATTTCTGAAATTCTCTTCAACCGTCACACCGTTGGCATTTTCACGGACGAAGTATACAACGATGCTATGAAGCGTGCGCCTCTACCTCATGATGGAGTTGCCATCGCCAAGGCTTTCCTCAAGTTCTGGCGAGAGGGATAAGGAATGCCAAAGGAACTTCAAGTGTATGATTTAGTAAAGAGGAGGAGCGTTCGAATTACATAGAACGATGTACACGATGCACGAATCTGTCTTGGTAGACTAATGAGAGAAACGACTTAAGACCTTTTTGAGATGGAATACCCTCAATCGAACGCCTGTACGTTTGATCTAGTGTATTTGGTATAAATAACCTTTTATAATAACGCCTACCAATGCATAACGCCTGCCGTAGATAAAATCACCAGGACCATCGTTGTAACCCGGGGTATCATCCTCTATGCCTTTTGTAACGCCATATGCCACAACCCTCGTATCAATCATCTCTATCCCACCAGTCGGGAGCTGACCTAGTTGCCCTACGATCTTGGCCAGCTTGACGTTCCATCTCCCACTCGGCTTGTTCTTGTTCTCGCCTTTGCTTGGCGAATTGCGAGTCGAGTGTCATTTCCTCCCTCGTGCGTCCTACTCTCGCTCCCACAGCGGGCGCTTCCTGACTTTTCTTCCAAAACTGTAGATTGCAACGCTTGAAAATTTGGCTGTACCCTTGACTATGTTTCCAAGGCTTTTCCTTTAGGCAAAAGACCAAAGAATCGGCCAAGCCATGGAAACAAAGAAAGACGATGCTGGCTAGTCTCATGCCATAAGGTGCCCCTTTACCATATCCTGTAAGTTGGACAATAAATGGTAGGATCCAGATGACAACATAAACTATAGGATATATAAAAAGTAACCGGAGTTGTCGCAAAATCTTCTCGCGTGTCTTGACAGTGCCGGGTGCGTTGATGTCACTCTGGGTTAGAACAAGGTCGTTCTCTGCGCTCTGCGGACGCATCGTTTTGTGGTTAAGTATGGTAAATAGGTTGGGGATAGATGGCGGAGATCCAACAGTAGAAAGATATGAAGACTTTCGCGTCACTAATGACGGTCTTGTTACTGGTGGTTGATTTTGATGCTCAGGTTTCGTGTAAATGGCTGTAGGTGTAATCACATCATCAGAATCCCATCGTGTAGTTCCCGTAGAATTTTGAGAATCGACTTCTGCTTGCTCTGATTGAGAGGCCAAATCAGTGCCGTGGTTAGCCATCCACATCTGCGCTGATCCCCGACGAGCCAGTCGCGCCGAGTGAAGCTTGGAATGTGTGCTTGCAGGCATGTCCAGATGAAACGAGTTGAGTGTAGATAGAGAGGGCCTGGCAGGGTCTTCGGCAATGGTGAGTGAATTCCGTTGTGAAGTGTTGGATGATGGGATCAGCCCGTGATATTTAATTGTTGGCGTCGGAGGAGCAGCTGCTACTGGGTGTTGCATTGGTTCCAGGCTATCAAAGCCGGACATTTTAGAGAGTGTGTTTCTTGAACTGTCGTTTCCCGCACCAAACTGACTCATCAGTACCCGAACGTAAACGTATACACCTATACATAGACAAAGGATGATTGCAAAGGCGAGGTAACGAGGAATCCAAGAAAGGGCAAGTCGTTTCCACATGGGGTTGAATGGGAGATAACAGAATTGACCTGTGTTGACGTAGCCAGGACCTTCAATAAAGGCCAGTGAAGCCATCACGACAGGGAGGATGGCGGCGACAGCGTAGGCAGCCTTTCGGTATGGGTACAGGCCCTGCTCCCCACGAAAGATGAATAATGCAGTATGAACAGAGATAAGAGCGACAGAAACATCGGATGCCTCTATACTTAGGGCAAGAAAAAAACCGCTGACCTGGCAAAATGTTTCGCGTGTTTCGATTTTGCCGGCAACGAGTTCGACGGCTGGAAACAGAAGTAACCAGAAGGATTTAAACATGTCGCTGTAAATGAGCAGCATAATAAGGCTTCAAATGTTAGAAACAGACGGCCAATTGTTTGGTAGTACTCACTCATGTCGAAAACTTCTTCTCATACGAAAGAACCAGAAAGAAGTAACTATTGTTGCGAGGATACTGGCGGATGCAACAACAAGTGTCGCAACATGTATCGCATATGTTTGATCTGGAGTAAGCTGAGCCATGGTGAAATGTTTTACTCGTCGTGGCTCGAGAGCCTGCAATGAGGTTGTCCATGGTGAAGTTGAAAAGCCTGGGGCTTCGCCTTGAAGCCAGGGAGGCATGGGCATGGTGGAGATGATGATGATATGTATGTGGGTGGATATTAAGACGGTCGGTCCGTTATTCGCGGGTTAGGTACGTAATACTTGGGATGGAAGTGATGCTGGTCACTAGCGTTGTAGACCTGTCGATATCTTGGCGTCGGAATTATATTATAGTCATATACAAGGGCGACTGATGTGACTGGTCCAACATTGCGAAATTTAATTCGAGGTTGAAACCTGGAAACCAACATCCTGCTGGGAACAGGGATGAATCGAGGGACCAGGTCTATAAGTCTTGAATGTCCTCAGAACCAGATATATTAACCGAAACTTTAAGGACCCCGAAGCGAAGAGAATGACGGAGGATAAGATTTGTTAGCTTTGTCCGCTTTAGATGACAGGTTGAATCCTTTATCTGGTGTCAGCCTCTACGAATTTGACTTTGATCTTCGTTCCTGCTGTTTCTTAGGAAAACAAATTCCGCCCACTTTGGTTGGAAGGAAGGAGCAACACAGATATGTCCGGAGACGGAAAGGTGAAACTTTAGGAAGGTCAAGCGCATCGAGTAAACGGCAAGACCCAGCTTGTACTTGCTTTTGAACATCGTAAAGCTTCCACTAACAACAAACAACAAACAAATTCGATCCTTAATACAGAGTACATCCGGGCGCTTTCTTTTAACAAGGTCTCGACTCGAAACAAACTTACTTATGAATATCAACCTATCCAATATCCCGGCTCCCAAGAGAGAAACGGGAGAAATCAGAGACACGGGATGTCAACAGAGACAGTGACTGGACAATGACGATTTCTCACCCATTCCACTCCAATAAGAACCATTTCACCGACATATTGAGCGGAGGAAACAAGAAGTGAACAGAAACGTGACCGATGATATTTTGTCCACACCGCAACAATTTATCTCCAAAACCAGCCAAGTGACAACTCAACTCAAACGCCCTGGGCTTTCCACCCATAAGGGTAAAACCAGGGCATACACTGCACACACTCAGGGCGAATCGAAACCATTGAATCTTTCCGCGTGCCACGTCCGTCGAGGCGCCGTCCCAAGCCTACTTTAGCTACTCCCATTTCACAACCTCATTGGCCGAGACACGACAATTTTCCGTCGCAAGCGAGACACACCCCTTTGCGGCCAATTGAAAGAGGTACAATCTACACCGTCTACCGAATCGCAGGAAACAGAGGGGCGGGTGTCGGCATTCAAATTGACCCAACAAATCTCGACGAGTATGCATGTCACTATGGATTTGCAGTGGCAGCGGGATGGTTAAGCAAGTCAAAGTCTGTTTTGGTTCCTGGATTCTCTCTCATTTGAAGGTTAACGAAAAGATGGATTACAGTAAATCGCTACAGCGTGGGCAATTGTTGCGATAGGCCGTCCAACACCCTTGGCCTCAGCTCAGCTCGTCCACATCCCCGATTCTATTCATCGCCTAGATCGCCAATCGTGTATCCGCATTTCCCTAGCGATCGCTGCAGGGTTCTTGACCATTGTCCTCACCAACGAAACCCCGGCCGGATATGCTGGCTGGTCTTGGCATGTTTGTAGCAAACAAACACCATCTTTGCTCTCTTCCGCATATTTGACTCTTGTTCCTGCCTATGACCGGAGACGAACTTGCAAACGACCAACCAACAGATATTTCTTTGCCTTCCGATTACCTATGCCAAGAACTGAGTCGCGAGTTCCTGAATGTCCAAGACATGATTCAAGATTATCGACTCCACCACCAAAGCTCTATTTGGAGCCAACAAAATCTGAGAAAACCCTTTCTCGACCATCACGGTCCCAGAAGGACCGAACTACCGTTTGCCACGAGGCTGGCTCTAGAAACATGACGCCGTCCCTTTTACTATAGCCTTTCTCCATTTTTACAACACTAAAATCCACATCGCTTGCATTGCGGCTCTTATGAACGGAGAAGCCGGTCCTTGCGAGTCGGTACCTTTGAACGGGTCTCTCAAATTATCATCACCGAGAAACGAAAATGGAGAACCCCTCCAAGATCCTATGCTCTGGATTTCACTTGGATGAACCCGTATCCATTTCTGACCCCAATCTTCCAGACGGGGTATTCATTGACCGACGCTACGCAGTGCATTCCAGTCACGTCTTGGCTTTTGACCCAACTCGGCAGGGTCCTACGAACGATTGTTGTCATTCCGAGGAGTTTGATGTGCTAGCGCGTAATAGAAAAGTTGGTTTTTGGAGTGTAAAATGAGTGGCCTGATCTAAGTGAGCTAGACTGATAATTCTGTCTTATGCTTCCAGCCGAAAGCCTCACTACCACGAGAATCAAGCATTTCTGCCAACGTCGCAGAGGTAACTACTCCACAGAGTTTGCTGATCAGTTTGTGATTAGTATCGTCGTGATGTTTGAATGGAGCAGAAAAGTTCCGTTCCGAGGCTTCCATGACGGCACCATTGACCGCATTATGTCTGGCTACTGTTGCGTCAAGTGTTGTCGATCCCGAGATCTGCGAGGCAATGACAGCTGATTATGATAACAGTTGGTAGAAAGGAACGCAATATTAGATCCAAAACAAACCTCACACGATCTCAATCAAAAATCCCGACAATCTCTATACTTTACTTCTTTGGGTTGAGCCGCCGGTATGTGTCCTTGTGGAACCGCGAGCAGAATGCGGACTTTTGGTCAGAATATTGGCCTGATCAGTTGAACGCTTGTGCACGTGCGCAAGCAGTCACTTGCGAGTCTAGATTCCGACCACGTTCGAGAACAAGAACTAGCACTTCCTCTCATAAAATGTCGGGCCTTTGTCGGCATATCGCTCTCCGACAAGCCTGGTTGAAGAACCTCTTTGCTACAGATACAGTGCCAAGAGGGATGATTATGCCAGAACTTGAACCAACAAATCTATTGTTTCTCATATGGGGTTTGGTCTTTCGGAGATTAACGCTATTGTTGGTGGATTCACTTCCACTATCCCCGGTCCAGGAATTCGGGAGGATGTTGTCTTAATAACCGGGGTTTCGGGTCAATACATACAATGGACCAACAGAGACAAGTTTAGTGATGGTTGTGTGATGGCTCATTACTGTCGTCTTTTTGAATGTGAGTTGAGCGAAATTGGTCTTCTGTGGAGGCCAAGTTTGTTGTCGCTATGCCATTGTTGGGCATCAGTCAATTCTTATGCTTCGATCACTCGTCGCACTCTCGAACAATATAAGATCAGTGATATGATTTTTCGTATCACGTATCCATTTATCTCATGAACTAGACACCTAAATGAAGATCCAAGATAACTCCAAACAATCCCCTCTAATACAAGCAGCAACTCCAGACCCGTCTAAATACTCCTTCCAAGTGTCTTTCGTCAAGCAAAAAATGAGAAAAATAAGAGAACAAACCTCATCAACAGCCTCTTGCATGATTATTCTTTTCATGAGCACCCATAATCGTGATTACCCTCCAAATTATGCTGAACTTGATTCTTCTTGAAAGGGGTCCGCTCAGGCATTGATCGGGACCGGGTTGACTGTGTCACTTCCTCGTACAGTCGAACTTAGCACCTGAGTCTGGAAGTCTCACACCCCCGCTAGAACCAGTACCAATCTTGGAAGTGTCGCTGCTTCTATCAGACGCGTAACCGTTCGTTACTCTCATCTGCCCGATTGTATAAGACACGGAATCGTATGGAGACCCAGTGTCGTTCTGAATATTGGGGTTGGCTGAAGGTGAAGGCGCTGTTATAACAGGATAAACAGGAACAGGACTTCCTTCCAGTTCAAAACTGGGGCGAGAATCGGGATTTCTGTTTCGAGTGACACCTGGGAGTCCTGAGGGCACCGGGAACGCTGGCAGCGCATCATCGTTCCTGGGTGATGGACTCCTGGATGGTATGGCGGGAGATGGGGGTTGAAGGTATCCGTTTTGTTGAACTGCTTCAGGCTTCTTCTGCCCCCAACCCGGAATGTATGGATGGTTGAACCTGTTAAATGTGTCGGGTTGAGACTTTTGCTGTACTTGGCAATGCTTGCTTTGATCCGGAGTCTGAGTTGCCTTGCTTCGAACTCCCTGTCCCTGTTGTATCAGCGGCAGCCGTCCATCTTTGAGCGTGTCCGACTTTTCATCATCGTCTTTCTCTCTGGTTTTGCGACTTTGGTGTTTACAAACCTTCCATATAGCTGCGATGACAAGGAATACAACTGTGACCACGATCCCTGCTAAGCCGCCCTTGCTCACACAAATATCGTTATTGGAATGATCATGGCTCTCATGACTAGGAGCTGCTGATTCTACCGAAGAAGTATCCGCTTCGGAAGTCGGGTTCAGGGTGTATGAAGTCAAGAAGCTTGAAACGGCAGCAGTTGTAATCGCTGTAGCTGAACTGATACTCCTACTCATAACGGGATTCCGGCTGGGACTGGGTGTAGGACTAGGCTCCGGAGGATAGTCATAGCCTTGACCAAGAAACACTTCCGCGTTTTTGGAGTTATCGCTCAACCTGGCTGCTCGCAACTCCCGGTTTGGACAACCACCAGAACAAGGATCCACGGCACAACATCCTATGAAAGAAAATGTGGACCAGGAACAACCATGCCAAGCAACATCGACATTGTCGTTGGTGCAAGCTTGAGATGGGATGTAATCCTCATAAGCTTTGTCGAAGCTTGCCGCGTAGAGATGCTGGTCAGGACAGAGGCCCTTTCTGGCTCCGCAGGGGCTGACGCCGCAGCATCCGATGAACCGGTTGGGGTCGTTTTTACAGATGTGAAAGGTACTGTCGTAGGGACATTCAAGGCCTAAGTCTTGGGTGGGGTCGTTGTCGCGCATGATTGAGGTTGAAGTCTTGGTAGTATTGTTTCAGTTGACGGCAAGACTCAGGGCCTCCGAAAGGGTTATCGTGAAAGGAGATGTAGGAGTAACCTGAAATAGGATCGTTGTAGATAATTTATACCGTGTCTCTTGGGCCTTTTCTGAGCTGATGTCTTTGTTCATACAGGCTGCCATATCGCTTTGGGCTGGCCGATTAACATTATACCAATATATGCATGCCATAAGAACCCATTCAAATCGTACATGCACTATTACAAAGGTTGCATTGTCGTATAGTACTATGTTCATGTGGCGTTCCAAAGACCCTTTGTATATCCCTGCAGCAAGACACAGGAGTCTGCCGAACTAGCTCAATACATAGCATAAGTGAAAGGGCATATATAAAGAATGGATCTCCAGATCTGAGAAATGACAAAATAAGAGAAAGCGAATATTTGGCACGCGAAGGCTAAGCTCAGTCACATATATACGCTTTGATGATTGTTGTTCGCATAAGGGACGGGGGACAGGGGGCGAAGACCAAGTCTACAACTGAACCGTGGAAAGAAAGATCTTTCATAAGACCGCTGGCATCAGGCCTTATCTACAAGACTGTTCAACCTGAACTGATGCTCTTTATAAAACCTAGTAGCTTCATATTATAGGCTTTGAACCTTTTCACGACATCTAGATGTCCTGAGTCACTGTCTTATGATGCCCTCTCAGAGACAGTTATTCGCTGTCGGGAAAACTCAACTGATTCACAATCGACCTACAGGGAAAAAGCTATGTATAAGCGAGCGTGAAAAGGGGGGAAAGGGGCCCTCTTCAGTTAAGCTCTGAGACTCGGAAGGTTGAGCTGCGCTGACGACGGCGTCGTCTTCGCCTTCGTTGTTGTTGTTGTTGTTGTGTTTGTTCCTATTGCTTCTGCTGCTGCTGTCGGTGTTGATTGTATCTAGAAGGCTTTTTACCGGGCCCAAGAGCAGTATTTCTTCTGCATTCTATACAGCCGTGCCCCCCTCCCGCCCCGTGGGTGCCCCAATCTCGCAGCCCGTCGACGCTGGTGCGCTGGTTCTGTATTGAGGTCCAGCAAAGGCTAGTGGTAGAGGAGGGACGTGAACGAGTTCGAGTGCTGGTTGGCGAAGCCACTGTCAAGTTATATATAAACATCAACGTAGTGGTCCTTCCATCTGAAGGAGAACTGTACACTGTTCCCATACTCCCAAGGAATTTTCATGGACGATATCCTTGATAAAGTAGAACAATGGCTTCTTGACACCTAGAATGGCCCTTTGCTGCACCGGGAGATGAAGTCTGCTCTGGACAAGGGGCGGGCGGCCACTCATCATCAGCCCTTGCCACCATCATGTTGGATCCGTGGAGGAGAGCCCTGTTGGGATGTAAAAAAAGGATGTCGAATTCTTCATTTCGCCCCATAGCACAACAAGTAATATCATACATAGCATGGACGTTCCAGAACAACTTTTATTCATTTCATTGAACAGTACCTTCGAAGAACACTATTCTCAAATCTATTATTCGAGACCTTCATACTGCCGCTCGTCCACGACTTTAATGTATAAACTCAAAGATACACAAACTTTGATAAGTATTGAATCGAGTGACTAGACAACTGGAAACTATATCCAATAGAAGCGAAAACTCAATGATGAAGCAATGATGAAGAACACTTGTTCCCCTCTGCCCTTCTTTCCCCTCTCTTTAATCTCTCACAAACACACGAAGCCGGAGACTGGAACAGCATCATATCTCTAACAAACAACCACACAAACAGAACACTCTTCAATAAATCATCCAAGATGGGCAACTGTCTCTGCAGAGCTTCCGAAGAGGAAGAATTGAAACAAACAGTTTTTCCTAATCACGACAAGCCAATGTATGTCTACCAATCCCCAACATTTTTAACAAGCTGCTTACAGTATCTCGTTCGGATGGAAGGGGTTTCGTTCACGCTGCTCCTCATCCAACCCAGGAATCATTTGTCACAGTGATTATGCAGGATGATGAGATTACACCAGTTGAGATTGTTGAGCCTGCTGTGCCTACAAAGGCGCATGCCTAGGGGTGGTCTTTTAGGCGGGAGTGATGCTTGAAGGAGAACGGATTGGATGAGGTACGACAGTCGACGTCTACAATCGATGGTGATGCTAACCTTCACCAGGCTAGATGACTTGAAAGGGATTGACTTTGTCCGCGACGTTATACCGGCTCAAATAATGTAGAATAAAATTCTGGGCTTCAATCCACCTAATATTACAACTCTCATATACAAACACTACTCAATGACAATATCCTCTCCTAACCGACGAAGAGGTAATTCCTCCACCAATTTCTCCAACCGTCCGCATCTCCTGACCACATCCTTTGCCTCTTCAGGAAATCCCATCCTCATCCTCCCGACTCTCTCCCACACAACCCGACCTTCTCTTTCCATCCTCTCCACGACGAGAAGCATCACGAGCGCCTCTTCCACGAACCACAGCACAGTCATCTGTTCGCCCCTGGCATGCCTCTCAATGTACTCCCTCATCGATACCGCTCCGCGACTCATCCGCACGTCGACGCTGACACGGTTAAAGATCCATCCGTCGGGGTGGGATCGCGCTTTAACACGATCTAGCACAAAAGGATTGGGCACGTGAATTCCGTAGGGTCGGATATGCAGGTTGGGTGGAGAAGGGGGCATGCCTGTCACCGCTGTCGAAGCGCCAAAGTCATACGCCACGCTTCCATCGCGGTTAACGAGGACAATATTGGGTGAGTATGTCCAGCGTATAGAATTGGGGTCGTTGCGTGACACGTGAGTGGCGGTGACGTAGTGATGGTGATTATACTTGCGCTGGATAGCTTTGCTGTCTGGATCGACCACAGTGATGGACGAGTATAGATCAACAGGTCCCTTCCAGCCAGCCCAAGTCCAGCTAGGCATGTGTGAGCGCCGTGTCGCTATAACACCATCTTTGTGATGCCAGAAACATGTCGATAGGGCAAATATGTCGCGTGTGCGCGGGAGTCCTACAACTGCAGGCCCTTGATCCATCTGGGGAGCCCAGAGAGGAACACCCAAAATGTTGAACATTTTCCCATGTCCAATGGTGGTTTCCAGACGTCGCAGGATACCCAGAAAAGCATTCAGCGAATCGTGGTCGTACGTCAAATCTCGTCGCGTGTAATTTCCAATATGCTGATCAGCCTCTCGGAAGATACTCAATGTACTTGGGTCTTCAACCTTGCCGGGAAGCCTCTTCCAGCGCTCCCAGCTCCCGTCGACAAAAGACACACCGTTGAACAGACCAGGTCTCATAAAGTCAAACATGCGCTGCTGCTCCATATCGTGGTAAAGTTCGAGCGGCAGGATGAGCGACTCGGGACAACACATGCCTTCGCATTCCCAGTACATTTGCTGATCTGTAAAAATAAGGCGACGTCGAGCGAGAAGACCTTCTTGGTAAGTCCAGCCTCGCCGGTACCATTTTGAGTCTTTGATGGCTATCCTTGGATCCGGAAGACTTGATACGAGCGTGATGTTGGAGTTGACGAATTCATACTTGGGTTGCGCCGGTCGTGTTCTTGAGCCAACACCAGGTAAACCATAGTCTGCGTCTTCACCGCACGCTGCAACAATGGCCAAAATCGCACCCTCAAAGATCTCGTCCATCCTTGTAATTTGTTGCGTCCGCTCGGCTGGTTGCAGTTGCTCCATACAAAGACGATCAACCCAGAGGTATCTGATGCCAAGATCTTTGGACGCGATGACAGCATCCCACACAACCTTGGGCCAAGTCTCTGTCTGTTTGTTTCCCCATACATAACTCAATGCCGCGTATCGCTCCTGAATGGACGCAGTAACAACCTGTGGGGGATTCTTTGCACAGTCGACGAGCTTGAACCCTGGCATTTCTCGAGTAATTGGTCGTCGTCCACATCGTCCTTGGTGGTAGAATTCGCAAAACCGTAGCCATTCCTGTCCAATGCCCATGTCAATCACGTCCTCCAGCTCACGACCCCAAATACCCCGCTTTTGCCATCCGTTATTCTCGGACATGGAGTTTGCTCGCGAATGCCTCCCCTCTGATCTTGCGCTGAGAAGCTCATTCGTAGGCGCTGCATCAGGCAACGTTCTGTAAAGCATACCCGAACCACGAAACCAGTCAGCGCGCACATCCCAGCTCAAAGCGCCATCACCGCTCTTTTTGGGCACGACTCCCAGGAATGCCGGACTCACGCCCTTCATCTTATTTTTGGATGCGTGGCCTTGTTCAAACATGGTGTTGTCGTCAATGAGATAATTTGTGTCTCTACTAGAAAAGCCAGAGAGATATAGGTCTCCTTCACCCTCGCTGGGAATGTGGACTGAGAGGAATAGTTTGCAGAGAGGACATTTTGTGATGAAGCGGTTTTCCTCGAGGTCCTTTAGTCGACCTAGAGAATGCTCCTTGTTTTCGAAAGTGTCTGCAGAAGTAGGATTTAGAGCCCTTGTAAAAAAGTCATCCATGGTATCGAATGTAGAGTCAATGTCGGCAGCCCAACCAGCACAGGCGGTGCATAGATTCGGATCTTGAGGTTGACCTCCTGATCTATCAGAATGAGCAGAAGGACTGCGGCTCTTGCGGCCCCAGCTGATGCGGCGTATGAGCGAAGCTCTCCTGGGTTCACGAACATCATCATCCGGAGGGGGATCCACAGTTAGATGTTGCATCATGTTCTTGAGAGGGTTTCGCGACCGACGCCTCTCTACGCCGCCCGGAGAGACGGGCGGCGTAATGGTTGGAGTTCCAGGATCTAGTGTCTCTGGCATTGTGATTGAGATATCAACAAGTCGTTGACCGTTCAAGCTCCGTGATTATCGGGGGATAACCGGTGTCTAACAACCCCCGTTTCGGCTCCTGGAATCCGGTTCTCCACTCTTAAACTTGGCGCGCGCCTGAAGTTGATTGATTGATTGATTGATGAGATGGGGCTCTTTTTTTTTCTTATCCCAGTTCCACCGCTAAAAAAAGAGGAATAGCGGCCCTGGCAGGGATTCTATTATTAGTGGCGTCAACTTGAATGAATATAGGGGAAATGTTGAGGAAGAAGTTGAAGTTGGAAGGAGTATAAGAGAGGAGAAAGAAAAGGGTATTGATATAAAGATTAAAGAGTTTATGAGTAGATTTTGAGGAGGAAGGCTTAGACTTTTGATGCCTATAAAAAGAAAAAGAGCGGCCAATTCTCGAAATAAACGGGTATTTCCAGAAGGAAGGAACAACACAACTGCAAACGCGGCGCAGGTTGGCTCGTGAGGTGGGGCTCTAAAAGGCCAAGATTTTGGGGGCCAACAAAGAGAATGATGGTAGAAGAAAAAGAAGAAAAAGAAGAAAGGGAGGAAAGGACGGTTTCTAAATAGAAAGATGGCGACAACAACTTTTTCTCAATTGACCTATATCAGAAGAGATGAAAGAAAGAGCGAAATTCCATCCGAGATGACGACGACAAGGGGTTTCCGCTCGCCAACTGAGACAAGGGTCAATAGTTGGTTCTCTACAAAGATATTAATATAGGGACACTATATTTTGTAAAATTGAATTGATGGGATTACTGGGCACGAGGCTGACGGGGACACAGCCTCATTTGAGGGGTACTTGGCATCAGAGTCTGATTCTACCAACAGCTTTATATTAAGTGAAAGAGGGGAATACAAAGTCACTGATAATTGTGTGATTCAAAAGACGTTGTTGTCGTGTATTACTTTACGCATAACGTAGTTGTATCATTTAACCGTGAAACATGTCCCATCATAAACAGCACTTCTCACAGCTCATCACTATGGCGCAGTGAATAAATCTCACTCGCAGGATCAGAATCAGGCTGAGCAGATACAAAACAAAAAACCTCCACCATCTCTCGTCTGATCTGCAGCTAAAAGCTGATCATTTTCAACCCTCAGCGGGTACAGTAACACGGGTCCACTCTCTTCAAGCACAGATTTCTTACTCATCATATCTTTCTCATATCTGACATGATGTTCAAATACTTCATACTCAAGAGACATGGTGAATGTTTCAAGCAGATGTATGTAGACATAGCCTGCATGGAAATGAAACCCTTGTTGTAGATCTCGAAGCGGGGAAACATTGCTTTTTCCTACCTTTACTTTGCGCCATCATGTCGCCAAAACTATTTTCAGCCATCTACCGTTCATTCTCTACTATCTCTCCCCTTTGACCGGAGCCTATCAATACCCATAATGTCCACCACAATATCTTGGCCCGGCCCGTCGCGTTGGCCTTTGGTGGGGAAGCGCCAATTGTAGGGACTTGAGTCGTCAACCACCTAAAAGAATTACCTTCTTCAAACCAACTGGAGCTAATTGATCTAGATCCTCATGCATAGAGCGGCTATTAAATAACCTGTAGAAATATCATCTGATATCAATCCTGGCGTGTGACGTTGTTTAGCCTAGGAGCTAGGAAACTCTAATTGACTTCACTTGTCTTCCTAGCCTCCGTCTCCGACAACACCACAAGATTACTTTGTTAGTATGCATAGGCAAAGAGTTCGAGGTAAATAGCGAGTCAAGACATCACATGCGATCAAGAAACGCAAGTTCAAGGCATGCAAGCTTCAATTTGTATCTAACACTGCGCTACCATCGAAAATTGGCCGTCACAGCTACTCTCGCATGTTTGTGCCATTTCTATTCATTGTTTCCATTCTCATATCTGTCCGACTTGCTTAGCAAAGGCTTGTTCCTGGATGTTCCTCAATGTGTCAAGGAGACATTGTCGCGACCGTGGTTGTAAGCCAAGTGTTGTCAGGCATTAATAATAAGAAGGAATTTAGTGCTATTATTTTGTTAGAGATCATTCAGTATCATAGACATTAAGGAATGCTCACCTTGCAGCAAGAGCAAGCGCTGGTGCAAGAAGCGTCGGCGTGGTTACAGCAAGAGCTGAAGGATGTTAGTCGAATGTTTGCTTGACCAGTCTCATCCCAAGTTCATGGAACTCGAATGCGACGACCAGATGGGAGACTCACCAGGGAGACATGTTGAAGGTATTGGTGAAGAAAGACTTCGAAAGGTTGTAAAAGTGTGTTGAGTTTGTGTTGAAGAGTGAATAGCTTGTTGGATGAAGAAAAAAAAGTCGAGTTTGAGGGAGATCAAGCGTCCTTCTTATACTCGATCGAGGCCAGCATTGATCCCACTCATAAGCGTTTCACGTCCTTTATCAGACATCAGTTGCCTGATTATCGTCTGGCATGGTGTGGGTATGGGTGTGTAAAGACAATAACTCCACTCCATGTATTACATGCTGCCCGACTTGGGGGAGCAATTCCATCATTCATCCAAGGGTCTTCTCTTCAAAGTAACCCTACCAGACCCTCACCCCGCATGCCAATGTGCAATGCGGGATATCATGTCTCTGCCATTGGTCCATATCATGCAAAGTGGTTGCGCCGAATTTACGGTGCAGAACGAGCTCTCCACTGTAGCAAAGCTCTCCCCGACCTCAAGCTCCGTGAGTTTCGATTCGCGCCGTGCCGGACATGCAACCACTGCCCAAAGTACTGGATGGCGAGATCATGGCAGGTTGCCGGCCAGCGAATGATGGTGTAGTACAGTAACACGTCCCGTACCAAGTCCAATGGTTCCTGACTTAGGGTTATTCAACAGCAACGTGTGGAAGTCGAAGGCGTTTCCCATAACCAGCATGATTGACATGTTGAGGCCTGCCGCAGAGCTTGTGGAGGGATCGAGGTGGGTGGGATTCGCCACGTAATGCCATCCGATTCAATGCGATGGTGTGTTTCTAGATACATGCCGATTATCTCTTCCTTTAGCTTGGGCTGGGTTCCAGTCTAGCTGCCAGGGACAAGGCGACGTTCGAAGCAGGTCATGCTTTCATGGAATTCGGCGACTAATGTCGGAACAGAAGTTAATGTGGGGGCTCGATTAGGCCGGTTGATGGAGAACGGGAACGGTAGTGGTTTCGGCAAGCCGGGGACCGATAAAACATGGGTTCCGTTCTCTCACCCACACCGGTGAGTATGAGGAGGAGGAGTATCCAATATCAAGTGGGAGATATCACACTCCAAGACCCTGCGTGAAAAATGGGCACTTCCCAGTACGGATATCAAGTAGCCTCGTCCTGTACGTGGACGAATAGAGACAATCTGTTTTCCGGATGTGGATACACGGAGTGAGTTGGTGTAAAAGAGTAAGATGGGAATGGATGCATTGTGAGCATGTGAGAGATAATCGACTTGATGAAGCGGGGTGAGGCAGCCAATAGCAGATTGCTTGGCGTGCGTGAAGGTCATCATGGTAAAGTTAATCCAACGACAATCGAGTAACGTTTGCCGCCGAAATAAATATTTAGCCGTATCATGAAGCAGATATCAGGATAGATTAGCTCAACATCACGGTATGTGAACGTGACGAGCCGGTACGATGAACAGGCCTACCAACAAGACCATGCTCAAGTGTGACATACATTGCATGGGCAAAGCAACGAGACGGACGGACACATGAGGCATAATCGAAACGTGAACGTGGATGGGGGCCACAAAAGCCCGAAACATGGACCGTTCAGATACAACATGCTTTGAACCATTCATGCATGCATCCCACGCATATATCTTTAGTAGGATTGGGTAAAAGTGTTGGAAAGAGATCATTGGCTCTCACACTCAACTCAGTATGCAGATGACAGAAAGGGAAGCACAAGGCAAAGATAGAGTTTGTGCTTGAGACCACAAGACGACCTATCTTGAAGGCGTAGAAGTTGATCAAGCATAGAACTAATATGCTTGCACGATAGCCTTTAGTCATGAGAAAGCATCGGGCTATTGGGGGTGTGGGCGTGGGAGTCTGGGAAGCCGATCGACAAGATGGGAAAGGAACCGACCCACGTCTAACGCGGCAACTGTTGAAAGTTGCCAAGATGATGATAGGGACCACCATGGGGAAAGATACCGGATTGCCAGATGGGCCGCGATAAAGCGAAAGAGAACAAAGAGAGCGGATATATACCTCTGCGTATGTGTCGCACTATCATGCTGAGCGATATGGACTTGTCTGTAGTGTCATCTTCAACACCATGTATCTGGTAGAAGCAATCGTACTTGGATCAAGCATCTCATCATCTTCTGCCGTGGTACTCACAAATTCTGGTAACTACATCATCATCACACCAGTCAGTCATCACGCTCGGCAAGACTCCAACACCCTAGGCAGCATCCCCTCACGGGTGAACCAAGGCCTTCCCTGGCCAGTGTCGAATCGGTCCGTAATATTATCTCCAGGACGTATTCGAGCTTCTGATCGGTTTGTGATCAAGGCGTGGGATGTTGAAACAGGTCCTCGGCAACTCGGCTGACAGGAGTCGGGATGCTATGTCGTGGGGGCTTCTCTTTACGCCATCGTGAAATGTAGGAGCAAGGCGCCCACTGGAATGGGGCCATGGGGGCTTTGGATCATGCGAGGTGATGTCGATGAGGGATATTGTTTTGTTCGACCGGAGATGCTCAGGGATGAGCCCGAGGGGAGACGGAGGGACAAGGACAAAGGAGATGGGGTCTTAATCGTGTAGTTCTATTTTGCCTGAGGTTCGTGATGATGGATAGAGGTTGAGTTGGTTAGTTACCATGAAGGAAGGAGCTCCTTCCAGTTCAATCTTCTCAACAGCCCATGTTCAGCTACAGGCTCATAGCGATGGGAAGGAGCAACCTCCCGTGTGTATTGGGAAGCAACACCTCATTATAAGCAAGGCAAGTGCTTGCTCGACTTTATCTTCAAATTGAACAACTCATCCAACAGGGACGGCCTCATTCTTATACTCATCCTCACCGACCCAACCTTATCAAACAGCAATAGGGTCTTCCCGCCAGAAGCGGCAATGGGTCGCTTTGACGCACAAATGCAGCAACTCAACGTTCACTCTGATACTTCCAATCCATTGATCTACTCTCTTCTCTGGCTGTTTTGGTGTAGTTGTGTGGTGTTCAGTAGAGGGGAAATCATCAGGGTTGACCATCAAGGTTCGCACATGTCTATCCGGGTTCTCACAACTCAGTAAACCCAAATAGAGCTGTTTGCATAACATTAGTGACCAGATGGAGAGGTACATGAAGAATACATGATAAGAAGTGAATAAAACTTGTATTTTCTACCTTGGAACTAAAAGTACCTCTATGGGGAGGAGGTGATTACGGCATCTGATACTGCGATAGTAGCCACAGGAAGCAATCAGATGGCCGGACCACTTACTCATAGTCGTAATTGTAGCCTCTCAGAACTTATTAGACGCTTGAACAACCTATAATTAGCATGAAGCCTCTTTGTTCTTCTTAATCCGACACGCGTTGGCACTTGTCTGCCTGACCCAACACTATCCCATCCATCACGTTACGACCACAACTTCGCCAAATGTTTTCCTTGGGCTTTCTATACTAGATATAAGATCAAGTGGCCTCTTCTTAATTTACATAATATCTACAAAATAAGTCCCAAAAATTCAAACAAGTTATCTTGCTTCAAGCCCGATCCAGGGGCACCCTCATGACTCAGTGTAGGTCACGCAGATTTCCTTTGTTTCCATAAAAGAAAGCAAGCCAAGTTTTTCTCTGCTTACTTGACTTGCCCATGCTTTGTATTTCTATCTTTCTTATGGTACAGTTCCCTCGTGAGTCCCATGTGTTTGCCGTATCCATGTCCATCGTTGATCACTGATATACACGTTACTCTGCCATTGTCATAACTTGAAGTCGCTATAAGATAACAGGCTATCACTTTAGTAGTCACACTGGAAGATATTTAGATCATTACTAGGTTTACGTTTCTCAGCCTCATGTTGTTGAAATGCTTACGCGAAATCGCACACAAGCATGAGTATCACACACCATCAAAATTCCAGAACGTTTCAAATATAAATGATTATGCTTTATCAGTTTTATTAACCATCAAGATAATTCTAACCTTAAATAAACTCCCAAATTGAACGATGCTACGTATGATTCACTAACCCCAAGTACCTCCACCACCACCACCTCTACCACCCTTCCTCTGCGCACTCAATCGCCAATCATCCTCTGTAGCGAATTTATTATACAGCGGCTGGATTCTCTCCGCCTTCTTCCTCTTACTCAACCTATCAGTAGGTGCGACCTTGAAGAATGTTGGCGCAGCCTCAACGAGCCATTTCGGTTCAATGCTAGTCGTGCAGTGCATGTACTCCTTGCTTGTGAGGACAAGTTCGTGGTAGATGACCCACTCGGCTTGCTTGCCGAAGAGTGCGGAGCTAGGATGCAAATAGACGGGAGTACCCTCAATAAGGGTCTTGTATCCCTCTTGGGGATCCTTGCGGGCGGCGTTACGGAAGAAACCTGCGCAGAGAGCCCGGCGGACCTTTTCTGTAGCGCGACCACATGATTTGATGGGGTGCTTGTATCGGTCCATAATCTTGACGATTTGATCGCGGACATCCTTGGCTCGACGCATTGATCGCGCCTGAATGAAGTTCTCAAAACACCATGGTGCTGAGTAGCCACTCGTCTTCCAAGAGTTGTACACATTGAGGAAAGTCAAGTGATCACCGTGAGGGTCGTGGAACTTGGCCTTCTTTTGGTCTGCCTGGGACTGCTTTTCTTTGGGTCGGTAGAAGACGGTGGGGATGTTCAGCATGGACACAATGCTAAGCACTTCTTCGGCGCAGTCAAGATCGACAGCAGCGATGAGAACCTTGGCGAGAGAAGGTTCCATAGGAAAGTCGGCCATTTTTCGTCCCAAACGAGTGAGCAGACCTTCGTCGTCGAGAGCACTCAGGGCATATAGCTCCTCCAACGCGGTAAGCATGGTATTAATTGGGGGCGGGTCCATAAAGTCAAAGTGAAGGAGGTCATTAATACCCATGGCTTTGAGCATAAGAATCGTGGTGGACAGGTTCTGCCGTTGGATTTCAGGGATAGTGGTCGGAAGCATTTCAGACTGGTACGCTGCTTCGGTATACAGGCGGAAACACTTTCCAGGACCTGTTCGGCCAGCACGGCCAGCTCTCTGGTTTGCTTGAGCTTGGGAAATAGGCGTGACGACAAGTGAGTCCATACCAAGCTTGGGATCGTAGGCGTTTTGCTTGACGAAACCTGGATCGACGACGTAGTAAATCTCGTCAATAGTAATGGAGGTCTCTGCGATATTGGTGGCAATGACAACCTTGCGACTACCAGCAGGGGCGGGATCAAAAATTCGACTCTGCATTTCGGTTGGAAGCGACGCATAGACAGGTAGAATGATCAAATCTGGTACGTTGGGTCCCAAAGCTTTCATTCTCTCAAACAAGACCTCACAAGCTGTGTCAATTTCTTCTTGACCTGTTAAGAAGAGAAGAATATCGCCCTTGGGTTCGGTAAGATGAATTTGCATGACTGTGACAAGCGCAGTATCCAGGTAATCAGATTCGGGTTCCCTAGAGTAAAGTACTTCGACGGGAAAGGTTCGACCGGGGATAGTAAAAATGGGACATTCGTTAAAGTATGCAGAGAATTTGTCCGCGTCAAGTGTCGCTGAGGTGACAATAACCTTCATGTCAGGACGACGCTTTAGGGTCTTTTTAAGGAGAGCGAACAGTACATCAGTGGCGATAGTACGTTCGTGAGCCTCGTCAAGCATGATACATGAGTATCGAGACATGTCGGGGTCAACCAGAATTTCTCTTTGAAGCATACCGTCGGTCATGTACTTGATCTTTGTGGAAGGGCTGGTACAGTCCTCGAATCGAATCGTGTATCCGACCTCTTCGCCGAGCTTGCAGCCGACTTCCTCAGCTACACGCTTGGCGACGGACATGGCGGCAACACGACGGGGTTGCGTACAACCGATCATGCCATCGTTGGCGAAACCAGCTTCAGCAAGATATTGTGTCAACTGTGTAGTCTTTCCAGATCCTGTCTCTCCGACAACAATAAGAATCTGGTTCTCGTGGACAGCCTTGATCAATTGAGTGCGGAAGGCAAATACAGGCAGAGACTCTCTCTGATCTTTGATGCTCATATTCGTACGCTTGCCCAGAGACTGACCCTTGGGAATGACAGCCTTCTTCCACTCAGGGACATCCTCGGCAGTCTGGTTCTTTCTGGCATTTCGCAAATCGCTAGCAAACTTTCTCTTGTCGGGATCAGCCATGGGGTCTTGCCATTGCTGAGAGAGATTCTCTTTAGGTTCGTCCTTGGCAGCAGCATCGGCCTCTTGTTGTTTGAGCTCCTTGCGTTCTTTTGCTAAGTTGGTGCCTGACATTGCCGCTCGGTTCATAGAGCCATCAGGTGCCTTGACGACGCGAATAGGTGACAGCTCAAGAGACTGCTTGGTTTGTCCGGCCAAGAAAGGTGGTTCTTCCTCTCGAACTTCAATATCGACATCCTCTTCTAGCTCCATCTCGCCATCACCACGGAGAGTTGCGTTGTAGTCTTCCTCCAGGTCGGGATAGTCAGAAGCCTTGGCCACTCCAGATGCAATCAATTGTCGGATTTCCCATCTTTCAGGAGAAGTCATTCGCTTCTTTTGTCGTCGTGGGGGACCCATATCATTTCGAGGCCCGCTTGGCTCTGCAAATCCGTCTCTTGCGCCTCCAAGTGCGCCTCCCAGGGCTTCCATGTTGGCGCCTGTCGACATACGAACTTGTGGCTCCAAGTCCTGTCCGCTCTGTTGATCAACATCCTTCATCGATAATCCCACTCGATCGCGGCCGTTTTGGTCCTTGTCAAGACTTGTAACTTTGACCCAAACTTCCTGTCCTTGCGTAACCAAATCGGAGGGATGGTTGACGCGCTCCCCTGCAGACATTCGAGACACGTGAACCAGGCCATCAATTCTTCCTTTGACGTTGTGTAAATTGACAAAGGCACCAAAATCTTTCAACCCTGTGACATGGCCTTGATAGACCTTGTGAAGCTGCGGTGCATCGTCTATTTCGGGCGCCGGGGCATTGCGGAATCGATCGTCATCATCGTGTCGTCTACGACCTCGTCGATCTTTGCGCGAATCGCGGTGTCCGTCGCGCCAATCTTCGTCGCCTCGTTCTTGCGATCGTGACCTTGATCGATACTTGTCTCGCTTTCGTCGTTCCCTCGAGCGGGATCTATCTCTTCTCCTTCTCCTAGACTCTTTTTGATCGTTCTCAGGGCTTCGGCTTCGTTTTCTCGTGGGTTTTTCCTTTTTCGCCTTTGGTTCTAGGCCCTCCAGGAGCGCGAGGGTATCGTCAATTGCATCGGCTCCATCGTCGCGGGCAGGTTCCTTGTCGGGTAGCGCAAGACCGCTAAAGACCTTTTCCTTTTCTTGAAGGGTTCGGGATGAGTGTTCCTTGGGTTCACCTTTCGCTTTACCTTTAAACTTGGGGTGCAAAGCAAGTACCAGTCGGTCTATACTTTCAACAAGACTGGGAGGCAAACCGGGAGTGGTCGTCTCGAGGTTGTCGCGGAATTCGTCGAAGCTATTGCATTCTGTACGTTTGGCAATCAGGAACTCAGCTACAGTTTTTTCGCCAACACCCAAATGATTCTGAACTTCTGATGTCACCTTTGAAACAAGGGACAAAAGCTCGAGATTCAGCAAGTCATCCATCGCGAATGTTGATGTCGCAAAAGGAATCCTTTGCAAGACATTTGGACCAGATAGCTAAGAATCCACTGTTATCTTATCATCACGTGCGCCAGCCAACTTTAAAGTGATCGGGTAAGGCAAAGTTAGAACGAAAACCATAAAGGCGACCATCATTAATGGATTAATGTTATCGAGAAGAGAGACAAAAATAACTAGACTGTACAGATACAGTTATGCCCAAAAGCCAAAAAGATGTATAACAGTGGGAATTAACCACCTATGTTGGACGAACAGGGAATCGAACCCTGGACCACTCCCAATGACGAACTCGGAGTCGAGAACATGCTAAGGGAGTATTATACCACTAAACCATTCGCCCGAATGGGATTGTTGAACATTTCAGACAGAATCCCAGCCATGAGGCTGGCCGTCTTCATTCTCGCAAGAGACGTCATATCACAAGAGTCCAAGGTAAAGGCTCACCAGTGTTGTTAGTGAACCAAAATTTACCATTCTGGTAGGAGAACGTTGCAGGTGTGTTTTGCATGCTCATGCGTATCAGAAACTTTGCTTCTGCCTGGCGCAAGGATGTGTTGAGATAGACATTCATGTAAGTGAGGTGACGTAAGGTGATAGTGATATGCACAAGGTTGTGATAACGCAAGCTTTACTTCCCCAACATCGTTTTTGAGGCCCACGACGGGAAATGTAGCAGCCTAGAAGCTTTTTGTCGCTCACCTTTGTTGATTCAGTTCGTTGAGTCAGATATCTCTGGGCTCCCTCATTGAACTGGTTCCTTCAGTGATGACCCGACTGTGGCTGTAGGCGGGGTTCAAGACTGACATTCACCTCTTCACCAATCATACCTCCAAATTATCCCTGCCGCAGCACTTTCACTTACGCAAGCCCCTCCCCCCAGGAACGCCACCTCCAGGTGACCTAATTTCTGTCGCAGAACCTCCCCAAAAGCGTCATCGTTCAGCCTGGTCACACGCCCTCAACTCAACTCTTCCATTTCATCTTCCTCAAATCAAAACCAAAAATACCCTTCAATTCGCTTTTACAACCTAAACAAACCCAATTTGACATTCCTACTGTGACACTATCGCGCAACAATGTGTTCCGCAGACTTCTTCCTCGCTTTCCTTGCTATTCTTTTCCCCCCACTGCCTGGTAAGTCCATCGCTTTGGCCAACTCCCATCGTCGCGCATCACTAACACGTCAATTAGTATGGGTCAAGTGCGGTCTCTGCAGCGCTGATTCTCTAATCAACATCCTCCTCTGCTGTCTTGGTTACATTCCCGGCCTCATTCACGCATGGTATCTGATCGCCAAATACCCCGAGCCACCCTACGAATATGAGTCTCTGCCCCAAGATCGCGAGGGCAATCGCGTCACCTATGTCTACGTCCAGTGCCCACCAGGCCCTCACCAGCATGGCGCAAACAACAAGCAGCCCAAGCCTCAACCCAAGCCTCAGTCTGGCAATGCCGGCAACATGAACTACGGCACTCAGAACGCTGCCAGCTCTTCTCATCCTACGCCCCAGCAACAGGGCGTCACGAATAACGGCGAGGGCAGCAGCTCTAACGACCAAAGTGTACCTCCTTCCTACGCCGACGTTGTCGCAGGAGACCACAAGATTCAGTCCAAGGACTAGATGCAATGGTCTGACGAACGGAAATAAGAGTTTTAGGCGGTTTCAAACCCGTCTCCATCGCCACCAAGACGACATGACACAATTTTGCGTAGTCGACTTCAACAACAAGTGTGGGTGAGATGGCCGAGTTGGTTATGGCGCCAGGTTAAGGTTAACCTTAACACCAATTTCCTGGTGGAGCAATCCTCCTGGGTTCGAGTCCCAGTCTCATCAGACAATTTTATTTTTGCATCTTTTCACGATGATTATTTTTGGTGGGAACTCGACTCAGGAGGGTTAGTTGGATTTTGAGTCATGGTTTGGCGGCGGACGTGTATCAGCAGGACTTGCTCAGTCACGATATGATGATGTTCTTTTTTGCGTTACCTATTTAATACATCGATGGAGTTGCGCATATGGCTTTATTGGGTAGGCGTCTTTTCTCATAAATGATTTCGAGTTGGTTTAAAGACTCGAGCTATAGGGTTAGTTAGATAATATGACTATAGAACGCTGCTTAATGAACTGTCGTTTCGGATCGTGTCTTGTAAAGTGTGCATCTTCCCTGAAAGGATTGATCTAGGGTTAGTAGAAAGTCAAGGCGTAGGCTTAGGATCTAGACAATAAATAACCTAAAAGCAGGTCTAAAGTGACATAAAATTACTAAATTATTTTATCTTTTAGTCCATGGTCACTCGGATATCCGTAACATCCCCTAAAAAGTCCTTGATATCCTGGAAAATATGTTCAATGGGGGTCACTATCCCGAACTCTTCGTTGATATCGGACTTCCGGGTCTTGACTCCTATAGAATACAGCCCAATAACCTTACCGTCCTCATCGAAAACAATCGAGCCCGAATCGCCTTTTGCACAATACGTCCATCGCCTGTAGTGGTTGCCTGGTTGGTAAGTATACTCGGCTGTTTCGTGGTCCTCGCCTCTCGCATGATTGTCTTCCACCATCGCACAGGCGATGCAGGCCTTGATGTTTCACCAACGATCTCGAGGCGAAAGCCTGGTAGAGCAGGTCGAACCGCATGATAGCTGGTGAGGGCATACCTTTTCCAGGCTGGGTTGCTTTTTGTCTGAATTTTGACAAAGCAGCCTAGGGTTCCGAATTCAGCAGATATCTGAGAATCGCCTAACGCGCAAAACGTTCCCCCCCTAAGAAAGTGGCTAGTATACAGGTTCTATGGTTACGTGGTTTCGTATATCGTCTTCCATATGGCTATCGTCCGTTATTGTGCAATCGGGCTTGGTCTTATGGGATATCCCGATAGTCGGGCCAGTAGTAGTACCAACCTTCCAAACAGTCAAACTGTTGTTATCCAGGTCAATGGAATGGGTTTGATCTTTGAGAAGCTTTCCGTATATTTTGCGTGATTGAATCCGACAAATACTTTGTCCAGACTTCTTTTGATGGTAAACGATCGAGGCCTTGTCGATGATCGACTACGTCTATTACAGACCAGTCATCCAATATGGAACCTTTGCACAGAGGCAGCATCACCTAAAGCTTTTGATTGCCGCTCTAGATGAGGATGTCAATCCTAAACCTCGTTGTCCCCAGACCCGACCACCGACAAGAGTTTACAAGGAAGGAGCATCGGAACACTTCTTGAGAGTTGGGCGGGATGAACTAGGTATGCTTCGCATTTTGGAAATGGCCGAAGAGGAGTTAGCGATGGAGCAGGATCATGAGAACGTGGTTGGAGGTTTGGGAGAGTTTCCCAAGGCGGAATGGAGAGAAGACTTGCGTAAGCGACCGTTTCCATCTATCCATTGTCCCGTTGCTCGCTGTTGTTACTAAGGCCTGGATCGAGAAGGATGGGGTTTTCTTGGTGGCTCTATCGTGATGTGAATCAGTGTTGAGGAAAAAACGAAGTTGAGATCCGAAGAGTCAAGTGATTCACTACCTCTGGATGGAAGGCGGTGATTCACCGTCCGTTGTGGCGAAAGGCAGCACCAACAAATCTATAACTCATCAAATTCATTGTCACCATATTCCATATCTCCCAGTTTCCCTCCGTCATTTTCGACTCATGAAGCCTCATAACGATTATTGACTGCGCCGTTTTTGCTGTTCTCTGCTTTATTGTTCTATAATCTGGCAACTCCTATTAAAGCTCTCAGCATCATCAGCCAAATCAACGATGTCTGCAGATCTACCAAGTCTTTGTGGGTCCTCTTTACCCAAGAGCCGAGGATACTGGCTGCAAGTTGATGTTTTGTCAACAAAGCTACGCTATTGCTCATGCTAAAGCCAAACATGAAGGGAAACGTATCCCTTGCTCTGCTCCCGCAAAGGCCGTGGTAGTCGTGTCTGTGATGATGGCAACATCTAAATTACTGATACATTATCAGTATCGCTAGAACGCAATTACCAGGATTGTTACAGTAAATTTTCGCTCGAAGTTCTTAACATGTTATCATAAAATATGGCATAGCACAGATACCGTTCAAGGTTTCTGAGCAACTTGCTTTGCTGTCCGCGTCTTCGGCTGCCTGCTTCTTGATCTGTTTTGGGTCTTCTTCTGTGTCACTTTTGGTGGTGACTCGCATATCCTGGGTATCAGCTTCCACTTCCCCGACGAGACTCTCGAGATCCAGATTAACGATATACGCTTCACATCACTAGTTTCCATGTCACGCCGAAAAGAACGAAAGCACAAGAGCCTATCGGAGAGTCGCAAAGTTGTATCTCTTCCTTGGTTTAAGATATGAAACCGCCAGGTTGCGTTCATCGGTCGGTTAATTATCAGAGCATCAACTGTTGCAGTTGCACTCAATGTCTTGGAAGGCTTCCCTCACAATCTCTAAAGCACGGTCAGGTTCAATAGGTAAGTTATCGTATCTTTGAGGTAGTCGTATTCTTAGGCTATTTATTTATCTCCTATATCTACTTTAGACCTCCTTTTAGTTCGTTTATTTTCTCCATCCTAAACTTTAGTCTTTGGTTTTCTTTCATCTAGATCACCGAGGAATCTTCAACAAGACTGAGACACAAGATGTATTATCCTATGCTAATAGAAAAACTAAAGAAATGTAAATTGCTAATCATGACACCATGCGCCAAGCTGCTAGGCAGCTACTGTTCTACATTGTTCCCGTTGGATGCTTAAGCACATGGGGTATCGAGAATCCCTGCCGTTTCCCTCTAAAGCAAATGCTCTCTTCATAATTCCGTCCTGGTGTTCCCATCGGAATCGTCGCTTTTTGTCGTGGTCATGATCATCAAAGGTGCCAATGTTTCGCTTTTTTCTCTCAAGACATTACGCCATCTCTTTAAAGATGCGCAAAAGACTCCGTACACCTGTCAGAGTGTTCTCGTCGGGACCCTGGCCGGGGGTCCACTCAGCATGGGCAAAATCAATGAGCTTGAGGGAGTAGATTTGAGGTAGTGATGCCTCGAGGTCGGAATCCTCGTCGAGCTCGTCTTCGTCATCCAGAGCGATGCCGCTATCAACCCTCTTGGTGGTGCGAGCTGCTTGACCGATACCGGCCTCTGCGTCGATAAGCGCATTATTCTCCTCGATGGCACTTCGGAGAGCTTGGCCGTCACCCTCGAAACAGAAAAGTAGCGAGGAAGAATACATGCGGCTCTCATGACGGCAGAGTATCTCTTCAACCCTTTCGAGGTCCCGGATGAAGGCCGCGCAGACAGCCTTGCCAAGGTCTTCGTCAATGCCAGCACCCTTGTTGAAGATGAACTTTCGGAATTCATCGACAACATTTTCTTGCGTAACCTTTGTTCGGCCGTAATCCTTGTCATAAATCTTGTAATCGGCTTCGTCCAATTGTGCAGAGTCCTCCGATCCACGGTAAACTCGCATGCCCGCTATTCTGAATCCCAAAGTGCCGTGTGTTGTCTCAGACGAGATCTTGTCGAAGCGCTGCTTCTTTTGTTGAGGTGCATCATCGGCCCACAGTCTTACACCCAATTTTACGTCAAGAATGTTGGGACTCTTGAAACCAAAGGTGGCGTTGTCCAGCACCACCGCCTTGTCGGTCTTGATCTTGTTGTCCTTGGCGGGAACCCAAGAACCGCCCTCCTTTTTGCGTGACGCAGTAGCATGGGCGACCTGCTCAGTAACGGATGCGACAATCTCTTCCTTGGAAGTCTTTAGATCTCCGGCGTGAGAGATAACACCAGCAACGGCATCGTCGATTGCCTTTTCCGTAGGGTCGGTCAACAGGAGCGAGCCCATAAACAAGGGCATAAGATCGGCGAAGTCGGGATATCTTCGATTGGCAGACTCGTAAAAGTCTATCTCGGGCTGAGTACAAGGCTTGACGAATAGCTCGCCGTCAGGAGTGCAGAGCGTGCCGGCACTGAAGTGATATTAGCATTGTGCAGCGCGCGGGGAATGAATTGTGACGCAGATATGCCAAGAAATGCAGACATCACAATCAAGGGAGAACAAAAGATGCTCAATGAGAAGCGCAAATGCAGTGCGAAAAGGGACAAAAGACTTACTGGCCAGCGACGGCGTAGTTGTAATCGCGGAGTTCTTTGCGATCAGGCATTCTGAATCCGATGACCATATCGGAACTTGAACTCTGAGTGTGGCGGTAGGTTGGGCGCGCGCCGGTCGTCGGTGTAACGATAAGATTTGGATGAACAAGGAAGAATAAACCAATGCGGGGGAAAAGTTGATATTGACGTCTAGAAGCGACAGACGAAAGAGGATATAAGAAATACAAAAGGGTCAGGGCGGTGAGACGACGTGTGGAGAGATGCGCAGTTGTTGAAAGGAATTGAAGCTGAAGGTTGGATTGGACTGGAGCGATGGATTGAGGGTGTGGCTCAGTCAGCTCAGCGCAAGGCGAAGCGCTGTGGTTGCTAGGTTTGAGTGGAGAGAGCGCTAAATGAGATGAGTTTTCAAGGCGATCAAATAGATATGAACGACGAATAAATATTGCCGCTGACGTTGTGTTCTTTTTATAACAGATACAGAACCAAGGAATAAAAGAAGAAGGAAAGAACAATTTGTCCTGATGATGCAGTTATTCCAAGAATTCAGGGGTGCAAAAGTGAACGGTTCAAGGAGTTGATCAGCCCCAGTCTTGACTCTCTTGGTCAAGGTGCGACACGTCAAGGGACAAGCTTGGCCTTTGTTAAGAGGGGTCAATTCCGTTTCGTCAGTGAGTTGAATCGGTTAATGGAAGGGGATGATCCGAGTGGCGATTTTGCACCAATTTTGATATCCAAGGAGTATCTGTGGCGGATGTAACAGAACAAAAACAAGGTGTTGATGGCGGTGCAGATAATCCCTAGCAGTTAATCAATTATAGTTCTCAAGGAACTGTACTGATTGTAACATTGTCTATCTAGTCTGGGCAGCTCGTGTTTATACAACTACTAGTGTCGAGCAGTTAACAAAACTTAGTCTAAGCACTATCACAAACGAAAGCGATTGTGGCTGGGCAAGTCTACAGGAATCTCAGTGAACAAGAGTCCTACTGCACAGCCAGTCCGTGAGTCGCAACACTTTAAAGCGATAGCGAGACGAGGCCCGAAGCGCAAGTGATGCGAGACCCCTGGCGGCAATATCTCCAAATCACTGGCCAAACAGGAATCAGACTGGACCCTGATGAGCAGCACTCTGCCTCGCTGAGCCACAGCCAACATCTGGTCTGCAGCCTGTCAGAGTGGTCCATCAGGGGTCTCCCGGTTAGAGCCATGCAAGAAGCGGCTGGGCAGAATTCCATGGCATTTCTGTTGGATCTTTGGTCATTTCCAAGATGGACCATGGTCAAGTGTACGCCTAATCTGTCTCACTCGTCTGCAGAAGATATCATTTCCATCTTGGCTGGCTACACGTCATCGTAAATAGCATCATCAGACCCAGCAGATAGGACCTGACGATTCATATGCAAGGCACGTCAACATTCTGGTCACGAATTTGATCATATGGTATTTGTGTATTTGCTGGCGTTTCAAATTTGGGCATCATCATCGATCATGTCCTTAGTATGCGATTCTGACCCAACGTAAGACCTAGGGAATGATGAAGAATGACAAGAGATTTGTCATTTCGCTCCGGTACTACTGCAATATACAGTTGTATACCAGCGTATCAAAAATTACAAAATCCGAGACATGGAGACAAACACGGGAAATCATGCCTTTAGCCTAACATGCATCCAAGGAATCAGCGCGTTTATATCATGGCTTAGACTGCTTAGACGCCATATCAAACCCGATGTGCAGATATCCGAGCTAAATACGGGACTCAGAGTCACAGCATAAGCAACTGAGCGTGAATATACAAACAGCGAGCACTAAAGTCGGACAACCTGAAAGCCCAACAATCTCACCCTATCGATTTTCCTAGGCCAGCTCCCCGTGATCTCTATCAACTGACCCAAAACCCCCACGAATCAAATCGTGATTCTGTACCTGTTGTAAAACCCCTCGTGCAGAAATGGAAATTCAGCTAGCCTTTATCAATGCTTTCGCACCCTTTTTGACCGGGATGGGTCGGCCCGTATTTGCCGGCGTGTTTCTTGGTGCTGCACTAGTGAGGAGAAGCTATCGTGAGAATCAGCCTTGCTTTCAGCCGTGACGGGCAGACTCGGAGATGTTGTTTTTCTATATTTCTAATTTCTAAGTAGAATAAATATGTAGTCTTGTTATTTTATTGTTGTTTATTCTATTCAAAGTGCCTGTGGACTTTGGTGTCAATATTCTAACTTATGAGTTGGAGTTGCTGGACTCAAGTCTGCACCCATTTTGAGTAATCAGGAGAAACATGCACTTAATTCATGAGATGTATCCCGATCCGCATGGACAATTAATTGTATTCGAGTACAAGTATGAGATATAGACGCGAACATGCAGATGATGAGTAGCCTGCCGTTGATGTCTGGCCGTGCGTACAAACAGCGGCTGCCAGCTGCCGGTAAATTTGAGACAGCAGCTTTTCGAATAATGAACAGATTTCTAGCTATTTCAATTGATTCTTCTCATCTCTTCATCCCTTTTCTCTACAGAGATCTTCCATCTCGTGACTCCAATCCAGTGGATCACGGAGAGTGTTCATCTTCGGCAGCACCTTGAATTGCAACTCCTTCTCTCCATCATCAATCATCGCTTCACCAACAACTTTCTAAAATGGCGACTCCAACTGATGATGTCCCTTCTAAGGACAAGGAGAACATCAAGGACGGCGATGCGGATGTTGTGCCTCCACCTAATCTGCCTGCGTCGCTTCAAGGTGTCGCAAAGCAAGGCAAATTGAGGAAGAGCAAGGCGCTCGTTCACCGCGGCCCTACCGCTCTCCCCAAGGATCGAGGAACTGGTTTCGAGGGTACCAGTTGAGTTCCACTCGCTTTGGAACACAATACTGACAGATACAGAGTTCTTTGCTGATCCGCCCATGACCCCTGATGAGGCCAAGGAGGAGACGGACGAGATCTATGCTCCGTAAGTTACAAGCCCCAGACTCGATGAGGTAAATTCTAACTTCTCCCAGTGACGTTCCCTTTGCAGAGTATGACTACCATCACTTCTTTAAGAGCTACTGCTAACATCTTCAGGCGCATGCAATCTTGCATCCAGCGCTTCCGCTCCAGACGCCGTCTTCAGGGCTCCCGAATTCTTTACTTCAAAGAGTACCTTTTCCTTGGAGGTGTCGATTGCGCGCCCAACACCTTTGGTGGTCTCAGCCAGCAGGAACTGAAGGACCTCACCCCCGCTGAGCGTCGACAAGCCACTGCAAAGGATGTCATCTGGGCCAGTTCTGCAGCCGGAGACCGATTCTACAACGGCGATGAAGAAAAATGGTCGGTCGACTTTGCCGGCGTTGCTGCTGGTTTCTTCGCTGTCACTCTAGTCCACCTCACTTCTAGTGAACTGGGGCCCATGCTGGAGGGTATCAGTACCGTCGAGAACTTTCTCCGATACGTTCTTCAGCACAATGTCTGTCCCGAGTATGAAGACGACGTCAAGGCTGCAATGGAAGTCTGCAAGATTGCCGCCGAGGAATGGCCCATGTTTCAAGAGCTTTGTGCTGCACTCCCTGGGCAGTTCAATCTGGCTGCCGCCGAACTTTACTGTCCCGAAGACGTCTCCAAGCAGTCATGGTCGTTCTTGGATTTCAAGCGTCCTGAGGGTTTCGATCCTACGTCTGCCTTTTTTACGGCTTTTGCACTCATGGACGAGCCGGAGTTATTCGAAAGATTGACTACCAAAAAGCCTACCATCACTCGCGAGTTCACGTGTACACTGGAGTTGGTCCAGACGTTCCGTCCCAGCGACGATATCGTCAAGCGGTTCAAGTCTCTTGTCATCAATGACAAGGCAGCTTATCATGCCCCTGTCGGCAAGGCAATCTTCAAGCAGGGTGTCATTGAGGACGACTGGGAGAGACAACCTACTGAATGGCCAACTGATGAAGAAATCATGACACTTTTCTTTGACGATGTTCTTCTGTCGAAAATGATGCCAGGGATGAGAATGGAAGCGGTCGTTTGTGAATTGGATGCTGGTTTGCGATTTATTAAGAGCATCGAGAGCATCGTCCCGTCATTCTACGTCTACCTCCCCCAAGAGATGATGCGACACTACAAGGAGCCAAAAGAGGATGAACGTCCTGCTAAATCGGTGCATGATGCTAATGGAAATGAAAACGACGCCGGGAAGGGGGATGGACAAGAATGAGATTGAAGATTAATCATTTGTCAAATAGATAAGTTAGACGAGCATAGGGTAGCTCAAGTACGATCAATAGATAGTGGTTGACAGTATTAATGTCCTTTTGCCGAATAATCTGCTCTAATATTTATGTCAAGTATACTACTCTGGCCCCTGCCTCAAGCTTCTGAAAGCTTCCAACAGCCCCACGTACCTCACCTACTATCGCGACGGCGCTCTCTTTCATACAAAAGTCAATGTAGCGACCATGTCAATTCCAGGCTTGGGCCAGATTCCCACACAGGTAAATACAGCATAATTCCAAAACGAACTCTACTGACATAAACAAAGCCCACCGTCACCGCGACCAATCGCGTCATCACACTCCGACCCTTGGGCGAATGGCGCTTCCAAACCTCCCAATCCTCCCCTGTTGTCGTCAAGCTTCTCTCCGGCACAGCTGAAAAGGATGGCGTCGAGCTAGGACCTAAGAACGCCTACACCTTCGCAGGCGTCAAGTCAAAGATCCTCACCTGGCACGGCTGCGAGCTCGAGATTGACGGCCGCTGCGACGCCGAATCTGTTGCCGAATATGCGAACCCAACCGATAACCCTGCCAATACGCACATGAACATTCACGGACAGCTCAACGATATGCGACAGGCGGCCGCTAGAGAGGGTAAAGAGGGACCCAGAGTACTCATCGTTGGACCAGCGGACGTTGGAAAGACGACGCTGGCGAGAACCTTGACGAGCTATGCGACAAGACAGGGATACCAGCCTTTGGTGGTCAACGCGAACCCGAAGGAGGGTCTACTCAGTTTGCCTGGAACGTTGAGTGCTAGCGTTCTTGCGACTATCTTGGACCCCGAAGCTGTGGATGGTTGGGGAAGTACTCCTACTAGCGGACCGAGTAGCGTGCCCGTGAAGCTACCTTTGGTGTTTTACTACGGACAGGCATCGCCTGATCAAGATCCTGACTTTTATCGCGAGCTTACGAGTAAACTTGCTGGTAGCGTTAGTGCACGCTTGAGCGAGGACGAGGACGTGAAGAGTTCGGGTGTTATCATTGATGGTATGGGTCTTACTGAGCAAAGCAAAGATGGACACGAGCTCGTAGCACATATTGTCGACGAATTTTCAGGTACGTTGAACCGTGATGTACGAAACAACGCAGCTAACAGGAACAGTCAATGTCCTTATTGTGGTCGGCTCCTCAACCATTAGCTCCGAGCTATCTAAGCGATTCGGCAACGAGCGAACAAGTCTGGGAGAGCCCATCAGTGTTGTTTCAATCGACAAGTCTGACGGTGTAGTCATCCGCGACGAAGTCTTCTTACAACACGTGAGAGAAGCTGCCATCAAAGAATACTTCTACGGTGACTCCAAACGAACTCTCAGCCCCCTGATCCAACAAGTCGACTTTGACAATGTCATCGTGTACCACACCTCCGACGGTACAAAACCCTTGTCCTCTGTACGGAAAATATTTGCTGACTGTTATCTAGAACATTCTTATCCCGACCAGGGTGTTTCGCGGGAAGACCCGTCCACGCCGATGCAGCACTGGACGCTTGCGGTGATGCACGCAGCGCCTAAGGATGCGCCTGATGTAGTCCGAGCTGCGAGTGTGATGGGGTTTTTGTACGTGTCGGATGTGGATGAAGAGCGTCGCAAGATCAAGTTGCTTGCGCCGGTGAGCGGACGGTTGGGTGATCAACCGCTTGTGTGGGGGAAGTGGCCAGAACCGTACATCAATCTCCTCGGATAAGAAGTTTCTTTCTTTTCCTTGTTGCTTGGCGAGGGGTTAGTCGGGGGTTTAGAGTTGGTAGTGTTACTCGAGTCAGAGTTGCGGCCGCATGTGTGCTACATTAGTAGTTGATAATTTACGTATACCAGGGGAACAGCCTGGTCTGTTTTCATTCTGTTTTGCCTTTGGTCTGTGATTGATGTGGTGTAAAGTAATGCTTGTTCATCATACTGTGAGTCTACTCAACGTAACTCATCCTCCTGCACCTGAGTAGTAGTGTAACCTCCGCCTTCCTTGTGATGTCAGTACAAGGGCACGTAGAACGCAGTTCGGGATACAGGCAAAAACTTTTATTATCGTGTTACTTCTAGTATTCTCGGTGTTCTCGCCGATGAGTTGTTTTACATATCCATGATGAAAGCACAGTGAGTTTCAGGGGTCAGCGTAGGATGGACGACCATCCGGTCCTACAACAGTGGATGAAGTCTGTCCACCTGTGGTAATTTTGAACGATACACTTCTAGCAGACTGTTCACAGGGTCCTCTCAAGTCAACATGGCTGTGCTATAACCGCAAACAGACAATGCGGACTGATAATGATACTACAGGAGAGTCTTTACATCAAGGCATGTCCGACACTGTATCCGAGTCAGACGATATCGAAATTGTGTCTTTCATCAAGTCAGCTAGTTAGTAATCGGAATCCCCGAGCTCAACGGGCCGCATCTCGTTGCAACATGAAGTCCTGATCCCTAATTATCCCGAACTTCGCTACTTTCTCCGTAGATATCTTTCTCCATTTGTATCAAACCTACGCGAATGCCCCATACCCCGCATGATTGACGGTAACTGGGGCATCTAGTCAAAGCCAAGAATGCGGATGAGACGTCATACGGGGAAGCCTACTATAGACAGTAAACTCTCGTTCCACGATATCGTGCGATATGCAGATGCAAGGTTGGTTTAAGTTGAATAGCGGAGATACGAGCTGTTACTCGGCGAACGAGACACTTTGAAGCGCCATGAGGAACCCTTGTATGTTGATATCCGGGGAAGCAACAAGTCTAGACTTTCATCAACACTCGGATCCATTTCTTCCCCGGACTTTACCCCATTGGAAGTAATTCATGATACCGGGGTTATCATTATGCTGAACCACCATTGGCTATAGCTTGAGGACATTTTGAACGTCGATATTGTCTTGTTGCTATACCCCGTCCCGGAGTTCAAAAGACGGCGCCGAAATCCCCAGCACATTTGTTGACGATGACATTCACACAGTGAACAAGATTGTTCCCCTGGTTGTAGATCAAAAGAGTTTGTCTCCACTGTGGTTAATTACGTGGCTGTGCAGTGTCCCGTCGGTTCAAGGTATCCGTGTCTGCGCAATAGGTCTGTTCAGAGTCAATGAGGTCAGATAGGGATTGACAAGAAAACAGGAACTTCTACGGATACAGGAACTTCTGATGTACTTGCTCGCATAAAACCCTAAAACAACGAGTAGGCCCGTTTCAAGCCCGGCGATTTTGAGGGGAGATCCCTGGCTGGCCACCCCAATGCTTAAGCTTAAATGTTAGCGCAAGTTTTGGGCCAAAGAGGCTCCAAAAACAGGGCCCTTGGACCACGAATTAAGAACCAGGGTGTAGACTGAAAGAGGTCATCGGCGGACAAAACAAGCATGGCAAGCAGCATAATGCAACGATGCAAGTTTCCGCAAAAAGAACATGACACTTGAATCGTACTGTAGTGACATTCATTACATACTGCCAAGATGACCAGGCCTTTTTTGTTATAGCAGGTGATTCTCAATTCTCTTGGCCGAGGCGAAGCAGACCATGATCAATTGGTCCGTACAGCTCCATAACGTCGTTGTATGCCAAGCCCAAGCCATGCCAAGTTAAAACAAGCATTCTCTCTTTAAGAGAAGGCGAGAGTAAAACGTGCAGTGTGATTGGTTGTGGTCAATGGATATCGATTGCAACGAGTTATCGCGGTCCTGCTGACGACAGACGCTAATGGACAGTAGAAGTAGAAAGCTGGCACAGTAGCTGAGTTTGGACTGATAGAGGCAATGTTTGCGTTGCCAGTATTGTGTGCTTTTGTACACGGTCATGTGTCTTGTCCAATAGATAGATTTTTGCTATTCCCCTGCATATGTCAAAGACAAACACTGACTCAAGTGTCACAAACAAATTGATATCAATCATTCCGTCGGTTACAACAGATGACGCGATTCAACCGAATTGACAGACCTACTCCGTACGGAACACAAGGAAGAAAGGTGATGATCCGACGCGCAACTTGGATCCCTTGCAACCCCTCGTGACCTTGGCAAGGTAAGCTTTGATTCGCTTGGCTGCCACGAGATACTGCATGCCAAGAGTGGTACATGGGGGTACATAGTTTGTCTTTGTTAGCTTGGACTAAGTTGTTGTCTCTTTCAAGTCTCCCGCTTGATAGGACCAGTGAAGTCGTTCTGGTCCCACCAAACTCAATCTTGACGATCTTCTTGTAGAGGTTGGCTAAAGCTTGTTTAACAACAATGGAAACTGGGAGATGAAGAGTTCAAGTGATTATAGATGATATTACTGTCTATACAGTTGTCAAGATGGATTGCTTGATAATGCAGCTTGACTGATGACACTGATGACAGCAACAGAGGAAAGCACAGTGTTAATTAAATGCGGGGCAACCCCACCAGTATCCCGTAAGGAAGCTTCACTTTAAGTGTACTGATGCACCGTTCCTTCCCTGTCTTGCCGTATCGCCTTGATTGGATCCGCCATGCGTCTAAGTCTAGTGGGCTTCAAGTTGGGATAGGTGTCGGTTCCCATCTTTGAGAAAGGCAGAGCCTCTCTTGTTAATCGTCGGCCTCTACAGCCTCCCGCTTGTAGATAAAAGGTGCCACCCCTCGACCTTCTTCCACGACTTTTCCTTTCTTCTTTACCCAGACATCGTGCTTTAGGCGGTCTCTATTCAGGCCTACTTTATCTTACATCTACAACTTTCTTTCAAGTTTACCTTTTTCTGGCTGATTCTTCCCAGCCAAACCCAATCTCTCACCCCAGCTTTCGCTTATACCAACACCCATTCGATGGGAGAAACCGAATCTAAATCCGCGAATGGTGCAGTTCACGCCACTACCACGTCGGACTCGTCGACCGTCGCTGCAGGTCAGGATGACCAGCCCCCTATAGCGGAACCCCCCGACCTAGCTATAGAGAAGCCAATTCTTCCCCATACGCTCTCTGCTCATCGTGTCGCCCAGGACCTCAAGTCCGACGTTGACCATGGTTTGAGCAGCGAGGAGGCTGCCTCCCGACTTGCTCGGGATGGCCCTAATTCCATCAAAGGCGCCAAGGGTATCTCCCTCTATGAGATCTTTATCCAGCAGGTTGCCAATGCCTTGACTGTCGTCCTCATCGCCGTGACCGCTCTGTCCTTTGCTATCTCGGACTACATTGAGGGTGCCGTCGTGGCCGCCGTCATTGTACTCAACATCGTTGTCGGGTATGTCTTTGCTGCGTCAAAAGCTCACTTAACGAGCTGTCGCTTGCTGTTGCTACAACTCCCCACTTCGTTGTTGCACTTGCTACACCTTTGTTCCTTGTTCCTGCTGCCATATGGTGAAGCCTGTGATTTTGCCATGCGTAAGGCCTGAAGCCCCAAGCACCGAGGTCGAATCCTGTGCCATACCCTGAAGCTGACAATCCGATCTCATCTAGCCACCATTTCTCTCGCAGTATGCTAACATCCACTCCAGATTGATCCAGGATTACCGCGCTGAGCAGACCATCCAGTCGCTCTACGCCCTTTCCACTCCCAAGTGTAAGGTCATCCGCGATGGCCAGAGTGAAACCGTCAAGGCTGAAACTCTTGTCAAGGGTGACATTGTCTCCCTGGCCACTGGTGATGTTGTTCCTGCCGATTTGCGTCTGGTCCAAGGCATCAACGTGTCTACCGATGAAGCACTTCTCACCGGTGAATCGATTGCCATCAGCAAAAAGCCTGAGGTCATCTTTACCGACCCTGATATGCCCATGGGAGACCGTATCAACCTGGCCTACTCCGGAAGCTCAGTCACTCGTGGTCGAGCCACTGGTATTGTTATCGCTACCGGTATGGAGACTGAGGTCGGTCAAATCGCCGAACTCTTGCGCAAGAACAAGAACGATGATACCCAGAGGAGCGGTATTAACCGCCTCGCGTGGAAGTTCTATCAGTTCAGCCGCAGAATCCTTGGTCTCGAAGGCACCCCTCTTCAGGTCACTCTTAGCAAGTTTGCCCTGCTGCTTTTCGCCTTTGCCATTCTTCTTGCTATCATCGTCTTTTCTGTCAGTCTCTGGAAGATTACCGATGAAGTTCTTCTTTACGGAATCTGTGTTGGTGTCGCCGTTATTCCCGAGTCCCTCCTTGCCGTTTTGACCGTCACCATGGCCGTTGCCACCAAGGCAATGGTCCGCGGTAATGTTATTGTTCGACAGATGCCTTCTCTTGAGGCTGTTGGTGGTGTCACCAACATCTGCTCCGACAAGACCGGCACACTGACCCAAGGACGCATGATCACCCGAAAGGTCTGGCTCCGTGGCGATCTCCAAGGTACCGTTGAAGGTACCGCCAACCCCTATGACCCTTACAGTGGTACTGTCAAGTGGTCCGCTGATCTGGCTGGAAGCTGCTTGAACACCTTCCTCAAGGTTCTTACTCTCTGCAACAACTCTACAGTCAGTGATGGCAAGAAGGAGCCCGAGACAGATTCTAGCAGCATTATTACGTCTGAGGATACCGAATGGAAGGCTATTGGTGAGCCGACCGAAATTGCTCTCAAGGTTTTCGCCATGAGATTCGGTCGCAACACCTCTGGGGGTGACATCCTGGTGGCCGAGCATCCTTTCGATTCCTCCTGCAAACTTATGAGTGTCGTCTACGGCAACGAAATCGAGCAAACCCGACACGTCTATACCAAGGGTGCTGTTGAGGTTCTTCTCACTAAACTTACCGAAACCGAAGAATTCAAGAAAGAGATTCTTCTCAAGGCCGAGGAACTCGCTAGCCAAGGCCTGCGAGTGCTTTGCATCGCCACCAAGCCTATGAATGGCGACGTTCAGGACTGTCATGATCGTGCCAAGGTCGAGAATGACCTCCAGTTTGTCGGTCTTGCTGGTCTCTATGACCCTCCCCGCCCTGAAACTGCTGGTGCCGTGGCTCAATGCCGTGCCGCTGGTGTTACTGTCCACATGGTTACTGGTGATCACATCAAGACTGCCACTGCCATTGCTTACGAAGTTGGTATCCTCAACAAGGACATTCGTCTGAAGTCCAACACCGTCATGGCAGCCGCCGACTTTGGCGCTCTCAGCGACGATCAGATTGATGCTTTGGACGAACTCCCTGTTGTTCTCGCTCGTTGCAGCCCCCTTACCAAGGTCCGCATGATTGAGGCTCTCCATCGCCGCAAAGCTTTCTGTATCATGACTGGTGACGGTGTCAACGATTCCCCAGCCCTCAAGCAGGCTGATGTCGGTATTGCCATGGGAGACCGTGGTAGCGATGTTGCCAAGGAGGCCGCTGACATGGTTTTGACCGACGACAACTTTGCCTCTATCGTTACTGGTATCCAAGAAGGTCGACGACTTGCCGACAACATCCAAAAGGTATGTTACTTGACTCTCGTTTCTGACAGGTTACTAACTGGTATAGTTCCTTCTGCATCTTCTCACCTCCAATCTGGCCCAGGTCGTCCTGTTGCTCATTGGTCTTGCTTTTAAGGATGTCAACGGAACCGCCGTCTTTCCCCTCTCTCCTCTGGAGATTCTTTGGGCCAACCTTGTTACCTCGTCACCTCTGGCTCTGGGTCTCGGTTTGGAGGAGGCTTCTCCCGATATCCTTCGCAGACCTCCTCGCAGCTTGCGTAGTGGTGTCTTTACCTTTGACCTCGTCCGCGATCAGCTCGTTTATGGATTCTGCTCAGGCTCTCTTTGTCTGGCCGCTTTCATGATTGTCAACTACGCTTCGTCTGGTCAAGGTTACTACAACATGGTCCCTCACTGTAATGAGAGCGGAACCGAGGGCTGTGACCTTGTTTACCGTGCTCGTGCCACAACCTTTTCCACCTTGGCCTGTTTGTTGTTGGTCACCGCTTGGGAGGTCAAGCACTTCCACCGCAGTCTGTTTAACATGGACGAGCGTGCTTCGGGTCCTTTCTCCGTGTTCAAGACCATCTACCACAACAAGTTCCTCTTCTGGTCTGTCATTGCTGGTTTCGTCATGATCTTCCCCATCGTGTACATCCCCTACCTCAACACTGAGGTCTTCAAGCACAAAGGTCTCACTTGGGAGTGGGGAGTTGTCGCTGGCTGCGTGATCGTCTACGTTGCTCTCATCGAGACTTGGAAGGCCATGAAGAGACGGTTCAGCTGGGGTATTGAAGCCCACCCTATTACCGGTCAGGTTGACGTCTAAATGCAATAGACGAAGTGAGTAAAAATCGGTGCTGTAGATGTATTGGTGAAGTTATTGGAGAAGGTATCGGAGGACAGGTTTTGGGATATGTACACGGTCTCAAATTGTTTGGTATTACACTTATTGTTATTATCCTCTAGTCAATATATTTCCTGTCGAAAAAAACCCCGTATGCAACGCTGTGATTAAAATGTCTATCTGGTGAAATGTTCGTAAAAGCCCGGAACCGCACAATTTGTGACAAGTCCAGGGATACTCCAGTCGTAATGGTGCCGGCACCTTGTCGGTCATGTTGAACTCGACACGAGCCCGTTTTATGTATGGTCATATCGTTTCGTGTCGGCATTTACTCGCTCTTGGACTTTTCGATGGGGTTACCATCCTTGTCCGCGAGTCCCTTCTCTTGCATGACCCTGATGGCCTCGTGGATGGGATCGAGCTCGGGCATGGGAGCTCGGTGGGAGTCCCAGTAGTTGTCGGCCCAGGTGAAGTATTGACCGTAGTTGCAGGTGAAGTACATGTGGTGGAGTGTGTGGTGGGCTGGGCTGTTGATCCATCTCTCGAGCCAGTGACCGGTAATCATGTCGCCATCGTGAATGAGGATGGTCCAGACTTGAACGCAGACGAAGAGGAACATGTAGAGGTGCTTCTGCATGGGGCAGAGGTAGACGAAAATACTATTCGAGTTAGAAGAGCGTCACTTGGCGGTAAAGCGCGACTTACTGGTAAGGAAGAGATTGGACGTATCCGTCAACGGGGTGGAAAGCAATGGCAGCCCAAGGTGTAGGAACTGGACCAGGTTAGCTGGTGTTGTCGTCGGTCGAGATATTGACTTACCAATCCACTTATGGTGAGGCTTGTGGATATATTTGTAGATGCTGGGGTGATGCTCAAGGCGATGAATCCAGTAAATACCAAGATCGTTAAAGACCATGTACAGAAGTGTAGAGATAGCCAGCCACGACCAACCGTACTCGTCAATGTTGGTGTACAGCAAGCTATGGCCGCGGACCTCTCCAAGGAAAAAGGGGAGCGTAAGAAGATCGATGATGGGAATGGCGAAGAAACTAGACTGAATCTCTTGCTTGATCTGGTTCTTGAGGAATCGAGGATGATGTTCGAGACGGCGGTCAAAGACAAAGTAATACGAGATGGCGGCGGAAATAACGTAGATAAAGGCAGCACCAAAACCAGCGATCATGAGAATCGAGGCACTCTGGCGGTAAATGTCGTCGCGCGGTAGCGATGAGCCAAAGTTGAGCGAGTATTCATCGTCAAAGTTTTTGGAAGACGATGTCGCGTAGCCCGTTGAGTTTCCGTACTGAATTTGTGTTGTTTGTTGGGGGAACAAGTATGCGTATCCGTAGTCAAAGACATACGGGTCGAGGATTTCTAGTATGGCGTCCATATTTGCGATGCGGAAACTCAATTGAGGACAATAAAGTTGGTGATGTAAAGGAAAGAAAAGAGAGAGAAATAAAGATTGATAAGAAAGTCACCCCTGGAAGTACGGACGCAATTGAATCAGGCCATTTGAGATTTTTTTTTAATTAAGATGAACTTGGGCTGCTGGGAGCTCCGCTGAAATCTTGCCGCATTGCGCCGACAGCGGTGTCTGTGTTTTGCAGGGCGCGGGCAATTCGTTCACTAAAAAATCTACCCAGATGTTTAATTTCCAATGGATGCACCCTGAAGATGGCGTAGAAGGGTAGGGGTGGGGTTCGCTAAGCCGTTGTTCCTGGATTTGCCCATCTTGATCTTATCGTGATTGGAGCGGGGGGGAAGCTCAGATCCCTTCCTTCCCCCCTTTCGAGAAAGTGTGTCCCGATTTTAAGAGAAAACGAATACGAACTAGAGAACGGTTTCTATCAGATCCATAATTAATTGACAGCCAGCCAATAATTCAACACGGTTACCGGTTGTTTGGCTGCCGGATCATGCTATCTTCACTCTCGCGCATGCCTTTGCATTTATCCTCGAGGTTGATTACTCCGTCTTTATATCCGACGCTCTTTTCGTGTTCCGCGATCTTGTGCGCCCACGTCTCATTGTCAATGTCCCATGTTCCCAGACTCTCAAAGCCGTGCTTTTTGTAAAGTCCGTGACCTTCAATTGATGAAGTAATAATGGTTGGCGCGTTGACGGCGTCTGCTTTGTCGGTGACGGTTTTAAGAAGAAGACCGCCGATGCCTTTTCGTTGGTGGTCTGGGTGTACCATGATATGCATCACCTCTGCCGTAATGTCAGTGACCAAACAGCAAACAAATTGACAAACTCACCAAAGTGATCCCTCCCATCAAGAGCCTTTTCTTTAGAGGCGTCTATCTCTTCACTGCGTTTGTCAAACCATTGCCACAAATCTTTCATGTGGTCTTTGATTGTCCACACTTGCGGCTGAGGAGGCTTGTCGCTCGCGTTCGAGTTCGGCTCCGGCTTTTTAGTCATGTCCTTGTACCGAATAAACCCCACTGTCTCCCCCGCCTCTTCGGCCACCGAGAAGTGAACCTCCGGATTCTGCAGTGCGATGCGCGTGGCAATCGGTATGAGATCTCGGGGATGTTTCTCGAAAAAGGCGGCGTAAAAGTCATTATAGTAGCTGAGAGCCTCGCTGTGTATGGTTGCGATGGTATCGCTGTCTGCCAGGGTGGCGGGACGAACGGTAATTGAAGACATGGTTTATTTAGACGAAGTCTCGCTTGAATCGATCGGTGATGGTTCTTTTTCTCTGTATTTTCCTTATGACGAAGTGTTCTTGGCATGGGTTTTTGTAGTTTTGCTACTGAGAAGTTTGGGATTTGTATGATTCCTAATGAGGAAGCTGGTGCTGGATCCTCGCTGTGAGTCAGCCGGCGATAGATATGAGGAACCTTTGGAAGGATCTATTGGATACAGTAGTTTGATCCTCATCGTATATCGCGCGCTTACGAGGTTCTGAGGCTCTGGGTCTTGATCGAGTTAGGCACATCTTACGGTGGGGTGGCTTTCGGATGTTCCCCAGATTTGATATCTGGTGGTATGGCAAGCGATGGTGTTGATACTACACAGCTAGTTGTCATCTATGTATACTAGTGGAGAGCAGAAAAAATAGCCTCCTAAGTCTTACGGTATAAAAATAAAGAGTCTAAGAACCATGATCTAAGAAGCATAAAGTGACCTACTAATTTCGTCTCTTATGGTTCCAGCGGTCAATACCCCGAGAGTATAGTACCAGCCACAAGTATCTACGAGTATCTCTCCCAATGTTTCGACTTCCATTGCTGTTCTGACAACAACCGAGATTACTTAGACTTGGCTGATGTTGAAACTGATGTCGCAGTGAAACATGCCTGATACCTGGACAACCAGCACGATTACTATAGCTTTATGAGCTTCAAATTAGGTGAAGACTACATCTGTCAAATAGAGTTGATCTAAATGATGCTTCTTTCTGTATAGCAGAGTCTTGATCTCATCGCTTCAAGATTCTGGAACATTAGGTCACGTGCCCCAATTGACCTCATTGAGGTTGAGACAATAGGCCTGCCCCTAAGAGGTGCATAGGCTGATGTACCGGGCCGTTTTATGTCATTCCATAGCTGAAAGGGTCGTCTATTTATATACCAAAACTTGAGAGGTTCTATTACCCCTTGGTTGTGTTGTTGTACCCCTGACTTGTCAAATGACAGCCACAGAGGCTCAATATAACAGTGTGTAGTTAACCCTGACCAGACCAAAGAACTGCTATTCTACAATAGAAATTCGTCGATAGTTTCTTATTGTTTACCATAAAGACATCATTAGTCCTTGAGTCTGTTAGATAGAATCGGCTAAGATTGTGGTAGCCGATTGTGGTAACCAACTACGGGAAGCTACTGCTGCAAGGCTGCTAGCTACTAACAAATAAGTGGTCCAAGCTCCACCCAATCTCTGTTGATTGGCAAGTCGCGATGATATCGCAGCCTTGAGCTGAGCATCCAACTTCCTTTGACATGACAACTTCAATCTATCAACATCACGACAACTTGATAAATGAATCGCGCCCATCATCCGCTTCTTATACAAGTGTATTCTGATTTGACTACAATATGAGCCAAAGTCTCGGTCAAAAACCACCACCTGCAAAATGTCGTCTCCAGCAGTACTAAAAACGATACGTTCATTAAAAGATTCCACCTTTGAAGCTTGCGCGGCCATCAGCGCATACTCCAAGACATCTTTATCTTCGTTAAAATCATCGGAAACAGATTCCAAAGCGTCAAAGATTGAGATTAAGCATTTGCTCGTCGAGCTGAGGCTTCTCGGAGGCTCACTTCACAGTCTCGAGTCCTTTGTTACTGAGTTGGCAGCCGACAATGACACTTCTGGCGACAGTACGTTAGGCATCACGCCAAGCACATCAGGCTCTGCTTCCGGGAACGAAAATGATCGCGAATGGCCGATGATCGACAAATGCGAGATACTGGTCTCTGCTTTAAAGTCATTCCATGCTTATGCGACATCGGATGGCATCAAGGCGGCTAGAGCATCGCTTTCAGACGTTCGCTCTAAAATTGCCTTTGTTCTTGGGTCGTCCGATACCTTGGAGGATATCGCACTTCAATTCTCGATACTCACAACAGACTCTGTCCCCCAGCTTATGGTCCAGAAGAAGGACCGTGAGACTGTTGAAACCCTTGACCACTACGATGAAGATGAGCCCAGCGCAACCGATGTTTCTGATTGGCTTACAATCCTAAACTCATCTGAAAATGATCGCGAACCAGCAGAGTACAACAGAGAAACAATGCTGATACAGGCGCGTCGAATTACAGAGCCAAAATATCGAGTGGCAGCCGCAAGATGGCCAGAACATGCCGAAAAATATTGGCAAAAGCTTAGGCCGCAAGTCTGTACCCTTTTCAGGATACAAAAGTCATATAGCTTCGTGCAATGGGTTCTGGAATATGCTAGGGTAACGTATCCGCGAACGTTGGGGTCCCTAGCCTTTTCTCCAAGGCTTCTCCTTGAATTGACAGACGCATTGTGCGACGGATCTGTCTCGTCACTTCACATCGCAGCTGCTCTTGGCTTACCCAGTCTTTGCAGAGATCTTCTTTCCATGGGCGCCAAAGTCAATCAGTCCAGTCTCATTGGCACGCCCTTGTTCTGCGCCCTTGTTGGCAGCAAAGTCCTCGCAACCCGTACAGAACCAGAATCATGGACCACACTGCTTGTTGGTGGCGACTCGAATGTCGACCAGGCAGCAACCATTCTTTTACTTATCGACGGGGGTGCCGACTGCAAATATCGTTATACTTGGAAAAACGGAACCGAAGAGGTATCACTGGCAGGCCTGGCTTTCTGGACTGCAATGATCAGCAAGCACGAGGCTGTATTCACGCGCATCGCCAAGGGAGGAGGCAATCTGGACCGATCATTCCACCAGCTCTTGCAGCGAGAAACCTTGACAAAGCGCGGTCTGCTTCACCGTACAAGGTTCGCGCGCCTACTTACCTACGTCTACGATATGACCTTGGTCGACATGGAACGAGAGAGCACAGAATATGCGGAAATACAAGAGCTTGTGTCCAGGGTTATGAGACATACCAAAGTCAGATTTTCGCCTACGACAGATGGAAATATTGATACTCTAAGCGATGGAAATTTTGCAGAAGCCATACGAACCGCTGTTTTGGATTTTAACGTCACACTGGTGGAACGATTGACAAAAGATCCCAGATTCGACCCCAACTTTCCGTACGACCATGATGGAACTTCTGGTACGATCCTTCACATGGCTACAGAGGGTGCGCAGCTCGAAATTATGGACATCCTTATTCGCGCTGGGGCCGACGTGCGAGCTAGAGACTCGGAAGGTCGTACACCCCTTATGGTCATTGAGGAAGTCGGTCCCTTGGCGAAGCTGATTCTGGAACACTCGGCTCCTACCTATGATACAGACAATGGTGGCCGCAACATCTGGCATCTTCTGGCTGCTACAAATGACGTGAAACTGCTGATGTATCTATGGGACAACGACCCATTCAAGATCCGCAACCTTGAAGCCGTATGCGAGGATGGGCATACCCCATTGAGAGCAGCATTCGCTTATATCAACGCCTTGGAAGGGATTTCAAAGAGCTCCAAGAAAGTTGGACCCTTGGCAGCCCAGTTCCTGCTGAAGCAGTGTCAGGGGTATCTGAAAGCAGAGGGTAACGAGCAGTTGGCAAGGTGGGCCATAGAATGGGGCGATGTTGATCTCGTTAAGAAAATATTTCAACTCATCCCCAGCGCTAACACGGGCGATGAATTACTTCTCCGGTCGTTGAACATATCGGCCTCCCCTGAGCTTGTTTCGCTCGTTCTTGAAAAGGCTGGGCCCTCTCGGCCATTTTCTGACGGCCTGACGCCAGCAGAAACAGTCATCACAAACACAAAGCTCCTACGGCCGCTAGTAGTAGGATTAACTGCCAAGCCAAGTCTTCACCCGTCTTGTTATCCCGAGATGACTCGCGCCGCTTACATGGACTTGCTCACTCCTGAAGTTCTTAATTCACGAGACAGCCAGGGAAGAGGTCTGTGGGCAAGGTTCTGTGATGATGTACTCTCGACGCTCGGCAGCCGATCAGCCGACTACCCCAACAACATGTATTTCCTGTATGGGTTTGTGCGTATGGCAATATCGTGCTTGCTTCAGAAGGGTGCTCTCTTGGATTACGAGAAAGAAACCGGAGAGTGGGCAATTGCTCGCATTACCAAGAAAGCCCAAGTTGGTGCCGTCACTTGGACACCTTCCAAATTGCCATTTGTTGCCGCCGTTCTGGAAGCGTCCTTTGACGAAACGGAAAATCCCGATCTGACCAAAGCTGGCTCGAAAGAGTTCTTTGATACAAGAGACGCTGCAGTTCTTCTTTCACTTGCTGTGCGCTCTCGGAAACCAGATATCGTCGTACTACTTGTCAAGAGCGGCATCAACGTACACAAGCCATGGGAGAGTTTTGGTGGCAGATCAATTTTCGAGGACTTTTTAGCGGATGAGCCTGTGGATGTTTCGATGATTATGCCGTTGCTCAGCAATACAAAACCACAGGACATTATCGCCAACCAACATTACACTTTCCGAGAGGTTTTATCCATACCAGACGAAGCTATCGCTTTGATAGTACTTGAAAAACTTATTGACTGCGGATTGGATGTCAACAGTCTCGAAGTTACCAAGTAAGTTTCACCATCAGTATCAAGGTCTTTGCTAAACAAAAGTTAGTCAACCATCGTTCAGATCACCAGTCCACGACTCCCCCGGTCCATCAATGCTAGTAAAAGCACTTTGTCGTTCAAGAACCAGTCTTGCAATGCTGCTAGTCCGCCGTGGTGCAGATGCTAGTTTGGCACCACCAGATTCTATCAGTGGCTTCATGCTGGCCGCCAAGATTGGCTTTGTGGTTGTGCTTGAGAACATCATCGAGAAAGCACCTGAGGATTTTAACTGGCTATGCCGTTTTAATGCTCTGGAACACGGTGATGTCTTTAATGCACTTCAGTTTGCTGCAGTCGGGGGTCATCGCGATGTCATGATGGCGCTTTTGGAAGCTACGCCGTTGGCTGAAGAGATTGATACTACCAGTCCACGATATGGTCGATCACCAGCGCATTTGGCTGCCAAAGCCGGGTCTCTAGACTGCATCAAGGTATTGACCAGGTTCGGCGCAGACTTGACTGTCAGAGACATTTCAGGCAGGACACCACTCTTTTATGCTCTTTTGGGACCCAACCGAGAGGTGGCTGAGTATATCGAAGAGCACATGCCGGATCCCAACAGCACCCGAAATATTATTCTCCCACCCTCTTACCCTGACTCGCCTAGCACATCTTCCATGTTTTCACTTCCAGATTCTTCTGACGTTGATATGGTAGACGCGTCTTCCGAGACGATTGAAAACTCAGAACCTCGACGTCTAGGCGACTTGCTGGCTCATGCAATTGATCATTACCAGCTGAAGAGTGATGCTCTTTTTAAACCGTTCCTCGATCACGCTTCGAAGAAAGACCTAGAGTCTGCCGTCATGCCTTGTGGAGGTTGCACTCTCCTCAGCTACACAGCGTCCAAAAATCTCATACGACCTATGTTGGAGCTTCTTGACCTGGGCTTCAAAGGATTCGTGACTAGCTGCGAAGAGCATTGGAATGACGGTTACAACGCGCTATTTCAGGCCGCTCGGCATCTACAGCGACTCATGGCGTATGATATGTTTATTTCCCCTGAAAAGGCATATTCCTTCTTCGAAAAGTGTCTGGATGCATATTTACAACAAAACCGGCTTTGGTTTCACATGAGAATGAGCCCTATACATGCTATTTTTCACTTGGGACAATCTGTCCACAATCCTGCGCCCATACCGAGTTTGGAACATCAGTACAACGTTCTTCAGATATTCATTAATCATTTAACAGAACACGCCGAGCAATACTGGTGAGCACACTTTAGAGCTTTAAAGGAATTTTGCTAATAGCAGCAGGACTTTGATGAAAAAATATGGACTACTGAATCTGTTCTCTTTCCCCGAAAACGAGAGCATCGTGAAGAGAGTCTTGCGGTTCGCTGTCAACCTAACGACCCAGTCAGATTTTCCAGGCGGGTCTGGTCACACTCCTCTGCACTTTATGGCTGTTTATTATGGCGTAAAGGTGCTCACGACGCGGCATCATGAAATTGTTTGCAAGATGGCCAAGCTCCTTATCGATAGCGGAGCCGATGTCAACATTCAAGACGACGCTTCAGCAACACCCTTGCACCGTGCTGTACACTATGATCTTCTGCCCTTGGTCGATGTGCTTTTGGAAGCAGGTGCCGATCAAGATATTCCCAACAATGAGGGCGTATCACCTTTGGGCTTGTCATTACGTCGTGCATTGTATGGAAATTTCGATATGACTCGTCGCTTATTAGAACGTGGTGGCAACCTTGCAACCGTCGCTATCCATGAATTAGGCGGTTATCAAGATGACACTTTGAGGAGCCTACACGAGTTGCTCAGGCTTGGTTTGGATCCTTTTAGTATTAATTTACCAGGTCGCGAAACAACTCTTACATGCATACTCTCCAACGACAGCCAAAACTACGCCCTGAACGGAGATTTTGACTTTTACCAACTTGCAGAAGGGGAGCCTTCTTTCTTGAGAAGTGCCTTTTTGGGAAGCTTCGAAGGATCCACTGTATACAAAGAAGTGGGCAAAATGAGAGCAATCATTAAGCGCATTCCGTTGGAATGTCGTGCTCGTGTTGTGAATTTCGAGCCAGATAATGGACTCAACATTGGATTTACAGCCATCCTCCCGGACATGGACGACACGTTCCGATTGTTTCTCGAAGCCGGGTTCGATATTGAGCGCGAGAGGCGCGGCAGGGGTTCAGCATTGATGTTTGCCAGCAGCGTTGGGGCATTCAAATGTTTCAAGATGCTTATTCGACACGGCGCAAATATCTCATACCTTGGTATTGGCAGAAGAGGCGAGCCCGTCATTAGGTCTGCAGTGGAGGAAGCAAAGAGATACCCCAAGCTACTGCGGTGGCTCCTTGTCGGCCGTTACTATGAAACAAAATACCTTGCCGAGAAGGAGCACAATGGACCAGACACTGTTGTCAAGCCTTGGTCAGGTCCTTGGAAGGCAGCGTACACAATGAGAGGTGGTGATGATGAATTTCCCCGGGTGTATAGCGAATCTATGAGAGGATATGCTAGGCGAGTAGCCATGTTGCGTCAGAGACTAAGAGGACTTGTCTTGCCTGTTGCTCTTGTTGAATGACGAGCGCCAAGTGGCAGCCTATGGAAGAGACGGGAATGTTGGATGTACAATTTTACATGTAATAATAGATTTTGGAGTATGTAAATAGCGATGGATGTCTGCAGACCTGGAGTCTTGGGATTTACAGATAGTGTTACTCTAAAAGCCACAAGAGTTGTTCTAATATACCATAGTGCTATAAATCTTGTCATCTCCTGTACTCTCGTCTGTCTTGCATCTTGTCACCGTTCCAGGCTCGAAGATGAAAGTTGGTAGGCTAAGCTTAGGGTATCTCTCGGAGCATAAGAGACGAAATTAGTAGGTCAGTTTATGCTATTCAGGGTATACATTTAGATGATACATTTTTGTACCCGAAGACTTGAGGTCAACTTTTTTGGTGCCCCAATTAAAGCAATGCCGGACACCGCAGCAATTTACTTGAAGTCTGCCGTGAGGGCTTAGATTTAGTAAATCTTTGGTGCTTGTACGTGATTTTTAATGCATACTGACTTTATCCCTTACTTTATAGCTAAGAATGGCAATCCTGTTGATTGAGGATCATTTACAGATGATTGCCGTCAAAGTCCTATTCGCTACCCTAGACAAACATCAAACAGTCACAGTCGCTATCAAACGCCTTGAAACAATAGAACAAGCTGAGAAACAACGAGGCAGTCTCAGCCGACATCAACTAATGATAAGAAATTGTTACAGACCATCACCAGTCAGTAATTAATCGGCCAACGTTCTAGCGTATGCGGGACGACTCGCCGGCGTGTTTCATGATACGCAAAGAATCACGACACTAATCCTTATCCCTCACAAGGAACCGACAGTGAGGGTTTTCTCAGACCAGACCATTCGGGACCCGACTCATGCAGGTGCTTCGACACTAAAAAGTCTCTGCAATGACGTGGAGCCGACTCGTGTTGGTGGGAAAGTCAGTCATGGCATTGCAGATGATAAAGTATCTATTTAGTAACACGAGGATACAATCACTACAAATGTAATGAAAGGCTATTAATGCATTGCTGAGTAGATAGGCAATAGCAATACGCCAAGACGACACTTGAACACGTGTGGTGTCCGTGAGGATCTAAGCATTAGCCTGACGTGCTGATGGATACTCCACGATACCTGATAGATGTCTGTGCGATGAGGGGAAAGGCCAAGATACTCTACTCAGTCGAACCAAGAATAGATGTCCAAGAGTACCTCTGGGAATATAAGAGACTAAATTAGTAGGTCAACTTGTGCTATCCAGATACGGCTTTTTAGGCTGTTTATTTTTGTACTCTTAAGCCTAGAGGTCTGCCAGCCACTAGGAGGTATATAGGTGATACATTACCTGAATACCTTACAACGCGGCACGTCTGGGCAAAAGCAATCAACAATAACATTATCATTTTAAGATGGGTACTATATTCGATACGCGAATGCAACCAACAGAAGAAATTACGATGGAAAGGTGGGTTGCATTGTAATTGATAGTGATCAAGTTAATATTGACCAGGTTCAGTAGACAAAAGAGTACCAATATTTCGTCTGATCTCTTTACAGTAATGGGGTATTTGGTCTTTAGTCTACAGTCAAGGTAACACTGCAGGTACTGCAATGTACTAATTCCTGCATCTGTCGTGTCGGCATAATGCACATAATTAATCAACGACAGATCCCAGCAAAGGCGGGAGGAAAAAGCAATGAAAGGGTCCCAAATCTACCGGACAGTAAGTAACAAGGACCACATCTTGCTGACTACCAAGACCTAAGCTCAGGTAGGATAAAAAATAAAGGACCCGAGACATGGTCAGGGTCCGCACTAACAACCTTGACTAATTCCTTCGTCCAACTTGTCTTTGTTGACGGGCCGATGCAATTCGGTGGCAACACGACACGGGATATTTGAAAACACCAATATTTAAAATCATGATGATCTAGCATACCGGTTGTATGATTGACGCAAGGATGTGTTTTGGTCTGTCGATCGGAATGAGGCTGGACGGCACAGATCGTGAAAGGCTATCAAGTGCAACCTTATCTTCTTCCCTCGTATTTCTTTTGGCAGGTCAACCGTCTACTAATACGCCAGATCGAGAAGGTAATTACATAGTCTACTCTCTTGTTAAATTGATTTCGAATTCAACCTGACAGCAAGGGTCTCATAATGTCACTTCACGTTTGAGATGAATTAACTGGACTGTCCAAGAGTAGGCCGCACTCCACAACCATTCTTTAGCGGCACTTGAGTCCGTCAATCAGTGTCTTGCCTGTGACCCTGATCCTTGTCGATCCTCCTGATTGACCAACTCAGCCCAACATATTCGCATCCAAGAAAACCCTCGATGCATAAAAAACACAATCTCTTCTGGCAAAGCCAATCGCCCTTCCGCGCCGTCCGATCCGATGACAAAATAGAGTTTCTCTAGAATTTTTTCGTTCTCGGAGAAAAAGAGAAGAAAAAAGAGGCAAAAACGTTGGGTGAATGACGAAGCCATATTCCCATACTGCTGGGATCGTAGATCGCTTGACTTTTTCTCTTTTCCTTGACTTGTGTCTTTTGGGAAGCTAGCCCGCAACCGGATCGGCGCCTCTTGTCAGCCACCGTACGCTCTGGACCGGGACCGATCTTTTGGGTTGTCGCTGTTAGCTTCGATAGTTTTGCATTAGCATCGTCAAGGGGACAGGGTCTAAGAGTCAAGTCAAACAGGGCAGACAGAGAGATTCTTCTCTCGTAAGTTGTCTCGTTTGCGTACGAATCATCTCCAATTCTTTGGCTTGTGACAGACCCAATTCTTCGTAAAATCCTTGTCCTGGTGGAAAAGAAACTCAGCTTGTCTGGGTTATCCACTGGGAAAATGTCCCGACTACTTCTGCAGCCACTAAAAAAGAAGCCAGGATGGAAGGTCTCAGTGGGCCCCGGCCAAGAGGTTGCACGAACCCGACTTGGCCCGCCCCCGCAAGCTTACCTTAGCTTGTAGCTTTCGGTCCACTAAACTGCCTGTCGAGTCAGTCTTGACATCCTCCGGTAGTCTTAGTATTAAGCGATCGTACGCTGCTCCTACTTTTGCTTTAGGAGTTCTGGTCCTGTTCCGCGACTCGTCAAGTTAGCCGTACCTGACCTGCACTCTGAGCTGACAAGCGGTTACGGTTGCACTTGCCTTGAACCTAGACCCATTCTTTTCTTCTGTCCCTCCTTCCCTCTTACCAATCTTATACTCAACTTGCGCCTTCCATTCATCGCAATTCATTTTACTCATACTCACATACTCCTTCATGATTCTATACTGTCACTTTCAACAATAACAACTGTCCATGAGACCTTTTATACTTTTCTACATCAGCGAGCTCTGAAACATTTGATCATCATAATACAATTGTCGCATTCCATCTACGACAAACCCCGGATTCGGCTTCCCTGGAGAGACAACAATTAAAATGCCTACTATTAATGCCCACCGAACCTTTGAACCGCCAACAATGCCTTCTCTTCCCGACTTTGAACGTCGTCGTTCCACAACATCGTCGCTCTCGCATAATAGCGACTCTTTGGGAGGTCTCCAGTCACCACCTCTCAGAAGCAGATCAAGCCGACCCAAGAGCGCCAAATTCTCATCATACCGCCTGCGTAGTAATTCTGGTCTTTCACTACACACCAATGAAGATATTTTGCGACAATACACCGACTACCACCCTGATGGCACACCTCGCGCGGGCTTGTACAGCAATGGAGGAGGTCAATGGTCTGCCGAAAGGTTGAGGAGTATCGACTCAGTTGCGTCTTCTGCAAGAAGCCAAAGATCCAGTATCGCTTATACCGAATCAGACAGCTCTGGTGAGCTCCCAATTCCTGACTTAGTGGGACGAGAGATGTTCGATATGGTCATGGCCGACCACGCTGCTAGTGGACAATTATGGAAATTTGCTGCTGATCGTGGTGTTGGTCAGAATGTGGACTATCTTATGAAGGTGAGAAAAAGTCACAATAGTATTTAACAAATCTAATCATCAACAGATCCGCGACTACATCCAATCCTTGGAACAGGTTGTCATCCAGCTATCGACCATATCAACCTCATACACCTCCATCACCGCAACCTCACCACTTGGCCTTCCCGCACCAATGTCAAAGGCTCTCAACACCAACATCAAGCACCTCACAACATCTCTCATTCCCAGTCTGGAGAACATGTTTCTTGAGTCTAAAGCATTCATCGAGCAGCGCATCGTCAGAGAAATCTTTCCCGATTTTGTCAAGCAACAGTTATCGCAATGCACCAGTTTGGCTCTGTCCCTCGATGCAGAAGGCGACTCTCCACTGAACCCGTACCCCGGTTTGAAGGGTTCTTTCTGCCTCAGCGATCCCTCGCGATCTGGAAACCCGATTACTTTTGCCTCAGATGAGTTTGAGGAATTGACAGGATATTCGCGAACCGAAGTTCTCGCACACAACTGTCGATTTCTTCAGGGCCCCCAGACTGATCGGGATCGCATCGCCAACATGCGCTCAGCCATCTGGCGTAACGATGAATGTACAGAGCTGCTCTTGAACTTTAGAAAAGACGGCACACCTTTCTGGAACCTCTTATTCTTGTGTCCTCTTCTCGACAAAACCGGAAAGACAAAGTTTTTCATGGGTGCTCAGATTGATGTTTCATCCTCGATACACGACACAGACGATGTTCTCAAGATTCTGTCTTATGGTGCTATGGAGGAAGAGAGAGCTACCGAACGATGCAGTTCCCGCTGGGCGAGCGAAGCTTCTCACGACGAGCCTGAACACGACGAAGCATTTGGAATTAAGAATAACCAAAAGTCATCAAAGAAGGCGACCTCTTTCTTTAAATCGTTCAAGAAAGCGAACCCTCCTCCATCACCACCATTGAGCCCTCGCCGCAGTGCTGATAGACCTCACTCATCAGGACATGTGTCGGATAAAACATATAGCACACGAAGCGTCATCAGAAGATTTTCCAGCCAGCCTGAAATGCTTATGTCGACCTACGCCCGGTACATGATTCTCGAACATGTGCCATCTTATCCCAAGTCCCTCGGCGCAATGCCCCTAGACCAGGAGGGCAAATACCCTCCAAAACTCTGCGTTTCCTTTTATTCCAAGGAAATGTCCGACGCACTCGACCTTGGCCCATCTACCGAAGCCATTATAGGCAAGGACATATTCGACATAATGACTGAACAAGCTACACTACCTTCAGTCACAAAGGCGTTCAAACTGACAGTTCGAGACCTCGTTGTACGCGATGGAAAGTCTGTTTCACTCGATCTCGCCCTTGCAAACCATATTCCCCGTCGGGCCAACACGTCGAGGTCACCTGTCACGGGTAGTGATAATGCGGATGGACCGCACAAGAAGCCCGCCAAGCTTATGAGCCACTGGACGCCTCTCAAAGATGCCGAGGGTCACGTCAAATATGTGGTGATGATTGTTTCGCCAATCTAATATACCATGGCGTATTAAAACGATGATGATGAATGGGCGTTTGGAGATTTGTTTTTTGTCTATTGTATTGGCGATTTTTGAAGTTATATACCTACATAAACGGCCTAGAGAATGAAGTCATGACTATAATACAAAATGTCAACTATCACGTCAACATTTGCATTGTTGTTTAATCTTGCCAAGTGATGAGCGTTCAAGAGATTCCTGATCCGGAGCACACAATGGTGACGCGTCTCTACGTTAACAATCACGTAAAACAAATTGAAAGCCACATTCCTGCCATAACGTACAACAAGTTTTACCAGAACACCGCAACGTCCCATGACGCCGGTGAAAAAGGGGTCAATGGCATTAACAATCCTCCTAGCTCGGCCATTTAATTCCACCAACGCCCGCCAACCACCAGAGCGCAGCCATGGCGTTTACGTTCAACTCTAGAAAATTACTGTAGGGCTATCATGTCGGCGTAGAGTGATTGGCCGGCACCGAAGGAATTGTCCGAAGGTTTGCAGTAGTGAGAATTGTTTGTCTCCTTGGCGGGTGTTGGAGTGTAGACTTTTCCCTTTGAGAACAAGATGGCGAGAGACGTGCAAAGTTGAACCTGCACGTTTTGGGGTACAAAAATGAGTGGCCTAAGAACTATGGAGCAAGGAGCATGAATTGACCTATTAATTTCGTCTTTTGTGAGTCAAGCGCCAATGTTTCTGATACCCTGAGATCTAGCTACTGAAAATGGTCGGCAATTCTCTCTGAGCGGACTGCATTGACATCCAATAACAAGAAAGGGAAATGCTTTAAGGAACTTAGTTGCTCGGTACTTTGTACAGTAGTTTGTGAAGAGCATTCGTTGTTTATTGGTAATATCATCTCCTGATAGAAGACCATCGCTATCCCAGAAGCTGAACTCTTCAAATTCTAGAGCCTCGGTCGCCGTGGTTTGATGTGGAGGCCGCTTGGGATTGATCACTATGGCCGATCGAGGGGCGGAACGATGATTGATGGGATAGGCCTGGCTTATTGCTTGGAGTTCTAGGCTGAGAGAATGATGGTTGAATTTGTCGGCGGATAGGGGTAAGAGTGTATGGGTTAATGATATGCGTGGTAGATGCCTGGACTGGCGATACGTGAAAAGAGTAAGAGACAAGTTGATGATAAGTTCATTAAAGGAGACGGCAGAGAAGGATAGAGATCAATTGCAGGTTCAGTGCTCTTAAGTAAAGATGTAGTGGGAAGATCATTCTCGAACCAAGTGAAGGAGCACCTCTCGTTCTCTTTCGTGGTGCACTTTTATCTCAACTCTGTGGAGACTTTAGGCTAGATCTCTCAAAAGCAAGAAACAGTGAATCACTATCACTTCTTTACTTTGACTATTTAAACCCTTCTTCATTCGGCATTCAATCTTTCATCCTTTCATCTCCCTTCCACCTCACTCTCATCGAGGTGTTTCTTCTCTATCCAACCACTACACCACCATCGAACATCCCTTATCTTTTGACAGATAGGACTAGATCCCTCATCACCATGGATCCTCCGGGCCAGCCTGATGTGTACATCAAGCCTGAACGTTCTCCAAGCCCTTCTAGTCCACCTCCCGATGTGTCCACAGCAGACCTCGAGTTCCTGCTACAGGATACCATCACGAAAAGAGCGCTCGCCTTTGCAAAATCTAGCGATACGACAAGCTCAGTTGGTCTGCGGGCTCCGAATCAGCGCTTGAACGGCGAAAGTACCGGTGACTTGTCAGACGAAGACAGCGCGGATGAGAGACAAGACAAACTTGATAGGCAGGATTCGGACTTTCAAGTGGACGGTCACGCCGAACAGGACAGCGATGGCAACCTAGGTAAGTAGGAGAAATGGACTATCCATTAGGATGTCATGTTGGAATGAAATAGGAGAACAGGCTAATTATCCAAAACAGTTATTGTCAAAATCGAAAAGTCAAGTGACAGTAAAAGCAACAATCCCCCCGAGCCCAAAACAAAACGCAAAATTGCCAAGACATCACACGAATACTGGCAGCGAGAGTTGCAGCGAGAAAAAGAAAAAGATGTAGAAAAAGAGGCCGAAGAAAAGAAGCGCAAACTCAATGGGGATGGAAACAACCCAAAGAAAGGGCGGAAAACGTCAGCTAAATCATCTGCTGGTGTAGATGCAAGGAATCTCGCTGGACTAATGGCCAACACTCTTCACAGCATGGACGACATCGATGAAAGTTTCGCCAACGGCAGTGTGCCGAGCATGGGCTCGATTCAAGCAAGCTCCAAAAGGGACCAGATCCGGCAGATGATAAACAGTGTTCCTCCAGACCTCGACAATCGACAAACAAAGACGCAAAAGGCAGAATTGAAACAAGCAATGACCAGTTTTGGATTTTGCAACGTTGAGCAAGCTAATGGGAAATGGAGGCTTACAGGTATTAGTCAACGTTTGGAAAGCCATCAACTCACAGCTGCGCAATGGATGGTCAAGCGGGAGGCAATGGAACTATCGCCGGCTGGTGGTATTCTGGCTGACGACACAGGCATGGGGAAGACAGTCAGCACCCTTGCTTGCATAGTTAGCCACCCCCCCGAGCCTAACGACATCAAAGAGTTCAGCAAGGCGACATTGATCGTGTTGCCAAATCGAGGTATGGTTACACAGTGGTTGGGTCAAATCGAAAAGTTCTGCTACTCCAAAGACGCCTCAGACAGGACCGTTCGCTACTCTAAAGCAGAGGGCAGAAATTTGCAGTGGTGGGGTAGCCGTTGGGTTGTGTAAGTTATCGAGGTCTTGAATATGACAAGATATCTGACGTGATACAGACTTACTACCTACTCTGAGCTCGTTTCCCAATCTGTTAAACCAGCAGTTATCAAGAAACTCAAGAGCGACTACCAGGATGACAAGAAAGGATTCGCAAAAGCGCTGAGCAACACACTGGGACCTCTGTTCAACATTCGTTAGTATCGGGTGATCTTGGACGAGGGCCAGGCTATCAAGAACCGCGAATCAAGCACCGCTTTCGCATGCTGCAATTTGACAGCCAAGTATCGCTGGGTATTGACTGCGACCCCTATTTCCAATGGAATTCAAGGTTTGTGTCTCATTCTATCAATCATGAAGCTCTGCTAACTTGTATATGTTAGAGTTCTACCCTTATTTGAAGTTTATCGGCTGTAGTTTTACCCGGACACCGGCAGAATTTACTGAGCAGTACATTACAGGAGTAAGTATTCACTACAGCCATGGGAAACTCTACTTACTTTATGGATAGGAAAATGCAGATCAGAACATCCGATTCATTGTCAGTATGGTTATGCTCCGACGGTAAGTAGTGTAGTGTTTCCAATATGCGAGTATCTGACAGAACGCAGAACTCACAAAGATACATTCCTGGGCAAAAAAATCACAAATCTCCCATCAAGCAAGTGTCATGATCTATGGGTTACACCTCCGAGTTGGGAGTTGATCCTGTCTAAGTAGTAACATGCGCTCTTGAGTTAAGAAATAGGGTACTGACTATCTATAAAGGGCATCAGACAGCGGAGACAACGTCAAATTTTTCGAGACAGGTGCCAACATAGATGCTGTTGACAATGATACTACATCAGGCGAGCCTGACGTTACTGGCAAACCAGATGCCAAATCCTTGACCGCGCAGGTCACCAGAATGAGACAAGCGGCGTCCCATCCGTTTAACCTTGAAAAGTTTCTTCAGGAGAGCAAACACCAGGGTAAGATCGAGTGGATACTTGAACAGTACAAATACAGTGTTAAGCAGCAACAACCAAATACCGATGCAGAACAACAAGTCGAAGATGCGGCTCAATGGGAGCCATTCTTGCCAGGACAGCAACAACTCGAAACCGAATACCAAAGCGTTTCGGGTGACATCACAGACATGACCAAGCTATTTTCGCTGGCGGTAAACGAGCACAACAATCATGGACTGGTATGTTGTCTTTGTGAAGAGCCGATCGATCTGAAGATAGTTGCCAGATCAGCAAACGTAGGTCAAGTCTTTGCTATTATACAATTCGCTAATTTTGATAGTGCGAACATGCTTATTGCAAGGGCTGTCTTATCGTCGCTCTCAAGAATGCACGAAAAGAGCAAGCCGAGGGAACTCCTGAACAGGTAAGCGAGGGGACATCGATTTTGATAATGTAACTGACATTTGCTTTTTCCGATCAGTGTCCAGCAGACGATTGCTCTGTTGAACTGGTCAGAGCCAGTCCTCCCAAAACTCCACAGGGTATATTGAATGCTGTGCATGCGCTGAAAGACTTCAAAGAACCTGGGACAGACAGCATCGGATCTAAATGGCTGGGAGACGGCAGGGGAAAAGAAAAGGGAACTGATTGTTTCTTTGCTGCTACTTGTGGCCGGGACGACATCGATTTCGGTCCAGTGAGGATGCCTTGGGGAGCTAAACTGACTGCCACAGTTCAGGTGATTCTAACATGGTTGAAAAAGTCTCCTGACGACAAGATTATTGTTTTCATCGAGTTTACCATCACGGCGAAGGTGTTAGGATGCATCTTGGAAAAGCTGGGACTAAAGTTTCTCTACTACAATCAGATCGCGAATACCCAAGCCAGAAGGGACAAGGCATACAAAGAATTCCAGAAGGACCCCAAAATTAGGATCCTGGTAAGTGTATGTGACATTATTGTTTGCTTGCACTTAAGCTAACCAACCCGTTAGGTGGCGTCGATGAAATGCGGAGGAACGGGATTGAACCTCCAGATCGCCAACCTGGTCATTATCGACGACGTTTGGTTCAACAATACTGTTGAGCAACAAGCATATGGCCGTGTCCACAGAATTGGACAGAAGAAAGAGACAAAACTTGTACGGATTCTCGCACGAGGCACAATTGACGAGAGGATTGTCATGTTGCAGGAGGCCAAGGCTGAAATCGTCAGGCGTGTACTTCAGGACGATGAACACGAGCCAACCTTTTCAGATGACCTGCAGCTGAGAATTCTTCTGACTGCCAAAGACAAGGACGCCATGATCAATGAATTGAAGAAAGAAACTGGCAAGCGCAGGGTCAGGCCGAAGAAGACTGCTGCCAAGGAGAGGGTCAAGAAAAGTGTCAAAACTGACACGGAGACAAAGAAGACAAGAACCAAGAGCAAGGTCATGAAAAGGTACTAGGCACGAAACAGTCAGGTTTTGGAAGTGCAAAAACGGCAGAAAGTTTCATTTATTTTTCTTCTCGATTCTTGACCGGATTCATGGCCATCTACGAGACTAGAGAAGCCTGCTATTTATGCGGTGATATCGGAAAGAATCCGGAGAGAATGACTCCCTAGTGGCCTTAAGACGGCATTCGGTTTGAGAAGGTGAAGATCATGGAGCTGTGATCTCGGGCGGACAGAGAACAGTTACATCCCCCATTTCCCCCAGATACAATACATAGCACAGATACATCACAGATTGACAATACACACTTCACATTAGCATTGAACAGGCGCGATTCTCCTCTGACATGATGAAGATATATTCATATGATGATTATATCCAGTAGCATGGGTCATTTCACCCCCATAGTGAGTACATGGTAAAGAATGCTGGAGAGTATATAGTTGATGAAGATTGTGGGGATATCGCTCACTTCATCGTCAGTGCTGTAACTCGTAGTGCAGTTTTGGTTCATGGAACAATGTGAATCGTGGAGCCTCCCTCAATTTCAACATATTTCATCAGGTCTCTTCACAAAAAAAAGCACATTTGATTCCCTTCCGCAGGTAGTGCACTTTCATCATAGACCCACCGGACCTCGCAAGAGGCAGTGAATCACTGTAGCCTTGAACCTGATTATTTAAATCCTTCTTCTTCTTCAGAAATTAAATCTTCAATTCTTTCCTCTCCTCTTCACATCCCTCTCATCGGGCTGTTGCTTCCCTATCCTGCCCGACATCAAATAGTTCCTTCCTCTGCCTATACCCTTTCTGTTACTCGCTCCTTCTTTTCTTGACCTTCTCTCTACACATCTCCTTTGGTCTGGATTGATACCTTCATCTTGTGGTTCTTGGTCGCCACTAGACCCGCGACGTTCATTCTTTGCTCCTACAGTCATCACTTCACATCTGGTACGTTACAATGCCGATGGATCTATCCTGAAGATGTTACGAGTCCTTTTGACTCTCACTAGGTCTCATGAGTTCTACACCGCATACCAGTGATGCGCCCGATACAGGGCGGCCGCTCCTTTTTGCCCCTCCCGATGCAAATGGAGTAGAAGGCTGTACAGGCCTGCCGATGGCCACACCCGCGTCTACCGTAACTCAGCCGCAGCCGCAGGACAGTGCCATGGAGGACTCCCAGTCCCCTGTTGACCAGCAGCTGAATGCTACTGCTGAGACACTTGAACCTGGCATCAAGCCAGAAGGCGATTTCGAGAGCGACACCGAGTCAGCTACGAGTGACAACGACGATTCCGACTACGTCGATGATGAGGTTTCTGATTCGGATTCAAACGATCTTTTATCTCCTTCCAACGACTCATTGTCCAAGCAAAGAGACGAAGTCTCTCTAAATATTGAAGCTCACTTGAAAGAGCTCGAAGTTGAGAAGGGTAAGCTCGTGTTCCTTTCTCAGTTTACTTGTCTCCTAGAACATCAAGAGGAACGGCTAGAGTTCCTCGAAAGCGAGATTTACAAAGAGAAAGAAGAGCAGGCGGCGCTGAATACCCCAACGATCGAGAAGCCCAAGCGCCGGCGACCCATCAAGAACGTTCGAGAATACTTTGCCAGAAAGCATGGAGACGAAGACAAGCGGGCCGCCAAGAATGCGAACAAGAAGCGCAAAGGAAGCGCGAAAGGGGGAGTAAGAAAGAAAAGAAAGACGACAGCCAAGAATAATACGATTGACGAGAAGGGAAGCGCTCAGAAAATGGACAGAATCTTCGATAGTACGAACGACATCGAAGGTGCCATTGCTGAAAACAGCGCACCAGTCATGCCCGGAGTTCATGCGACCACCAAAAAAGAACTCTTGGACCATTTCAAGAGTAGTATCCCAGAAGGCAGCGATGTTCGGCGCGTCAAGACACAAGCGAGAGACCTTGAAGAAGCCTGGAAAATGTTTGGTCCCAGAACAATCACTGCCGCAGGTGACCGTTGCTTCATGAAGGGCATGAACTTTGGCCTGTTGGACTACCAGCTCATGGCCCTTGGCTGGATGATGTCCAGAGAATTTGGACGAACACTCCTGCACGGTGGCATTTTGGCAGATGCTCCGGGTTTGGGAAAGGCAGTCACCAGTCTCGCTACGATCATTGGCAATCCTCCGGATGACGACCCGGACAATACGTTCTGCAACGCGACCATCATTGTGGTACCAAACAAAGACATCGTCGACCAATGGTACCAAGAAGTGCGAAAGCACTGCCAACCGCCTTTTTCTAAATGGGTCATGAAGTACTCTCGCAGCAGGGACACCCCTCTCGAGCAGGTGGAAGACCAGTTGATCGTGTAAGATTAACAACAATTAAAGATTGTATCAGGACTGACACGACACAGGATTACCACCTACCACACGATCACGCAAGAGCTTCCCAAGAAGGCAGTGGTTGATCGACTAAAGAAAGAACATGGCGACGATACACAGATTCAATGAATCTCTGAGGAAAAAAACTTGACGGGCTGTTGAACATCAACTTTCGGCGCGTCATTCTTGATGAAGCCCACCAGATCAAGAACAACGGTACCCGAGGTGAGGTTCCTGTATTTTGATTCATTTGAAAGTCTAACAGCCTAACAGTCAAACTTGCCTGCTGCATGCTCAAAGGTAAGTATCATTGGGCACTGACTGGTACTCCATTGTCCAACAACTTGGAAGGTAAGTAATTTGGTAACCTCGGCTTCACCATAACTGACCATGTTCAGAGATGTTCCCGTACCTCCAATTCACCGGTTGCAAGTTCACCAGAAACATTCGCGATTTCAAGAACAAGTACATCGGGGAGGTGAGTGACCGTCCCTGTAGCTTGAGTCTTTATTAACCTTGACAAAGGAAAACAACGATAACTTGGAGACACTCATCTCAATGATCATGTTGCGACGGTACTCGTGTCGCTAATTTGTGCCAAATACGTAACTGACCACAATTAGAACAAACCAGGATACCTTCCTGGGTCACAAGGTTCTACCTCTTCCCAAGGCTCATGCTCACGACATCAAGGTTTCTCTTTCGGTAAAGGAAACAGCCATCTACGAGTAAGCTATTTCAAGAGCTAGAAGATGATGATTTTGACTAACGAGATCGGTATAGTGTCATCCACTGGTACTATGAGAGAATCATCGGGACTATGAAAAGAAAACTGAAAAATGGAGGTGATTCGAACCTGACGCAAAAGATCGAGAAGGTCAAATTGGCTCGCCAATTGCGTCTTCGACAGGTCACGTCCCATCCGTTCACGATCGAGAAGATTATTCAAGAGAAACTTCGCGGGGATGGCATTGTGGGTATTCAACGTGAACACAACAAAGCCAAGGGCATCCTTCCGATTGTAGAAAGTCTGAAAGATGGCGACAAGGGATCTCATGGGCTTGCGCGTTTCAATCTCGGCATGGAGCATCTAGAGGCCTTAGAAGATGAGGCCTTTGGCGGCAATTTGGACATGGACGACCTTCTTAAGCTGGCTCTGAATGAGGTAAAGATTCGTGGCATCGCTTGTGGTCTTTGCAAGAAGGCGAAACCACCAGTGAAGCCAGTCCGATCTGCTAACGTAAGTTCATTTGACATCAGAATATCTCAGGTCTAACAATTCTAGTGCGAGCATTTGTTTTGCGAGAGCTGTCTTATCAAAGCTCTCAGCCATGACAAGGGAGGCCGGCTTAAAACCGATGTTGAAGTAAGTGCCTATGCATTAAACCATTTCAGAATAACTCAAAAGTTCATGATATAGTGCCCCAAAGACAAATGTGACGCCAAACTGGAGTTTGGCGAACGTGTCGACACATTGGTCGATGTTCAGGATCGAGTGAAAGACGATCGTCATTTCACAGAACCTGGACGAGATATCAACAATGCTCGGCCTCTTCGCAAACCATGCGAGAACGGTTTCTTCATTGCATCAAGCCTCGAAAGCTCCTCAATCACACCAAGCTTGAAAATTACCACCGCCATGGCTGTCTGTGCTCAGTGATTGACGGAAAGCCCTAACGACAAGATTGTTGGTGAGTGAATTTATGTCCAACATGGTCCGAGATAATAATATTTCTAGTCTTCACCCAATTCATCATGACTGGTAAAGTGATGGGCCGCATGCTCGAAAAGTTTGGTGCCAAGTTTGCATACTACTATTCATCCGGCTTCAGTGACGCTCAACGATCGAAATCGATCAATTCTTTCAAGACTCATGCAGACTGCAAGGTCCTGGTATGTCATATCTAGCTTTCTCGCAATGTCAACGTCTAACCGATCTAAAGATTGCTGGCCTGGGATGCGGCGCTCAGTCGCTGAACCTCACTATTGCCAACCGGGTTCTCAGCATCGAGCCGTGGTGGAATCGGACCAGAGAGCTGCAAGCCTTTGGCCGTGTTCACCGTATGGGACAGGAAAAGGAATGTACCTTTGTCCACATAATGACACAAAAGTTCATTGACAGTCGCATTGACGAGCTCCAGCTACAAAAGCAAGAGATCATCGATAGAGCTCTGCAAGATGATGGACATGTTCCCACCACCTTGAGTGACTTGCAGCTCCATCAACTTATTGATCCGGACAGCAACCCCGAAACATTTGCTCAGGAAATCGAGCAAGCTTTGGAAGAGGCCGATGAACTGGAGCAGGGCGGCGAAGATCAAGCGTCTCATCGGAACGGCGCGACTCCATGGATGATCAGGGGCATATCAAAGGAGTCTTTCAATTTTCGGGGAAATTCTTGTGGTATTTGAGGTTATTGATTGCTATGGGAAACGGAAAAGGGAATTTCGGATGATTTAGGATTTGAATGGCGCAACAATGGTAATTTGCACACAGGAGTTTTGGTCAATTACGGGCAGATATTGCTACTTTCGGGATAAAATTCCCTTAGATACCCCCCATGTCCCCAACACAATACATAGCACAGATCAGATTGACAATACACACTTCACATTTCATTCGCTTCGGAATATTGCAATCTAGAGTAGATCAGGCCTTGATAATAAAAGGTACAAAGACTTTGTTGATCTCATCTTGGACGAGCGCGAGGTTTGTTGAGATGAGGGGTTTATAAATGGTGGTTGTTTGTGGTTTGTTAAATCAATTGATACAAATAGGTAGCCAACAATGCACCTTCTGCCCCTCAACTGTTGCCTAGATCGCTGGTTGTTTGTTTGTTATGTTTGCTTGAGACTACCTACTTGAAGACGAAAAGCTTCTTTCATCTTCACCTTTCATCCGTGGGATCCTTCCTGACGGTGATACTGAATGCAAAAGCAGGGCCAAGCGTAACGGCACAGTGTCTTCCGAGACCGCAAACACCAACACCGTTGACATCTCTTAACGAGGTCCGATCACCTCTGCGCAGATGAACAGCGACCAGAATTATACCTCATCCCGGCCTGTTCTCAATCATTCTGATCTTACCCTGTCTGAGGAGGATACTCTCCACGTCTCCCTGATCTCATCCAGGAGTGATGTTCTGCACGCCTCAATCAAACAATCTCTGCCCCTCTACGACAATCTTTCCACATCAAGATCTTCGAGTCGTGGGACAAAAACAACGTGTGAGTGATCTTCCCTGGCAGCCCCCCATGGCGCGTCCAGACCCGAGCCCGAGGCGCAACTGTTCAGATTGAATCTCATCTCGCCCGGAAGACGTTGACCCTCCAGTGGATGCTATAAGATGGCCTCTAAGACTTAGGATATAAGGATGAATAGCCTAAGACGTCTGGTCTAAGTATCAGAAACTGACCTGCTAGTTTCGTTTCTTATTCTCCTAGCGACCAATTTATGTACCAGGCCCTTCACGATCTGTTACTGAAGTGGTATAAAAAACATTTGCTAATCGATGAGATGATATTAATTTTGAAAGCAGGTTCACTATCCTTTCACCAGTACCGATAACATCTTCACTCTTGCTGAAATGCGCCGCGACGTCAACTGCGCGAAGACTCGAGGTCCAAATGCCACTATCAGCGACCACAAGAACCTCACCGCCGAAGAAAAGACGACACTCCATGATCTTCTCGTTGGATGGTGTAATGTCCGTCCTGGCCAGCATATTACACCGGCCCTCCGACGATGTCTCCTCGAACATGTTTTCCATATGTGGAACTCCAAGGTGACTCGAGTCCCAATCCCGGATAAGCCTGGGGTGAAGAGACTGCGTCAGACATCAATGGAAGTAAGCACCTTCAGCAGTTACTCTGTCATGCGGTGTTTCTTTATGGTAAATGAGTGTTGTCTTCGCTATGTAACCTGGTACAATGCTTCTATCAGGCGACATGACGCAGTGTGACAACTCCTTATTCTACTGGCAGGCAAACGCCTTTCAGAGCCCAGCTAGTAGGTAGCAGAAAGGTTGGCCCCTAAAGTCTTACGGTATGAAAATAAATAACCTAAGAAGTATAGTCTAAGTATCATAAACTGGCCTAAGAATGTCGTCTCTTATGCTTCAAGCGGCTTCCGTTTCTAATACCCTGAGGCACAGCTAGTTGGTGCTCGTCCCCTCCGACACTAGGTACCACATCTGCAAAAACAACTTCAAGCTTTATGTATTTACTAAATCGAACTACCTAAATTTCTGTCCAAAAACACAGAGCCCAGCTTCTGCCGTCTTACTACCTCACAATATTTCGACTTCGTAGCCGCCGGACGTTTATTCCCTGTGCCTCCAATTCCTCGTCAGATACGAGGTCAAGCCCTGATCTATCCAATCCCTCCTCAGGTAAAAGGTCAAGTCCAGATCTGATGCTCTCAAGACGTTCATTTCTACCGTAGTCCATAATGTTGAGAACGCACTTGCGAAACTCCAACAACTGTTGTGCCTCTTGAAGAGCAAAGGTTCGAATCTTTTGGACATGAAATGTCTGCTCTTCCTTCCATATTATACACAAACGCGCCTCTGTTCCGTTCATCGAAACGCTAAAGGAAGATGTGTCAATTGGGTTGATAACCTTGTGTCCGAGTCCCATGAGCTCTTCGTTCAACATCTCTGCGATATTAACACATGAAGATGATCCTCCCAGGCATTGGTTAGTCGCCACCTAGAGACTACCGTTGCTAGAGGGGCCATCGCCTTTGAGCTCGACAATGAGAAATGGCAGGCAGAGACCGTCCCTGTTTGATGAATCCAGATGCATCGAAGCGAGTTTCATTCGTTGGAGAGGAGTAAATGCGGTTGCGAAATTGTAACCAAGCAGAATGTCTGGAACAGGACCACTAACTCGATACGCAGTTCTGGTATTGGGTATGGTCCACTTGGACATGGGGATTTTGTCGCTTCGCTTTAGTATATCGTTTCGAGGCGGCAAGGTAACGAGTGTATTTTGTATATATTGTTCCACGTTAGGCTCACCAGCTCCTCGTTCCAGAGCAGCAAGAGCATCGTCGGCATAGAGATCTTGGACCGAAATATCTAGTAATTGTCTATCACTTGAGATCTTTTGAGCGAGCTGTGAAATATGTTTTGGAAGTTCTTCGCGGCGGTCGCGATAAATAATGTTGTTTGCGGCCAGATTCAAAGACTCGTATTGTGGGTTCTCGACAAGTGAGCCAGTGGTTCTGGGAGATGCAGGCCCTGGAGATACAGTTCCTGAAATCGAGGGCTCTCTCGAGATTCTACTCCGTTGGCCAGACGAACTTGCAGCGCTGGTGGTTCTGGCGATAGAAACTCGGCTGCTAAACCGGACCTTCTTGGCTTGTACCCTACGGCGAGGCATACTTGGAGTTGCTGATCGTACGTATCTTTCTCGAGGTATTTGTGTGGGGTTCTGGATGATGATGTCCGAGTACGGGTAACTGGTTTCAGAGGGATATGTTTCTTCGAGCCAAGTGTCGATTTGATCCGTCAAAGCCGGGCTCTCGCAGGTGTTTATATAGTCTAAAACGGCAGTGATAAGTAGTGAATCTGACATGGGAGTTGGCTCCTCCATCATCTAATAAGACAAGTATCAGCGGCTTGTATAAGGGTAGCTAGTCTGCATTATGGCAGCGGTAGATGATGCAGCGCCATGTATAGAGGGGCATACGCACATCATACCACTCCTGTTCAAAGAGGGTTTTCTTCCCTGGCGGTGCCTGTGATGAGGAGTCAGATATGAACTTGCGAGGTCTCTTTTTGGAGTTGTGAAGCCCATGCTGAGCTGGCGCAGCTGCTTGAGGATCACCCATGGCGATGACGACAGAAGAACAGTCTATACGTTGATCATCACTTGTGATGGAGAGGTCTGAGATCAGCCTTGAATTGAAGTGAAGAGAGAAGCGGCTTTTAAACTATTGTCTCGACAGTCTGATTCACGGGAGGATGCATCGTCCCATGATACCGACCTACGGAGAGTCTGTTGACTATCGTTGTACAAGTACACCAACGACGTATGCTACATGGTGTTTGCATGTCTGAAGCACAAACGGTCCACGTGTATGATCATGTTTGCCTTTAACACAACACGTGAAGCTTCACGAAACAAGGTACCGTCCTACTGTTGCAGCCGCAAAGAAAGCCACCAGCTCAGCCCTACAAGCCTCAACGTGGTGTAGATCAGATTTGGCCAATCAGAGCCGTCACATTTTAAACTCTCCTCTCCGTGTAAAAACGTGAGTTGCATAAATCTCGGGCCGTACCGTTGCAGCACGCATAAAAGAGGTGGAGGATATTTAGCTGCATATTGAAGATGAATAATGTCAAATCGACTTTAATACAGAATGAATCTTGGTCGTTCGGGTGATGATGTCCCGCTTTCGGCCGAAGATTCCGGCATTCGGACAGGCCTTCCCTATGGCGATCTCAACTAGCGGTAGCCCTACCCTTACTACAGTGGAGGTCTCCGCTGTCAGATCCAATCTTATTCCAGTGTCGTCATTGTCAGCGACTCCGGCGCTTCCGTCACATTTCTTTCCTCTTTTGCATTATAGACTGGGACCCGAAAATTCTTCCTCCTCTCTCCTCTCAAAAGAAGACCAAAGAATCCCACTCTGGAAGTTTTTGAACTCCTTCTCGCCGATCTCGCTCTCTACAACAGTCCATCATGAGCGCCAACCCTGAAGCACCTGGCGCCCCAGCCGAACGCATCACCTCTACAGCTTCAACCATCACCGATTACGCTTATCCGTACGGTCACTTTGGTCATCTTACACAAAAGCAGGAGGAAGCTTTTGTCCAATTTAAGAAGGTCCTGGAGGAGAGGGGACTTTTGAAGCCTGGTCCTCCTCCTTCTCATGATGACCCTTTGATCCTGTATGTTTTTTGTTTCCATTTAAAGATGAAGCTAACAACGTCATAGACGATACTTGCGCGCACGACGATGGAATGTCGAAGACGCTTATACCCAATTTAAAGAAACAGAAGACTGGCGAAAGGCAAACGACTTGAATGTGTTATATGATACCATTGATCTCAACGCCTACGATTTCAGCCGTCGCTTGGTATGTCCATTGACCGCCACCAGCAACTTGTACTAACTCCTCCAGTATCCTCAATGGACAGGTCGACGCGACCGTCGCGGAATTCCTCTCTATGTCTTTGAAGTCAAGACCCTCGACTCCAAGACCGTCCACGAGTATGAAAAGGTCGGCACATCGAGCACCTTTTCCCAAGCCAAGTCCGACGGCAAGACTCCCAACGGTCTTTTGCGACTCTTTGCGCTCTACGAAAACTTGACCCGCTTCAACATGCCCTTCTGCACTCAACTTCTCGACCGCGACCACCCCGAAGTCCCAATCACATTAAGCACAAACATTGTCGACATTTCCGGTGTTGGTCTCAAGCAGTTCTGGAATCTCAAGCAACACATGCAGGCTGCTTCACAACTCGCCACAGCACACTACCCCGAGACTTTGGATCGCATATTCGTTATTGGCGCACCCGCCTTTTTCAGCACTGTTTGGGGATGGGTCAAGCGATGGTTTGATCCCATTACTGTCTCCAAGATATTTATCCTGGGCAACCACGAGGTCAAGTCAGTGCTGGAGCAGTACATTGAACCCAGAAATATCCCCAAGAAGTACGGTGGCGAGCTTGACTACAGTTTTGGAGAACTCGGAAACCCTGATCCTAACTGGACGGGTGTTGTCGAGTTTGAAAACGGTCACAAGACTTTCCCCAGTGGTCCTTTGCTGTGGGAGGAGGACGGTAACGATCGATTGGTCTGTGTTGCCAAGGGTTCCAAGGACGGCAAGCCTCGACACGAGAGAATCTGCACCGTTCCCAAGACCTTTGGTCTGTCGCCTGTGGTTGAGATTGGTGTAAATGCACCAGTCGAGGCCGCTCCCGTCAATGGCGTTTCCAATGGTACCGCGGGAGCCGAAACTGTCCAGACCGACGACTCTACCTTGAGCAACGAGGTTGACGAAAAACTGAAGATTCAGGATGACAAGCCCGCTGTCCCACAAACCACTGTTGCTTAATAAGTTATTGTTTAGACGGAAAAGAATGGCATACCCCGAGGACTAAGATGGATATAAGAGATGGAAGACGTCATAGGGTTTTGGATAGGATTGGAGTATATATACCTGTATGTTTGGCGCATGTTAGAACCTGCCGTTAGAGCGGACTTTAGTTGTGCATACATATTCTTGATTCTCTTCTATTGTAAATAGTAATTGTTCGTTCTGGTCTATCTTGTCTATCGTGATCCTTTATATAAACTCCATAACCAACTGTCTTATTCTACCTGAGCACCAATTATTCCAACTCGATAGCATCAGGCCTCTTGATATATCCCCTCTTATTTCTCCACTGTGTAACACCCCTCTCAAGCTCTTCCCAAGTAACACCGTCTCTAACAAGACACATTGTAACTCCCAGACTCTCAGTATCTCTATTCCTCGCTTCGTCATCAAAGAACAGCATATCCTCGTATTTGATGCCTGTCCTCTTTTGCAGACTCTCAAAATGCTTAATCTTGCACCCAGGGTAAATCTCCAACAAGCCATCAAACATATCGAGCGCCTTTTTGGGTTTCTCTTTGGTGTTGCCTTCGGGCGCGCTGATGTGTAGCATCTTTAGTAGATCGCGCGCAAGACTTGGCGCACTTGTCCGCGACGCGACACCCATTTTTATACCTGCGCGAGGAAGCGCGTACAGAATGGCGGGTACATCGCTGAAGAAGCCGTAGTCTTCACCGTATTTGTCCGTGGCGCTCGTGTGGGATGAGTTTGGTTTCAGAGGCGGCGTGACGTGGGTATCAACCCAGAAGGGCCAGAGAGTATAGTCGAGATCGAAGACGATGAGTTTAGGGAACGGAAGCGACGGATCGGCGAGGGAGGATGGGAGAAGCGAGGATGCTACTGATGCTGACGAGGTTGAGGAGAGCGTCGAGGAGCTCGGAGGGAGAGGGTTTTTTGAGAGTTTCCTTGGCATTTTGAAGCGATTGATGTATGTTGGATGAAGAAAGTTGGGTGTTGTTCAACTTTTACAGACAAGGCTGTTGTTGCCCCGGTGGGGTCGTGACGTCGCTTGATGCTTGGGTCAACCCTGATCGACACATCCCGAGTCTACCGGTGGGTAACAGAAAAGTTGGCGTCACAAGTCGGACAGAAATGAGTGGTCTAAGAAGCATGATTCGCATAGCATGAACTGATCAAAGGTTTTTGTCTTCTGTGTCTCAAGTACGGCTTTTCTATCTCCTGGTGTTACCCTATAGATGGAAAGTCAAGCCGCAGTTAAACATATTCCATACTGGTTCAACTGTAGATAGTTGGTGACAAGTAAGTATAAATCGATATTATAATAATATTCATTATTTACTCCATTGGTGCCGTTCTTTAGATAGTCTCTCAGTTTCCTTCTTCACATCGACTTGTCGTTCAAAGTAGCACCGTCCAAATGGCAGGTACCTTATCCGACCCTAGTTTCCGTAGGAGAATAACGCTCCACAACTTCTCTACCGATACTTCGACATAAAGTACCGACAGATCCTTGGCAGACGGATATGAAGCGGATTTGTGTTTTGACAACCTCCTAGACATTCCACTTGAGTCTGATTGTGACCCGTACTGTTGGTTGTCGGTAGAGCTGATGAACTAGTCGACAGCCCTGAAGCTGCAGTCCCTGAATGGACAGGATGCACCAACTCCGCTGAGCCGCAACGCACCTGCCCAACTCAAAGACAAGCACCGCTTTTGATCATCTTCAACCTCATCGCACCTGCCATGTTTAAAAATTGATGCTCTACCCCGCACTTTCCTTCCTCCACTCGGTTAACTTAGATTGCGGGGAGGCAAATCCAAGTCCTGGAACCAAATACTGAACATGTGATTGGTTCACAGTCCACTAGTAAAAGTCGGGGGAAACTTCCCCGTTTTAACTTCCTTCATTGTGAACTGACTCTTTTTACCTGATCTGAGATTGCTGTTTCTTTTTTCTGTTCCTTGATTTGGTGCTTCAATTGAATGAGAAACGCATAAGCTTTGGTCTGACGTTTCACAACTTTACGCTTCTCATTAAGCATCAACGTTGGAGTGGAGATCCAAGCCAAGGGGCTGGTTGACTAATTACTCAGTCAGCCAAACTCAACAGCGCGACTCAGTACCGACAGATCGACGGGCACGGCATTGAACACACTCCAGAATGGCTAAACGAACGTGGTCCGATTCTAACCCTGCTAGAACTATCACCGCTGATGCGACCGCTGTATGTCCCCCATCAACCACAGCAAACCCGACTGACACCCCCTAGTCTCCAGCACCAGCGCGACCAAATGGCCATGGAAGGACTTCATCTGGTAGACAAAGCATTTCGGGCGTCATCTCCAGTGAAGCCTCCATTCCTCAGATCTCGCGCAAGATCAAGGCGTGCGCAGCATGTCGAAAACACAAGGTGAAATCCCACTCATGAGCTATTGAACGTTGACTAATGAGATGATAGATTAAATGCTTGATGGATGAGAGTGGTCCACCCTGTCGAAGGTGTTCTGAGAGAAACCTGGGTTGTGTCTTGAGCAAAAGCCTTCAAACGATTATTGATGAAAAGTCACAGTGAGCATCACAACATGACCACATCTCATTGACTAACAAATCCAGGTTCTCTGAGTCCGTGGTACAAGATCTAGAGCAAATGCACAGCGCTTTGCGACAAGTCATGAACAAACTGAGTCTTCCAGAACTTCCACCTTTACAGAGCATCAACTCTCGAGACGTTGAGGGAACACCGCCAAAAGACGACAACCCCTCAAATACGACAAATCATCTCGCTGTATCTCAAGACGAATTCCGAGGCCCCTCATGCGACAACTCTCCAAAAGCGACCCCTGAGGATGAAGGTCTCCCTTACGTACCCATCCATTCTCTATACACCCTCACCAAACTAAGTGCTCTTCGATCCCCCGACAACCCTGAAGCGCAACGAGGAAACGTTATCAATGACTTTATCGCCCGTGGGGCTTTGTCGTTGGCAGACGCCGAGAGTCTATTCGCCCTGTATCGCGACCGTTTGGATCGGTACATGTACGGAATTGGCTGCCGTTACATGACGTTGGAGGAACTTCGACGCAAGAGTCCCATCTTATCCGCTGCAACGCTCACAGTGGCTGCGCTACATGACCCCAAGGCCGATAGCATCTATGGGATATGCAGTAGTGAATTTCGACGTCTGATGGAGAAATCCATGTTTGAGCGTCGTATTGATCGCGATTATCTACGCGCCATGTGTATTGCTTCATATTGGCTTAGTGATTTGTCTTGGATGCTCTCAGGGTATGCTATTCGACGCGCTGCCGAGTGTAATCTACACAACAGTTACAACCAAGCCATCAAGGAACAGAGCCAGGAGGCGGCGGATTGTGCTCGGTTATGGTACATCCTATACATCTGTGATCAGCACCTCGCAACCCTATATGGACGCCCCTCGATTGTTCAAGAAGATTCATCAATTCAGGGCTGGGAGCAGTTCCTGAAATCGCCTGTGGCTAACGAAGAGGACAAGCGTCTTACTGGCCAAGTAATGTTGGTCAGTATCTTGCGAAATATTCGAGAACTATTCGGTACAGACAAGGGGGAGCCTGTTCCTCGGGTGTACCTAAATCACATTCTGCAGTTCAGACGGCAGCTTGATCAGTGGTATACTCGCTGGATGAAAGACTTGCCAGGTGAGTTTATTGCTCTCTGTCCAAACTTGACTAACATGCAACAGAACAATGGACGCAAATCGGCTCATTCCCTCGAAAAGGCACAATTCTTCATTACAATTTCGCACAAATACACCTCTACTCCCACGTTTTCCGCGGCCTCTCAAACGACGCACCTATCCCGCACTACTTCCTCGACTGCGCGACACAAGCCGTGACGGCCGCAACAGCCATTATCGACCTGATAATCACAGACCCAGACGTCGCCCTTGGTATCGTGGGGATGCCCTCGTACATGCTTTCCATGACTGCTTTTGCATGCATGTTTCTCATCAAAGTCGCCGTCAAGTATGGCAGCGATCTGATTGAGCGCCAACGCGTGCATGATCTCACAACGAGTCTTGTTCGACAGTTCCGCTCGCTCAAGGCGGGTAAATGGCATCTTGCGAATCTGATGGCTGGAGGGTTGGAGCGTATGACTGCTACACTCGCAACTGTTGAGCCAGGACAGGTGGGCCAGTCGGCTGGAGTGGTATACAACACGATGGAGAATGTGGATATGGCTGGACAAATGATGCCAGGGAATCAGGTGTACACTGATATGGATGGTGATACGTTCTTTGACTATGATATGAGTTTTGGACTTTCTCCCGTGTTTCGGTTCGATCCTAGTATGTTTACGGTTGATGCTTCGGGGCAATCTATGCCGACATACCCCGAGCCAGATTATGGGATGAGACCACAGTGAGATAAAGTGGTGTACTATGAGTTGAGATTCTGGGATACCTGGAGTAGCTATGATTTGAGCATAACAATTGGATAATAGACATCTTGTGGCTGTCAAAGATACTGCGTCATCAGACCACAAGTGTCGACTGCTTGTACAGCACTTCGATCGACACTACTTATTACCTCCGCTTCTCAGCTTTCCCCAACACATCAATTATATCCACCTCCTCGCATCTTGATAAAACGTAGTCATCTCCACAGTGTTTATACCTCGGTTTTCTTGCCGGTATCCCCGCATCATTACCTGCGGAGAAGACGGATAACCTCACTCACCCCGCGGCAGTGGATCGATCTTATCCGTCTCGACTTGCTTAAATACATGAGACATCCCCAAATCAGACCCATTCAAGTGCATTCAAACGTATCAAAGTGAACAACATTTATCATGACACAGCATATCCTCATTACAGGCGCAGGGGGCTTCATCGGGCAGGAAATTCTAGGCCCCCTCCTCGATTCCTCATCAAACATCCACCTCACCATCACAGACATCGCTACACCTCCCGTTCCAGAAGCATACTCGGATCGCATCACGTCCCTCAGCGCAGACCTCACCGACCAAGGCGTGGTGGATAAACTCATCACTTCTCAACGCTTCACGACGGTCTATCTCTTTCACGGTCTCATGTCAGGTGGTTCAGAAGCCAATCTCGACCTGGGTCTCAAAGTAAACGTCGATTCAGTGCGCTACATCCTGGACGCTCTACGAACAAAGCTCCCTGGCGTCAAAGTAGTCTTCTCAAGCTCTTGTGCTGTGTATGGACCCGATGAAAAATTCGTCACTGAGCAGACACTCCCGCAGCCAAAGTCATCGTACGGCGCTGAGAAACTCATCGCTGAATTATTAGTGAATGACTTTTCGAGAAGGGGGTTAATTGATGGACGAATCGTGCGACTTCCAACTGTCGTGGTAAGACCTGGAAAGCCATCCGCCGCAGCATCAAGTTTCGCATCAGGAATCGTGAGGGAGTCTTTACAGGGTATTCAAAATGTTCTCCCCGTTCCTCGAAGCATTTCCATGTGGATCTGCAGTCCAGCCACTGTGATTAAGAATCTCATCATGATCAAGGATATACCCGCAGAGAAATTCGGGGAGTCGCGCATTGTGAATCTACCGGGTATTACGGTTTCTGTGCAGGATATCCTGGATGCTGTGGAGAAGGTGGGTGGGAAAGAGGCGGTGGGTTATGTCAAGGATGAAGAGGATGAGGCTTTATACAAGATTGTTAAGAGCTGGCCTCCTTGGTTTGATGATAGTAGGGCAAAGAGTTTGGGATTACAAACGGATGGGGAGTTGGTTGATGCTGTCAAGGCTTTCCAGGAGAGACTCAAGGCAAAGTGATGGCTTTTGTTATTAATTATAGGTTCTATCTGGAGATTGCTCTTGAACTCTAGTAGTCCTCCCAACGAAATATTATAGCTTTGAAGATCGTACTTTTCTCGATACTGAACTCGGTTCAATGCGCCCAGATGTAACGAGATGATCTATATCCAGAGAATTCACAAGAGCAGGCGTCGCTTGATTCAGACTTGTAATACCAGCAAGTCTCATTGAAGTCTCGAGTTCATCCTTTAGAACTAGTTGCGTGTTAGCAGACGTCAACAACCATGGAAGAGAACTTACTCTGTGATAGGTGTTCAACACCCTTTTGACCATATACCAAGGAATACAAAAAAGGCCTTGCAATTCCAACAGCTGTAGCGCCCAGTGCAATTGCTTTGAGGATGTCTGATCCACGTTCGAAGCCGCCGTCGATAAAGATCTCGAGATGATCAAAGGCTTCAGGGAAGCGTTTTCGGACTTCCAACAGGATGAGAATGGAAGCTTGCGCACTGCAGTTCGTTAGTTCACACCTTTTGAATGATTGAAGGACAAACTTACCCATCAAGCGATCGTCCTCCATGGTTACTCAACATGACGCCATCAACACCATACTCAACCGCCAACTTGACATCCTCCACCGTCTGGACGCCCTTTAGCACAATCGGCACAGAACTCTCTCGTCTAATCCACTCAAGATCCTCCCAAGAAAGGCTTTTGTCGATGTACTGTCCCATCAGCCGTCCCAAACCGCTACCCTTGCCGTCTTTGCTGCTCTCGCTACCACTCATCTCAGATTTGATGACGACTGCTTGTGGTGCGCGCTCGTCAGCTTCGCGCTTTCCGGGTACTGGGGCATCGACGGTGACGAAAATTGCTTTAATGCCGAGGGAGCGAGCGCGGTTCAGGAGTTGTACGGTTTTCGGCCGGTTCGAATTGACGTAGAGTTGGAGGAAGAAGGGATGGCCTTTGGGAGCGGCGCCGATGATGTTTGGGAGGGAATAAGAGGCGTTACTAGAGATCTACAATTGTTAGTCCCATACGTGGTGTTTGCCAATTGACTCACAATCTCAAAGATGCCTTCACTGGCAGCAGCTCTACTCCAACCAAGTTCACCATCCGGATGCGCCAGCGTCGCCATAGCAGCAGGACACATAATAAAAGGCGCTTTACTCTGCATCCCTAGAATCTTGCGACTAATATTGACTTGTGAAACATTTCTTAGAATTCTGGGTCGAAGCATGACTCTACGGATGAGTTCGCGATTTTTTGTAACCGTCACAAGATCCGTGGCGGCAGAAGAGTAAAAAGCCCATGCCTTTGGCGTAAGAGCTTTTTGAGCAGCGAGCGCAAAGTCGTCTGCTGAGAGGATTTGATCGAGGGATGGAACGTCGGAGGGGAGTTGGATATCTGTATCAGTTAGAGATGTTGTCATGAGATGAGAAGGGTGTGTACCTCTTGGAGCAGGGATGTTGGGAGACTCAGACTCCATTGCTTCGAGATCACTCATTATGACGGTAGTTTATTGATGACAAGTCGTGTAATGAGTATTGCTGTATGGGGATCGATATTGAGACTGGTGATCCTGTAGTATCTATTTATCATGGATCATTGTGTAAGTGAACAGACCAGGCCCCGCAATCGGACTCCTCACCTTGGATCCGTCATGATAATTCGGGTCGGTCCATCTTGGCGCGAGGCACTCCGGAATTAACTGTCGGTCTTGTGTCCGGTGACTGGGTTTGCGTGCGTTCGGCTTTCTCTCCGACCTCAACCAAACTGAACGTACAAGCACTTTCGTACTTGACAATGATATATAGTCGGCAGACCTGAGCCTCAGGATATTAGATAAATTGGTCGCTTTCATCATAGTAGATGAAGTTAGTAGGCTAGTTCAGACTTCTTCAGTCATTTATCTTTATATCCCAAGACTTGGGAGGCCGACGTTTCTGCTACCCACTGCCTACCTAGCCTAGGACGCCCCAGAGGATGCGCTTGGGAGTCGTCGTGATGTCGGAAAATAATGATGGAATACTGTGGGGTTATGAGCATGTATGATTGTTTGTGGTTTGTTGAAACAATTAATACAAACAGTCAACAATCTTGGACAACCTGGTTGTGAGGTCTGATAAAGGTAAACTGATATGCGATTCTATCTGTAATGGACTTTGTTCATCTCACAACTGAACCTTGATGAATTATTGCCTACTCATAGAGAATATATTCTAGAGATTGCTGAAAAGACGACGTAGTTAATTGATCAAGACTCAAGTTCATTCTCACCCAAATCCATGCTGTGAACTATGATCGGGAGTGGAATAGGACTAAACAGAAACATGAGAGGCAATTATTTAGACATTTTGAGCCTATGTACTGAAGTAGAATACTCAAGTACCTACTTGTAAAATTGTAAGATAATCTGCTGGCACTTTGATTGAGATTGAGAGGGGTTGCAGTTTAGTATCACTTGCAATCATTATTAGTGCTATAAGTGTGGTAAAGTTGAGCTAATGGGATCTCACACTCAAGTGGGTTATCCAATATGAGTCGATGCCTCCACGGTTCCTCCACAAAATACACAAAAGCTCCAAAGAAACGGCTGGAGGGCCATTGGGATTCAACTAATGCGGGGTCTGACTGATAACACAAGGCTGTTATGCAGATGTTCAAGGGAGACGTTATGCAAACATCGGGCATTCGTGGGGTAATTAACAATGATGTAAACAATTAAGCGACCCTTCATTGCACTGAATATTCGCATAAACATTCATCAGTGCCAAACGGCTGCTAAAAAAAAAAGTGACCGCGTTAACACTGTCAGGTCTCTTGCATCTTAAATATCACACCTCAGTGGCGCACAGGCACTCTTTCACCTTCCACCTTTCACACCATCACCTACACACTTCTCACAAGTAAGCAAGCAAAGTCACAAAGAAATGATCATAAGTTAGTACTGACAACAAATGCAGATTTCACAATCAATCAAGTCGCTATGTCGTCCGATCCGACCGCAGACGCTATCGTCAGCCAGGAGGACGCGATGACTTTCGAAGGTACCCAGTGTGTTCTGGCGCGTGAGAAGGGAAAGACCATCCTCAAGGACTCCGATCTTTCTTAGGAAGAAAAGTCGACCCTCGAGGAGCTTCTCAAAGAATGGTGTAGCGTGCGTCCCAACAAGACTATTGCGCCTGCCTTACGCTAGGATTTCTACGCCAGAATCTTTGAGAACTGGAACTCTGGCATTAAATCCGTGTTTCTTCCCTGCGAACCTGACAAGAAGGCGCTGTTCCAAATGGCAGTCCCAGTTGGCGAACTCAAGTATGACCGTCCCCTCGACGCACGGCAGCGTTATGCGGAAGTCACACGACAGAACAAGCCGAAGAAACGCATCTACGCAAATGCTTGGCTCGAAGTCCAGCTCCAAGACCTGCCTCATCCATGTGGCCTCAAGAGAATTTGGAGAGACGGTCTTGGTCATCTCATCAGCGGCGAACATGTCAGATACAAGGATGGCATTACGGATGTAGAGGCTATCACCCGGGCGTGTATCAACTGGGACCAGGCTGAGAGGAACCGGTGCAGAAACTACAACAGTCAACTTATCGTTACACTGGCCCGTCTCCAGATCATTGAGTTTGCAAAGGCCGGTACCAGCGAGAACCCCAAAGTGCCTGCGGACCTCAAGGTCAATAGACGCTTGATGCTATGCCGACTGATCTCGGATGACATCCACAAATTAGTTACTTCGTGGAACAATTTGGCCGAGAGCCTGGAGAAGCTGGATTTGGGAAGGCCCTATCAGATCATGTGAAGGAAGACAATGGTTTGCGAGGTTAGATGAATGGAAGGTACCAGATCAGGGATCACGGCAACGGGGCATTTACTTGTATTAAATGGAACCAAAATGAAATGATTGGAGATCCCTTGAGTTTGCAGTCGTCTTAATCCAAGACACTTAATTGAGTGTGTAACCCCAGCCCGAGACATATGGGCAATTGCAATGAGGCTGGTACTGTAGCCTTGGACTCGAGACCTTTTAGCTTAGCCCCTTCATGCACACTTGAACGATCGACATTTCCCTTATTACGTTTTATACGTTTACTACTTATTGCTGCCACCATTGCCACCACCAATTATCACCGCAAGAGTATCTCTCAAGAGGGTGGTGAAGCCGTACCCGGATTGTCAATTTACCAAGGCTGGAACCAACCATGTTTCTATTCTTAGCGTCTATGCTACGGTGCTATTCGACCCGATAATGTAGCACAGAATCATCAAATGTTATCTCATAAGCGCCCAACTCCCAGATGCTTAGTATAAAGAAATGGCTCCGGCTGTTTTACTACACCACACACCGCTCCTAAGTGCTCTCACCATCAGAGAGGTTTAGGGGCCTGGTTCATATTAGGATATGGACTTGGTATCGTGTATATAACTTACTCCTTGCGTTTGTATTTGGCTTACTGACTGAGAAACGGCTAGACCACCGTGAGAACGTCTTGCGGGCGACAGCTTTGCGAAGCTTTCTATCTGCTGCGGCCTGCTGCATCGCCATCGTGACTATAGTTATAAGCTTCGGATAGATTAGGAGGCAATAGATAGGGTATGCTTACTAGCTGGACGGTAGGTGATGATGTTTATGAAGGGTTAGAGAAGAAAGAAATAAGGAGGAGTTTGAAAGTATTTAAAATATAGAGATTGAAACGAGTTGCGATTTAATATCAGAGATTCAGTCTTGGTGTTGTGAAGCACAAGCAGATTGAGCCAATGGGATCACGTACCGAAGTGGGTTTCGTCCAAATACGATATAGCGATAGAAAATTGACCCACCTTCCACTAACACTTCCCAAACTCCAGAATCTCCAACTCCTTCTTCACTCTTACACATCAACATTCCATTTATCTTCTTCTTCTTCAGTTTAGATCGGAATCTCTTTACACTACCATAGAGATGACTGGTAAAGAACGCGGTAAGTAAGTTGCAGATCTATGCTAATTGTCCTTGCTAATTGCTGTAGGTCGTTCACCTGGTGGAAAGAAGCGTAAAGCTGAGCATGAGCTGTCAATAACTTCGCGCGTAGAGAGAGCGTGCGCCCGTAGGCACGCTTTCTCAAAGGACCGCCACGAATAGGAAAAAGCAAAGCGGGCCATTCGAAAGCAGAGGTGGCGCAAAAAAAAGAAGCTGTACGATAGCATTGACTACAAGAATGCCAGTTCAGCTCAGCAAAAGTTGATAGAAGCAGCCGCTTTGAACAGGATCGAAGAGTTGTAGTAAGTCATAACCAAGACCTCATTTGAATGGATACTGATTCTCTATCTATAGTAAATCACGTAGGAAGCACCCCGATCAGCTCAAGCCTGATGAATCTTCTCATCCCACCGGACCGATAGACGATAACGACCCTGACACTTCTCATCCCATCGAGAATAACGACTCTAAAACACCTCATCCCACCGGACCTATAGAAGACAATCACGAGCCTAATTGGAATGCGTTTTCTGACATTGAGTACAACCTTCAGGAAACTCTTGATTCGATAGATAATTATAGAAACCGTGACGTGTAAGATAACGAGAGCCCTAACAGGCGCGAGTGCACCGAAGCATACTTTGCCATTCCGGGGTCATGGGTTGGAGGTATCGTGATACGTCTTCCGATCGATCATGAAGACGAACTGGCAACAAAGATTGATCAAGGGAAAATTGGAGTCGAAGAAACGATTCCCCGTGTGGCAGTCATCGCACCAAATCTTACTAAACGAACTGGAAACGTATTGCAGCGTTAATGACTTCCTCAACAGCAATAGCCGGATCCAGGGGTATCTTATGTTTCAGCATTTAGAAAATAAACATAATTGGTCTAAAAGATTTGGGCTCAGTATGATAAGTAACCTTCTAATTTCGTCTCTTATGCTTCCAGAAGCCCATGTTCCGACATCCGTGCTCTCACCACGATGAATGCCCTCCATCAATCACAAGATTACTCCCAGTCATGTAACTACTCGCATTGCTCAACAAAAACAACGCGGCACCTTTAAACTCTTGAGTTTCAGCCAATCTCCCCATCATAATCTCCCTCTCCCACTCCTCCTTTAACCCAGGCACTTCCTCAAAGTTCTTCTGCACCATGGGTGTCATGATGTGACCTGGACTAATGCAGTTCACTCGAATCCCCCCAGTTCCATCTTTTTGTACGGGACTCCACTCCATAGCCAGGTTGCGCGCGAGTTGGATCACGGCTGCTTTGGATGAGTTGTACACTGGGGAAATAAGACCGCGATTCGCCTTAAGACCAGAAATGCTGGCAATCATGCAGATGCTTCCGCGCTTCTTGTACTTTAGCATCTGCTTTGCGGTCAACTTGGCTGTCATAAACACTCCTGTGTAGTTGATGGACATCATGTGGGCGATCTCGTCGGCCTCGTACTCAATGGTGGGAGAAATGTGCTGAACTCCAGCGGCGGCAATCACGCCGTCTATTCCGTTGTTCTCATCTGCGATTGAAGTGATGAGTTTGTCAAGACCGTCTACATCTTTGACGTCTTGCTTGCAGTAGTGTAGTGAACCACCCCATTCTGGAACGACACGCTTTTGAGCCTCCTCCCAATCCTTGTCGGGTTTCTCGGCACGATCCAAGGAATAAACTGTTGGACAATTAGCAGTTGTTAACCGATACTAGAGTATACATACCCTTTCCGCCAGCCTCAGCCAGACTTTCAGCTAGAGCGAGACCAAGGCCTTGAGCACCTCCCGTGACGATAAAAGTCTTTCCTGCAAGATCAAAGTCGGCAAAGCGTTTGCGACCGACGTTTGTTTCACGAGGTAGTGTGAGACCAGCTGGATTCTCTCTTGGGTCTGGATTCATTGGCTTTGTTCTTGTGGAGTCCGAAGTGTGTATTGGACGTTGGCAAACAGGCTTTGAGATGAAGCGCGGTGCTTGCTGGAGACTAGCTATTTGTCTATTGATGAATGGTTTGGTAGAGAGTGAGCGAGTGGCTCGTCGGAGTAGTGGTGAAGACATTGTCAGCAGATAGACAAAATTGAGCCGCAGTTGAGCTGTAAGTAGGATGTATCGGATCGATGCGACGGTTGAAAGAGTGTCGTGAACAATTACTTGCAGTTGTCTTGTATTTATACCATTTATTTCTTCAATATTTCAATTCTGCCTATGCTTCCAACCTGACGTGCAGGCGACGTAACAATTACCCAGCATCACTTCAGCATCACAACAGCTGCACATTTCGCAACTTCATAGCCAGAGCCCTATAGGAACTACGATCTGGCAAGTATCCAGATTTTGATCCTGGCTTCGTAGTCCGGAGCTTCAGGTCCGCCTGTCAGAGATGCAAATCTGGGTCATCTGTGATTGCCACACTTGGCGTCTGACGTCTATATAACCTCACATCAATCGTATCAGATTCGGTCCCGCTTTTTTTCGATTAGCGGTGCAGATCATATAACGAAACATCTCTCGAGACAAAACGAGAAGAGAAAACCACAAATCCATCTTCGACTTAATTCGTTGGTTTCGTGTCGGCAACTTCTTTATGAGTCACAGCATGTATATTTTATCTGGAAAGTTACGAAGAAGCTCCGTGTTCAAAGCCTAAACACTGGAACCAACGATCCCTACAACTACCCATATGTTATAGGAGCTAACGGCACGTTCATGGGACACAAGAACTGTGAGAAGGACAGCACCAAATGGAATTCATGTTGCAACATACGATATGCAACGCCACTGTCACCCCCATGGAACACCTTGTCTGACACGATGGTCAGGATGTTTAAAAAGGAACTCGAAACCATATTTTTCGAGGACATAGCTATGGAACTTCGACGCAGAGAAGACTACCGCTGTAAATGGTCCGGAATCTGCGATCTACCACCATATGCAGAGTGGAAACAAGGCGTGGCTGTGCTTACAGATCGAGACTCTATCATTGACTTTTTTAACAAGGAATTCATGTTATATATTGATGCAGATGTGGTGCATAATTCAACCCACCACTTTGACTTCTAGGTCCTAGGACGATATCTTTACCAGATTGGGTCCGCCAAAATGATGGTCGACCACCATTCCAAAGGGGAGGATTTATCGTTGGACCCATGCAACTGACGGAACCGCTACAGGCGAATATAGATCTACTATTAAAATACCACACGCAGCCTTTGGAGATGCTCTCCCAATCTCTTGATGATCTTGTCACGTTCAAATGTTATCATCGGCCTGAGGACACCCCGCCATTGCTACCTCCTACTCAGTCCTTTCGTGACCATAGTTACTCGATGCGTCCTTTATTTGAAGCCTTGTACATCGTTCATGACGATCAGTTTGACGACCATGACGAGATGGATGAACCGGTCGAAATGGGAGAGTACGAAAGACGCGACGACTTGAGGCAGCGGTACAAGGGTTGGTGGCAGTCAAACGACACTGTATTGCTGGTGAGGACGGGGAAAGATTCCCATCTCTCATCCCCGATCAGCTTTCTACCACTCTTCGAATCCGGTCTAGCATTAAACGTCAACCGCCCTGATTATCAGGATGAGCCAGAACCAACCGTTGTTCGAGTAAAGTTAAAAACGGCGCTTCAATTTATTAGGGATCTGTTGAAGAAGTAAGAGGCTACCCAAGTGATGCAGAGAGGTATACAGGAACAGGATAAAGGCTGCCGGGAATATGTTGACAAAATGATTGAGTATTGTCGGGAGTTTGGCATCGACTCGCATGGGGAATATTGGAATGCCTTTCGACGCGTCCGGGCAAGATTGGAGAATGAAGTATTTGAAGAGGGTCAGGTCAGTCCATCGTGGGAATGTCTATCTCGATGGTCTTATTCAGTTGAATCGGGGTTGCATGTCGAATGTGGGCATGGGGATATCTTCTTTGATTGAGCTTGAACGTCTCCGCTGGGGTAGATTATATTTCTGACACATGTCATGCATGACAATGTAGAAACCGAAAGCTTAATACATATTTAGGTCTCTTGTAATAATTCTAGTGTCCGAAGCAACCTTTATACATAATTATCCGTGTATGGCTGCTCTTACATGACGGGAATACCCTCGTACTCTCCGTAACCCAGAGCAAGGTTCATGTTTTCTATAATTGGTTAGACAGATTCAGTAATCAAACAAACATTACTTACGCAGACATTGGGTGGCGGCACCCTTTGCCAAGTTGTCGATGGCGACGACAACCACAACGCGCTTTCCGGTGCTGTCGACAGCAAAACCTCCAATCTCGACTCCGTGGCGGCCCGAGATGGCACTCACCAGGGGTGGCTCGCCGACAACCTTGATAAGCTTCTCTCCGGCGTAACGGTCCTGGTACAGTTGTCGAATATCTCGTGAAGTCATCTCCTTGTTAAGAGGGATGCTGATCGTCAGAGTGATACCCCTGAACCATCTTCGGTCTGTTAGTCAATGCTGATGTTACGTTTGTCCCGACTTACCCAGCAACGTGGGGGATGAAAGCAACGGGGTGGTTCAGTTGTGTAGAAATCTCGCGCTCGTGAATGTGTCCAGTAAGAGAGTAAGGGATGATGGCATCCTTGAGGACTTCGACGTTGTTTCGGGGGTTGGGCTTGGATCCGGCTCCAGAGTAACCTGAAACACCGAAAACGGTAGGTGTTCCCTCGATGAGATCAAGAGCACCAGCAAGACCGATTTGAGCACCAGTGGCGTAGCATCCAGGGTTGGAGATACGGTTGGCCTGCGCAATCTTGGAACGCTTAACAAGCTCGGGGAGACCGTATGTCCCTGTTACCGTTAGTAACTCTCCCTCCAAACCATATTATTCGCACCTACACTTTTCGTCCCATCGGTAGTCGGCAGAGAGATCGACAACAACGCTCTGGCTCTTAATTCCATCCAAAGCATCAACATAAGGCTTGCAAACACCGTTGGGAAGAGCCATGATCCAGCAGTCAACCTTGCCTTGGCTGTCCAATTGAGCAATATCCTCAGGCGACAAAGTCTCGTAGATGACCTTGCGCTTGGTGTAACCCTGAAGTTCCTGTCCAGCGAGTTCTCGAGAAGAAACATGGGTAAGCTCCATGTTGGGGTGCTCGTTAAGAAGCTCAACCAAAGCTGAACCAGTGTATCCTCGGGCGCCTATTAGACCAATTCGAGTAGGACCATCGTTTGAAGCATTCTTCTTTCCAAAAGGAGGGTTGGGGTTTGTCTCGGCAACATAACCACGTCGCTGAAGTTGCTGGCTCACACTAGCAATGACGAAGTTGTTTCGACCGGCGAGGTATCGGGTAGGGCTGGGGCCCATGGCAGGGAGGACGGGGATGGATCGTCGAACGACGCGACGAGCGCCGGCCCGGAAGACCATTGAGGTGGTTGAAAACATGGCGACGGGTGCTTCGCAAGCCAATTGACGAGTTGATAGTGCGTGAGCAAGATGCGACGGCTTGTGGGGAAGGATTTTGTCACTGAAGGAATTGGTCGGCGATTGTTTTTTCCTGCGGCCGAAATCGCTCGATCGAGGTTGCGGGGTCGCAGGTCGCACTGGACTTGAGATAGCCGCGATTGTACTAGGATAGATCTGGCCATTGGGCAGCCACCATAGACGCGCCGTACTGACATTGGTAGGTGGGCATGAGACGTTTTATTTGGTTAGGTATTTGAAGAACAAGGCTCCTTCCTTTGATACAGGGTATCTAATGGAACCTGTTGGCATTACTGGTCTGTTCCTGACTTGTCTGCGTCTCTGTGGAGAGTTCAATGCAAGAGATGCACTTGCCGACCATACTTTGGTGTTGCTCCTTACAAACTCAACCTCATAAGCCTGTCGAGTCATCAGCTAATATTGACCAGAATCAAATCATCAATAATAACACTCCAAACGTCAATCTCCATCCATTAATAGAATCGTATGTCGACTCAACTCAAATTTCCAAGTTTTACCCTACAGCACCAATGCACAACATTATCTTCCTATTGGCCAAACTAAGTCGCCGGCCGCAGCACTACGCAGGGGCATTTAATTTGGCAAAGTCGGCTTTGTATGATGACGAAAGCTGCATATGTCAGTCATCAATCATCAATCAGCTCATTGAAGCTATTTTTCTTGGTTGAATGACGATGAAAGACGATGCTTCTAGAACCAGATTGGGTGATCAAGTTGGCAATTGACTAGCACGTGACGTATAAGCTGTCCATGCCGTGTCTTTCACATGCTTGAGAACATTGTCGTCATCGAAGCCATCGCCGCCTCCTAACAAACCTGTGCACACGTTTCAGTTGGTGTCGTGTGTAACCACCCATTCGAGGACAGTACTCAATAACAGACAGAGAACCTCATAACAGTGCGTCTGGCACCAATCCCTTGACAATGAATTCCATCTTGTCAAACAAAGACCCTCAGCCTCTTCAGCTTGCTCTTTATCCATCCCTCCCTTGGATCAAAGATGGCGTTGAACCCTGGTCATCTTCCCTTTTGTTCCGCCAAAGCGCTCTGAAAGTTACTGAAACCTGTCCTGAGTTTGGAGGGTTTTTTGTGTCCATGTCCTGGTTAGCACAGTGTTGGAAATGGCATACGGTCTTACAGCCACTTGTTCATTCCTTCAGTTTCAAATTGGTCTAATGGTTCGTTCCTACACTGTGCCTGATGTCAGATAAGCTGAACATGAAAGAAATAAACATTAGTTTAGCTCATGTCCAATGACTTAACTATTTCGTCTCCTATGATATCACTGAGGCCACCCCTCTTGTCCTGGAGCTTGAGCTTGGGCCATACCGTCCGTAAACCTAAAAGCGGGGGCAGGCTCCGTCACTGAATCACTAACCCCCTGCCTTGATTCTTTACTCGCCCTCTTGTCAACTTCTCTTCATTCTTCTTTTCTTCAATCAACCTACACTTCATCGACATACTCAGGTTCTTAACCTTAACGCATATTCTACGACTCAATACATACATTCAGCAACATGGCTCCTCCGCCAAACCCCAATCTTCCTCTCCAGGAGAGACTTATGGCTCTTGCCCAAACCCTTCAGTGTACGTGGTCAAATGCGCTTGTCTAGAAATCGCATGCTAATTTGTTACAGTCGGTTGGTTTGTCGGGTATGTCTATCATGAACCTGTCGCAGTCGGCTGTGACGGCCAGATTGTATGATCCGTGACTAACGATAATAGACACCTCACCCTCATCCTCGCAACGATTCGATATGGCTTTTCCTGGTTGAGAATGAACTACTATACCCGCATGGCCCAGTTCTCTTACCGAACAGCCTTTGTCGCCGCCGCCGTCACCTATGGCATCGTCGTCTACAAGACAATGCGCGCTCGTGCTAAGAGCGGCCAGCGTGCTGCTCCCACTCCCTTGGCTATGCTTGCCGATGAGAACATTCAATACCTCGGTAAGTTTCTCGTCAACCATAGCCATAACACACTAACATCAACAGCCATGTCTCTTGTTTGGCTCTTCTGCCCCCAATATCCTCTCGCCTTGATCCCTTATACCATTTACTCGGTCTTCCACGTTGCCACCTACACTCGCGCCAACTTGATCCCCGCTGTTCTAGCCCCCAAGCCTGCTCCCGAGGCTGATGGTGCTACTCCCAGCCGTCGAACCAGCGTCGACCACCCTCTTGCTAACCAGATTGGCGCTTTTGTTAAGGAGTACTACGATGCGTCAATGGCCATTGTTGCTTCTCTTGAGATTGCTCTGTGGGGCCGCATCTTTCTGTCTGCCATTCTCTTCCAGCGTCGATCATGGATTCTTATTGTCCTTTATACCGCTTTCCTCCGAGCTCGTTACGCCCAGAGCACTCACGTTCAGCACTCATTCTCTCAGTTGAGCGCCCGTGTCGACTCTTTTGTCAGTGCTCAGGGAACTCCTCCCGCTGCTCGCTCTGTCTGGCAATCTGTCAAGGATGGCGCAAGACAATTCCACGACGCTACCGCTTTGGTTGGAGCTGGTCCCGCTAAGAAGTCCTCGTAAGCGGGGAATAAAGCGAGCGAATAAATAAGATTGGTCATGGAATTGGTATAATTTAGATGTTAAGCTTGAGAAAATTATAAAATTCTATCCTAAATGCCGTTTCAACTTGCAGTTTGCTCTAGTGATGTGTTCAAAGTCATGAAATTGTCCCAAGATTGTAGCTCTTTGCTGCGCTTAGCCGCCCTTACATCCTTGGCATCGCAGAGTGGACCAGATGGAGCATTGAGATGGGCTATGTAAGGCTGTGCAGATAATTCCGAAATGCACAATTTCCAATAAATCACTACCTGTCATTGTCTTTGTCTCTGCTGACTTGTCCTGACGTCCTGATTTTGGTGATCCGATGCGATCAAGTAGTGGGGCACAGGGATGACGTCGCCTGTCAAGTTACTTGTATCTCAGCCTGACCTCAACCGGTTCTATTCATCTACACTTCAGCATCCGCTTCAACTCCTCTTTAAAATCTAGCGGAACTACAAGTGGTCACTCTAACCACTTTTGAATAGATTTTTACCGCTTCAAGAGTCAAGCTCGTCATGGCGTCTATCTTGCGACAGATTGTCGCGGGGCCACGTGCTCGCCATCCTGAAGCTGGCTTGGATCTTTGCTATGTTACAGATCACATTATCGCAACGTAAGTCCCGTCTCCGAATTGTTCATATGTTGGGACTGCTCCGTTATTGGCGACACTACTAACAGGCGTAGATCTGGACCTTCAGAAACATACCCCCAACTCGCATACCGAAACCCTCTCGATCAAGTCGTCAAATTCCTCGATAGCAAACATGGTGAAGATTGGGCTATATGGGAGTTTCGCGCAGAAGGAACAGGTTACCCCGATGAATCTGTGTACGGTCGCGTGAGGCATTACCCATGGCCTGATCACCATCCTCCACCATTCCGACTCGTCCCAATGATCATGGCTAGCATGCGCAACTGGCTACACGGTGGCGAATTAGATGGTGGAGGAGTCGCAAGCGATGGAAGACCCATATCTGCAAACAAGGACACACTCACTCAAGAACAAAAGGATGAAAAGCGCAAGAAGAGAGTGGTTGTGGTACACTGCAAAGCCGGAAAGGGTCGCAGTGGTACAGTGAGTTGCAGTTATCTCATCGCAGAAGAAGGATGGAAGCCTGAGGATGCTCTTGCGCGATTCACCGAACGACGTATGCGCCCAAAGTTTGGTGCTGGCGTATCGATTCCTTCGCAGCTTCGTTGGATCAGCTATGTTGAGAGATGGACTCGAGGCGGCAAGAAATACACCGATCAACCTATCGAAATTGCCGAGATACACGTCTGGGGCTTGCGACATGGTGTCAAAGTTGACATTGAAGGATTTATGGATGAAGGAAAAAAGATTGATGTCTTTCATACATTCAAAAAAGAGGAGCGCGTGGTTGTCGACCCCAAAGCACCAGAGGAAAGCGGCATTAGCGACATGATTTGGGAAATGGCAGGGTATCCCGCTGCAAAGGCAAACCAAAAAGCGCCAGAAGAAGCACACTTTTCCGATGCGACGAACCCCGGAGACGACCCGTCTGCGACCGAAGACAAGGGCAAGAAACACGCTCTCAAGAGAAAGGGCACAGAGATTTTGCACAAGGTGTCGAACAAAGGCACAAAGCCGAAAAACGATTCTGCTACATCTTCAAAGACGGATGTTACCGATAATTCCGAGGAAGAGCCTGGTGGTATGGCTGTCATTTTGAGGCCAAAGGAACCGGTTCGCATTCCCAACAGTGACGTCAATATTTCGGTCGAGCGTCGCAACAAGACTCCCAAGAGTATGGGTCTCACTATGGTTACAGCTGTCGCGCACGTCTGGTTCAACACTTTCTTCGAGGGCGAGGGACCTGAAAGGGATGGCAAGGCTCTCGACAGTGGTGTGTTTAGCATTGATTGGGATGCTATGGACGGAATCAAAGGATCTAGTAGGAAGGGTTCTCGTGCTTTCGACCGTATCGCCGTGGTCTGGCGTGTAGCAGGTACCGATGCTTTGCCTGAGGAAGTGCTAGAGCCAGCAGAGGGACAACCAGTACCTCAAGTTCGACCAGCAGATTGGAAGGGTGCGAATAAGGAAGATCCAGATAGTCAAAAGGACTTGGGTCTTCGAGTGCAAAGTCCTGCCAGTGCGGATGTAAGCAAAGCTAGTAGCATGGCGGAAGAGCCTGGTGAGACTAAACAGAATGATGGTGAGCTTGAAGGTGTACGGTCTAGTGGACCGACGGGAGAAGATTTACATGTTGGAGATCACGGAGAGGTCAAAGAGAATGAGAAGAAGTAGAGTAGATATCCATGAACGAATGCGCACATAGAATTGCAATATCAATAGTGGGTATCTTGGTGAACTGACATGGTCCTAGTGGCGTCTGCCCCTTCCTCCTCTGTAGTGTCTATCCCCTCGATATCCTCCATAAGGACCTCCTCGTCTATCTCCACGATCTCTATGTCCACGGTATCCTCCCCGTCCAGGAGGTGGACCCTCTTCGGGGAGTGGCGCTATCGGCTCTTCAACCTCGACTTCGTACTCTTCATACTCATCTTTGAAGAATTCACTCGTCATCTCTTGCTCCCTCTTTGCAGCTTCAGGATCAAACACAAACCGCATCGTTCCCTCTTGCCCACGCGCCGTACGTCTTCCCGAAGCATCCCCTGGCCAAGATGCTGCCGTCACAGGAGTTGCAGCAGATGCAGGCGTCGAAGGCTGCGGATCTTCAGCTTCACAACGGTTGCAAAAGTTCAGATACCTCGGTTCGAAAGCCTTGTCAAGATCGTTATTAAGCCGAATCTTGATATCGATAATCCTGTTCTGATCAATCTGCGCCCCAATTTTTGTAGATTTAGAATGTTGGACATAGAGATCCAAAATATCCAGCATCGTCTCCATAACAGCACCACGACTGTACTGTGCTTTCGTCTTTGTGTATTCTCGAACCCTTTCGACATGTTGCTCCGTCATGAGAGCTGTAAGCTCAACAATAGCCATGACCATGGAAAAAGTTGTGCGCTTGATAGGGACAAAAGTTTTGTAAATGTCGATGCACATTAGGTATGCTGTGTCGTAGAATGGTTTGCCTTCTTTGCCAAGAATGTCACGGACGACTTTGACGAGGAGTTTTTGAGGGTAGCGCGTTCGGAAATCGAAGCCGATCGTTTCGAGGATGAGGCGTTCGAGGCAGATGATGATTTTGCCTTGTTCGAAGATCTGGAAAGTTAGTAACCATTGAGTATTGTGACAATTGACATACCTTGTCGTCCGGTGCAGCGGGTTTGTCGGGGTTTTTGACCGCATGCGCTGCTGCTAGAATGTCCTTCGACTTTTTAATTGTATCCTCTACCTTGCAAGCGACAAACAATGAAGCCAGCGCTGCGTCTTGATAGTCGTATTCTGCATCTCGAAAGTTGAGTCGAAACTTGTGAAAGTATGTGCACGCCGTATCAAAAGTGCGAACAGGTCTGTCGAGTCAGTCGTGCACTATACGCAAAGTTGTCCACATACAATTGTAGGTATTGTCTGACGTTATCAATCAACTGTACGCCTTTAAGACTGTAGTTATCTTGTCTCGCGGGATCGCAGCCGTTATCCTTGAGCATGCGACGTAGCTTTAGCTCTGATGTGTATTGATTCGAACTGGAGATGAAGCCCGGATGAGGTCCGATTTTGGGTATACCATCGTCGTTTGCTGCCGCGGATGCATCACGGTTGGACGCCATCTTGGGTGTCCCAGGTTCGTTGTCTGCAAGGTTTCGCCGTGGATCGTTGGGATCGTCTTGCGTTGTGAATTCCTCGGTCGCAACAAGATGTCTTTGAGGGTGCCAGGTTCAACAGTTTGTCGCGCGTGATTTTGCTAGTATATGCTGGAGCAAATGCGATTGGCGAGGATTACTCCATGAAAAGCTAGGTTCATGTGTTGTCGCGTGGAAATGAAATCACTTGTCATGATGCAAATGTTGCGATGGGGCGGAAGCTTATTGTGGCGCAGCATGTCACTAGCCACAGTTATCGTCTGGATATCGTCTCAACCTGGGAGCCAGCACATCACTCTTGATGGTGATTCTTGTGATACAATCGACAAACTCATAGAGACCAGGTTCGCAGAACGCACTTAAGGGTCAGAGCCGACAAACGGTACACATCAGGTCTAATAATCGTAGGTACCTTAACTATATACGTCTTGCGTGTGGTTGCTGCCGCAGCGTCATTGTTCTCTGCTCGAGTCTGTTCAATTCACTATTCTTACAAGGAAGGCTATTTATTAGCTGTCTGTTCTTTTTAAAGCATTGATTTGAGCACCGAAACCTGCTCTAGGACACGGCCCGACCTGCAATCTGGCTGATCGCATCAACGCTTCTCTCATAGTCAAATACTTGTGAGACATCCTCCCGAACCGGCTATCAATACCCTGTAGTTGCAAGGACAGCACGTTCATTGAGATATTCTCCTGCTCGCTCTTGGCGACACATTGTCCAGGATGAAATCAGTAGGCCGGTTTATACTAGTCAGGCCATACTTCTTAGATTACTTATTTCTCTACCCTAGAGACTTATAAAAAGACATCATTAAACCTTTGAAGCCAAAACCATCAAATAAACAAGTACCCCGACTTACGAGACCAACTTTTCTGTTACCCACTAGACCGATCGGCAGGGTTCCCTTGCAACTCACTAACCATGGCGCTTATGTCCACTTATGTTAGAGTCGCGTCGGGAAGCCGGGACCTGCATTTGGAGAGATGGGGAAGTTGCTTCTCCACGAGAAGAAAGAGTGATTGCATTCAATATAAGAGATTCTCGTATAAATGGAAAGATCTACGGAACTACATGCGAAGGACGGCGTCCTCCTGCCGCAATCGTCACTCAGCTCATTCCTTGCCAAGCTACCCTGTCCCGCGTTCCCACGGAAAGTGGAGGTCCTAGCTTGGAACCATGTAGGTGACGACCTGACGTCTTCAACTCCAGGCAACTCTCTTCTCATCAACATCATCACCTCATCTCATCTCTCAGCATCATCTCCAGCACATCCATCTTTATCGTCACTGCACTTTCGTTATCATGCTTTACCCTTCTCTGTTCCGTTTTGGCTTTGCCATAGGAGCTCTCGCCAGTCATGGCCACGAGGCACCCGCACACCCCAATGATGACCTTACTGACACTCCCCTCCCCATTGTCGTTTGGCACGGTCTAGGCGACCAGTTCAACAGCGACGGCATGAAGAGTATCGAAGAACTTGCTGAGGCCATCAATCCTGGTACTTTTGTTCACATCATTTCCCTTGATGAGGACCCCAACCAAGATCGCTCTGCTACCTTTACTGGTAACGTTACGGATCAGATCAGCAGGGTCTGTGAAGAACTTGCCAAGCACCCAATCCTCTCTACAGCACCCGCTATCGATGCCATCGGTATTTCTCAGGGTGGCCAGTTCCTGCGTGGTTATATTGAACGATGCAATTGGCCCCAAGTCCGCAGTCTTGTTACCTTTGGCAGTCAGCACAATGGTATCGTCAAGTTCAAGGCTTGTGGTCAGAACGACTGGCTTTGCAAGGGTGCCATGGCTCTTCTTCGATTTAATGTCTGGAGCAGCTTTGTTCAATCACGTCTCGTTCCAGCCCAATACTACCGCGATCCCAGTACCGAACAGGATTACAACAACTACCTCGAAAACTCCAACTTTCTTGCCGACATCAACAACGAGCGTGAGCTCAAGAATTTCAAGTACAAGGCAAACCTTGGTAGCTTGACCAACTTTGTCATGTGGATGTTTGAGGATGATAACCTTGTTGTTCCCAAGGAATCGGCATGGTTTGAGGAAGTTAATGGCACAGAGAGCATTCCCCTCCGAGCTCGCAAGCTCTACCAAGAGGACTGGCTTGGTCTTCGAGGTTTGGATCGCAATGGCGGCCTTCACTTCCGAAGCGCCCCTGGCGATCATCTCCAAGGTATGGAGGAATTGCTCAACCAAACCATCACCGACTACTTTGGTCCTTGGAAGCGAAGCTTTTCGTCGCCTGATATCGAGTTTGAGGGGAAAGCCTGGAAGGTGGAGGAGTTGTAGATCGACTCCGATGGTACTGCTATGCGTGAGACAACAGGCGCCGAAGTTCATGTAAGTTTTGTGCAGGCTATGATTTTAGCCATTAGCCAACATGATCACTAACCTTGAACAGGTCAAAGAAGAACGCGATTTGGATCCCCCTACAACTACGATTACCACCTGTGTTTTGAGCCCTGTACCAAGTGTCGATGGTGATCAGGAATCGTCTTTGCAACCCTGTGACAGTGAACCGCAGACCGCCGACCCAGACCTAGCAGACTCAGACTCACAATCGGGCTCGGATGATGCCTGGCATTATGACGTATTGGATGTTTTGAAGGCTCTCGACTACACGGATCCCGATTACATCCCAAAGTTCTTAATTGGGGGCGACAAATCCTCAAAAGCTCGCTGTCATTGTTCGGATGTAGGGGAAGGTCAAATTCTATGTGAATGCGACGAACCAGACAAGAACCTCGGTTCAAAGAAGATTCTTATGATTGCGCAAGAGCCTGACGAATATCCCAGACGCGTCTTATGTTATTGCAAGAAAGTTGGCAAGGAAGGACTATGTGAATGCGACGGTCGAATTCGTCGTGTGAATTCCGACAAGATTCGAATGATACCTATTAAAGAATAATGGGCTGGCATCAATGGAGGTGGACAAGGATTGAAAGTCAATATTATTATGAACGCATCGATGGATGGACAGGCAGTAGTATTACTCAACAGTTAATATTGTTACGAATGCAAGTATAAAGTTCGTTCTACTGGGTTACCATTTCAACGCCCCAACACCAATGCAAATACATTTTAGTTGTCAATAGCCTTCTTGGCAGAAGCCTTTTGCTTTCTCAAACGGGTCTTGCGGTCCGAGATTTGCTTATCAAGCTTGTCGTCGTCGGCCTCAGGAACATCCTTCTGCTTCTTAGCCTTCTTTGGAGCAGCCTCGACCTCATCGTTCTCGAGCGACTTGCGCTTCTTGCCAATGTTGGCCTTTTCGCTCTTGGCCTTGGCCTCCTCTTCAGCAATGACATCCTTCTCATCAAGCCAGAGCTCATCAGTCAACCAGATAGGGAGAGCAGTAGTCTCGGGGCCCTTGATGTAGATGCTCTTCATGTTGCGCCACTTCTGAGGAATCCACTTCTCAATCATACCGGTAACAACAGCGTCGACATTGTCGGCGATTTGTTGAGCGGTGAAACCAGAGTATCCAATCTTGATAGAAGTGTTTGTTGATGGGGTAAGGCTGACGAAAGCAGAGTTGACAGCCTTTTGGACCTCCTTGGCAATCTCAACAGGTGTACCAGCGTTGACGGTATCCTCAGTCTTGACACGCTTCTGTCGCTTTCCGTCGACCTTGGGAGCCTTGGCCTGCAGGTTGACAGGGACCGGTCGCTTCTGTGTTGACTTGTAAAAGGTCTTGCCTAGAACCTTGGGTAACCGGTTGATGATGCGGTCGTCACCAAGGAAGATATCGGCCTCGTTAAAGAGCTTTCGTTGAGCCTCGTACTGGCTGTACTTGGCCTTGAGCTTGCCAAAGTCGACAACACGGGTGATGCGCTTGCGAAGCTCCTCAGGAAATTCCTCGGAAGCGACAATGTTCTTGTAGGCGCGCTGAGGCTCGGCGGTGATGAGGCAGATGGTGGTTGTCTCGTCGGTGTTAAGCGAGTGAGGAAGGGCGATCTTGCCGGGTTGCAGACGGGCCTTGTCGACGATGTGGCGCTTGGTGGTCAAGTTGAGCCAGATGGGAATGTTTTCGGATTCTTCATCGTCGAGGAGGTTGCGCTTGCCAGACTCGTCGGCCTTTTGCTTGGAAGCCTTCTTGATGTGTGCCAAAAGAGCCTTGGACGCCTTGAGGGTCTAGGGACTGTTAGAGCTATTGCAGATGTGGATTGTTGGAAAACATACCTGATCAGGGTCAATTGCGGCGACAGCAGTAGAGCCAGTAGCGACGACTTCCTTTGAGGGCGCCATTGTCGCAAAAAGAGTTGATGTAGGGATGTAAAAGTTGTTGATATGATAGTGGGGGCTCTACTTTATCAGTAGTCGACAAGAAAATAATTTTTTTCTGAGATGGTCGCGATCGGAATATGCAAGACCCGAGCTCCGGTCCAGGGGTCTGGCGGCCACGGCCTCGGACTAAATTGGGTCCACTCTTTTAGTTGGCTTACAAGATGATCCTACAAGGTGATCCTACAACATAATACGAAACATACGAAACGACTATTTATACAGCTTCGAAGACAGAGTGATTGTTCTTAGAAGTTGAAAACATCATGTCCCCCGAGATGCAAGACCCCAGTCACAGGAGATCCTCCTGTGACCAGTGCAGTATGCCCGCCATTCCCGTTCATATCCAGAATACTGATCAATACAGGACAAAAGAAGCTCAAATGTGATGGCGGATATCCTTATTGCGGGAGATGCTCGAGTATATCAGAGAGTTGTGTATACTCGGCCAAGTTGCCCATGGGAAGACCCAAAAAGAGAAAACTCACCGAAAATGAGGTCCCGAGCAGTACGGAGAGTAGGACGTCACCGTCAACTTTGGCCATGAGTATCACAAGCGAGACGACAAGTGAAGTTGGGAGGAGGTCAAGTTTTGATAACTGTCAGCACATGTCGGATGATGCCCCGTTGGAGATGTCTCTTGGGTGAGTTGGGTCTCAGAACACCTTGATGGCTTGCTGACCCATATTAGAACAGACACAAACGTTGACCCGAAGCTGTTGTTCGAGACAGACCCTCTAAGCTGCGCATGTCTTGCAAATCTTTACCTCTCATTAGAACAAGTCCGGAAAGCAGATGACCTACCCTTTACATCTCGATTATCAGTCTTGCGGCATTTGACAACCACAGCAGGAGGGATTATTCAGTGTCAGATATGCCCAACAAAGTTTCTCTGGGCGATGCAGAATGCTCAGCTTCTCAATACTCTCATCGTATCCCTCGCTGAGGGGTACAAGAAGATTGTGAAATTCGTCGAAGACGAGACGATACGGGCTCAAGAAGCCAACGAAGCAAAGAGTTTACTTATATCTGAAGGTCAACCTGACACGCTAGGGTTTCAAATGAGTTTGGATCCAGAAGACTGGCAGAATATCGCAAACAAGGCCATCAGAGCAGAAATGTTTGGGACGAAGCACTCCACGGCGGCATCGTTCGTGGGGATGTTGCAGTTGATGGAAGATAGACAGAATGCATGGCATTCAGGGCATACCCATGTTCCCCCAGGGATTGGGACTCGTATGACTCATCAGATGCACGAGAAAGAGCCGCATTGTGTTTCTGTTGTCAAGCATACGAGGGATATGATATGTCATTTGCTGTCTGATGTCTGAGTGGATTTATGAGAGGTAATATGAGATCCAATGATTTGTGTTTGGCGAGAGCAAGAAGGATTAATGGGAATTGGACTAAACGTTTTGGGAAAACGACAAAGGAGATATGAGTGCAACCATGCGTATAGAGTCAAAGCAAGGTGTAACAACCCCACAAACCATATGTGATTTCGGGAAAAGCAGACACTCAATGCACGTCTCGTGAAACAACACAGATGGAGAGTGACATCTACCCCAGAGCAGTTGGGCTGCGAGGTGACGAGTCATGTGTAGATCTGGCTGAACAAAATCTGCCCTACGGCCATGTATTATCGCAAGCCCAGCCTCTCTGGGAATTTCTGCTCTGCTGGTCTTGCATTCTTGGCACGTATTGTACAACGCAGTCCGAGGTAGGGGGTGAAAGAATGGAACAAAAATCACTTCTAGAAGAATGTTCAGGGCTGCTGGTTGGTTTTTCGTTCTACGCTGAGGGTGTGTAGGCAGACTCACCGATAGGGGTGTCATAGAGCCGGGTAGTCACAACAACGTCTTGGCTGCTTCTGTGTCTTAGTCACAGATGACATCAAAGTAAAGAGAGCCTGGCTACCTCTCAATCACCCTGCGAACCTGAGTTGGGCCTCAACATGCAAACAGTATTTACCTCGAGAGTTGATAGGCCATACCCATACTCACAAGTGAGAAGCAGACAACGCATCCCTTTCCAAGTCAAACTTGGTGCGCTTTGGATACATCCCGACCGCTGATTTCCGTGAGTATGTCTTTGTGTCTCAAGTGCAATGAGGCCAGAGATGCCAACATGCCGGCCGAAAACACAGCGACTGCCATGAACAGGGGTGAAGCATACGTTAGTTCTGGAGCTACCTCTGTTGGCAATGGGGATCAGCACAACGGTAACCGCACCCAAAACAACTACCATTCAATCAACTTTGCGCCAACATTCACACTGATTCTCAATGTACATTTGGAGTCAATAATGTTGTGTGCCCTGGGGCAGCTGGAACCTCCCCAGTTGCTGGACTGGAAGCGTGAGATCGTGGACCTGGGTATTGTGACGGTACTGTGAGAGTAAGAACCGGATTCTCTGGCTCTGATCTGTTTACAGGAATCATGCAGGCTCTGGTACCAGCACTGATCCTTGCCGAAGCATCTAATGATGGTCTTCGTTGGACTGCGGTGTTGAGGCACATATATTTTTGGCTTCCTGATTGGCTATTCTATGAAAACTATAGAGCATGATTGAAGAAATAGGTGGATAATTGTCTCAGAATAATGAGGGATTTTACGGACTTAACTGCGTGATGCGAGTGTGTCACACGAACAAGTGACAGGTCACAGGATAACTTTTGGTATTCTGAAGAACGCTTCAAGCTGGATATATTGTGTGACTTGAATCTAAAATTCTCGAATGATATAATTGTTCCATATAGGATTGTTGTAGTATTCGTAGAGCAGTGTTGAATCTCTTATCAACTATGTGACGGTGTTTATGTCTGAGGCCCATATCACATTTTGACTATGGAGCCATCTAAACCCTGCATCAGGTGATAGCGAGCCAGCATTTTAATTAGTTATCTGTGGTCTTGACCAAAAGTAGTAATCTGGCGTAGATACCAATACAGACACATGTTGAACATCAAGATATACTCGGGTTTCCAAAAGACTCAAAACATGCGTGCACCAGCTTGTTTCCAACTTTCATTATATTATGTGCTTTATATAATTGCATGAATAGTAGTAAGTGAGCTACCCTTGAGAGTTGAGCTAATATACTGTAGAGTGTATAAAGGTCAGTCATCGACAAAGGCAGTGTCCCCCCTGAGTCAAGACCTCCCGCTCCGCAGTCGAGCCTCGAAACCAAGTTTACAGAGTGCTGGAGCCCAACAGATTCTCACAGACTTACTCTACACCACCTAGGAATCTTAAGACTTGGTAAAGTGGCACAGTTAGCTTTTGTCACAGAGGCTATGATCTGATATTATGTCCAGAGGCAGACCAACGTCTCAAGCTTTGAACCCCGACGATCCCTACTTTTGAAACCCCACAGATTCTCAAACATTCTACAGTCTTGTCAAGGTATGGGGTTTCAAGTCTTCAGCCTTATGTCATGTCACTCACTTTACCTCTTTGGGTGCCTCGGATTTCACCGAGTCTGACACACTTGGCCCTGCTGTCCTTTATGCCCGGTTATTCCCCAATATTTCCACTGATTGATACCTAATCTCAAGTGTGGTCTCTAGTGTGGAAGGGTCATACAGACATCCTTTGAGGCATTCCGCATGCCACGTCGATTAAGCTATCATTTTCATCGCTATCACCGCCTTTGTGAATGAAAGTGTGATCAAGAAAGATTTTCACTATTCTTGGCTTCTTTTGACCGCTACTTTTTAACCTAGAATTCTCGCAACGATAGGGCCTCGCTTTTCAAACTGAATTTACCATGGCTGAACTCTTCGGCGTCGCCGTATCGGCGGCTCAACTTGGTGCAGCATGCTGTTCTTTGATCGACGTCTTGAGGAAGATAAGAGGGTGCGCAACTGTACTCAAAAAATATTATAACCAACTACAAGAACTACAAAGCCTCTCTATCAGCATCTCTGAAAACCCTCTTCTGCAGACTCCTGAGATAGGGACTCAGACAAGAGCTCTTCTATCAACGATCAACAACAACTGCATCAACTCCCTTCTGAGAAAAAAGAAATTACTACGAGCTTGGGGCTTTCTGTATCGAGAGCAAGACCTTCTCGATATCTTTGTTACACTTGAACGACAGAAGAGTACCCTCTCCCTGACGATCCATCAAATACAGTCCAAAGCATTATATCAGATCCAAACTGATATCCAAAGAATGTCTTCCAACAAAGTCATGGAGGAAACAAGGGCCAGGCCCCAGCAGGAGGACTTCCTTGAGTTTCTCCTTCGCAGCGCGACTTTGGAGAATCCCTCTTCCCTTCACAAAGAGATTGTCCCCGTCAACTTGTCTCGCCATCCGAACACTGCAAAGGGACGAATGGCGGTGGCCTACGAATACCAGACAGAATCTCGCCGAAGCAGTACCGCCACTATCGCCGTTGTACCCACAGAATCAAGCATCTCGAACGGCTTTGTCACAAAGGTCAACCATGGCCTCAAATGGGTTGGCTGTGTGGCAGATCAAGGGTTTGACCAAAACAACGGACATGAATGGGACATCAACAAAGACATTTCCAACCCAATCGAAGAAAGAAACTTTGTTAAAAGCGAATACAGAGATTTGCTCAAGATAGGAAGTGGCAACCAGCACAACGGCCATTCTCTCGAGGTTTCAGGCGATGTTGCTGGCAGATTTACTCCCAACATGGACGGTGACCGATGGACTCATTGCAACGCTAAGGCTGGCGTCGCAGGAGAGAAAATTGGAAAATCTTTTGGGACACAGACCAATGGTCTCAAGATTAAGATTAAGAAGTGAACGACTAGAGAGGTCGATAGTGAGATGCAGGACGGTAATGGGGACTACTGGTGGTACGGTCATTCATTTATAAAGAGTGCTTGATTCAAGATAAAAATACCAAAAGAGATATAGATAGAAACGTATATACGCTCTGTTCTGAAATGACCGCGCTTCTAGTATGTGACTGCGTGTTGCCAGTGGTCGAGGAGCCCACGTGATGTATCACATGATCTTATCAAATCAGTTTAGCACCAGTATGGGAGCAATTTTTGACTTCTTTCCACATAGCAAAACCACCCGACAACAAAGTACCTTTATCAAGATGAATTATTTCAATCCCTTCTCCCGTCAAGGCGCTCAATGGACCTTTGTGGGACATTCTTCAGAGTTTCCGGACGTGGATGACGACGCGGGTAACCTAGCAAAACACCGCCTGTGCAACACAAAATCAATACCAGGATGCAAAGCGTTTCACATCCCAAAGGAGGATGTTTCGTCGTTCAAGGAGGTTGAAGTTGGAGATGATGCGCTAGGACAACCGCTCGAAGATCAAGTCCTCATATTTAAATACAAAGGAAAATTCCACGCAGTTGACCATGTAAACACACCATTCTCAGGGGTAGACTTTGCTAATACAATGATCTAGTCTTGCCCACACAGCCAGTTTCCTCTCTCAAGAGGCACGCCTTTCGATATTGAGGACTTTGGCGTTACTCTCAGCGTCGGTGTGTCATGTCCTAAGCACGACTGGTCCTTTGATCTCTTTACCGGCATGTCTGATCGAGGGAGTTACAAACTCAAGACTTGGGAGATTCAGATCCGAGACGCCAAGGAGCAAGACTCTACTCAAGAGAACGGAGATGCCGAGAAAAAGAAGGACAGCGAGGTGTGGGTCAGGAGAAAGCAGAGGATTGGCTGACCCCCTACTGCAATTGAGCCAGCCAAGCCGAGAAGTGTGATGACCAGGGCTACTTCGGTCAACATACTGAACACCATGTGAGGGACCACATATAGAATGTCCATCAGTCCATATCGATCAGACGCATGATGCCAGTTCAATCACCGGAAAGTGCTTGCTCACAGACAATGACAAAGTAGTGTTTTCTTACTACTGAAAGATCTTCTACCGGAACAAAGGAAATGAACGATTCAGGCCATCTAGGCGCAACATATCCCAACAATTAACCTGGTGTAGCCCAGGATCACAATGCTATCATATGAAAGCCACTGATCGTTCGATACACTGGACTTGGATAACCTTACACAGCCACCTCGAATCACAAACCTGGCACTGTCGATATTGCCTAGGCTTATAAACACCATCTCGGTACTTCAAGCTGCCCAAAAAGGCGGTGTTTTGCTTACAGTTCTCATCTCTAAAGTAGGCGCTCTCGGCAAAGTTCCAGGTGCCATACTGAAGTCACCATCAGCATCTGTGCTCGTACCTATATCATGTTGTTTCTCACGGATGTGAGTGGGCTCTGGTTGCTTTTCTGAGAACTGGACAGGAACAGAAGTTGTATCGGCCTTTGAAACGACTTGTTCCCGAAATGCCGGATTGTGTTCATAATTGCGTTTCATCTGACGTGGCTTGCCTCTGGTTTTGTCCTCCTCGCGTTGTTTGTTGTACGGCTCTACATCGCCCCCCCACCAGTAGTCCTCCTCTAACCTGAGCTTTCCTGGGAAGTATTCGTCCCTCAAGGGCAATCCCAAGCCATAGGTAGCATGGAAATCCATGATGCAGTCCATGACCTTTCGACCTTTGATTTGCTCCACGCGCTTGAGTGGTAGGTTCCTCATCTCTGGCGTAAGCTCTCTAGCTGCGAGCCAAGCATTTTGAAACATGCCTAAGGCTCCTACGCCAACAAGGCACCAGGCTTCAGGGAACTCGCTTCGAGCAGAAACATTGACGAGGAGCAGGAGCCAGAGCACTGAGAGGCATGCGCAAGATACCTGCGTGATAACAAAGCCAATTGGATATCCTTGGAACATCCAGATATTTGACCGTTTTGCTTTGCGAAGACTCGAATTTCGACGTGTCACTGACATGTCCCGATCGCTTCCTTCTTGCGGCGTGGACAGACAGAAAAACTTCTCCCATGGTCTCCCATTGCGAGGCGACTGCATCGTTGCAAGAGATTCTATATCGAGACAGTTTCCGAACCCCATGATAACCATGACCTCTCGGGAGCCGTTTCCAGATGTCATTGCATACACCTCATGTGATCTCTGTCGGTTGGGCAGTTTCTCCGCCCTCCATTGGGGGAGCAGGCCCGTCCACTGTACCAACAGTGTCCCTGCTCCTGTGATGAGAAGTACACTCCAAGTGCGATGCACGATAAAGGGAATGGAAGCCAGTACCAGTTGAATTGCTGTGATCACTATGCCAACGGCATGAACCCAGCTCCAGGAGAACTCAGTCCGATCATTCTTATTCCATCCGGCTTCGAAGACGGTGATTTTTAACGCGTAACTACTAACGTTATTCTCACCGCGTTCTTCTTGGGCGAGACACTCTTCGCGAGTCTCGATTGCTTCGAGATCCCGTAGTAGGCGACCAAGGATAAAGTTCTTACTCTCTCGAAGATATCCAGACTTGAGATTGATTATCCTGCAAGGATAATCGGGCGGAGCAAGAAGTCGTCCGTCCCCAATGACACCCACCAGAGCAACGAAGGCGTATGCCACGCACCCAAAGGAGAAGCAGACAGGAACATAGAGTTTTCCGGTTGCTTGTGAGTAGGCCTTTTGAACAACATCGCCACCAAGAACAAAGAGAATCGTCGACACGTCTGAAGGATTAACCCATTGAGTAGCGAGTTGGTGGCTTGTCGACATAGTCGTGTATTGCCAAATAGACGTTGGTGTTAATCACGGGAACAAGAAAGAGCCTTGACAGTGACTGTCGTATTACAAATTCATGTCAAATCCTGGGAAAGGCTCTCAGTTTATTGTTGTTGTTTGCCACGTCATACGACATCAGAATCAGGCTCGGGAATGCCTCCGAGCCTGATTGCACAGTGCGTCTCTTTACACGCCCATGTACCTTGATACGAAGCGAGCTGAGTCTCAAGGGGTCATATGTTCATGTAGGGAATCCGGTGACATTCCGCGAAAGGGATCACCCTGCATGAAAGGTTCAATGTCTCATTTGACATGGTGGCGTGAAAATTGTAATTGTGATTTACGTGTAAACCTCACATAAGATAAGCGCAGCCCCTTCCAAATCTTTAATTGGTCAGCTCCTTTGAGAATTTCAGCTGATAGTTCCAATGATAATCTAGCACAAAACCGGTATAACGGACAACCATCACTGCTGACACTGGGCATTTATTTGGTGGTTTGCTTCCAAGGTATGGTGGCTTTTTCGCCCGACAGCCTTGCTGACACTGGGCATATTATATGCCCGTGGATGTGCCAATGATCCAACTAGCATTGCGTGCTATTACTACAGCGGTGCAATTGAGACATAATTGGTGCCATGGGTATCTATTACAATGACTTATAAGGAATAAAATCAGCCTCTACTGCAAGACATGTTGAAAACTATACATTAAGTGAGATTCGAAACTCCACTACGCCTATCTTAAACTAAAATAGATTCAGATGTAATTAGACTCACAACAATCACAGGTCTCGCATCATGGAGTTTGTCCGTTGCCTCACCCTCTTGACAGCCCCTCGAATGGACAAGTCCTCCATATCTTCCCCTTTCTTTATCTGACTCCTGATATGACCTAATAAGTCTTTGAAATCATCCCCAAGCAGTTCTTGTCGATCCCTTACAATGCCCGCAACCCTCTCCCGTAAGAGCAAACATTCTAGAAACCTTTCTTGTTCAGCATCACCACTCGCAAGTGGTCCGACTATGTCTTTAAAAATATCCTTGACATCTGGGGAAGGAGTTGAAAAGGAAACCTCGAGACTTAGGATGGTAGTCTGTGTCTTTACCGTTTGCCGATGGTATGGCCCTAGTCGATTCCTCTGCGCCGTCAAGATGGCATTGAGTTCATCCTTGCCGTCAAGAACATGCTCAATGCCAGCTTCAGGTGGCGAAAAAAGTATATTTAACAACACGCGCTCTTGCCTGGCACCGAGGAGAATAGGATGATCACTATCTAGGAAGAGGTCCGATTCTTCAACAAAGCATGTCGTAGAATGTAGTGGGACAGTACTTGGTTGAAGAATAAAATCAAAAGATGATATGGCCTCGCTGCAATGTTCCTGGCCCCCGACATCATCCACATCTCTCATTGCAGATTTTGAAAGAATCCCTCCCATTGTAAGAGAGGCCTGGAGTGCTAGCGTGTGGAATTGCCCGAACATGTTCATTGCAGCATCACGCACTAGTCGAAGGATGCGAAGGGCGAGTCCCAAATCTGTCCTGGGCTCTCTTGACACGATCTTAGCACATGTCAATAGAGAGTATAGGATATCGGGGTGCCTTGCACAGTCGGGTTTCGCTGCTTTGAAAGCTTGTTGAACACCATGTAGTAGAGGACTATCGTTCAAGAACTGTCGAATGCTCTTGCTGGAGTCACTCTCCAACCACAACTTGTCTTTGTCGAACCGAAGATAGTGGAGAAAGTAACCATAAAGAGCTTTGAATATTGTCTTCTCGGCCATGTCCAGTTTTCCAAGGTGATATTGAGCTAGTGCCAGCTGAGTGCAGCCTTTCAAAGTCTCAGGGTGATGCGAATCTTCCACAGCTGTTTTCAGGAGATCTTCGGCACTAGAATAGAGCCCACACTCGATATAGAGAGTCCCAAGTTGGGTCTTGTATTTTAGCGTTGATGGATGCTTGTGACCCAAGTTAACATTGGATCCGGAACGGCGGCACAGGGAGATGGAATCGTCCAGTGCATTGAAAAAATTGCCTTCTTGATGTGATGCCGTGATTAAAATATGTTCCGCCTCCAGTGCAAGAGGATGTTCATTGCCCAGAATCTCTTCTATCACATTAGCATACCTCTCGCATATCAGTCTCCCTTCACTAATATGTCCAGTTTCAATGTGGAGGAATGAACACAGCAATGCAACCTCGATGGTCAGAATATCAGTTTCACCTATCTCAGAAATCGTTGTCATCAATTCCGGTTGCAGCATGGATAATGCGACTGCGTAGTGGCCTCTGAGCGTGCTGATTCGACATTTGTTGAGGACATTCGAAATCCTGACAGGCTCAGAAGACTGGACATCTCCCAGCTTCTCGCACCACCTATCGGCATTCCTCAATTCATCATTTATCGTCTGAGAAGTAAATTTGCCCAACTGTGCTGCTGCTAGGGCTCGGAGTCGACAAACTGACGCTGAAAACGTGTGGCTCTTTTGTTGTTCTCTGAGCGGTTTCTTTGATGATTTCTCATGCTCATCCACGAGTACGATCTCTCGAAGGCATCTGTCCATGTCGCTATACCTACCCAACCTTAATAATGCGAGGGCATAATAAAGCAAGACAGTCCCATGAATGTGAGTGATGGTCGGCTCGGGCTTATATTCCGCGATAAAGTTACCAAGCTCTTCTTGTAACTGACGTAGATCTTGTTCTGCTTTAACATAATGCCCAAGCATCATACGAGCAAATGCTAAGCTTGACTTGATCTCCCAAATTGCTGTATCGTAAGGGATTGCCATTCTTAAGCACTCGTCAAACATCAAAAGCGCATATTTGTTATCGCCACTTTCGAGGCGTGCCTCTGCCTGGTCCCTCAAATCTTTCCATGCATCATTGCTCGGGCCGTTCCGAACTGCTTTGCTGGGATGTAGAGCACTTTTACCAACATTTGACCTCGTCTCCGGTATCGCGATAAGTGGTGGCTGAGGTGGTTGCACTAAGATCCTACCCGTCGTCGTCATTTGCACGCGTCTAGCAGGGCTTTTGATACGCTGTACGCCCTCGATTGAATCATGATGATTTTTTAAATGTTGCTCCGTTGAAGATGGTGGAGCGGGTTGAATAGCAAGGAAGTCTTTGTACTGTTGTGGCTGTGTGAAGAATGCATCGGCAGCAGATCCTGATGCATACGTGGAGGTGGCGTGTTTCTTTAATCCGGATTCAATACGATCAAGGGTCTCCTCCAAGGCAGTCTTTAACAGATGCCGAAAAATTTTGTTATTGCACTTAATAGCAGCAGGATCACGTCGACGTGTAGACAACCATATTGCGCGGTTTAGGTCAGGGCTGATATCCTCGAGAACCCTGTAATCGAATTCAGTGATGATTTCGCCCACACTGGCATATATCTCTTCATAGTACTTGTCGTCCAAGAATTGACGTTCGTACGGAAAGTTACTCTCTTGGAAGAACACCATCAGTCTAGTGTTGGTCGGCGCCCCGGAGCAAAACTTTAGTGCGACTCCCCTGATTAGAATGGAGCCGAGAGTGTCGGCTAGAATGATGAGATGAGGCGTTGTGCTAGTATCAGACTTTGAAAAGGATTGAGTTCTTTTCAGACCTTTGAGTCGTGAAGACTCTATGAAGCTCTGTAACCTTCTGACAGTCTCGTCAAAAGACTCTCGGCCGTCTTGGCATATCTCCCTCTCGTCAAGGGTGATGCTTGATATGCGATAAGGGATTTTACAGATGGAAAAGAAATGCTCGGCCGCTGACAGACTAGGTGCAAGCGCGGAATTGGAGGTTGAGGAGCAAATAAGAAGGATGCTGCTTTTGGTCAGAAGAGTATAGAAAATGGCGATCAAGGTGATATTCACTCGAACAGATGCTCGCTGCCGGTACCGGTGTCATTGAATCTCTTGACAGAACTAGCGCTGAAACTAAATCCTGTTTGTTTTGAACGAGTAGTCAGTCGTCTTTTGAAGAAGTCCCTCCAACCCATTGTGATGTAACGGTGTTGGTGAGGTTTTAATCGGGATTGTCGCACGATGAACAGTTCTACTCCTGGGGTTGAGAGGGATTTTAACGTCTGTAAGATGGAAAAAACGCCTCGCAATGAATAGAATGGGCCTGGCGCCAAGTGAGAAAAGAGGGGACGGGAGGAGGCGGATTGGTTCCTTCCAGGGAGTGATTAGCCTCAACGTCAAAGAGGCTTGCTTATCTGCTAGAGGCAGGTACTTGCAATATAAGGCTCGCACGGTATGAGCCAACGTTTATATAATTCTTTATCAAACCCCATTGGGCGAGTCTTCCCGTGTGGCTTTTTGTCGCTTGCTTCATTATGCGAGAAGGGATGATTTATGACTCGGTGAGCACTCAAGGATGGCCGCCACGGGCGGTTATTGAGAATCAGGCTGAGGAAAGTGAGACCTGCCCAGCCTGATTGATTGCGCAAATGCGCTCATTATTCAATTATTTCAGGCTCCGCAACTTTCACTTCTTATTCTGGTGTCTATCAAGGCAGTCTAGCTTATCCATTTTACACTTCTGTTTCACTACCAAACACGTAATTTGACATTTGCCTACTCCTGTGAATGAGGAGCTACGTTTTCACTGCCTCTACCCGATTGCTGTGTAACAAACAGCAAACATGCAGCACTTGGGCGACGTTTACCAAGGCGATTGGATGAAGTATGTCAGAGTTGGTTATTTTGAGGCCCTTGACGACTGTTGTTCGATCAAACGTTTTAACTGGACCTATGAGAGCTTTGTAAGCTTTCCAAAGCAACATGGCTATCGAATCGATGGAAATCATAGGCTACATGAGTCAGGGCTACCTCGTAGCTGTACCGAACTTGAGCGTCCTGCCTTTATGCAAGCGTGGTTGTTCTTTATGCTCATTCATTGCGTTGTCCGTGATGACAAGAACCCATTTCTGGACCGCAAAGCCCTCGTCGATAAACGTCAACTCAACACCAAAGATTTGCCTAAAGCCTTGAACGATTGGAGCAGTCACATGATAAAACTTTATCAGACGGATGCAAGGGCTGCCACTATGAGAATCTTGGAAGCAAATCAGATCCTGGAGCTTGCCAAACAGGTAGTTCTGGCGAATTTGGCAGAAACTCCGCCATTGACACATTCTGCAACCACTGGTAATACGCGGAGAAACGGAAACCGAAGCCTTGCAGTTCAGCCTATCGACCAGCGAAATATCTGCATAATGATACTCGGAGAGACTTTATCTGCAGTCCTGACGAGACTGATAAAAAAGTGCAATGTCAAACTTTCAGGATGGGAGTTAGATGATGGAGGTGGTTGGGGACCTCCCGCTTACGTTTCCAATGTGATGAGCAAGGACTGGTGTCCTCGATCTCAAGCAACTATCAAAGGGCAACTTGGTCGGAATGCTACCCTCCTATACATTACGCTCTTGGCGCATCATGACAACCTCCATAATCGACATTCTCAGTTCAGCCATACATTCGAGGAGCACTGCACGCCTTTAAGTTGCCCATTTATCGAAGCTGAGCATGACCTTGAACAAGGACGAAGCTACAGCCCATCACATCACCCCACCTGTGGAATGCAAGACAAGTGTGATATGGTGGGGCCTATAGAAGAACATGTTTTAAAGGTCCTGGAAGAGGATGACAATTCTAGGACAGGGTCCTTTCCTTTGATGAGGGTTTTCAAAAATGTTGAAACAGACAAATTGGAAGTGAAAGTTGAGGCCTGGAAACAGGGAACCGCATTTGCGACAATATCTCATGTTTGGTCCCAAGGATTAGGGAACAGGATTGAGCGAAAGATCCGCATGTGCCAGCTTGTGGCGATTCAAAACCTAGTGTCCAAGGTCTTTGAAGACGGAGGTTCACATCCTTTTTGGCTCGACACATTCGCCATTCCGCAAGCGCGCGTGGAAACTTCAAGGCATACAAAACTGAAACAAAAGGCTACTGGATTGATCCACCATATTTTCAAAACTGCTCAACACTGCATAATAATTGATCGTCATGTTATGACAGCGGGAAGAACCTTCAACTGCGGCCGAACGATTGGAGCTGAGCTCCTAGCGAGTGGATGGATGATGCGGTTATGGACACTCCAAGAAGCCTTCGTTAGCCGTCAATTGCACATTGCACTATGTGATCAAGAAGAGCACCAAAGAGAACCCCCAAGCCTTGACGGGATATGGTTGATGAGCGAAGACCAGGAAGCATTTGCGGAGTCGATGACGGAAATGATGAAACGCAAGGTAGATCAAGGTCTCATGAAGGGGAACTCGATAGAGTCTGTGGCCGACCAAAGCAACACTGAGCGTGCCCTACTAATTGCGAGCGCCTGGGGAGCAGTTAGGTATCGAGTAAGTCTTATTCTCTAGGCACAACTGAAAAGGACGAGCACTACTAATGGCAATTTTCAACAGACCACGAGAAATCCAGGAGAGGAAACATTAGCCTTATCAAGCTTGCTTGGTATTCCGATCTCCCGGGATGATAACGGTGAAGATCCTTCCACGACTCGGGTCGAAGATCTTGAGACATTGATGGTGAGGTTTTGGACGGCGATCAGCAGACATCCCGTACTTGGGAAGGCAATCCCACCCGGCATAATCTTTCTATCAGGGAAGAGACTCTCCCGTAAAGGTTTCCGCTGGGCGCCTGCTACTTGGATGTCAGGTGTGGTGGAGGCATATCCATTTCCCTTGGATAATCCAAAGTTTCCGACACAGCTGATCAGCGAAGGTCTCGTCGTACAGTTTCCAGGCTTTCTACTACACTCAAACACAAATAAACTCCATGATATAATCTCGACGAACAGCAATCGAAATGCTTTCGACTTTTGCGTTGGCAGAGGATTAAATGAGTGGTACAGAGTGGTCGCTGCAAGAAAGAAGAACCAAGCTGCCAATGGCTCGGCGACAAGCCTGGACAACGGGAACCACGATCAGCATCAGATTTCGCAAGACCTGAAAAAGAGACTGAATGCGGGCTCATCTTTGAGAATTGGTATAATACTTTCTCGTCCGCGTCCAGTGGAGGTACAAGGTGAGATCGGACTACTGGTCGAGATATATAGCGAGAAGCCCTGCCGTTCCGAGGATGGTCACCCTATCGTTCCAGGCTCCTGCTTGTATTGTAGGATAGTCCGTCGCGTAGAGGTCACGCGACTGTCGACGAGTGCTGTAGAAGACTCGTTACGCCAAGAAGGAGATTGGCTACCGCCTGGTGATGATCCCATACTGAGCAGACATGAGAAGTTCAGGCAGGAGAAGATAGCTGGAGTGCATATGGATGACACCCAAGGATGGTGCGTGGACGGTTTCACTAGCAGGCAACCGCTTCATTCTATAACTGCCCTATCGAGAAGACATACTGGGATTCCCCAGCCTGTTGAGCGACCTGTTGAGGATCCCGGTATCTTTAGCAGACTTAAACGGACATTGACAGTTGGCGGCAGGTTTGAGAGTTCAGATCAATGAGGCAGGATTAATTGAGACTAGGCATGAACTCTTTGAATTCATTATTTACGGAATTTTGCTGCATGGATTTGATTACACGCCAGTTCCACCAAAGGAACAGAGTAAAGCTCCTTTGACGCCAGTTCAGCAACACCTCACTAGCCACTTTGTAGGCATGTTCTGAAGACAACTTTAGGCCTCTTCGAGAGTTATCAAGGTGAAATTGATGGATAGATGGAATGTATTAATAATGAATTTGACTTAGATTTCTGGATTTGCTTCCATTTTCGCAGCGCCCGGTCCAGTTTTTATCACTTTAAGAACATGCTACAACATCGACCAATATTGTTATTTCAAGCCTACTAAAGAAATGAAAACCAGAACCAACTGAACTACTGCTATTACGATACAATAACATGAAACATGCTCTAGAAGAAAACAGTATAGTTTTCTCATTCTATGTGAAAACAGTGATAATCAAGTCCTCGCCACGTTGGGAGGGGACGAGAGGGGCATAGTTCCTTCATTTATTTGACAAGACTTATGCCAGGCATAAGAATGTGGCAACAGCGAACGGTCGTTCAGAGCCGGCTGAGGAAGGTGGACCATGCTCTTTCCTGAATTCTTTCATACCCCACAACTTTCCCTCGTTATTTCAACACCCAGACGAGCCTATCTACACTTCTGTTTTCTTTGCACCATCAAACGCAACCTTTCAAGCCACGAAAATTCTCATTGAAGGAGAACACATTCTATTATTTCAGGCATCTCAAGTGATACGCAAAAACGCATGTTGCAGAAACACGAGAGCGCAGTGGCTGTACCAAGCGAGAGCGACCCGTGCTTCCCCAAGCACGACTTCTGCAGGCTCATTTGTTGTGTTACTAACAGTGCATTTTAGACAGAGAAAATCGCCACTGAAGGTAGGCCCATCATCAAATACCAAAAATTCTGAACGGTTGAAACGGCCAAATGACACGATTTTACGAGACCCATCAAAGGTCATCATGAAGCTTTTCAAAACATACCATCTACTGGAGCTTGCTCAACAAAAAGGCCCGGCCATTTGGCAGTCAGTCCACCATCCATGTCGTCGAACCAGCCCAGAATGACTAAAAACATACTGAGGAGCGGAAACCAAAGTCGTACAGTTGACCTTGCCGACGAACCGCCAAGTAACTGTCAAAATGTAACTTGGTCGAAACGCTGTACCCTACGATCTACAGATTTAACACTCCCATTTCAGACATCTTGAGAGACGTTGCACAACTTCGAGACACGTATCTGCCAAAACTGAGAATCATGTCCAGACAGGCTGGAGACAAAAAAAAAAAAAAATACATCACACCCACCTGCCACGAGAATTCCGATAAGGTCAGCGAAAGATCCGCATGTGCGCTACTCGCCATCCAAGACCCGACAGCAATAGGCTTCGATGTTGAAGGGGTTTGCGACGACACATTCACAATCCCACAAAAGTGCGGATGATTTCAACATGCCACTCTGAAACGAGAGCTCCCTACGTCAGACAGAATATCGGCAGGGACTTGTTTATGATTATGCACTTAACATATATGAGAAGTCTATACGCGAAAATGCAGCTGAAGTGAATCTGGACGAAATAGGAAGTTGGTGGGTGGACGAATTTCCTGGCAGATAACCCCCTCTGTCCAAGCCAAGTTAAGATTGCCGGGTTCCCCGGGTTCCAGCCCCCTCAAATGAATAACCCGGGCCTTTACAGGGGCTTCCCGACTCGAGAGTGCGTCGGTGAGGCGAGAACAATTGGTCCCGCGACTGTTGCTCAACACGCTACATGGCTTTGCTTTACAGTACTTGTTCCACTCGAGGTATTCATCACCCAGTTTCTTCCTATCTACATGGCCAACAAACCTATGACTCTGACATGCGACAGTACTGAAGTCAGTTTGGAATCAACCTACAACCTGGCAATCCTAGAGAGTGAAGACCATTAGCGACGTCCAAACGAGGAGCTCCGAGCGGACCACCGGGAAAGTGGAGGACAACCCGACAACGCCATGTCAATATCGGCGACTGATATGCTGAATCGGGCAAGGCCTACGCAGCCACGAACTTGTTCAACGTTTTTGGTTGGCTTCGATAAGACACAATTCGAATCTAGATTGAGGGGAAAGAGAAGATGGGGTAATCCGGGGTAGCGTGGAGATCAGGGATGTCGCCCTCTCTACCCGGGTATTTAGTCGACAATGCCCTTTGATGCAAAATGAACGATTCGATACCCCTAACTGCAGACTCTTCAATCATGGTGTCTTTCAAAACAGTCTTTTCTCTATCTTCGCAGGAGGTTGATGCTGCGGCACCTCCTGGAACGATCCAGATTCATCGTGAGTCTCCAACACCCCAGAACAAACAAATCTAACACTCAATAGGGGAAGAAGAAGACGGCCGCCACACTTTGAGCCCTACCGATGACCCTCAAGATCCTCTCAATTTTCCAACATGGAGCAAGATTACCGCTCTGCTTGTCGTTTCATTATATGCGTTTGTCACCAACTTTACCTCTGGTGTCATCGCACCCGCGTTTCAGCTTTGGCCCATGATATTTCCTAAAGACCCGAGAAGTCTTTCTGAGCTTTCTACCTTGATGGCTGTATGGACCTCAAGCTCGTTTGAGATCATCACTAACAGAATTACAGATCAATGTTCTCTTTCTTGGCGCAGGAAACATTTGGTGGGTGCCACTGTCGAATTGGATGGGCCGCCGACCTGTTCTTATCATTGCAACACTTCTCCTCACTTTCAGTACACTTTGGTGTGGACTTGCGACTTCATATGACTCTCTACTTGCTGCCAGAGCTTTTCAGGGTATGGGTGGCGCGGCAGCAGACTCTGTTGCGCCCGCTTTAGTTGGAGATATGTTTCCCGTCCATCAACGTGGTCGTGCTATGGTTGGTACACCCGAAAGAAACTTATATCAACGTATACTGACGTATACAGGCTGTCTATACCATCATGTTGGTTGTTGGACCACTTGCAGGTGGCATCTCTGGAGGCTACATCGCTTATCAGCAGGGCTGGAAAATGATCTTTTGGGTTGGGCTTGCATTATCTGCAGCTTGTCTGGTTGGTGTCATCTTCTTTGTCCCTGAGACTCTATACACCAGAAACGCACCGATTGAGGGCGTGACCCAAGAGTCTGATAAGCAAGCTCAGTTTGGAAACAACGAGCACGTCGAGGATAAGAACAACACCACAGTCGGTGAGCGGCAGACCACAAAGCCATTCACATACGTACAGTCGCTGGGTTTCATCAAGCCTCATGGAAGTCTACTCAAGCAATTTATTCAACCCTGGCGAACCCTCGCTCTACCTGGTACTTGGGTAGTCATGCTCCACTACGCCGGTTTGGTCGGAGGCATCGTGTCTATCTCGACCATCGGACCGCAGATTGTAGCCAGCCCACCTTATCTCTGGAAAGCAAACGCAGGCTTGATCAATATTGGTGCTCTCATCGGCGGTATCGTTGGATACATCTACACTCATATGCTCGCTGATGGTCAATTGGTCAAGAAAGCGAGCAAGAAGCGCCATGGTGTTGCCGAGGCCGAAGATCGTCTGCCTACCTTATTCTTCCCGCTCTTTGTAGCGACAGGCGGACTGCTCGTTTTTGGATTCTGTGCTCAACATCCAGGAGGGAATATGTGGATTGGATTGCAATTCGGATATGGAATGCTTACATTTGGTTTGATGCAAGTTCCCTCTGTTGGGTTCAACTATGTAAGTGATCTTCCACACCGTCATACATTATGTGCTAACATTTCAGCTCATCGACTCGTACCACTCTTTGGCTGCTGATTGTTTCACAATGGTCACTATCCTCCGTGCAATCATTGCGTTTGCATGGACATTTTTCGTGGCTGATTGGATTCATCAAAAAGGACCTGCTGAGCCATTTGGTATTTTTGGACTTTTGCTAGGAATCTTTTCCTTGTTGACAGTTCCGCTTTGGATGTTTGGAAAGCGAATGAGAATTGCGACAGCGGAAAGGGTCCTTCGTTGGCAGGGATTCTAAGGGACCACTTGGCATGATCCTTGCTTGAGCCTCACTCGGTACCTGGGTGAGGCATGAAAAGGACAGATTTGCCCCTCATTGACGTCTCATGATTTCTACCATATCGGGGGATGATATATACTTGACATCTACTTATATTTCTATGGAATTCTATGGTTGTCCGTCGTCTTCTGTTGATCCTTGACCCACTTGTTGACAATCCCTCAAAAACGAGCCAAGAAATCTAGACTCAACGTCTTACCGGAAGAGATCATCTCAGAATGCAACGATAGGCAGAACATCAGCTTACGAATAGTGAAGCGGTTATCAAAACGAAACAACCCCTCCTTCTCCCCCTCAAATGCCAAGCCCATAATAAAAAGAGGCGCCAAGGATTTGTTGGCCATTGGATACTATCCCCAGACCCGTACGACTTGCCAAGACTTTTCTCACCGCACAGCCAGTCTCATGTAAGACGAGAGGATTGTTTTGTTTCAAGCTGTTGAAAATCAATTTATTTTTATTTACTAGAGGCCTCCTGATATGTACTCTTCCCGAGACAAACATACGCAGGAACCAATAGAATATGTACTGTCGTATTATGTGTGAAAGGCGGGTCTTGTACTGAGGGCCCATGAAGCAGGCGGGGATATTTTCAGGGGTCCATATCATCATGTAAGAGAGTGGACTCTCACTGCATTCGTGGCATCTTTTTCATCGCTCTTGCACGGTTGACTCGGTCTTGGTTTCTTGGCTTTTATGGAAGGCGCATACTTGAGGCCTCGTGAATCACTGCCCCTCTTGATAAACATATATAGACCTCAACCTCTTGACTCTGATTTCTTTTCATCAACACACTTTCACCAACACAACCCTATATCCTAAACAACCACCAAAATGGGAAACTTCCACGAGAGCTCCGAGAACATCTGGCTTGAGGACGGCCACATCCTCCATGCCGAGTGCGGTAACGGTGAGGGTGAGAACGTCGAGTCTACTCTTGACCTTGACTACTACATCGGTAACGACGACGGCGCTTTCCAGTGGGGCGGCGAGAGTAAGCAAACCAACAGCATTCTCAAATTGATAGTATACTGACATAACCAAGGCTTCTCCGGCTCTGCTTCCGACATCACCCTTGAAATTGAGGGCGACGGTCAACCTATCCTCCGCGCCCAGTTGAACCCCGTGGACGGTGATCCTGTCTCGGCCGACATCAACCTTGCCGAGCGTATTGGCAATGACTGCGGCACTCTCATCTTCCGTGAGTTTGTACGAGGATAACTGATGACTATTTACTAACGAGGTTTTAGTTGCTTAAGCATCTTTCTGGGTGAATGGCACCTTGCGATGAGAAGTAGACGTAGAACATCAAACAACAAATCAAAAAACATTTCAATAATTGATCCCAGTCTACGTGAATAATCTTGCTTATGACATTGGTTGTAGAGTAAGGTCGTCAAGAATTATTCTTACCGCTACTGGACAAATTGAAGTAAATGCCTTACTCAACATTATGCACGCCATTAAACACTGAGACATGCATCAATCCACCAACCGGGTATCAAGTATCCATCTTTCTCTTTGCAGAATTCTCCAACTCCCCCATAAGCTGCACCAATTTTTCTGTAAGATGTGGTGTTGGCAACCCCGCAAAGTTCCTCCTCACAACACCCATTACAGCTTCCATGACCTTATTAGGTTGACTCAACGACACGCTCATCATGATTTCTCCTTGTCCTTCAATCTCTGAATGCCATCGAATACAGGGCTGTCCTTGACCAAATCCCTTGAATCGTTGTAACGCGAGACTGTCCGCGTCATCGAGACACACGTTTTGGCTGAGTGCGCGCGACTGATCCGATAACAAACCGTACACCCAAAAAGCCAAACTGGCGTGGTAGAGTATGATAGCCATGGGCCCGCGCATGGAGCCTTTGGGAGATTCTTTGGCGATTTGCACGATTTGAGCCGCATGGTAGATTGTGTGTCGAGCAGCTTCACTCTTGGCCCAGTCTCGAACCATGGGGTATACTGCGCGTGCACGCTCGGGTCCTTCCATCCCGGCGAATATTTGGATATCCTCAAATGGCATTTGCAGGTGCAGCAATGCAAGCTCAAGACGCATTTTGATCTCGGGGTCTGCGGCGGCATCTGCTGATAAACTCAATTTCAAATGGCCCAGAAGCTTGAGTAACTCGTCTTTCCGCATCTCTGTCACGAGAGTATTCCATCGGCGCGGTTTAGATCGTTGTAGGGATGCGATTTGGAGGTATTCCCAGCACATGGTCCACGTACATGCAAGGACGGCGAGAATCGCGGCGTAAGCGTCCACCGAACCTGAAAAGTTGTTTAAGACGTCAGGGTCGTCAATGACATCTGCAACGTAAAGTGGTTCACTGTCCACACGCGAAGCCATCAGGGAACTCCACTGCTCTGGAGATGAAGCAATCCACAATTCTGCATGTCCTGGCAAGGGCAGTAGAACCTCTGCATAAGAGACCAATGGACCGACCATCAGCGCCATAGAAGAGTTGGCATCGTGAGAAAGCATTCGTAGGGCAACGCGTTTAAATGATTCGTGCTGTATCCAATCCAGCCAATCTTGACGTGAAGCACGGGGTCCGACAGATTTGTGATCCGAGTACGCTGATCTTTTGAATTTTCCATCGCGGCGCATCATGGTCAGAACAGGATTGAAGAAGCTTTCTGCTATCTCGACTTTCCTCGGTATGCCGCTCCAAATGCCCATTTCCAAGATAATCAGAAACGCTTGGGTGAGTTGGAGGTCTCGGACGGTAGTGTTATCGCGTTCCCACTTTAAACATTAGTATGAACCAAGGTGATAGTTTGAAACTTACGTGCTTAGCCACAGCAACTCGAAGGCATTCTTGTATAGCGTAGCCGAGCTTCGATAGTGCTGGGTCGGACGTCAAGACTGCACCACAAGCGGCCATGGCGGCAACCAGCTCTGGTCTCTTTTCATTGGGATTGAAAGAAGCCGCGTGGATAAAAGCGGTAGCATGCGTGACAGATGAGGTCAAGTAAAACTGGAGAAGAGTATCCAGCAACTCGGCAGAGGGAAATGATGCAACTGCTTTTGAGAGATGATCCGACCGACAACTGCTCACAACCATCATCAAGATTCTGTCTCGTGCAGGCCCCTCAAGCTTGGCACAAGTGACCCTTGTATTCAAATCTAAAGCGACGCCAGACTCGGGAGAAGGATAAGCTGAATCAGTAGCAGGGAGAGCAAGGTTGTGTTCTTCAGCACCTGCATGGTCCTTTGCGTTGGGCCTGAACTTCCAATGCGAATTCTGGAACGCTTCGGTACACATGGCGGCTGGCTCACCAGGGTCGGTATGTGATGCAGCGCGTGGTGTCTGGGCTCCTCTTGGTGTCGGCTGGATACTCCGTATCTCGAAGGGGATGGATGTATTATAAGAGTCAAGGAATCGTAGGTCAATGTCGTCGAGTTCATTGTAGGAGAACATCTCTACATCGTTGGTGGTAGAGGCCCAAGTGCCAGATAGGAGGTTGAGGTCGGGGAATTGGAAGGATAGAGGGTCTGTTGGTGGATTCAAGGATGGGTCTTGGTTGTTAGCGGTTGAGATGAATATGGTGCTGCAGACCTACCGAGATTTTGGAACAAGCTCTGCGTTGTTTGAGGCGTCAAGATATCCAGCGACGGCTGACCCATCACCGACGAACCAGACGTCCCGATATTTGTTTCGTCTCCAAAAGCAGTGATGGAAGATCCATTATCTTGTGAAAACATGGACTCATCCTGCTGTTCCTCAGGCGAGGCATAGTCTGCGTCCATCTCCATTGGGTCATTCCACTTGCACTCAATGCCCTTCTCTTGGCATCTCCGACAGGGCTTCTCATCACTACACCGTAAATGATTCGATGAACAAGCTTTACAAGCCTTGCCTACCCTTCCCGGCATGAACCGGGGTTGATCAGACACTGAACCTTCCCCAGCTTGGGAGCCGTGACCAGAGACATGTCTCTTGAGGAGGTCACTGAAGATGTTAGTCAGCGTCAAACAGAAACGAATATCAAACTAACGGTCTTGTGAAAGCTTTTGGACAGACGTGGCACTTGTAAGGTTTCGTCTGTGTATCTATTCTTCGTCAACCATTGACCTTCAAGTCCCGGAACCAACTTACGGGAGCGCACGTGACGAGCTAGATGATCAAGGCGCTTGTAATTCTTCTTGCATGAACCACATTGGAACATGCCCGGTTGAGTTGTCGACATTGTTTAGTGTGATGGAAGTGGAGAGACGATGCGATGGATTCGGGACGTGGAGGAAGGAGGGAAAATACAGGGAAAGTCGCGTTTTTCCCCTCGGGTCGGATATTTTGTGAAAGCCGGGGTTGATCTGGACCCTGGCGAATGCGGGGGTGGCACATCACACCTGAAGGGAAGGTACATCTAGACGGCAGTTGCCGCATTCTCGGACTCCTCCACATCCCGAGCACCTTGCGTGGCATTCTTTTATCCATCCTACAATTACACTCGACACTTATTGATATAGATCGATAATCATTTGAAAATGGGTATGTTGAAATTTCCCAATCAATAACACCGCTAACAATGAAAGCCGATTTGACACCAGTTCACTTCTTCTCCCATGGATCAACCATGATGCTGGGAGAAGAATCCGAGTCAGCCGACTATTGGAAAAAGGCTGGCGACCAAGCTCTAGCAAACAAGCTCAAAGGAGTAATCATGATGGTATGTTTTTGTGGTCTGTATAATTAAATTATTAACAATTTTAGGGCGCTCATTGGGATGCAGAAGGAGATCGCATGGAAGTTGCCATGAACCCCAAACCAGGCAAATCCCCCGTCGCATACGTTCACCCATCAAAATACGTCGATTACGAACTTGTTCCCGATCTACCGACTGGTGAAAAGTGTATTTCCCTGTTAAAGAACGCCGGCTTCAACGTTTCAGCCAATGCAAACTTTGAATGGATCCACGATACATACCTTATCCTCATTCGCATGTTTCCCAACGGCTGCCCTCCTACGACTCTTATCTCTATGAACGCTCGGTTCGATCCACACTACCATATGCGCGTCGGCGCCACCCTTCGCTCCCTCCGAAAAGAAGGTTACCTTATAATTGGGTCGGGTGGTGCGGTGCACAACCTGTACCGCAACATCTGGGCACCAATTGTGTATTACTCTGACAACTTTGCGCAAGAGAAGCCACCTGAATCGTGGGCTCTGGAGTTTCGACAGGCTGTGGAAGATGTGATTAAGAACAACAGTGGACCAAGATTGAGGAGGGCGATGACAAGATTGATGAAGCATCCTTGCTACAGAGATGCACATGCTACAGATGATCACTTCATGTCGGCTATGTTTGTGGCGGGGGCTGCAGGCGATGAAGAGGATGATGGTGTGTATGGTGAGCTCAAGGCGGAGGATTGGGAGTTGACAAATATGTGCAACAGTCAATTTACTTTTGGAACATGGCCCAGGACTCTTGGAGTGGCTGCATAGATGATTTGACAGTTGGAGTTTAGAGCATAATAAATTGATATCTTTTGTACTTCCAAATAAAGGAATGCCCGCCAATGCGATAACCAGATTCCAAGATGATAACACGACATAGGGAATGATGCCGTTCCCATATCTCGCATCTGTTGTCAGAATGAGGCCCGTGTTTGTCTAAGATATTATTGAGTTGTTCTTGTCAATATGCCTGTTTACTTACACCACCTCTGGCTGAGGGAAACAACCTCCATCATGCTCCGTTTTGGCGTGTCAACAAGACTGACAGGTTTGTTTGCCTCGACGGACATCAGGCTTGAAACCTATAAAATGTGAATAACTTGCGTTCTCTGGCTATACTGGAAACAAAATGGTGGTGTTCCATTCCTGTAACAATAGGAATAACGTCTAGTGTCTTGTTTCAAGTACAATGTTCAATGGTGAAGAAAACGTGGACAAGGCTGTTATCGGACAGGAACCCTCGTACCACAAGCCATAAAACTTATTGGATATTATCAGGACTTGACAAAGTCTGTAAGACAATGTCAGACAAGTCATGCCAGGGCAACGGCGCCAAGAAATGCAATGTCTGTCATCGTACGCCCGCATACTGAGACAACTTTAAGTCTCGTTCCCCTTGTCCGAGACTGATGAGTTGAGACAATCTTTACACACTAAATAAGGAATGCCAGGGCTGCCTAGAGCCACGTTGATACGACACTGGTTGGCATTAGCTCAAAGTAACGGAGTCAAGCAGTATCAAGGCTCTGCTTCAGGGGGCATGAGTAGAGCTTTGGCATTTATGAGTATAGTAACATGTAACCTCTTTTTGAACATATCTGGCAACTACAACTTGTCTTTTCGTACATTGTCTCGCTGATGTGGTCTGGCCGACACAGCTAAATGTGTTGAACATGGCATTCCAGTGTAGCCACTCTGGTCGACCAATTGAATACTGCCAGGTACGTTATTGATGTGAGGGGCGTCTGTGTAAACTATTGACAACTGAGAGATAATGCTGAGTAGCAGGTGACTAACAATACTGAATATATCAAGTCATCACTTTACAATTTACACCATGTAGCCTGGGAGGATTGTTAAGGAAAAGACAAATAGAGATTTCTAAACCACTTTTTATTACTAAAATATGTATTGAGAATATTATCTTGTATTATTAAGATCTTCACCAAATCCTTTGTTGCCTAGCATCCCCTTTGTCTTATCAATTTAGCTGGAGATCTATTGTATTGTTAGCATCATGATCACAAAAAAGGACACAATTGTCTTACCTCAATGATAGCAGGGCCGGCGGCGACAGTGTCATCAGAGACAGCAGTGTTGCAGCTGGTAAGAACAACATAGGTCTGGCCGGCGAAACCCTCAGGAATCTCAACAGTGAAACCACCATCAACAGGCATGGCCTCAACAAAGGTAGGACCAGTGACAGCAATGAAAGCAGCGTAGACCTTTTGGCCCTTGGCAGCCTCGACAGTGTATCCAGGGGTCATGAGAGTGACGGTGGAACCAGTCACTACAGCCTCCTTGGAAGCCTCAGCCACCAAAGCGGGGAAAGCCTTGACGGGAAGGGCAGGGTTGGACTTGGGGCAGCCAGTAATGAAACCGGAAGCCAGGGAGTAGACCTCGTTGTAGGTCAAAGGGGCATCAAAGGGCTGAGCGAAGGGAACCTGCTTGAGACCAGCGCGGATGTAAGAAGAGTGGCGCGCCTCAACAGTGAGAATGGAACCAGCTGCAGTGAGGTATGCCTTGCTCATGATGTCGGCAGCAGCACCGAGGTAAGCTGAGACACCGACACCCTCAAGAACAGAGGCAGTGGCGAGGAAAGACTTGACATCAGTGACACCGAAGGAGTAAGTGCACTTTTCAACAGGGGTGACACCAGCAGCTACAGAAGTTAGTATTAATTATAAGTAGTTGATGACAAACATACCCTTGAGGCCCTTGGTGAGGAAATCAACGTGAGCAGTCTCATCGCTGGAAACCTTCTTGATGTTGTCGTAAAAGGTAGAGTCGTAACCAGCATCGGCAAAGTCTTCCTTTGTAAAGTTGGAGAGGCCTTGGAGGTAGAACTGGTTCTCAAGATGCTCAAGAGTAAGAGCGTAGTTGAGGATGACACCGTCGTTGATGGCATCAGCACGCTTCTGAATGGCAGGAGCAGCAGCAGCAAAGCCAGCAGCGGCTAGAGTGAGGGATGTAGAGAAGTACATGATGAATGTGTGAGGTAATTAGATATTAACGAAGATGAGAGAGTGTGTGATATGATTGTGATGATAAAGTTATTTTGAACGAGAAGACATCATGTATTATATCTTGACAGCCGTCTCTATACACAACACCAATACATCAATCTCAATGATTCAACTTACAAACTCCCAATTACTCGGCATCTTCCATATCCGTCCCGATCTTACCGACTGTCTGTAATTTCAATGAACCCTTACTAAAACGACCGGCCCAGTCTAGATCGTAGCCCTAAGAAACCCCTCGCAAACAAAATCGCTAGAGTCAATTGCCGAACAATGACGTTATTCAAGTTCCCAAAATGATTGTTCAGTACCAAATTAGGTCTGCAGAATGATGATCAGGGCGCTTTTCACGGAAGGCTTGTAGCCGACTGTTTTAGCGTTGAACATGATTTGTGTTTCTCCAACTCTCATGGTGGGGCTTTGTTCTATCGGCATGTTTCGTTTCCGTGAGCTAACATGTATGGAGGCTTAGATCGACTCTTAGTCTCTGTTCGTGAGACATCTTCCGGGACTATGACTATCCGATCTAATATAGCCTGAGATATTAAGATTGCGCATGTCGATCTGGGGTAGGTCTGTGAGGCATCGTGTCTTGGTTTGGGCTTCAATATGGAACTGAGTTGGTTAATCTAGTGATTTACTAACAATGCCGAAATCCCTCGGATGTTGCATCCTCCGTGATCTAACAATTAGTAGGAATGTTTCAATTAATTTGGTATTGTGATTTAATACTATCTGCATGTAGTTCTTAATTCCTGTAGTTCCTCTCATCTTATTGTTTCAAACAAGCTTTCAATATCCCAACTCATTCACTCACTACTATCTCACTCATTTCGCACTATACCCTCAGCAAACATGAAGTTTTTCGTTGTTGCAAGCGCTGCCCGTATGACCAAGAAATTCTCACAGTATGAACCTTGCTAACATCTACAGTCCTTTCCGGTGCCTACGCCGAGTCTGCATCTACCACCATCACTTGTGCGGGATGTCCTTCGGCCGTTACAACCCCTGATATGGTAACACGATCCGCTCTCCCTTCTGTATCTTGCACCGAGAAGCCCCTGAAGATCATCACCAATACCAAGGGTTCTTCTGGTGTTGCAGCCCCTACTGGATCCGACTCTGGATCTGGACCTGTTTCTACACCTACTCAGGTTCCTGTGTCTGGTGCCAGCGCCAACAAGATGGGAGGCGCTGGTATGGCTGTTGCAGCTGCTGTTGCGGCAGTCTATCTCCTTTAAGCGTCGTGTTTGAGAATAGATAGGGGGATGGAAGTAATGTTGGCAACAAGAGGCACTGAAGTTTATGTATATACAAGCTCTAATACATCGATACCATTCGTTTCTAAATAATTTTCACCAACCCTAATCTAGTTTGGAATCACAGGAAGAGTGATATAATTCTGTTGTCGCGGTCCAAAGTGAATATGGTTGTGTCCCTGGAAGATTTCGGGGGATCTAAAAAGTTAGCGATGTCTTGATCATCAAAGAACCAAACTCACCTGTCAACAGTATCATTGTGTTGGAAGATACCAGATCCTTGTGTATCGCCAGACGCGACTTCAAATACCAACTTGCCACCCTTATCAACAACCACGTTCGTAGGCCAAACCTCAACATCCACAGCGTAGACCTCACCCTGTATCACAGGAAGAACATCTTTACTGGTATAGTTGCGGTGAGGTAGCCACTCGCGATGCTTGGGGTGTTCTTGGTCAACCTTGCGTAGAGAGACGCGGAGCCAGCCCTTGGTTACGGGAACAGGATCACCTGCTGTGCCAGTGTAAAAGACTTCTTGGCCTGAGGGGTCGATGTGTCGGAGTGTCACGAAAAGATCAATGTCGCTTGGTGTAGGACCTGATGGGTCGGGAGAGACAGAAACATTGAGATGAGCGACGACGTGACCTGTGATTTCTGTCTCTGCTTCAAAGGCTGGAGTCGAGAATTGAAGCACTTCGGGCTTCTCTAGGGTACCCAAAGCCTTGTAGGAGAGTTTCTTGCGGTCGGTGGTGGGATCCCAACTAAGTCCTTGCTCCGGGGTAAGGAAGAGCTTTTTGTACTGCGTGCGCGCAATAGGCCACTCAGTCTCTTCTCGACGAGGGTAGACTTTTTCCTTTTCCGCATCGTTGAAGCCAACGTTTCCTTTTCGCAGAACGAGACTGACAGGCGCGACTTTGCCTTCTTGGGACCAGCCAACTCGATCGTCGCCCTTGAGAAAAGCATCAAGGAAACTTCGCTGAATCTCAACTTCCTCTTCGTAGTAAAATGGTAGGTCATGGCGGCCGGTGATAAGACGGAGATACTTGAACTTGGATCCCGCGTGGATGTAGCCTTCGATGTTGCCTCGCAGGTGGAGAAGAATGCCACCCCAGTTACCGACCGAAAGCAGGGGAACTTCGATATCACCCATGTCGTACTCTTTAGACGCGTAGTAAGCATCGTCGCGGAAGCAGTTGGCCTGGTTGTCGATGGTCTGGTCTTGTCTGTTGGCTTCCAGTTCATCATCGGGCAAATCACCCTCAATAGTATCAGGTCCCCAATTTCGTGCGCTTCGTCCAGGTCTTCCATACTGATTTGTGATGACTTGTCGATTCCACCAAAACTTGATAAATGCGTTTGACAGAATACCGCCGTGGCGGCACCTGTCCCGGTAGTAATCCGACATGCCCTCCCAAGGCACAATAGCGCTCAGACCCTTTGGTTTTCTCGCGGCGACGCGCCATTGACTACCGGCGTAGTAGCTAATGCCAAGAAGACCAACTTTGCCGGATGACCAGGGTTGCTCGGCGGCCCACTCGACGACATCAAAAAAGGCTTCGCTTGTGCCACGAGACATGGTGTCGAGTTTGCCTGAAGATTGACCAAGACCTCGCTCATCAGCACGGACGATTGCATAGCCATTCTTTGTCCAGAAGGCGGGATCTGGAGTTTCCCATGCTGAGTGTTCAGACTTGTGCTGGGGGTTTACCTCGCTGAAGGATTTGGGATGGAAGCTAAGACGTTAGTGGATATTTGTAGTAGTTTGAGACACTTACTCTTGATATGAAATGTCCTTTCCGTATGGTCCGTATGTGACGAGAACAGGAACCTTGTCAACACCCTTTGGACGATAGACGTTCAAACGAACAAGTCCGTCGCCAGCTTTGAGTGGAACAGTAGCATTCTGTTCAAAGATGTAAGGAAATGATTCCTCATCTATCGTGTGGATGTCCTCTTTGATTGGGTTTGGCATTTTGAATGAAGTAAGATGCTTATGCGAAAGGATCTTTTGATGGTCTTGACATCCATATTTGATGATATCGTGAGTGGATATCTTCTCCTCAATTGCATTTGTCGATATTCCCGAGTTCGGTTGATTGTTGGAGGTGGAGGGTTCCGAGCCTGTTTCGGTTACGTGGGGCCGAGTCCCGAAGCAGGAGTGATCGGAACAACTGGGGAAATATTCTCCGAAAAACAAACAACAGGCGCAGTAGATGAAAGTTATTAAGGAAAGTGCCCAGTGAGAGTTGCCAAATTTTTGACTGACGGTATCTGTCTATTTTTTTCATTGATAACAAATCATGTCTTCAGACACAACACCTTTGAACGTGCTTATCGTTGGAGCAGGTAAGTTATCGGATCCTTGCTATATTGAGTATAGCTAACTTTTTTAGGTATCGGAGGACTTACCGCGGCTCTTGGACTACGCCAACAAGGTCACAATGTAACGGTACGCAAAGCTTAACTGATCACCAATCAGTACTAACAGATATCAGTTATTTGAGAGATCGCAACTGGCACGAGAAGTTGGAGCAGCCATTCATCTTGCACCAAATTGCCATGGCATTCTACGAAAGTTTGGGGTGTACCCAGAAACCTTTGGCGCCAACCCGGTCGAAGGAGTAGGTCAATTAGAATCAAAGAAACACAAAAGACTGACGTTTTAGATCACTGAGTATACTGGCACCGGAGAAGTCAAGTTTGATATGAACTTGACAGGTCCTTTGTCCATCTGGGAAAATGTACGTCGCTTGTTCTCTTGTTGTTCCCTGCTAACACGCATAGCCATGGGTCCTTTCTCATCGTGTTCGACTCCACGAAGAGCTCAAGAGATTAGCAACATCTACAGAGGGCAAAGGAACAGCAGCTATCCTCAAGACATCTTGTTCAGTCGTCGATGTAGATCCTTCAACAGCCACCGTCAAATTTGAAGATGGAACCACAGCGTCGGGTGATTTAGTTCTTGGTGCCGATGGCGTCAGCGTATGTTTGACACCTTTCTGCGTCGATCAATACTGACATTTCCAGTCTATAACTCGAAACATTGTCGCTGGGCCAGACATCAAGCCCTTTGGCTCGGGAAAAAGCGCTTTCCGGTTTTTGATTCCCCACGATGTCATCCGCAACAACGAAGCCACCAAGGTCTTTACCGAACGGACCGGATTCATGACCATGTGGATGGGTGACGATCGTCGATTGATCATGTATCCTTGTTCTAACAACACTTTTATGAACTTTGTCGCTATCCACCCCAGCAGTATTTCCGCTGGTGCGAACAAGGGTGCTGGTACGTCATTTGGATACCGTTGACAGTACATGGCTAATCTGGATACAGGCTGGGGACGTGGTGGTAGCACCGAGCTACTCAAAGAAGTGTACAGAGACTTTGAGCCTAGAGTCCGAGCTCTACTGGAGTTGGTCGATGCCGATGAACTGAAGCTTTGGACTTTGTTGGATATGGACCGAATTCCAACCTGGCACAAGGAGAGGCTAGTGCTTCTTGGAGATGCAGCCCATCCATTCTTGCCTCGTGAGTTGGTCAGCATTTATTCTTTGATTTCTACTAACGCATCTACAGACCAAGGACAAGGTGGCGGCATTGCTATCGAAGACGCAGCATCATTGGCTGCTTTACTACCACTGGGCACCACAGCAGCCGATATTCCATCCCGGCTGTCTCTATACGAAAAGACCCGAGATGAGAGAGCGCATACAGTTCAGGACTTTACCCGACAGGCGGGAGAGGATCTCCACGGAGAGAAGCGCGCCAAGTTCAATAGTGAGAAGACTTATCTTGTTGCAAAACAGTACTAACAGCCGCAGTCTACAAGTTCCTCGACTACAACTTTAACCACGACGAGTGGCACAACTCTACGAAGGCCCTCAAAGACCACCTGTACTCGCAAAACAAGAACCTCCACTGGAAGTCCCCTCTATCCTTCGGTCCCATGCCTAGCCCTCGTCAAGATATTCTAGGTCAACGCCGCGATGGTACCAACTCATCCTTCACCACGTATTCTGTGCGCTTCAAGACATCAGCAACCTATCTCAAGACTCTCTTCCCTACACCACAGTTCAGCTTCTTCAAGCCTGGAACCGTCGCAGAAGCTTCATTTGCCTGTACCGAGTTGAATGGCATGAAGTGGCTGGGCGGAGGCGGTTACAGATACTTTGGTCTCTGGTTACACGGCGTTCAGTACGAGAAGAAGGATGGAAGTAAGATCTTTGGATCTTTTTTGGTTATTTTGATGGAGAATCTGGCGGACCCCATCATCACTGGACGAGAGGAGCTTGGTATGCCAAAGCTTTTCTGTGATATTGATGTCCAAGAGAAGGATTCAACGACCAAGATTCAGTGCAGTTGGAGAGGGGCAAAGTTTGTTGACATTTCCATCAACGGACTGGCCGAAGCCAATGCCGTCAATGATACCAACGGTGTTAACGGTGCGCCAAAGCCTACGGGACCTCCAGGTGCCCCTCCACTACCAAAAGAACAAGGACAGCTCATCTACCGTTATGTTCCCTCGGTGGGCAACCCAGGTGTCCCTGATGCAGCTTACCCTGTGTTTATCGAGGACGGCTTGGAGACAACCCCTAGAAAGGTTGAGAAGACTTTGGTTGGCAGTGGAGCTGAGTTGAACTTGACAGCTGGAACTTGGGATACTTTGCCGACACTGAATCATATTGCGACTGGACTGTCGGAGATTCCTGTTTATGGGATTGTCAAGAGCAAGATTGAGCGTGGAACAGGCGTTGATGATATTTCTCATGCGAGAAGGGTGGAGTAGATATTTCGATCATATTTATGTCAGCCTCTTTGTCTATTCACTTGGGATATACCATGGTGTCTTTTGAATATACTCTACCAGTTATTTCTTTTTAGGACACAGCTGTTCAACCTGGAAGCACCCTATGCCACTCTTGCATCTCTCATCCCCATCAAAGCTGGTCATCTGCTTCATCCGGTTGGCTTCCGTAGCTCAGTTGGTTAGAGCGTCGTACTAATACTTCAATCTGAATATTCAGTGATGCGAAGAATTTAAGAGAAATACCTATAGACATTGGCATTGGTGATATGTAAAGTAGGTAGTTAGCTATAAGCTATTAACAACCATTTGTCTTAGACAAGGAACCTTATAAACACCAAACCTATAAGATCTCAGTTATATAAGTTAAGTCTCTAATGTCGACAGTGAACCTTATCACTCGAGATCAGAGTCTTCAATGTCATCTGCGAACCGAGTCTGCTGCTTTGATCGCCGTCGCTGGATGGTGGTGTTCGAGTGTTGCGAGTGCTGCGAAGCATCAAGTGCACTAGAGGCAGAAATCTCCCGGTTTTGCGCAATGTGGCTAGAATGACGTGAGCCACCACTGCCATGACTGTGTGCCTCAGATTGTTGGCGAGACGACATGGCGCCACCAGCGGCAGTAAGTTGGTGATCATGACCATCCTCATGATTTTCCTCATCCATGCCTTCTTCGTCATCCTCCCGTGTGTTCTTAGCCTTTCCTTTGCCCTTCCCTTTAGCCTTGCCCCGTTTGACCTTGCCTTTAGACTTGAGCTCGGCGCCTCCATCATTCTGCTTTTTGTTTTTGTTGAGAAGGATATACAGATCAGTTTTAAGAGCTGGAGTGATAGATTGCAGGTGGGAAATAATAACACCCTGCTGTTTAATGGGGTCCGTATCCGGCTGACCCTGGGTCTTAGCCTGCTTGTCGGTGATTTTATTTACTATATATGTTGCGAACTCTTTGGCATCACGGCTAGAATGCATATTGCGCATGATATATAACTTCTTCTTGTGAGTTTGGACGAAGGCGTTATGAAACTGAATGAGAGCCTGGTGAAAGGGCTTACTCTTGAGAATGTTGAAGGCTTCGGTAACTCGCCGACCTGCTTTACTATCAAGTGTAAGGTTAATGCTATTACCTGCGTTACTCCCCTATGTAGACGAAATGCTGCTTCTGCGACTCTGTGCTCTGGATAGATAGTAAGTAATTGAATAGTATAAAGCAATAAGGTATTACTTACGTCGAAAGAACCGAATAGAGATTCTGAACCATGCCTATGAGGGCCTGGTTCTGCCTCGCAAGAAACTCAAGACGGGCAAGGATGACGAGGTCGCTTGATCCAACGAGTCCAGGATGTCGAAGCGCCGGCCAGTCAGCAACATTCTCAGGCGGTATCGTACTGTATAATTCAACTACTGTCAGGATGTATCTATGTTTGGCAATATGTGTTAACGTATGGTGCTGGTGGTAGCCCAAACTCCCTATTTATGCCTTCACTGGCGACAGTGGCGTCGTCTGAGGCCCGCCTATCGGCAGGTTTATTTTCTTGTTTACCTCCTACATAAATAGTTAATACTGCAATAATGGAGACTATCCCGGCTCCCTTAATCCCAGCGCGGAGATATTCGCTATCCAATCGCATTAATCGAATCTCGGGTAACGATGATATCTTCCAATTTATAACAGATCTGGAAGAGCATGCCAGCAACTCGGAGAATTTGCGATGGCATTCTACAGGCACTCAGAAATCACAGGATCGCATTCAATCCAACTATCGACAATTTCTGCAGAATATTTGAATTTTGGGTGACGATTTATCCAGTGAAGATATCGACCGGGAAATGTTCCTTGTCAACCAAAAGATACTTATCAAGCGCCTAAAACTGTAACTTAAACCTACTTCTGGTGATCACTGCCACCTGCTAATTATGGCTTTAGTTTTATCATCTTTGTCGCCAAATACGGTCGGATTATTTTAGGAGAGGAGATGAATCAAGGCGACCACCTGGTGTAATCAAGGTAACTACGTGGGTGATCAGGACAACTGCTTGGGAATATTTATTAACCTTGAAACCTTGAAGAAATATGGGTTTCACTTAAGCAGATAATGGAAATAGAATGGAGATTAATTTTGCTGATAAATAAGACCAGTAGCCAATTGCAGTCTGTTTGCTCCTTCTTTATATAGAATCTGCTACCTCCCCCAAGGTATCAGAAAAATTGACTGTTGGAAGCATAAGAGACGAAATTAGTGGGTCACTTTATTTCCTTAGACTATGGTTCTCAGATTACTTATTTTTATACCCCAAGGCTTAGGCCCCACTAGTCTACGTCTAATATGGTCGAGCAGGTGTGAGCTGGCCAATACAATCTCCAAATCCAACGCCTGAATTTTCCTCTCCAACAACAGCTGTTATTCTAACAACATCGCCATCCTCGAGGAATCCTCTCTTGGATCCATCACTCAGCGTAACAGGCTTGGAACCACCCTCTGTTGTCTCGAGCATACATCCTCTGCTTGACTCCTCCGATCCACTAACTGTTCCCGTGGCGAGAACGTCCCCGGTCCTGAGTGCACTACCTGAACTAACAGAGTGTGCAATCATCTGCTGGGGAGTCCAGTACAGAGCCTCTACTGGGCACACACCGACGGTTGTTGCAGTCGAGTTGGCCAAGACTTCAACTTTCATGGTGATGGAAAAGGTTGATGGGTTGGGATGTTGGAGGTATGACGCTGCGAGGGTTTGCTGAGCTGGAGAGCGCGTTCGGAAAGAATCTAGAGCATCAAGAGTAATAATCCATGGAGAGAGGGATGTGCCCAGACTCTTGCCGTTGAAAGGACCAAGAGGGCTCATTTCGAAACCTTGGATATCACGAGCTGCAACATGTCAGTAAATGTCTTTGTTGGGAAACAGTCGACTTACCACTCCAGTCGTTGAGGATTGCAAAACCAAAGATATGCTCCTCCGCATCCTTCGCATTCAGCCTCTGCTTCATACTCAACGGCTTTCCGATGACAGCCGCAAGCTCAACCTCATAATCAACCTTTTGAGAAGGTCCATAAATGACGGCACTTTCACCATTCGCCGCATTGGGATTGCGGAATTGTCCGTATGGTCGCTCGATGTCGGTACCTGATACGACAATGGAGCTTGTGCGACCTTGGTAGCCAACGGGGAAGTGAAAGAAGCCAGGCGGTGGGTTGGGGTTGTTGACAACAATACGACCCGCGTTAATGACGTGGTCCAGAGAGCAGGAGAAGTCTGAAAGGTCAGTGGCTGTCTGGTAAAAGGTGGGTTGTCTTACCGGCAAAGTCTTTGATTTCCATGGGTAGATGCATCGTGACAGCGCTTATGTCTTCCTTGCTACCCGATGGAAAGCCATCAAGGCCATTCTTCTGGTAGTCTGATTGAATTTGTTTTCGAACATTTTGGTGCACCCTCCTGGGGAGAGCTGCAAACGTGTTGAGAGTTGGTTGATTGAGGGCACCAGTGAGACCCTCGACGCCCTTGAAGTCTAGATCACTAAGGAAAATAACAACGTTTCCCAGTCTAGTGACAGCCTGAGGATTCGTGTGGGTCGTAGAAGAAGCAATTCCAAAAGGAATGTTCTTGTCGGAGAAGTGGTGGGAGAAATCTGCCGTAGACATTTTGGAAATCGTTAGCTATCGTCGAACGAAGCGAGAATGGAAAAGGATACTGATGATTGATATTAGCCATCATATCATGATCCGCAGGCGCTATTCCCGACCCCCGCGAAGTCGTTGTAAAGTGGGCGATCGGATGTAGGAGCGAAGTTGGCCGAGATGAACCTCCACATCCCGAGGAGTGAGTATTCGGGGATCGGCCTCCGGCAGATACAACAAGTGAACAGCATAAAATGGCCACCAAACACTCTGAAGATACCGAGTAATTGATTTAAAATTAATCACACTTCAATCTACACAATGGCTCTCAACGGCAAACTCAGACAAACTCAACGCTTCATCACAACCCACAATGAAGAAGGCAAAGCAGTAGTCGACACAACAATCGACTCGGATGCACCGTTCTACTCCCTCCCCAACGGAGATGCCCACTTCGCTTTGGGTTACGCAACAAAACAATTCCCCGCGGATTTGTCAAAAGATGTGTCCGCCTACCAATCTTTCCTGAGTGACGCCCCAGGCCTCAGTGTGTCAACAGGCACGGTTCTACGATATGTGGACATGTGCCCTGGTCATATGTCTCCCATGCACCGTACTGTCAGTCTTGATTATGGTGTTGTGCTTGAGGGAGAGGTGGAGTTGATTTTGGATTCGGGGGATAAGAGGGCGATGAAGAGGGGAGATGTTTGTGTGCAGAGAGCTACTATGCACGCTTGGAGGAATTGCAGTGAGACCGAATGGGCGAGAATGCTTTATGTGCTTTTACCATCGACGAAGCCTGTTGTTGGTGAGAAGGAGTTGGGAGAGGATTATGGAAATATGGTTGGTGTGAAGGCGTCTGAATAAGTAGACACGTTAATACATGACACATCTCAGTCCAGGTACTACAATGTTCTTCGATGTAAACGATTGTTTTTTCAACTACGCTATCGAACTATCTAGCAAAAATCTCATAGTACCGGAGACTTTAGTCGACGTGTGGTTCTTCTGTTCAGGTATTATACACTTTAGAACAATCTTAACGCCATTCTCAAGCCACCATAACCTATACCTTGACACGAAACTTGAAAAAGAAAGTTTGATAACTCCTTTTGACATGAAAAAAGAAAGACGCGTTAATTGAATAACTTGTTGTGCCTCAACACGGGATCGAACCGTGGACCTTGTCATTACTAGTGACACGCTCTACCACTGAGCCATTGAGGCGCCTTAATTGGATGAAAACAGTGGTCCGCATTAGGCACTAAGGACGCGATTGGCATTCACGATCAGCTTGGGAACAACAGCATTGAACATAAACAAAATGAATTCAACCGATTTGAACAATGACTCTAACTGACTAAAACAAAGAAAACTCAAGATCTCTGTCTAAAACTCTCCACCGATGGGGTACTTCCAAACCTTGTCCGTAAACCTTCCAACAGAAGCCCTCCAAGTTTGCGCCGCGCCCTGTAAAGTCAGCCAAATCCTTACACTAACTACCCTGAACAACTTACAGCATTGAAGCTCAATCCTCGAAACATGGCAGTGATAAAAAATAACTCGGGCGTGCTGGTGTAAACTCTCACGCCATTGATATGCTCTGGATCACGGTTGGGAGCTCGATAAGAAGGTACCCGGCGATGCGGCAGGTCAAACTCAGGGTGATCCGATACAGACGAACGAGACTCTGGTGTTTCTTCGCGACTTTGTGAATGGTGAAGTTCGTAGTCTCTCAACACAGCGCTGTGAAAGGATCCATTTTGGACGCGCGTTTGAGTTGCTGTGGTCGACATGATTGTTGATGAAGTGAAGTTGCAAGTCAATAATTGGGTCAAGATCTCTTTGGTATTATTTCCCCTGCTTCCCTTGAGTCTAACGGAAGTCCCGGATATCGGCTGTTGAAGTTGAGAGACCTCCACTCGGGATGTGGAGGAACACACCAAACCAACACCCGAACCGATGGACAATCCGGGGACCCCGGATCAGCCACGACTTTACTCGTCTCAGAAGGAAGATTATTGATAGTCAAAATACTTGATGTCCTCAGATATCGTATTGCAAGCTCGAATCATCAACAACATGTCGAAACGATTCTCTGCAATCCGCTCAGCGGTTATTGACGGTCGCGTCCACAACCCAATCTACCGCAAAGACCAACTACGCAACCTTCACAGCGCTTTGGCTGATAATGCATCCGCTATTCAAGATGCGATAGCAAAGGATTCAAAGAACCAACCTTCGGAAGTCAAAGTCGAATATTGTCTTGCGCTGCAGCTCATTGCAGACGCGTACACCTCTATCAACCCTGACCAGCAGCTTGAACAAGAATATGCTGTCACAAAAGGGCAAGATGACACGATCAGTCGCGAACCGGCTGGAATTGTTGTTATTGAGCCTTCAAATCATGCTTTCTTCTATGGTTTGGTTGCTGCGCTGGCGCCTGCTCTTGCGGCTGGAAACTGTGTGATTGTTCAGGTAAGTCTTATTTTAAACAAACAGAAGCTTTACTAACGAAGTAGTCTGAAAACTCTTTGCGCAAAACACCAAAGTTGGTACTGAATCTCATCGAAAGTTCACTAGACAGAGATATCTTTACCGTCTCAGCTCAACCCGTCACTCCAGAAGACATCAACACGTCTCACATTTCCGTGTCGCAAAATGGTTCAACAGGTCCCATCCTTCGCAACCATCTCGTCTCAGACCCCAAAGCCCCGGTGGTAGCTTTTGTGGAGAGAGACGCAGACATTTCAGCTGCTGCTCAAGCTCTTATTTCGGCACGCTTCAGCCTGCAAGGCAAATCGTCCTACGCGCCTGATGTGGTCTTTGTCAACGAGTGGGTGAAGAAGGACCTGCTACGCGCTCTCGTGCAGCAAAGCACTGAGTTTCTGGCGACTTCACCTACGAAAGGCAGAGCCTTGAAAATGGGACTTGCGAGGGAGGTTGAGAAGGATGATAGCACACATGTTGTGCTGTCTGGGTCGAATGGAGTTATTCTTGATGTTCAGAACAGGTACGTCTTTCTCCTCATGTTTTGAGGTTTTGCTAACCTCTATAGGTCGTCAAGCCTACTGAAGCAAAAGGTTGAAGAGACAACTTTGATTGTTCACTCTGTCACAAGCATGGACGACGCCATTGACGCGTCAAGAGAGTATGTTCACCCAACTTCTTGAGTTACTTGACTAACTTTTTAGTATCGGATCTCTTGCCGCTGCATACGTCTTTACCACACCCGCGATGGCCAAGTACATATGCCAATTCCTGGATACAGCCGTCAGCTATGTCAATCAAATTCCAACCAAACTCCTCTGTAAGTCTTGACGTTCTTCACTCAAACCTCAGCTAACCTCTCAGACTCCCCCATCGCGCCACTCGGCTCTCCTCCCCAACCCAACACCAACACAATCTACCACGAAGATCAATTCTCTACCTCAAAACCGAAATATCTCACAAAGTCAAGTACAGAGCAGAAGCTGGCCAAGATCCTTGGAACGTCAACTGCTGCTGAATTGAGAGCGTTGGAGGTGGAAGCGACCAAAAGACTTCCAGAGATGAAACGACGACTGAAGGGTACGCAACTTGGTTTCTTTGAACAGGGCATTGTTACGAGTTTAGTGTTTGTCTTGACTACACTTGTTTCGGGGACGGGGTTGCTTGGATATTATGGTATTCGATATTGGCGGTCTTAGTCTTTCTTTCACATCTTTTGTATATACCACTTGAACGTTTGAGAACTGCTAGAATAGGTTAGATTAGTCCAATCTCCCATTTTGCTGCTATGAAACGTTATTGGGTGATGCCCACACTTGAGGAGCTCAAAACGGGGGGTATCAAGTGGTTGAGGCTGAGTGATTATCTACTTGGGGATCCACGCGAATAACTGGATATCGCCTATGATAGCTTTCAAGTTTCCTCATACGGGAAAGTGGTGACGTATTGTTCTGCTGAACGGAATCGCCAATATTCGGAATCATGTCCGATTGCGATAAGTTTGAAAGATAAGCCGGCCGTCGATGTTAGGAGAAGCTGAGGCCATCTTTCTATTCATCGCTCACCACCTGCCACCTATCAATATCGCATCAGGTCTAAGCATCTCAAGGTAGCGGTTACTCAAGCCGAGCCCGAGTGGCTGGACCTCGCTGGCAGCGTTAACAAAACCTGTAGCCTCATCAACGAGGCTACAGAAAATGGCGCCAGGCTTGTTGCGTTTCCTGAATGCTGGATTCTTGGGTACCCTGGTTGGATCTGGTAAGTTCATTGTCCAGGATTTTGGTAACAAAGATCGTTGCGGAATACCATTTAATGTCTTTTTGACTCAGGCAAAGGCCCGTCGACCCTGTCACCAATACATAGTACATTGAGAATTCTCTCAAGGTGGACTCAGATGAGATGAGAACTATCCAAGCTTGCGCAAAATCGAATTCAATCGCAATTTCTCTTGGGTTCTCAGGACGGACAGAGTCAAACTCCCTCTACATTTATCAGGTTATCATCAACCCTGAGGGCGAAATTGCTGTCCATCATCGCAAACTCAAACCAAGACAGGTTTGTTGTTCCAAGAACCTGGCGGTGGCCACAGCGCCGTGTATGGACCCGATGGAAGGAGGTTGACGAAGCCTCTGGCTAATGGAGATGCGACGGCCGAGGGGATTGTTTATACTGAGCTGGACTTGAGGGTCATTGTCACTAACAGATCTTTCCTTGATGTGGTTGGTCATTGTAGTCGGCCTGACCTTCTGTGGCTTGGTGTTGATAAGAAGCAAAAAGACATTGTGGTCTCAACCGACAAACATGAGGGCGCGTAAGCTTGCGGACTTGCGGACTTTCTGGTGTGGGGCTAGAGACCAAAGTTAATTCATGCGCTAGGTAGTCAAAGGTACTATTGGCTATGAAGCGCATTGGTTGTTTACCTACGAAATTGATCACCGTTCTTAGTTCCGCAGCCGATTTCCCTCCATCATTTCCTCAACTAAAACAAACTCGTTCATAATGGGCCGAAAATCTAAGCAAAAGTCTTGTTCCGGATGTGTCGAGGCCAAGCGCCGCTGTGACAAGCGACATCCATCATGCACTCGCTGTCTGGATCGAGCATTGGTTTGCACTTATCCACTTTTGCCTTCTCGACAAGCCTTCGATTTACCGACTGAAGCTACTCCAGATATGGATTTTAATGATATGTTGACTTCTTCAACATTTGGCACTGGGCTAAACAGTTCTGCGCTTGTTGATACATCCGAGCCACTGTTTCCTTCAATCTTTACAACTAACCCGAGTTGTTTCTCAGTACCTTGTCCATCCTCAAGCGTCATGGTCGAACCTTTGGGTCAGCTGACACAGATGTTCGGGGACTTGGGCTGGTTTCTTCGATCTCAAGCTTGGACTATAAGATATCACTATAGCGCACCAGAAGCCACACCTACAACTCCTGTTCTCTCTAATTTTATCCGTGGCCTACAGAGTTGGTTATCCTGTTTTGTCAAGACGGGACACAATCCTTTTATCCATCGACATCTCTATTCAGAATCAGGTTACCCACAATGTATCCAAGATGCATACTCGGCATGTGTTATCTCCAATGCTGCTAATAGCGAAAATGATAGCATCATCAATGCAATTTCCTCAACCTATATTTCGAATCTACTCAACACGCAACCCGTTGACGGTATAATTTCCACAAGAGATCATCTTGCCCGCACGCAAGCCCTTCTCATCCATATCCTTCTCTCACTATTCTCTTCCTCCATTCAACGACGCGCAAAGGCTGAAAGTCTCATTAGCCTTCTCCATGGCTGGAATAGCCAATTATGGGACTCTGCAACATCTGGTAGTGAATTCGCGCCGCTGGCAAGTTCGACTCCATCCTCAAGCGAAACAGCCAGTAGAGGCGCGGAACCAGTTTCCACCGTGTACCGTTCATTCATTCTGTCTGAATCCATTCGCCGCACTTGGTTACTCTGTAATCTTGCTACAGGTGTCTACGGCAGTCTCAAAGGCGAATTTGTAGGGTCATGTGGAGGAGATGTCCCAATCACTATGCACGCAAAGTTCTGGGAGGCGCCCTCAAGTGCACGTTGGGAGTTTACTGCGCGGCATACTGATCCGTTCTTTATTTACAGTCTAAAAGGTCAGACACTACTTGAGCGCGGTGTGAGTGCCATCCAGGTTGACGAGTTTGCGCGGCATCTGTTCACTATAATGTGGGGACTAGAAATGGTTGAGACTTGGGTTATGAGAACTGGAGATGAGGTCTCTGTTATATACTAGAGTTGAAGGGTAACCGGTGGTTAATCAGTTGAATACTCGAGACCTTGATGATTCTCGTCCGAAACTGCTCATGTGAAATAGCCAGGAGAGACTCTATGATGTATCTGAATGAATAACTAACAGTCCTCCAATAGAGCAAGCTTCCTTTCCGTGAGCCACTTGTTTACCTCAACGACAGTGTTCTCCCATAGGCCTTTTACCTGTCGATCGTCTTGTGCAACATGATTGGGAGTTTCCAGCATTCCCACCGGAACCAGAAATTTTCCTCTATATTTTTTCGTATTCTTCTTGACGTCCGTCGCCGTCGCCGCAAACAAGGAATTGGCAGCACCCTGCTCAGCCGTCATAAATGACAAGCGAGCTATAGCCCTGACAACAAGGTTGTTAATAGCCAGCACGCCTTCGGTAAGTACCTCACCAGGATGAACGGCTATACACGTAATTGGTAATTTCTGTCTCTCAAATATTCTTTGGAGCTCTTGTGTGAATAGTACCACGGCTGCTTTCGACACAGCGTATCGAATCATGTCGAAGCCAAACATGAATCTTCCTAGGAAGCGCCATTGCCATGGGTATGACAGAACTGGGTCCTTAAAACACGTCGATGAGTCGAAATTGAACTTGAAGTTTCCTGGTAGCATGCTGATGCTCGCTGTGGAGCTCAGGTTTATGATCCGGATATCGGCTCTTGGATCGTCAGCGGCAGCTTTGAAGAGAGGCAAAAGCCGGTTGATCAGTATGGAAGGTCCCATATGACTGTATATATCAGTAAGCTAATTGACAAGATTTTGGTGTTCCATACTTGGCAACCATGTGTTGTTCATACTTCCCATCAACCAAATTAGTGGCTGATGTCGATGCCGCCGCATTATTGACTTTAATATCGTTAATAATTATCGTATAAGCAGAGTCCCGAAACATACTCAGAATATGAAGTTTTGCTTCATTCTTCTTCAGCTCGTCTACGGCAATTGTAATACTGGCCGGATCAAACAGATCCATCAGCAAATATTGAACGTTTTCAGGGTCGATATTGTTGTCTTTGGCGAGCGTTTCTTTGGCGTCTTGTGCTCTTAATTCACTGCGCGTTGTCAAATACACCTTTGCTCCCTTCTGAGCCAGGAGCCTAACAGTCTCAAGTCCAATACCAGAGCTAGAAACTGTTTAGTATAGGGACATGCGATCTCAAGCTGATGCTCACCTTCCCCCTGTCACCACGGCGACTTTGCCCTTCAGATCAGGCATATCTGTCGAGGGGTTCCATTGTTGTATCATTATCGTGTAAGTCACTTGCTGGCAAATATTTCTGGGACGGACAAGAAGTTAAGTGACCAAATAATGTTGCACTATGAATGTCTTTAAAACAACTTTTAAGAGCGCATGGACATATTTAAATAAGTGTCAGGAGACTCTATCCCTGGCGCATATATCCTACATTCGATCTTGGTATCAGGTATATGCTAGCGGAGGTGGCGGATTATTATCTGACGCTTTGCCCAAGCTTGAATTACACAATTTCGAGCTTGTGGTAGCAACCTTGAGCCAGTTCACAAGCTGCACATATAATCATTTACAATAGTAATAAGGGCCAAGGCAGTACTTCCCCCAGCCATAACTCTAATAGAGCTTAACTTGCCATTTTGAATTCCAGCTCCGCAAGACTTCCCGCATCTCCGCAGCCAAACACCAGGCCCCATTATTCATCCACCAAACGGATCAAACACCATCCCGCCGATACTACTCATTCATTTTTTTATTTTTTTGAGTTTAGCCGCTTCAGGTATTTTACGAAATTGCCATTGAGTTACATAGCGGCCTTAGAGACAAAGTTACCGAGTTGCGTAGAGTACTATTCACATCACCTCAGATGCCAAGGTCTAGGTAAGAAGGCACTCTCCTCTACCTACAAGGATGCTATTGCGCAACATACCTACGATTTATCATATGAAAGGTCGGACGCTGCTCAAGCCCGGCGTTGGAGCTGCTTAGGACTATCGATATGCGCGGTATTTTATCTCATATAATGTGGAAGATATGCAAGGTTAAGATTTAAGTCATGGAAATTGGAGATGAGATTTCTGTTGTCTACTAAATACTATCGTTAAAATCGATCAGAGACCAATCAATTTCAGAGTCAAGAAATCCTCATCATCGTCTATGCGCTTTCGAACATCCCCAGACATCAACTCATCTATATCCCATGCTGCCCATACAAAACGGCCGTGAAGAAATGCGGCCTGAGATGTCGACGCCCAAACAGCCCAACGGCCTGGTAGGTTTTCTATAAAAATTAGAAACAAGAAACGCGCTGCAGTGCCCTAAAAAAAAAAAAAAAAAAAAAAAAAAATGAAAATGGCAAGCTGTTGCCCAAAAAACATACCATCGTCGAATGGTGCGCTGTTCTCATCGAGACCTGTGGATCGCGCTTTTTCCGAAAGAATCTGTCCAGGATGAAAAGTGAGGATCTGTAATCTTGTGCGATCCACATTCTCTGCAATGCTCTGGATAAGCAAATGGCCCGACATTTTACTTAGAGAGTAATCTGGAAGGATAGCAGCTATTGATCGACTGTGGATAGCAGCTGTGGAAACATAGACTATAAACTATTATTCATGAGACTTATTAGCGCTCTGGGTTGTTTGATATGTGTCACAATGTACCTTTTTCTTATCGTCAACTTTCTGTTGTTTATGTAACTTCTGGCAGAAATCCAAGATGGATTTGACGTTTGTTTCATACAACGACCAAGTTGCGTCCAAGTCAGTATCCAGGAGTGGCTGCTGCTGCTGACCAAATAGCGCCGCATTTAGAATAAGAACGTCAACTGAAATGCCTTCGTCATCCAGACTTGACCAAAGTTTGTCTGTTTGATCGGTGTTTGCGACATCGCAGACTCTGGGAATAATAGTCACACTTGGATACTCCTGTGTGAGCTTCAAAGATGCTTGCTTGATGGTCTCCTCACGACGACCTATCAAGATAATTCTGGAGGCTGATGCCGCTGCGTATGACCTCGCAATTGCGAAACCAATACCAGCCGAGCCACCAGTAATGAGAATCGTTCTACCAGACTGATTCAACGCAGGGCAAGAGGGTAGTAAGTTCGGAGGCGGGGCTTTGTGAATCGTTGGAACTAGACGAGGCGCTAGTAAAGATAGGGCATTTCCGGAACTATCAGTATCTGTAGTAGAATCCATCGTGGCTGGCCTTTTCGAGGGAGAATTATGACTCAGGGAGCAGAAGGTAGGCAGCTACAGCGACATAAAAAGCCGTACTTAAGTAGAGACATGATAACCTAGCAGATATATAATTTGTAGTTTTATCTAGTCAAAAAGGAGTCAGGACTATAGACTCGCGAATCAGAAACGGTGGAGATGAATACTAAACCTCCACGCATTCTCCGCCTTTGCTCCGCGATAGTGTCGCCACTAATTGACCGGAAACCGCGAGTTAAGATCCAGCAACACGTATAGTGGGAATGATGGCTTCGTATAACTGAAAATGGGAGTATACGGCGTTGGAGTCTTTGGGAGATATGCTTGCGGAGTTGGTGAGGCAGTATCTTACAATCAAGATACCACTCGCATTTGTGCAGAAACTGAGTCTTCAGTTCAGCCTTGCACCGAATAAGGTTTCCGCAACTCCATCCCGTCAGTCATTCATAATTTATACACGTACCAAGGCTCAAGCGCCTGCTATATATAGCGCCATAACTAGAGATATCAGAATATGATCTTACTCTCCTCATCCGTATCACAAACACTTCCAGCTTCTTATCCAGCTTCATTATCCAGCTTCATTATCCAGCCTTTCATCTTACAATGTCCGAAACTTCTCCCCTACGATTCGACGGTCGCGTCGCCATTGTGACCGGGTCTGGTCGAGGTTTAGGCCGCGAATATGCTCTCCACCTTGCTAGCCTTGGTGCTGCATTGGTTGTAAATAGCACCACCGCCTCGACAGCAAACTCTACCACCAAGGAAATCACCGACACTGGCGGCAGGGCTTTTGCCCATGTCGGTAATGTAGCGGACCGCGATGTTGCAAACTCTATCGTGAAAGCTGCAATCGAGAATTTTGGGCGTGTCGATATTATTATCAACAACGCTGGTGGTGCGAATGGTGGCGAATTTGAACAATTACCTGATTCTAACCTCTGGGACATGCTCAACGTCCATGTGGGGGGATCCTGGAACGTCACCCAGGCAGCTTGGCCATATATGAAGAAGCAGAATTTTGGCCGTATTATCATGACTGCATCCTCAATGGTTTTTGGTGCTGCGCAGCAGTCAACCTACGCAGCAGCAAAAACCGCCGTTATAGGTCTAGCCAGGTCTATTGCTATCGAGGGCAAGCAGCACAACATCTTTGTTAATACTATTGCACCTATGGCTTACACACCTGGTGCTGCCGCGTATGTCTCGGACGAGCAGACTCGCACATTGATGGAGGCCAACATGCCCGCACGTGACGTGGCACCCACGATAGCTTGGCTAGCTCACGAGAGTTGTCAAGTCAATGGCGAAACTCTAGTGGCGGGAGGCAAACTAGTTAAACGCGTCTTTCTGGCCGAGACTAAGGGCTATTTTGGCCCTCAAGAAGGAGTTTGGACCATGGAATCAGTGAGAGATAACTGGGATAGGATTGTCGACGAGTCGGATTATGATGTCCCAGTTGACATGGCAGAATATGGTCCCAAGACCTTCCAGCGGATTATTCAGCAAAAGTGACCAGCTTGTCAGACTAGATTCAAATAGGAATGCATTCCTAGTTCTCACAGCAATTATTATCTTCTTCTCACTACTTGCCTGGGTATAATAATAAATAGTAGAAAAAGAAAGAGGAAGAGCTATTGGTACCGTAGAGTACTATAACGGTAAGTAGACCGCAACGTTGCTTGTCTGATTTTCCTTGTGTTTAATAGGGGTGGGTGTGTTTCATCTTAGAATATGCTGATAAAATTTAGGCGGCCTAAATTCATACGAGAATGCAACGTTAGTTCCGCGTACTCGGTAAATATCCATGTTAATATTATGACGACGAGGCTGTTGTAACCATTCTGAAACAAGGGGTGGCCAGGTTCTTTCATATTGCTGACGTCCGTATTGCCGTTGACCTAGTTATTTCCATCGTTTCCAAAACATTTCCACCTCCCACTTGACGGCCCGTAATGAACGGATTCGGCGTGGAGTATCATGAAAGTCCGCCAATCAAGATATATGTTTGTTCAGTGTCAATGTTCTACACTCTGATATAAAAATGCCAAGTCGCCAAGTCATCTCATCCAACTCGCAAGCATCAACAACTTCAACAAAGACAACTCAACATGCCTTCCACTAGCCAGCTTCTCTCTGTTCTCGCGGCTGTCGTCGCCTCAGTCAACGCAGCTATGGGCCCTGCGTTCAGCACTGGTCCTGTCGGCTCCAACTCTTGGATTCGTGAGGCTACCTCAACTCTTGTCCTGCCTGATATTCCCCAAGGTAGCACCGGTGTTGCCTCTCTCTGGGTTGGTATGGGTACCGATAAGGGCGACTTGATCCAATCCATCGCCGACAACTGGGACTCCAATGAGTGGAGCATTTTTGCTTACACTCTCACCAAGACTGGTGACAACTCTCAGCTACCTGTCCAAGACGAGAACCCTACACCTGCTAAGAAGGGCGACCGCATCACCATGCACTGTATGTAAATCTTTGCATTGAAACTACAATACTGATCGTATACAGACAAGTACGACGACTCGACCCAGGAGTATGTCCAGTACGTTTCCATCAACGGCAAGCAAGTTTCCACCCTCTCTACCTCCAAGGGTCACAAGGCCATGGGTTTCGGTAGCTCAGTAGAGTGCGGTGCTGAGGATTGCGGTACCATTGGTGCTCACAGTAAGTTTGACAGATATTTGAAACAATCACTTTCTAACAGTGGACTCTAGAGTGGGTCGACACCAAGATCACCCTCGACTCGGCTGATCCTGGCTACATCAACACCTTTGGCAAGGGCGAGGGCGTCACTGGTGACCTGACCACTGAGGATGGTGGTAAGACCTGGGTTGGCGCCGAGTTTGACATCCCTGAGTATACTTTTTAGGTGTTGATAATTTTCATGTATATACTTGTACCAGTAACTTAGTCCGATGAATACCTTCTTTCTTTCATCGTCAGCTTCCTGCTATATATATCTCCCACAGTGACAACATCAAGCTATCCTGATTTGACATTACAGGCCAAGCAGTACGCATTAATATTTTTCTTGCTTCTGCCCATCCCGTGACACCCGACCTCACCCCCCACATTCGTAGGTAGTAAGTGAATTTTAAAAACAGTTCGTCCAACTGTTTACTATAAGAGAGTGACTGAGCATGCATTAGACTCAACGACCCGGCATATACCTTCCAAAACCACAAATCTTGCTCCTCCTGACTCATTTCGTCCAAAAGTCGGAAGCCCCTCTCCATGTCACGCTTCAAAATATTGAGAGTGTGATGATGTAGTTGAGTTACCGGTGGTAAACCCCGATTGCTCATTCCAAGAACAGTAGCCAGATATATGCCGACTCCGACGCAGAGGCCAGACCAAGATGATAAAATTGGCCGAGTTTCATATATCTGACTCTCATCCGACGCCTGTGTGGCGGAAAAGATTTCCATATGACCATTGATGATTGCAGAGAATAGCTTCACAGCACTGCCACTCTTCCAAACCTTCCAGGTTGCACTAGTGACCGCATCTGACACCTTTCCATACCTCAAGCCGTGTAGATAGGTTGTATGTTGAAGGGCATCTATAATGGCTCGTGCATCGATATCTTTGGGCATTTTATCCAGAGTGATAGGCGTAAAGAAGAATGGCATCATGGACACGGTTCTAAGGCGAAATGCAGGGCCAGTTTCTTCTTGGTGGTGCCATTTATGTATTAAAGGCAATGAGTCTCCAGAATCAAAAGGCGAAGCAACTGTATCGTGACTTTTAAGAAAGTCATCTACACGGTTCTTTTGACTTGAAACGAAATTGCACACCCTTGAAAGATTAGTATTTAAACGCTCGCTCGAAGATGGAGCCTTACAATATGAGATAGCGATCTATCATCTCGGATTCGACCTCATTCGATGCAGAGTCGTTGTCAAGCAATTGCCGTGTAGAATCTAAATACAACATGAGGCCATTTAGGTGCGAATCTGCAATGTTGAAGTTACCAAGGCAACACTGGGCAGTTAGTGTCGAGACAAGAGTCAGGACCGGGTCTGTAGCTTACCTCTATAAAGCACAATGTATTGATATAATTTGTACACATCATAATGTCTTTTCTATTTTCGGAATTCTGAAGCCATAAATTGACTTGGCGTATACTCTGAATCTTGTGGAATAGGAATGTGGACTCAAACAATTGGAGGTCGCCTGCATTCCACGCATAGTGAAGACTGGATATTAGTAAAAGATTGCGCAGAACATCAGGATCATGGATAACCATAGTCGGCCTAGAATAAAATCAGAATCTGATTGCCAGGTTGTGCGTTCTTTGCTTACCTATCGCGCAGTTCTTGTGACAAACAGTTCTGCCCGGTCTGAAAGACTGTTTTCATGCAGTTAGAAATGCGTGGACATGTGGATATTTAGACTAACAATATCGGAGAAGTTCCAGTGACTTGAAAGGCATCTTGATAGGTAAGGTATGGAAAGGATTCAACGACCTGTTTAGATCGGAGTGCAAAGACTTTGACATCTGAACAAGCTTGCTGGTCGGCGACACAGTGCGTCTCGTAGGCGAGTCCGTCGAAACTTGGGCACCGTCAAAAGACCATGGGGAGTGCTGACCAGGGCCTAACGCACTTCTCCGCTCACGTAGAGGGATCTTTGGTTGGTATATGCATGGTTCCCCTTTGGTGGTGCATCTTGAACTGTTACATGCGGTTGATCTAGCCGGTCTGGTCCAAATAGGCGGCCCAAGATAGAGCTAAGGGGTAGGCTTTTTAGGGGAGACTTACCAATGCGGACGCTGTTCATCACACCGCACGTGTTTCTGTCGACAACTTACGCAGCCTGTGCGGCTTCGCTTACTAGCGAGTTTGTATCGTTCCTCCATAGTGAGAATTATGCTCGGTGGTAGATTCGGAGCCAAGACTTGCTTTTAATGTCTTGATGACTCAGCTAGCAGTTACTTGGTTCGTATATGAACCGATAGACATCAAGTAGTTGGTAAGAATAGAAGTAATCGGGTGGCTGGTTGTGGCTTATGATTGTGTTAAAGGCCCTCGGTCAGGCTATACTTGATTGGGACCAACTGCCCGTTGACAAGGGTATCCATCACAACTGTATCAGCCAATGACATGTTAGATTGCAAGATGTAAATTCTACCCTTGCTATGTGTGAGATTTCACTGAATAACAATGTAGAGAAGCTGCTAAAGAGTCTACTAAAGAGCCCAGCTATCTACTGAAGGGACCTCTAGAGGCTAGGTTAGGGTTATAACAACCATGGATAGAGACAGTCTACTTTTCAAACGGTTAATTATAACCTCAACACTGTAAAAGGCTATTGCACCGATTCTTATGATCCGTGATAGTGGAGACAATAAACAAGGTACATCAAGGCTCATTTCACACATAAGCTTACCAAGTGAGACTTACTTCTACTTTCAGCTAATAAACAGGCTTAGACTTGTACTGGATCTCAAGATAGTAAGGAATACCAACTATAAAGTTAAATGTATCCTGCCATTTAAAACTAATTATTTAATTCAACCATCAGATACAACACCATCACCTCACCTATTTTATTACACTCTCACCAAACATTACAATGAAGTTCTCACTCTCCATGATCACCGCCGCGGCAATCCTTTCACCTCTTGTGGCTGCCGATTTCGATATCTTCTACCAGGCACCAGCTAGTAGATACGGTGGCGAAAGTGTCTGGCAAGCTGTGAACAATGAGGCCAGCACCACGGACTGTACGAGTATGGTTGGAACGAGAACCTACCTTGTCAAAGAAGATGTCAGCGGAAAGAAGGTCGGATTCCGTTGCAAAGGCAAGGGGTGCCATCTTGATGGCAACGTCGACGACATTGAAGAACTGGAAATGAATTTTGGGCACAAGGGTAGCACTGTTTACCATTTCAGTAAGTCTTGTCACTCTTCCAGCCTGAGTCTTACTGACAATAGTTCAGCTATTCGTCAATGGTTTCGCGAGGATAACAAGTGGTGGATGGTCGGTTGTAAGTGCTGATTCTTTTCGCGCACGAATGTTTTGTTTTGACTCTTTTCGCTAGTGGATAACCAAGTTTACGGCTATTGCTCCCCCGCGACTGAGAGAGCGTATGCGTGCCTTGCTCACCAGGGTAAGCAAAAGTTCTTTTGCAAGATTGACGGGCTGTCAGAAGACGACATTATCAGAGATGTTAGGGAATGAAAACAGTACATGCGGTTATATTTGCTCTTGAAATAATCAAAAGTCTTATACTGTATTAGAAAGTCTGTCTGAAATATCAAATTATCCACGTCTCCCAGATCTCAACTCTGAATCCGGGGTTGCCAACCCTCAAACAAGAGTGAAAACTTGTTTGTGATCGCTATTCGCACCAAGCGCATCCAAAATCTCTCCATGCATAACTCCCTGGACAAAACATTCACCCACAAGCTTATATTTCAACTCATCACCTTCGTTCTTGGCAGGTCTCAATAGATATGGCACGTTTCCGCCATCAAGCAAAACAACCGCATCACCCTCTTTGGACCCCCAAGGACACAATCCAAACAATCCAGATGTCGTAATAAAGAAACACGGCTCTATGCAAGTCGGCAGCTTCTTGGTCTCGTAATAATCCAACTCGGCCTTCGCGTTTGGCTTCAAGACTTTCAAAGCAGGTCGGTTGGCGTAGGCCCAGTGCGAATTCATGTGGTCGATGTATTTCTGGTTGCACTCTCGGATAGTTTTTTGTAGAATGTCGCCCGCGCTGTTTCGTCGTGTCCAAAAAGGTGTCAGGCCACATGGATCTAGGATTTGATGGAACACTTTGCATATCTCTTGTTGATTATCGAAAGACCCTTGATAAGGATACATGTACTCGATAGGTACACAACTGATCTTCTTGATCTCGGTGATACGGAGGCCTGAAAGTCGAAGAATGAGTGGATCGTTTGTTTTGAGAAGCTCGAGATTGGGTTTCGTGTCGCCGGCAGCTTTGAACTTGAAGCAAGCATTTAGGTTTGCCTGGGTCCATTTTGAACTTCCCTGGTGGTCGACGGACCAAGTAGGATGACTGTCTAAGGTCTCTGCGCTCGGACCGACAGTCTTGACCCATGTTCGTGTAGGCTGGCAATGGATTGATGATAATATCGCTACTGAATTATGCTCACGAATCCACCAACGTGTGAAATCGGCAAAGACACGCTCCTTCGACTTGTCGTAGTTTGGTCGGATTAGTTCGTCTAGCTTTGAAGCATCATGCGTCTCGTCGGCAAAGGTGAGGAGGGCAAATAGTTTATCTCGAGGATCCGTCGCCTTCAAATCAAGACCCGAGAGAAACACATCTAGAATACTCGATAGCTGCTTTGTGTCTTGCGTCTCGATAGGCGTGGAGGGCACTTCCCGCGTTCGACCCTTGGGCTTTAATGTCTTCCAAATAGCAGCCATGGACGTCTGTTGGGAAGCATTGTGGGGGTTTTGAGCTGCGTAGCCAGGATGCCCAAGCCAATTGCTTACTTGAACGACTTCTTCCCAGGGAACCTGTTCAGCTGAACAGTGAACAAACGGTACTCTTGCCGATAGAGCTTCTTGAATGACCCAGACTCTCGAGAACCACGGGTTTTCGTAAAGTGTGCTCATGAGGAATGAAAGTTGAGTATTGCCGTACCAACCCGCCATGTCGATGATTTCTCGGGACCATGTCTTGAGGTGAAGTTCAAAAACCTCAAACATTCCTTTGAACGAAATCTTGTGTCCGTCTCTCTTTTTCTCCTCTCCAAAAGATTTGATGTCGGCCAGCGGTGTTTGATGCTTTGTTCCGAAGCAGGTACATGATTCTCCACCTTGGCATATCTCACTGTTATAGTTGCAAATATCTCGGATGAGCTTCAGACACGCTTCAATACCGTGATTGTCCTCGCCGAGCCAGATATGGACAATTGAAGCCAAGGAGTAAATCTGAGTCATCAACGTGACTTGTTGGGCTCTTTCTTCAAGATCATCCTGATTGATGCACACCGCGTCGATCCATATGACTAGGGTTTCGTTCGTGAGGCGCAGACGACGAATAGCCTGGGCTGCAGATTTGCCGATACTGAAAGACGTTTTGTCTTGGGTGTTGTTTTGGTCGAGGAAAATCTCGTCGCGCTCTGAAAAATCACCCCAGCAGTATGACAACGCATGAAAGTCGACAGTCTCGGCATCTCTAAGGCTCGCAATGCTGAAATGGGCGTGGATGGGGTCGTCGAAAGATCCTGGTTCAACATGTAACAGCCGGACCTCTTGTCGGCCGAGATCCAGTGCATGCGCATAATGTGAGGCGTTGGAAGAAATTGAGAGCGATTTAAGATCTTGCAGAGGATCATTTGCTTCGTACTCAATCTTGAGTCGTCCTTCGTGGATGATATTTGTCCAGGCCATGTACATAGCTCGAGGGATCAGTTGAATAACATCTCCAGGGCGCAGAGCTTCGATCCATAAACGCTTTCGGGGACCAAGCCAGATGTGCCATCTTTCTGTCCAGTCTTGGGGTTCTTGTTCGGCAAGGCGATTGTTGTGAACGAGGATCGTGCGGAGGTCTCCACGGCCTTCGGGGCGTTTAACGGAAGCATCAAACCAAGTGAACGATACTTTTTCGGCATTATCTGCCCAGCCTCCAGGGTAGTCAGCACCTGTGATTTATTGTGAGGGAATTAAGTACCTTGATCACGCGATAATCCTCCGAAGCTGACAGCGATAACCCTCTTGGCGTCTTGTGGGATCTCGAGTTCGATATAAGGTTGTTCTGGACAGTGGTCGTGAACCTGAACAAGGTCTTTACGCTCGACAAAGCTTTCTTTGTTGATGGAAGTCATGTTGTAGAGATTTTGCTTGGGTCTACATTTTGAAACCTTAGAGTTGAGAGATTATTTAAGGCTGATGCTGATATGGAAGGAGGGAACCCATGTCTGACAGGGCTTAGTACGCGGGTAGGCGCAGCCCGTGCAATGCTTGTTCCTTCTGGGGCCCAAACGCACCTCATTTGGGGGCCAAATGTGAAGTTGATCTAAAGCCTCAGTCAAAGTGATTTCACAGCGACAAACAAATAAACGTATCTTTTTTTTCGTCTCTTGGCCGAAATGGTATTTAATCACGATCATTGAGAATTGATGACAGTTGGGAAGTCATGTCGAGATCAGTTGCGTTAGTCTCAGCAAATAGCGACACTAGTAATCGTTAGTATCAACAATCCATAGCTGCAAGACTAGGATCAGCTAGCAGGTTGACATGAGAAGAGAGTCAACAATGCGGGTAGCTGGAGTCGAATGGTGTCAATACAGCTACAAACTTGATCTTTATGGACAAGTGCTTTGAGTCAGTGATGGATCCTTTTTTTTACTTCATTATGTCATTTACCAGCGTCTGAATCTCAACCATAAGCTGCCAAAACCGCACAATCTCCCTCTTCCTCTCCATGTTCATTTGAAGTTCGTGGACCCGAAAGATTGATCAACGACACGCTGTAGACTGCTGGGAGGTTGAGTGGAACTGAGTTCAAGAGTGCTGAGTTGCACTACCTCGTCAGTGGAGAGTTTCGTCGGTACACCGGTCGCAGCATTGATGGGCGAGTGACTGAGCCGAAAAACATCTTTGGCCAAAAATGTTTCGTTCATCGTTGTGGAGGTGCAGAGATACTCAAATAACCCAAATGGGTCGATACCGAAAGAAGACAGAGCTTTGTTGACTTGCTGTCTGTCTGTCGTCGTCGCTATCTCATCTGGCGATTTGCCGAACACATGTCAGGCATGATCGATGATGGGGTTCTGTGCCTTGGGTTGTCGAAAATCGAGTTTCTCACGGATAAAGTCCAAGGTACCACGCATTGCAACTGTAAATGTGGCAACGCACGACGATCAGGCAGTCGAGGCCTGACGATTTCTGGCTTCCTCGCCAGAGCAGTGGGAAGTTATTCAGGTATACGGCGGCGACATTCCTCTGACTGCCCTCAAAATTGTAACGGTCGCGAATTTCTGTCGCTTTCATCTTGATCTGCCTCAAATTAGTCGATGTTAGACAACCTCGAGTGATGGGCTCACCCAGTTCATCGTGTTGTTGGATGATTGAGGAAATGTGAATAAAGGGAGCAGAGTTGGATTTGTGTAAGAGTTTTCTTTTTCCGCTGTAAAACTATCTACAGTGTAATAGTTGGTAGGCTGTGAACCATAGTCTGTGACAGTGGCAGCCAGTGCAAGCTTGTAAATTGTAGCTTTTGAGCAGACGGCTGCAGTTTCACCTCTTATTGTTATCTTTCGTTCTCTTCTCCTAACTTTCTTTTTTCCCTTAGGTAACACTACGTTTACAAAAACGTGAGTTTGATATCGAACATCGTCTAACACAACCTGCTAAACATCAAATAGGCTATCATATACACAAAGATCACCATCATGCCCGGAACAACTGCCAGCAGCCAAGCGCCCTCTCCCAACTTCAATCCTGCCGATGAAGAACGTCGCCGTCTTTTTATTAAGGCATACTTCACCTTCCACTGCCAGTGGGATGAAGAGAAGTGGCGATCTCTCCAGGCCCAGGCAGAATCGGATGTCTTTACCATTCTGCACAAGCATGTTCATCTTGTGGTGGGCAACGTCCATGTCGCCTACGTTGCCGACGACTTCGCGTAGGAGGACTACGCCAAGGAGGTTGGCCTTGCTCATTCCGAGCACCACTGGCCTTGGCCAGACGAGATGGAACCAGGGTTGGAGGATTGCAGTGGCGGCGTCTCGGAGGCGTACCTGACCTGGCGCAGGATGAGGGGTTATCCAACTCCGAGACGTCTGCCTACTGGAAACGTTTAGGTCTTTTTCCCTTCCCAGCAAGCCCTCCTTCTCTTCACTCTGGCCGTGTTTGTTTTTGGCTCTTCTACCGCAAATGGCGGCAACTTTATGAATTGAACAATGAGGATAGCCTCCACAGAACAATGGAAATGTTACCCGATCATTCGTTTGCTTAATCAATTTGACTGCGTGACTGAAACTTGTGTGATATCTTTAGTAATGCAGATACTGTAGTGCTATAACCCTTTCCTATTGACTGTAATACAACTGTTAAAAGAATAATTTCACCCTTAGGGGGCTTCCATGCATATAGATGGTAACAGAAAGCAGAATAAGTAAGTTTTGGCACACTGGAAGTTAATTGGTAATTGAGATGATGTGTTAACTGTTTATCAGGTGTAGCAACTGGTGGTGATGGGTCCACAATATTTTACTTCACCTCTCCCCTACCAACTCATCCCAAAAATAAAGCATCCACAGAACACAAGCGTGATTATCGGCGCCGTTTAAAAGATCTGATTTTTAAACCTGTTCTACGACTTCTTTACCAATTGCAGTTTGTATCCTTTATGTCTTCTGCAAGTGACGAATCTGATCGCGGCCGTGGTCAAACCCACCGCCCATTAACTGAGGACCAGCTAATGGGTGAGGACTATGAGCGCAAGATAGCTGAAGCCCGACGCGGGTTACAACAAACCCAAATCCGGGCCGAGGCGATGGTCAGGGAGATGAACCAGGCTCGAGGGCGCCGTCAAGGGCGGCGAGCTGGGAATCTCCTTTCCAGTTGACGCGGTGCCGACGTCTCTTGTTCTGGCAACAGTGGAAGAGGGTCTTCCGGGGGTGCTCGGAGGAACTCCAACAGTGGCTATATTATTAGGAATGGGTTTGCGTACGTGCTCAATGCCAGGAACGTCAGTGGTCGTGTGAATGACGAACGCTTTGCTGCGTTTGGCGGCCTCCTAGAAGGCGCAACTGGCGCGATGGAGGTACCACCTCCTGACATTCCCGGGCGGATGCAGCATCAAGAGTTTATGCGTGGTATATTCATGGCTGATTATGAATCCAGGCGTGAAGTGAGACGGCGCAAATGTAGAAACTGCAAGTGTTCTACGCACTCCCTGAAGAACTGCCTTTATGCCATCGAATGTTACATTACTAGTTGCATCCTTTGTGACACCGAGGGCCATGCTATCTACCAATGTCGACAATTTGAAGCAATGAACTTGAAGGATAGGATTCATGTCCTCATCCATGATCGAGCCAAACGACCCGCATTGAAAACTTCCATCGCTTGGTGGAAGTATCTGCGCGATTACGCAGAGGCAGGAGGCAATGAAATGCCCAAGGAGTTTCCCTGGTCCGCCGAGTTTGCTATGGGCAAAGCCAAGCGAGATGATGGCCTCTTCATCTTGGGTCTTCAAACTCGCTGGGATGAGAAGCGAAACATGGGCGATCTGCCTACAGATCCCAAACATGCTTCTGCGGAAGATGTCGTTCCCTTGTACATTGGCACCTACTTCTTGCCAACCGAGGCATCGGAGGCTTAATGGGCGTAAGTTGGGAAGTTCCTTACCAAGCGCAAGCCATGAAGCGAATGGGGGAAAAGCCTCGTATTATGGCGGATATGCTGACCAGCAAAGCTGTCAGTGAGGTCTCGCGGCCTGTCACAGGCAGTTGGGACGTTGGGCCATGTAAACTGTTGCGGCGTCTTGTAAGTTGCATCCCACTCTATTTTTGTCATAAATCTAACTGTTCCAGGATCCCCAGATATCAAGTCATCGAAGTTCGGCCCAGGTTGTACGATTACCGATTGTGAGCCCAATGTTTGTGGCCAATGACATCAATTACACAATCGAAGACTGTAGTAATGAGTCGATGGGGATTTCGGCATGTCGAAGGGAATCATGCCGTATTGTTATCATCATCGAAATAAACATTCGAGTTTCTGTTCATTGAAATCATTATATTGGATGGATTGTGTCAGCGAATTGCCTACTACTGTGATATTGAAACACTCTTTTTGAACGTGTCGAGCGTGAGTCTTCATTCTTCAGCGGGGAGTCGTCATTTTGACTTCGGCCCCTACCCCACAACAATCCACCGGCTTGCCACCATCCGTCATACGAGACTCCACAGATACGACACCACACAATACCACGGACCAATTACCACACGATTGATTTCTAGAACAGGCAATTGTGTTAAATCCCAGCAACTGTGGATCGGGCACCATGCCGAGACAAACACAACTCCTCTTAATATGAACTGTGTACTCTCATGACTTCCCAACAGGCATGATCATGGATGGATTATGCTAATCACTTCGTATAATCACTCCAAAACGCCAAACATGGAGGCTGTTCCAAGCACTCTTCATCTTACCTATCAGATCATTATCCAACTGCAAGTGAATGTGTACCCACGTACTACAGTTGTTCAATACTCATGCATTCCGTGTATTGCCGTGAGGTTATGAGTAATCTGTTGGTAGCTCATGTGGAGGTCATCTAGTGCATAATTATTTAAGATCGACCTGCCTTTCGTCCTGAAATAAGTGTAAAAACTACGGAACCGTTCGGCGCTTCGTCAACGTTGTTGACTGGCCCTGTGTCTAGGAGACCCATCACCAGATGGAACTCGGCAGATCCCCGGCAATCTGTGAACGCTGTACGTAGCCCATGTCTTTGTACGAATACCCTTGGTAACGCAACCAACCTTCGACATTCATCACCTTCACTGATTTCATCCATGGAAGACGCCGTTCGCCCCAGCGAGCAAGGCGCTCGTAGCATGTACGCGCAGGGGTACGAAACATGGTTCACGATATTCGAAAGCGCGTCCAGAGAAACATCCTTGCCAAGAGAAACCCTGCAACGCTTGGGAACCGCCTTTCCTAACCAGCCTTGTTTTCCAAACAATGTCGCCGTCGATAGCATTTTTGACAACGCTGCTTTGGTCAAAGGGATCATTTCCTGGCATCCAACCAGTGATTCAGGCCATTTGCCGCCATTCAAAGAAGAGTCCATTTTCAAGATTGCATGGAACAAGCCAACCAGGGTGGTTCTGACATCAGATATACGGCAAGCAAAGGCTACTCTGCCGGACATCTTTGGTGAAGGCAGCCGCCATATTCCCGTCCTTCTTCAAGCTTGGGCATACATTCTTTCCGCAAGATGGGCTGAGTTAATCCCCAGCGCACGTGTTCGGTTCAGTGGAGAAATCGATGGGTCTCCCCCAAAGGTGAACAAAGAAGCTGCTGCTACAATAAATATCGGTGCAGTGAGTGGAGACGCCGCCAGGTGGTGGAATGCCATACTATCGGTCAAGGAGAGTTGGGATGCCACAATCTGCAATAAAAAAGGCCAACCTCTTCATTCACCATGGTCTACGACACTGACATCTGAACACCCTTTATTGGTCTTGGCAGAAATCGAAACAGAAGCATCAACGCCTAACGACAATCCACCTTCGTCGTCTACAGCGCGCCGTTATTTGACCGACTACTGCATTTACCATGGCATCGACGGTGATGTGAACCTGGCAGCCTTCGCAGCAGCCTTACTCATTCCGGCTGCCAAGTACGACGGCAGAGGGATGGGGATACCGGTCCCAAAGATAGTCCGAGATCAGCACAGAGGAGAGAACGAGCGCCCAGCAGCCTCCAGTTTTGAGACTCCTGATCCTCTCCAACTTGACAAGCTCTTGACGCTTAGTTGCAATGCCAAAGCAGTCAAGGCTCTCCTCACCAGTGTGTTCTTCGAATCGGGCGTCGAAAGCAACATATGCGGCATGTGGCTACGGGGCTCGTTTACGTTTCTCAGCACCGTCAAAGACCCCCATGTACTCCTGCGTACCATGATAAAACGCGATCCGGAGCTCGGTTTCTTGTGGGTCGGTGCTTTCATAACAGGGTGTCACGATAGAGCACTACGTGAGGGCCGCAGCGGTTGGTGGAAAACTGATCTTGGGGCAGCTGCTTGGACAGGCACACTGATGTCTTTCATTCAAGAACCAGTGTTCTGCCCGCCGCCAGGAACAATATCAAACCCACGCGCTGACGAGTGTCGTCTATCGTACCTCTGCCATGATATGAATTACACCACGCCGCCATTGTTTCCCTTTGCACCATTCGGCTCCACCGCTCTACTTGACACCAATCTTAATGTTCGAGAGCATTCTTCTTGTGGAAGAGATCATGTCCTCAACTATGTCGGTTTAACCTGGCGCTGCAGTGACGGCACAGAAGTCAAACAAGGGCCGGAGATGCCAGTAATCGCGATGAGACCCAAGGTTGGGAAACAGTCGGGTTCCGACAAACAAGTTGATATTAATTATGAAGATTATGATTCAGAGGACGACAATTCGGAAATGGTGACCAGAAACATCTTCACCTGGCTTCGTGGAGAAGATGGGTTCCCTGTTGCCGAGAGGGCGATCCGTGAGCACGAATGGATTGATAACTTGGATTCTGATGACGATGAGCCCATTGAGGGAGACGTACGTTCTACTGTCGGGGGACGTCTTCATGGGTGGTTGTTGAAAACAACAACACAAAGGTCGTATTCCATCTAAAGCTCTCTTACCCACAGGATGATCAAGAGTTCCGATGCATTAGCCCGCTTAGATTCCTGAATAATTTGTGCTATCCTTTGAAAGAATGCATTAATGTAGCTTTATGTATTATTAAATTGGAATAGTAAGAATGTTAACAGTGAAAGAAAGAAACAACTGACAGTGCTTGAGGGGATGGGATGGGCAACTGGACGCATGACAGACTTTATCGGCGGTAAAATGACAGTAATATCTATGAACATTTACACTATTCATTTCATTCTTCCATCCAAGTCCACAAGGCTAGAAGCCACTAAAATTACATTAAGTATTAAACCCCATAGACCAGTTTGCCTTGACTACTTGCCAAAGAAGGCACAAAGGTGTTGCCCAATTTATGCTGTTGTCCTCAAGCTGCTCTGGAATTTCGTACTCTGGCGATCGTCTGACAGTGACTGGTGAAGCCATTGTATTTGACTGATGACGCTGCATGCGGCGATAATCGTCATTGTCACAATCTCTACGACGTTGATCATGATTATCGTCCTGGTTCTGATTGCCATTCTTGTTACCATTGTTTCGTCTTCGTCGGTAAGCGCCATACTGGGGCGCAGGCTCGTCGTCCCAATCGAACTCACGGCCACGACCACCTAGATGAGATGCGCGGACGTCATCACCTTTGCATTCTTGTTGGTCGTTTCGCATATTGTTTTGTGCTGGAACTACCGTATTTGGCCATGCTGCGATCTTGTTTTCCGCCTGTGGGGGAATCCCGGGACTTTGACTGAGGAATGGGTCGCCTGGGACGATCTTGGGAAGCAGGTCGTGCTTCACCAGAGCCAAGCCCAGCTTTATTAGCAACTGTAGTCGCGGGTAATGCTGTAATGTCAGGTGGCGCGCCTGGAACGACCTGTTTCAACGTAAGAATCAGCTTGTCGACCTTCGCTATCAACTACTAGTCCCGATACTCAGGACGAGTTATCTCTAGAAAACCGTAAGGATCTTCTTCGATCGAAATTGAAACGGCCGTAGGACAGCGCATATGACTGTGGCGCGTCTCTGATTGACCAATACTCAGACGTGAAAGACGGGGGCGCATACACAAACATAATATTAGCGCTGGCGGCATCTTAAGTCCGGACATAGTCTGTAGGTATCCCCTCGAAGGCAGAAAACGGCCATTAGGAAGTAGCGGGTTATCACTGATTTTTCATGCAGACTTTCGAAGTGTGCTCAGACTGTTTCCAGACAGGCAATTCCATGGCCTTGAGCGCGTCGCTTGAGCCTGTTCCTACAAGACAGGCTCACAAGACACAGGCCTGGGTCAAATGATCCTCTGCCGTTATTGTGGCAATGGTATGGATTGGTTAAAGGGACGAATTTTTGTAATGATTAATAATGGAAATGAGATTTGATTCGTTGTGCACTGAACCTTTGACTGCTTGACTGGGCCCTTATGATATTCTGGATAAGCAGTACCAACGGTATTGTGCAATTGTGACTATGTGCTATTAATTGTTTTGTAATTCTTGCACAATCGCCATCTCGTTTTTAGAGTTGAACATTCAAGCACAAAACTAGAAGCCCGCGTAACCATTTATATATTTATCTTTTATTTAACACTCATTCCAGTTTACACTTGGAAGCTAAATGTCATTTAAGGGGGAATTATCAGTACAATATCTACCTTTTGACTGTTGATCCCTCCTTTCTAACTACACTCCGTGTCCGAATCAGGAGATGGCATATCGTCAACGTCATCATCAAAGCGTACATACTTCTTCTTTTTCATCCTTCGGTCTTCCATGCACTGGGAGCAAAAATTAACCGTAGGGGCTTCTCGTGACTCCACTCCATCTGTGCAATCTCCAGCTTCGTCATTGAGTGCCGTCTCCTTACACCGTTCCAATACAGGAACTCTGTTCCAAGTCCTACCGCAGATGCATTCGCTGTATGATATCGTTCTAGTACACATTACTTTGCGATTGTCCTGGAAAGTGTTAAGTATAGTTAGTTGCTATACGATGGGAAAGTTGGGAAAGTAGTGAGATTGTTGTTCTGTAGTTTGACTAGAGCTATTCATACATAGACTCATGAGTACTATGATTCAGCGTGTCCTGGTCACCAGATATACATGAACCTTGACCAACATGGAACGCAGATAGCAACAAGACACAAGGCGCTCAGAAAGTGTTTCCCAAGGGCCTTTGCTTATTCTGAGCTTATCCCAAATCTCAATCACTCCTCTTCCTCTTCTTACCACTCTCCGTCCAAACACCCTGTCGTCGATTGGGGCCAAATTCAAAAAGACGCTCCTTGTTGTCGACCTTGGGCAATACTTTCTCGGTCTGTTGAGTGGCGTCCTTCATGTTGCGTCGACCTCTGGAGGCCAATAGCTGAGCAGCACCAGGGTGAGAGATTTTCCACCGACGCCTTCGGTCTATCTCATCAGTCACTTCTCGTTTGTTTTTGCAGCTGATACATTCCATCGATTCCCGAGCAGGGATGTAGGAATTAAGGCACCCGTTATGAACGTGGCGCTGGGTGCACCACGTAGAGACAGTCCGTGTCTCCCTGGTATGTTTCCCGCAACCGGGGCAGTAGGTTTCGATCGTGCGATATTGACACATATTCGTGGATTGTTTCCAGTCTGGCGGATGATCGCTCTAGATGTATTTCTGTGTTAGTATTTGGCGGAAGTAGTATCGCAAACAAGCGGAATCACGTACGTTTGCGCTCTTTGCGTTTAAGTGAAGGTTCTAGTTCACGAACAGAATGGTAAAACGCTTTGGAAAGCAGATTTCAAAAGTGCGTTGTCAAAACACGGTGCGCGATGGAGATGCTGGAGGAAAGTCGGTCTTTGCAGGGTCTTAAGGCGCGTTAAAAAGGTTAGAATTCGGCGTGCAGTTCAGTAGTTTGCCAGTGCCACGCACTGCGACGACTAATGGTATTTGTTAACACCGCAAAACCTAGATTTGCCAACATATGATGTTTTTTGTCGGAATTGTCTGCATGGTTTAGTCGGGTAGATGCTTTCAGTCGGTTGTCAAAGGATCGGCATATGCCTGGTGAGAGTGGGAGATATTCTCAAAAGAGACTGAGGCTGAATCTCTTGGAGTAAATTTTACGAAGCCAGTTGATTTGTTTCGCGTCACTTCCAGAAGCTTTATCATGAAAGTATTCTACCTATAGATATTCTCCCTGCCTATGCATATACAAGCTACTTTGCTAGGCGTTTCCTTCGTTCCTCTTCTTCCCGAGTCTTCTTACAGCCACCACACTCTTCTTTATACTCTAGTTTAGTACTGAGAAAACATAATGTGCATTTCTTGTAGTCATGAAGACCTCCAGGGCATACCTCGATGTAGCCACCTTTTCTTATGACGTTTTCGCACGTCTGGCAGCGAGTTATATTGATTCTTTCGACACACATGGTGCCGTATGAGATGTATGAAATGAATTCTATAGATATATGTTTGAACAATGTCAAGGTGAAGCCGCAAGGGATTTACCGGGCTTTTGTATTCACCTGTCAGGTGATGTCCTTCATGGCCATCTACAACTGATATGAATTGGAGCCGTTAAAATGTCTTTCTGTCCGTCCATCAGATCAAGGCAATGTCGAACTAGATCGCCCGGCTAGCCCACTGATAGATTTTTAATCCGGCGTATTACCTACCTTAACAGGCAGCAATGCTCGTTAATGGGTCTCGACTGTAGACAAGGAAGGAATGTTCTTCATGTCGCCCTTTTTTAGCGACATTGTAGCTTTGAAGAGCTTCAGTTGTCGTGCAAGCGTAACTATCGTCGCCCGCTGGCCATTGCATTGTGTCAATGGCTCTCTGCACATTCTTCAGATCCTCTAGTGTGAGCGGAAGGACCTCGCGACCCAGTTGGTTGACAATGCCATCCCCTTCGGACAGATCCCTGCTTCCTGCAGCTGCAACTGTTTCGCCGATGTGGTAAAGCAATTCTGAATGGAATCCGGGCGTTATCTCATTCGCTTGAGCCTCAACCCTTGCTTCCTTATGAAGGGAATGCACGGATTGGATCCCGCCGAAGCTTCTGTCTGCATCGACCTTGCGAATGGTTTCAGCAATCACGGGGCATAGCGCCCAACTCGGGTCTGTAAACTCCCAAAATGTGCAATCCTGTGTGCCAGTCACAATCGCGTAATGTAGGATCAAGATTAAGTTGATGCCTTCGATGTTCCGCATACAAGGATGGACGATTATTGACGAAAACACAGCACAGAAGGCTTTCGAGTAGAGATAATCGTATCCCTTCTCGTATGTCCCCGGCGGGAGGTACCGTAGGCGATTTATAGGCGAGATGATCGACACAGGACTGCATCGGCGAAGGCGAAGACAAATCTTCCACATATGCATAAGAAAAGGTCGCGGAGTTTGCTGGAGAATGTCTATAGCCACCTTCATGTCTGAAGCCTCCCATCTTGTATCGACTTCGGCCTCATCTTCAGCGCTCCAGTCGTCGCCTGGAGGCTCATGGCGGTACCCGACAAGCCTGTCGACTTCAGCTTCCTCGATAGAACTTTTGTCTGCGATCCAACGTCTTGCCGATTGCCGGCCTGGTGCTTTATGCTGCCAGCTGTCACAACCTGGCAGGATAATTTTTTTTATTGTCAGTTTTTCTATACTCTCTTACCAGCTAAATTCTCAATATAACCTGCAATAGTTACAATACTTACCCGCCATCTTTCTCAGTCTTCTCACCTCTTGTTTCTTATCTCTTCCTCTGTTCTTCTCGATTCGGTTGCTTTTTCCCCATCTCGCACCAACATCAACCTCTTGTTCCATATCCATCTGATGATATCGCATAACCTGAGCGTTAATAGTGTCAAGCACTGTTCTTACCTGAACCTCCTTTGCCTCGTAGGCTGATGACGGATTCTGTGGATGCAAGTTAGTGAGAATGTTGGAAGCTTTGAGAAGGTGGAGGACTAGAACGATTGCGTTTTCTTGGCTGAAAGGGGGTGGTTCCAAGCCGCCCATGAGAGTGTCTCCTTCTGTGTCCATTTTGTCTTGTGGTTGGGGGATAATGTTTGTTGTGAGAAATCTGTGAAATGTTGTATCTTGCTGTCCAGTGACTTTGACTACGGTTCATGGCCTTTATACAACTTGTAGCTGAATAAAATCAGACATTGTGTTCTGAATATTACCGTGTTCTCCAACTTAAGCCTGCTGTGTTTCAAGACTTGGAAATGTTCTTTGTCTTGACCACGAGAATCCTCCCACAAGACAAAGGCGAAGTAAGGCTGGAACAAACCAATTGTCCCAAACATTCCGTTCGACAATTGTTCACGTTAAGATGAACAGAAGTCAAGTATCGAATTCTCATGGTCGTATTGAAATCCAAAACTTTTCGCATTCGTCAACTCTAAATCTTTCAATCATATCCATCCACGTGAAGATCTAAAACAGTGTGTACATCAACCTCTTCCACCAAGGGAACGTAGCAAGCTCCGCTCGCCAAGCGTTGATTGAATCCCAATCATGTTCACGTCGTCCGGTGTCGATATCAATCTTGTCGATGCTGATCCAGCTTGTTCGCTTCCAGATAACACCTCCAGCCCAGAAAGCCAAAACAATAGGCAGTCCAAGATATTGCATAAAGAAATCTTCAACTGTTCCCATACCCGACTCGCCTACAGGAGCAACAATAGCGACGTAAAACTGTGGCTTGTTAGAGAGTGTTCAAGGAGTGAGATTGTGAAAGAAACGTACCTGAGCAATAAGAATGACGACAACAAAAATCAAACCAACCCACGACCCGTAAACGCCACCAATAGCCTTGAAGGGGATTTCATCAAGGGTGTGCCCATTGTACTTCCACGCAGCTCGGAATCTGATGTGCGCGAGACAAATAGAGCCCCAGCAAACAAGCATAGCCAAACCAGACAAAGCCAGAAGCCAGTCGAAAATGACAGGACCAGCCGCATCGAGGTTCAAGAAAGCAAGGCATCCAAAAGCAATGATGAATCCAACAGATGGCAAAGGTCGACCAGCGCGATCAACCCACGTAAAAATCTTGGGCGCGAAGCCTTGTTGTGCGAGAGCAAGAAGCGTTCGAGATCCTCCGTACACTGAAGCGATACCGAGTGACAAGACTGATGATAAGATGACGGCGTTCATGTAGTGGTCGAGACCCTTGAGACCAGAATATTTCCCGACAAGAACAAAAGGCGACGCGGCGCTGTTGGAGTAGGAGCTTGAGCTGAGGAGGTTTTCGTCGTTGCAGCTGACCAGCATACCGACAAACAACAGCGCAACAATGTAGAACAAGCAAATTCGCCAGAATACTTGTTTAATTGCTTTGGGGACTGATTCGGTCGGGTTTCGAGATTCAGCTGCAGCGAGACCGACAAGTTCGGAGCCCGCGAAAGAAAACGCTGCCGTAACAAAAACAGAGCAGAATCCTTTGAATCCATTTTTGAAAGCACCTGGGTCCTGCCAGAGTTTGAATCCTTGGTACGTGTCATAACTACCACTCGAAGGTCCTCCGCCACAGACGAGCACAAGGGCGATGATCATAAAGATGGAGATAGACGTAAGTTTGAAGCAAGCAGCCCAGAATTCCTCTTCCGCGTAGCCGAGGGTGCCAAACATGTTGAGAATAGTAATAGCGGCGAGAAAAATGGCGATCCAGATACCGGGATTCGAATCAGGGGCCCAGTATTGGATGGTGATGGCGCAGACTGTTAGTTCCAGGGGAAGCGTGGCTGCCCATTGAAGGCAGTAGTTCCAAGCCATCGCGAAGCCGAATGCAGGGTCGATGAAGCGTGCTGCGTAGGTATAGAAACCTCCAGAAATAGGATACATGACGGCTAACTCGCCCATTGCGTAGACGACGTTGAAGACCATGACACCGACGAGGAAGAAGTCGATGAACAAAGTAGCAGGGCCCTATAAGAAACAGTCAGTATTGTTTTGAAAACAAGAGATTCATCACTTACACCCTTGCTCAAAGCAGAACCAGAACCAACAAAGAATCCAGCACCGATTGATCCCCCGATAGCAACCATCTGAAGATGTCTGGGCTTCATCTTGCGATCCAACTCAACAAGACCCAAGCCATAATGCTTTCTCGTAAAAGACTTTGCATTGAGGCCTGTCCTGGTCATGAAATCATCCTGCTCATATTCTTCTCCTGTAGCGGTAAACGTCTCCTTGCCAACAGGAGCTCTTTCGTCAACATCTCTCACGACACCTTTTTCACCCACGACAGGGGCATCAGTGACTTTTTCGACAGCCATCTTTACAATGAATCTGGATATAAGCCAGAATGAACGAAACAAAAAGGGACAAAGGGAGAAAAAAAGTCTGGCTACTATGGCCCCATTATAAAAGATCTTTGTTGAATGCAAGCCGGTTCTATTTCGCCCCATAGTAAAAAAAAAACGCCATTAGTGAAGTGGGTTCCACAGATTTTTTACATGGTTCTGACTCTTGCATTTTTCACGATATGGGATAAATTCGCTATCAATTGAGAGAATCTCCACGATCTAAAAAAGGGGGCTTCTCTATTTCCCCGGGTGTTGGTTTTGTTTCTTTACGTAAGTCTCCATGGGGAACGTTTGGTCTGGATGAGGTTATCTTGAGAAATTGTATGTGGAGAATATGTTTACTCCAAACTGGAGGTGAAATTGAAGAAGTTTTTACAGCCACTCACTCCACCAGGAATTGGAGAAGACTTTAACAAAAGGTTCAATAATAAATAGAGATGCAGTCTAATATTTGCTACAGTGAGAAGATACATCCTTGATTATGAAGATGTCGATCTTGATTGATAGTAATGATCTCTGTCTCAAACAAGATTTCGGCCCGATCAAAAAACGTTTTCATCGCCCGCGGTGGTTCGACAGTATTTTGCCACTGTAGATTCAGAACGACATGCTGTAATTTACAACTGTCAATTGCTACACTCATCAATTGATTCGACAAGTAAATACCTATCGCATCAATTACGTTACTCCAATAACTAAACATGCCAGGAATGACAAGACCCCTGTTCTTTTAACGTAAATAAAGCGGCTCAACGGATCTTTGGTGGAGACTAGACTTTGAGGCTTATGTTGGCTTGCTATTCCCGTGCCAGCCGTTGAACCATGCGATGAAGTGGATTACAATTAATGGCCATGATACCCGTCAAAGTATGGCGACAGATAAGACATCAATGATTAACATCAGAGGGTAACAATTATGTTATTTAACATTCCCAGTATATCTTGGGATACCTTCAACATGCCTCTATGTACGCAAACCCACAACTCCATAATGTACAAGGGTATTAAGTCATCATCCCATCGGCCTTTGCTTGAGCCGCTCTGCTATGCTCCTCGTAAAACTCCAGCGTCAACGCAGCCAGGAACCCAGGAATACACCCCTTCTCCCTAACCCAGAATCCAATCTGATCGCTTATCCTTCTCGCGAAATCACTTCGTGGACCGCCGCCGACCTTCATCGTGCCGCGCTCACCATCAAACACAATCGAGTTCTCATGCTCGTCCGTCTGCGATGGGTAGAACGTGCTTTCGACTCGCATCTTGCCGTTGGGGATAAATGTCACGGTCCAGCCGAGCGTGGAAAAGATGGCTTCTTTAAACTCTTGAGACTTGGAACCCCAGACTTCCTTCAGACGACGGGTGCGCTTCTCGGCTGATGCTGTTTCCGCCTTGGCTGCTGTGATTTCGCGCTCCATTGCTGCAAGAACAGAAGTAGGAATCATGGGTGATGATGATTTGCCGCGGAGTGTGGCGAGGAGTTCCTCATTCTCCTTCTTTAGAGCTGTGAGTGTCGACCTCTTGATCGCTTCAAAGTCAGATGTCGGGTTTGACTTGAGCGACAAGACGCGTGTTTGTGTTGACTGCTTGGCAGCCTTGAGTTGCTCGCGACTGGTAGACAAGTCCTTCTCCAGCAGAGAAATCTTGTTCCGGGCCTTGGTCAACTCCTCTTCCAGCTTGCGCTTCTTCCTTGTGAGCTGTCCAAGCTGTTCTTGAGTGCTGTCATCCTCCACTCTCGATCGCTTGCTGCCTGTAACCGGTTGAGGGGCGCCTGTTGACGAGGGCTCGAGAGACGACAGCTCGGTGTGTAGTGTTTGGACCTCCTTCTTGTACTGGTCGACAAGATCTTCAAGCTCTTGGACCCGTTGCACTCGGGCTTGGTCGAATTGCTCGGGTTGAAGCGTCTCGTCCTCGGTGTCGAAAGTCTTGAGTTGGGCGCGAAGGTATTCTACTTCCTTGACAGCCATAACACGTTGTCGGTCGAGGCGCATGCGAGCCTTGTCAGTGTTGGCCGCGCTGGCTGCGGTCTTGGATTTCTCGACTTCGCTCTTCAATTGGGCCTTTTCGTCATTCAGAGACTGGATGGTGTTTTGTGCAGATGTAATTTCGGCTTGTAGCGCGCCCACTTTCTCGACGTAGGATGCATTGTTGAGACGCTCCTCCACCAAGGCTCTAGCGACAGCTTCTGGTGAGTTGAATTGGGATTCGTCCGTCTCGGCGGCATTCTGAAGGTACGCAGACCAAGCCAGTCTCTCGTCTTCAAGTCGCTGTCGCTGGATACGAGCTTCGGCAAGCTCTGCTTCAATCACCTCCGCAGATTCAAGTCTTCGCTGTAGGGTTCGCTTCTCTTCTTCGACAACTTCGACTGCTTTGCTCAATGATCGTAGATGCTTCAGCTCGGACAGCTGCTCACGGTTTGTAGACTCGAGGTTTCGGATATGCTGGACTTGTTCTGTGAGTTCTTGTCGGATAATCTCCATCGTCTCCGCATCGCCGCTTTGTGCCTTGAATCGCAAAACATCAGCCTCAAGATTTGCGATCTGTCCATCCCTCTCGGCCAATTGGGCTTGTGTCTGCTGCAGAGCGTTCTCTCGCTGCTCACTCTCCTCTTCAAGTTCTTTGACAGTCTTTTTCGCAGCTGCAATCTGCATCTCCATATCGGTAGCTTTGCGGTCGGCGATTCGTGCAGCTTCGTCCTTGGCAGCGGATAGATCCTCAAGCTGATCCTGAAGCAAGCGGGCCTCATCCTCTGCGTCACGAGCCTTGCGCTCTAGTTTCTTCTTATCGTCGTCGATTGACTCTTTGATTTGTTCCAATTCTTTTCGTAGAGCTTCGGCTTGTTCGACGGCTTTCTCGCGTTCGGCTTCGGCAGCTTGGCGCTTCTGGATCTCATCTTGTGTTTCTCTACGAGATTGCTCAACCTTGCTGTTGCTTGTCGAGAGGGCAATCTCTTTCTCTTGCTCGGTCGTCTGCAGGCGATATTGTAGAGTTCCTATCTCTGCTTTCAATGCCTCCATTTGACGTTTCCCCTTCTCAGACTCGTCCGCTTCAGGAGGCGGCATGTTCTCCTTATGACTTTCGCGCGAACTGGGGCGGGCAGGTTCTGGGACGAAACTTGTTCGAGAGGCGGGACGGGGGAGATTGGATTCGCCGGTGAGAAGGTTGTAGGATGGTTGAGTGCTTGCGCGAAAGGACATCTGATGCGCGGTTAGACAATCATTGTTTGTTTTGTTTTTGGATGGACTTACCCTGGAGTTTCGTAGGGACGTTTGCGGACGATCGAGGTTGGATGTACTTGCCCTGAATCTGTTGGATATGGGAGTTCTGCGGCTTCCACGCCCATCTTTGTCATTGGGCGTGTGCGAGCGCATTGTGGTGGTTGTTAGGTGGAGTTGATTGAATGAAATCGCGGTCGCAGCATGGTTTGTTTAGATCACCAGCGTGTTACGCTGTCACGTGATATCGCGGCCAGCTTGAGTCAGAGGCTTCCATATCATAGAAGATGATGGGTTATTTATGTATGTCATTGCTGAAAAGATAGAATTAATTGATCTTGCTTCATCCATTCTCTTGTTGAATTAATGCGGACGAAACATCACAACCTGAGGTTGGTATTGTAGGGTAGATGCCATCGTCAGCCACTTCGGATAGCTATTAGACTGTCAAACGGCTGAATGCAATTTACTGTTCATCTGGGTAGCGAAACGTTGAATTAAATAGCCTAAGAAGTGTCTAATCATAAAGAGTTCGTCTCTTATGCTTCTTTTCTACCCCAATACTCCAAAATGACGCTTGCTCATCCTCTTTATATAAGATGCGCTAGTGATGTATGTTTTCAGTTTGACTTTTCTGAATTTTCGGAAACTTTTTTTGTCTTGCTCATTTGATCTTTCTTGTACTTGGAGTACTTTTCACCGAGATACCGCATTGTTCTTGTGATACCACCCATCAAAAGTCCTTTGGCACTTTGTACTGTACTCGGCCAGTTCACTGTCTGCTTGATGGCTATGCGCACCGTCTCGTGAAGCTTCTGGGGTTCATCGGTGGCGATGCGACGCTCAAAGTCACCGCCCTGCATCTTTTTCACAGCGGTGCCATCATTATCCGTAGACGCCTTCATGAGCTCGTTGAACTCTCCTCGGGGAATACCGAATCGCTTCTGGTACTGGAAGTAGAGTCGTGATCGGAAGGTCTGGGGTAGGCGTCTGACCATGTTGCCGCGACGTATGGGGTCCATGTCCTGTTGGAGTCCCTTATCGGGATCAGGGTTCATGATCCAATCTGTATCGTCGATGCGGCAGGGTCCAGTAAAGTCGACATTAGGGAGCGTCTTGACGAGTGGGGCGTACAGACGGCGGAAGTGAACGATGTTGTTGTCGACAATGTTTGACACCTTGCTCTTATTCTCTGTAGGTAGAGCCATACGGGGATCACCTAAGTAGCTGAGACCTGCGATGGTACTGTATAACTCTACTTCTGTAAAGTTGGGAGGTAGGAGGAGGAGAGCAGTTCGAAGAGCGGCGATGAGGTTGTGCTGGTTGGCGAGTCGGACACGAGGATGATCGCGAAGAATCTTGACGGGCTTTTGAAGGCGGCCAGCAAGATACAAGCTATCCCAGGAAGAAAGGTCGTGAACAAGATTGTCGATACTCGTTACGCCGTACTTGATAAGCATACCGTTGACCTCTACGAACGGGTTGAAGTAAACACCAGCACCCCAATTTCCCACGCGCGATACAACGCCGGATCCCAAAGACGCAAGACCAGAGTAGTGATGTCGGTTTTGTTTCATATTGATCGAGTGCCAATGCTCAACATGCGACACACCAAAGATAAAGTCCAGCACTTTCGGCGTACCCTTTTGCGACTTGATGAGCGCCTCTGGGGGATTCGGATGAACAGCTCGAAAGTCGGACTCGGATATACTAGCTTTGGAAGCTGATTGAGGAAAGACACCAGAACCGTATGCGAAAGAGTACATTATAGGCGCGTTAAACTGTCGCAGCATGAGGCGCAAAGCTTCTTTGAGTTCGTAGTTGATGACCATGTGTTGATTTGCGCCAAAGAGACGATGGGGAAGGTCGGAAAAGCTACTGATCTTTGTATCGAGATCTTCCCATTCTGTGCTAAAGATGTTGAGTTTGCTGGCTTTGGGTTCTGAGGATGCGCTGTTTGCGATGGATTCATCCGAGCTTGCCGAGCTGCTTGTGGAGGGCTTTGACGAGTTGGAGTACCATCTTGAGTTGGAGAGGTATTGTTGTGTTGCGTTTAGTCGACGTGGGAGGAGAGAATGGGAGGATCGAAGGGTTATAACTCTGGTCGAGGAGGACTAAAGCTGTTAGAGGGAGGGTATGGAGGGGTACATGGAGCTTACCCTGAGGCCAATTGAGGCCATGGTTGGAGATGTACGGTATGCAGAGGTTTTCTGAGAAGTCGAGTATTCTGATGATAGCTATTGATGCGTGAAAGTCTTGGATAGAGAGCTAGGGTACGTCGGCCTTGAAAATGCTGGAAGAAGCTACCCGGAATGCTCCATTCGCAAGAGTAAAAAGATGGGTCAGAGGCTCAAGTGATGATACAAGTCAAACGATGCTGGTAACCCTCGACAGCCCCGATATCGAATCGAAGTCAGTGGAGCATATTTTTGTAACCACGAATGGTAACCTGGTGATCGTCGGGTCTGACGATATTGGCTTGACCTAGAAGCTGTGAAGCTGTAGAAAATAGATCAAAGTGGGTCACGAGAAGAGGAATGTGGGATGACCAATTACAGAAAAGCTTCATCATAACGGGACAGGGTCCACCTCCCTCCAGGAACTGCTACGTCACTGGACGATTCGGAACTTGGCAGCTTGGAGAAGAGTTTCAGGAACATTCTTAGATGCGTCATTGATTGGGACAAGCTAGATGAGTTCTACAGGGATTGATGCTGAGGGTGCATGGCCGAGGAGCACAAGGGACGACAACTTAGATCGGACTTCCCAGATTGTTTATTTTGGTGCCCTAGAGCTGAGGAGGGTATGTTTTGCTGCTCACTGTGTTATTGTCACGTTGAAGATGGTATGTCAGACATCCCCAAGGCAACTCTCAATTAAAACATTGATACCGGCACGTAGGGAATGAAACAAAATACTTTGGACATATGTCCTTCTTGATGATCCCAGATGTATAACTATGGATTTGCAACACCACGTCTCCAAGCGAGATATCCTGTATTTTGTCCAGAAAACATATGAATGCGTATACAAAGAAAATATAGCGAGAAAAAGGAAACATTAGGAACAAAGGGGAAGAAAAAAAGAGTGAAGAAAAAAGGTTTCACCCCGAACAAGCCATTTACGCTCGCTATTCAATGCGCCGCCAGAAACGTATTTCTGGCCTTCTATCCATGCACGTGGTAATATTCAACAGCGCCGTTTTATCGTCCTTCGTATTTGCCGCTGACAAGTTTCCTTGATACCGGAACGTCTACCCACTTCTGTTCTGTGCTCGCGCTGTCGTCGGCGAAAGGGTCGTCATCAGAGATTTCCTTGCCCTTGCCCTTACCCTCATCGAGTCGAGATATGGAAATACCGCTTCCTACGGGTTGATCGCCCGAGGCTGTGAGTTCCCATCGAGCTTCGATATGGCCTGGCTTGGGCTCTGTACCTTCTGCGCCAATAATGCGGCAGACGATCTTTTGAGGTTCAGCGGTAAGGGTGAGGTCACCGATGCGCCAGTAGACGAGGTGCTTGTCCTTGAGATGAATTCCTACAGGCTTTGTCTGGGCGCCACTTGATTTACCCTCGTATTTTGCGACAATGACCACGTTGTGCAGTGATACGGGAGCGGTAATCTTGGCGGCCGGGTTAAGCTGGTATTGCAGAAGCAAGCCAAGCTTGTCTCCCTGAGGCTTCCACGCGGGCTTTAGGAGCAGAGGAACATGCTCGGCCAATGTTGAAACGTCGGACTCTTCGGAGAATACTCGATAAGAAAATGCGGTGGCATTCTTGGTGAGGTGAGATACATCAAGATTGAACTGATCATGGTTGTCGGGGGATGAGTTTTGCACAAAGATGCGGTTAGGACCAATGCGCTCGAGGGCCGAAAAGTTGTTAATACGGATGGTTTCATAGCCTGGATATGTTAGTGACGAATGAGACATGACAGATATCGACTTACTCTTAGCATCACCGGAGTCACTTGGATTGTTGACGAATGCAACTTCACCAGTAATAGAAGCCGACTTGAGAACGCCATCTTCAAAAACAGCAGACACACTCTCAATGATGGACGAGTTGAGACCAGGGGCAGTCATTTGAGCGTGTTGAGGATGGTTTCCACCGCCCAATGAGTTGCCAGATCTCACCGATTGTGTATCAGAAGTACCGGCAATGCTAGCCTCGGACGCCAATGCAGCAACTGCACTTCCCTTGGAGGGAGATGGTGCAAGGGTTGGAGATGCTGCTAGACCACTTATAGGGGAATCGGTGCCACTCTCTGGGAGGTTAGGAGGCGGCACATACATGGTATGACGCACATCACGACGTCCCCTAACTGTACCACTTCGACGAGTGGCCGGTCCAAGTTTGAGGCTGTTGGCGACGCTGGAAAGTGCAGCCAATTTGGCATCAGGATCCTCATCCTCGACAGGAGTCTGCTGGATGTTGACCTTGAGCAATTGATCAGGGTCTTCGCCCGACTCTTGCTTAGCCTCCCGTTGAGCTTCCGAGATAGGATCGTTCATGGGAGGTGGAACGTTGAATCCGTCAGAGTCCTTTGTTGCGTTTTGCGGTGCCGGGTTCTCCTGCTTGTGCGACGGAGGAGGGCCGGGAGGTGGCTGGACATTTGACAGATCAATTTCGTGATTGCCGTTAACGGTGCCTCCAGCCGACTGTGGAATCGGGCTGTCCATAAGATTTTCATTGTGCGACGTTCCGTTCGTATTCTCGTGCGCGTCCGGCTTGGGTGTATCGTTTTCGCCATCGGGTACCCGCGGCATATCAGGGGTTTCTGCTAGAGACGACAATCGTTGGTGCTCTTGGAGGTTGTTGGACGATGCTCTGGGAGAAGGGCCCCGATCGTTTTGGCTGTGGCTCGTTCCCAATCTTCCGAAGCTGGGTCCCAACTTTCCAGGAGAAAGTTGACCGAAACCGGCGTGCATGCTCTGTCTTCTACGGCCACCAAACATGGTACCGAGACGGCGCAGTTTGCCTCCTGTATTCTGTTAGTTGGTTTCATTGGTGCTTTGTCAATTTGCATACCTGGCTTTTCTTGGGGCATTGAGGTCTCGCTCATGTCATCGTCGGCGTGGGAAGAAGTCGGGGCCGTAACTGGAGCAGGAGACGCTGTGTGAGCGCTCTGAGCTGGCAGATTGGTGCTATCGGCAGTGCTTGGAGGTACGGGTGTCGAAGGTGTGGTGCCAACAAACGATGACTGGCGCGTCGAGTTTCGAGTCGGAAGCTTCGCCTTGCCTGCAGTAGCTCTATGTACAAAGGATTCGATTTCTTTTTCGGTATTGATCTCGAGCATCAGTGCCAGTGTTTCCATAGCATTCTCCTGCACACGCTGGGCCGAATCGGACTCGTGGGTCTGGTATTGGGTGAGAAGATCTCGTAGATTGTTGACACGCGACTCGTCGAGAGCTTGGAGAGACTCAAAGATGAAAGGTGCCTGTGAATCCCATTGCCCAGTAGCAGACTCAAGCTTGGATGTAGCACTCTCGACCTTGGAAGTGTTTGCTCGACCCCCCTTCTTAGTGAGCTTGTCGACAGCGTTCTGCGATTCATCGAGGTCTTTGGCCATGGTTGACAAGTTGTTGGACATGGTGTTCATGTTTTGAAAGTCCTTTCGGTTGGAAAAGTTTCGTAGCGGGTGCTCGATGTCTTTCTCGATGCGATCGGCGAGTTGATGGTGAGCATGAGCAATGCTCTCAGTCGAGTCGATAATTCGGTTCCATGGCGCCTGGAAAACACTGCAATAATTGTAAGCATATTGCGACCCGATGCCACGGAATGGTAGATTTACCCTAGCTCTGATTGACCGTTTGGTACCTTGAATTGGGTGAGCTTTTTTAGACCCTGGACGTATTGATCCTCCACGCGACGGCGCTCCTGTGGGAATTGATTAGCGGGATGTCGACGACTCGCAACGAGAGCTATGCCGCTGCGTAGCCATTGTTGGTTTGTCGTACCTGGAGCCAGTCGGCGACTTCGTTGTTGACGCGGGTCATGCGCTTCATTCGTTCGGTAAGAGTTTGAACCGCCTGGCTGGGCTGGAGAGCTGCCTATTGCGCAAAAGGAGTCAGTTGAGCTCAATCGAACAACAGTTCCATTGGTCTTCCCGTTGCTCATGGCGATGGCAGTAGGAACTTACCAGCATGGCGGGATACTCGGCCCTGGCCATATCCTCCATGATGAACGGCGCAAAAGGATATTAAAATTATATATATGTGCGGACGAGGGAGCAATGCATTAATGATGGTATTAAACGCTTCAAGAGGTGATGCGCATTGCGGTCGCTGAACAAGAGGGGTTTCGGTCGAGATTCGGAGGGACGAAAATGTAGGAGCTTCAGTATGTACGTAGGCCTCAGAGTAGTACGTCAGGTAAACAATGACGATTGTAGGTAATCGGATGATTCGGAGAGGTAGTGACAAAAGTGTCCAGATCCAAGACGACTCGAGGTTGAAGAGGGAGAAACCGTGGTGACAAGACACTAATAACAAATACCTTGGCTGGGAGTGACAACGGCTAAAGGGACCAAGTTAAAAGTAAAAAGAGGAGAGAAGAGGCTGGCAGAGACAAGACAAGACAAGACAGGGCTGGCGTTGGTACTGAATTGGGTTGGACTGGGCTGGGGTAGCTCGATTTAGGGATGGTGGAGAAGGCAATAAGCAACGTTTGGTGGTTGGCCGAGTTTTAGGTATCCGCCAAAAATCACGAGGACAAAATAAACATGACCTCATTAGATATTGATAGCTGTCAAATATATCTGGTAAACACCAATAGATTAATCGTGACATTTCGACATTCACCTTTATTGTATTCAGCCAATGCTTTTCCATGGCATAAATATCCCCCTGCTTCCCTGTCCTTGTTTCTGAATTATGAAAATTGCGGGCCTCTTCTAACAGAAACCAAAACCAAGAACCTGAGACATCCTGGTCAAAGGGCTGATCTTTACCGGAAATTTGATCGTCATGCTCCAGACTCTTTCAAATCCTTTGACGTTAGAACCCTGCAAGTTGTACATAGATACACCTCATCCATCATGTCACTCCTAGAATGGAAAGCAGCTCTATCCATGTCTCAACGTTATGAGACAATCCAAAATATGTAACTAAAACCCTTGCATCTATCGACATGACTAACACCTCCTAGACAAACCTCCCTCTCTGCTTCTAGCATGAGTGAGGCCATCGCCATTGAACAGGCCGCCTACCAAATCTCTTCTACTCAGGTGCGCATGTAGCAATCCAAAACTCACGGAACCGCTGACAAGGCCTAGGAAGAGTATAATCTCGCCTGCCAACCGACATCAACTCCAACACCCCCGCAGCAGGAACAAGAGAGTGAGATCGACTCTGGCATTAGGATTGGGTCATATAAAAACTGCCGACCTGTGTCAGAAGGTGTCACTTCAGAAGTTTATCGGTCAGGCGACAGAGCTCTCAAGGTTATCGTGACATACGAAAACATTGAACCTCATAATCCTCAGCGCGAAGCAAAGATACTCAAGACTCTGCGATCACCATGTATTCCCCTTCTCGACACCTTTCGGGACCAAGAACAGCGATTCGTTCTCGTCTTTCCCTTCATGCCATATACTCTAGCCGACGTTCTCGCTCAAGGACCTCTACCTCTAGACTCTGCTCGTTCAATCTTTCGGGACATCTTGCAAGGTCTGAAAGATATACACACACAAGGCATCATACATCGAGACATCAAACCATCCGCCATTCTTCTCTCTTCCCCCACAGGCCCAGCGTATCTCTCCGACTTTGGAACCGCATGGCATCCTGAGCTGTCAATTACCTCAGAACCAGCAGACAACAAGATCCTCGACATTGGAACGGGTCCTTACCGCGCGATAGATGTCCTCTTTGGTAACAAATCGTACGGCCCGGAAGTCGACATGTGGGGATTGGGAGTCATGCTCTCAGAAGTCCTTCGTGATCCTCCTACCCCTATATTTGAGTCTCGTGCCGTTCACGAAGATGGAAACCAGTTGGGCCTCATCCTCAGCATATTCAAAACCATTGGAACACCCACTCCCGAGACATGGCCTGAGGCAAAGGAGTTCAAGGTCGCTCCTTTCGAACTTTGGACAAGTTTCCCCGGTCAAAGTTGGGAGGAGCTCCTGCCCAGCGTGCATCCCGACTTGATAGATCTCGTATCGTCGCTTGTACGGTATGATGGCCAGAGACTCACTTCCACGCAGGCAAGTCCTTTTCTCGATTTATCGTATCAATAAATAACTGTCTGTAGGCCCTTGAACATAAAGCCTTGGTTATAGAATTTGGTAAATAAAAGAACGTTTGAATTGTCGCTTTAATACTTTGCTTAGTTATGCTGGGTAAGAATTCCAATGTGAACTAAACGGCCCAACGCCTGCTGATCCATTTCTACATCTCTGTGTCGCCGTCATAATCTGTCATATCCATCTCCGCATCGTCTTCAAAGTTTGAAATGTCGATACTCATCCGTCCCATCTCCTGGGCCGCACCTTCAACGTCCCTTGAGTGGTTGCTGCCATCGTCGGTAATCATCTCTGTATCCCAACCCGAAGAACTCCCCTTAGGGGTCGTTATAGCAGGCAGGGAAGGATACCCACATCTGCTGGGGTCGTCACTCATCACGGGGTCACTCATCACGGGACTTTCCCTCGTAACACCATCAGGTCCCATTTCCCATTGCTGAAGCGGGCGAGTCGAGGAGGGGAGGAATGCTGGATTGGGAAACCCTTTGGTGGTCAGTAACCAGGCGGGAGTGTGGTTATGGCGATGCATGGCGCTTTGGATCTTGACGCCCCTGCAATGGGTCCGTAAATGACGACCCAGAAAGTAGCTGTCCAAATACAATCGATGACACTGACCACAAAGGCCTTCAGGCTCTTGATACGCAACAGGAGGTGATGGGGCACGGCGGAATGGTCTGGATGATGGAGGGGCAGACCAGCTCCGCCATATGTCGTTGCGTTGGTACAAAGGCAGGCCACTGTTGATATCGACAGAGTTGAGCAAATCATGGCGGTCGATACTATCGGCGTCGATATTGTTTGACGGGGGGTGAAAACGGACGATATTTGCAAAGTTGCTTGCAACGGTACCAGTGCCATCAACGGTGTTGGGTGTTGCAGGCCCAACGGAACTGTCAGAATCCGAATCGGCGCCAGCGAGTATGTCAGTTTTGCTCGTTTATATGGAGTGTAGGAGTACCTAGAGTAAACATTGTGCCGGATTTCTTTGTGTTATTTGTGTTTGTAGCGAAATGAAAGTGTTGATTCACAAGAATGTTTGGATGATGGCGGAAGAAGATCAAGACAGCAGAGATGTTTTGGAAATTGGAAGTAGTAGCTCTGAGATTGGAAGGGAAAGTGCTCTGGTTCAGACTTCCCGTTCCTCCTCTTCATACCGGCAGGTAAGATGGTCTCTTGGGTTTAGGGTACAAAATAAATGATATAAACTTATACCTAGCCTAAGGAGCATAAAGTGACCTACTAATTTCGTCCCTTATGCCTGAAGTGGCCAACCTCTGATACCCTGAGGATCCAACAAAGTCATCGTCCAAGGCACCTCATTCTAACCCTGACGTCTCTTTTGTGTGTCCGCACCCAAGTAGTCAATAGGGTTTCGACACAGCGGGCAAGTATTCTGGTTACTGCTCTGGAACCATTTGTACAAACAAGTCCTGTGGAACAAGTTCTTGCATGTCGTGCATCGCTTATCCGGCATGCGCTTATCTGTCGAAATGATACTGTAGCAAATAGCACACTCGCTCTGGCCCTTGAGAGCACCGATAATGTTTCGCTTGAACACTTGTAGACCATCGATGATGTTGCCGTTGGAAAAGGTAATGACACCCTGCGTAGTCATTATCCAGCTCTGCCATTTCTTTTCGTTGACGGCGACACGGTTGAGACTTTGCACGACGACATTCTCGATGGGGTAGTTTTGTGGGATTTTGATGGAGATGGCTGCTTGGCTTTCATCAACTTCGTAGCCAGCTATGATTTCTCGAGCGGCGCGAGCGACGCGCACAACAAGTTCTTGCTCGTCCATGGCGGGCGGGTCTTGGGTGTCAGCCCATTGCTGCACTTCGTCGAGGGCATCTGCGATGATGAGAGGGGAAAAGTATTTGGTTGTCCAGGATTCGACAGCAATTCGTGTCTGCTTGGATCGACAGTCGATATACCACGCTCTAAACAAGCCAGGAGTGTACTTGTGTAGGAGATAGAAGATGTGGACCAATAGCCATTGCATGTTCTTCTCCTCTGGTTCCGATTCTGCCAGTTTGACATTGTAATCCTGAATGTGTTCGGAAGCAAGGTTGATCTTTTCGAGCTTGAGAGGATGCGCGGCCGAGTGTCCGAGGACATCGAACATAAAGTCCAGCAATGGTGCTACGTAATTGTCTTGCTTGAGGTTTTCGTTAAAGTCGTTGCGGATCTTAAACGACGACGTCGAGTAAGCGTCGAATACGAGCTTCCAGGATAGGAGGTAAGATCGAATGGATGAAGGGAACTCTGCGAGCATTTCGTCAGAGTACTTTTCGAGTGTGGGAGCGTCGAGTAGAAGCGACAGGAGTTCGTCAGGTAGTCGAGCATCTATAAATGTTAGTAGTTGAATCAACTGCACAAGTCTTGAACATACCTGTCTTGTCCAGCATGGCGTCAATCGACTTTTGCTGTTGCTGCTCGGGAAGAGCCTTGTGAAGCAGATTGTACGCAGCTGTTTGGATATCACGCGAATCCGACGCCACCAGGCCAAAGATGTCGGACAGATCAGGGACTTGACGAATGGAAATCTTCTCGACTTCTCGACAGAGCATAGCATCCACAATCTCCAAAGGCTGAGAAGTGGTTTCTCGAGGGAGTCGCAGAAGCTCGATTAAAGCCCTAGGCTTAGCACTAGCAAACTCTTTGAGGGCATCTTCAAGATCGTCGTTGGGTTCGGGAAGAGATTCGATAGTCTTGTACAGCTTCAACGAAGAGTGGATGAATGGGAGAGCCTCGTCCAGCTCAAACTCGTGGGCGCGGTTCCATAGCGAAATGCAAAACTCGATTGCTTTTTCCCAGTATGAACCATAGACGTCTTTCATGCATGGTAGTAGCTTGTTAAGAGACCGACAAATATCGGCGCAAAGGGCAGGGCTCAAGGTCTCGGGCTCATCAAGCCATGAAGTAATCTGTCGGACAGCAAAGACGATTCGGTTGTTAGCCACAGGCAGCTCGCCCGCTTCGTAAATTTCAGCACAAGACGAAAGCAAGACCAGAGTCATCAGGGTCTTATCGCTCTCCGCTTTGGCGCCCGCAATCTCGCTTACAACTCTATTGCAAAAGGTGTTGGCTGCCTTGGAGGGTTGAAGAGTCTCGCCAAACCCGGCAATGATGGCAGACGCGGGTAGGACTGTCGTGGGGCCAACCTTGAGGACGTCGGGCTTTAGAAGAGCATCCTCGAAACCGGATGATGCTCCGTGGGCCTCTGCCAAGAATTGCACAAGCTCGCTGAGTGCCCTTGCACTGTATAAGCCTCTGGGGGTCAAGTCTTTTGAGTGCTCAGTTAACAGGTCGATCAATTCTTGAATGATTGGCTTTTCCTCAGCCGAGTCGCTCCAGACTTTAGCGTCAGCCACCAGATCGTTTAGGACTCCACGCGTCTTGGAGACAAACTCTTCAGCTTGAGCACTTGATTCAGCATGCTTGAGAGTTTGCCATAGTCGGTTCTCCTCCATGCAAGTGATTTGGTCAGAAATGAGCTGCACGGTCAAGCACTGAAGGTAGAGAAGCTCGAGTTGGAAAGGCTTTGGCAGTTGTGATAGCGGGAGTCTTTCAGATAGACGTGACACGTAAAGAGCCATTCGTGCGGGAATAGCACGTCCCTTTCTATCTCGGTGAACTCGGAGTGGCGTAGATCGAGGTGTTCCCTTTACTAATGCAGAAGCGCCGCCGGTACTGTTGGTGATGGATAGCGAAGGGTTCACAGACAGTTCTAGGAACGGCGCCAGCTCCTTCATCCACACGTTGGTGCTTGGGAAGAGTTCCTCGGATGGAATGTCGCTCGAAGCGGCACTTTGCGCTTGGGAAACCAATGTGTCGATACTGTGAACATGTTAGCTTGGTCGACTGTACGATACGAGTAGCCTACTCTAGAGATTGTGTTCCCGCTCGTTCGAGGTTAGCTTGAACGACGGCAACAACAGGCAATTTGCCATCCGTATGACCGTCCAGCAGAGTACGGATAGCAGTGGCCTTATAAGAAATCGCAGAGTCGTCAAGTTCAGAAAGACCCAGGAGCAGTGCGACCAGAGTCGTGTGGACGCGATCGTCTCGAGAAAACAGCTCGGGTCGGCCCTTGGCGGTAATCTCCAAAGCTTGAAGTGTGGACTCTGTCTTTTGGGGGTCCTTCTCGAGAATCTCGACAAGTGCTTGCACAAGCTCTCGGTAATTGCTATCGGTTAGAGTCTGGTATGTAACAGCAGCCTCCAACAGTTCCCAATCGTTGCTGTTTCCGACTGCAAGTAGTACAGCCTGGCCGATGATGTGCTTTTGCAAGTCCATGTTACCCTTGGCAAGGACAGCTCCTCTGTCGTTGGAAATGAGAGATGCAAGGGCAGCGTCGCGTGCTGGCTCGGATGGTAGATCAAGCACAGCCTCAACCCAAGAGTTCCAGATGGGCGCGAATTGAGTAGATACAGAGCCAAGTAGGTGGAGAGAGGAGAGCAGGTAGCGGGAAGAGGGGGAAGAGATTGCTTTGGCAGCATCGTCTCGAGCCAATGACGTGAAGAATGCTGAGAGTCTTATAATGCCATCATCATGAAAGAGGCGAGGAGACATGCTTAGAGCGTACTCGATGGTGCGCGCTGCGCCAAAGGGCTTCAGGTTGCGACTCTCCAGAAGAGTGATACACTGGTTGATGGCCTTGAGAGAAGGTTCAGCCGTGTGGTCGGGGACGGCAGCTGACTCGGCGATCTTGTCCTCAATCTGACCAACAAGACCAAACCATCGTCGGCCTTCCTCTGAAATCTTTTCCTGAGACTGTTGGTACTCTCGAGACACTTCAGGTAGGGATCCAGAAATCTTGGCACAGAAGATGCTGGCGAGTCGGTTCCATTCCTCTTCAGAGGCAGACACAACAGACGGAGAAGCTTGGACGGTGGCGATGTAGGCTTCCACGAGCACAGATATGGCATTCGGGCCCATTGGTATGGCGACAGTCTTTTCTGATACTGAGAAAAGGAATTGCTCGATAAGAGGGAACAGGTGTTCCTGTACAAAAGGTAATTGATCGTCGGCGGGTAGATTCTTTAGCAGTCGCTTAGCGGTATCGATGAAGCACTTCCATGCAAATGAGGTGTTCGTTCGTGGTTCTTCGCGATGTGTGATTCCTGACTTTAGCGATGACAAAAGTTGTGAGGCAACCTCAGGCGTGATCAGGTCAGATGGCAGAACCATCAACAATTGGTCGAGATACTCCCAGAACTTCGGTGGGCTTCCCTGCGATCCCTTGGAGATGAACGCTTGCATTCTACCCAGAGCTGACTTTGGTCCGGTGGTGACCTTTCCTGTGGACCAAACATCGGGGTACTTTTGTGTCATTTTTGTCAAGGCTCGCACATACTCCAAAGCCGAACCAGCTTGGTTGGTCTTGAGACCCCCGGTGATAAATGCCTGCTTGACCTTTGTGTCGTCGGCGTACGGTAGCTTTCGTTCAATCGAAGCAAATAGAAGTTGGCATACGGTCTTTCGGACTGCCGAGTCGTTGTAGGTGATTGTCTTCCAGACGCCTTCCTCCGCGAAATAGTCATCGTATCGTGATTGGAGCTTCTCCAGGTTACTTTGCTCGACTTTTTGCAATAGACCCAAGACAAGAGATAAGCTGGCAGTAACAACTCGAAAGTATTTGGCCTCGGCGTCTTCGGCTGTCGTAGAGCGTTCGTCACTAAGAGTATCTTGTGTTTCCTGAATAGCATCAATGGCGTAGTCAAGGATCTGGGCCTGGCACTTGTTCCAAAACGCAATGACCTTTTCAGGGGTGTTGAGAAATGGGGTTAGACCATCGCTAGCAGCTCTGGCTACCACGCGGTCGCGATCATACAAACCAGCAAGCCATGCACCGACGATCTTTGGTAGGTGCCGCTCAAATCTCTTGCGCGCGGACTTCATAAGCTCGAATTGAAGATTATGCGTAAGCTCACGGACTCGACGTGAGTTGTCTATCGATGTGCGAGGATATATTTGGACCTGTCAAAGTATAAGTTACTGCCATCACTATGATATGTTTCCTACTAACCCAAACGTCCAGGATGCCCTCTTCTACCCCGCCATCCTTCTCAAATGGGTGAGCTTGAACATGAGCTAATAGCTCCTCAAGTGCCTTGGCCTTAGTGGTGCTGTCTTTCTTTAACACATTCTTCAATGACACAACAACATTTGGGTCGGAGATAGCTGAGAATGACGGAGGTTCGGCGAGGTACGACAGGGAGGTTCCGGAGGCTGCGGTGCCAAAGCCTCCAAAGCCGGAGCGGGGTCCTTCAAAACCACGGCCGGCAGATTTCCCTTGTGACTTCTTCATGTTTGTGGTCTTCGGTAAAATGGAGTCCAAGTACGTTGGGGAAACAAATACAAAAAGAGAATGTACGTGTCCGGCCACTCGGCTGATGGCGCTCTAAATTGGCAGAAGCTTGCAAGGCTGATGATGATATCAAATTTGGTGGTGAGGGACCGAGTGATGTCACATGGAAGCACGGACCGTGGTTGGTTTAGTGGGGGTCGTGTCGTTCCACTGAAAGAGCCTCACTTAAAACTCGATGAAGAGAATGAATGACGATGCGATTGATAATGTTGACAATTTGAAGATCGTTTGGTTTTATAGTGGTTAAGATTCTACGTTTATTGCTAATTGCACATCGTGAACCTTGCTCATCGAACCCTTCGCCGAAGACACTGTTGCCGCTCGCTTGACTCACGCCGAGCTTCCCCAGTCATCAACTGCGGATCGCGAAGATGGGGCAATCACTGAGTTTTACGTCGAGAACCTGGTTATGGGAAGAGTAAATCTCAAGTAATATATGGTCCGCTCGGTCTTGGTATGAGAATCATTGGCATTCCTATTTTGAGACAAGTGGTTTGACCTGAGAATCAAGGTACCCCCTAAGTGTATTGAAGCTTTTGTTGATATATAGAACCTTAGACAGCAAGGTTCATTGAGCACTCAACATTAGTAATGATATCTCTTTTCGGTTCGTTTCTCAATTACTTAGGCTCAAACACAAAGTTACAAGCAACCGTATTTCAGCTGTCGCGACGTGTTGAATCTATCTTACCATCCATGCGTGTGAAATAAAAACGGAGACAGCTTGCTGTGTGACAGAAACAACCAGACAAAACCATGCAAAATAATGGTTAAGAATACTCGAGTATTACTGACCAGGCTCTTCTTTACCCTACATGTGATCTTACTTTGCCAGTAGCGATTAAGCCAATGTCCAATCAGCCGATTGAATCCCTGTAATCATCCCAGGTTCTTAAAGCGTCGACTTACAGGCGCCAAGTTTGGCGATTCCACTAGCACTCGCTTCCATCACAGAAGTCACTTTAGCCATAAATGATAAATGATGAGAGTTGCTCGTTTGCCAGGAAATGGACCGATGCAAGAGAAACTTCTACGCAACAAAGAGTGTAATGTCGACCTCTGCCGCTTCACATTTGACAAAAGAAAGAAAAGAATGCTGACTGCTTGACATTCAGCTGCTTGGTAATGGATCGCCGCTGCATGTGAGAGTCACGTATCCCTCTTGTTGTCTCTGGTTTCAGTGAATAAGGCCCGGACGTCCTGCGATTGGACACGCTGGTACGAGGATAATTGACTTGTTTGATCACCGCCGCATGCGCCATTTAATCCAGGACAACAAACAACAACGGCTTCAGCTTACCGTATCAGACGGTCCAGACCACCGACTGGCGTGATAAGAACAGCAATCTCTTTGGGTTAGCCAACGCCGGATACTGTTTGTCCGCTTCTGTCCTTTCCGTTTCAACATAGCCGCATTATGTTCAATGCCTGCTTCCGTTGGCCCTGAGTCTGCATGTCTTAGGGGTTCAAAGCCACAAAAGACCCTAGTCTCTGATAAGCCGAGGACATAACCCTTGTTGCCTCATCCGTGCCATTGATGAGTGAAGATTGTCCGCCAGAGGATAAACAAAGTAACCGCTTTTGGTACTCACGATAGCTACAAGTTACTGTAGCCAAGCTGAACCTTATCCTCAAGCCGAGTTGTACAAGATCTCTCGGTGAGAAGTGTACTCATGGTTGTTCAGCAGGGGCTTAGGGGCATCTGCAAGCTTGACGTCAACGGCTGTTGCACGAGCGGGACATCGTCCACTTGCCGCTTCGGGTTTGACGCTGACTCCCCCGCAAATGGACGGCCAGTGGGTCGTTGTACGCTCTGTAACCCCGGCAGGACAGGGCAGGTTCCAGTTTGTTGCAGCGGCTGGTAAGACATGACCTTGGGATGCTTTGCCTGAGCCGGCTTGAGACACGTTTGCGGTGTTTAACTTATGCTTTGCTTGTGAAGTTTGAGTGTACAAACACAATACTACAGGCCACGAGAGGCGTTAGACACGAGTCACAACAGTTCCTCGTGTCACTGTATCACGGCGTCACCAACAAGCTCTCATCCAAGCTCTATCCAATTGTATCACATCTCACAGCGCTGTTTCCCTTGAATCCCCTCTTTTTCTGGGCATGTCCTCTCCACTCCCCCAACTTTACTGTGGCCCCACTTAGTTTCTCCCCGGCTTATTGAACCTCAGGTTGTCCCTGCCTCATCGTGTGTCGTCGTTTGCTGCTTCCGTTCCATCCATGTTGTTTTAAGGTCCTGTTTCCCCTCATGTAGCCTGTTTGTTTCTCTCTTCATTCCCAGTCTCACATTATCCTTTGGTTCAACTCATGCTCGCATCCGTTCAATTATTATCGTGTTAGTCGCTGTCTCACAAGATACGACGTCTTCAGTTTCAACCACACATCGTATGCCTTGTGAGCTCTTGTAGCAACACCAGGATCGTCACTGGGTTGATTGCCCTTAATAGTTTTCCGGTGAGTTGAGTATTATGCATGCCCGCAAGCAGCATACAAACTTGTCTTACTCGGCAATATACTAACCTTGAGACAGCTCATTAGAACAACATCTCAAACTCACGATGCTGGCCGCTACGCGTATCTGGACGAGTGAGAAGCTCCTCCAGAGCCGACCTCATACCTCGAACGTGTTCAACTCTACTGTGTCATTACAATCAAGATGCAACCACAAGAGTTTCTCTTCTGCGTTTGAGTCGCCCACGCTTTCCGAACATAGAAGCACACGTGGTTCTACACAACCTGCCTCGTTGACTCGCAATATCTCCTGGGAGCATCGATCAAGAGTTGCATTCAGGAAAGCTATGAAGGGCTTTAACCAGCCTGATTCAAGCAAGTTCATTGGTGCCGAACAAGTCAAGGCATGGCTGGACGACCTTACTGGTGCTCGACCTGGGGCAGGCATCGAGGATGTGGAAAGAAGTGCTATCGACCACTTACTGCGCGGTGATGACAAAGCCAATATTCGGAAAGCCACATTAACCAATGGTCACCACTTCGCTGGCCTACGTCCAACCGAGAAGACAGCCGGCGGTGTATATACCGAGGACACCACTATCGACCCGATTACAAATCGGCGAGTTCCCAAAGCTCCCAAAACGGCGCCGAAGCCACGATATGACGATCTGGAAGCCTATAAGCCGATCGACTTTGTCAAAGCGACCGCGGAAGCTGACTCTGCCCCTAAGTACGACGACCTGGACAAGTACAAGCCCACTAAGGATGTGAAGAAACCAGAACCTGCCGAACCCAAGTATGATGATCTCGACAAGTACAAACCGGAGATCGACGAGTCATCTACAAAAGAGCAGAATGTCGAATATGACGACCTCGATAAATATGGTCCTGTCAAGCACAATGAACCCGATGGTCAACAAAAGCCGACTGCTGAAGAAGATTCCAAGGAATACAACGACCTTGACAAGTACTCTTCAGCCAATATTGACAGCCCCCTTGCTCAGCGTCAATTGACAGCGGAAGAAAAGTCCAAGGCCTACCAAGATTTGGACCAGTACAAGCCAATCTACTGGAACGAACCCAATGGTCTCAAAGCGCAGTCTGCTGAAGAATTGTCTAAAGACTATGATGACCTCAACAAGTACAAGGCGGTTTACTGGAACGAGCCAGATGGTCTCCGTGAGCGCACAGCAGAAGAGGTTTCCAAAGATTACAAGGATGTTGGCTCATATGGACCGGTCCAATGGAGCGAGCCTGACGGTCTACGTCGTTTGACTCCCGAGGAAGAGTCTAAGAATTACGACGATTTGGACAATTACAAGAACCCCTTCGAGGCTAGTAAGTCGGCTCTCAAGGCTCATGCGAAGGCTCAGCTCGACACTACCATGCGAGGTAAGCCTCTGGCCTCCAAGGTCGATGCTCCTGTCGAGGACTTTGCAAGCAAGTACGACGATCTCCACCTATATGGACCTGTTCGCTGGAACGAACCGGATGGTCTCCGAAAGCTCACCCCCGAAGAGCTGTCAAAGAACTATGACGACCTTCACCTGTATGGTGCTGTTAGATGGAACGAGCCTAACGGCCTAAGGCGTCCCACCGCCGAGGAAAAGTCCAAGAGCTACAAGGATACAGAGCTCTATGCAATTCGGGACTTATCTCCCCCAATCTCACGCGTTCATCCCGAGGAGGCTTCCAAGGCGTACAAGGATCTCCCAGGATACCGTCACTATTCGAATGCTGACACTGCTCCCCGCATCCACCCCGAGGAAGCCTCGAAACAATACGCTGATTTGAATGCTTATGCTTCTTTTGAGAACGATGCGCACCAGGTTAAGGAAGCCAAGCAGTACAAGGATCTGCATAAGTATCCCTCTGCTGGTTATGAAGAGACCACCCAACAGCATGTCCATTCTGAAGAGTTGACCAAGGCCTACACGGATCTTGGCAGCTACAGACCAACCGAGTTTGTTTCACAGGCTCAGGCATACCCCGTTCATCCCGAGGAAGCCTCCAAGGTCTACCAGGATTTGCACAAGTATACTGCAGTTCGCCGCAATGAACCAAATGGTAATATCTCAATCCCTCTGGATGAAGTCGCCCGCGGCCTCCGAGAGTTCGATTCCAAGGCAGGTTCCCAATCATCTCCGGACCCAAAATCAAATGCTTATTGTGGAACCCCGAACAGGTCTATTCCAGACTCTATGGAAACTAACGTCCGAATGGACGATTCTGGAAGTGCCGAGACGATCCGAGCTGCTGTCCTACGTAGAGCTCACCAAAACAGCCAACGGATCAAGAGCCAAGAGACCAGCGATCTCAAAGCTGGGCGTACGTTGACCGGCAATTATGCTCGGGACTTTCCAGAGGAGTTTGCGGCATCGTGGAGCAAGAGTAACTCATTATCCAAATCAACACTGTTGCCGTACAACAATGGATCATCTGGGGAACAGATCACAACTGTCATCGAGGACAATGAGGAGCTTGCATCTATGGACGAGAGCTTCCCAATGGAGGGAACGCGACTTCAACCCGCATTGGATCGGTCGGGCAATGCGCACAAGGACTCTTATTCATACAAACCCCAAGGGTTACAAACCAGTTATTCGGAAGAGTGTGATAGCTCAACTCTGCCTGTTTGGGAGAAACACTACGAGCCTAAGTCCGAATCACCAAAGACTGAGGTGCCCAACGCTTCTTCATACACGATACTTGCTTTCGATCCGGCTTCCAAGATGATGAACGTGGCGAAAACTAAGTCAAACGTTGACGACAACAAACCCCCAATGTCCCTTCCTGCGGCGCTTCTCCTTTTAGCAGAACCAGCCAAGTTCTTCCCATTCGTTACATCGCTCGAGAAACGAGGCTATGAGGTGGTTTCAGGCGGTCGCCAGATGCTCGTTTTCCGTGAAGTACGACCACAGTCGGAGGAAACTAGATTTGATCCCCTTGATGAGCTGTTCCGTCGCGGCGGAGTCTTTCCTACCACAGATGGAGAGACGTTCCAGAGCTCCAGACGTCGAAGAAACTCTGACGAACGCAAAAAGAAGATGGGATTCGGCCGCAAGGTTCTGGTGGGAACTGTTGGGATCGCAGGAGGAGCCTTTGCAACGACCACGTTGGTGGAGTATTTGAGTACCAAGGGGATAAGACCGGAGACTAAGCAGACTCGACAGGTCTAGTTCCCCGACAATAGTATTATTTATGTGCAGCTTCAAGGACTGTTGTTTCCGGGGTTTTAACTCAAGCAAAGCGTCTACGGGTTATTCATTTTTTGTTTTGGAGTTGGGCAGCGAATATGGGGACGAGATTGCTATCACCCTCAAGCGATTGTTTCTTTTGTGGGTTAATGAGGGATGCGCAAGTACGCATGCATAACATGGAGCTCTGGAGTCAAGATACCTCGGCATGTCATTTTCACATTATATAGTTACGAATACAAACACGTTCGTTTATTGCTTGCTTCATTCTTGAGCTGTCATTGCAGCTTTAGTAGTACAATTTTCACCTTGGTCCCATTACCGTCCCTTGCCATTATGTCCTCCATTTGAATGTAAATCAATCAAGCACCCTCACGTTCTGTGAATCCAGGCCCAGTATTGACCTGCCCAATCTTGTCCATGTGCATCTCATGCTTTCGCTCCTCAGGACTCCAGCTCTGTCGACGCTGAAATGAAGGTGTCCAGCTATTCGTGTGGCGCATGCAACGGTCGGCACCAGCTTGAGCGGATGGGGAAGTTGGAACTGCAGATTCCGACGTCAGCTTGGAAAGAATGACGAGTTTGTGCTGTGTACCTTCGGATGGGGGAGAAGTTTGGGTTGTGGTGGATATGGCTGTTGGTTGACGATCCATGGTGAAGTTTAGTTTTGAACAGATATTTTTTGATGATGATAGTGTTTGGTGGTGATGAGTCTCTTTATAGGTTGTTTATTGTAGTTGGTATGAAGAGTGTTGCTACAGTTTAAGTCAATGTCTTGGACTAAAACCCCTCCTTCCTCAAGAGACCAAGCTCATATTTATAAACAAAAGCTCATCATGCACAACCACCAAACAAATGCTCATGCACATGCTCATCATCGTAACCCCTCTTCAGCTTCACATGCATGGTTAGAGGTGGCGAAAAAGTGGCCTGATGGAGGGAGCGGAATTGTTTAATTGAGGTGACGTTGAGGCGTGATAATTTCGGGGTTTTTAGAGTTTGGGGATCGAGTATTGGGATGTTGATCGTGTGCTTTGTTGATGAGGTGTGAGTGATTATGTACAGACGGATGGATGGGTGCATTTATGAGGGAGTAGACTGGTTTGATGTAACAAGGTGGTTACAATGCATTCTGTGTATGGGTAAAAGAGTACTCAAGATGCAGTCCCCGGTGTATTTGAAGAACTGACCGCTGGAAGCATAAGAGACGAAATTAGAAGGTCACCTTATGCTCTTTAGGCTATAATTTTTAGACTACTTACTTTTATACCCCAAGATTTAGGAGTTGGCAGTACATCTTACTACTCACATAAACTAATAGACTACGGAGCACTACACAGCCAGTTGACACTCTGGGGTACCCCAATCTTCAGGTCGAGTGCCTCTCGTTCGTTGGTGGAATCATCATCACCTTACATCGAATCTAGACTCCAATTCGACCTCATGATCCATCAGATCATCCACCAACGACATCAACATCTTCACATGAATGGTCCAGACATCATGATCAACAGGGGTAATAGTAATAGTTTCCATTGGGCTTATCCTCTTCTTACAATGTCATACAGCCATCAAAACAAACAAACGCTAACCCTTGCCTTTTCTGATAGGCTCCAAAACATTTATCTATATGCCTCATTTCCACACAAAGCATACTTCTTCCCTTTTGATGGTCCAACCCTTTCCCTTTCAACTCCATCATGCAGAAACACTTTATACGCCCATGCTATGCAGTTTGATAGAGCACACTGTGAATCAAGAAAAATAACAACAAACAATTGGGGGAAGAGATAAAAATGGGGGTATACAGCAAAAAAAAGACATCCACCACCGGATAATAGAAAAGAACAATAAACTTTATCATCGAGAGCTGCGTAAACTCATTTCTCGGAGTGAAAATTCGTATGTACGTAAAGGGCGAGTGAATTAAGGAGTCTTGGGTCGCTTCCAGTAGTATTGCTGTTACGTTGTTAGCTTGAAGATCAGTGTGAAGTGAAGTGAGGGTACAAACCTTGTGCTGCTTGCGACAAGCTCGGAGGCTGGGCTTGCGGAGACCATCAGTAACGGCGAGACGCCGCTGCTGGTCGTCGTCGTGTTCAGGGACGTAGTAGTACTCGCTCTCGAGAGGCTTGCCAGCTGCGTCCTTGCCCTGGCGCTTGATGATGCCGATGCAGGGTGTGCTCTCAATGACATCGCGGAGATCATCTCTAGTTATATCTCGCTTCTCCTCGACAGGGAGATGGGCCATGATGGTAGACAGAGGTGTCGAAGACAGACGCGAGAAAGCAAGCTGGTTGACGACATGGTTGGCAACGGCAGGGTTGGTCTCAAAAGACATCTTGGTCTCGGGGGTAGGAGTAGGAGAAGAGATGCGAGGGGGTGAAGAGAGGGGAGACTCTGTCCTGGCGTGCTGCTTTCGTGGAGATTGGGGAGCAGTGGGGATCTGGCGAGGAGCAAATAGATCAGAAGCGACGTCGCTGTGAAGAGCACGCTTGGCACCCTTAAAGAGCTTGGGAGACTTTGTAGTTATCGAAGCCAACCGGCAAGAAATGTCAGCGCCAAAGGGACCGAAAGAGTGGATGATGGGATCGTTCTCCTCATCGGGGTCTTCTTCTTCAACTTCATCGCTGACTTCACTGCTGAAGCTGGCAGTCACGTCGGTGCACATGCTGACATTGATGCTGGAGGAATCGAGCTTGTCCGACAGTCCATGATCGGCATCATCTTCGTAGATTTCAATGTCACGCTGCCCGGGTAGCAGGGCCTGGAGACGACGAGAGCTGGAAAGACTGGCAGGTGTGGGGCTCTCGGGTGATGCAATACGAGAAGCTCGGCGGGGAGGAGAAGACTGGAAAATAGCCTGAGCACGAGATTGGCAGGGAGGAGAATCCCAAGTGGCGTCAGAAATATGGTCATGAACCTTCTTGGGCCATTGAACAAGAACACGCGAGTTCTGGACGTCAATTATAATCTCGGAACCCTCGGTCTCGCTGGTGAAACTATCGCCCTTGAAAAGCTCCCAAGTACGGCCCTGGCTGTGCAGCTTGAGACCGTTCCAGCCATTGCAGATAATCTCAATCTTGCTGGGCTCGAGACTGGCGGCAGCAACGTAGCGAGCCTTGACGTGGACACGTGAAACAAGACGGTCGGCGGAAATCTGATAGTGGGAAGAGTTGGAGGATCGACCCATGACAAGAGTCTCGCCGTTTTCCGACAGTTCAACGGCGGGGACGGCAGCAAGCGGGGCTCGCTCGGAAGCGGATGTGGCCCGTTGAGGCGGGGAACTCGACAAGATACCCGTGCTCGACGTCGGAACGGGAGTAGGATACTTGAGGTGGGCACGAGAACGGCCTGTTCCGGAGCCAGATCCAAGATTCTGTCGCTTCACAGGTCGTGGGAGGTTTGGTGGTGAGGACGATAGCGGCTCAAAGGGCGGGAGAAGAGTCGGAGCGGAACGCTTAGATCCAGCGAGCGAGCAGGACCTCATAGTTGGAAGAGTAGGCGAGGCAGAAATGCCTTTTCGTGGTGATGAACCGAGAGAGTCCATATTGTGATTCGTATCGTAAAGGTCGATGATCTCAAGGTCGAGGTCGAATATTGGACTAGATCGCGTCCAAAAGGGTCAAGGCGAGAGACCCAACACGCGTAAGGATCTGTATTGGAATACCGGTTCCAATTAGAGATAAGGAGTCAATCTTGGTGTTTTCCTCCTTTCTTTTTCCTTCCTTATTCCTTTGACGAAAAGTCTTGATGAAAGATCGAGTCTTGGTGGAACAATGGATGACGACACGAAAGGCGGTCTAGTTAATCAGTAGTAGACTCGTTGCAATAGGGTATAGAACGAGCTTGATGATGAGGTCGTAGATAGAGAGAACAGGTGGTAAGCAACTTTTCGAGGAAAAGATGTTTTTGTAGGAGAGTCGGATCAAAGAAGTGAGCAAGAGTCGTGTGTGTGCGTGGTGTGCCTTTTTGGTGGTGGGAGGTATTTAAGGTGACCCGCTCCACTCACGCGGGAACGCGGCCAAGCGTAAAGGTGTACTTTGCGCGCATTCGTGATTTTTGGCGTTGGCGTTTTTGTGCAGTGCTTCGGTGGGATGGTGCTATAAATTAGGGGACCGAGCATAACTTATAGCGGAGATGTGCAGAATACTATAGGGGTACTTTACGCGATTCAGGCCCGCGTTGAGTGGGTGGGCTATCGATAAGGATGACGTCCACTAGACGCGCTGAGTTATAGTGGCTGCGTTGGAGGCTTGAGCTTTATGAACTGGGAATATCCTTGGCATTACAGGAGAATGTCTCAAATTTATTCCGTTGCTATTTTTTTCTTCTCTCTGAGACATTGTGTTTTAATTGCGTTCCTTTGATACCAATTAATCATGTTAATCATGTTAATCATGATATTTTATCATCTTGTTGAGTGAGAGTGGACCAAATTGTTGCAAGCCAACCTCTCGTTTTAACCTCCAATTTCTTCCAAACACGTCTCCACCAACAGATTCCCAGGTTCTTTGTTGAAACTGCTCTAGGTTCGCGTCTCGTCTCTTCCAGACCAATCTTTAGTCGGAAAATGGCCTAGCATTATTTCTATTCGTTCCTGTGCAAGTAATATTAAACTCACAAGCTAGGAGTACTCCATTTAGTTTAGGGCTTTGCATGGAGTATCCCGTCTTTACGTGGAGCGAGTTGACATCAGTCTCGCTTCATGGGATAATCGCGATTCTGATATGGAACCGATTTAGTAACATTGGAATCGATTTTATAAATATCAAAAGTCAATGACTTAACCGGCACTCTTTGACCACATTGGTCGAGGTTGCTGTAGTAATCACCGTAGCGATTGACTTCTGGAATGTCTTTGTTCGCCCTTCGATCGATGCGGTCCCGCGCCACTCGTCATCCCATTTTGTCACGGTAACTACGTGTGCAATTTATCGCGTTCCTTTCAAGCTTCGAGACTCATTAAACGTGCCCCACGTAAGATCTAGGCACGGACAGTGATAAGGTGTGAAATTGTTACATGGGTGGATGAGATACCCTACAACACCACCAATTGACAATACATTTGCACAGTTACGGTCCAATTCGTAGACAGTATAAAATGCCATTGTTAATTCAGCTAAAATGTCAAATTTTTATAAATGTCTCATGATTTTTCGCTGCTAAAAACGAGCTTGTAGGTCGACTGGCCATTTCATGCAAAAGTTCACGATAGCTTCATTGCAAAACCGAATCAGATGTCCACTCAAACGACCCCATTACAAGTCAATCAACCAACAATCTTGTTTGATCTATACGAATCTCTATGGAACGGTTCGGTGGCGTGCATATCTCACACTGGCTCGAGCTGAATCTTTTCACGTTGGGTATCGTCTTTCGCTTGCATGTGGCCAGCTTGTGGTTCCTGTAAATGCGACAATACTCGGTAGATTGCTTGAGGTCAATGAGGTTATTGCAATCCCTGCAGCGGATGCTTGTAATGTAGTGGGTACACATTGCTGTTGAGTAGTTAGTATGAAGAAGACTGTCTGATAGAGTGCTGGTTTGTTGTTGGCTCGTTTGTATCCTGAAGCAACTGGATAGACAGTGTAGTATTTATACGTAGAATTTAGATGTTCTTGAATTACGACATCACTGCTGATGTAAAGGAGCTGCCACGAAGCATCTAGATAGGCACCATTTCATGTCAAAAAGCCTCATGGTATCAGAAACGTTGGCCGCTAGAAGCACAAGAGACGAAACCAGTAGGCCAGCTTATGCTATTTAGGCCACAATTCTTAGGCTATTTATTTTTGTACTCTAAGATTTAGAAGGCCAACCTCTACTCTCTAGCTGAGTCAAATGGCATCATGTCACTCTCCAATAGCTCTGAACAAGAGGAGTATATTGTTCATTTCGATAGCTGATAGTAGCCATCTTCCATCCGATACATGCCGTGAGATCCTCACTGACACTCTAATTCTCTGATAGACTCTCCTTGCAATCCTCCATGCTTCCCCAGCTTACCTTCACCCGAGCATCACTGAGACCCATTGATCTCGGGATCTTCCTCAAAACAAAAGACATACTCCTTCTTCTTGAAGCGATGCCCTTCGAAAGTAATCCGCGTACCATCATTCGACCCAGCCCGAGCCCGCTCCATATACGCATTCACTTTTGTTCTCGCATGAGCAAGCCAAATCGCAGTATTGTACGCATCAACAAAGCTGACCTCATGGTTGTTGTAATCTTCCACAAGCTCCTCTTTGACAATAGACATGGCGAGACCGCGCTTCTTCTTGATCCAGCTTCGTCGAACTGGCTTGCCGTCGGCATCACACCACAGAAAACTATGGTTGTCGCCGCCGATGCGTTTGACCATGATGTAGGCTTTGGCGTTTTTCTTGCGGTTGTTGGAGAGGACGCCGCCGTCTTCGACGGGAAGGTCTTGGGCGATGGTGCCGACTTCGATAGAAGCCTCGGCGAAAGTATGAGTTTGGAGGGTGGGCATGACGATGGGGTCTCCAAAATTCCAGTCTTGCATGACTACGTCGTAGAGCTCTACGAGGCCTTCAAGGCCCATAGTCCGGAGGGACTCGCGATCTTGAGTGATCTCGGTAGGGGCTGACATTGTGCTAGGTGGTGTGAGTAATTGTATCGTGACGAACCGACTGACTTACTGACTCTATGTTCAGTATCTAGGTCTGTGCCCTGTAGATAAAAAGGTTGAAGGGTAATTCTGATGCAGTTTGAGCGGTGCCTTATCCATATGCCTGGTCAAAGGCGGCCACTCAACAATCCAAACAATCAGGTCCACCGACTGGATCTCGATAGAACAATGCATATCAAACAACGACAATAGCAAGCCAATTTATGCTGCCTAGACAAGGGACTTAGGCCATTTTGTTATTATACCCTAACGCTTAGAGTTGCCATCTCGAACAATCGATCCAACACATACATGGCTTTGCCAGCTCGTAGCCTTTTCGAATGCTGTTTTCTTTGGCGGTCTCTAAGAATACGTGATTTTTTGTGAAGACATGCCGGTTTGGCGAATATGTGAGAAACCTGCTGCAGATTACAAAAAGTCTGATAATGCGACATCGACCCCGTCACAGTGACAGAAGAGGCGCATGAACATCAGACACAGGCACATTGGATACAGACACACTGTCACTAATGGAAGACACAACATAATGGTAATCGTAATTGTACTAATTAATATCTACAGGTAATAGGTATAACATAACTCATGCATCGTAAAGGCACACTTAAGCCTCAACAAGGGTAACCTTGGTCTCCTCCTTCAAGTCCCTGCTGCTGAATCCAACACGAATGGTAAACTCGCCCTCAGGAATGACCCACTGCTGAGAAACAATATCCCAGTAGCTGAGATCACGGCGCATCAGCTCAAAGCTGACATTCTTGCTCTCACCAGCCTCAAGGAAGACCTTCTCGAAACCACGGAGCTGCTTAGGAGGAGTACCCTCGGGAGCGCTCTCGGGGAAGGTGACGTAGAGCTGAGGAACGGTAGCACCGTCAACCTTGCCGCTGTTGGTGACAGAGACAGTAACGTTGTAGATGGTCTCCCAGAGGGCGGGGTTACCACCGGGCTGGACGGGAAGGGCCTCGGGCATGGCGGTGATGTCGTCGGCGAGAGGCTCAGCGGAGATGTCGGAGAGCTCAAAGGTGGAGTAAGACAGACCGAAACCGAACTCGTAGCGGACAGAGATGTTCTGGGCGTCAAAGTAGCGGTAGTCAATCTCGAGCTTCTCATCGAACCAAGACTGCCAGTCGTCGGTACCGGTGGTGTTGATAGCAGTGGTGGGAGGAGCGTTGTAGTCGGTGCCGTTGAAAGCAATGGTGTAGGGAAGACGACCGGAGGGGTTGACATCACCGTATAGAAGGTCGACAAGAGAGTTGCCAGACTCCTGGCCGGGGAAGTGGGCAGCGAGGATGGCGGTAACGTTGGGATGGTCGGCCCAGGGGAGAGTGTTGATACCGGAAGAGTGAGTGACAACGATGGTGTTGTTGCAAGACTTGGCGACAGACCTGACAACATCGTCACCGTCCCAGTCGACGCTGAGGTGTCCACGGTCACCACCCTCCTCAGCCCAGGTCTTGAGGAAGACAAGGCAGGCATCAGGAACAGCGGGGATCCAAAGGTCAGTGACGTTGGATGTAGCAATGAGAGTGTTGTTCAACCACTGCTGGACAAGAGTACCGTCCTGCTTAGCACGAGCGTTGATGGCAGTAAGAGGAGAGACGAGGTAAGTAAGACGACCAGTTCCGGAGCCACCACCAGCGACAAGAGTACCAAACTCGTAGTCCTTCTGGTTGAGGAAACCCTCAGTGATATCGCCAGCATCATTACCAAAGACAGCAATGGACTTGGGCTTCTTGAGGGGAAGGGCGTTCTTCTCGTTCTTGAGGAGGACGGTGGTCTCGGCGCCGTGCTTGCGGATCAGATCACCGTGGTCACCACGGACGTCACGGCTACGCTCGCCGGTAAAGTTGAACTCCTTGAGCCAGGTGCTTCGGGGAGAGAAGGTGTTGAGGTCACCACTGGACTCGTCGACAGAGGGGAACTCCTCGCTGTCCTGGCCGAGCCAGAAGTAAGGAGCCATGATACGCATGATCATGTCATCGACACGGGCCTCCTCAAGGGTGCCGTTGGTGACGGCGTTGGTCAAGTTACCGCCGAAGAAAGATCCGGCCTTCCAGTTCATGCCGTAGGCACCGATACCACCGGGCATGTCCATGTCAAGACCGCTGTTGATGGCAGCAACACCGGCGTGGGTAGCACCCCAATCGGACATGACATAACCCTGGAAACCAAGCTCGTCGCGGAGGATACCGTTGAGGATCTTGGAGTTTTGGCAGCCGTATGAGCCGTTGAGACGTTGGTAAGAGCACATGAAGCTGGCAGCCTTGGCATGGGCGGCGTTGGCAAAGGGCCAGAGGTAAAGCTCGTGCATGGTTCGGTCGTCCATGTTGGCGGAGAGGGCCTCCTCGTCGACCTCACCGACATAGCCCTCCTTCTTGAAAGTGGGGTTTCGCATAACCTCCTGCTCGTTGCCGATAAAGTGTTTGGCAGTAGCCTGAACACCGGCGTCCTGATGACCGTTGATGGTCTGCTCCATGGCGACACCAGTCAGGTAGGGGTCGGGGGAGAAACCCTCCCAGTTACGACCAGAGTAGGCCGAGCGTCCAAGAGGACCAGCGACAGGTCCAAGAAGGACGTGAGCACCCTTGGCCTTGAACTCTTGACCCATTGCGAGACCGCGCTGGTAGAGAAGCTCCTTGTCCCAAGAGGAAGCGGCGGAGACACCGGCGGGGAAGACGCTGGCGTAGTCGGCGACTCGGATAGCGAGAGGGCCGTCATGGAGACAGAGACCGTTGAAACCAAGACGAGGAATGGCGATAATGTTTCCAACGCAGGGACCGGGAGTTCCAGTGACCATGTCGGCCTTTTCTTCGAGAGTCAGCTTGGAGACGAACTCCTTGGCTTTGGCGAAGCCCTCTTCCCATCCCTTGCCAGTAGCATAGGCTGTGATGTTAGCAACGAATTGACGACTTGGAGGAATCGAACATACTGGAAGGGAACTCGGGTGAGTGGCCGTATTGTCCTAGGATGGTGGTATTCTTGGGTTGAACCCAGCTGAAGGCCTCTTCGTCGCGACCATTACCACCAAAGTCTTGAGCATTCACACTCGCGGCCAACAGGCCGGAGACCAGCACGGATCGAAGGCTAGCCATTGTGGAAGAAGGAGGAGAAGAGATGAATTGGCGTGTGATGATGATCTCTTTTTTGATGGCAGGCTATCGATTGAGTTTATATATCCCAGTGTCCGGTAATAGCAGGTCCATCCCTCGGCGCATGCCCGCGCTGGAAAATTGTCACCCCAACAAGTGCGTCATTGTGAAAAGTTTAGCGTCGTCGACGAGCGAGTTCTTTGACAAGAGGAGCTGTGCGGGGATGGTGATGCGGAGTAGAGTTGAATGTCTTGTGATGGCATTCCCAGTTTACGAGGTTGTACCCTTGTCTTCTGGATCCCATCGGGGAACTTTACTCTGGAGTTTCTGCCGTGGCTTAACCGACACTACTTCGTGTCAGTCCAATAGGAACAGATGAGGACCAGAAAGTAGATCAGTTTGGGTATGATGGTGTCATTGTTTCTGAAAGAAGATGGTTCCCAGCTTTGTCTGCTAACTCGAGTTGGTCTGGTGATGTCTGTAGCCTGGGGAAGAACAACTCCACGAGGGAGCCACAAGTTTAATAATACGGCCGTCAATACCACCGAGAATCCGAAGATTAACCAGACATTAAAAATGAATTTTTTCTTTTTCTCTTCTGTTTTCGTCGTAGTAAGAGGTCTAAAGTGCCGGGGTTTTAGTGTATCGTTGACAAGTCCGGGGGAAGAGCCGGGGTTCACTTTTCTTCTCCGCAATTGAATTCGGCCCTGTTGTGGACTCCGATGCGGAGTATTCTCAACGGACGACGACAAACTCACCCGATATACAGAAAAAATACTTGAAAAACAGTGGTTTTGTCACTTAATCCTTGGTTCCTCCGTTGTTACTTGTTGTCCGTTTTCTCCCCCGCGAAATCACCTTACGGTAATCGGACAGCACGGCCATTCCCATCGACCCAGTGCGGTGGCCTGGTGACGCCCTAGGTTACAGCGACAGAGACATTACTTTTGGGGCTGCTTAGACCGCTTGGGCCAGGATTTGTCACTTTGGGCGTGATTGTCAGGCCTTCCATGAGCACGTGAGGTTTTGGTTTTTTGTTTACGTTAACATGGCGAGACTGCCGTTAAAATCTGCCGTCTTTTCTAATGTATGTGAATGTCTCCCATCCTTTACGATGGGTATTCAGACCTTTAATACTCGATGTGCATGATTTTTGTCCTTTAACGATTCATATGGGCTGCACCAAGAAATTCGGATATACGCTTGCATCCGAGAAAAATTCAATCCATGAGTCTCGTGGCTGTTGAATGCAACGGGTTGTGGCATGCTTGACTCGAGTGGATATTAGTTCTCCGCATTTATTGACTCGGAAATTAACGGTTCCATGGATGAACGTTGGGATGGCTGGTTAGGCTTCCATTGAGATGCAGAGTTTGCTTTCAGTCTTGTGATCTAGATGAATGTTGGTGCATTGATGAGGCCATTACACCGTACACAGGTCATCTCCAATGGATGTATTTGATCAATGCAATTTGACATTAATTCAGAAGCAATGCCATGACGTATTTAGTGTGGCTTGAATAGAGTGCTTACACTAAACGTTCAGTGTAAACTTAGTGCGAACCATCGGCTTAACAGATGATTGTTCACTGGGCACGTATAACACAGATACTCAATTGAGTGAGGGAAAAATAATGACTTGTATTTAAAAGAACGACATGGTATCCAACCAGAATAAGATAGTAAAACAACAGAAAAATCCTCAAAAACAATTTCCTCCAGGGTAAACTTTTCCTTCTATGACGTCCGAACCAAATCTCGGCATGGTTTCCAAGAACTCACTAGCCTCAAGTTCCCGGCTCGGCGAACTATGGACTAGATAGGCCTAAGCCCAAACAGGAAAACCCAAATTTCTGGGGTTAGGCTGACTTATGCCGTGCTAAGACCCTTGCCAGAAGGATTGCACTTGTTGCATTCAAGGCAGGAAACATACTTGGAGTTGTCCTGTACATCCTGTTGAATACATTTCTCTGAGCGACAGAGAGAAATGGTAAAGGTGTAGGTGACCAAGCGGCGACAGATCTCGCAGATCATGGCGGTGGTTGTTAGTTGACACATTTTGACGAGTTTGGTGAGTGATTTGGGTAAAACTGACTGTTTGTGTTTCTGTTGTCAAAAGATGATGGTGAGGAATTTGACATTTCTTGATGGAATTACGACTATTTATGGGACGAAAGGGATTATTTGATACAACAAAGACATGCAGAGAACAAAAATGTGGTGTGAAGAAAAGAGTTGTCCGCGGTTGAACAAATGGATTGTTCACAGTTAGGTTCTCTGTCCTCTGTTCATGCTTGGCTACCAGAACAAGGTCTAAAGAGTCATCGCAGCAAAAATTTAGATTCATGAAAGAACTTAATCTGAACAAATAATAACATGTTTAAGTACATTTCTCTATGCCGTCATCGGATCATCATGGTTTCAACACAAATGAGGACAAGCACAGTATCAATGGTCGATAATGGTGGAATGTATTCATGTAACTATTCCATGCATCCGTAAGAGAAACGCTTTAAAGTATCACCGCTTTGCTTGTACCAGCCATTAATACCCCAAAGACGCCCAAGTAGTTCCCAAAGACACTCAATTAGTTCCCTCGGGCTGGCGATTCTCGGCTCCAGTGTCAGCAACAGGTCGCTTCTGCTTCAATATCTTGTCACGTTCCCCGTTCTTCCGCAGACAGTCCACACATTCGTCTGGACTGCGGTAGACATCTTGAAAGTCCACTCTGTCGATAGTTTTGCATGTTGTCTCATTGTTTTACCGCAGTTTCTGCCGCAGTTGCTGCAGGCCAAATTGATATCCACGACTGTGCACATGGTTGAAAGCGTTGAAAATATTGTTTGTTATGTATGCAGGCGTTTAATGCAAAGCGGGATAGCGATATAAGCGGTGGGAAGTCAGGCGGAATAAACACGGGCTGGGGAGCCTTTTATAATTGTGACCTGAGGAATAATCACTTATCTCATCAGTTGAAACTTACGAGCTGAATGTGTCCAGCAGGACGTTGGAATCAGATATGGCTATGACTATGAATACCATAAGTTGCTCCTGATGCAGTACTAGATCAGACGTTGGCGCACGATTGGATCTGAAAACTCATTCACTTTCATTGTTATTGTATACACAGATAGTTAAAATTCAAGGACAAATGGTATCTCAATTGATGATCTACATACTTTGAGTCGAGTCCCGACCCTCCATCTCCCTTGCTCTGAGACGATGCTAAAGACTTGCTTCAGCTACATCTCAGAACCCCATGTCCAACGACAGTAACCAAGATGTATTCTCGAAAGAATCATCTTATCATGTCCAGAACTCATCCTTTACTCCCCACTGCAAGTCCAACATCGTGAAGGGCAGGCATGTTGGGATTCAGAAACGTTGACAACCTGACAGTCGCCGGTTCCTGCAAGATCACATGGCTCCCAAGTAAAGTAGGAGTCGAGCACTCGGCCACAACCCTGGCAGATTGTCTGGAAATAGGTGTAGGTACACATACTGAATAGCTGCGGTAGTGTAGACTTTTGTGGTGTCGTGGAATTTGCTGTGGTCTGAAAGCTTTGGTGGTGTTTTCAGATGTCAAATTGCTGAGCAAGTTGTTGGTTGAGAATCAGATTCAGGTTTAGGGCAGAGCATGGGTATTTAAAGAAAACTAGAGGAGGGTTAAGCATGCTTTGTAAATATTGTTCGATAGTGTTCAAATGGATATCTTGGTGTAGATAATTGGACAATAGATAGGTGCACAGAGATAAGAGTTGTCTGCGCTTGAACAAAAGGTGAGAAATACAAGAATAGCGTTTCTGTTCATACTTGAATACCATAATAATATCCAAAACATCTCAGCTCGTCGGCCGACCATGTACGGTCGAACATACAGAAATTGACCTGGAATAGCCAGCACTATAGTCAAGTGATTCTCAACATTGTAAACGGATTATCATGGCCAGTGGTAGCAGAAACGACGGCGTCTTCGCTTTAGAGTACGAAAATGAATAATCTAAAACATGGCAAGGCGACCTGCTAATTTTGTCCCTTATGCCCAAGCCAACTGTTCTGATACCCTGAGGATGGCATGGCATGGAAGAATATTTGATTCAATGCCGAACCTCTGCTACTAAATCGCAAGAAGACCCAACCTCGAACCATTATAAACCGATATCACGACGGATTGCAATAGCCGCATTCTGACTTGTAGATTGGTTCTTCCCATTCCCATACGGGCAACAGCCCCTGACAAGCCTCCCCATAAAAGACGGGCAAGCAGGTGATGGTGAGTGTTATTGTCCAATCCTCTCTATGGCAACATTTGCAGACGCAGGTGACTTCTACAGGCGGGCACATGATGAATTGTGCTTGGGAGTGCTGTTTCTTGTGTCGGTAAGTGTTTGTTCAGAGCGTGATAGCGAGTATGGTTTGGTGATGTGATAGAAAGACCTTGAACAACAGCTTTTATGATTCTGGCCAAGAGAACAATCGATGCCTGGTCTCCTTATCACTTGAAGGTTGGAAGAATGTCTGAATGTGTGTCGCAGGACTTGAGAATCGGACAGTTACCATCGTGAACACCATCACTTACCCTTCATTGCGGCCTTGAATAACACACGATTGGGGGTATATGTTTTCACTCTTAATCGCATTGTCAATTAGAAATTTAAAATCTCATTAATTAAAATAGTATCTCAATTGATGCTACATACTCTGGAGTCAGTCTAGGCCCAACCCTTCATCTTCCTTGCTCTGAGACGATGCCAAAGACTAGCTTAAGCTACCTCTCAGAACCCCAACAGTCAAAGACAATAATCAAGTTACCTCCTCAAAAGAGAAAATACTTGATCACGTCCAGAACTTACTACTTAGCGGCGCCTGGAACAGTTGCCGTATCGTGACACATCGGCCGAAATTGTTTGTGTCTGGGTACGCTTCAGGCAGCGTCGTCCAGCCTGCGACTCACGGCATGAAATGATCATCATTATTTTACCGAGAACTCTGCCGCAACCACAGCAGGTCAGGCTGATGTCTACTACAGTACAAATGATGAGAATCGGTGTGCTGCTTACTAGAAATAGGTGTTTCGAAACAGGATACCGAATTTACTTTGTCGTGAAGTGTCGAATTGCTTTGCAATCGTTGCTGGTTTGGAATCGGATACAAATTGAGCGCAGACTGTTTATACACAAATATTGAAGATTCGGGAGTGCTGAGTATTCTTTGTGGTTCTGTCCGATGGTGTTGTTCGAATGGGAGCGTAGTATAGTCAGTTGAAATTGACATATGAATGGGCAAAATGTAGTGAGAAGTACGAATAGACACGCTTTTCAAGTCCTATACTGTAAATACACTGTAGAATAACATGTTCATGTCCAACAATAATCTGACAAGACTGAACAAGCAGCTCCCCATTGTCTGGCATCCGTCGCTCGGAGCCAAGCCAACCCAGAGTAGTTGCCCGAATTTCTCATCCAATGGTCCATACCCCAGATAACTCAGATGAAACACTCAGTTTCCCTTACGCTTAGCCTTGGGCCCCTTCTTGGACCTTTTGTTGGACTTCGTATCCTCGGGCTCTTTCCTGAAATCTTCTCCGGATCCTTTTTTGTCTTCCTCTTCGGACTCTTCCTTGGACTCTTGCTTTGACTCGTTGTTGGTATTATCCTCGGGATCCTCTTTGGTTTCTTGCTTGGCATCATCTTCAAGTTCGTTCTTGGCGTCCTCCTTGGCCTCGTCCGTAGGTTCTTTAATCTTCATCAATTCGGGACGACGTGTTAGCCAGCGAGACAGTATCCAATTGAGTTCAGCGTTACGCCTAAGATCATTAGCATCCAATCTTACTAGGAATAAAAAGAAGAAAACCTACTCCTCCTGCGCTGGATTGGTGGCACCAGTCAAGTATGTCTTTCTGGTCTTTTGAAGACTCGAATCACGAATGTAGTGGTCTTGCTCCTTCTTGTTCATGAGCGAATAGGAGCGTCGCACATCGTGTTCCGCAAGGGGAGGAACATCGGGTTTATCGACGAACGGAAGTGGGTTGGCTGGGAATGAGGAGCAGCGAGTGCAGAGGGCAGGCTCGCATTTGATAACATCGATCTGTTCGAGCCGGCCGCAGCATTTTCCTCTGCCCTTCCACTGGCAATCGATTTCTCTGGGGGTGCTGATGAACATGAAGTTGGAGCAGCGGCTGCAGGCGTATTTCTTTGTTCGTCGTTCGCACATGATTGCGTGTGAAAGCGATGCTTGACTGAAGTGTGATTGTTGATGAGGATATCTTTTGTGGCTGAAGAAATCAGATTATTTGTTATTGGGTTACCCAAAAGTACAGTTGAATTGTGTTGGGTGGAAGTTCGCTACGTTTGTTTTGCAGAATGGCCGTTTGACACTGGCACTGAAAACAGCAAGTGCGATCCTGCCAACACTGCCAACCACCAGATTTAGAAGGACAGACTGGTGCGTTATCGTATTTATAATTTAATATTTACGGCTGCGTTTCCATCAAATGTTACAAGGCCGAGAAGGCCAGGTTGAAGGAATTTCAGTTATTTCGGGAGCCATGGTGGATCATTCAAACCCGTCACAATATTCTTCATCGTTCTAGAGATCTTGGAAGTATTTAAGACCACAAGACAAACGTTCTTAATTGCGTTTCTTTTGCTCTGTCGCAGCGAGGGACATACTTCAATGCACAAAATAGATCAGGATTCACCGAGATCAACGACTTGTATTGTCCAACAGTTTCAAATATAAGCCCTTAATTTTTGCCTTTGTCACTCGATATCCACAGAAGCTGTGCCTGTTTACCCTTGAAAATGTTCCAAAAGCCATCCCGTGAATTCACTTCCACCTCACATGTCTTGCCCCGATGATGCTTTTTGAGACCAAACCAACACCGACCACACGCCACTCTGTGTTTCATGTTGCCCGTTGTCGTAAGACAGAAATGGATATAAATACTGCCATCATTTTTGTTCATCGGGCCAGGGGCGCAGGTGATTTCGTAAACAGGCGGTAGGGTCGAATTCAGATGCCGTCAAGGAGTGCAAGTGGCTGCGGCTTGAGACCACGGGATCTCGTACAACTCATGGTCGTCGGGATCCTAGTAGGTAGCAGAAAGGTTAGCCTCCTAAGCCTTAGGGTAGAGAAATAAGTACTCCAAGACGCATAGTCTAAAGAGCGTAGTAAACTGACTTACCGATTTTGTCTGAGGGTGTGTTAAAGCAACGTCGCAAGCGCCCGAGAAAGCCCCGTCGCTCTAGTGACTTCGGAGGATTCTGTATCTGATCCGGCGAATTCGCGAAGCCCTGGTACGCTGCAGTGGCAACCGAATACTCATTGTAATATGACGGAGTAAGAGTTCCTGAGTGAAGGCACCGGAGTGACGGGGCCTTCAGAGGATCTTCTGTATTTGATCCCCTGCGAATCCGCAAAGTCATGCGGCCTTGTAGTGGCCATTTAGCAAGGCGGCCTGAATGCGGCGGCGACCGGCTGTCTGACGGAGCAAGAGGCCCAATTGGAGGGCATGCCCGCCGCGGCTTGCGTATGTCAACCAGATCTCAGATCTAGCGTCCTGCATTGCGTCGGCGGCCTTCAACTGTTTGAAGTAACTTCTCCAATGCTTGGCTATCAGCCTGCTCAGTTATGTCCGGCAGCACTTCTGGACGGCCTATCACCCCGGCCTCGACATATTGACACTTTTCAATACAGTTTAGGACTGACCTTTCCGGAAGCCACGGCCGCGGTTGTAGGAGAGACCAACCGTGTGCAAACCAGGAATACCGAAATCCAATCTCGGTGTAGGAGGATAAGGGATCCTCGACATGTCGAAAGTAGTTTTCCCATTCCTTTGCGTCAAAGCTAAAGGCCTCCAGGCGAGGTAGGTGTTTGCGGATCCTGTCAAATAAAGTATCCCACCATAAAGAACTAACATACCAACCGGGCTCATCATCATCTGGCGTGGGTGTGTAGTCGATGGGAAATCGATGCTGATGATCGGGATCATGGGTGTCGTCTTGGACTCTCACCCAGCCATCGAGATTGACCCTCCAGAACACAAACTTGGGTTGTTGTACGAGACAATGCGTAGCGATAGTGCATTGATGAAGGTTTAGGTTTCTGAGAGACTTATGACTCAGCACCCAATCGAAATGCCACTTATGCAGGTTTTCAAGACCCTGCAAAGTTAGAGTATCCAACCTTGGGAACACAACATCCATGCCGTAGAACGCTCCAGGGATCGCAGCCCAGTTCTTTCCAGCGAGTGTCAATTCGACAAGATTTGGCACCAAGTCCAGGATACCGTATTCTAGAGATCTAGGAAATAACTTGATTTCTTCTCTGTACATTCACTGAATCTTAGTAGTCTGAGTAAAGCTACTTTCACCTTCAGAGAGGATCTTGATGTGCAGACGCTCAATATCCCGGAGGGGGTCTGTAGCAACAGAGTCCAGTATGGGCACGTTCTGTAAGTTTTCCAGAACCAGTTCGCGAACTGTGCTCAAGTTGGGACGTTTGTTTCGCTCTTGTATGGCCCTCGCGAGGGCTTTAAGGGAATGGAGCCGCGTATTTGTCGGCTCCTCGACAGGCGTTATGTCCAGCGAAACGTCCATCAGGTTCATTTGATGGTTTCGCTCAATCTCGCCTTCGGGACCAATGCAGGCTGCTGTAAAGCGCACCTCTATTGCATCAAGCTTGGGGAGATGGCGGATCCTATTTATGGCAGACTCAAACTCGGGCCATCTTCCTTCTCTCTAAGATGCAGGCCATCTGAAGACTTCGCATGCCCCATGGTTAATCGAAGATGGATCCTCGGCCAGGATTGCGGTTTCGATGGCAATACGCCGGACATCGGGTCTTAGACGGTCGGAGTCCACGAGTTTATGCCAGGCCCTGAACTTGTCGTTCATGGTGATACCGCTATGCCGAAGTACCAAGGTCCCGAGGAGACACTTGGTAGCGATGGCATTCCACCGGTGGCACACAAGGCGGACCTGTGTAGAATCGTGATGCCAATCATCACGGCAGTGGTGCCTTTGGCTTGGAGTCAGGAGATGACTGAATATCGCACTCAGAATCTCGTCGGGGAGGTAAGGAATCATTTTGGTAGATGATGAAGAGAGTAAAGAGGGTGAATAGGAGATGAGCACTGAATAAAAGTAGCAGGCAGATGCTTAACAGAGGTCCCAACATAAGCGGGGCAGTGAGTGCGATCAAGTGTAGGCATCAAGTGAGAAATCAACCCTTGGGATTTAGTTGGCACTGGCCAAAGGTGTCAGGTTTAAACACTACAGTTTACAAGTATTATACCAGAGATTTACCGACATGAACAGTCGTCTTTAACCACAAACGTAGTCATTACATTTTACAACTTGTGGAGAATTTGGAGCCATAGTGAAAGACACAGTCACGATAAACCTATAGCACCCCTTTGTTAAAAGCAAAAACGATTATCATAGTGGCAATTGAGACCTATATCTCAGCACTCTTGAGACGCACAAAACACAGTACTTGTTTTTTATGTATATAAACTGCAACTTCCCAGTAAAACAGTCCCGGATTCAGTATATCACTGATAGCCACCCTGATAAGTGTACGGGTAATGAATACCAAAAGGATCCAGAGGAGGTGGAGGAGGCTCTAAACAATCAGCACAGATTTCTTTGTTATTCCATATTGTGTGCGAGTTAGATATCCCGCAAGAAAATGGCTTTCGGGTACGGGTCTGTTTAGAATTGTTGCATGGGCAATCGTGGCTTTCATAACCCATTCGTTGATTGCAAACAGCGCACATATACTGTATCAAGATACGATAGCACATTTTGATTCTTGTGGAGGCAAGTCGTGTAGTTTGAGAGCTGAGAGTTTATATTTGGGGTTTAAATAGCATTGGAATGGAATTCTGATTCAATAGCATTATTAGAGTGTGTATCGTGGACTGGCGATGGACCGGAATCAATGTCACTCGGCTGCACCAAGTCACAGTATAAGGAGAGGTATACAATAAGATGATACACCTTATCTAACAGGTGGTTTCTATACTATGGAATCAATAAAGGATGAAGTAGATGAAGATGTACGGGATGGTTTGAGAGTGTCAAATACATTGATCGTTCTGATGTACATAACTGACACCAGATTACAATATACCTCAATCATAAACGGCAGTGAATCCCTCCAAGTAAACCTTTATCTAATCATCTTCGGAAAACAATCTCAATGACTTCCGGAGGCGCACATTCCTCACACATATCACTCTGATTCCATATTATCTGTGGATACTCCTTGCCGCAAGACGCAAATCTTCGATGTCGTGTTCTTCTCGCTCTGTTACATTTCAGACCATGTTTCTCGAAATCGTATCGGCGACTGCAGACGCTGCACATGTAGTGGATGGTAATGTCGTGGCACATATTGAATTCGTGGGTTTGTCGATGCGTATTTTCGATGTGGGTATCTTGGAGGATGGTAAGAGTTTAGTTGAGAAATGAAACGAATGAGGGGAACGAGAGAATTTGATTAAAACAAACGACACATATCCAGGCACGTTGGAATGTTGATCGTCATCATCTGTGTCTGTTGATTGGAAATTCCATTGTCGTCTTTGATTCAGGAACAGCCGAGTTGCATGATGAGGTCGCACAAGAAAGTGTAGTGACAAACATGCCGAGCGTTGGTGATGGGGAGGCCGACCTCAAACCAACAAAATTCCATCCCATTCCATAACCTTCCAACAGGTAATCCAGTCCTTTAACTCAGGTTGGCCTTGTTCCACTTCCTTTCGTCTGGCGGACACTGCAGACAATACTCCGAAACACTGGCGACCTCACCATCATCCGTGTAGCCACACGAGCCCATCGATTTTGATTCAGTTCGCTGGGCCTCCTCACAAATCTCCCACTCGTAACCTTTTCTGATGCAGCATCTGCAGTAGATGCAGTAAAAATGTGTGTATTGTTCAGTGCACATTTCGTTTGCGATGAGATGTTTGTTTTAGTTGCGATACGTGACAGAAAGGCAAGATAAAAAGAGGCGTAATTAAGAATGCCTTACTTATGGAGAGATTTATGCTGAAGATAAATGAGGCTGTGGTTGTTGGATATTCGCTAGGCATCCATCTGTGCAAGGGTCTGTTCAGCTAATCAGCATCATCTTTCAACGCAGTCTCACCAAAGATCCAAAAGAGGCCTCCCCAATAATATTTATGCACGTGGCAAGAAATGCGTCTGATCAACTGCACCATCGGGCTATCGTCTGATGATAGACAAGTTGAGTAATTGAAGTGTTTCAGAATTACTACTGATCGTTGTACCAGAATGTCGTTCAAAGTCAAACATTTGATAGGCCAGAGCGGACGATCCAGGTACCTGTTGAAAGATGATGCCTTTTGATTGGTTCGGATTAGTCCTTGTCACGGGACTTGTACAATTGCTTCTTACTACAAATGCCTTCCCTCTCTAGCCCTCCTTGAGCTGGTTCTTGCCCAGATACACTATATCTTCGAGCTATGGGCTTTGTGAGTAACAGGGTCGCGTTTATGTCGTGTTGTGAGTTAAGCCGTGCATTACTCTTCCGTCCTCTGCCGTTCTTGTTCTGTGTACTCATGCGAAATGACCATTTGATCGTGATTTGTCATTGCGGGAGGCAGGCACTACGCAGCTGCCAATATCAAACGTGATCTGGATACTAGACTAATTCGGCAGGCACCTCCCACGCTCTAGAATCATTCCCACCACATCGATCAACTAAAATCTTCAACTCAACAAAACACAAACCGAGTCAGCGGATGATCTTGCAACTCACCCTCGACAAAGCGAGCAAGATCATCCGCTGGCATCAAAACCGAAAGTATATCAGCTACTGCCTGACGACCGACATTTCATCACCTAGTCTAGTGGGTTGAAGCACCACAAGATGGTGTCAGAACAGCCTTGAATGTTACACTGCCAACATCGCAACCCGCCTCGGCCGGCACTTTCACCGCATCGGATACTTGGTACTGAGTATTGCGACATTTAGGGATTAGCATTATCGAGTTTAACGCCATCGCGCCATCTTTGCTCCTAAAAGCACTCGAACTTATCGAAAAGAATGGATGCTCATGTGGGGCTTCGAGCCTTTGAGGTGCACACAAGTGTACGGAAAAGAGAAGGATGTGTGGCAACACACCTCACCGAGGATGTTTGACTTCAGATACAAACGTACGCTTACACGCGGCGGAATGGAAACGTATATGGCAAGACAGATTGGCATGGTCGAATTCAACGCCATCGCACCATCATTGCTCCTAAAAGCACTCGAATTGATCAAAATTAGTGGAAGCTCGCGAGCTCGTGGAGGTATACAAGGCATATTGGATCAACTTGCAACGACCAAGAATGCCTGAGTCAGCTGCTGTTAACCAATTCAACAAGAAGGTCGACCACCAGCAAAGCCAGCAGCAAGGTCAACAACAAGAAGCCCATATTGAAGGCTAAGACAGGGTCCAGTCTGATTCCGATATGAGATCTGTTTATCTGGATTTAGTAAATAATGTTACCGAGAGAAACAGATGTAAGACCTTCCTATTCAAGGACTTCGCCTAGTCATGCTAACGTGGATCTTTCTTGGCATCGAGACGATGGTACAAAGCAATGCAGCCTATTGCGTGATTACACCGATCTTTTCCTGACAAAGTAGGTTATCAAGTCAAACTCCATATTTCATGCAACATACTTATCACTTCCACCGATTATTATTCCCATTCGTCTTTCGGAGATAATAATGGTCTCCGGCAAAGGCGGGGTCAATCGCGTCTGCAACTTATAAACCATCAATCAACCACGGTCAAAATGGAAGACCACAAACCACAAAAGTCCAAGATGAGTGAAGTAGCACACTCCAACGTTGTCGTCATCGGCGGAGGCATAGTCGGTGCCTCCATCGCCTGGCACTTGTCATCCGAAACCAATGTTACCGTCATAGCTGAAGACATCGGTGGTGTGGCAACACCCAACTCATTCGCCTGGCTCAACGCCGCATCGACAGACAAAAAGTTCTACTATGATTTTCGTCTTCGCTCCATGAAGCGATGGAGAGAAATCGAGCAAGCTCTAGACTCGCTCCCAATTCAATGGGGAGGCACGACTACATGGGATAAATCACCCGAGGAACTCGAAGCTGAAAAGGTTAATGCTTCAGCTTGGGGTTACGATGTTATTCGTGTTGACAAGACGGAGATCTCTGAGATTGAACCTTATATCGAAGAGACTATTCTGCCGGAATGGGGTCTTGCGTATGCACAGGAGGGAGCTCTTGAAGCAGAGATAGCGGCTCGTCAGATGATTTCTCAAGTCGAAGAAAGAGGAGGAAAAGTCATCGAAACAAAAGCAAAGGGTTTCACCAAGACTGATGGTCGTGTCAGCGGTGTTGTGTTGACGTCTGGAGAGACTCTTGCTGCTGACCATGTCGTCGTGGCTGCTGGTCTGGGAAGTGTTGCATTGCTCGCGACAGAGAACATCAAATTACCACTCGACAGCTCAGAAGGTCTTTTGGTAAATACAAAACCAACATCCAAAAGACTTATCAACGGCGTTATAAATGCTCCAGAACTTCACGTCCGTCAAACAGTCGAAGGTGCCCTTCGTTTTGGATCTAGCTACGCGGGTGGTGATCTGGGCGACGACGCCGAAACACAAGCCCTTGAACTCTTTGCCAAACTCCAAAAGTCAGTTGTCGGCGGAGAAGAACTTGAGTATAGTCACTATACCATTGGGCAACGAGTTTTACCAGAGGATGGTCTACCTATTCTTGGAGAGACTGGGTTGGAGGGGTTAAGTGTTGCTGTTATGCACTCTGGGGTTACTAATGGTGCTCTTGTTGGTGAGCTTTTGAGTAAGCTGATTTCGACGGGAGAGAATGATCCTATTTTGGAAAACTTTGGACTTGACCGATTTCAGTGAAGGGATGGATTAATCTTTGTATAGCCCGTGCAAGAATTTATGTATAGTTGACTTTCAAGTCGAAGAGAAGGCAAATTTCTTTTAAGAGCATCACTCAACTGCCACCAAGCTGGCATCGTCAACATAAAAGCTCAAACGCTCACATGTACCCCTGACAGCAACACTGGCACCAGCATCCAAGCGAGCCTGACTCCACGAGCACGTCACCGATGCCAGTACCCATTCATTAAGCGGTCCTCCAAACAGTGCATTGTTAAAATATCCCGCACCCGAGTCACACGACACAAATTGGCTAAAACAACTGGATGCAAGCGTCGTTTTAACATAGACAGAAAACGTATACGGTTTGTCCGCCTCAATCAAGGAAGCATCAAGGACTTGTCGGAAGCCAATATCTGCGGGACCTCCAGGAGCGGCGCTGATGTATCCAGATTGGCTACCTTCGTGGGCTTCCGCAGTCGAAAGGACAGGGTTTCCGGAATCTCTGGATCGTACCCAAGGCGTGATGGTGTTATCTTCGAAGCCAGCGTTACGAAGCACGTTGGATGGCTGCTGGGGGACATCTGATGTCGTAGTAGAAGGCTCGGTGGATGTTGTAGAGGCCGTGGTGATGACAATCTCGGAAGTAGTGACTGGTTGAGTTGTAGGCAAAGGCCCTTCAGTAGTAGTGACTACAGCAGATGTTGCTGAAGAAGGTTTGCAAGGTGATGCCAAGGCTGAGGAGCACAGAGCTAACAGGTGTATGAATCTCATGATGTAGACGGTGCCGCGAACAAGTGGTTGAAAGAATGAAGAACTGTAAGAGTGCAAGTGACGTAGAATGGTTGGAAATAAGAAAGGCCAGAGAGAAAGACTTTAAATAAGTTGAAGCTATAATCAGAACCTAGAATAGGCCTAGCCTGACAGAATATTGGCTTGGCCGTTGGAACTATTGACTGTAGCGTTGAAAACGGCGAATAGTGTCGCTCTATCTTTGGATTAGTGGAGAATACGGAAATTGCAACTGGATATTAATCAGTTCTAGACTTGTGCATATCGCAAGGGGGTAATTCAGGATTGTGATACTACCAAGACTTCCAAGCCAGCTTAAAAGCCTGACCGGTCGCATCAATAGCCTCACGCTTCCAATTTGAATTATCCCTTCTTCCCATATAGTCAACCAGACCCCTCTCCCACCCAGGTTCTCCCCTGGCGTTCACCCGTTCCACATCAATGGGATCCCTGTGGTCAAACCCTTCGTCGTCCTGTTCCTCCTCCGCAATAGGATCAAATTCGACGACGTATATCTCACGTGTCAGGCCTTCACGACCGCTGCAGTCAGGATTTGCGTCGGCATATATAAAGAACCAGTTGCCGTATGAGAAGTCTTCGTTGTAGACATGGTCTGGTACAACTAATCCAGGAAGTTGGCCTTTCTCAATGTAATCTCGGTCAAAAGGCGAATATTCGAATATGGGCGGTCTGTTTGGTTGTATTTTGCCGTTTTTTTCTTCGTAAAGCTCGATGGCGTTTTTGACCTTGGTAATCTGATCCCAGATGGTGCCCCGAGACTTGATCTCCTCAACGTAGTGCGCATGACACTCCTCTGCCGTGGCACCGGGAAGGAAGAAGAACTCATATCGACACCAGGAGGTTAAACCGTAGCCTTCTTCATTCTCTAGTCTCTCGAAAAATGCACAGCCATCAAAGTCGGATGGTTTATGAGGGTGGACTATGTAGAACACCCAGCAAGGAAGAGGGGGCAAGGGACAATTGGGAGATAAGCTTGCCCATGACATCAAAGCTTGATTGCCATTATGATCAGTGAAAATCCGATTGTTGTATGTGCATACGTGTTTAGGTGGCAGGTAATTTGCTTTTTGACCGTTGGGATATCTCTCCTCAACTGTTAGGGGCCGCGTCTTTGTTCGAACCATTGTAGCAGTAACAATAATGAAAGCAATCTGAAAGGTTATTGATGAAGTAGATATGATTCAAGAGCAGACTTAATAAACCTTTTAGTCGTTAGTGGTCAAAGACGGCAGAAATAGGCACCAGTGAAGCTTGATATCGCCAAGATATTAGACTAATTTAGCTTACATCTCTTTTTAAACTTGAATTATTAGTAAACTGGCATAATATAACAGGGTGATATGATATTTGTAAATTAATATAAAGTATATAGCCACCTGATCGTTTACAGTTGTTGAAAGCCATAGCAAAATCTCTTTTCTTGTTTTTAAAGGCAGCAGTTACAGAGATGAATCAAAGGATTGTGTTAGATATAGTAAATGTAGTTACAAATTCAGAGTACTCGGTCAAATTGTGCGTTCGGTAAAGAGTGACTGTAGGTAAAAAACCAGATCAACAAACACACATCAGATCCTCCGAGGACAATTTTCATTCTGTCGGCCTCGGGCTGGTTATGAAATCCCCCTCAACTCTGGGCTTAGCATTGCCGGTCCAATCATTGCTAGCAGATGTTTTGTTTTCCCTCTAGTCATCATCTCAAACCGAGGGAGGCAGGCTTTCTATTAAGTCGATCTCGAACTGTTTGGAGTAGCTTCTTTAGCGCTTCGCAATCCGCCGGTTTAGTCAGCTCCAGCAAATTCTTTGGCTTCCCTGGTATATCGTCCTGTACATAGCCGCACGTGTCAATATGATGGTTTGTAGAATTCCACAGACTAACCCAACGATATAGGAACCCCACATACCGAATACCGTGACAGAGCTTTTGCCACAACCCTCTCCGACCAATACAATGATGGGAGAAAGCCAGATCTTGAGTAACGGATCAATCAAATTCTGATTGCCTAAGTAGCCAGCCACACGGTGAGTTGGCAAGGGGTTAGTGCAGTGCTAGTGCAAGTCTCGCCTTATTGAAACTGGGTTTCCACTAAGACATGGATGATCTGCTCCGTTTTCCCTTTCCTCTTCTCCCGTCTGGCATGCGGAATACAAGGCTAACTTACAATAGCCGAGACGTCATACTGTCTCACATCTTGAAGCAAGGGAATGGATTATGTTTGGATGTTTCTCAGCCCACCATCTATCAGTCCCCTTCCTTCTCCCCGGGTTGTCAGAAACATTGACTACTAGAAGGGATAAAATGAAATTAATAGGTCAGCTTATGCTTCTTAGACTATAGTTATTAGATTCTTGATTCTTCGAATACTAAGACTTGGGAGGCGAACCTTTCTGCTACCTGCTAGCTTCAATTAAATATAAAAATGAATGCAGATTTTGATATCCTCAACCCATACTCATACACAAATTATTACTCACACTGAACTCATGCCCTAGGATCGTTAACACAATAGGCCTCTCAAAAATCAAGTAATAACTCAAGAACGAGAAAGACTATTATAGTGTGCGCAAAATTGGTTTACTCGTTGATTAAAATATGAGATCGGCTTTAGACTATATAGCCTAAAAGTGTGCCGGTATTTGTCTAATCTGCTCCAAGTTCCTTATAACCTATCCCAACTAAGGATGCACCAGTGAAACTAAACGCGGAAAATTGTCCAACCAAGGCGGTCCCAGCTTCCAATTATTCAAATCACATGCAATAGCCTCAAATTCGGGACTAACGCAGACCTGGCCACCCTCCATGGTCATGAGAGAACACCCTGGCGGCCACTTCAGTTGCAGAGACTCAAGATACATCTTGACAGAATGCCGGGATTTGATGCGTGGATTCGTACAGAGAAAGTCGCGAAGGTCGGGCCAAGGGATGTAATCGATGCTCACGGGATGAGGATATGTATTTTGGACCTCGGTTGGGAGAAGCCACGGCGGCACATCCTTCAATGTCATAGGATCAGGATGTAAGCGCCACTATGAATCGTTAGTTGATGTCTGTCAGACGAAAGGAACACAAACCCTCATAAGTCGGTAGGCAAAGAAATAAATCCCAAACAAAGTCTCCACACTCGACATCTCAAAACCCTTGAGAAAAGACGTAAGAAAGCATGTGACAGCGTTGTCACCATACGAATGAAGCGTCATATTAGGTAACGAAGGGTTCTTCGGCAGGGATCGCGCATGCAGAGGATCCTGGGGAAACGCAGCATGGGTTTCGTACAGTATGGCGAAACTGCGGTACTCTAGACAATCGGCTTGCGAGTGATGCTGCACTCCACATCGACAATCGACGTGTGATGGGGCAGGGAATAAACTTGACATGACCTCGGCAGGTGGCATTGGCATGTCGTGGTCTGGACGAGGCGAGACTCTACCCGGACCGTTGGGTGCAGATCGCGCGGGGAAGTCCGGGGTGTCGTTGACGCGTGCGGTACTAGTGTCCATCTCATAGCCTTCACCTGAGGAATGTCCAGGAAAGTTAGTTTGTCTTTGAGGTCTTTGTTGTTGTTGCTGTTGTGAGGCCATCAAGTCGGCACCAATCTGAGGCAGTGTTCGTAGTTGCGCAGATACAGTATCAAGATTCCTTCTGATCTGCGCAATATCGGCTTCCATTCGCTCCATGCGTAACTTGTGCTCTTGTCGATTCTCTCTGTGTTTGACGCGGTCGGCTAGTCGCTTCTGGCTCATTTGGGCCTCTGTGCGAACCCGTCTCTTGGACGAACCGCTAGGTGGAGACGCCGACATAGTACCCTGCTATAACAGACTCAAAAAGGGAGGTAAAAGTGTGTCTGTCGATATGAATCCACTGTTCTGAACAAAAGCTTGGTTGAGTGAAAGTAGATGGAACGAGTGTGAAAAAAGGGGCGCGTCGACGTCGACCAGTTAAATAAAAAGCTGGGTCTCGTCAACCTGGTCATAAAATGATATTAAAAAGCCTCTCTAAACTTGGCAACACCCAAAAGAGAAGAGAGTCTCAATCGAGACTAAGCAAGATTAGGTTTCTGTATGGGTTGGTTGGTTTGTAACTGTCAGTCAGTTTTTGGCAAGTCGGAAAGAAAAAAAAGGGAATGAAAAAGGCGTTGGAATTTCTCTTTGGGTGTGTGAGTTTCTGCCGTCAGTCGAAACGCGGGGTAAAACACTCGCTCTATACCTTTTTTGCTCTAGTTTTGCAAGGATGAGGCTGGTTTCTGTTGGGAAAAGATATTTGTTGATTGTCGAGTACCAGGGTTGAGATCATGATTGGTCAGCGAATCAGGAACTTGATGTCTATTTAGACAAGAGGATAGATCAGACGAGATAGTCTTACTTTATTATTATATATCCGGTTTGAGAGTATGTATGCTGTGTATTAGCCGTCTTTAAAATTGTCAGAACTAACCCAACAAAGTAGGTGGAAGGATGATCTGCACCCTGATCTGCAATCGATAAGACCCTTATCGAGCTGACAACATAACAGTATAGGAATAATGAGCCAAAACATTAACGAGACTATCAACTCTGCTATTTTCTTCGCTATAAAACAGACGAGGTTTCAATATAACTTTAAATAGTAGTTTCATCTGATAGTTGAGACGAAACAGGTAAAATAATCGTCAGGTTCGTTTCAGAAGGAAACCCGTTTCAAGTTCTGCAACCACTATCACATTGCACTGAAATATCTAGGTGACATCTTGATGGCTGCCTCTTTGTCCCTTAAAAAGAAGGAAATAATATTGGTGACTTTGCATGTTTGGACAATTCAAAGGGCATTGATTCAAACTCCAAACAAAGAACCCTTCACCAGTCAAAGACGCTTCCAGTCACCTTCTCGGAAAACTCCCATAATTTCTCGGCTTCACTACTCGAAATAGCGAGTGGGTTGGCTTTATCGCTGATCTGGCAGTCTGAAAGATACGCTCCAAAATTCCCTTCTTCCTCGGCCACGCCCACAGCCAACTTTGGATCCAGAGCCGCGACAAGACCAGTAGAAGCTCCAGCCCCCAATGACTTCACACTGTAAAGCCCAGCTTCACCGAGTTTCTTCGCGGCGTCAATGGTATCCTGTGGGAAGTTTCTCGCGAGTTCCGTACCCCAGATGACACCTGGGTGGGCAGCAACTGACAGAATGCCGTATTTGTCGAAGAGCCGTTTGGTAGCACCGATACTGAAAAGAACGTTGGCGACTTTGCTGCGGTCGTAGCCATCCAATGGAAGATATTCAGCATCTTCAGCATTTTCGTAGCCCCAGAGTTTCATAACCTTATACACTGGCTGCTCTGCCTCAGGAAGGTCTTTGTTCTTTTTATCAAAGTTCATATCACTCCAGCGCATACGAGAGGTCATTGGCGAAGCAGAAGTAATGTTGACAATTCGGACTACTCCTTTTGGTTTGCCCTCTGCTGCCTTGATGAGCTTGGGCATGATGAGACCGGTGAGAAGCCAGTGTCCGATGTGGTTCGTGGCGAGGTGCATCTCTAGACCGTCTTGCGTCAGGGTACGTTCTTGAACACCCATGACAGCAGCACTATTGATAACAAGATCAATGGTCGGGACGTCGGACCATGATAGGACTTCTTCGGCTGCCTTTCGAATGGACGCTTGGCTGGAGAGGTCTACCTCTAGAAAGCGGTAATTGACGTTTGGAAATTCGGATTTGAGAGCATCGATGCTGTCTTGTGCCTTGAATGGGCTGCGGGTGGCTATGATGATAAGAGCTGGGTCTTGCGTAGACTTTGATCTGTTAGATGTGAAGCTGCTGTATAGACATTGACTTACAAATGCATGGGCGGTTGAGAAACCGATGCCGCCACGGTTAACACCGGTGATGAGAATAGTCTTCCCACGAATACCATCTGCAAAAGCTTTGGCGACATCGATATCCTCAGTGTGAGCTTCAAACTCAGAGTACGTAGTAGAAGGCATAATGAGAGAGTCTCTTCAAAGCAGTAGTAGAAGTGTGTTTCGATGAATGTGTCTTCAGTGCCTGGATTAACAGTATTTTGGAACCGGAGAACCTCTCTATTTATGTATGAATCTGATACTCCTGTCAATAGTGTCGTAGCCATGCATTTGTGTGTACGACATCCATGAACCAATAAGAGACTTGCTACCCGATTTGGAAACCCAGTCAAGCCAAGACTATGTTGTCCAATGGGAGACTTACTACTCAATTGGGTTAAAGATCTTACACTATACTGCTAGAGTTGATTGGTTGCATTATGATAGATGATAATATCATATCGGTAGGCAAGGAACTCTAACGGAATTAACAGCATGTCTCAAAATAGGATGATCCATCGGCCGTAACTCCGTCGTTTAACTCCATATCCAAACTCCGAACCTTATTCCACAGCGTTTGTCCCGATATATCATGGATAACGCTCATCCAGGGAAACTTGAGCAAGAAATTCCGTGCATCGTCCCACGTTACAACGCCAATTTCTTGAGCCTTCTGATGCAATCGTATCACCATCCACTCCAGATCCTCTTTCTCCGAGACAGAGATCCCTCCCAGAACCAACATCCAAAACATAAACTCATCCCCAAGTTCATCCGACGTTTCCAAAGCTTCTTTGATACAGGCCGCTATCAGTCCAGGCTTGGCAAGTCGATTTTGATGGTTATTCCAAAACATTGACACCATGAATACTAATAATCCAATATGATGAGCCGAATCGACGTCTTGTATAAGCCTAGATTCATTCAGTGTTCTGAATTGTAGGAGTCGGTAGCAGATGGATATCAAAATCTCTTGAAATTCGATCAGATCGAGAGGCTTTTTGTCGATGTGCTTGTTGAATAGGTTGCAAACTCCCATGAGATCAGAAAGGGCTTGTTTGAGGACAGCCTGATTCGTGAAGTGGCTTATTTTTACGTTCTGTAACGTGAAGCCTCGGAATGACAAAGAGTGTCGTATTTCTTGTATTCTATCGCGATGGAACAGCGGATAGTCGCCTTGTTGCAAAGTGAATAGAATATCAGTCCTTCCAATAGTCAGTGTCCGCACAATCACTTTCGGATAACTCACCCACCGACAGATCTTGGCCGCCACAGCACCATCTTCTATCTTCTCCAAACCCCCGCGGAGGTCAACAATCCTTTTCATACCCTTCACATGCGCCTCAGCTTCAACGTAGTGTCCTGCTACTTGCTCATGATTGATAAGCGCCATGACAATAGAAAGTGTGTGATCTGATAAAGCCTCGTTCGTTGCAAGTCGTCTCGATAGTTGGTCCAGAGTTTGCGATAGGCACGAAAGGGAATTCGAACAGCTGTAGCCTGCGCCAAGGTATGTTTCGTTGGAAGATTGTATCAGAGCCAGAGAGCAATCGTATGCTATCACGGTTAGTACACGGCCATAAACTTTGAGGGAGTAAATACCGGGTTTGCTGAGAAACATGATTTCTAGCCATCGTAGTTTGTATTGCTCAATATCAAATCCCAGCTGTGTCGGATAAATCAGGTTGATGGTAAGGTTAAAGACTAACGCATCAGTGACAGTAGAGTAAATGGCATGTACAACTCACAGTCATGGAGAGCTTTACTGGCAACCTTGGTCACCGGTACAGGAAACGGAAAAGTGAAAAATTGAGTGCCGATAGGTCGTGCTATTCTTTCCAGGGCGTGATATCGAGCAACTTGACCGACTTTGGACGGTCGGTGAAACGTTTTGCCTGCATTTTTACCTTTCATGACATGTTGGCGCATCAGCCTTTTCGAGGTCTTATCGGCGTGTAAGCCATCCACGAAAAAGAACGACTGCTCCATTGTGCGTAGTTGTAAGAGTCAGCTTAAATGATGTCAGCGTAAGCAATATTTGTCCCTTTGCCTAAACAAGTGCGCTTATTAATCGCACTTATACAAGTCTCCCCCATAGACTTTAATATTCAGATGATTGATGTCAATTATAATTTTAATTATATTCTTAATACTTGTCTTCTCATGTTTTTCATACTCTACAAACCAGGTTCGATCACAATTTCCATTCCAGATCTTGAAAGAATCAGTTGCAGTGCCCTTCTCGATGTCAATTTCACTGACATAAATGCCTGCAGCAACTTCCATATAAGCCTTCCCATCATTATCCCAAAAAAATGTCTGGATCGATTTCGTTGGCCGGGTTCTCAATACGAACAGGACCACTCCATGCAAAATCGTCATAGGAATCCTTGGTTGCGAAGAGAAGGACAATGGGTCCCCATCCATCAATCCAAGAGACGTAGGTGGTTATGAGATAGAATGTGCCCTGTCTATATCGGAGGGTAGAAGCCCAGGTGCCCTCATGCTCCAAGCCTCTCCTCGAAAGCTCAGGTAGTTGTTCTTCCTTGGTATAGAGCCACTCATAGAGCTATTGGTTTACATATTACTACTTGAAGATTGATACCCCGCTTTAGAAGTTTTGTATAGCCACAATCCATAATCTATTCGCTTGCTACTTATCTCCAATCTATAGATGCTATCTTCAACTTTCAATAATGGCATCGAAAACCCTGAATTCAGAGCCTCTGCTTCCCGATCCGGGGTCAAAGCCGTCAATATACAAACCACTTGCGGCCAGAGAGATTCGTCTCCTCGTAATCCAACCAGGTATCTTTCGTGAGCGACTCAGGTGCATCTTGAAGACGGTTTCGCTCGACGACGAACCATCACCTCGCTTTGAAGCACTATCGTATTGCTGGAATGATATTCGAGACACTGTTATAGTCGACGATGACACGATATCCGTTCCCTCAGATCTGGCATGGTTTCTTCGCCGATTGAGACGCAAGGCAAGTCCGCGCACAGTTTGGGCAGATTCTATCTGCATCAACCAAAGCGACAACGTCGAGAAAGGACATCAAGTCAACATGATGCGTGAGATATATCAACGTACTACCGAAGCTCAAGTTTATCTCTGCGAGACCCCAGGTTCGAATCGGCAGCAACAAGAAGATGAGATCCAAGATGACGAGTATCAACCATACCATTGGTATGGCGACAAAAGAGACGTCCATCTCTCTTCGTTGCTTGCGACATATGGCAACCAGCCATTGAGCTACATCATGATGGATATAGTAGCGATTGGGTTGTTGACATGCATTAGCGACCACTTCTGCTTGCTGGAGAAAGATATAACGGCTATCAGTGGATTTTGGGATTTTGCGATACACACTTTCTCATTCATGGTGGAGCAGCCGTGGTTCTCTAGGATCTGGACATTCCAAGAAGCGGTGCTTCCAAAGGCCGTGTCGGTGCACTTTGGAGTCTGCGTCTTTCCTTTAGACATGATGCTACTTGCAACACAACGAATCCTGCCTCTCGCAGGAACAAAGGCTCCTTCTTGCTGTGCGTCGACTTGGAAGCGACTACCGCCTTTGGGTGCACCTGCTATCGGTCACGTTGACGGACATTTGTGGGACCTCAATCTTCATCGCAACTCGGCACAAAAGAATGACCAGAGTCAGGTAATCAATCATGTTGATTTGGTTCTTTTATTGGAAGCCACCAGAAACAGGCGCTGCCAAGAACCTCGGGACCGAATATATGGACTGCTAGGGCTGGTTCATAACTGGCGCTTCGCCGAGCCAATCACGCCAGATTATTCTCTAAGTATTGAAGAATTGTACATGACAGCGACATGGAAAGCAATGACAGAAACGCAGACGACGGTGCTCCTTGCATACAACAAGCCAAACAAGAAATTGGTCTTGCCATCTTGGGTACCCGACTGGTCACAAACGTTAACGATGGCCGAGAAAGCGTCAATACCTCTGACGCTGTCTTCGAAAAGTTACCCCGGTCGCCAGGTCTTTGAGCTTCTGTCCAACAACCGACTGCGCCTAAGCATGGTATTTGTTGGTAATATTCAAAAGGTCCTGGATCTTTCCGATTTTGGTGTTGAGAAGACCACTGACACTCCTCTGTCCTGCGATGCCATCATTGGAGCAATACGTACTTGCCGGGGAATGGTTGGCTTGCCTACCGACCACGAGTCAACGGAAGAACCTGTCAGGTCTAGAGATAAGTTGTTCAGAGAGCAGATTTTGACAGACTGCTATTTCTATGAGACCAGAGGCTATCGGCAGTGGAAGAAGAACGAATGCTCAAAGCTGGACGAGCAGCCAACCGACACGTTTCATGGAGGCCACGCTCAATGTTTCTTCACCCTGGCAGACGGTCGTTTCAGCCTTGCCAATTTCGAGTGCTCTACGCAAGATATGGTTTTTGCAACAGTTGGTGGTCTGTCTGTTTATCTAGTCCTTCGACCGTGCAAATTAACTCAGACGTGGACCGATGTGGAAGAATGGGAATTGAGAGGGCCCTGTGAGCTCTGGGACTTTAAAGGAGACGCCAACAAACAGCTTCCCCAGGAAGATGTATGCTTTATCACGCTAGTATAACCCCAAGCCTCTAATAGTCAATAGTGTCTAGAGGTATGAAATGCTGTATAGACGACCGATGCAAAAGTACTTCAATCATGGAAAGAATTCTTGTAAACTTCGCGAGGCAATACCACGTTTGATAACATGTGATTAAAGTTTCTTCGACTTCCTACCGGCGTATAAGCCATCCACGAAAAAGAATATTTCCTCCATTGTGCGTAGTTATAAGAGTCAGCTTAAATAATGTCAGCGTAAGCATTTTCAGCATTTTCGCCTAACAGTTTACTTATTAATTGCATTTATATAGCTCACAGATTTCAGTATTCACATGATTGGTGTTAATTATAATGTTTATTGTATTCTCATTACTCATCTTCTCATGCTTTTCATACTCTACAAACCAGGTTCTCAACCCTGGAATAAGCAACTACTCGTCTCATAGTACATTAATTAATAACACCTGTTTAGACCTCAACAGCACCACAAGGACCACCGTGGGCGTGGGTGTGAGCGCTAGTGCGCTTGAAGATTTGAGCGTGGTCGGCGTCCCTTCGTCGGGTGAGGTGGTTCACCTGGGGAATACCCTTGAAGCTCTTGGCGTACTTGGCAACAGAGTTGGCAATGGCCTGGGTGTTGACGAGGAAAGCCTCCTTGTTCAGGTTGTCGATGGTGTCCCCAGCCTTGTGGTAGTTGATATCATAAGCAACACCAGCCTCGCCACCAAACTTCTTGGCCTCCTCCTCAGTCTTGAGCTGCTCAGCACCGGTGAAGAGACCACCAGAGGGAATACCGTTCTCGATGAAAGCGGCGTAATCGGAGCGACCGCTGAATTCGGAAGGAACGGAAGCGAGACGCTTGGTCTTGAAGAACTTCTCAAAGTCCTTCTCGATGGCGTCGGAACCGGCAGGGCCGGTCAGGTTGAAGGCATCACCATCACCGTCGTAGATACCGTAGACGTAGTTGGGGCTAGCAATCATGTCAAAGTTGAGGTAGGCACGGATCTTGGCGATCTCGGTGTCAGAGCTGTTGATGCTCTTCATGTAGGCGTAAGATCCGAGAAGACCAAACTCCTCAGCACTCCAGAAACCGAAGCGAACGGCGTTCTTGACACGGTACTTGGTAAGAGCCTTGGCAACGTTGAGGATACCAATGATACCAGAGCCATCGTCGCTGAGAGTTGTTAGTAAAAATCAAAATTTAAAGCGTGTAAACTTACTTGATACCGGGACCAGCAGCGACAGAGTCGGAGTGTCCTCCAACAACGAGAACGTTGTCGTGGTCACCCTCCTTGGTCTCAGCAATGACGTTGAAGGTGACACGGTTCTCGACGGTAGCGTCAACCTTGAGGTCAACGTTGACCTCGCCAGCCTTAACCTTGGCAAGGATAGCCTCACCATCCTCGAGGCTGATGCCGACAATGGGAGCGAAATCGCCGAAAGGCTCGCCGAGGGTACCGCTGAGCTCGCCAGGAACGTTGTTGTAGACGATGACGGCAGCAGCGCCAGCAGCCTTTCCGTTGGTGGACTTGGCAGAGAAAGCACACTCTCCTCGCTTAACAAGAACAACCTTGCCAGTGGACTCGGCGGGGAAATCGCTGGCCGCACATCCGAGGTTGGAGGCAACAACGAGAGCACCAGAAGACTCACCAGCGGGGGTGTAGGTCATGATGGCGGCAGTAATGTCATCACCGTCAGCCTTGAGGGAGGCGGTACCGGCAGAGTACAGCTCAGTGAAGGGCTGCTTCTTGACATTGTAGTAGTTGAGGGACTTGAGGGTGTTGTAGAGGTAGTCGACGGTGGCGTTGTGACCCTTGCCTCCAAAGACACGGGTATCGTCGTTGGCCTCTGCAATGTCCTGAAGCTTCTGAGCGCCAGCCATGAGACCCTTGAGGGTGATGTCCTTTTGGAGCTTGAGCTCATTGACGAGAGGCTTCTTGGTGGAAGCGGCGGCGAGGCCAGCCAAGGCAAGGACGGTAGAGTACTTCATGTTGACGAACGAGAGTGAGTAGAGGGATGAAGAAGAGGTGAGGAGGGAATGTTGATGGTGGAAGTGGATTGATATTTATAGGTGTCGATCATTGTGTCTCTGTTGGCAAGTGCATACCAAGGTCTGGGCAGGTAGGAAAGGCAGGCAAGACCAAGCAGGCTGTGCTTCTTGGTGATAGGATAAATGACTACACGGCACTTCTGCATAGCACAATAACGAATGCACCAATCATGCCCCAAACTCCGATTACGGCGCTCAACCCAAAAAGGAAGTTCCAGGGATTAATATGGCGATCGAATCTTGGCGTCTGGTCTTGTCCCCCGCAGGAACTGCCTCTTCCAGGAACTAGCGCCGACTCAAATCACACCTCGCCAGGGAACTTTTGACTCGCTCTGAACTATGTTGATAACGGGCAGGTCCATAGACTTGGCGGGTCTTTTTGATAGCACGCGATTGATTAGCTTATAAGTGTAATAATAAGCATCATTCAAGCTTATTCGTTCCCGCTGCCTTGCCACCGATAAATCGTTTATCTAGATACTGACTAGTCGGACCCATACATATCTTCTCACCGGTTCTTTTGTATTGTCTGGGGTAGAAACAAAAAGCTAGTCTTGTATCCCCCAGATCATAGATAAGAACCTTGTTCAATTGAGTTGTGCCACCCAAAACGTTATATCCGTTAGTTGCCCAATCTGTACTTGATTCCGTCCACGACCGACCATCTTATCCTACTACGAAACAACAACAACAGACTGGTCGATCGAGTGTTACATTGACTTTTGCCATCTGCAACTACTTCAATTCATAGCAATGATCTACTAGTTCGCTGCGGCAATATGTACTGTAACCTAGCCTTGTGAGGCGAATCGAACAGAGTGGGAACAAGTCCGGTCAAGATCTGAATCAAAGTCTCTCGTGAGATGTGTATGGCTGGTTGTACATGCTTGATTCCAAGAATCGGGACGGAATATACCCGGGAGTCGTTCCGTTTGTCGTTTCCATGCATGTCGACCTGCCAGACAAACATTAGCTTCCCCGCGTTACATCAAGGAATGTCGATGAATTGGGTTGTCTTGGAAAAAGCCAACGGCTCACCGTCTTGGTTTAATTAAACTCTAAGTTTGTTGTCGCTGAGTTTGGAAGATGAATGACAGTGGATGCACAACTTTATTTGCCTACGCCAAATCAACTACATATTTCATTGATTGGCCAAGACGTATAGAAACATGAGCAAGTAGATTGTGATGAAATCAATGAATAGATTGTAATGGAATCAGCAGATCGATTGTAATGACCCGTGTTTCTTATCGTTGTTTCCACCTGTTTGACAGGATATCAAAGATTCACCTGTCTTGATTGATTCCATGTCGATTGGTGCATGTATTTACCACTGGAAAACAAGCTTTTAGTGTTTGCAGAGCCTGGAAGGCCTGTGGATGCGAAGTCACAGCCGTCTAATTGGTTGAAACCACCTTCTGTCACGGACGGGATTCTTACCTAATCATCGAGCACCCAGTCTTATAAAATCCTCGACGTCTCATTGAGATTATCACCATTAACAACCTTCACACGCCCCGAGTAGGTGGCAGAAATGTTGGTCTCTTATATCGTATATTATATCGACACTCGAAGAGGTCTGGTCTAGGCACTGACTTCGTCTCTTGTTCTACAAGCGGCTAATCTTTCTCAGGTACTTCGACCCTGCACCTCTTTCGTTCACGTACTGATCACCAAGCTGATGGTTTCCCCCGTCTACTAACCGATCTCCTCGACGGTCCTCCTCACTCCCAATATATATATCTCTACTCGAGTTTCGACAGACAAATATCAGAGCGAGACAGACGGTAGAAGTACCAGGTGATAGTCTCGCATGGGCTGAACCTTTTCTGCGCCTTGCTACGAACGCGGCCCTCAACATCTGCTCGACGTTTACGGAGTCTGTACCAAGTCCGGCGATATACCCCTCGAGGAGCCAGAGATGAAGCGTAAGTTCTTGACTCTTTTCAAGCAACTTCTGCTTACCGAGGCCAACAGGAGCCCAACGGAGTTTGTTGGATATTATATATAAAAGGTATGTAATAGATGGATTCATATTTGATTTCATACCCTCAGTATTTGCCAATTGGGCTTGCGCTAGCGAAATTAATGGTACTGCAACTAATCATCTATAGCCGGCACAGGCAAGCCACCACAAGATACGCCTTTCACAGGCAAGCCGCTGCAGGACATGCCCTTCACTCGGGACCCCTTACTCCACCCCGGGCACCCAATTGGAAGGTCTTACCATTCTGCATCAGGATCAATTCGGCTGGGTGCTTGAAACAACTCCTACAAGCCTATACCTCCATCATTGCGTGATAGCTACCCATTATCTTGTTTTACAACCCGAGGTTTCAAGTGGGTTAGCCTTCAAGGCTGGAAGAGAGTAAAAGGCAACACCTATGATGTCAGACGTCCCATATCCTACACACCAGACCCAACGCACGCGAGCCTGGCTGATATGTCAACCCTTTGAGGTGCGATACCATATTTGACAGCATCCGCGAAAGGTTGCCTCTGTTACAGGACTTCAGCTTTGACGGAGAGGAACCCTACTTTCGACAGGACTAGCACCATGATGGCAGGATGAGATGGATGTCCGATATTTGGGGTTCGCGCAGGGTTGGTCTCGTCTGAACCATCCACACCGACGGACATTGGGGGCATGTCCAGGGTGGCATGCCAGGGATGCCAGAGTTGTTGGCGTTGGCCAGACATGCGGATACCGAAGCGTTGAAGAACTTGATTCAAACAGTTGAAGACGTAGAGGGTAGTAGGAGGGCTGGCCTCTGAGTTTAGGATACAAAACTAGACAGCCTAAGAACCATAGTCTAAGTAGCATAAACTGACCTGTTTTTCGTCCCTTATGTTTCCAGCGGTCAGTTTTTCTAATAGCTTGAGGATAGACGCAACGCAAGACGTTAATATTTGCTAGCTAATTAATAAATACTATAACGCAATCTTTGATTCATCTTATCCTAACAATTGTGCGACCAGTCCCTAACATGCTATAACTTGTCAAACCTGTAGCAATTGAGCACTACAACCAGACTTTACAAGACAAAGCGACCTCGCTATAGCAACAATGGCCTCCGAAGGGATGCTGCTGTGGCTGTGTTTTGTTTCTCTCTGTCGTTACTCCTGCTGCTGTTGGTCTTCGTGAGTGGCGAAGAGAACATCAACAGGCTCCCGATTAGCGATGGCTGAGGTCTTCTGAGCACTCAGCAGTATTGTTGGAGGTTTGTAAGAGTCTAGTTCGCGCCGTCCCAAGCGGCAAGATGTCTCAAGGGTCATCAAGGCTGATCGCGGTGGTGGTATAAATTCTTCAATCAGCTCGTCGACAACATGATCGATGTCTCTAACTGCCAGCTTCCTCCCTTGAGAGCCGATCCTGGGGGTGGCATGAACTCTTCTGCAGTCCGGCCGTTTCCATCTGCTGCATCAGACGCCGGAATCTTGGCCCCTGAACCGAGTGCGAGCAGAGCTTGGCGATGAATCGAAAGTTGAAGTTGAAGAAAAGCTTGGACTAGCTTGGTCCACATGTCTTCTCGCTGAATCGGACACTGGCTCGGTCTTTTTGATGCAATCATTCCTAGCCTTGGTTGTAGCAGGCACCTCTGGAAGTACATAGATCCGGATGTACAAGTATCGAATTATCATTCTGACGGCAACGGCATCATCGTTGGAAAGGTCGATCTCGCCACTCATGGCCTCCTATATCACTGTTAGCGGCTTTCATCATGATATCGAATGAACATGCCTTGAACTTGCCATCCCAGTCAGCGGCGAAGAAGTGGTCCGTTGACTTCAGTGGTCAAAGAATTGGGCAAATGCGACAAACAATTGCTCCAGTCACCTGGTCAAGCCAGACGCGCGCGAAAAGTACACGGAACAGAACGGACAGATAACGAAAGAGTAATGCACGGCTTGTGACTCGTGGCACGACTTGAAGGCGGCTGTTACCCACAGAGCAGAGCTACTCGAACGCATAGTAAATCTGGCAAGAATCAGCTCGAGGAGGGCTAAAGGGAAGACATTCCACTGAATGGCCAGCGGCAGGCTTTTTGTCTTTACCGATGGTTCGTCGCGTGTTTAATAAAATCTAATGGAAACTTAGTAATAATTCTCTTCTATTGCTCTTACAGAGAAAGATGTAGTAGAAAGTCTAGAGAACATTTTACTTGCTGTCCTTTCTCCTCTCTCTCTGCCTAGGTAGTTGAGGGAAGTGCCAGGACTCGGGCGCGTCAAAAAGAATCAATAAATTCCGGTAGCTCTGGTGGTATCTTGTTCCCTTTGTTGCTCGTTCTCCATAGTAGCTGTGCCTGTTCACACCATCGAAAATGTTCCAAAAAGCCATCTTGTGCATGCAATTTCCTTCTAGCGTCGTGTCCCCATTTCTCATTGTTGGTAATACCTTTGTTATAAGCAAGGCGATACCCAACACAACATACCCCCCATTCGACATTGCCGGTTGCTTGATTGTAATATGGGAGTGCGCAGGACCCCATTAAGTTGAATACGTTGTCCTCTTCCGAGCTCGCTGACTGGGCTTGTACTGGTGCAGGTAATGGTCGCTTGCAAACCAACCTAGCCTGATGAATAGAAACTATGGCAATGCTGTCATTGTATTTTTTCCAAACCTCTCATAACTTCCAGGAAGCGTCTTGAACGACCTCAATTGGGTCAACTCAGCTTCAGTGAGCGAAAACTCCTGTTGGGCAAAGGCGAGAGTTTCCATTTGGATCTCCAGCGCATTTTTGATGCATTTGAAACAGCATCGTTTCCAGGTTAAGAGGGACATAAACCCGCCAAATTCGCCACAAAGACTGCAGGCCTTGGTACAGAGCGCGTCGTAGATTTCAAGCAGAGAAATGTCGGCGGCAAGTCTTATTCGTAGCAAGCGCAGAAAAGTTCGATTCCATACGTGACCATCAGCTGATACTTGTATACTGAGTCTACCGTCTGTCTCGATCTCAATTCCCCTTGCCGAAGTTTGAATAAAGAATATAGATCAAGACGGGATAAGATGTCATGCAACAGCTCGGTTGGTAGCTGATCAAGTGAGCCGAGTCCGACATGCGAAGAAGTTCGCTGAAACGGTATTATTTTTGACGGGTTTCCAACACGCTTCGTGATTTCCTGCAACATACCGAGTGTCGACGGTTCGAGTGAGCCGAGTCTGATATTTAAATTCCACTTGAAAGCTTTTCCTCGAGGCGGTTCCTTAAGACGGGACGCCATGTCCTGACGCAGCTTCTCCAGCGTGGGTGGGCCGAGTCCGATCGGTGTTAGTAGTGGCCGATGAATATTGTAACGATCAGTTGTGGGAAACGTGATCAGTTGGAAACTTAGACCGGGGTAGGCAGCGGTTTGAATAATGGCATCAGCCTGTTCTTCATCGAATTCATATTTGATGGCGGAATGATATCCGGGAGGCACGAGGAAGTCATCAGTGTGGTAATCGGCTAGAGGGTACCAAGAAAGTTAGCCAAAGAATTATGGTCCATAGCATGAACTTACCTAACAATTTCGTCACTTGTGCTCCTTGCAGCTAATTCCTCTGATACTCTGAGGATCGGTAAGCTTGAGTGCAAGAGGCGAGGAACGGTTGTGGAAGGCGTTGTGTCTTGAGTTTTTTTATGATGCGCTTGTCACGTAAAAGAAACGGGGATCGTGCTTGGCGTTGCGTTTGGCGTCTTCCCAATTCGGTCGCCCTTTGGATACAATTTGGGAGCAGAATAAAGAAATAAAGGTTGACTTCAGACACTCATAAGAGCCTTTCGACTAGCGAGCTCATGGGTTCCCGCTATATTGGCTTTAGCCTAGACAGCGGCTCCCAGATCCGATGTGTGGGTCCAAAACAGATACAGCCAGCACTATCAAGGTTCGACAACTTATGCAGTATAAATTATCATTCCTATTATAGTTATATGCTGCGCTTACTCTTAGTCCAGTCATTGCAACTTGACTGATGACAAACCCATGTAAGCAGTGCAGTAAGCTTTGCCTAATCATCCATCAGCACAAATGGTTCTTGGCTGTCGATTAGAATATCATAACACTCAGTCGAGTAAGTATAAGTAGCACAATCATACTTCTCTCAAATAGCTATCTTAAATCTCAAGTCCATCAAACACAGCAGCTCAACATCTACATCAAGTAACAATGTCAGAGTCAACCACCTCTAAAGCAGAAGAATATCGATCTCTTTACCAAAAATACCTCGAATGCTGCAACGCACACGACTTTGAAGGCATGAAGACCTTCTACAAGTCCCCTATCAATATCATGGACAAACCCCTAGACCCAAACGATGTTGTTGCTCAGTTTAGACCTCTAGTGGTGGCGTTTCCTGACTGGAAATGGGAACTACGACGTCTAGTCATCGAGGGTGACTATCTTTCATTGCATTTCAGAATCACTGGGACGCATGAGGGTGAATTTCGAGGATACAAACCGACTGGGCGCAAGGTGGAAACTACAGAGTTTACTCTTTATCATGTTGTTGATGGCAAGTTTGCAGAGGTTTGGGCCTTGATTGACTTTGAGGCATTGGTTGAACAGATCAAATGAGGTTATCAGATAAACTCGGAGAAAAGATGTCATATTCTACAATGAATGAGTGTTGACCCATAACCTCTCAGGGACTCTTCCGAAATGCTACCTCGCCTTTGTCCTCAATCATATCTACCCCTAATCCATTTGAAGGAACCATGATGGTGCCTTAACCAATTTCCCGACATCCGTCAGTGCTCCATCCATAAAGTCAAGGCCTTCCCAGTCACGCAACCAACTAAATTTCTCACGCTCTTTCATACCAGAAATTGCCCAGTCACGATTGCCTACCGCGTCTTCTATCAGAAATTCCATCATCATGAGAGTAGACTCCCTGGACGGTCGGACATTAATGGCTCGAACACTTCTCGGAAACCAGTTGACAGGCGGAAGCATTTTCCCCAAGTTATCTTCATCTAGAAAGTGCACATTTCTCCCAGTACACACTCGAAAGCCTTTGTCGGAGATTGCTTGCTTCTTGTCGATGTACCACGTGAATGAGTGATACTTGCGGGTATACTTGGTTTCGAGTTGCGGCCGGAGTTCGAGCTCAACCTGTTTCTTCTGTATGGATCCGAATGGTCGCCATGATAGATTTGAGCCGGCTGAATCTTGAAGTTTCAGATCAAAGCGACATCGAAGTAGGTCGGCTCTGGACACGAAATCATCCCGGCTGGTATAAATAGACTCCTTTTCGAGATCTAGAAATGACTGTTTGGACCCAGTCCAGGCGGACACCATTGGGTCTGGTGGTGATAGTGATCCGAATCCATATTTTTCTTCCATTGTTACCAGATATCGTCGAATCCAGTCGAGGACGGCCACGTCGCCAAGCATGAAAAGAGCTACCCACCAGACAAAGATTCGAGGTCGGCGCTCAAGAAAGACATTGAGTAAAATCTGAACTTGTTTCTTTTCAATCAATGGCTCTAGTGTGTCCAAGATTGACGCAAGCCACGGACTAACCAGGTTGCAATCGACCTCTGGTTCTCAAAAGATACTCCATAGAGGAGGGTGCAGGCTGAGAACCATAAAATACCGCATGTCATCAACGTACCTCTGAATATTCTGTTCATGGGAACTGTATAAAGTGAACTTTGTTTGGGGTCTGGTGAGATGTGGAGGAGGTAGACAGGGAACGAGCCCCATGAAGTTGTAAAAGGGGATCATAAGCGTAGCCAAGAACGATGCTTTGTACGGCTGCATTGGTTCCAAGGCAGCGTCAGTCGCATCAAGGCCAAGATTGAACAGTCGGCATAGCTCGAGGAGAAGTTCTGTAGCTTCAGAGGAGTTTGGGGGCGATCAGATTTCTGTAGCTGGATCTGAAGCCTTGATACAAATATTGACTTCTGATGCGAAAGAAGTTACCCATGGCGGTAATGCTCCTTCATCTCTGGCCTCCCAACCCATTATGGGACTGAGGATCGCACAAAGCCAGCTGATAAGCGAGGGTGATGAGCCTTCGAGGTCGATGAAATGCCTGCCTTGGCGTCCGGGCCAGAGACGATTCGTACGGTATTGAACCTGCCGGCCTTGCATTTCGAGAAGCCGAACGGAAAGTATGTAGGACTAGCACATGACCAGTACACCAAGACTATTTGTCGTTGTTGAGCCGACACCCATGGCGAGTGATGCTGCATCTGGACCAACATTGCAGCGGATTGGATGCTCGGTGCACAGATAGAACGGAACTCGGCGACCATGGATAAGGGATACACTGTTGGTGTCACAATCTTCACATGTACCCACGACGTCGAGGGGCAGTTCCCAGCATGGCCTGCCGTATATCACTTCACGCCGGGGCAGCCGTTCTGGTAGGCTTGGGACGTCTGCAAGGGTGATGTATGGATCCAGTGCATTTGCCTGCCAGAGACCTGGGATTACAGTGCTCGCATAGGCCAGGAATACTCTCCAGGTATTTTTTCCATCAATAAAAGTACGTTGAACGTCGGCAAGGCTTGGTATTAACGTTTCGTCATCGTCTTTGTTGAGAGGCCAGTCCTGGGTTGATTCGCTGACTGAGGATGCTACTGATGAAGAGTCGTCCGCCATGTTTGGTGGCTTTTAGCGATGTTGGCTTCCAGCACATTTCGATCGAGAAATCGTCATTTATGGTGTTAAAAACGATGGTGTTGCATTGCAATCTGTGTTTCAACTGCAAGGGAGCGATAGGCAGCAACTGTTGGCCACCCGTAGGTAAATATGCACAATTGGGGGCCCTGTAAGTGGGAGTTTTTAACTAACATCTAAGATATTTCAGTAACGTTGCGTAAATTCTGTCAAGTTAAAATACAAATACTTGATATCTATTTCTACCAGGAAATGGGCAATTGTCTTTCTTTCTGCTTTAACAAGCCTCTTTTGTAGAAAATACTGCAGATTGTTGAAGTTTTAGAAGAGGTAGCTCCTAAACTTACAGGAGGTCGATTGTAAGTCGACCTTGGTTGGTGGGGTACCCCTCCCTCACCGAAGCTCACCGAGACTCTTAAAATTGTCAAACACAATCGGCCCACCTACAACTTCAATGCCTCAATTGACTCAGACATAGTTCTGCACTCCGCAATGGTGCTCCCTCTCGCCCGCTGCCGCGCTTCACTGCGCTATGGGGCATTCGCAAGACCATTGACACTCCTACGCACGCGACAATGCCCCCGAAGCTTTACTCAAAGCTCAATTGTCGCAGCTCCAGCACGTAGCGACATCCTCAGCGCTTGGGATAAGTGTACGTTCCTCTCTATCGCTGTTGATCTCTTTACTGACATGCGCAGATAGCAACTCCGATATCCCGCTCGATCTTGACAACAGCGACAAATGCGTCGGCTTCCTAAGCAAACGAAGAACAATTCACAAACAACTCGCATTCGCAGACCTCACCACACCTTCGGGCGAAACCATCCAAATATGCTCCGACGCAAAGAAAGACGCCAATGCGCACGCCCTCTTTACACAGATTCCTCCATATAGTCCTGTTGTCATCAGCGTCAGTGGTCAGGCCGAGTCAGCCGATAATACATCCAAAACGACAGTCTACCTCAAAGACATTCGAGCTTTAAATACCGTCCCTCAAAACCTCATCGTTACACCCGAAGTCCAATTCCCTCCCAAGAAGCGACACTACCAAATCCGATTCCACCAAGAACTACAAGAGAGACTCAAGTTTAGGTCATGGCTGAAGGGAGAGTTGACAAGGGGTTTACAAGAGAAGGGATTCACGGATATCGAGACACCAACGCTGTTCAAGTCGACGCCCGAAGGCGCAAGGGAATTCTTGGTGCCAACTCGCCAGCGCGGCAAGGCGTATGCTCTGAACCAAAGTCCTCAACAATATAAGCAGACGCTCATGGCTAGTGGTATTTCGAGGTACATGCAATGGGCGCGATGCTTCCGTGATGAGGATAGTCGAGCGGATCGTCAACCCGAGTTTACCCAGCTTGACATGGAGTGGTCATTTGCAGGCGCATCAAAAGTGAGACAGGATGTGAATGACATTATCTTGTCCGCTCTTGAGGCGCTACGACCGGCGCATAGCTACCAAGAGATCCGCGGAGAGCGTATTCCTGTGTTGTCCGAGATCCCTCAAGGCGAACGTCCAGCAGATGAGCCCGTAGCGCATACATTCACAACCCTCAAGTTCCAAGACTGTATATCGTCGTATGGAAGCGACAAGCCAGATTTGCGCATTCCCAACAAGGTATGTCTTTCACAATCTTCTAGTACGTAGCTAACTGTCTAGATCCACGCACTCCCAGACCTCGAACCATACAAACAATTTGTCAGCATGATCACCCATCTCGAAGACCCCCTGATAGAAGCCTTTACTTTCCCAATTTCTACAGAAGACCCCAACGAAGCGCGCAAGCTAGTCACAAAGTTTATGGACAACCTACCAAGCTCACTAGCCGACAACCCTGACGGAAAGCCTCAAATTTTGGTGTGCGACAGAAAAGCGCCTCTCCAGGGCTTCTCGTCGCTCGGTTTCGAGTTCCAGGACGTTATCGACCTTGTGGCGGGAGACGAAGGTGTCGAGCAAGGTGACCTGGTCATCTTTCAAGCACGAGAGAAGCCCAAGGGCCAATACTGCTCTGGATCTACAAAGATAGGCGATGTTCGCATTGCTCTCTGGAAATTCCTCATCGAAGAAGGACAAATGGAGACACCCCGTCTCGGCGACCCAGGATCGTTACAATTCGTCTGGGTGACAGATTTCCCCATGTTCAAGCCCACCGAGAAAGGCGAGCCAGGCCAAGAAGGCGCCGCAGGCATTGCAGCATCACACCACCCCTTCACAGCACCACTCTCAAAAGCCGACTTGGAACTCCTCTTCACCGACCCCCTCCAAGCCAAGAGCGCAGCCTACGATCTCGTTCTCAACGGTGTGGAAGTCGGAGGCGGCAGCGAACGTATCCACATTGCATCAGTACAAAAGTTCATCATGAGTGACGTTCTACAAATGACAGACAAACGAATTGGTGACTTTGCGCATCTGTTTGAGGCGTTGGAATCTGGATGTCCGCCACATGCCGGTTTTGCGTTGGGCTTTGATCGACTTGTGGCGTTGTTGACGGATACGGCTACAGTAAGGGATGTGATTGCGTTTCCCAAGACGATGAAGGGAGAGGATCCTTTTGTTAAATCGCCTAGTCGATTGACGGATGAGCAACTCGAACCTTACGGGTTGCAGTTGAGGAGGGAGTAGCTCTCGTGTGGATACCTTGGATAATAGATCTTGTATCACAACTGTATTATAGAAACATATGTACAACATACATCGGCATGACCAACATTCACATACATTGTCACGTCGAGAAAGTTGCAAAATAGTTTGAATGAGTTCATTGATGTCCTAGTCATTATCCCTCCGAGCCAGGTCCGCATTCTATGTGGTACACTCTATGCCCTAGGGTCCCAAACTCCGAGTTGCTTGAAAGAAATGTACATGCTGCGTGAGGTATCTTTGCGATCGAAAAAAGAGTAACAACGCTTAAGCGAGGAAGAAGCCAAAGGCGGTAACACCAATAGCAGCCATCATGGCAACAACACCAGACTGACCACCGAGGCTAGCAGCAGCGTTGTCGTCGTCGTTGGCAGCAGCAGAGGCGCTGGCGGAAGCACCACTGATGGCAGCCTCGATCTTGGTGCTGGCGGCGTCGGCCTTTGTGGAAACCCAGTTGCCGGCGTCACTGTAGTTGTCCTGAACCCAGCTCTTGGCGTCGCCGCCCTCTTCGGAAGCCCACTGCTGGACCTTGTCGGCGTTGGTCTTGGCCCACTCTTCGACGTCGGTGACCTTTTCTCCGGCCTTGGTTTCGGCCCAGTTCTTGAGGTCGTCACCGAGATCACGACGGAGGACGGCGGGTTGGGTGACTTGGGGGGCGGCCTCTGAGGCGACGAGGCCAGCGGCGGCGAGGATAACGACCTTGGTGAAGAGCATCTTGAAGGTTTGGAAGTAGTTGATGAAGGCTGAAAGTTGGAGGTTAAAGGTAGTGTTGTTGAGTTGAAGAGTTAATGAGATTGTTTGTTGTGATGATGATGAAAAGAAGAGTAGAGAAACAGCAGGTCCTCCCCTTGATATAGATTTCTGTAATTTCCTCGTACGCCTAAGCTCAAGCTAGACCGCTGTGGCTTCCCATTGACAGCAAGGTTGGGGACTAAGTCAGGCCCTGCATGAATGCCACGGCTGAACTGCGTCATGTTCCACCTGTAAGCCCCTGTTTCTGTTTTATTTTCAACCAATGAGACGTTGATAATCCCCTTCCCCTGCGCAGATCTAAACCTGTTTTCAGGCCTGCGCCTCTAGTATGTCATCACCAGCACGCTTCTAGTATCGCCCCCATCCACTATTTACTCATTCTTCGTTTCAGCCGATGGCCAAGTCATTCCGATTTCAGTTTCTTGTTCCTGGCTAAAGTATAGGTGCAACTATTTCGGGTAACACGTCGTCCAGCAACGGACTAACACGCATCGTCAGTCGTATGTCAGCCAAGCCTCTTTCACGTTTCGTTCCTGCCGATAGCCGTGTCTTGTCGATCGCCAATGCCAACTTTTACTCCAGACTCTGTAGACAGGTGCTGTCCAGTGTCTAGGGTGCTGACTCATACGTTAATTTTAATTCACTTTACCCCATGCTCGTTGGCTTAGCGGGAAGGGCAACTCAAAAGCAAGCTTAATTGCCGTGGGTAGATTGCCACGCTAGGACTAGGGTAGGAGGCCGCCAGTGAAGTCTACCCGTCTCGCGACGTGCTTCCTCTCATGACGACGATCAGAGGCAAACGTCGCAACATCTAAGCCACAGTAGAACACTAACGGACATTTTCGGGTTGTTTGCGAATATCGCCGCGTGTTTGTGTGGCACAGTCGGCACTTGTTGCGTAGTCAGGTCTCACAGAGCTCAGTCAGCCTAGATATCTAATTCGCTCGTCGAGAACGTGTTTAGGAAAATATTCACATTAAGATTAAACGCCGCCATCCTGTTATCTGACCATTCTAGAATCCCATTCTGTATCTCATTCTCTATATCGTTATCCATGACTCTGGCAGTCTCTATCCATTACCTTTTATACTCCTTTACTCCAGGTTGGCGCCCTTGTTAAACAAGTGACTGACGTCGAGTCGCTGGTCCCGGCGACTTTTGGCAGCTTCCTGTAGCCATGTGTCGCTTCAAATTTTTCTCATATTTAACAGATCTTCCGCATCTAGGACATCTTACTCCGGTTCTGATATACTGTTAGCATACACGACCAATGGTTGTCGGTTTAGGGTAGGACTCACAGTGGGGAGATGCGATTCGCAGCTTCGGTCATAGAATTCGGTACCCATTGAATAAAATCCAAGTAGATTTGATCGGATGCCAATAGCCCCTGATAGGTACTGTCAGTTCATTCACAGGCTAAGATAATGCGAGTCAGGAAGTCGGAGGCGCAATGTACCTTTCCGAGTAGCAAGAGGTAGTCTCGCATTTCATCCGCGCTTTGCAAACAGCCAAGATCGACGAATCTATCTACAACAGACAAGATTCCTTGGATAGTTGGGTTCTTAAGAGATGCATCGTCTCGTAGAATTTGCATGAACAAGCGTTCAACAGACGCAGCCGGACTGGAAACAGAGGTGCCGATACAAAGGCACATATTTCCCATCGCCCCACGACTGAAGAGCCTAAACAGAGGGTCTCCGCATTGTTCTAGAAAATGTGACAAATTGACGACGATTGACGACCCCTGTAAGCTCTGCAAATCTGGAGCTTGGCTACTCTCATTGCGACTGCAGTCCTCATTTTCACTAGCGAGGAAAAAATTCGGGTGAATTAGATCGGAATCCCAGGACAACTCGAGTGCACCATCAAACATGTCATTGCTGTACTGGGGCACAGGATAGATATTGGCCAGGGCAGTCAAATAAGGCTCTAGACAGGCAGCCTTGATCAGATCATCAAATGGTTGGCGATGCTCATGATTGCTGATCGCATTTCTCCACAGATCAAAATTGGAGAAGGGTTCAAAATCGACGGGAGTGCGGGTACTATATAAACAGAATGAAATGGCATGCGACATAGCACAAAGCGCAGCAACGTCGCTCAAAGCAGTGGGTGGTAGGCCCAAGAGAGTGTTGTGAAAGCCACTAACGGCAGTCTCGTAGAAGGATGTGGGATTGACAAACGAATTGAGGGTGTCTTCCCGGCATGAAAGGGCAATGCTTTGTGTTGCATCTACCAACCGTAAACGGGTTTCTTCCAGCTGAGAATAGACATTCTGGAGAACTGCCCCTTGTTCAGTATCCTGGAAAAAAGTAGGATTTGCATGCAAGTCATCGCCAACAATTGTTCGCGTCGAGTTAATCCAGATGAGACAAGCAAGAAAGCCTTCAGCTCTCGACAGCGTCCCAACAGGAGTAGGGTGGGTGATTGCCATAAGTAAGTGCCTGGGTGATAAAAAATAAAAGAGGAATATTCAGTAGGTGGCATTGGTATATGGGCACAGGCATCTTGTCTAGAGGCTGACATATGCACAGATTTTGTCTAGAGCTCACTCTATCGTGGTGTTGTACCCACGATGGTAGCTAGCTCTGGATCGTGGAGAGAGAAGTGGAGGGAGATGTAGATAGTGGTTAAACGGTTTGTTAGACAGGTGGATACTAATAAGGCTAGAAATCTGCGTACCTGCATCTTGTCTTTAGAAAACACGCGGCCTAGCAGCATCCCCCAAAAAATCCACGTGGATGTCAGGCTAGAAGTCTATGACGCCAGGCTAGAAGTTTAGGACCGTTATCGCGGTCTTTGTCGGTCAACGTCTCCGGTCACGAGACTTCTAGACAGGTCAGAGTTGGTGACAGCTGCGTGCCTGACCTGCGTCGGCATGAGGCGACTTCCGAGAACTCGGAGTGGTATCCCGATCATGGGTGGTTGACAAAGGTCTGGCCAATTATTCAAGCATATGTTACTAACCTGACCACCTGACCGCTCCGGGATAGCATTCGTAACGGTAGAAGCTGAGTGAATGACTCACCTTGGACTCTGGACTCTGTTCTCCAGCATGTCTCCAAAGAGAGCTCCAACATGTCTCCAAGAGCCCGGCTCTGGAGCTTGGTCTCCAACGTTTCTCCCAAAAACCTGCTCCCAGGAGCTCAGCAAATAAATGACCAATCAGAAACGATTGAGCGAAACTAAAGCAGCCACCATAGTTATCTATTGGGGCGTTTTGTCAGTTTGATTGACACCGCGTACCTCTGATCAGCTCCGAGTGAATGTGCATTTCCGGTCAGGAGAAGCTGTAAAGGTTACAATAAATAAATATATATATATATATATATATATGTATATATGACAGACTGTATATTAAGTTGAGTGGAGAAGATATCGATATTTCTAAATTTTACCTCGAATTATTCACAAGTGTTCGTGTCGATACGTCAATATGCCAACGGAAGAGCAACTTAGACAGTTGGAAGCGGAAGACAACAGTCAACGTAAAATCACCAAATGCCCTCTCTTGAGAACCTTCAATAACATTGACTAGAACCTGTGATGCTGCAAATATGGTTAAACGAACCGAGCACTGTTGTCTTCGCTGCCGATGTCTGGTCGTCCGAACGAGCCATCGCCAAACCGAGACCTAAGGCGAAAGACACCAAGTCACGACGCAAAAACGTCAAGGTCAAAAATGCAGCAAAGGCGGCATGGGTTTTGAACGGATTTGAAGACTACAGAAGCGGGGCAACGCATCAATTTTGAAAGGGAGTTTAAGATACCATGTGTTGATAATGTAAAGAGCCAATGTCTTGATTCAAATCTGGCTGTACGAGTACGGAAACAAGTCAATCATGGTCTCACGATTGGGTGCAAATAGTGTCAGATTGTTTTTGTTATTTATACATATAGTCCCTCGAGATCCATATACCATCCGTACAGTTTACCGGATTTTCTATCGTACCTCACTACCCAATAATTGTATGGCCATTCGCCCATATGTGTAGACAACAGTATCTCTAGTTTCGTCGAGACTTTTTGTTCTTTCGTTTGGCTTTGCCGTTATTGTCATGCGGCAGCTCCACGTGTCTCTTCAGATTGGCGGATCGGTCAGTTCTGTAGTCGCAATGTAAATGCGAACATGAAAAGGGTTTCCTAACAGATATTAGCGAGTCTGTTTAAGGAGAGCATCAGTATATACATAACGAACTCGGCGGTAGAACTTTTACGAAAGCCATGGATCCAATCGCGGAACTCACGGGACGAAGTTTGATTATTGAACACCAACTGTGAGTAGTTAGCCAAGCATGACCTTTGTATTTCTGAGTCTTACGCACCGTTCCAACCCATTTCATGTAAAATTCGATCTCCTCCCGCTCTTGTAGCAATCCTCGTTCGACAAAAGCTTCGGCAACAGTGACTATGCTGCGAGATACCAAGTCGCGCGTCTCCTTCTCTGACGAAAGTGGGACAATGAAAGATCTTTGTATCTCTCTCTTGTGCGACAGCCTCTCTTGGCTCCAAGCATGACACTCCCTAAAGTCCTTTGACACTAACCCGCGACCAGCAAGATTGTACCAGAAGCCACCGTTCTCTTGAACATACTGTACCACAGCAGTGAATACAGAGGTTTGCTGAAGATGACTCGATGTGTTGGGATCGGCTGATGCAACTGGAGGCGACTGACCCAGTTGTGCATCGTATTGTGACGGTATCGGCGAATCGTACGTAGTAGATAACGGAGTCGATGCCCATGAGCTCATGAAGACATATGATAGCTCTGGACTGAAACCTTGCCAATGAGGCGATGATGGCCCCAGATCCCGGCTGGTATCGTTCAAAAGATCGGGGGAAAAGCCGAAGCCTTGTTGTAGATTGGCGAAGTTCTGGAGGTTGGTCGGAGACATCACTGTTGGTTGTATGTTGATTAGAGAAGGGTTTATGGTTCCGGGTTGGAAAGGGGGTACCGGGTCCATGCGATGTAGATGATGCTGAGATTCGGGCCAAAGATTTTGAACAAGCAGCTTGAAAGCCTCTCGCTCGTGTTCTTTCTCTAGAGTGTACAGCCATACATGAACACCAGCAAGGACATCGCCTTGGGCTAGCCTGTTTCTCTCACACAAGAGATGAGAAATAACATGCGAGAAGCAGCAAATAGCAAAAATCTTGCATAGATCGTTGGGGACAGGCCCACTGAAGACGTTTCGTAGAGCAATGGCACCTGTGTGTCGGAGTCCATTAGCGTCTTGATAGTCGTCAAGAATGCTGTTGATGGCCACGTTGTTCAAATTGACCGCGACGTTGACAAAACGGGCCCAAAGAGGCTCCATTCCATCGCGAATGAAGCGGATGGAATCCCAGGGGTTTTCGTGGCCGCGGCAAGATTGTCCATCTGCTGTGTTGGTCACAGAACCTCCTCTATGATGAGTGGCTTGAAAGCCGTTCCCGCCAATTCTTGGACGATTAATGGTGGGTTCCGTTTCGTCCAAGACAATGATTCCGGCAAAGAGTCCATCGAATTGTACCAAAGTCTCGATGCTAGCACATGTGGCGCCATAGACTGCGGGTTGATCAGCAAACGGAGGGGTTGAAAAGGATCTCATTTTGGCTTATTTTCAAACACAAAAAAACCAGGTGCTGCCTTATTGACTACCGAAGGGAAGGCATCTCGAATATATCAGCATATTGTTGTGGTTCGCCGAATATATGTGCATTTATGTGAGATCTGTTTGAGGCCCTCTCGGTAGCTAGGCTCATTATCTGACTGCTCCAACTCAAACCCTTGCTCACTGATGATGGATTGAGAGCTTGCGAGCAAGAGGCTTAAACTATCTTACTCACAGCTTGGGCTATCATGTCAAGGTGCTATTGGCCATGGATTACTCGGGATATTGTTTTGCTAACCGTAAGGAGGATGATCGACAGGGCCGACCCTGTCAACCTTGCTTTGTTCCCCAAAAGGCGCTACTAGAGCTGTCCCAGACTACTCGCGAGCAAGGCGTGGACCGAGACATTTGCTCATGAGCACAGAAAGCCGCTGCTCATGAGCAAAGCATACGTATTGTGAGCAGGTAGCAAGAGCATTTAAGCGTGGCTCTGCTCATCTACCAGGTAGAAGCAAAAAGGAAACATGCTGAGACGTGAAAAGTATATCATCATCCTAAGGAAACAAGGGTACTCTCAAATTAAAGGCGATGCTGCGACAAACAATGCAAACACAAAAACACAATTCTACCCAAGGCGGAATTAACAACACAGGTCAGTCAGTACATCCAATTTGAGCTAAACAGCAAATTGACAGCATACATCAAGTCAACTCGGCCAATATGCTTCAGAGTTGGTTACAAGAGCCAGGCCACGTCGAGTTCTGGTCATCTGAGCGGGCGAAGGCATTCCCGACAACAAAAGACAGAATCATGAACGAAATCCTAAGCTCTGACGTATGTAATCTATCGGTGTCTCCAACAAGACGGGCGGATTTTCTACAGCAAGCCAAACTGGAATAACATGGGGTTGGTGGCGGCGGATGTAAGCTACTTTGATTCGCCCTTCACGAGAGGGACAGTGAGATTGGTCCAGTATCCTCAATGCTCCGGAGGGACAGCTAGGGAGGTGGCGAGGCTTGGAGAGTGCATATTGACTGTGCAGGGCGTTTAATAGATTGAAATGGAACATTTTGAGATCAAATTGTTGTTTGTTGACAGGATGTGTGCATCTGCAAACTACCGTGGCTAACGATACACATATTCACAAAACAGAAAGACACAAAGTTCGGCCTCTACCCAGATCACAACGGGCACTAATTATCTGTTAAATCATGTCACCTGGGAGCTATTACGAAGCTCTGTCGCCCTCTCTTCGTTGAGTTGGACACGGGGTCCTCCTCACCAACCCGCCTCCGATGGCCGCTGCCAAGCCCGGCCAAGAAACATCGCACGCACGATACCTGATGTGGATTGTTAAGTTTGTTATTTTATCTATACATTCTCTATCAATTTGATCTAATACACTCAGTTCACCATCCGTCTCAATGGATGAGCCTCCGTGTTAAATACCCACTCATCCAAACTAACAACCTCCTCATCCGCAAAAATAAGATAAAAATACTTCAACGTCTCCGCCATCCAAAAACTCTCCATCGAATCTTTATGCTTAATCTTCTCCTTCGCATTCACATCCATCACCGCCGCAAACGCCTCATCCGTCTCAGCAGCACCGCGAACCGCAAGCCACATATTCCACGCGATATCGCGAAACTCTTCCTTTCCGGTGATACGGTAGAGATAAAAGATACTCTCGATGGTCTCGGGGCGGAGGAGATAACTTGAATCTCTGGCGCGGAATCCGAGTGGTTCTTTGTTGGAGCTTGGGTTGAACTCGCAAGGCTCTAGAGTTGGACAGCGTTCGACGTGGACGATTTCGGGCATGAGACCAGTTGGATAGGCAGAGTATGCTTTTGCGCAGCCTCTGGCTAGTTTTTCGCCGACGATAACGTGGTCGTCTCGTCCAAGGGCTTTTCCACCGAGGGCATACATTCCTCCTGCGAAACAGGTGAGGTGCTCGACGTCCGTCCTCAATCGAACCTCTTTCGTTCGAGGAGCAATGGAGGCTTCACCCAGCATGAGCACATCTTCCTTCTCCGGCAACATCGGTCGAAACATCAAATGCTCAATCGCAGCATCGGCGGCCTTGAGGTACATTTTTTCGTACTTCGGTTCAAGACCTTGTAGGAGAACGTACTCCTTGATGAGATATTCATAAAGAGAATCACCGTTCGCACCCAAACCAAACGTATCATCGTCAACTCGGAATCCATCCTGCGCATTAATCTGAATCGGCCAAAGTCCAGGAATTGCTGTTTCGTTTTGAGTCCTCTCAAATGCCTTGGTGATAAAGTCAATTGCGTCGTAATACTTGGGGTTGCCGGTCTGCTGCGACAGACGAGTAAACTCCATACTCATACTACCCAAACTAGCCGTACTCTGTCGCGGTTCAGGATGACCTTTTCCATCTTTAAGGTCTCGAAAATGGATGGTGTGTGGTGGCATGTGTTCTGTGTTGTCAAAGGTGGCATACAACAAATCCCCCAGCTCAATTGCCTTGGCCAGCAAGGCACTCTCACCACTGAGCTCGTACGCCGAAAGTAAACCGCCAAGATGTCTGATGGTCGTTTCGAAGACATTAAAACCGGTGCTGGTAGGAAGATCCCAGTCCATGCGAGAAACGTAGTCGACGGCCTTGTAAAACTCTCGCTTCATACCCATGAGCCATAGCGTGTCGAGGTTGTCGCAGATGGTAGCGGCCCACCCACCAAAAGGATCACTACCTTCCAAGCTCAATGGTTTGAGTTCGTCACGTCCCCAAGCATGCTTTTCGTAGGATCTCCACGTCTTTTGGAAAGCTTGCTTAATTTCTTTTCGTCGTTGATCAGCTGTTGCGAGCTCTCGTTTTCTCAATTCGGGATTGGAAAAGTCGTGTTGAATTCGGGGGAGATTGGCAGGTGAACCACGAGGAGGTTTCACCATACTACTCAATTCCAATGGATTTTGTAGCTTATGTCTACTCCAGTCATAGCTGCTAGGAATGAAATTGATCTTGGGAGATTTGTAAGTTGGTATTTCGTGAAAAAGGCCATAAAATATGAGGCCTGCGATGAGGAGAGAGAAGATCGCCCTCGACGCTGGAAAAGGTAAAGCTACACCCATGATTACGACAGAATAGAGATGAAAATACAAAAAAAGGAAAGGAAGGAGGGAAATATAGTTCAATTGAGGTCCATTGAGACCTTTGAAGGATTCAATGCTGACAGCATGAAAGGGGAAGCCAGATCTTATACGATGAAAGCCACCGCAAAAAAAGGATCCTAGACAGTGTAAAACAGTTATTGATTGACGCTCTCCACTCTTTGACACGCAAGCTTCGGTTCTAAGAATAACTAGATTAACGTGAGATCCGTAGGCACTATGACATATTGAGTGCAGGGAGATCATACGCGAGCACGGGCTTGTGTGACAAACGAGGAGACTGACACGCGAGATTTGATCTTGATGAGAGCTTGTACAGCTCTTGATCAAGTACGAGATACAAATAGATATACAGAGCATGTGAGCTGCAATTGTTGGGACACCATTGTCATTCTCCCCTCTGTAGATCATCAGAGTCAGCACTTGCATTGGGTTTTCAGGAGTGCATTAGTGCATTTAGCTGTCGCATGCCTTGGAAACTCAATGTCAAAGGAGCTGACGGGCTGAAACCCCTGGACAAGCCACATCAAGGGAAACTCTCAGCTCGCGAATGCGACAAAATAAGATGAGAAAAAGCTTGATTTTATTTCGCAACCAATCTCAAAATTAACCATACGTTTTCAAGCTTGGCTTATCCGTGTTTAATCGGCGGAAATGAATCTAGCTTCCGGTATTCCATGTTTAACTCAACATCAAATGTGGGCTCTCAGTCTGGTGTCTTATCTTATCGCGCTCTCGCCGATAAGATAAGAAAAAATATCTTGTCACTTCTTTCCCAGCGCCAGACCACCCATTAATTCTTTGCGACGCCATCGACATACCCAACACACCACATCCAACATGTCGTCCATGCGAAATGCCGTCGCCAGGCGACCTCACCGTGAGCGAGCTCAACCATTAGAGCGCCGCCGTCTTGGTCTTCTCGAAAAGCACAAGGTTTGTCGGCATCCCCCACCACTTCAATCACCTTCTCACCTGTCTAGGACTACTCCCTTCGAGCCAAGGACTTCAACAAGAAGAAAGCGACTCTCAAAAACCTTCGCGATAAGGCCTCCGAGCGAAACGAAGATGAATTCTACTTTGGCATGATGTCTCGCAAGGGACCCGGCTCCAAACTCAAGGATGGAAAGACATGGTCCGGAAAAGTACAGGGCGATCGAGGAAACAAGGTCATGGATGTCGAAACAGTACGGCTCCTCAAGACACAAGATCTCGGATACGTTCGAACGATGCGACAGGTTGTTGCAAAGGAAGTCGCCAAGTTGGAGGAGCAGGTAGTCCTCACCCGAGGATTCGACAAGCTTGACGAAGAAGAAGACGAAGATCAAGACAGCGATTCGGAATTCGACTTTGCTACCGCACCCAAAGCGCCTAGAAAGATTGTCTTTGCAGACGACGAAGAACAGCGCGAGAAAACATTACAAGACCACCTAGACTTGGAGGAAGACGAGGAAAAAGAGGAGAAGAAGGACAAGAAGGAGGGAGACGAAGAATTTGAGCGCGCCAAGGCTCTACGCCGTCTTCGCCGCCAACTCGAAAATGCCCGCAAGAAACTCAAAGTCCTCACAGACGCTGAAGGAGAACTCGAGATCCAAAAGGCAAAAATGGCAAAGACGGCTACATCAGGAGGAACCACACGTAAAGGAAAGAAGATCATGGTGCGGACAAGAAAGCGATAAACAGCGATAATCCATTTGCAGTTTGGTTTCAGATCATGTCCTTCGTGTTTTATTCGTTACGTTTGCTCATGGCAAAAAGCTAATAGATACCCCCGAAAAGAACGCCTTGGGTGTATGATATATGATACAAAAAATATGAAAATACGTTTAAATCCTCCATGCGCTCGAATGGAAATAAAGTGCGCCCGATTAAAAAGTGCGTCTCGTCATGATCCTTCATTAGTACTTTGACCCGATGCATTTATAACACCCTTTGAACGCGAATCCAACACATCGGAAACTTATCGTGAGAAGCCAAATAAAACATGCAAACAGGCCCTTGACAATCTTGACAATCACCCGAATGAGGAATGGCAGTTTATCTTCCTTCTCTTTCTTGCCTTTGCCGAGACTCTCGTCTTGACTTTCGACGTCAATCTCAAAAGCTTCCATGTTGCGCTTCTTACTCTTTTTCTCTTCACGCTTGCCTAGCTTGCTAAGACGCTTTTCTTGCTTGGCTGTGAGGATCAGAGGGGGCGGAGGCTCAAAGGCTTCTGTGATGGGATTGTTCTTTTCGTCGCCTTGGGCTACGAGGAGAAGTGCTGTGACGGCTACGTCGACGATAAAGTAAGACTCTATCTTTGAGGCGATGCCTGTGTCAATCTCCAACCAGCCGCTGCCGGTACCATCACGGGTAAGCTTGGCGAGATGTTGGGGTGATTCGTTGTGTTCGAGGGTGTATTCTACGCGGGACCATGAGGGGGATCGCTCAATGGTGACGCAGAAAGGTGTTGCGAGAGCGGGATGGACGAGGAAGTGATGGGCGCTGTCTTCATCCCAAACAAGACGCGCGCATTCTCTCTCGGCCAGCATAACAGATGCAGGATCTTGCGATCTCTCAATGGCCATCTTCGTAGCTGGTGTAGGCATAAGAAGTGCAACGAGACCATCATTCGGGGGATGTCTCCGGGTCTCTTCTTCCAAAGTCGTAGTAAGAGCTTCTTGCCAATGCTTCGTATCGGTGACTTTACTGCCAGAGCTGCTGTGTCCAACAACACCACTAATAATACTGCTCGCCGAAGAACTTGCTTCAGGCTTGGGTGCTTTGTAAGGCTTGTTGGGATCATGTCTTGTAAGAGTTACATATGCCGATGCTGAAGTTGGATCCAGACGCAAGTTATAAAAAGGCTGTGTCGCAGATGAAAGACTGTAAACAGGCGCATCTTTTTCCTGCGTCAACTTCATGCAGTACACTCTTCCTTCAGACGCAGAAGCCTGCCATCCATTCGCAACCTTCCAGTAATTCTTGAGGAGTTCATTCGAACTAACTGTCGGAATTAAAGGTGGTTCCTGTTGTTGAACAGCACGATGAGGCCACGAAGACTGCGCAGATTGAATGCTCATGGGACTAATAACAGGACTTCTAACCGGGGGGTTTCTAGGTGCTGCTCCGGCCGGTGTTTCATGATATGTCTGTCGACTAATAACTGCTCGTGGAATTTCGGCAGGTCGAGTCTCGGTGGGAACATAGTTTTGCTGGTTCAGAGGCAAGTCTGGATTATACGCTGGAAAGATGGACCGAAGAGGTTGCGCAGTGGATTCACCACCCAGAGGAGGTTTCGCTATAGAACTTCGTGATCGATCACTGCTGCTTCGAATGAGTGCAGGGCCTTGGATGTTGCCTGTATCAGCACGACCTGGAATTTGGACGGTTGGTCTTGGTCTTTGGACTTTGACAGGTTTTGGTTCCTGTTGTCGAATAGAATCGAACTCGATTGGTGTGTGTGATCTATTCTGTGGCGGCGATGTACTCTGAGGCGTCTGCGACCTATTCTGAGGTGTTTGAGATCTCTGTGGTGTCTGGGATCTATTCTGTGGTGTTTGTCGTCCATTTCTCGGCGGCGAAACAGGCTCAGATATTTCGGAAGCCATGGCCTGTGGTGTAACAGACCTCAAATCTCTCTCACGAGATTCAGAGCGACGAGGTCGAGGAGTCTGATTGCGTGAAGTAGGTGGTGGTTTGGAAGCGTTTGGGCTCGGGAATAACGAGAACCCTCCTGGGGTTGGAGTAGACATTTTCTGTATCAAACAGTTTTTCTCTTAAAATGCGACTTCTTCTCAAAAGAAGAGGGATATAAAATCCGGGTATCAAAAAGGCAGTGTAAAGTTGTTGATGCTGCTGCTGCTGCTACCGCTTCATGATCAATCCACAAAAGTCGTTTCAAAACAAACAGAACAGCAACCAACAATACAAAAAAAAAAAAAAAAAAAAAAAAAAAACCAAGAAACAAAACACCGAAAAGAATATGATCAATATTATATTCCCTTCCTATTCAGTTTCTTAAGCGCTCCGACTAACACAGCGACAAGGGGGTCACGAAAATAGCATCCCCTCCAACTACCCCTGTCAACCAATCGGCGGGACAATCACACTGCAGCAGTCATGCTAAGCGCCCTGGAGACGCGCTGGAGTGAGGGGAAGAACAAGTGTAATTGGTTGCAAGCATAAATGACTTGGGTTGGACGGGGATGGATTTTATTGGGTTTGGGGAAGATGATGGGCGGGTGATTTGATGTGATGGAATGCAGTAAGACAGTCTGAGTTTGTAGAGCTGAGGATTGAAGTAGAGGCTGTAGAATAGAATCTAGAGGGACTTTGCTTTTGTTCTTGATGTATTTAAAAAGAAAGATTTAGTTGGGGTCTATTGAAAAGACTTCTTGATCGACAATTAACTGTCGAGATATTGAAACGATTGTTGACCGCTTAATGCATGTAACCCCATCGTCGCATAAATGAACCACCATATCAACCACTAAAAGACTACAGACTCGAACGCTGTAGACTATCAAGAGAGGCTGGGCGGTAATTAGCTCGTCACAATTTGTTTCTTACCGTCTTGAGAAGTATCCACGATGATCTTGGGGTATTGAGGCAGGCAGTCTGTTTCAACGTTGGGTGATAATAGTACTGGCTGCATGCTCTTTAATCACTTTACCATGCATCTTTGCCCAGTCGAATGTCATCGCTGTAGGAATCAACCTATTTTGTACAATTCTTGGTACATCACATCGCCTTTTATATTCGTACAATCCCCCCTCCATAGCAGCGTAAATGTCCCGTGAACCCCCCAAACGCCACAGATGCTAACCACCCTTTCTTTCTTTCGTGTCCATTTCTTTTTGTCATATCAATCCCTCGGTCGATCCTTTGCTGCAAGTCCATGTATCCTCTCCCCTCTCTGTTCCATCTCCTTTTGTTTCGACAACCTCACATGCTCTGGCAATCCCCACCATTCGCGCATAAACTCTTCTTGAGCCTGTGCAACTCTAGCTTTCTTCTCTCTCTCCTTCTGTCGTTCTATCCTCAAAGCGAACCACTCCTCACGTGCTTCATCGTGGGCTGCTTGTGTGGCGTGGATCTTCATGCAATTGTTCATGACGCGGTGTTCGGCTCGGCAAGCGAATGATACTGTAAAGGTTCGACCTAGAGCGCATGCAGCAAATGCTGAGGAAGTTAGTATGTGATTGTAAAGTGTGTGATTGCAGAGTATGCGTGATGTGCTGCTGCTGCCGCCACCGTTAAAAAAACACACCCTTAATCTCTTCGGCGCATTCTTTTCGGACTTTTTGGTAAAAGATATCTCGGACTTGTGCTTCTTGCGACGCAGATAGAGGTAGAGGGTTTCTAGATGGTACGCCGAGCTTCTCTTGAGGCATTGGGGGGTTTGAGGTGGTCATTGCGACCTGGGAGGAAGACGAGGAGGGAGTTCGATTATCGGTACTGTATTTTGTGTCGGTAGTCGTTATGGTCGTGGTACAATCGTTGGAAAAGGCGGCTGTAGCTATATCGGACGAGGAGCTGGAGCTCGCGGGATGCCGAAATGGTGAAGTGAGCCCATGATTGAATAGATTTTGACGACACTGACCGCCTTCTATTTTGGGAATGTCCGAATGAAGTACACGACATCACGACCGACAACTAGCATATCTTCTAAGTTCATCAATTATTTTCCATGATGAATTCTATAGAGTATGCTCTAGGCATCTTTAGGCAGAAGAAATAATTTTGGTGCTCAGTGTATGGGTGGCTGTCCGACTAAAGCCTCAGTGAATGAGAAAATTGGCTGCAGAAACATAAGAGATAAAATTAGCAGGTCACTTTATGATACTTAGTTTTAACTTTTTGGTGTTTATTTTTGTCACTTAAAGTTTAAAGTGCAGGCGTTGCTGTATGTACTTAGGCAGCTGCTGTATCAATCACGTATGTGTTATAATTAGAAAAGTTAAACCTCCAACTTTGTTGACTTGAGGTTTTGATCTGTCTGTGTAGATTAACCTTGTAAGTGAGAATACAGAATACTAAGAAACCTAAGACTTTACCTAAAACTTAAAGAAAGATCATAAAGAATATATTAGACCCCATCCCATCCCATCTTCAGTGGATCATCTCTCATCTGAACATCCAAAGACAACAAGATATCCTGATCTCACAATGTCCCAACCAATGGAAATGGATCTCCCTTACCGGGAAGCTCCAGTCGAATCCCCTTCGGTCGAGGACCTTCTAAAAGATGTATCCTCTGTACTATTAAGCAAGGATATCTTTGCCATCGGAGGCCATGTTTCAGACTTTGGCAAGCTCGCTATCCAGTGGGCCGACAAAACGAATGGACAATCTCACACTTTGAGATTTCCCTTGGTCACCGGTGATGCCTCCCAGAACACGTTCACTCAATTGCTGGATGCCCCCGCCACGATGGATGCTGACGACTTTTTTACCAACTTCAACCCTTATGTACATGGCATCCTCGAAACGATCAATCAGACTTTGGCTTGGAGTAAATATTCGGCGGAAGTTGATATGGCAGTCAAGGCTGAGCTGTTCAAGCTGGAGGTGAGTTTCCAATTCACGACTGCTATCTTTATATTTGCTGACACATTCTATAGGTACACTCTACTTCCTCAGATAGGCCTGAGACCCATGTTGACTCTCGATCGGATCGTCAAATGGGCACACTCATGATTTGTCTCCCTATCCCACACAAAGGAGGACAGCTTGCGATTCGACATGGGGATCGACAAGTCAATTTCGACTGGGCATCACAACATCCAGACACTGTCCAATGGGCTGCTTTCATGTCCCATTGCGAACATGAAGTTCTCCCGATTACTGAGGGTCACAGGCTGATGTTGACTTATAACCTCATCTGGACAGACTACGTCCCAGCTTTGATGGCAACCGAACTTGAAGTTCTTGATCAGGAATCACTTGACTTCTACGCTGATCTTGTGAAGCTTCTTAACAAGATGAAATCTACTGGAAAACGTAAGTAGCCCACGGTCATTCATGACTTTACAGCTAACAGGTTATGCTAGAATATATCATCGGTTTCACATGCACTCATCGATACCCTCACACATCCAGGTCATCCTACCAACAAACTCAATTCATGCTTAAAGGCATGGACATGGTGGTCTACCAAGCCCTCAGGCGGAACGTGGGCAAAGTCCGTGTTCGCGCGGTACTCGATGATTCGCAGTACATCAAAGACCAGCGCGTGATGGAGGACCAACGCGTGAAGGAGGACGGCGACTTTGACCCCATGTACGACAGCGACCTTGAACGCATGGAGGACGGCGAGCTTAAAGGCCTCCTGAAGGACAGTGAGCTTGAACTCGACGAGCTTCAACGCATGGAGGAACTCCCCGAGATTCCGAGTTCATATAGTCCCCCTGAGGATTCCGACGAGGAGGTCTTGGAAGAAGTCGTAGTTTGTGTCGAAAAAAAGCCAAGGCCTGTATGGGTGAGAAGGTCGAGTGGCTTAACGACGCTCCCAACGAGGATACCCCAAGAGAGTTTTCCGTTGCTATTACCTCGGTAGACGGGAGGGACCCTCTCAGCGTACAGTATGACTCTGCTCTTGTCATCCTTGCCTGGGTGGGCTTCTAGACGAGGGTTAAGAGGCTACAAAATAGCCCCTAGAACTGAGGGTGAAGATGTGGCTCCCCAAGGGATGAAACCAATTTGTTAATTTATGTTGTTTAGATTAAGTCTTAGGTTTCTTTTAGTTTTATATCTTAATCAATTTTTTTTAGACTATTTCTCAAGGTATTTGTTTTCGTACCCCAAAGTCGAGGTTATCAATCACCTTGGCACAAGGGCTTTGGTCTCGAGTACGTGATAACTGTTATTTCGTTATGTCAAAATGCCGGATGAGGTCAGCTTAATTGCGTGCCTTAAATGTATACTATTAGTATAACAGGTTGGAACGAAAGACGGGGTAGTTAAGGGTAAACCTGATATCACATACCATTACTCTTCTTTTGTTATTCTTGCAAAGATGAATCGAGGCGATACAAAAGACGCTGAGAGTGAAAGTGGAAGAACCGAAAGTCGTATCGAAATAGCATAAACAGGCCTCCTAATTTCGTCTGGCCTTTAGTATAAGGTGTGAATGGAAAGATGGTTGTTGCAATACACTGCGGTAATCCTGCATGTAATAAGGATCAACCTCGACACTATTCATAAAGTTTGGCTTTCTGCAGGTAAGCAATCTCATCGGTGTTATGTTCCCAGCGAATGACAATAGGAAGAGCTTAGTTGCGTTCCTTAAATGAGTATCATTGGTATCAAAAGCTAAACGAAAGACTAAAACTACACCACGCTTCAACCCCATCTCATAAACCCATTATTTCCTTCTCATTTCATTTACTGCTGAGCAGGATATGGCTGCTGCTGGGGAGGTGGCGACGATGTAGTACCAGGGACTTCATGGTATTGCTGGGGAGGATACTGTGCATAATTCTGCTGACCCTGGAACTGCTGGCCCTGTTGAGGATCATAAGGCGATGCGGGAGGAGGAGGGTAAGCGCCTTGTTGTTGGTATGGGCTCTGGGCAGGTTGGTATGGAGAGGGAGTCGTTTGAGGGGGGTATTGCTGTTGTTGCTGGGGAGGGTACTGCTGTTGTTGTTGTTGAGGAGGATATTGCTGCTGCTGTTGGAACTGGCCAGGAGCAGGTTGTTGCTGCTGCTGGTACTGAGGTGCAGCTGGTACAGGCTGAGGCTGAACATTAACCTGGGCTTCAGTCTTGGGCTCCATTTGGTAGTTGTTTGTCGAACCAGAGAGATCAACAGCGAAACGACCTTGCTTACGTCCTCGAAGGAACATAACGAGACTCCAAACGAAAGTGACAATAAACAGAACCCTAAATCACCATTAGTATGCGTCGCAAGTATGTGACTAAGGTACAACTTACCAGACCACGGCTCCCAGACCAGCAATAGCAGCCAAGATAGCCAAACCAGTCTTGAAAAGAATGACATTCTCTCCATCACGCTTGTAAAAGACACTGCAGTTCTTACTATCCGTAAGACTGCCATCATCGTAGCAGTTACCAACGTTGACGGGCACAACATACTTGGCTCGGCGAGAAGCGGTAGCAGCCCATGCGGCGAGCCAGAGAATGAGCATCAGTGCATCGAGGCAGAGGACGGCGATGATGTGGTATAAGCTTCGGAGAGAAGGGATCTTTTCTGTCAATAGCGCGTAGAGGACTATTATCCAGGTGAGGACTGCCTGTGAGGTGTTAGTGCTGTTGGGAGACTTGAGGTGGATGACTTACAATAGCGATGCAGAGGGAGTTTTCTGGGAGTCCGGCATCATGAATCATCCAGCCACAGAGACCGACAATGATGAGAGAGACGAGGAACTGAAAGGCGCGGATAATAACAATCCATAGTGGTGTTTGGAGAACATGGTCTCCCTCGGCTGGTTGTTGTTGAGTCATCTTGTAAGTCGATACGTGACAGACAACAGTATAAATGCAATGATGATATATCAAGTCCTGAAGCAGAATGACAGACTACAAAGAAAGGGCAGCTTGGCAGCCTTATACCCCCATTCAAAACTTGACTCACTCTGGTCAGTACCTCTTAGACAAGCTAGACAAGGCAGATTCGAGTTCAAGGACCCCTGGCGGATGGCTTGCCTTAGCGTCCTTCAGCCGCACCTCAGCTGTCCATTAAACAAGCTTGACCAGCGCCGTTGGGCGTACACGTGTGGTGGATCAAGAAGAAGGCGTTTGAAGGGGAGATTTGTGCCTGAATGGCCTCAAATTGTACCATAAAGAAATACATCTCTTTACACGTTGAGGGATAGTTGACTTCTCGTGGCTCTCGAGTACTCTAGACTGAGTGCTCTGTAGATTGGACTTCATCGTTGTGAGCACTGACACTCATGTTTGAGACTAAACAAGCCCAATCATACCCTATCTCAAACCCCTGTACAAGGCTGGCAACGGGAGATAATTGCCGACTATACATACTTAGACCAAGCGGGGTGGCGTCTGGGATCGATAGTTGGTAAAGTGTTTGGGCTGTACGACAAAGGGATTACTGACTTGGACATGTTGACGAGGCGTTTTCGTTTAGAAACCAGTTATGTTTCTAGCTTAAAAACTGACTCTTGACGAGAGTAACCTCTACATGGACGGTGTAAGTGGGCTGATTCAAATTGAGGAATGTGAGTATGTCTAAAAGAGAAAGCTGCGCGAGTTGGTGTTGGTTGATGATGATTGGTTAGACAAAGCTTTGAGATGCATGCATGAAGGATTCAAGACCCATGTCGTGTCGATCACTTTTCCCAAGGGAATCTCTCCCTTGATGAGATGTTGATACAATGTGTAATATCCGTAGTTCCGCGTTAAACGCAGACTTGTAAGTAGTTCAGATAAGAGGCCTGTCTGTGTACTCTTTCGTACTTTAAGATAAGGATTTTAACTCATTAATAAAGAGCTGGGAGCGAGAAGAGAGTAGGAGCTGAAGTGGATGTTTCGGCTGTGCTGGTCAGCCGTTTGAACTAGTGTGTGTGGGCGGAACAAGAGACAAAGTGCGGAATTAAATTGATGAATGAGGCTATTCGTAACTTGACATGGATAACCGGCATGATCCTTCCCTTGCATCGACTAAACTAGGTAAAGCTCAGGCTCAATTTGAGTAACGATCAATCTACGGATGCAGAGTAGTCTTGCACAAAGGTTCACAAGCGCAGATAAGTCTGAGACAGACCGGTCCATTAAATGCATGTAATTGATGCTATAATTACGTCTAAAAACTCTAACAATTCCAACGCCCATCATCACCCCAGATATCCTTTTCGTAGTCATTCATTCATCGCTCATCTCTTTTAGCATCTACTGCTCATTGGGACCCTTGATAAGAACCTTGATCGCCTCACCCTCCTTGACCTTCTTGAAAGCCTCCTCAGCCTGCTTAAAGTCGACAATACCAGTGATGAGCTTCTTGACATCAACCTTGCCAGTAGCGACAAGCTCAACAGCAAGAGGATAATCGCCAGCACCGTATCGGAATGATCCACTGGCGGTAGCCTCCTTGATGCAGAAAGCCATGATGGGGAAAGTAATGTCGGCCTTGCCCATACCACCCTGCACGTAGCTTCCGCCGTTCTTGAGGACATGGATAGAAGCCTGGATTGAGGGCTCAGCGCCGCTAGCATCGATAACAACATCGGCACCGTCGGGTAGACCGGCCAGATCACAAATGTTCTTGGCATTCTCCTCAGGCGCGATGCGCTGAGAGGCGTATACATGTGTGGAAGCAAAGTCCTTAGCAAAGTCAAGCTTGCTCTGAACAATATCAACGCTGACAATCTTGGAGGCACCGTAGGCCTTTGCGACAGCAGCGCAAAGAAGACCAACAGGACCAGCACCCATGACAACGACAGAGTCACCAGGCTTGACGCGCGCCTGCTTGACGATATGAACAGCGACAGCGAGAGGCTCAATCAAAGCACCCTCTTGAAGCGACACATTATCAGGAAGCTTGAAGCAAAAGTCGGAGGGAGCAGACCAGAAACCAGTCAAAGTACCGTGATAAGGTGGTGTAGCGGCAAAGACCATATCAGGGCAGAGGTTGTACTTGCCAGCGAGGCAGTTCTGGCAGCGACGGCAAGGGTATCCGGGCTCAAGAGCGACGCGATCACCGGCCTTGAGGTTCTTGACCTTTTCGCCGACTTCCACGACTGTTCCAGCAGACTCGTGGCCTAGAACCATGGGGTCCTCGACGACAAACTTGCCGATGGAACCGTGGACCCAGTAGTGGACGTCGGAACCGCAGATACCGGTGTAGTTGACGGCGACGAGGACATCGTGAGGGCTTGCGAGGGATGGTTTGGGACGTTCCTCGAAGGAGACGTCGCCTGGTTTGTTGAGGATGAAGGAGAGGTTCTATGAGGGGTCAGCATTCGACGTCATGAGGGGCATGGCGGGGTATCAACATACGCTGGACATTTTGGTTGTAATTTGTTGTTTATGAGGAGATGGTAAAGATGAGAGGAGAGAATTGGATGTATTTGTAGGATTGATGAAAGAGTAGAGTCGTCAATCGTATCAAGGTGGGTGGGATGTCCCTCTCTCTTATATGGACCCCAACGTCAAGTGAGTGTCACAATGTGGAGTTGCGATAGGAATTGACACCACAGCCAAGTTCACGACAGTAAAAAAATAATTAGAATAGCCTGAAGTTGTTTATCAGCAGATTTTATTTGGAGATAGATCAACTCATGATTAAGAGGAGACAAGTCTATATACCCATGGATGAACAGACAGCATCACATGGCCATTCTCAATTTTCTCTTCCTTTTTCCTCGTCAATTGATCATGTCCAATTGTCCATCATGCCGTGGGGGTGCGGCTAGAGTAGAGCTTCAATGATAATCTCAGCTTCACTTTTAACCTCGCCAATCAAGAAGCCATGATATTTGAATCGTACACGCTAGAGACTGGCCTAGCTTGTCATGACGGGAGCGCTTGACATTTTCTTGTCTTCAATTTAGCCAGAGTAGACAGATTGTATTTAACCGCGCCAGTTAGATTGAGGGGATCTAGTGGAGTGGGATCCATCGGTCAGAAATAGACCGGGACTACATGAGGAGGTTGAATGGGATCATGGGAGACGTTTTTCTTTATGATGGTAATTACTCAGTAGATACCAATGGCTGATCTGTTGGTTGAAGCTTCAATCCTCCAAAATATCCATGAGAATATTTCAGGTCATATCCAATTCATCCGGTACAATGCCGCTCAGAGACGGTCTCCATACAACAACTTCCGGTTGGTATCCGGGACCAAATAATGATCACTTGATCATCTCATCTGACGTTCCTTGTCGGAGAAAGCATCTAGAACCACAGTCTGGTCTATACCGGCATCGGGATTATGTTTTGTTCCTGCATCAGGTCTCAAAATTAAGTTAACGATCCATCACCGGCGGTCCGGCGCGGAGCTTCTGTATTGAGATTAGTGCCCGGTCGGTGGAACCGGGGCGGGGCGGAAGCCGGAGAGTTCTCCGGGTACGGATGCTGGAGAAGTTTATCAGGACAGTTGTCATCATATAATACATCTCACGCATTCACACTCGATCAAAGTAGTATTTGGAGTATAGTAAATTCTCATTCGCTATTTTGCCACATCTTCCCAATTACATACACCACTCTTCCATCTAATTAAGGTTGTAGTGCTCCTCCTGGTGACTAACAGAAGAATGTCTCTTTGTCGAACTCTCATGAGGATAATCATGCTCAATCTTAGGCTCGCCAAGATGCTTCTTCAAAGCAGAAGGAGGTGCACGAGCCGCATCGATGGGAGTTTGGGAAGAAGTATCGTGGTGCATGTCGTTTTGGTACGAGGGTGTATCACTACCAAGTGTTAGACACAAGTCATTTGACAAGGGAAAAAAGGTAACTTACAATGTAGACTGCTTCTGGGTAGAGGAAGAGGGAACTCCGGGCACGTTCTCTACCAGCGAGTTGATTCGGTCGCCGGTTCGGACACCCTCATTCTGGGTGCTGGTTGACTCCAGAGGTGCAGAGGCACCGGAGCTGAACTCGCGTTGCTGGGTGTTGTTCTCTGTCACAGAGTTGTATAAACCAGAGTTGGCATTGGAGTTGGGGTGTGTAGACTCGTTGTAGCTGGGAGGCTCATTGGAGTTGGTGTTGGTGTTGGTGTTGTAACCCTCATTGTTGGAGGGAACAACAGTCTCCTTGATCTTTTCGATAATAGACGCCATTTTAAGAGTATAAAGTTATGAGTGAGTATGATGAGTGCTGCAGTTTTGGTCTTGGTATCTGTCGCATCTGGATGCCTTTATATACTCTCCCAAACCAGGCCACTTCCATCATTCTGAACTACATCTGTCGCCATGCCATGCGTCATGAGAAACAAGCCATGACGTCGATCGATCGACAACTTGCGATAAGCATATTTTAAACCCTAAAATTAGTGGCTAGGCTTTTTTCTTGGCGGTCCCGGTTCCTGGAAACGGTAATGATTAAGAATTCCGAGGCTAAGATTTGCGTGATTAAAGATGTACCCTGGCATAAGACATCATCGAGCGGTATGCCAAGACGCCGATTAGGAAGTCAAGTTGAGGATTCCGTGGATCATTATGAGATATTTCGGTGTAAATAGACGGTCCATGTTGAGCTAAATAGAGTAGTCGCCTTGTACTACGTAAGACACTGGATCAAAACTTGGCTGGAGGCTCTGTGGCTAACTGTGTAACATGCCATGTGCACTTGCAGCCACCACGTCAACCACCACAAACACAAACCCAACGACATCATCTCAATCATCGTCTAACCACCATCCAAGCCCCAACTCCAACAACTCCAATCGCCCCAACCCAAGGCAAAACCACCATCGCAGCCGCCTTGATATTCCTATTAATCTTTGCCGTAATGGCCCTCTTCAACTCCGCCGCTTCATTAACCCAAGGAAACTCTTTCTCTGGCACAGGCTTATCCAAAAACTCACAAACAGGTCCCCAACCCTGTCCCATGCGATACTCCAACAATTGTCCCTCAGGAACCATCTCTCTAATCACCCGATGATGTCTTTCATAAGTTTCTCTTGCGTTGGCGCGTGCTTCTTCAACGGTAGACGCTTGGAATAAACCAAGCATTTGCTTTCGCGCTGAACGACCCATTGCGGAACCGAGGATAGGTTCGAGTACATTTATACTAAACTGCGCAATTGGATTCCAGAGGTTATGCAAAACGCTTTGATCGACGCTTTTGAACCAAGGGTCAAAGTCGCGTATGGCTAGGATGACTTTTGCATCGGGGTATGTCTGTATGAGCTGTGGTGCAAAGATAGATGCTACATCCGTGGTAGCTTCGCAATGACCCCAAAGCTCATCCCATTCCTCGCGGGTGAACGGTTTACCAGTATAAGAAGGTAAATTCGGGAATGAGGCGTCACATGCGCGTTCTAGAATTTCCCAATCTTCTGGTCGGTTGATAGCTTGGGTGGCGTGGTAGACGTTTTTGTAGCCCAAGATTGTGAGGGCTTCTGCCATTGAGGCAGAGCCTGTGCGGGGAAGGCCTAGCGAAAGAACCTTCATTTCCCTCATTTGTTTGGCAGTCGAGTCTGCCATTTTTATGGTGAGGAATTGTAAAGAGTAAATGAGTGAGATGTTGTCGTCAAGATATAGTCTTGGAGTGTAAGCCCTAGTTGTAGGTGTCGATCCTACAGGACTTCGGTTATGGCACGGACATGGAGTGGTCTCTTATCAGGAACATTACAGATCATGACACTCGTACTCGTGTCGGACGTGATTAAATGAACTACATTTGCAGACTCACAGGCAATTGCATCAGATACGACAATGACAATTTAAGATGAATCACTCAATTGGGCGCCATCTACATTTCCAGACAATTCACAAATCAGAAGGAACATATGTTAAACATTTAACTTCATTATTAGGAACTACTCCTTATGCTAGTAGATAAAATAACGGGAACTGGTATATCCATCCCTCCTCATTAACAGCCAACGTTGCGGCAAATTTTGGGTCCTCCGGTAGAGAACTCACATTCCAGTGAGCTCAAGTTTATTTCTCCTTCTCTTCCACCGTTTGGTCATGAACCCTTCCACTTTCGCATTCCAGCGAAGTTCATTCCGCGGCCGTTGAGCTGCTTCGTCCCCTTTTCATCTAGCATAGTGTAGCCTTTCATCAAGTCATTCAAGCCTTCTTCTCGTTGTTTGAGTTTTGGCGCTGAGCAGCACCAGCGTTGACCTTCTCAGAGTCGTGACGAACGCTAGCCTCGCTAGAGTCAGGAGTGAGGTACTCGCCGAAAGTGCGCTGCTCAAGATCCATGTCCTTCCAGTCGGTGCCTTGGGACTTGGAGGCTTGGTGACGGAAGTAAACACGCTTGGCAAACTTCCAAGCCTCGATACCACCAAAGAAGAGACCGGCAGCGATAAAGACAATACCCCACTCCCAGGTGATACCCTTGTGCTTGAACACAGTGTCGCTGATAACAGGAATGTACTGGATAGGGAAGAGGGTGACAACTCCAAGAATAATGGCCCAGAAGAGGAACTGGTTGCGCCAGATGTCGTGCATCCACTGGGTAAAGTAGAGCTTGGACTTGGGCTGCATGCGGAAGAAAGATCGTCGCTTGTCAATCATCTCCCAGGCAAGGAAGAGAGAGAACCAGGTAAGACAGGCGAAAGTAGTAGCACGGGCCTTGAAGACGGTCTCACAGCTGTCACTGTACTTGTCGTTGCAGTCCACACCGAGCTCACCGTCACCAAAGGCGTACATGCGGAGGACGAAAGAGCTGAGACAAAGAGCAGCGATCCAGACACCGTAGACAGTCATGTCAATGATAAACTCCAAGGAGAAAACACCAGTCTTGAGAGAGATGGGAGGTCGCTCCATGATACCGGCGACGGCACGCTCAAAACCGAGACCCATGTCGGGAAGACCAGAGGTAGCCATGATAATCCACATGATCTGGACGGGGGCAATAGGGAAAACGGAGAGACCGGTGTTGTCCTTGAAGACGAGACCGACAAGCAAGACGATAGCCTGAGCGACGTTGGTGGCGAGGACGTGAAGAATAAACTTCTGGATGTTGTCAAAGATACGGCGACCTTCCTCGATGGCAGCGACAATGGAAGCAAAGTTGTCATCACTGAGAACAATATCGGAGGCGTCCTTGGCGACATCGGAACCGGCTTGACCCATGGCAATACCAACATCAGCACGGCGGAGCGAGGGAGAATCGTTAACACCATCACCAGTCTGTTGAAGTTAGTTATGATCGGAAAGAAGTGGGAGTAAAACATACCATAGCGCAGAACTTGTCACGTCGGTGGAGGGCTTCAATCATGCGGACCTTGGTCTGAGGAGCACATCGAGCAATGACAAGAGGGAGGAAAGGAAGCTGGTCAACTTCGTCGTCGGTAAGACCATCGAAAGTAGTAGCAGTCATAACCATGGTGTTGACAGTGTCCTCGGCAACCATGTCCATACGAGTGGGCAGGATACCGACCTCAATAGCAATAGCCTTGGCAGTCTCGGGGTGGTCACCAGTGAGCATGTGAACGGAAATACCAGCCTGGTGACAGGCGCGGACAGCAGGGGCAGATTCAAGACGAGGAGGATCGTAAAGACCAACGAGACCACGGAAGACGAGATCACACTCAACAGTAGTACGGTCAATCTCGTCACCCTTCTTCATGTCGACGTTGTAGGGCTTGGAAGCAAGAGCAAGAACACGGAGACCCATACCAGCAAAAGACTCCATGTTGCGGAGAATCTGCTCACGGAACTCATCAGTGATGGGGACCTGCTCCTCATCATCCTCAGGGCAGTAAGTAGTACAAGCACCAATGACACGCTCGACAGCACCCTTGGTGTAAGCAAAGAGCTGGCTGGTTCGGTTGTCCTTCATGATAACAGACATGCGCTTGACATCAGAGTCGAAAGGAAGCTCAGCAATCTCACTGTACTGGTTGGAGGAATCGTGGCTGGTGAGCTTGAGACGGTTCCAGTCGAATCGAGAGGCGAAAACCTGGATAGCAATCTCGGTAGGGTCACCACGGGCGTGCCACTCGCCGTTCTTTTCGTTGACGGTGGCAAGGTTGGCAAGAGAAGAGACTTCAAGGAACTTGGTCAAGGAGTGCTTGCTTTGAGACAGAAGATCGTTGGTGGAAGTAATAACGCCGCACTCATCACCGCCAGCCTTGAGGGGAAGCTCATGAGGCTGCTTGCGAGACCAGCGGAGTTCACCAATGGTAGGGTTGTTGGCCTCGGTAGCGTTCTCAATGAGATAAGTACCCTTTCCAGGAGTCCAGGCACCACGGGCAACCATCTTACCCTGGGTAAGAGTACCAGTCTTGTCGGAGCAAATATCGGTAACAGCACCAAGAGCCTCGAGGGCCTTGAGGTTTCGAACAATGACGTTACGCTCAACCATGCGCTTAGTACCGGCGGCCATGGTGATGGTCAAGACGACAACCAAACTGGCAGGAATCATGGACAGACCAGTAGCGACGGCGTAGATAATAACCTGTTGGGAGGCGTTGAACTCGTTGGCAGCAAGGACGATGATAGCACAAACGACGGCAGTACCAAAGAGGTAGATTGCCAGTCGGGACAGCTTCTTTTGGAGGGGAGTTCCAACGTTAACACCGAGGAAACGACCAACAGCATCGGTAAGAGTAAGAGTGTAGGCTTCGAGGTATCGGTGAGGCTTGGCGGAACCATCAGGCTTACGCTTGACAGGGCGGACCTTGCTGTCCTTCTTTCGGAGAGCAGCAGCGATGGCACCAATCTCGGTGGATGTAGCAGTAGCAAAGACAATACCCTTGGCGCGACCCTTGGTGACAGTAGAGGAGCTGTAGGCGACGTTGATACGGTCACCAGGTCCGCAGTTGTCTTCGAAAACATCATCCTCGTTCTTTCGAACGGGAAGAGACTCACCAGTCAACATGGCCTCATCAGTCTCAAAGTTGACGGCCTCAATCAGTCTGTAAATGTTAGCGATACCCAATTTGAAAGACAATGATTTACTCACCGAATATCAGCAGGAATAGTGTCACCGGTCTTGATTTCCACAAGATCACCGGGAACGACTTCAACAGAGGGAATAACCTTGGCATCTCCATCACGGACAACACTAGCAGTGGGAGAAGACATGTTTCGAAGCGAATCCATAGTCTTCTCCGCAGAGTATTCCTGAAAGAAACCGACAGTGACGTTGAGACCAATAATGAAGGCGACGACACCACCCTCAATCCATGACTTGATACCGAAAGAAACGGCCATAGCGAGAATAAGCACCTTGGCAGACGTCAGTACTTGATAGTGCAGGGGAAGTAGTCATGGGACTGCCCAATTGGGTAGTGGTGGGCGGGTAAGAATATGGTTCAGCCATTGGAGATATGCTTAACCATGTGTGGGGGCCGATAGACGTAGGGGGAATAAACTTACCAGTGTCATAGCGTTGGCGACCTGGGCGATAATGATCTTGAGAGGCTGAACACCATCGGCGTCACCAAGATCGTTGTTGCCAAACTTTTCATGTCGTGATTTGGCTTCAGCAGTGGTAAGACCGTGCATAGCATCCGTCTGAAGCTCCTGGACGACTTGATCAAAAGTCAAGGCGTGAGCTGGGCGGCTCATGGGCTCGTTGCTCTGGCCCGAGACATGGTTGTCCACAGAATCGTCCTGCTTAGCCATGGTAAAGGTCAAAGCTAGCGGGCGCCAGCTTGAAGGTGTTTTTCGTATGAAAGGGGAATCGGGTCGGAGTTGAACTAAATGGTTGGGTCCATACGCCTATGTCTGGGGTTTCCTGGAGTATATAGCAGGAAGGCCTTTCGTTTGGCGTAGGGTTGAAGATCAGAAGAAAGATCTTTGGAGAGAGTCCAAAGAATAAGAATATCGTGCGGGGAGATGGGGAAGTCTTATAGAAGTCCATCTCAATCTCGAGCAGTGCTTATCTCGTGTTCTCAAAGTCTTGGCTCAAGTCACCATCGCTGATACTCCAGTAAACTCCACATCGCCAAGACGTTTCCATTTTTTCCTTCTCTGCTTCCTTAAAGGCGGGGTCTGAACTGAGAGCGAGGTTCTTGGCTTTGAGGCGAAACCTTGGTTGTTGTTGTTGAGAAACCACCCCAAATTTCACTAACAACCACCGGGCTTGGCCGTGCGACCCCGGTGGAGGAGCGCCGGTCCCAGTTTTCCCAAGGGGGTGAGGTGTGTGCTGATTGGACAAGATAAACCGTACAGAACGGTGCCGTACGGTGTTGGAGAGCTGGGAGTCGGGGTTCTTGGGGGGGGGCCTGGGTCGTTCGCACGTCATTGGGGACTGGGCAGCAAGTGTGACGCGGCGTGGCGGGCTCGGTCTCAATTGGGATTTCTTAGTGGTTGACGCAGGGCTTGGCTGAGGCTTGGTATTCTTGGGAGACCAGGATGAGAAGCTCACCAGAGTCATTGCTTGCTTAGGAACCACCGAACCCGAACTCGAGCCTTGGAAGGGCAAATAAGCGGTCATGAGAGAATATCGTCAGTGCATCTGAGAAAGTCAAAGCCTTGCTTGAAGCCTTGTTCAGTGTCACCTGGTGAGGCTCTGAGGCTCAAGGCTGTTTATGGTGGAGCGTCTGCAACCGAGTTGAGTTCAGCGCATTGGCCCATAAAATGAACCGACGTTAGACGAGCTGTTGGTATGTATGGTTGATGAAGGAGGGAGAGAGAACCACACCCCCCTCTAGTTACTGCCCAGACACACCATTTGCATCTCTACCTTTTCGGTAATTTTTCTTGTCAACGGACGACTTAGCAAGATTGGCATGTCTGGGCATACATAATTTTTGTCGTTGGTTGTCACGTCATTGGGAGTCGTCTCGCTTGGTCATTTCTGTTTGTCGCTTGCTTTGTCTCAACCATGCCTGCCATGCCATGGCACGAGGCTTGTTTTCTGCATCGAAATGTCGTAGTGATAATCTAGCGTAGGCATCAATGAAACGATTCTGAGGCAAAGTTTTCAGATATCAATCGCACCAAGGAAGGACCGCAGAAGAGCCGTATTATTGCATTATCAACGAGATGTCCGCGGAGGTCTAACGCCGATAGAGAGAAACCTCTCCCCATTGTTACTGACCGGGGAGATCTTGGGGTCGATCAGATCTCGAGATGTTTGGCTGAGGATTTGGCGCGTTAGGCAGCGTGTCTCGTCGAATGTTGTTGCGAGTATTTGCCAAGCATGAGGTGCAGGCACTGCCACGCTTGGCAAGACTTGTTGTTGTTAGTCACAGAGTCTTATCTTTGCCCAGAGTTTGGAGGAAGCCTTAGCTGGGAGCATGTACCTGGCCGTTAGCGCCTTCCGTCTCACAGGGGTCCACAGACATGCCGAGTTTGTGGAAAGTTAGTGCACTAACGGTTGGACACCAACAAATATCACTACGCTGTTATTGATCTAGTACTCACGTGATTAGCTTCCACTGCTTCTAGAAGCCATCCAAGCATGGAAGGTACTTGGTACGTAATCTCTCCTCCACCAGATCATCTGGGATCTCCTTGAACGTGACAATAAGCTTAAATCGTCGGCTTTTTTCTCACAATGGCCCACAATATTGATAATGCTTTTCGAATCTTTGCACTACCCCCTTTAGCCGCATTTCCAACTCAAAAAATGGCGAATCACATAACCTACAGTCTTCGCTTCACATTACCATTACACAACCAGGACAACTTCTCGAAAGACTACGACTCACGCACATACATACACTAACCTTGATGGTCTCCGTTTTGGTTACTAATGTGCGATGCCATTCAGAAACAAATGCTAATCATTTCCTGACTGAGAACGCAGATCAAAAGAGACGCCGGACGCGGAGACGCTGACACCAAACTACCAAGGAAGACCAAAGAAGCGCCGTATGCTGCAGCAACACGCCAAAAGGATTCGCCCGGCCCACTCTAAACGGCACTTTGACGGGGCGCTTATGGCTACCACAAGGATACTGTCCTCTTACAGGCCACTAGCTGGGCTTTCAGACGCATGTGAGGCTTTCACGGGGAAAATAACGGGTCTTCATCTCCTGCTATTGGACCCGCCCTCCGGATACTGTCTCGGGGCGGACACAGCGGGGACTACTCCCCACGGAGGTGCCCCGGTCTCCAGAAAGAGGCTCCAATGCGAGCTTTAACAGCGGAGATATCTTTCGAGAGATGGGGATAAACCCGGATGTGTCGGCGTTGCGACCGTAATCACAGCATTTCGCTACGGATATGAGACATGCGTGGGGGCTTTGCTTTTGCAAAAACGCAGCACCACGAAAGAGAAGGCCGCCATCTGCCCATATGGAAAAAGAAAAGAATTTTCACCTGCATGACTGTGCCGTACTCGAGCATACTCAATCGCAGCCGCATCTATGTATGCCACTGAAGTTTGTGCTTTATGTTTGCTGTTGTTGTTGTTGTTGTTGTTGTTGTTGTTGTTGTTGTTGTAGAACATGGCAGTGTTGTGATCTTGCACCGGAACAATGAACGTCAGACTTCTCGGCACCAAGATTGTGATGTTCGGTCTCCCTCGTTACGGAACGGCGGTCAAAGCCAGCTCAACGAGGCCCGGGAACGGAGTAGTATCGGGAGTCTTCAAGTCACATGGGTCTAACGACTCAGGCACGGACTGATTATAGGCCGGGGAGTTCAACACCACCTAACACACGGCAGATGTGCGCTCGGGCTCGGTGATGTCCCACGGATTTGCTTCAACACCATATGCTCCGGATGTTAATCCTCAGAAGTGGTAAGCCGAGCCCAGACCCGGACCACTCAGAGCTGTGTATTCACAATTCTCAATTAAGGATCCGTTTGTTATCAGCCGTAGATGTTCAAGCACGAAATATGATTTACCGAATGTCAACCTTGACCAAGAACTTGGCGATATGGAACTTGGCCGAAAAGCTCTCAATCCGATGTTGGTTTCTTTATCCATCGTACCATAATTTCAAGGACATGTCTTGGCTTTAGAGCCCTGACATAAGCGTCAGATTTCCCCAGGCTTGGATGGCTGCATTCAACAAATCCTGGGGTGAAAGATACAGCTTCAGCCATTGATGCAGCCAAGCCTCCTTGCTATTGCAGCACGGTCTAGGCCTCGAATTATCAGAGGGCCTCAAGCTTTTGAGAGAACTCTCAAGCCTTTTTCCAAGGACGATCCCTGTGGGGTCCGCAGATGTTGTTGGTTTGATGGATATGTATCACGATAACTGGGCGGATACTAGTTGAGTATTGTTCGGGCCTTTTCGGTTGTTATCTAACATGTTGCAGATTGATATTGATCTATGTGGCTACTACATGACTATAACGGCATATACATCTATATTCCGTACGCGTGCATTCGCCTATGTCTTTTGTCAAGCTCGAAACTACAGGGTGGCAGATACCCTAGGGTCCCAAGGTCCATTCAATTCTGCCGCTATCTTTCTTTGCTTGGCGATGGAAGCCAAGGCTTCAAGTGCAATCAATTACATAATAGTGAATCCCAAAATGTTGGAGTGCGACACAACTTATTATTACAACCATCCATGGTTTATCTGTGACAATACTGCTGCAAACGAAATCTGCAGTTGTCTGCATGTAGCCATACAAAAGCAACCGCAACGAAACGGCAACGGAAACGGAAACGCTCAAGATTGGGTCTCTGAGCGGAACGGTGGGCGGCCCCACCGATGTCCCATTGCCAAGCAAGCGGGTGTCTTAGGCTTACGAGGGTGATGCAGGGATACAAGCAGCGGAGTGGACACGGCGGAGCCATTCGCAGTTGAGAAAAAGAAGAGGAGGACACGTGCCCTCCGCTGACGACCCGACCACGGAGCGGAGGTATGCCTGAGGATGTGACTGAAGTTGGGAATGGTTGCTGTACGGATAATAGACATGTCACTGCGCACATATCCTCACCCGTTGCTTTTCGCCAAGGGTATCTTGAGTCGAAGAAGCATTTGACAAGACCTTGGCTTGAACAATTGGCTTGAGACATTTAGTTATTGTCACCGGGCCACAGGGTCGGCTGTCAAGCCGGGAATCCGGTGCTTGGCCAGATCAACGAATATTATTCTTGGAGAATTTAAGAGTATCGCAATATTGACACGCATTCGTTATCAGAGGCGAGATTATTTCTGGAGTTTGTGCCAGGCTTGGATTGACACTCATAAGCGAACGACGTCACTTCTCAACACTCGTGGGAAAATGACCAAACAACACAACTGTTGACCACACTGTAATGCAACAAGCGATCATTGATGACCTCGGACCACAGATGCATCGACCGGATAGAAGGGATTATTGAGGGGGCCGGTCTGGCACAACACCAACAAATGCTCATTATGACCAAAAAATGCCAAGACGAAGATTTTTTTGAGACACACCCAGGTCAGATTCCCCGATGGTTTTCTTGTTCTCGATGAGGCACATCGCTTGGGTTGGGGAGGCGAAAACGCCCAGGCTTGCCAAGAGAAAAGAAGATGACCTAAAACTAAACGTCCCAAACAAGAGACCGAACTCTACTCGATCCTTGTCCAACGTTGGTGTCTGTTTGCTGCTGATCAGAGAAAACGGCTTGACTTTCAACCATTAAGCGACAGCCACCAATCTACATCACTGATCACCAATGTCCAGCGTGGGGGAAAGACGCACGCGACCATATTCAGAAAACAGACAACACAGTTTTTATCTTTGACGATGCACGAAATAAAGGGCCCCCCTCCCCCTCGTTTTAGAGCCTGTGGGAACTCCTCATTTCGAAGCTTGGCACGAAACTCTGTCTCCCCAGCCGTCTCATTTCCCGCGGGTAAACTATCTATCAATAAACAAGGGTTCATTTGTTTTACCAGAGAAAAATAGGAAGCAAGTGAGCAACTATTGACAATTAGAAACTCGGACCATTACCTTATCTGCTGGCCTATGAAGCTAGAGGCTGAAGTCCAACGTCTTGGCGAAAGTTCGCTTAGGCTGAAAGGGAAGGACAGTTGACAAAGGACACTTGAGTTGGGAAAAGCATATAGTAAGTTGATACATTAACGTCATTTATTAACAAAAATATTCTCAAAAAGTCCAATTCGCCAGACCCAAACACCCAAAGCACCGTTATCGTCAGTCCATCAAATCTTTGCCATGTGGTGAAGACAGCACTTCCAATCTCCTCCAGGGCCTTGTCTAAAGACACTATGGCACCACGCATCGGTCGCGTTCATCTCTCCATTCTGCAGCTTCCAGCAAGTGACGCGATAGTTGAGAGCCGAAGCCATGAGATCAATCTCAACAAACTCGGGTTCGTCGTGAATCTTGTATGCGGTCCAAGGTTCGTACTGCTCCTCAAGATATTCGTCGAGGGCGGGTTCGCTTCGTGGTGAGTAGACCTTTTGGTCGGGTTCGACCAGGACGGCGTCTTTGGTGATGTACTTCCACATGACTTCTGGCTTTTCGGAAGTGAGGGCTCGCCAGAGGAGGGCAGAGGCGTCGAGAGTTCCCTCCTTGTTGCGGTGCTTGATTGTTCCTTTCTTGATTTCGCCCATTGTGATGTTTGTGTATGTTTTGTGTTGGTATTGGTGTTTAGCTGGTTGTTGGTGTTATCGCGATAGTAGTCTGCTGGTTGGATGAGAGGAGATTAAGTCTCAGTTCAAAAGAAAAGACACATGATATCCTCTCTTCATCATGAATACCTGACGTAGATTCTGCCCCCATTTCTTGCATTTCCATCCTCCAAAACCTGGCATCAGTCGCATCTGATGAATCCCTGCTTGGCCTGACGTCAGCGCTGCGCAACCCTTTCAAAAGCAGGATATCTTTAACGTTTGTCCAATTAATTGCAAGAAATTCAATTCAACACAACAAGTTATTCTCTATAATCTATTCGTTCTTGCGATACTCAAAAAAAGACTTGTTTTTCTTGTTGAAGACTATGCGTACACAGTATCGTCGTCACGGACCATCTTGGCGTTGAATGCGACCGAGCAACAGTTTCTCAACATAACTAATCTGCACACCACCACGTTTCTATTTAATTCGCTATCGTTTTCTTAGATCATAAATACTATTCTCATACAGGAAGGTAGTCTAGGTTAATTTTAGTTTCGCGATAGAACAATTGCCAAGTCTTGCTATTGAAAGAGCTAAACTTTTTTCACCTTTTGGTGGAGAGACGCCAAGGTAGTGGATGTGACGTCAAACCAGGGTCCAAGAAAATATCCATTGAGAAAGTATCTTGATTCAGAAAAGGTAATCTGTCTTCATCATATCATGGACTCGTTATATTATCTCGTCAAAGACTAAATACACTGGTATAGAAGGGGTTGTTCAACAGACTGTACTGATACCCATCGCCCCGTCTTCTTTTTCCGCTATCTACGCCGTCAAATAAGAAAAGAAAAGAAGCGTCGTGCAAATATCTGATAACAAAATGGCACAAAAGGAAAAAAAAAATCTCAATGGAAGCGTTCCTTGATGTACACCATGGCTGCGAATCCCGCACAGCATCTGGTGCTCATCTCATGTCTACACCAAGCACACTTAACAGTCATGCTCAAACTACCCGCATAATCAGTTGATCCAGTGCTCAACACACCATCTGGGTTGGACATGGCTTCGTAGAGTTTACTCGGCATGTCGTGGTAGCGGCTGCAAGCGCAGCATTCAACAAACATCTTGGCGCTTGGTTCACCGTGATGCTGGTGGTGTTCCAAATTGGACTGCCGACGAAGTGTTTTAACAGCCTTTACTGATTCAGAATCTGAGAGAGCAGGTCTATGGCCTTGAACAGGTGATCGGACAGGACCTCTGCTATGCTTGAGGGTGTGCGTAAAGCTTCGTTCATCGGAAGGGGTTTGTCTGCGCGGTGTGGAGTTGGCGTTGGAAAATGTTTCCATAACTCTGTTGGCTTCTTCTTGGATAGAGTCAACGTCTGCGTCCAAATTATCGCTGGGCGCAAGTTGAGGTGAGTTTGCGTAGGACCAGTACGCGCCGGCGTTTGCGGGCTTTCCGGATACTATTCTGGGAGAGTGGCCCATTTCGGATTGAGGAGGTGTTGAGCGCGGTGTGCTGAGGGGAGATACAGATAGAATCGCGTCAGAGTATGATGAATCAGAGGAACTCGTCATGGGCCGACGACCTGTTGGAGAGCACGATGTTGGTAGGGTGAGATGTTTAGGGATATGAACGTGCTGAGTACGGATAGGTGCAGCGTTGGCAGTACTCAAAGCATGCGCGTTATTCTTTGGTGGCACCGGAGGTCCAACGGTAGACGAACTTGCCGTCGAAGAAACAGACCCTTGAACAGAATGACCTCGACCGAACGCACTTCTGGCAGCCTCCTTAAGGTTCCATTTGGTGGTAACGGCGGGTTCAGGGTCTGTGGTGATGGGTTTTGGGCGCGCGCCTGGCTGAGTCTGCTCGTAGCGGATGCTCGGTGGGTTATGCCTAAACAACTTCTCTTTTGACGATTTATCCACTGGTGCGCTCTTGGCGGTTGATGGTTCGTCGGAAGGTTGGGAGTGGTTGAGACGGGTTAACAAGGTAAGAGAACCTCGTCTCTTTGAGCTTTTTCGCGGAGGCGTGGGAGGGATGGAGAGACCTGATGCGGCGGACGATCTCCTGGTTGGATGTTGTGCGGATGCTATCGGTGGTCTTGATACTGTGATGGTGTCTTGCTTGGGAGGGTTTTCGGACTTGGGGACGTTGACTGTCGGGGTTTGCTTCAGACTTTGGTTTGAAGTGCGTGGTGTTGCTTGCTTCTCAGCATTCTTGGGTGAGTTCTTGTCTTCGATGTTTGACTTGTCCCCTTCATTCTGATCCTTCTTGACGTAGAGACCACCTCTTCGATTCAAACCTTGAGCCTTGTGGTATAGAATCTCACTATCGGGCGTGTGCACTTTGTTCTGGTCACCCTCGTCTTCCGTATCATCAACAGCGCAATCATCACTAACGGAACCCCGTCTCGCACGAGCGCTCCACAGATAAATATTCACAGAACCCCTTCTTCCCGGTGATTTCTGTGATTTCGCCGACGGCATTTTCGCGCCGGATGTATTGAGCGAGATGGGTGGGTATTTCTTCTGCGCATCTGGCTGGGTGTTGACTTTGAGAGGTGTAAATGAGCCGTGACCCAGGAAAGTCTTTCGCATAGCTGGATGAACCTTGCTGTCCCCTTTGGCCTGGTCTTGAAGCACCTTTTGATGAAAATCCTCCTTCTTCTTCTCAAGCTTGACACCTCCAAGGAAACCGGTAGAGCTCGTCTCGTCAAATGACGCTCTCTTAATCTCAAAGGACTTGCGGAATATAGATGAGAGTGAGCTGGATCGACTGCTTCGTTTGGGTTCTTCGGGATCATCATTGTTTCTACCAATGGAAAACCCTAATAAACTAGACGAGCGCGATCTTCGCTTCTGTGTTGTGGGCACTGGCTCAGTGACGCTACGGCCTTGAGCAGCAAGGACGGATGGTGAAGGCGGAGGAGGTTTGCTAAGCTTTCTTCCACGGGGCTTGGGGGCATTCTTCCAGGCTTCTTCAAGTGCTTGATCCATAACCTGGATCCTTTCTTTCTCTTTTTCTTTTCGCCTCTCTTCTTCCTTCTTTTCAATCTCCCTTCGTTTCTCTTCCTTCCTCTCCCTCTTTTGACGATTATATGCCTCCCAAGTGGGCGATTGACATGCAGCGCGCTTCTCTTCAATATCTGGAGGAAACACAAATGCCACTGTCTTTTGAGCGGGCGGAGAGTCCTTGAGCTGTTCTGTCGAGGCTGGTTGGGACATGCCTTTCCCAACAGGTTTTCGAGGAATCATGTTTGGTGACTCTGACCGCACAGGATCCGAATGTGATGAGAAAAGCGGCGGAGGAATGGCGGAATAGTTTCGAAGAGGGACTTTTTTATCCTTTGGCACCAATTCGAATCGGCGGGGAGTATGGGCGGGATTTGGAGGAGAGGTATCAATGCATGCCTGAGATGGAGGCACAGAGCCTTGATGTGTTCGCTGGAACTGTGAGAAAGTCAGATTTGTTTTTTTTTACGATTGTTTGTATGCTTACATTGAGCTTCTTCTCCAAATCAAGCATTTGCTGCAGGCTATTTGATCGAGAGCGCCCTTGAGGCTGGGCAGTAGTCTGCAACATTGTATGGTCGACCTAGAAATGGCGACTGCGCAGAGGCGCTTTAGAACATGCGAAATGTGAGACAAAGTGTTGGGAGAGAGAGAATATAAGTTGTGTCAGTGTTGGACAGAGCTGAGCACAGGTCGGTGGGGTGATGGGTTTGCTGCAGGTAAGCGGGAATAATAATAAATCTGAAGAGTTTATCTTTGTATCGGGCGTTTGCGTCGGTCTGCAGATATTTTGACCGAATGCGCTCAGAATGAACTTATCTTGACTGCGTTCGGTACAGTCAAAGTGAGTGATGTTTGATGATGTCTCGGCTGATGTCTTGCTATTGCGGATGAAATTGGAAATGATTCATTCCAATTACACTTCAACCCTTCTTTTCCTTCTCTCGATAATTTTGAAAGAGAAATCAACGAAAGCGGTGGATTGACGGTTGCGTCGTGGTGTAAATGAGGTGGTTTACAAAGGCGGTGGGCAAGTATCTCGTGATGTGACGAGACAAGCGAAAGCCTTGACGATTCTTTTTTTGCCAGTGTTGTACAAGTGGAAAAAGAACAAAAGGCAGACAAAAAAGAAACAAAAAGTATGGTGATACGAAAAAGAGGTCAGAGGAACCAAAGCGTAATCGGATGGTAGCACGTAGTAATATCCTGACTCAACGTTGGGCTCGAGTAGCATGTATCCTTGGATGGATATATGTAAGAGAAAGATGGAGGGGTGACAAGATGAAAGGGAGGGAGGGAGAATCTAATTGTAAGAAGTAGAATCAGTGGGAATGGAGAATTCCAGACAATTCTTTTTTTTCTAGTTGTCTTTGTTGATTGATTGCCTGACACTTGGCAATCTTGTTTCTTCTCATCAGGGACAAAGCAAGCAAAGCAGGCAAGATGCCGATAACTTATTCATTCAATTGGGTAGCTTCTATTTTTCTGGGCTTAAACTAGCTGCAGTAGACCAACCCAAAACCAGCTGAGTTGCGGGACGATAATGATAATCACATCCATCATCATGGCTGGTTTACTAACAAGTAGACTAGCATGGGCCATGGATCATGATAGAATGGGTTATGCGTGATTGCGGGATGGCGGCATCACTCATGACTGGGGTTGGAAGCCACAACGTAGGGATTTACAGCATTGACCTGTCCCAACGATGGTCGAATGCTACGACAGTACTGCTTGAACGACTACCTTGTCACCCATTGTATGTCTACAACCCTCCTTCACAACCTTGAGAGCCTCTATCAACTGCACCTGAATCCAAACTCAGCTCGTAAGGATATCGAGCTGTAGTCTGTCTCTCAGTGGGTTCTTGAATACGAACTGTTGAGGTGGGCACCACCCAAAAAAAGACGTGCGTGGCTTGAGGTGTCATCCGTCAATCGGAGGAACTCATTGGCTCGCTCCGGCAGATGCGGGAGTGATCCACGGATAGGGCATCCATCCGCCCATCCATCACCTTACAGTCTTCGGTCAACCCAATCCTTTCTTAGGGTGACAGCGGGGAGACCAAAAATAGATAAAACATCCCATCCAATAGCTCTCTAACAAAGATACGCGAATAGTAACACGGTTACCCGCTGTCTCAGTCTGGAAGGATACGAACTCATACTCTCTACTCTGGGGTTTAGCGGTCTGCACAGAAGCTCGTTTAGTCTTTGATAGCGGCAAGCAATAAAAAAGAAACAAAGCAGTACCGTAGTGGCTGACGGATGCGCTTGAACCGCAACCTTATGCAACATGGGAGGCTGGACGGTATAATGATCGCTAGTGAGGAGGTTGACATGGTCAAAGTTTGTTAGTACTCTGCTCAATTGAAGTGTATCGTAGCACAACATAAAAGCCACATATTCCCCTGATTCTTGTACTGGTGGTGTCCCAGCCTTTTGATCATTGTAGCTGCAAAGCAATGAGAATCTCATGACGTGGTTTCCAACCTCTTACCTCGGTAGCTGAAAGTATAGTCTAGACTAGACTGACTCTACACTTTTAGTCAAATGCGTAGTGATGTGATTATTTGTGAGGGGTATCGTATGGTACGTGCTGTTTCTGCAAGCAAGATTGTGTGCGATAATAGAATGGGTCTGTGCATTTTGGGGCTTGATTTAGACGGTTTACCGGATATAACTAGTGATGTGATTGAGGCAAACCAATATGATGGCCTCGAAGGGATTCATTTTTACATTATATGATTGTCTATATGTTCAATTAAAGAGTAATTAAATCCATCTCTGAGTCTTGTGAAGAAACACCAGAAATGACAACTCATAAGAGCGCAATATAGCTCTACATTTTGAGCCCTGCGATATAAATAATTCGAGACATGGCGGGGTTCATAGTCCCCATGTTCAGTCCCTGTCGCCATGGTCTCATCTTGATCTCGTATTTTCGCATCAGTAAAAAGTCCATGGTGGCTAGACCCTGCAAGTACCTGGGTCTCAAAGTAAATATAGCAAACACCCACTCTACACGATGCAAGACATGAAATTCTTACCATGATGAGAGTAGGTCACAAACAGACCATAAATCTATATGATCAATTAGGCTGCTAGTGGAGAAAGTGAGTACAAGTGGAGAAGTTCTGGTAGGGTTGATGGAGTCACTTTTGCGAAACTTACCCTACATTGGGCATGAAAAGATCAATTATCTCATTACTTACGTCGCAAATAGACTCTTGAATAAACCTAATACTACTTAGAACATTAATCTAAGCATAAGATCTCAATAAATGTTGGATTGACAATAAATAAGCTTATACATAACCGGTTTCTGCGTGTTAGTCGGTTGCCAAGTCAAAGCATAAACCATCACTTCAAACATTACGGTGGCATCAAGAATCATTTACTCTTAACATCACTTAGTGAATTCGAGACAATATCTCGAAAAGTAGTTTAATTGAGAAATGAGAGTAATCACAGTCACCCAATAACAGAATGCCAGTCTCCAGGTTAAAGTTGATACGGGCCAAGAGCAGATGCTTGTAAGACGCCCAACCACGCGAACATCTTGTACCTGCATGGCCGAAGAACGATGTAACGGCTTCAAGTACTCAATCAATGATGAACAGCAGTCAGACGCGATTGTGAATGCAGACAACTGGTGCTAGGAAGATCTACCATATTGGACTGTTCAGCCTCAACATCAATGCAAGATACACATCCACCCAAAATACTAAGGTAATTCACAAGTGACGTCGCCCAGTTCTTCCAATGCCAACCAAATCACTACTCTCGAGAAAGCGATACAAAGAATCCTCAAATATCCAAGCTACAGAATACTCAGTCCTCTTTATGACATCTCCAAACTACAAGACTCGCCTTAGTATCATGAGTTTGGCCTTCAGCCCCACTCACATTACATAATCATCCAATCGGACCCAGTTATTCCGAGGGCATCACTTCACGTGAGCGCTTCCGCCCACACTTCTGCATTTGCCAAATTCCCCAAATCTTACCGCGCAGCCGTCGACTCACCATCCACATCACCAAGCAAATCATTCACCATGGGTAAAGTTCACGGATCTCTCGCCCGTGCCGGTATGTCGCCCTCGCCCAAAGCGTCGTCGCTTTATTTTATTTGCTGATCGCTAACATTCTTACAGGCAAGGTCAAGTCTCAGACTCCTAAGGTACGACGACTCCTCGAATCCAACAAACCATCGATTACTCCGACGAACTACGATCACTAACCATCGAAACAACAGGTCGAGAAGCAAGAGAAGACCAAGGTCCCCAAGGGCCGTGCTCTCAAGCGCCTCAAGTACACCCGTCGATTCGTCAACGTTACCCTCACCGGTGGCAAGAGAAAGGTGAGCAGCAGCGACAGCAGCTGCACAATAATACAGGAACGGTCGACTGATGATACGGACACAGATGAACCCCAACCCCGGCTCTTAAACGATTGGTTAAAAACGACAAGATTTGCGGAATCGGGATTGTTGGCTTGCGGACCACAACAATGGTTGACTTCACTCAGTAATGGGATGATGGATTGGGTCGGTCGGGTCGCATGGATAGGCTGAGCCCCCTTATGAAATAAAAAAGGAAATGGCAAAGAAGCGCTACGACCCTACTCGGCGTCCGGTGTCAGTTGTCACAATGCAACAAACATTTGTTCGCACAGACATTCTGCCTGTGAAGCGACTGTGAATGTCGGTATTTGCCTGGTGATACCCCGAGTCGGATGTGCTCGATGGTTCTGGGATCGTAGACGGATTTCTGGGGCAATTTCGGCGAGTGACTCACGCTGATGGATGACATCTTCGATTCTGGTGCCTCAGGATCGCCTCCATGTCAAACCTTGTTCAAATGCCACTACATGATTCCACGTAAATGATGCATCTAAATCTGTAATTCCTGAAACATAGCTTCCGAAACGAATGCTTAATATCTCCAATAGAAAGCCTGTCATTTACAGATGAACTGCTTGTTTCCAATGCCCGTCACGTGATATGATTTCCATGCTGAACTCTGTCAGGTAGCTTCCATCACCAAAGCATCAACTTTACACTCACCAATCCCCCAATTAATCGCACACTAAATAACACAGTCAAAATGGCCGATGTTGAAATGGACGTCGATGTCGAGGCGGGCTCTCCCCCTCCCCCCGCGCGCAACGAATCCGACATGCAAACACACACTAAAGCCACGGCCGTCCGCTCCATCGAAGGCTGGATCATCATTGTAACAAATGTCCACGAAGAAGCCGACGAGGAGGCTCTGCAAGATCTCTTTGGAGAATACGGAGAGATCAAGAACATGCACCTGAACCTCGACCGAAGAAGCGGTTATGTCAAGGTAAGCCAACGCGAAAGCAGAACAAAGACAATTGCTGATGGATTGCTTAGGGATATGCCCTTATCGAGTATACAACGCTGGAGGAAGCCCGAGCTGCCATAGACGGCGCGCACGACCACAAACTTCTCGACCAGACCATCTCGGTGGACTTTGCTTTCGTGCGACCTCCTCCCGGCAAGCCTGGTCGTGGAAGAGGCGCTGGTGGACGAAACAGAGGACGAAGCAGGAGTCGTAGCCCCGAGGGCAAGGAAGAACGCGAAGAGAGGGATTGAGGGAAATAAAAAAGAAACGAGATCAAATCATGACGATCAAGCCATGCAGAATCGCCGACGTGCAAGGTCAAGTGGATTGAGAGCACGTTGGCAGTGTAATGTTTATACATGAGGTATGTTTGACCGCATTTTGCGTTGTTTCTGGTCTAACATGTACTCTAGATCGACCAGAATGAAACGCGACACTTGGCCTATGGATTATTCAGGGGTTCGAAAGTGCGGAACGAAATACGTGACTTGCCTACGTGATATGCTTACATTCCGCATGGAAGATCGTTGTTTGGTAGGTGTTACAGGACTTGACAGGTACAGATCACAAACAATAGCAATCGTCTTGGAAAACGCATACAATATTCCAGCGCGCTTAAATGGATTGATATCTAATAATATCTGACTTCTATCCAGCCAAAACGCAAACGGCTCCAAACTTGCCTAGAATACCCAAGTAAACGACTCCTTCACATTGAACCTCGTCGATCGTCTACACCGATTAGCATTTATTCTTCACCTGCACCAGAAAACTTACCTGATATCAGTACTCGACGCTCCAATCAACACCTCGAAAACTCCCTCTTCAGCAATCCATCCTGGAACTGTCTCGTCATAGTACCCAACAGCATACTTGTCCAGTTTGATGCTGATGTGTCTCGTCTCATCAGCTTCAAGGTACACTTTCTCAAACGCCACGAGCTCCTTTTCAGGTCTTGGTAATCGGCTCTTTTCATCGTGAACGTAGACTTGTACAATTTCTGAACCGGCACGCGATCCTGTGTTGGAGATGGCGAGGGTGATTTTGATCTCTCCGTTGGGAGTGAGGGTCTTCGTTGAGATTTCTGGCCGGCCGTACTCGAATGTTGTATAAGACAAACCGTGGCCGAAAGGGAAGAGAGGCTCGATCTTGGCATGGTCGTAGTGCTTGTATCCTATGTAGAGGCCTTCACCATATAGAACTTTGTGGTTTTCGCCGGGCCAGGTGTGCCATGCTGGAGTATGCTCGATGCGTTTGGGGAATGTACTCTGTTGTAATCAGTCGACTGTTCTCGCAGTTGAAACGATTTTACTTACTGGGAGCTTGCCGCTCGGATTCTCAATGCCAAATAGCACATCGGCCAAAGCATTGCCCGCTTCTTGACCTTGGTACCAGCCCTGGAGAATGACAGGCACACGATCAACCCAGGGCATGTGCACCGGACTACCAGACTGGTTGACAACGACTGTACGTGGATTAGCTTTGACAACAGCTTCGATAAGTCTGTCTTGGTTCCCATCAGCAGGAAGATCCATCGTCTGACGATCGTATCCCTCAGACTCCCACTCAGCATCCACACCAACAATGACAACCGCGACATCAGCATCGCGAGCTGTCTCGACGGCTTGCTGGATATAATCCACCTTGTCTTGTTCTTTAAAACCAATGCGACAGCCACCGTACTTGTGCGTGATGCCAAACTGCTTCTGCTTGGATATGGGACGTAGTTCGTTAGTCATCTCCACACGAAGCTCAACAGCCTTGTCAGCTTCCATGTCGACGTCAACGAGGTAGTCAATCGACCCATCAAACATAGCCTCGCCTTCCTCCGTCCAGTCCCACAGATCGAGAACCATTTTTCCATCAACAAAGAGTTTTCCGGGACCCACGCTCATGAAGCTAATGGTGTGCTTTCCAGTCGTCTTGGGTGTCAGATACGTAGTCGCCACAGCAGACCACTCAGGTCCGACCTGGTTCAAAGGCGCTGAATCCCAGAGGAACAAATCTGTGTTTGTTCGACGCTGCTTCACAACGGGGTTACTCTCGAATTTATCACCTGCGAACCAGTCTATGTGAACACCTGGCTTGCCTGACTGTTCAGTGCAGTACTCTGAAGCGACGGGAAGCCATTTGTGGATATGGCAACCTTGAGCAAACGATACTTTTTGTTGTGATGCTTTTCGTATGCTGTCTAGCGGAATGGTGTTGTAGTATGGGTTCAAACTTGCGCTTCCACCACCACCAGCAATGTGACGATTCGCGTTGGGTCCGATGACGGCGACTTTGGTACTTTTGGGACATAGCGGAAGAATGCCGTTGTCGTTTTTGAGAAGGGTGAGTCCTTCGTGACCGGCTGATCGGATCAGTTGACGTGTTTCTTCACGGTCGTCTTCGCGCTCTGGCTGCTCCGGTGACATGTCGCCTCCCTTGAGTCTCTCTACCAGTGCGAGAACATTCTCTGCAGCTTGGTTGATGGTGTCGATTGAGATGCGACCTTCGTTGACCGCTGCGACGAGCTTATCAAGACGCCATTTTGGGGAGTAGGGGAATTCGATGTCACAACCTGCTTCGACGGAGTCGATTATTGAGTTTACACCGCCCCAGTCTGAGACAACGGTTCTGTAGAATGTTAGTTGATTGTTCAGTAGTTATGTATGGGTTTGTTACCCCTCGTATCCCCATTCTCCACGAAGGATATCCTTGAGTGTGTGCTTGTTCATGTCTGCGTGGACACCGTTGATGAGGTTGTACGAAGACATGACAGCCCAAGGATTGGCCTCCCGAACTGCAATCTCGAACGGTTTGAGGTAGATCTCACGGAGGGGTCGTTCGGTGATGAGTGAGTCTATCGTGAGTCTGTTGGTCTCTTGTTCGTTTCCAACAAAGTCTATCAACCTGTTAGCACATGTCCAACCAGCCGACCGAGTATACATACGCTTGATAGTAGCCGCGACGCCTCTATCCTGAAGACCCTTGATGTACTGCGCCGCCAGTTTTCCAGTGAGGAGTGGATCTTCTGAAAAGGACTCAAAGTTTCGACCGCCGAGGGGATGACGGTGCATGCAGACCGTCGGCGCCAAAAGCATCTCTGCTGATCGGGCGCGAACTTCTTGCGCTAGATGTTGTCCGACTTGGTATAGGAGGTCTTTGTTCCATGTAGCTGCGAGGGAGATACCACAGGGGAACAGTGCGGCCTGGATATTTAGTTACACTCTTAGTGTCAAGAGGGAGACTGACCTTTGTACCGCCGACAAAGATACCACCGCGTGCGCCATTGGGTCCGTCGGTTGTTTTGATCGAAGGGATACCTTTTTCAGGAATGGCTTTTGTCCTCCAAAAGTCGGCTGCTGTGAGAAGAGAGACCTATATGTGTTAGCCAACGTATGTACACAGGATCGAGATGTACCTTTTCCTCCAAAGTCAACTGTGATAACTTCTCTTTCGCCGCAGAGCGAGTATCTCGAAGATACTGAATCTTTTGCGGAGGACTACATGGTGCAGAGAACTCAGTGTCTGGAGTTGAAGGGGTGTTTGACTCGTTCATTGTGCTGTGCTGATGATAGAACTGTTTGTGATAGCCTAAATACAATAGAGATCAGGTCTCTTATAAAGGAATAAATACGAACAGAGGTAAAAGAAGGCAAGTCGAAGCGAGGTCAAGGTTACAGTGCACCAGAAAGAAAGAGTGGAAAGACGAGTCAAACTTGGCTTCACTTATACGGGATAACGCAATCAAGTAGGCAAGCGGCACATAAAGTCATCTGCTAGACTAGGTGATGGATAAGCATAAGGCTCGGGGGAATAATGTTGTACAGTAGTGCAAGATCAAGGATCAAGGATGCAAAGTTGATCGTGGTTCAAGATAAGGCATTTTCTTTTCTGGATAATCAACAAATGAGGTTTTAGCTTGAGCATTTAAACGGCCCGGCTGAAATAAGCCCAGTATAATGTAAGACAAGGTCTCTATCGCCTGGCGTGTTTGTTTCATGACAAGAGACAAGGTGCAGATGAGGAACTTGGGCCGGTATATACGGACCGTGAGAGCGACGTGGATTATATTAATTACGCCGGGGTCCCCGAGGCTTTTCTTGGACGATTGAGATGATGCTGATGATACATAAAATGAATTGCAGAGTAACTAAACTCTCATTGTGAAAGACATAAGCGCTTGTTTTGTAGTCTCGTCTTATTCTTCCAGCTACACATAAATGACGGCTATAAAGAAGGATTCTCCCGACAGCCTGGGAAGAAATATGACATGGATTACAAGTACGCGACAGAATCGGGAAATAAACCTGTTTCAGCGGCTATACGGGCCGGTGATCCCAGTCTGTCGGCCGGAGCGTACCGGCGGAGCCAAGACGAGCGAGAGCCGTTGGAAGCCACTTTTGCTTTGTTGCTGTAGGGTTTAGAAGATAAGTGGTACTTTCGTTGCAGTTGCCAGATGTGGAAAGTTCGGTAGATGAGCATAAGGGCTGAAAGAGGAGGGACTTTTTACGAATGTCCGATGCTAAAAGGGGGACACTCAAGAAATAAGTGCCGGGGAGTTGTGCATGCATATGTAAGTAGATCATTTAGTTGCCCTGTTATGGGATGATCGGATGGAATGCCGTTGAGTTGGCCGTTGACCTCTACCATCCTCTGTGTTGACAATAAGCAGACACTCACAGGCTTGTAGTACAGTGAGATGAGATAAACAAGATCAATCAGTAACTGACTTATAACTATGTCTCAGATCTCCGAAAAGATATGGATCTCCCTCCGTGTCCGTCCGGCTAAGAGGGGCCGGCTCGGCGCTCGGAGCCTCCGCTTGTACACGCCGATATCCGCACATGGTCATCCACGATTGACACTCCTCAACCTCACATCTCTCAAAGGAATCACTTTCATAACAATACATAGCTCTATAGCATCAATTGCACTTATACCTCTTACCCCTACTTACACAATGCTACGCCCCTCAAACATAACACGCTCAAACTCAGAATACTCACTTCAAGACCTCGCTAGACCAGGCTCTCGTCTACGCCATTCACACTCCTGTTCACGCAACGAACAAGATGAATCCCATCCCCGAAACAGCAACGGAGAGCCACCCACCGCAGTGCCGCAAAAGGATAACACTCCTAAAACAAACCTGGGAACGTTCTGGAAAGACTATGTTAGCTGCGAGGTAGACCTCTCAGCGTCAAGGGATCATCTGGGTATGTTTTCATCCGGAGGTACAAGATTGGAGGAAGAAATTGATCCACGTTGAAAAGGGGTCTCGTGATGTAGTATCGATTGGTTTACTCGGTAGTATCCTGGCTAACACATGGTCACAGCAAACGAAAGGACCTTTTTAGGGTATCTGCGTACCTCGGTTATGATGTCCATGGTGGGAACAATGGTAGCTCAGCTGTTTACTCTCAATCATGAGGGGTACCATGCAAAGAGCTTTGGATACTTTGTCACTGGAAAACCCCTAGCTCTGACCTGTTATGGGTTCTCTATCGGGACGATTCTTTTGGGGGCTGTTCGGACGTGGAGGCATCAGAGGATCATGATGAGTGGGAAAGCGTTGGTAGGAGGGTTTGAGATTCATGTTTTGGGTATATGCAGTATGGCGGTATGTTATAACCCCCTTGAAGGTGTATGTGACTAACGTGGAAAGCTACTTTTGGTGTTTTTCTCTTTTTTGCTTAGTATTGATGTTATCAAGGATTGAACTCATGACTACGACAACTCTTTGAGTCACGCAACATTATTTGGAAGAGCGAAACGATTTATACAATGAGAGAATACTAATAATGACATAAACAAAACACTGGTAACTACCCCCTCTTTTGCTCATCTGTCCCCTGCTTCCCTCTTCCCCCCTCTACGCCTTGGTAGATCTTTATAGACACGGGGTCTCTTGGAAGTTCTCGGACTGGCATGCCTACGATTGTTAGTGCAATACTAAATGGAGGAACAGAAAACCCATACCGGTATCGCTTGGAAGCGAGTTTGTATTCGGCAATAGCCTCTTCGTACGCTTCCGTGTCGTCACTCAGAGGTTGTGAATCAACAGACAACGCGAGACCGGACATATCCGAGCCCGATGGAATACTCTTGAGTCCTCTTGGGCGACAAGGGTCGGCTGATGGGGTAGCTGCTGACTTGGGACTAAGTGCAGGCTGTAACACTGGAGTGTTGGGTATCTGTGCTGGATGGATGAACTCCCAGCTACTCGTCTCTGCAGGGGACATATCGTCCAGCTGAGTATTTTTGTCTTGTTGCAAGGCCGTACCGCTGAGTCTCAACATTCTAAACCCGTGGCTCTCGTCGCATCGAAGATATACATCCATTGGAGCAACAACTGAAGGCGACGATGCAGGACTTGGTGCAGGAAGGGTATGTTCATAATGAGGACTCTCTCTCGGTTCTTCAAATATCCCAAGATCGAAAGAGAGGAGAGACTTGACAGGTTCAGGAGTATGTCTACACAACGTTAGTTCCCTTCACAAACAAGAACAAAGACATACCTTTTATAAGCACCGTCCTCAAGACTAATACTGCTATCCCTTCTAGTCACACTCTCAACTTTATCAGTCGAAGCACAACTACCACCGATACCAGACAAGAGATCCATAGTAATAAAAGATATTGATTGTAAGTCTTGAGAAGTTGTAATCATATCATGGAAGCGAGCTGACAGCTAGTTATAAGGCTTCCAATGAAACAGGGATCTTGTTACCGACACAAAGGAACCTGAACCGACCCGAGTATCTGGTTCTAGTTCAAGGCAACTAAACTAGCTGACTTTCATCAAACGGCCACCACACCCATTCCGTCCCAGCAGTACGGGACCCATTATCTGTACCGGAATCACATCCGTGTCCGGGGTTATTGTCTCTACGCTCGGTCTTGCCGTTCATCCCAGGGTCTTGGTAACCTAGGAGGTATGTCTCGTCTTGGACCTTTGGGTATGTAAGCCCGCTTCAAGTCAGACGGGCCTCTTATCCTCGCTGATGAACGAGATACAAATCTCCATTCTTACAACTACCTTCCTCCCTCGGAAACCCATCCCAACGGACTGGAAGAAGTATCCAAGAGGTCGGTAAGAAATGGTGGATCGAAAATCCCGCCAGCCTGGTAGGGCCTGTACCACACTAAGTGGTGTAATTGGTTGATACGAGAATGTCTTGAACCAACAACCAACACCGCCTGTTTCATTGATGCAGGTCTGGGGTTGCAAAAGGACCTTGAAAATGTGTGATTTTGTTTGCTTTTCATGACGGGAGAATATTGATGTCAGGAATTGGGCTTGGGAACATGGGTATCGGGTTTATGTTTTTGATATGGGATTGTCACAAGGCTATGATGTGATGAGTGCTATGACCTTGACTCTTTGTATCTCAATGAATGAAGCACTGATTCGTATCTACTTACTTCCATTGGATAAAATACAATTAATTCCCTTCAACTATATCTCTCGTCGTCTCTCATTCTTACCTCATATCCCAAGAACTCCTTTTACTCGCATCTGCACTTCCCCTTCCCAACCCACTCACACGCATCTCAACCCTGGGGTCTCAGTATAATCCCTGCTCCCATCATTTGGGGGCCTCAAAGCCTAAAAAACATCCCTTGTTCTCAGCCGGTTTTGGCCCCCAATTACCACATTTCAATTGGAGTGGAAGATGAAGATGAAGAATATCAAGAGGTTGCAATACAACTGGAGTCAAGACTTACGAATAATTACAGAATTGTAAATTAAGGGTTGAAATGAGACGATTCTGCCCTTTTTCTTTCCTAGGTAGTCATTTCAAAGAGTAATGCTTGCGAGGAACTCATTGATGACATTCATCAGGGTACCAGAAAAGGTGGCTGTCAGAAGCATAAGGGACGAAATTAGTAGGCCACTTTATATTAGTTAGACCATACTTCTTAGGCTATTTATTTTTGTACCCAACAGCCTACAGGCTAACTCTTCTGCTACCCCCTCGAGTTGGGATCTACAAGCCAATGACCATAACAATATTTACACTTCAACACACCGCCATTCACTCATTTTCAGCATATTTATACAAACACTTTATGTATTCGCTATGTACGACCAAGCTAAAAGGTCACATCTACCCCATAAAAACGCCAAAGAAATGCCTAGCAATGTATAACAAAAGTAAACGCCATCTCCAATTTGTTGTATTCATCATATAGACAGTCAAACAAAAGCAATCGCATGTGTACAGAAGAGCAATTGTTCATCACAGCTCATCCCTGTCCGCGTTGATGTTGGGCAATCCAAACTTCCATACTCGTGGACCAACGGGAAGACCGACGTAGTTACGGAATGCACGTCGAGCTTCATATTTAATAATGGTCCATCTGCAATTGTTAGTACTTTTCTTCAGATTGAACGGGTATAAAACTTACAGCATTCTTGGGGTGCGTGCCCACCCATTGAGGATAACGCGCAAAACGCCATTGAACTGGGCGAGTTCATGCTTGAGGTGACCCATCATGGACTCCTCCTCGGGACCTCTAGCGCGAAGCCGAATAAACTCCCTCATGGCATCGTCCATCTGGTCATTCTTTGCAACCTCGGGTTCAAGCTTTGCGCGTAGTCTGTCCTCTTCTCTGACCTCCTCAAACTTGTCGCCCAACTTTTGGTCAGGAGTCTTTTCCTTCTTGCGTTCCTCATCGCGCTTTGCCTTCTCAGCCTTGATACGTTGCTCCTCCTTTTGGCGAGCCTCGAGTTCTTTTGCATGCTTTTCCCTCTCAGCATCGATACGCTGCTTCTCCTCGGCAAGTTTCTCAGCAAGCTTTTCCTTCTCAGCCTTGGCTTCCATCATTTGACGGAATTCACCAATGTTGTGAAGAGAACTGCTGATACGAGCGTACGTGTTGAAGAGAGCGACAATCTCGGTTCGCTGGAGATGAGGAACGTCCTCGTTGTTGTTATCCAGCTCGAAAAGGATCTTGAGGGCTGTTCCGTAACCAGCGGTCTGGAGCTTACCCCAAAGACGGCACTTGTCGCAGCCAACGCAATCCATAAGACGACTAACATTGCGGAAGCGGTTGCGGAAATCCTCCTTCAGAGAAGGACCCTCACCGTTGACAAACATGAGGCTCTCGTCAAAGATTTGGGGAACACTAGCTGCTTTCTCGGTGACTTCGAGGACCTTTGCGCGGGTAGCAGCATCCTCAGAAGGATCTCCCAGGCAAAACTTGTACTCCTCCTTCTGGAGGTATGGGCTGAGCTTGGCGATGGCGCGGGTCATGAGTGCGTAGTTAAAGTAGACGTTTCCAATACGGTCGGGGAATTTGTGAAGACGGTGTTCGTAGCAGCTCAGGTTGGGAGACCACTCTCCGGTAGTCTGGTTGAGAAAGTCCCAGCAAAGATGGGTGCTGATACTGGCGTGCATTCCCGACATGACACGGTAAAACACACGCTTCTCAAGACATTCATCTTCAACCTCGAAGCCAGTGTTTGCGACAAAAGGTGTGTTGGGGTTCTCTTGGCGACGCTCCTCAAGCTGGGCCTGACGACCGGCTGCGTCGAGGATCTGTTTAAAGTCTTGAGCAGCGGGACCGTGCTGCCATCCAGACTGACCGAGATCGGCAGACTTGGGGAAAGAGCTCTTCTGGAAGCAGTTCTCCCGGTAGACGGCGTCCCAGACTTGTTTGGCACCATCGCCAGCGTATCCTGTGAATCGTTCGGGGTTTCGGACCAAGCTAACGTAATCGCCCTTTGAGCTGGCACTCTCATCTTCAGGAACACAGTAGTCTCGCTCGTCGCATTCGTCATCGTACTCAAAAACACAGCTCTCGCCGACATTTTCGCCCAAAAGACCTCCGAGGGGTCGCTGGGGGTGCTGGCGCTGGGCTTTCTTTCCGGGATGCTGAGCACGAGGGCCTTCGAGTTTACCTAGAGCATGTGCGCGCCAAATCTCGGGGATATCCTCTTCGTTATCCAGAGTTTCGACAGCGCATCCGATGTTGCCGCACATGCCATTCTCGTCATCCCAAAAGGGACATTTCTTGTGGAAGAGGTTAACTCGGTAGTGTGAGAAGAAATCGGTGTTTCGGGTGAGGTCGTCGACGGCGGGTTTGGTCAAGAGGTTCAGTTTGTCGAGGGTAGAATAGGAAGCGCAGGCGTCGCCAACGATGGACTTTGGTGAGATCTGAATATGTCAGCATTTGACTTTAGTGGCGGATAGACAAACTTACATGGCATTCATCGTTTGAAACCTCGCAAGAACCCGGTGCAGCCCATAGAGCAAACACGGAGAGGTAAAACAGTCTGCTCGCAGACTTCATTGTAACTTGAGCGCCCAAAAGCGATGCAACGTGAGACTGTAGTGTAACAATCTTGGGTACAAAAAATGAGTCGCCAGCGAGTGAAGGCGAATCAAAAGAGAGTAAAAAAAGAAAAAGAAAGTAAGAAAACAAAGGCGCAACTTCTTGACGTTTTTCCTCGCTGTTGAAGAAGAAGCGACGTATGAAGGTAAGATAAAGTGGGTTAACGGCTTCGGCGGGCAGCGATGGAACTGTAGCACTTTTCTCAAAAAGGAAAGGTTCGATGCCAATTTATCGAACGGTACCTTAATTTAGTGCTTCTTGTCTTTTTCTCTAAAGACTGGTGCATACATTTAAAGACAGTTCATGCAAGGAAATTAAATCTTGAATTAAAAGAGTACAAGTGAATAAACTTGGATTTACTTATATGGATTTCTTAATAGAAAATACGGGAGAAGAATACAAAAGATGCCACGCTGGCGGGTAACATATGAGGCGAAGCAATGCATCTAGAACTGACCATCGCCACTTTTAGATGCTCCGTCAAAGATGACAGCTATTCAAATTGCACCCGTCATCCGAGGACCCGAGGCCATGCTTAAAGCACTAGCCCCAACATCAGACGATTTGATCTGCCCATGTCTAAGAATATCTGCCGTAGAATACAGCTGTCTTTAGCATCACCCGTATTCTGACTTACAAATCATCATATCCTAAGACATCCAACCAAGACCCTCGTATGGCATTCTGTAGTCTAATTGTTTCACAATTGTGGCGCTTGATCTCTTCAACACAAGCCACATGAGGCCATACTGAAGATAAATCATTAAATGCTAAATCAGTTGACTCCAACGCAATTCTCTGTACGCACGCTCTTGTATCATTTCTTTCTTTCGCATCTATCTGCTTGTTTATAACTTCCATGATACCAGTCCCCTATCATTAAGCCCATTTCATTGTCGTTTCCCCATCATGCGCTGGGTATCACTGAGCCACATTTCTTTCCTTTCAATCACACGCGCCCAGAAATTCATCTTTTGTTCCCCAGCTGTCTCTCCATGAAACAAACACGTTGGATAAAATAGAACAGCGACAAAAAAACACTTATTGAAATGCCCAACCAAACCAAAACACCGACGCGGCGCGTTTCCGGATCGTTCCAGATCCAAACTCCATATTATAATGTACCCATACGTCTTGGTTGTTGGGGGACATGCATGGGGCGGATCCAACTTTTTGCGACTCAATCCATCACTCGCAAAAGATCCCCTTTCCACTCGCCCTAAACCAAATCCCACCGTCTATACGTCATACACGACCCAGGAGACCGGTCTCCCTTGACATTTC